TTCTCCTTGAAACTGAAACAGCAAACTGTTGGGCAGGCGACCAGTAAATCGGCTCCGCTCAGCTTTTGTGCATCCATACTGACTCCTCGCAATTTCTCCTTCTCTCGCTCACGGTCCTCCATGAGCATTGCACCAATGTCAAAGACTGCAATTCCAACCTTTTCCTTGACTCCAATGTCGCGGAGTGACGGTCGGGAGTAGTTTGGCTGCATTTCATGGAAAAATGCGGCGTCCACTGCCACTCGACTGTTGATGTTGACTTTGATAGCCTTTCCCTTGTTCATAAAGAATGCGCTGCCTTTACAGTGCCGAACGTGTGAGCCGGCCAATTCCCGAAACTTTTGGCCCCTCTCGATCAGGATTTTTCGGGCTTGCTCGTGGTTTGGATGGTGGTGGAGAGGGAAGGCCTCAAGGGTCTCGATCGGCTTTGACCCCCGAAACTTTGCAACACGCAGAAAGATTCCGGCCTCGCCGAACTTGACTCCGTTATAATCAAGAAATCGGCACTCGAGATTCAACCACGTCTCGTCATTTTGTGTCATCTCTTCGCCCGCGTCGAATACGACACATCGCGGCTCTTTTGTGCCAATGCATGTGGTATAAACATGACAACCAGGCTTGAAAAGCGCCCAAAGAAGGTCATATGTAATATGACCGTGCTGCAACATTGATTCGAGACGCTGCAAAGTATAAGCATATGCGTACTTGAGGTGATCGATGAGCAAGAGGAGATGCTCCGCATATGCCGATTTGTGGTCCGAATTGCTATCTATCTTCTCCGCACATCTGTCGAGCTCTGGGAGGAAATGGAAAAGGAAATTTTGCTCGATCTAAATCCACGTCAGCGTGCTCCTTGATGATAATACTGTCTCAATTACCGATGGCTTGTCCTCCATCAGGCTAACGGCCTTGATGTCGTGCAGCACGTCTCGCAGGATGTCGCGTAGGCCTTCCGACTTGATGTCTATGAATGGAACTACCTCCTCAGACGTTCGGTCTGATCATACTATTAGTAGGTTTTCGGTCCGGCATGCAAAGGTGTTACGTACCAACACGTTCACGGACAACGAATGCATACTCAGCGTAGTCGTCCAGGTCATTGCTAGTCTCCGTTGGCTCGACAATCTTGTATTTACATGCTTCTTTGTCCCAGCTAGACCCGTGTCAGCTATCTGAAAAAATGGAAGGGGTGGTTGGCTGGTGGCTCATACGTTTCCATAACTGTTTTGAGCTGGGATTTTGATGCCCATTTCTCAAACGACTTGAAATCATCCGGTGTGGTACAAATCGGACTTTCGAGATCAATCTTGTCTACCGCCTGAACATTCTCTTCCTGTTCATTGCTGGCAGAAGAAGACCGAGCAGGCTTAGTTGCCAAGGAGAGTTCAGCTGATGCACATTCATCGTGGGTGAGCTTGACCATCAACCGCTTCAGTCGTCCTATGTCAAGGCCTTGTGGGGATTGGTCCTGGGAGACAGGAGTGTTTGGAGGTTCTTGGTCGGCAAGATCGAGCAGCGCGTTCTCAAGAAACACACCAAAGAGCAGCATCAGATCTTTCAAGGTGACAGGAGGCATAGCTGACTCCTTCGTTGGGCTACCTGGTGGCGTCAAGCCTTGGGGACAGGGAGAGGAAGACGCCTTTGCAGTCTTCTGTGCCAATGCCATGTTTGTGCGGTTGGACGACTGAGAAATATTGGTGCAGTATGGGGAGCTGGTATGAGTAGACCAAAGATTGGAATGCTAATGATGAATGGAAAGGTCAACAGAAGCCTGAGGAATTGCTCCTTCTTATATGTTCGTCCCTAGTCGTCCATGCCGGTGTCTTATCTTTCTTGTACACAGATCGGCGCAACAGACTATGTAAACTTGCATGCATGTCCAGGGGAGTTGATTGTGCTTGCGGCAAGCTAATCCAACTGATTTGACGTCGTCCGCTACAGCCAATGACGGCGAAACCCGTCTATATGCACATCACAGGGAAAGATTGATGTGATTGTCCTTGTCTGCTAGCTCAGGTGTGGTCAGGTCTGTCCACTGAGGGGTGAGAGGCATATTGTTGGGCAATATCACTCCACTACAGCAGTGAAAGTATGAAATGATGGACTGCGAAACAAAGTGAAACATAAACGGGACTAAATAACACAAAATGAGCCATCTTGTCATCTGAAGCACCAAAATGAGACTCTATGAGACAGTGATGACATGACGTAAAGAAGACAAAAGTTGGTACAAATAATGTCTACTCATAGTTAGTGGGGACAAAATGGAGCACAATGGGACAAAATGGAGCAAAATAGGAGTAAGCAAAATGTTCCTCGTCAAATTATTGCAGTGTACGGCATCACCTAGTTTTTTATTATCGACATTGTCTGCGGTATTTGACTACGTTATATAGAAGGAAATAGGTGGGAAAAGAAGTTTGAAATAAAAATTATATGTCTTTCTTGACCTTATTGCAAATATGAAGGACTGGTGAGGATGACATGCTTCTTGCATCCATTCTCGGTGACGCGAAATCACATGACTTTTATTTGCTACCCAAAGGGAGTTGGGAGAGCCCCGCGGTGAGCTCCTCTTTATTTTGCAGTCATTTTCGTCACAAATCCTTGAGTGCACCGGTCTTCAACAAATTCTACTCAGAAGGCAATACTTAAAGGCAAGTATACCATGCCACTGCTGATTCTCGAGTTGATCACCCTGAAACTCGCTGACGCGCTCGCCGAGAATTAGGTGACACGTCCCAATCAACCTTTCCCACTTCCTAAGCCACCAACGACAACCAGCCGAACGTCGGGATTATCATGAACAAAATCAATGAATCTGTATTTCAAAAGACAAGGGCACAAGATGATAAAGGCCTGGAAGAGGAAGCAAAATCCTTGTTGGTTAGAATCCTGGACGTTTTGCGTTTTTCAACTGCTTACCTTTGTCTTTGTAGAATGGGAAGGCCGTGGTCCTTGAAACAGAGTATTTCAACGGGAGATTTCTAGATTCAAGTATCGCTCCTGCGGTCCTGATACACGGAGACGAGGGAGAGGGCGTCATCCACTCGCGCGTTGCCGAGGGCAGCATTGATATACTTTCAACAGGCCCCAAAACAGGGAGTGGCCAAAGAATTCTTGTTCTGAGCGATGGACGTACTGGCCTCATGTTTAGAAACGTATTACTACGACGTTTCCTTTCCGGAGACGCCTGATGTCTGGAGCATCCAAAGATACTGAATGAAGGAATAACTGAATTCCCTCGATATCTCGATGTTAACGTTTAACCCGGGAGGCAGTTGAAGATCGACATGGATATATGGAGGTGTCAAATTGAGAAGAGAGTATGAGAGCTGCAGGTTAGGCCCGCTAATTCGAAGCAGCTCACTGACAGCTTGTAGATGAGGGAAATCGGCGTGGTACGCATGGATGAAGCCCATGAGCTGTGAAGAGAGGAAGAATATTGGCTCTTCGTCGGTCATATTTACTGCAAAAGTTTCGATGGAACCTTTGCCATATTAGCATGTTTATGAAATCATAGTCATATATAAACAAACCTGATCTCCCAGAAATTGGTAGCTGCGCGCTCAGGCCGCTCTCAGTCCTATCATTATCTGCAATCCATCCGTCAGCACAATCCCAAAAAAGCGAAAAATGGAGGGACTACCAAATTCTGAGAGGGCATTTTGGAATTCGGTGGACTGGTCAACTAGGCTCCTTTGCGGTGTTGGCTCTGCAGGAGAGACGGCGTATTCCACCCTCTTCTGTTTGACACCGCGAGACTTCCTAAAAGTTCTGCTTTTTGTTCTCTCTTTTGAAAAAAAAAATTAGTACAATGTGTTCAGCAAGTGGAAGAAATACTATACGTTGTACATGGACAAGACCTCCTCTCTCTCTTTCGTGGTCCAGCTCGTGAATGAGCTCAATCGTTCGTGATTCGAACTTTTGGGAGGGTGCATTGTCCTGCCACCAATTTGCAAGACGAGGAAATATTTCCCTATGGTCCAATGATGCCAGATCAGTGATGGAGATTGTGACAGTAACAAGGACAAACAGCGGCTTCGCTATGGAGTAGATGTTCTTGAGGTGTTGTCGCGCCTTGTCATGTCTGTTCTGGGACTGCCGCGATACCGAGAGTTTGATTATGTTATGCAAAAGACAATAAGACGATTCTAGTCCTCTCTGGCTGTTCGCATCTAGGAATGGGCTAGTGTCAAGGATGCTTTTTTGGTGAAGAAGAGAGTCGAAGAAATGCTCAGTCAATGACATGGTGTCGCCAGCTAGTGAAGCACTTAAGGTTGAAGAAACAAGTCAAAATACAGAAACAATGGGACAAATTGGGCGAGAACCTCCTCCTAATGTCTTATCCTGAGCTTTGACCTCCCACTGACCCTCCTAGTCTAATACTGGATGCGACGTGGTTGCAGCTTGCTGCATAAGCGGCACAAATTTATGGTCAGTCGCTCGGTCATTACACCAACCATAGCCTAGGGAAAGACAGGGATACGATTCCTATGCGTTGTTCCCATCCAATACGCCCAGATCCACTTTGAATTTAATACATACCCTGCCCAGTCCAGCCTAGAGCTGCCCAATCCCGTCCGTTCATGCCCATTACTTCCCATTACTGCTTGCTATTGACCGTTATCGCCTGCTATGTCCTGTGATGTTCACAAAGCCTCTGCCGCTTCCCACTGTCTCTTCATTTCTGTACATTGCTGCTCACTACCGCCCGTTATTCCCTAATTGTGTGTAATTCTGCCCTCGACTGACCATCCTGGTCTACTATTGCCCGCTATGGTCCACTTCCGCCCTCTGACCAGGAATGGCCGGTAGCTTGAATGATTATTTTCATTAGTTGGCCTTCATGTAAGCCTGCCTTGACATCCTGGTAGCAACAGAAGAGGAGCTCGATGTGAAATCTGCTCGATCCTTGCTATATAAGAGCGGCCTTCCCACGCTTTTCATTATCACAACTCAAATTCCAACACTATAACTTACTTCAACAGCATACAATCATGAATTTCTCAGGGCCATATGACCCGACTGCTTTTCATGGCATCTCATCCCTTCATGACGCCGTCGAGCACTTTCGAAGCAAGAATGGCCATTCATTTGTGGAAACGAAGTTAAAGTCTCTTATTCTGCAGCATGGTGTTTCGGATCTGTTTGGGGTGGCACTTGTCCATCGTCATTTTGACCTGGAAGAGGGAACAATCCTCGTGGAGAAAGACATGGTCACAGCACCTTGGAAATGTGATAATTCTTTTGCAAAGCATGGTGGGAGGATTGTCCCCATCTCTTGGTTCTTCAAGGAGGGCAGACCTTACCCTTATGAGTTCGGTTTTTTCCCTTATTCTAAGACCGATCCCCCCAAACTCGAACAGCATGCATCTTTTGTTGAAGCATTCTTTGACGCTGTCAATCTTCATGGGTTGGATAATTTCGTCGGTCTTCGACGTCTGTCTGGACATGAATCCACGGGAATGCTGGAGTGCACCGAGGGCAGAGTGAATATCATGTTTCCAAGCAACGAGGTTCGTTTATTTATATCTGCCTTGGTATATCACAAGTCTCATTAAAACAGATACCCGCCGAACTTCTTCAAAATGGAACTGATACAATGTGGTTTTTTGATGGCCAGCCACCGTACCGCATGTATCGATGCGCCTGTACGAACACGGGCAGTTCGTCGAACCCGAACCACAATCATATTGACCAGGCTTGAAAAACGCCAAAGGAAGCAACCCTACTGGCAAGCCAGATAATCCTTTGACCAGTCTCCTCTGTACTCATTGTGAACTAGGTCGCTTGCTTTCTTGTTTCAAACCAAGGCGCTGACATTTTTGGGCTGTCACTCCTTACGTCTCACTTGTCATTTTTCTTTCAGTCAATCACTTTGTTGTTGATAGTTCCGGTCCTTTCCGCTCAAATCAATGCTGCTAGTCCATTTATCGTTCATGAATAGGAAACACGCCACAGCGGTATATTACTTTTCCTAAAATCGCGGAGCCAAGGTAGATAAGGGAATAAGAGGGAGAATTCCAGGAGAGAGAAGATGGTTTGGTCTTGTACTAAATCCCGCCATTATAAATAGGAATTCCAAAACCAATAGCGCGTTCCAACAAGAATCTGATCAAACGCCTGGGAACCAATGAGTTGTAGTGGCACTAGTCCTAACTAGTTATGGCAAAGTTAAGTATTTTAGTTCGTTGAGCAGTATGATTATATAAGCCATATTTTAAGGACCCACTCCCACTGCTGCCCATGTACCTTGTTCTTTTACTTCCCTCTCTTTCTGCCATTTCACCTTGTTAAACACAACGATCACTTTCATTTCCAGAAGTTCCAATATGGCAGGCTCGCTTGATCTGCTCTCTGAAGCTAGCCGCCTTCGCCTAGGAGTCCCATGCTCACTTGCTGACGAACATCCTCGCCACGGCGGCTCACACCGCGTATTCGAAGTTGTCTTTGAAGACTCCGTACGATGGGCTGCCCGAGTCAATACCGATTCCAATAATTGGAAAAACGAACTGCGAGCCGTTAGACAATTCCAGCATGTTAAACAGCAACGCGCAGAGATCAAAGCGCCAAACCTTTTTGTGGAAGCAGGACACCCTGTGCTGTACTCAGAATGGGTCAGTGGCAAGCCGCTAGCGATCTGGAATTTTCAAATCCCTCTAGTTAAACGTCAGAGGCTTCTGGATGACCTTGCAGAATTTCTGCTGCAATTATGGACTACTCCTGTTCCTTCCGCCCTTGTTGCAGAGAAAAATTGTCTATACTCAGTCTGGCTCACGAAAAGCCTGGATCGAGGTCTTCGACGAACCCTCAATGGCACTGCTAGATGGGGCAATGCTATTGACTATCTGATCATGCGGTCGATGATCCCAAATTATGCTGCTGAGTTTGATAAATACACTGGCATCGGCTTTACTCATGGGGATCTGAATGCCCACAATATTATGAAAAGCGACGACTTTCACTTGACAGGGTAGGCGAAAAAAGTCGCTTCTCTACCGTATAACCTCGTTCTAACAGACGGAATCAAACACAGGGTCATTGACTGGGATTGGATGTCTGTGGCACCGCTGCCAGCCATTATTCACCACCCTTGGTTCATAGCCGACATTCCTGGATGGAATAATGATGGTGTGACAGAAGGAGAAAGCTTCACAGAAGACCGTCTTTACCTTGAAGATTCTATCAAGAAGAAAGAGCTTCCACAGCACCCGCCACTTATGGTGTCAACGTTGCTGAATGACTCTGGAAAAAGACTGTTTTTCCAGTCAGCCTTCCACTTCAAAGATGTCCATGAGAGTTTTGTCAAGACGCACTGTCCACGGACAGAAAAGAACATCAGGGCTGCGAGGTCACAGTTAGATACTGTACTTCGTTTGTATCCTGAGTTGGGAGATACAGAGCATGTACAGAAAGTCAAGAACCTACTAGAGAGAAGCGACGAAAAATGACGTCGGTAAAAGGAAGACCCTCTTTCAAATTAAAATGGTTCCCACTGGGACTTGTAAATGCTTCTCAGATTTAAACATGACAATATATTACACAAATTGCCTGACCCTTCGGACTAAGACTAAGCTAGCTCTTCTCTTACGTCTCTGAGCTTCATCTAAAAAACCGATAGCATTTTCTACGTGTCCGCTAAAGATAGCCGCTGCTTCCTGAGTGTCGTGCACCAGTACAAAGCACATTCGCCCCGATCCCTTGATCTGAAACCCCGGAACGCGTCGTCCAAGACACGAAGCAGTTCCGGCGCACTTGTAAGAATCTAAAATTGTAGGTTACCAAATACATTTCCCAGTTGAAGCCGCCAGCGACTCCCGCTGATAAAAATACGTTATAGGATAGGAACAAGTTGAAGTCTAGTCCTGCCATTTGACTGGGGTGTAGTTTTTCTTATGGGCCACCCGTAAGGTTAATTGGCTGGCCTCTCCAACCTGGCGCAGAATATATGAATAGCTCACCCGATCAAGGTCAAATCATCAATGACGCGGTATCACGCAGATTGCAGAACATGGATCGTAGGCCACTGGCTGTATTTTCCTATCGCGCTCGCCGACGGTCTACAGTGCGGATCCGCTGTAGCCTTGAGCTCATTCATTCGCTGGTTGTCTGCATGATTATGAGCGAGTTTATGCAGTCGCAGGCTATCCTTAACCTCGTGACGAGGCAGCGCTTTCTTCTCGCCACTGACAAATACCATCTTTTGGTGACTTCAAAGACACATCCACTGGATCAAACGGCCCGGAGACCCACAATGGAAATTGTGCGCTACTGCGCCCAGAAAAAGGAAGCTGTAGGCAGATCTGCGATACCGGGGGCTGTGCAATGCAACGTTGGATTGGCCTGGATGAAGGAAAGCGTACCGAGTCGAGAGTGCTGGTGATTTGGACCCAACGTGTCCTCAACGTTATGTCGATTTGAAAGAGTGCGGTTCCGCACAGTGAAAAGCAAGAAGACTGTGGGAGTCACGCGCAAGGCCGACGGTGTATGTAGCATTTCTCCTATTGGATCAAAGCGTTTCATATTCGAAAAAGTTCACGGTCTGCCTTGCTGCGCCTCACCAGAAGAGGGCCATAGCGAAGCGATCGTCTCCAAAGGGCTGCTTAGCGTGAGGATCAGCGTCCAGTCGGGTGAGGCATCATGCGCAACTCCGGGACCGAAAAAAATACAAAGGAAAACTCACATATAGTGAAGAGACGGCCGAAGACTCTTGGGATGTGGTGACTGTGGGCACTCATAAAACAAAGAAACCGGCAGAAAACAAGGAACAGGCGAAGAGGAGATTTTGAAGGTGATTCGAATTCCAGTTTTGCCATATCGGTGGAATTGTAGTCTCTTTTATAGACGACGGAGGCCCGTAAGATGTAATACTTCTTCTACCAAGAGTAGACAATCTCAACCAGATCCTGCAAATCAACCGGTTGCAGTTGAGGACGCTAGACCATACAAGTTTCTTAGTCCACAACAAGTTATGGCTCACTGGCAAAAATTCCCGTAGTTGCAGTCTTGCATTGACCACAAGATGCAGCATCGATCAAGGTCCAGGGCGTGTGCGGCATTTTCGCTATTGGCCCAAATGACCGAGCTGTGATTTCGAGTTTTCACTGATTGGGTGGAGAGGGATCGGAGAGACCGACGATGACGACAACTGGACGTTTGGCCAGGCAACCGGGAGCCATTTTATGAAGCCGGGGCTGTGCAATGCAACCTCAGGTGGTGCGGCGGGAGAGGGATATGCAGCGTCGAGGGTATACTGGCACATTGCAGATTTGAAGGGAGGCCCGCGGAATCAGAGACGAAAAGGCGCACTGGCAGAGGGAGACTTAGATATCCTCGTAGCATGGTGCTCAGTCACTGCCCTAGGGAAGGAATAGGATCATCGACACGAAAGAACAGGATGCTGTATCATCCCAGTGGTTACGCTTTTGGGTGACAGGCATTGCAAGCTGGATGTCGGATCAAGCGGCATCTCCGGTAAAAATGAAAGGGGCATTGCGTCGGGCTGAAAGCAAACGTGCAGTAGTCGGTGGGGGCCAGACTAAAGAAAGGGGGCGGCGATGAGTGCAAGATAGAGAGGCAGAATAATGGAAAAGTGAGAGAAAGGGAGGAGGAGCAGCGAAGACGGGTCTTTAAGTCGGAGAACATTGAAGGTAGGTTACGTGACAGTGTATTGAGATGCTAAACCCAAAAAGGCAAAACTAACCGAATCTAGTAATTCACAGGTCCGCCGTTTACGAGATCAATACTAATCCAACGAATTAGGAGAAGTAATACCTACGGAGTACAGTCATATGTTAGGTCCGTGGATGGCCTGGGTGATCTTACAACTTGGTGACGCCTTGGCCAGCCATCGGATGTGGAAGGGTCATTGAGGAGAGCCCGACGGAGGAGTATTTGGTTCGAGTCTGCTTGTATTTTATTTATATCTTCTCCTTCCTTCTTCAACTTAGTTGTTTTTAATGCAAGTAGAGATCTCATCTTCCATCTAAGGTAACAAGATTGCAGCCATCCACGTCACAAAGATAATCTGTATTGACCTAGGAAATGGGTTGGATCTATAGCTATGTTGACGCCTTGACGCTTTGTTCAAAAGGTTGTTAATATCCATGTCTAGGTATGGACGTCAATCCCCGTGAAATTAGCCCCGGGGGGGTCTCTGAATCACAACCCTATTTCCAAGCCATCTGGTCTTTTTTTCAACACATTCTTGTATTTTGGCAGTGATACTGCAGTTCTCACTTGATATCTAGAATCTATCGACACATTCGCAGAGATTTATATACATGTTTAAGAGCGTATCAACCTTGCAATACACTTCAAACAGACCATAAAACTCCACATCTAAAACAAAATTCCATCGGCCCTGCCGGTGACAAAGAAAGAAAACAAAAAAATTTAACCCAAGGTCAGAGTGAAGCTCGAGTCCTTGGAGCACGAGTAGGTGTTCACATCGTCAGGGTGCTGGTAGGACTCCGCGCAGTTGGCGTCTCCAGCGGCGCAGCTAGCGGATCGGCAGCTCGAGTCACTGGGCTTCGCGGTGAAGCCGCCCTTGATGAACTCGGAGGTCTCGTCGAGGTCGATGGACGACATGTCCCAGAAGAACTTGTCGTCATCCTGGGTGTACTCGAACTGGAGAACGCTGTCCTTGCTCTGAGTGGTGGACATCTTGATGGAGATGCCGCCGCCGTTGGAGTTGGTGGTCCAGTCCTCGCTGTAGTCACTGCCGGCGCTGAGGGTCTTCATGCTGCCGGGATCGGAGGAGGTGGTCCACAGGTAGACGTCAGTACCCAGGTTGTTCACGATCTGGATACCACCGGAGCCGGAGTCGCGGGCTTCGACAGCGCCGGACTCGCCGGAGCGGGCGTAGTTGCCCTGGGGAAGGGCGGCAGCGGTGGCTGCGAGGAGACCGGTAAGGAAGACGTTGAAAGTCATGATGGAAATTTGTAAAAATTGAGGGAATGAAAGTAGCGAAAGTAAAAAAATCACTTGGTCGATAGTTGGACTAAAGAGACAGTAATTGAGGATCAACCTCTAAAGAGAATGGAATGACTTCAAGAAGAGAGTGACTTGAAGGATCAATGAATGTGTTGATTGAAGAAAGAAAGAAAGCCATTTCTGGGGGCTCTCATCCTTTTTAAAGTGTCTGGTGGAGTCCGGATGAGGAGGGAACTGGGCAACTCCAACGAGAGCCAAAAGGTGGGAAGAATGGATAGACTACAATTAGAGGTGTGGGGTTCGATCAATAAGGTTGACTTCCGTGAAGCCACAGCCAATTAGAATTTGCGGCTGAGGTTTCCACCATGGTCTCGAACGCCTCGTCATAGCCATCATAGCCATACGCGTGGAAGTTCGGGTTCAGGGCTTCTAGAAATTCCATCTTTAAACTTCGATCCGATCACGTATAGTGTTTGGTCCTCGAATGAACCCATGTTCTGTCCATCCGCAAGTAGAAATTACTGGGGACTTTACATCAGTTCTTCGTGGTTTTCCGGGACTCGCGCGTTTTACGTCAGATTTCTGTGGCAATGAAAAGTCTTAAGGAGCGAAAAGCTGCCGTGATATGGTGTTCTGCCTAGACGCCGAGAAAATACCGGCAAAATATGATTCTTGGCGTATTGCATCGCCTACCATCTACCATCGCCACACTCCAACTCTTTCTTTGGCATTCTTGATTTCAAACATCTCCAACTAATAGCCGACGATCCTCCGACACAGCCACTTTATTCGCTACTAATCCCATAGGGCTGCGAGGAAACACGAGATAATTCGCCGGTGCCTGTCGCTCAACCTCTGGGTCTCCTTTAAAATATCAAATAAGCTACCGTTCCTGTGGCTCTCTCGGTCGATATTTTCCATATTTCGGTCGGTCCCGATCATCGGTCGGATACTGCTTTCAAGTCTACATGTACTCTATGGTGTCTTGGCCTTTGTGGATATCGAAGATAGAAGAGAGTGTGTCTCCACCTGTGAGTTATGAGTTTTACATAGTACGTCATTCAGTCTACTGAGACATTGAGCCACCTAGATGTGCGCTCTCCAAGTCCGTCTTGCTGGTATTGGTAGGTGAGAGTCAAGTCTGCCTAAGCATTTGTGTACACTCCATTCCGAGCTTGAAAATGAGGATAGTCTAGCATTTCAGTCTTCTTATGTTCATCAAGCGCCTGCGCAGGTTGATCTCATGAACTCTGACCATATGCTCTGACGAAAAAAGTACTACCTAGAAACACGTAGGAGCAATGTCACCTAATTCAACCTGAATAGACGACTATTCTCCTTGTAACGTCCGATAAGGACTCAAACTTCCTTGAGATCCTTGGGATATCCTCATAGCCTGGGATCTGGCCGATGAAGTCACCGAGCGGAGCAACCTCCTCTTGCTGTTATCTGGCCTCTGGCACCAGAGCTAGGACAGGTACCGTCTCGAGGATGAACAGGTGTTACCTTGATTACTCTCCAATTCTGAGATGTGGCAACAGTCGGGCACCATGCAGGGGGACTTTACGAGAACGTCATTTAATGTGGATTTGGGAAGGCGCCGAACATCGACTTGCTTATCCCAAAACAGCGTGTCCCCGCCTTGGGCCTGCCATGAAATATTCGAGTTGGAACTCTTGGAATTTGTCTAGTCCTCCTGGGCCCTGGCCGTAGTCCCGGCTTGTCCGACATGGATTGCCCCTGTTGACACACCGCTACATCGTCGAGACCGTCGTATTCAGCTTCAGATTCAACTCTTTTTGATGAGCTCCTTCGCAGCTGCCGCTCCATCGGTGCTTTTTTGTCTTTCGACTTCATGTGAAAATCGTGAACCGTAGCTTTAGCAGGTTTTGCGGTTCTGCCGGGCTTCTTCTTTCCTTCCTTTCCTTCATTTACCTCTTTTTCTTCCACACTCTGGGAGAGAATCTCCAGAGAATCTTCAAATGACGCGGAGCCTGGGCACCAGTCGCATTGCAGAATGCACATCCCGCTCCCGATGGCCATCAACTCCTGGTACTCACCTGCCAAATTCACATGCCTGCTGGCGCTGGGACCTCCATTGCCGATCAGGGTCTTGCGTCTTGCGTATGTCTCCGAGGTCTTTTTGGAGATGTCAAAGTCTTTAAGGCAAATACAGTTGGTCTCGGTCTTTTGCTCGTTCGCATCGAATATCTTGACATCTAATCAGAACGCCATGGACCCTGGTTGGGATCTCGTCAATTTGGCTCTCGCATGCGGAACAAACTAAGTAGAAACGTGATGATTCTAATCATTGTCGTGCCTGGCAAATCTAGCTGTCTTTACAAGTCCAGACAGCTACACCGTCGGTAGCCCCTCAGTCCAACTCAGCTCCACAAGTTCTTAGCGCGCAGCGGTACGATCGACGATCTCTTGGCGAGTCCCGCTGCGGGTCGCGGGGCCCATAGTTACCAAAAAGGGCAACCGATGCTTACAATTCCTATCGTAGCTTGTGATGAAACTACGAATGATGAGAAAGCACTCTTTTACTGCTAGAAGTGACCAAAATATTCCAGGGAATTACTTTCAGATATTGCGGGAGTAAAGAAAGATATTCCGGGAGCAAATAAAGATACAAATAAGAATATCCTCTAGGGATATGTAGGTCCCTCATGCTGCATCGTAAGCATGGTAAAGCGAGGTGGACTCAGGTAAGACAGATACCCCAGGCTGGGCGCTCGAAGCCCAACCTGGGATATCAAGGGCCAAGTCGCAAGCTGTTCTTAGCGACATTGGCGAGCCCAATCGCGATCCGGCCAGTCCTCTTTCCCTAGGCTCCGAACCACGTAGACCGAAACCCCGCGACCATGTTTGTTGAACTCTAGCCGACACTTACGGCTATTGTTCCATCCAACAAAGCCCGAACCAGACTCTTCGTAGAGGCTTTTCAGGAACTCTCGGGCAGTCTTACCTGGAAGGCGCGGCACGCCTCCCGACGGGGTGTTGGATGTATCATCCCAAGTCGAAGAAAATATTGGCCGCTGTGTGGTTTCGGACCGAAGGTAGACCCTATGCCGACTCAGCACGCATAATGTGTGAGTATGTGTAGACTCCCGAAGCGCAGTTTCGACCTCAATCACATATTTCGGATGACCAGTCACTGCGCACTTATGTGTAAGAGGGTACAAGAATTGTCGGTAGTATAGGATGCGCGATAGCTGAGAGTCGGACATCTCGTTAAAATTCGGTTGTTCCATCAGATACTGCTTGTCCCGAAATGTGATCCTTCGACAAGGGCAGATAGAAACCTCGCCAGCATACGGCATGCATATCGGACGGAGGGTATCGGCGGAGAGGAGGCTGCTCGATATAGCGAGTGAGGCTCGGCCTCGTGGGACACAGAATGCAGCAAGTGGGTGGAGGTCCCAACAGTCGGCGCAGTACTTCCAGCGATCATTTTCGAGTTGGTGGAGTAGCTGAACCCGAGGGCATTCATCAACATTTGGTACCAAGGCTAGCCGATCTCCTCGCGGCAGGAGCTGAGGAAGTGATAGATTCTCTCCATCGAGGAAGCACTGGAACGCGGCGAGCAGAGACTTGCAAGTCAGTGCAAAGCAGATTTGAGCTGGTATTGGGAGGAATGCGATGATGAGTTGAAATATCTCATGGGGGATTTTTTGGATGCCGCTTATGGCGCTGTGGCCGCTGGTCTTATTCTTTCGATTCTTTGGTAGTCGAACCTTTGGTAGTTTGGGACGAAAGCGAGCCAACGCATGTCGAACGCGGCGACGAAAGGAAAATGGACGCATCCTGGTCAACAAATGGGAAAATCACGTGTTGTGGCGAATATGGAGAGCACGTGTTGTGGCGATTGTAAATTGTGGCGCAGCAGTGATGAAAAAGATGCGATTGTGGATTGTGGCGCAGCAATGATGGAGAAGATGCGATTGTGGATTTTGGAGCCTCAGGCAGGTCATATGCGCGCAACGCAGTGCATCCACCTGACCATCTTCCCAACAGCAACTCTCATCTCAACCCACATGGCATACCTCTACATAGCCACCAAGTGACCAAACAGCGGCAAGCCCAGCTGCCCATGAGGCATGAACTATTCAAACATGCCTGAGATACCCGTCACTGGTTCATTCAACAGCAGAATTCGCTTGCATCTGTTCTCACATACACATGGACGCGGCTCCCTGCAGATCTCACTCCAATTGTTCATCGACATGCAGATGTCGGAATCTGCTGAAAATCCATATCTACATATCAGAGTTTATCCTCGTCTAGCGAGTTCGATTCAACCCGAAAATCCTTCCACATCTAAATTCCATCCGGTGGGACCTCGTTCGGCGCCAGCTCGATAACCGAATGTCCATCATCGTCACTCCACCTCGAGCGGACGGTGAGATTCTGAGATTTCTGAGATCTAGTGGGTGAAGTGATCTTACTCTTATTGGAGCCCATATCCATGCGAGTAAGAGAATACTCTCTCACTGAGCGCTTCTTCGCACTAAACTCTCCGGTATGTGTTGCCGTCCCGCGGCCAGACGAGCCTAGCCAGCTACCAGGTATCACGGCGGAGAAAACGCGGCGGAGGAGGGGGAGATTTGCCGCGACAATGGCGAGTTGCTGTTCGATGATACTCCACATCAGTGGGATGGGAAGAGTCCATGTGACATCGTTGAAGTCAACGTGCATGAGACTGACCACGCGCACCATGCTGATTGCGCTGACACTGTTTTTGGAGGGGTGTTAGAGTTTGTATCTGTAACAGCGACTGGGATACAGCCACAGTTTCACTTACAAGAGTCCCAGTGAGAATGCCATCGACAAACCGAGCTTCCGTCCCATCGGAAGTTGCAACTTCCAAATATAGGGGATTGGAAGCGACATGACCATGAAATCGGTGACCATGTTGAGGACTCCTGCAACCACGAAGGCTGCATTACGGTTGCCACATCCACCACCCGGTAGCATCGGGTTCCAGTTGAATGCGATGGGGTGGCAGATGAGGAAGGACTCGAGGATGATACTCAACGCCCACGCCCAAACAATGGCACCAGTTACGTAAATGGCAACCCGCATGCTGGCCTTTGTGCCGAAAAGCTTATGATAAAGGACCATCATAGAGGTCTTGACAAGCCCGAGAGCAGATCCATAGAGAATCTGGCAGACTATGATCATCTAAACGACGACATGGTGAGCTTCCTTGAAGGATCTCCGAGGTCAGTTGCCTTGCTCATACCTTCATATTGAATTCAATGTCTGGAAATGCGACGACACTTGCGTGCAATCCAACGCCCCCTTTTGTGACCACTAATTCAGATACTTGTTAACATTGACTCTTCTTCCACTTCAGAATGGCCCCATACTCAATATTACAACGACAGTGCACGTCAGCACCAAGGTCTGTTTCCAAGGTTGGCTTCGTCAGTCACGTCCCACACGTTCAACTGAATGAACATACCGTTGCTATGATCATACAATGGTCATCCCAACCTAAGCTGATGTTTCTCATTCTCCGTGACGTGATCCGAAGAACTGACGATACCAAGGCAAGAGCCCCAAAGGCGATCATCACGATGACAATGTCTCGGCCATCTTTTGCTCGCAGTGCATAATCGCCCATGGTGCCGTTCTTTGTCACGCTCTTGTCAGAGTGCGCTGCTCAGAAGCGTCTGTCAACTTGGCCATCTATGTAGGATGAAGAAACAATAGAGAAAGCGGTGCTCCACGAGGAGGCAGTACTAACATGGTGCACATCTTTCATCCTTCATCCTTCAAGAAAATCCTAGCCAAAACCGGTTAATCTCTATGTGCTTGACAATACCTGTATACATGGATATACCGTCTAGCGCTTACCTAGGCACTATCTACCGCCACATGCAGCATACCTACAGCAACAACGTCGATTACCCAGTGGGGCCAATAACTAGATCGGGCTCCATGGCTGAGTGGGGCCGTGCCGTGCCGTGTCCCTAACCAGAACCAAAAGAGGGGCCTTGGCAAATCTCGTCTAACACATACCCATGTCTAGCCCGAATCCTACCCTCAGGATCTGCACCACTGGTGTTTCGCGCACAAATGACGAAGGCTTTGATTCCGCCCTATTGCTTTTACCGAGCACTTGGCGCAAGCGGATGATTCCAACCAATGCAACCATTGACAATATAATGCCTATGTTAACCCTGGGCACATGCAGGCCTACATCTCTACTCGGCCGCCTCTATCCCGTTATGCAGCACCGGCTCATTGCCATCTCCGCGCCGGTCCGGCGGTCCTCTTGAGCGGCAATCAGATTGGCTAGCAATGCCTAGCCTCTAGTAGCTCCTGGCCCCTGGGGCCATTTCTGAGCAAGCAACTCAGGGGCATAGTTAATAGTTGAGTGAATTATGCACCTCGATATTGAAGGGTTGAACCCCTGCAAGCTTCTGTGTTGCGATTTCTTCATTTGAACTCGCGACCAGGTAACATCCCCGAGCGGTTTTGCTTTTTCGTTTCTCTTGTTCTTTCCCCTGCGTATGCACGTTGTATACCGCTTGCATAATCAGCCATGGCATCTTTCGATACTGAGTCATCTGTCGGGCTCGAGAACGCCGCTTACGAGTTTGTAATTGTTGGAGGAGGTACTGCTGGTCTGGTGGTTGCCAATCGGCTCACGGAGAACCCCAATGTCCGGGTTCTTGTCTTGGAAGCTGGCACCAATCGCCTCAATGACCCGCGGATTGTTGTTCCCGGTTTAGGGCCGGCAACATTCGAAGACGAGGACTTTGACTGGAATTTTCGGTCTACTCCCCAGGTAATTTTTGCTCCTTTGCTCAATGGTCTACCATCCAGGGCCAGGGGTCAAAAGCTTTAGCCCCTAGCCTTTGCTAATAGGTATAAATCAGATACAACTCAATGACCGCAGACTCTTAGCTAACAAGGGTCGTACGCTGGGTGGCTCCTCGGCCATCAATTTAGGAATGGTGATCTACCCGTCCCGTTCCGGATTCAATGCCTGGGAAACCTTGGGCAACCCCGGCTGGGGCTGGGACGGGATGTCCCGTTATGTCCGCAAGTTCCACACGGCTGCAGGCCCATCAATTGAAAACCGTGAGTTCTTCAAGGGGATGGTGCACGACCAGAAGGACCAGGGCAGCTCAGGTCCCGTTCAGGTCTCATTCGGAGACCAGTACATGCCATACCATGCGGCTTGGATGGACGCCTTCAAGGCCCTCGGATACCCGCAGGACGAAGACCCTATCAATGGCGCCTGCACTGGTCCCTTTGTATGCCCTGGTGCCATCGATCCCGCAACCCACACCAGAAGTCATTCGGCGGCCGCGTATTTGACGCCGGATGTCCAGGCTCGCTCCAACCTGCGGGTTGTGACGGGAGCCCTGGTTGAGAAGCTTGTCTTGGAGAAGAAGAACGACGAGGAGAATGCCGTTGCTACAGGTGTTCAATTCAGTAAGGGCTCCGACGTGTACACCGTTAAGGTCAATAAGGAGGTTATCCTCGCAGCTGGAACGACACAGTCCTCGCAGATTCTAGAGCTATCTGGCGTTGGAGATGAGAATATTCTCCAATCCCACGGCATCCAAACAATCATCAGCAACCCCGGTGTTGGCGAGAACCTCCAAGATCACGGCGTTGTGTCCTTTGGCTATGAAGTCGCAGATGGTATGCCGTCAGGCGACATGGCCCGCGACCCTGTAGTCGCTGGTGCCGCAATGGCCACCTACCAAAGGGATGGCTCGGGACCCCTCGGAATGGTGCCCCTGGTTTCAGCGTTCATGCCACTTGTCGAAACTTCCGATGATGAGCGGAAGAACTTGCTACAACAGCTCCAAGCATCACTAGACAGCCCCGACGTTTCGCGGACCCACAAGAAGCAATACAAAGCCTTGCAGACCATGCTGCAAAATCCCGACGAGCCAACCGCTCAATATATCCTTGCACCCTTCCAGCTTCTCCCACGTGAGGGAGAAAACGCCAAGCGTCTGTTTGGTCTCGGACATCCGGGATTCTTCATCAGTCTTGTTTCTCTGCTCAGTTACCCGCTCTCGCGTGGCTCCGTCCACATTCAATCTTCTGATCCCAAGGCTGCACCACTGATTGACCACGGGATCCTCCGTCACCCGGTCGATCTGGAGATGCATGCCCGACACAGCATGTGGATGGACAAGATTGCTGAGACGGAGCCGCTGGCGTCGCTTCTAAAGAAGGGCGGCGAGCGTCTGCACACACCGGAGCCTCTGGATGACTTGGAGAAGGCAAAAGAGCTGTGCAAAGAGCTCGTCCTGTCTATGTACCACGTCAGTGGTACCTGCGCTATGATGCCGCGCGAAGATGGGGGTGTTGTTGATTCCCGCCTGAAGGTGTATGGCTCAACTAATATTCGGGTTGTTGATGCTAGTATATTCCCCTTGGAGCCGAGAGGAAATATCCAGGCGACGGTTTTTGCAGTTGCTGAGAAGGCGGCGGATATCATCAAGCAGGACTTGAGCTAGACGTTGGTGAAATGTGATAGATGTTACTTTCTGCTGTGATAGAAACCCTGATCGGCATTTGTAGATACCATCATACATTCATACTACCTGTGGAACCTGTCCACGACAGAGGATCATTGTTCATCGAATCATCATGAAATAACTATGGTCTCCTGAGGCTCAGCCTGGCTGACTCTCGTCAGAGTCAGGAGTCTCAGGAGTCAGGAGTCAGATGGCGATCATGTCACTAGTAAGGCACCCAGGCCAAAATATGAGGCATTAAGGTGTCAACGCCAAGAAGAAGGCAAAATAACCTCACGTGCAGTCTATCAGGACTACGCGCTCTTACGATACTCCTTTCCTTGCCACTGTACTCAGATCAGCATGAGTGCCAGGGCATCCCCGAGAGCTACTTCATTGGCATTCTCCATATCTCCGAATTTCCGGTCAAACAGAAGGTTGCTGAGACTTTCATCAGCTGCAGCTCCCGCCATAACGAGGGCGTTTCATGGACCATTGCATTTAGGGTAATACTTCTCAATCCCTCAATTGACTATGGCAAATCTAAGAGCATCATACAGTTATGGAATAACCCCACCAAAGACCCAGGGTATGTATATACAACCGTTGAGGTCTCTCTTAAGCCCCTCGCCTGCTTATCGGCGTATCACCCCGGGGAAAGATGCAGTCCCGCAATTTTTCTTCTTCAATCTTACATTGCTTGCGCATTCCAAATCAGCAGAAATTAATATATAACAGTGTCATCTCGTACCCAATTGGCAACTGGACCTTCCACCAGAAATGGTCTATCGGGTTCAATAGCATCGTCGCATTTGATCCCGCGCATGAGGAATTTCTCCACTGCGCCAGTTGATTCCAATATGAACCTAAAGTACACCAGTCCAGATATCCACAGGGCTTTCATTGCCCTGGGAAGCAATGTCGGAGACCGAGTAGAAATGATTGAGCAAGCTCTTCTTGAATTGGACCGACTTGGTATCAAAGTGAAAAGAACAAGCTCACTGTTCGAAACTGCCCCAATGTATGTGCTTGATCAAGACCCATTTATCAATGGTGTATGCGAGGTATGTCGAGATCGACCATCAGATATCTTCTATATGCTAATATTCTCCAGGTCGAGACCACCCTTGCACCTCTGGATCTTTTGGACACTATCCAGTCCATTGAGATTGCACTGGGCAGAAAGAAGCTCATCGACAAGGGCCCACGCTCAATTGACTTGGACATCCTACTATATGACCAAGAAGTCTTCTCCCATGAGCGTCTCAACATCCCGCACAAGCTGATGCTGGAGCGAGACTTCGTATTGCGCCCTCTGAGCCAGTAAGCACCCAAAACCCCATGTATAAATGAGAGTCACAAAATTCGGAAATCTGACCAATAACCCACAGATTAATCCCCAATGAATACCCTCCGCTACCAGGAAGAGACACCCAAACATACAGTGCACATCTACAAGCCCTGCCACCGCCAAACCCAACCCCAGTCTCCACAACCCCAATCTCACCATCCTTCCCATCCCTGCACGCAACAGACCCTAAGCGCAGCACCCACATAATGGCAATCCTCAACCTAACCCCAGACTCCTTCTCCGACGGCGGCAAACACTCCCCGACAGACCTAACCTACATAACAAAAACAGTCCACGACTTCATCGCCGCCGGCGCAACAATCATCGACATCGGCGGCGAAAGCACCCGCCCAGGCTCAACACCCATAGGCGCAACAGAAGAAATCGCCCGCGTCGTCCCAGCCATCCGCCACATCCGCACCACCATCCCCGAAGCCGCAAACATCGCCATCAGCATCGACACCTACCGCGCCAGCGTCGCGGAAGCAGCCTGCGCCGCAGGTGCAGATATCGTCAACGATATCTCCGCCGGCCTCCTCGATCCGGACATGCTACCCACAGTCGCACGGCTGCGCAAGTCCATTATCCTGATGCACATGCGCGGTACGCCGCAGACCATGACGACCCTGCTAGACTACCCTGCCGGCGTTATCCCGGCGGTAGCTGCTGAACTGGGGTCGCGCATTGCGGCTGCGGAAGAGGCGGGGATCAGGCGGTGGCGCATTATTCTCGATCCTGGACTTGGGTTTGCGAAGGTCCAGCCGCATGATTTGGAGATCTTAAGGGAGTTGCCGAGGTTACGGGAAATGCCTGGACTTGAGTGTTTCCCGTGGTTGATGGGGCCGAGTCGGAAGAGATTTATTGGGCATCTTACTGGTGTCAAGACGCCGAGGGAGCGTGTTTGGGGTACGGCTGCTACTGTCTCGGCTAGTGTGGCTGGTGGGGCGGATATTGTTCGTGTTCATGATGTCCGGGAGATGTGGCAGGTTGCGAAGGTTGCGGATGCTATCTATCGCGTTTGAGATGTTCCAATCTGACCATGTCGGATAATTTATACCTCGGTCGGTTTAGCCGGGGTATGTATATTGGGGCTTTTTTGTATATTCAACACCTGAGTGTGACTTGTACTAGATGTACTGTGTTCTCTTCATTCATCATGGAGTTATTGTCGAGCGGTAGGTACCAGACTCGTGTAAAGGGAGTTAAAGCTATGCGTCAAATTCTTTTGTCTATAATATCAAATGAATTTCTCGATTATCTTAAACCATGTGAACGAAATAAGCAAAACATTGAACGTCCCTTAGGTCATCCTGGATTGCTGTGCAGGAAACGAAGAAACAGAAAACGAAGATCCTTGATCACGCGCCAGATTGCGATTCACGATAATATAAGACCCAAATTCTTGGCCAGTTGCTGAGTGCAAGATTTTCGGATGAAGAATATTGTCAAGAGCGGGGAGAAGCGTAAGGGCAGTCAAAGGAAAATGTGGCTTGCTAAGGTAGTTGAAGTGATGGAAGGCAAATTAATCAGTAGACATGATCCTATAATCACTGGCCTAGTTGTTCAGGTAGTTACGGATAGCACCTGATTGAATTCGGTCAGCAAGGAGTATTAACCAGCGGCAATTATAGTAGCTCACCTTGTAGCTTAGTAGCACCTTCGCCTACAAGCTGCGACAAGTTCTCCAGATCGTCTCCAGCAGTGATACCAAATCGGCGGATGAAGTCCTTAGCAGCAACCTCCATATCACCGTAACCGTCGTCAAGCGAACTGATCTCGTCTTCGGGCCGGCCGAAGTAGGAGTTGCTGGAGATGGAGGTGGCGCTATCAAATTGGCGGAGACGTTCCTTAGCCTCCGACTGAGCGGCAGGATCGAATCGATCCCGCCCGAAGAACTCATCAGATGATATACCCTTTTGAGTGCCAAAACGGGTCCTGGTCTGGGCAAGTTCCGCTTCTATGTGACATGTCAGCATATTCTCGACGAAAGGATACGACAAAGGGATATTTACCATCAGCAGGGTTGGGCTTGGCAGGACCAATGGAACCAAAGCCGGGCTTCTTGGGGGCAGGGGGCTTCGAAACCTGGCCGAAGCCGAGTCTGTTCATGCCCATGCCTAGCCGCTCAACATCACTTGTGTTACGCTCATGAGACTTGCCAGCAGGGCTGACTGGGATGGGAGAGGCAATCGGGGTGGCAGCGGCAGCAGTCGCCGCCTTCTTGGCATCAGCTTCCGCCTGCTCGGCCTCAGGGTCATAGCCAAGCTTTTCAATGCGCTCGGCCTCTTCCTTGGCCTTGCGCTCCGCTTCGTCGAAATCAATGATATCTGCGGCACCGAGTTTCTTAGCCCCGAGCTTGGGTGTCTTCTTAGCACCAAGAAGGCTGCCCTTCTTCGCAGATGTAGCTGTAGAAGTCTTCCGAGTCACACTGGTTGGTCGAATAGCAGTTGGCGCGGGAGAGGCGCTCTTCTCTTCAGAAGCAGACAGGGGAGATTTCGAGCGAGATCCATTGGCACCGGTTCCGGCGTTGAGGAAAGGAGAGCCGGTGCGACTGACAACGGGGGGCGTGCTAGTGCGCGATGGGGGATTGCTCGGACGCTTGATCGAGGGTTTGTCCCAGGAGGAAAAGAAGTCGTCGTCGGCGTCGCCAGCAGGGGTGCTTGATCCATCTGAGGGAGTGCCAGCCGGGAGATCTGTAATTACGACTTCGTCGGGGTATCTGAAAAAAAAGCAACAATGCCAGTCAGCACTTGGCCATAACAAGTTCCATCGAGGTAACGGAATCCACTGACTGTTGCGCATCCAGCGCGGCGCGCCTCTTGAGTTCCTCCTTGTACTTGACTGCCGCATTGCAAGTGTACTTGACCTTGGTGTCCTTACTCGCCAGCGCAGCGGAACCACCGTGTGATTGGAAATACTTGGTTGCGGACTCATTACCGCCAACCTTCATCACCCGCAGCTGTTCCCATTGCCATTCTGTATGTCGTGTCAGCTTTGCTCTACTGACACATTCACCATAGAGAGGGATTGAGCCGCGGGATACATACGGTCGAGGTTTGTTGATCGGACAAAGGAGATGTGCACACCGAGGTTACGGTGGTGTGCCGAGCAATCAAGGCACAAGTAAATACCGAATGGAACTGAGGACCATGTCGGGTTCTTACTGCCGCAGTCGAAGCATACCTGCAAGGAATAGAAATATCAGATTCGAGTGCCACAATCACACAGTCGGGTGTATGGGCGCGGGGTGTGCGCACCTTGTTTGCGGGCTTCAGCTTGATCTTCTCAAAGATCTTTTGAGACTGCGCCTTCGAGGCACTCATGATGATCCTGAGGAGATATCAATGGGTAAAGGACAATAAAAGAAAAAGGGGCGGTTGAGTGTGAATGGGAAAGCTAAGGATAAGGCGAAAACGGAAGCACCCCCAGTCCGAACGGCGAACGTGGACACTCAAGACCCTGTGCCTGTTGTATGACGATTACAACGCCTCCCATTTGGCTGGGCCCTCAGTAGCCATCGGCTGTACTGTAATACGGTACTGTCATATTCTCGAAATATCCCGTCGCACGTGATGCGCGTATGAAGATCGCCGATGGCGACGGAGTTAATCGCGCTTAAGTATCCGACTTTAGTACGCCAACTTGTGCCAAAAGAAGATCATTTGTGACTCCTTCACGATGAGTTCTATTCAACTACGTGCTCTTCCTCGTGCGACACCCGTGTCCCTACTCCTCCGACCCTCTCTCCGCACACAGACCACTCGGCTGTATGCCACGCAAAGCAACATAGGCGGCGGGTCACAGCCTGCATCCACAAGAAAGAAGAGCATTACAGTCTTATCAGACGACGGACGAGTTCAATGGGGGGATTTGAGCAGAGGGGAGAAGGTTGCGCGGACAACACAACAGTCCTTCAACTTCCTCATTGTCCTGGCCGGAGCAGTACTGACGGTAGGTCCCGCGTTTAATCCTAAAGGTCTGGTGACTGAATGCTGACTATAAACTGAATAGGGTGGAGTTTTCACACTTTTCTACCTCGAGGTAGTATCACCGAACAGCCGCACATGGCAATTCGAGACGGCAGTAGGGCGCATCAAAGACGACCCCGAGTGTATAAAATTGCTGGGAGACCGAAGAGAGATAAAGGCATATGGTGAGGCGACAGGGAGCCGTTGGTCGCGGAACAGGCCCATCGCGTGAGTTCTCACTACTGTGCGCTCTTTGCTCAGATCGAAATTCTGACAATCACTAGATCAACGACAGAAAAGGATCGATTGGGCCGTGAGCATCTTCGCATGCACTTCCATGTATGACCCAATCTCCCACCAAGTAGAGATTCATATCCTAACCCTGATGTCTAGGTCGAGGGTCCCCTCAACTCCGGTGTGGTTGTTGTGCACATGATGAAGCCCTTGGACAAGAGCAACTTCGAGTACCAGCTTCTCGCTCTAGATGTGAAAGGACATCCTCGCGTCGTCCTCGAGAAAGCCTCGGAGAAGCCTAATGTGACTAGCGCCTTGAAGCTATTCGGTATCCAGTGGCGCTGATCCGGTGTGCTGCTAACTTATCATGATACCCTTGCACCTCCAACAATGAGGTTCTACGCCTTCTCTATGATGAGCACCCGAACTTCCACGCAGTCGGAAGCTCCATTCTCTGTGTGCGTCCCAGGCTGACATTGCCACTTGGACAACATCTCTGTACTCTATAAACGGGCGGCTAGTCGTCTTCTCGGGCTCTGACAATAGCCCGAAAATTGTATCATATTTCACGGGACTCAAACTTCAATGAAAGTTGAGGTCCCGGCTTTCTAGCAGATCAAGCACCTGATCAACATGTCTAGGTATCCCGACTGGTCTGAAGTAGAGGGCCACAATGGACTCAACCTTGGAATAACGTTGTAGCATATGCAAAATTTATTTTGGAGACATTGAAATGAAACCACATAACCCCATAACCATCTAAACCAAAAGCACACCCAGACCTGGTGCCATGATCAAATCTATACAACACGAGGCCCATCAATGATGTTCTTAGCCTCCTCAGATCTCCACCAACTCTTGCCCTCCTTGCCAGGGTATTCGAAAGCATCCATACTATCCGCCTTCATCTCGACACTGTACCCAGGCTCCATAGGAGTGACATAGTAACCATCCTTAACACTAGACGGGTGAACAAAGTGCTCATGAAGATGATCCACGTATTCAAGAACACTCTTCTTGCCCGTAACAACGACGTAGTCGATTGTACTCAGATGCTGCGTGTACTCAGGCAAACCAACACCACCAGAGTGCGGCACAATCGGCACTCCGAACTTGCGCGCCAACAAGAGGATCGCCAGGACCTCGTTCACGCCGCCAACACGGCAGGCATCGGGCTGGAGAACAGTCAAGGCGCCGGCTTGCAGCAGCTGTTTGAAGATCACGCGGTTCTGGCACATCTCGCCAGTGGCGACGCCGACGGGGCCGTGGGGTGTATTGGCCAGGGCCTTGCGGATGGCGGCGTGGCCGAGAATGTCGTCGGGGGAGGTGGGCTCTTCGATGAACCAGGGCTTGAACTCTGCGAGCTCTTGCATCCACGTGATTGCCTCGGGAACGGACCAAACCTATTGTTGATCTGCGTGTTAGACTGGAGTGGAAGGTGCGATCAAGCCCGGGAAGGAACGTACCTGGTTGGCATCGACCATCAGAATATTTCCCCGGTCATATCCAATAGCCTCACGTGCGATTCTCAATCGAGTCTTGTCATCCTCCAGGTCTCCACCGACCTTAAGCTTGAAATGTCTGTATCCCTGTGCGACACTCTCGTCCAGCAATAACTTGAGCTTATCCTTGCTGTATCCGAGCCAGCCAGCACTGGTGGTATAAGCAGGGACAGCCTTGCTAGCTTCAGCTTCCTTGATGCGCTCCTGCTTACCAGCCTCAACCTCCTTCAACAGACTTATGGCCTCTTCAGGAGTGATAGCATCCGTGATATAACGGAAGTCGATGCAACGCACAAACTCCTCGGGAGTCATATCAGCAACAATGCGCCAGACAGGCTTTCCAAGCGTCTTGGCCCACAGATCCCAGAGGGCATTGACAACGGCACCAAGAGCGAGGTGCATGACGCCCTTCTCGGGGCCGATCCAGCGCAGCTGGCTGTCGGAGACGAGGTACCGCCAGGTCTTGCCCCAGTCTGCCGTTAACTCATCAAGGTTCTTGCCCACCACCATCGGGGCGAGCAGAGAGATTGCGGCGCAGACAATCTCGTTTCCGCGGCCGATTGTGAATGTCTATAGGTCTTGGGTTAAACGTGATGTTGTTAAGTGGGTTATGCTGCGACGTACCATGCCATGTCCGGTGTATTCCGAGTCTGTGGTGATGATACAGTAGGCGGAGGAGTAGTCACCTGCCGCATTCATGGCATCTGAACCGGTCTTATCGAGCGAGGTCTTCAGGCCACATGTCAGAATTCAGTACACGATGTATAGATCGGAGGGCAGTGTCGGAGGAGCAACATTGACGTACCGGGAACCTCACGTCCCGCGTGGTGAAGCCAGTAATAGTAACCATTGTGAATGATTCTTTCTTGTGGTGATAGGTATGAGATTTTCTGTCAATGTCGAACTTGTAAGAACCGGGTCAGGTCAATTCCAGCAAAGCGCGGTGGCTGATCTCAGAATGCGGGGTGTATAATGCTTCGTAGTATAGAGTCTCGGATACAGTAGTCCACTTTTTAACGCAGCAACAATGCACAAAGGGAAGACTGAAGAGTCTGAGAAGGAGAATGGCAATGAGAAATTAATTTCACAACTCCAAGGACTCCAGCCGGTATATACAGCAAAGAAACTTCCCCGCGCCGTCACCAGTTTATCCCGCGTGGTCCCTCATTCTATGGAATTACCGCCGACCCGCTCGTATTGGTGGAGAATCACAGTCGCCGGGAAAATATGTATTTCCACCAATCAGAGCGCAGGAACTATACGCGGAGTTACTCCGTGATTTGCCCTGATGTGGGGTGGTGTTTACTCCGAATACTGCGTAGAGGGAAAGTTTGGAGGGGAACTGAGTACACAGTCCATTTAGCTGTCATATTGTGCATACGCTGGCTACATGAGTTTTGTATATGGTTTAGGAACATACACAGCGTCCCATGATTCAAATGTAGCCTTATTACGAGGACAGGCCTCGTTTCTCGCTCTCGGAGCAGAAAATGATCATCCGCCAAAGCTTGCGAACAAGGACTTCGGCCTCTTCGTCCAGGGCCTAGGTGATCCTAGTTAGTAGATTGCCTCACAGAATAGAAGTAACAGATACTCACCTCTTCCAATTGCTCCACCAATTCCTGAGGCGAACCACGCTTTCGGACATGTTCCTCGACCACATCCACAAGCATTTGCTCTTGCACTCCAAGGTACTCGACGATCTTCTTCTCCACGAATGGCTTGAGTTGGTCACTGATGACGGCGTCATCCACAAATTCCCATTTGACTTGCCATCCCCAGAGGCCTTCCTTCTCGACCGGGATCTCTGCAGCGAGTTGACGGGCAGCCTGGGCACGCTCCTCGTCGGTGAGACCTGCAGCCTCGGCGGCAGAATCGAATTTGATCGGGATAAGTTGGCGACGGGTCGCTTCGGCAGGCTCCTCCTCGTCTTCCAGTAGGCCTTCCACTTCGGCCACTGTGCGGCGACTGGTTGCGGCCTGAGCCTTCTGCGCGGCGGCTCCAAGGGAGAGCTTGAAGCGTTGAGGTTCACGAGGAGCTTCTGGAACACGTGTCTCGAGCTCCTTTGCCTGTTGAGCAAGGAAATCATCAGCCATACCACGAGCCTGCTCTTGTCGCTTTACAGATTGCGCGAGTTCGCGTTCCTCAGCGGCGCGATCGGCATCGTCCATCTTGGCCTCACGGAGACGGAAGCTCTCACGGCTTCGGAGCCAGGCGCCACGATCTGCATAGTATTCAGCCACCTTGCGGCTCTGTTCAGTATCGTCGTTCCAAGCAGCAAGTCGTGCTTCCATCTCATCGTGCGCAGCTTTCAACTTGTCATCTTCTTCGTCCTCGCGCTTCTTCTCTCTCTCTAGAGCAGCAGTTCGGCTGCGCTCCCGGTTAAGCCAGCGGCGCTCTTGGTCTGCAAATTGCTTTGCGTCCTCTGCCTCCAGCCGCTCCTTTCGGCGCCGTTCGATCTCCTCGTCGCTGGCATCAGAGTCCTCGTCTTTGGCAGAGGCACCGTTGAGGGTTCCGCCATTGACAAAGGACACTCCCTGCTGGTAGTCCCTGGGAATCTGCACTCCAAAGGCCTTTGGACCAGAAGGTGCGTTCGGCACGTGACGATCCCGGGGGCCCAATGGTATACCGTTAGTACCGGCAGCAGGCCCGAGAGGAGCGGACACTGGAGGCGAAGCAAGTCGGTTGATCCGAGAGTTCGAGTTGCGCGCACGCTCCATAGACTCAATTTCTTCTTCGCGTCGGAGACGCTCGATATCACGGCGGTTGCTGCGTTCACGGAACGCTGCAATCTCCTTGGCCACATTGGCGCGCATCTCGGGGGGAATATCGGCTAGCTCATCCTCCATTGCGATGGGAATAGTCACGACTTCACCTTCCGGGGCAGCGGCGTCTCTCATCTCAACGTTGCCGTCCGCATCAAGACCCGACACATCCTCCTTTTTGACAGGAACCGCGGGATGGAAAAGCTCCGACAGGACCTTATTGAGATTAGTGCGGGCAGCGTCGAAACGTGCTTGGCGTTCCTCGGGGTCTTGCTCGGCGCGGCGAGACTCGAATTGCTCCAGATAAGTGAGCGTACCGTCGTCAACAATAACCTATGGGAAAGATCAGTATTCGGTTTCTATGACAATCGGAAAGTAGGTAGGCAACGCACCAAAAGCGGACTCTTTTCGACCTCATGTTCCTCTTCACCTTCGGCGAGGGGCATCTGTCTCTTGACTGGCACTTCCACATTTTTCAATGTCTCAATTGCAATTTCAAGGCTCTCGGCGTCGTCGTACTCGGCGAAGCCAAATCGGCAAGGTTTCTCGTCGGCATCTGTAGCACGAATCCAGCGGCGCAGAACACCAGCGGCGCGGAGGATACGCTCAATTCCATCATCACCACCGACGCCCTCTGTAATGCCACCGACGAAAAGGGTACGCGCAATCTCCTCACGCGTAGGAGGCTGCAGCTGCATCATATCGCGACCATGGTGGCGCTGGGAATCCATCCCCATCGACCCCAGACCAGCGCGACGACCGGGACCATCCGATGGCCGGTCCCGACCGCTCTCTTGAGCTGCAGGCTTGGCCGGGCCCGAAGTACCCAAACGGATCACGGGAGCAGAGAAGTTGATGTTTGGCATATTTGCAGGCGGTTGAAAGTTGGGCGGGAAGCCCCCTGGACGCCCGGGCTGGTTGTTGGTTTGTTGCATGCCTGGGGGAGCACCGGTGCCTGGAGCTGCCATCCCTGGAGGAGGTGCTGAAGCTAGTCAGTCTAAATTGCAAAGGATATTCTCGTTGGGGTACCAAACTTACCCATGCCGGGAGGCGCGCCATACGCGCCATAGTCAGGAGCAGGAGCGTGTCCATAAAGACCCGGAGCTGGACAATCGTCAGCTTTCTCGGGTCACTGGTATCATTCATCGTTCAGGGGGAAGTACTCACGTTGATAAGGGTTATACATTTCGAGTTGACCTTACCACGCGTGTTGAGAAAGTTCGGTAGGTTGGTCAAAAGCTCAATCCAAATTGGCTTGGCCTACAATTCCACTTGCCAGCGAAAAACCAAGGGCGGTCAAGAAGGCGGTAAAATGGAGCTGAGGCGGCCCGTGCACAGCCAGTATTTAGCCGTTCATCTCAACTGTCTCATGACCTTCTGGCTTCTGCGTACAATTTTAAAAGGTGCCCATTGCTGCGACTCTTTCTTTTCGATTTCGTACCAGAATTTATATAGCTACATCCAATTGCACATTGGTTACGAACAAGTAGGAGCTTCTGAACATCTCCACAGTCCGAGGGGCGGTTCTATGGGGTTCTAGGGCACTTGCGTAATGTATAGACATCCAAGTTTGAACCAGTTTTGGCCAGTGTCTTCACCGGATGCCCACCATTGCAATTGGCTTCCTTGAGAATCTGCCCACACAGTATAAAGTTGTACTTCATTCAGTTTCCAAATGTCCCATCAAGTCTTTTAGAGCCAACATGGTCTGGGCCTGAAATAGTGACTAACTGGTGCTCCCGGTAAACCTATGCGGTATAATGGGAGGATCACAGCCTGACAGGGGATAAACAGCAGGTTAAAAGTGTTAAAAGCGGTAGAATTAAACATTTTAAAAATAAATAAAACAGCCAAATTAAAGCCGAATGCGGCAATGATGATGTTGCCCCACGAGTCACGACCCCCCTCGGACCCCAACGAGCCGGCCGCAACTGACGCCATTCAGTTTCTTGCTACTTTTTGCTTCTTCACTCTTTTTAATCCCTTCATCCAGCTTATACATGTACGTTCTAAATATCTCCTAAACATTGCGCTTGCTTTTGATTGCCTTTCCCTTCATCTGCTTTACCCCGCGCTAATCCGACCACAGAACCCCTCCACCATCATCATCATGCCTGGTTTCTCCCAGACCAGCGATCTGCCTGCCTGGCAGGAGCTCCAGGAGCACCACACCACCGTGGGGCGCAACCTCGTTCTGAAGGATCAATTCCAGAGGGACCCCAAGCGCTTCGAGAAGCTCAGCCACAAGTTCGCCAACACGGTAGACAACACGGAGATCCTCTTCGATTTCTCCAAGAACTTCCTGACCCAGGAGACCGTCTCTCTCTTGGTGAAGCTTGCTAAGGAGGCCAAGGTTGAGGAGCTCCGTGATGCCATGTTCCGTGGTGAGCACATTAACTTCACTGAGGACCGCGCTGTCTACCACGCTGCTCTGCGCAATGTCGCCAATGAGCCCATGCAGGTGGACGGCAAGAGTGTGGTTGAGGAAGTCAACTCTGTCCTTGAGCATATGAAGGAGTTCTCCGAGCAGGTCCGTAGCGGCGAGTGGAAGGGTTACACCGGCAAGAAGATCAACACCATTGTCAACATTGGTATCGGTGGTTCCGATCTGTAAGCTTTCCTGTCCCCGTTTGATTCCGAGTCATAGCTGACATTAGCATCTAGTGGCCCTGTCATGGTCACTGAGGCCCTCAAACCCTACGGCCACCCCGACCTCAAGCTACACTTCGTCTCTAACATTGACGGTACCCATATCGCTGAGGCGCTCAAGAACTCTGATCCCGAGACTACCCTTTTCTTGATCGCCTCCAAGACCTTCACCACCGCCGAGACCACCACCAATGCCAACACCGCTAAGTCTTGGTTCCTCCAGACCGCCAAAGATGAGGCACACATCGCGAAGCACTTCGTGGCTCTTTCCACCAATGAGGCCGAGGTCACCAAGTTTGGTATTGACGCCAAGAACATGTTTGGATTCGCGTCTTGGGTCGGTGGCCGTTACTCCGTCTGGAGTGCCATTGGACTGTCTGTCGCTCTGTACATTGGTTACGACAACTTCCACCAGTTCCTGGCAGGCGCGCAGGCCATGGACAAGCACTTCCGGGAGACCCCCCTTGAGAAGAACATTCCCGCTCTCGGTGGTTTGCTGAGTGTCTGGTACAGCGACTTCTTTGGCGCCCAGACCCACCTGGTTGCTCCCTTCGACCAGTACCTCCACCGCTTCCCCGCTTACCTACAGCAGCTGTCTATGGAGAGCAACGGTAAGGCTATCACCCGCACCGGTGAATACGTCAAGTACACCACCGGTCCCATTCTGTTCGGTGAGCCTGCCACCAACGCGCAGCACAGCTTCTTCCAGCTCCTGCACCAGGGTACCAAGCTCATCCCGGCCGACTTCTTGATGGCCGCTGAGTCCCACAACCCTGTTGAGGGTGGCAAGCACCAGCGCATGCTGGCTGCCAACTTCCTCGCCCAGTCCGAGGCTCTGATGGTTGGCAAGACCCCTGCTCAGGTCAAGGCCGAGGGCGCTGCTGAGGAGCTTGTTTCTCACAAGACCTTCCTGGGTAACCGTCCCACCACCTCTATTCTGGCCCAGAAGATCACACCGTCCACCCTGGGTGCTCTGATCACCTACTATGAGCATGTCACCTTCACGGAGGGTGCCGTCTGGAACATCAACTCCTTCGACCAGTGGGGTGTTGAGCTGGGCAAGGCCCTCGCTAAGAACATCCAGAGCGAACTGGAGACCTCGGGCGCGGGTGCTGACCACGATAGCTCCACCAGCGGTCTGTTGCTTGCTTTCAAGGAGAAGGCCAAGCTGGCTTAAATATTTTGGCCTTAATTGAAGGACCGTGTGCACTTTTGATGAGCGACGATTCTCCACATATTATTTACGTGTATTGAAAAGCAATGAATGATTCTCACTTTTGTCACTTTCCTTCGAAGCGATATCGTAGAATCTAGGAAAATATGCGTTAGACATTAGCAATCGTAGGTTGTTCGGGCTTTACTGTCTACTTTGTCCGCAGTACTGTGTAGGCTGGAGATGTTGCCACCAAGGCTGTGGCGTAGTAAGGGCGACCTATTCTCGGGACCCACTTGGCCGCAACCCAGGGTCCCAGACTCCGCAACGCCGCGGTCGAACTCCGTCCTTGACCCCTGCGCAACCCTCGAACTTCCAACCTTGCCGACGCGGGGCGGTGTTTCTTCTATACTTATCCGAGAGCAAAAATGGTCTCGTCACGCCAATTGAGCACATCATCCGCAGCAGTGGCTCTGCTGTCTTGTGCCGCCTTGTTTCCAACCGGCGCACTTGCGAGTAGGAGTGGTAATAACGAAGGATACAAACTTCGAGAAGACATCCCAGTATCATGTCTGAACCGAACAACGTTAGTATTTCCTCCAATTGATCTTTATACCATCGTTAACCTTTAATTCTCTAAAGGGAAGGAGAACATGTAAGCGCCATCAGTCCACCCACCGTCTCATGACACGCAGACAACAGCGCAGACCACAAGAAGGACACACAGCTAATAGCAAATCCGCAACCCAGGTCACCGACAGTCTCGGCAAACTCCAATACGTCCCCTTCGTGACCTGCAATGAAACCGCCCGCCCTCTCTCCCTCCACTACGGCTTCTCCGAAACAATCACATGCACCATCGCCTCCCTATCCGACGAGCTTTACCACCTCCTCGAGTTCTACGTCCACTCAGATGTCCCAATGACCTGCCGAGTTCCCACAGCACCCCTAACACAATCCGCCGGTACACCAGAGCACACCGAGAAAGACCCGGACCAGAAGTCTGGAGAAGCAGACTCCCTCTCCGCACTAGCTGACAACGGACCTCCCTTCACGCCGTTCACAATTGCACTGCAAGGCACCCTCCAGCTGAGCCATCTGCACATCTGGACGGACATGAACGTCGTCATGCACAACATGGCCTCAGACGCGGATGCCGAGCGGACAGACGGTATCCAGTCTGGACAGCCTGGGTTTACCGTCGGCGGTGTCGCGTACTCAACCCCGGAGTTCGACAATACCGGCAAGAACCCCAAGCTTGATGCGGATGAGGAGGCTGTTGCTCTTGCCCAGGCGGCGCGCGAGCCGTGGACGGCTGGACACGGTACGAAGGTTGTGCGCGGCGAGCCGCTTACTTTCTCGTTCCATGTTGCGTGGCTGGAGGGCGGTGCGAGCATTGGGTGGCCGGTGCGACCTGCTTCTGAGTCTTGGTTGGCGTTGGCGACTGGGTCTGGGAAGGGCTCGGGGTCTTTCTTTTCCAAGCTGGTGTTCTTTGTTATGGCGGCTTCTGTTGGCGCTTTGGTTGCGCTGTTCTGGCAGCGCAATGCTGGGCGTGGTAGGCCTGCTTGGCATGGTGATGGGCTTTTAGGGGGTACACCGGCGCGTGGATCGAAGAGTCCTGTTACTTTTGGTAATGGAGGGAAGATTAATGGGTACGGTGGTTACTCTTCCCCTGCTAATGGGGCTGGGAACGGGGTTGGAGGCGGGTATGGGTTTGCAAGCGGGAAGAAGGATTGATTTTCTACATGAATCATGATGAGAAGTGTATACCCTGGGTATTAGAGGGACGTCTACGAACGTGTACAGTGTACCTAACCTGAACGGCAGAGACCGCTAGCAAAAAGCTGCTCTCTATATGTCATGATCTGATGTCCAAAGTGATCGAGTTAATCAAATCCGATGCATTTCCATATCCAATGCAAGAGCCAATAGAACAAAAAACAACACATCAAGTACCTAGATAATGTACAAATGACAACAAACACATCAATTTCCAGACCAATGCCATACTGCCCACTCAGACCATCACACCAGTCTCTTCAGTATATACTTACAAGCCGAGTGGAACAAGTCCCAACATGCCCCCAACAAAAAATCAAAAGAGAGGCAAATTACCATCCCTGAGCCTGCATCCTCTGAATCTTCTGCACAGTCTCCTGGAACGAAAACTTAAACAACCTCTTCCAACGCTGCATCTTCTTCTGCTTGCGCACCATACCCTTCCGAGTATGGAACCGCTGAGCAATAGCCTCGTGCTTGATCTTATTCTGCACAATAGTAGTGTGCAGTTTCCGCAAAGCAGCAGCAAGATCAGTCCCACGCTCCGGCTCAACATGAGCCTGTCGACCAAGCGTCGGTCCGAGCTTCAGCTCGACCTTGCGTACAGGTAGAGGTGCGCGCGAGTAGCGCGAGCGCACTCCGTCCTGCCCGCCCACTGCCCGGGACAGCGCGTCCGAGAACACTCGGCGCTGGGTGGAGGGGAGGTTGCGGGGCTTGTTGAGGTCGAGTTTGCTGAGGATGTCGTCGAAGTCGGAGAATGGCGTCCGGGCTGGCTGGGCGGCTTCTGGTGCTGGCTGGGCGGCCTCCGCTGCGGCCTCCGGTACTCGCTGTTCGGCTTCGGGGACTGTGCTTGGCTGGTCGGTGGGGGTTGTGGGCTTCAGGGGTGCGCTGGGCGAGGAGGTGGAGGAGTTGTAGCGCATGCAGTTGGCGAGGGAGGCGAGAGGGTGCTGTTGGGTCTGCTGTTGGAGCCATGGTGTTGGCCTGGCGCGGAGGCCACGGGCCAGGAGGCGGAAGTCCATATTGTTCGGACTCGCAAGTCGAGCAAATATTGTGAAGTGGAATTGACTCTTTGGTAGTTTTGGGGAGGGTTTGATTGGTGTGGAGGTGCAGGAGCAGCAGGACCAACAGTGTGCTCAAAGTTGCTGTGACGGAAAATCATCGCTCCCCGATTGGAAAGGAAATTGGAGGTCACGTGCTGTATGCTTCTGCGTTTTCGACAAGATCACTACACCTCCAACTGTCATGAACTTGCAACTATCTGTCTGGCTGAATATCAAATTAAATCTGGACGGCTCTTCTGACAAATTCGAATTACAACAATCCCCATTGCAAAAGGATGTCGTCTATCTCAATTGCAACTCTCCCCCGCATGGGCCGTGATGCCCTGGCAGCCCTGCTTGGAACCGAACCAACAAACCTAGCAATCATCGATGTCCGAGACTCAGGTAAACCCATGATCACTTTACTCTGAATTTCAACGACATTAATTAATGCGTTTTTATAGATCACATCGGCGGCCACATCCGCTCATCAACTTGGGTCCCCACCTCAACGCTGGACGTGCGCATGCCTGAGCTTATCCGCACTCTTCAAGACAAGAAGATGGTTGTATTCCATTGCGCACTCAGCCAGCAGCGTGGGCCATCTGCTGCGCTGCGCTATACCCGTCAGCGCGAGAGCACTCTCGGTGTTGAAGAGAGCCAAAAGCAGCAGGTATTTGTGCTCGAGGGTGGGTTCGTTGAATGGCAGCAGAAGTATGGCAATGACCCTAAACTCACTGAGGCTTACGTTGCGGATATCTGGGAGGAGTATTGAGTAGGGGGGTATTGAGATGGACGGGATTCTAGGCATCTTTATGCATTTGCGACTTTTATGATCTTTAATGAACACATAGGATATATACCACATAGATACATTGATCCTTCTTACGCTGAATTCTTTTGTCTTAAGCCAACCTATGGATGTCTGGAAGAGTGTCCCAAGTCCGTTGCGCTTCGAGTTCATGGTCTAGTATGTCTATTAGGTTGATGGAACCTTGAAAGATGGATGCGATTATTGTACACGTTATAAGCAGGTTAAGCTCACCATCTATAAAAACACAATGAGGATACACTTACAGGTCTACATCTGAATGCCCCCGCCAAAACCAACAGGTCGTCTCTTACCTCCGTTCTCGGGTACAATGGCCATGACCTTATAGATCGATCCCATTGATCCGCCGCCCTTTTCAACCAACCTCTTCCAGCCAGTCTCTAGGGTCTTTCTGTGCTCTTCATCTTGCACTTTACGGAGAAGCTGCCTCATGCGCTCCTCAATACCCATGGCCCCGAGGAAGTCGCCCTGTTCAACAGGACCATGAACCTCCACACCGTCGCTACCTTCGATCGCTGCTTCTGCTAGCGAAGTAAAGTCCACATCCGCACTGACATCCACTCGCCCGGGTTCTGAGAGGGGTGCCACTTTCTCGTGGCTTTTGATTCCGCGCAGCGAATTCACAGGGATGGTTGACAGTGTGCCGTAGTCCATGATCAAAGCTGCCCCAGATGGGGTCTTCTTCTGCGAGGGGGAATGTGCGCTAGAAGGAGAGGGTTTCCTCGCGGCTGGTGCAGAAGAAGAATCGCCACCGATGCGGCGCGCAAAGTCTGCAGCGTAAATTCGGCTCTCGGGGCTGATCTCGATGGTCGAGCCCGGCTGCGACTTGAGGGCCCGGTAACGCTGAGAGATTTCCGGGATCACTAGCGATGACGGCGTTGAGGCTTTAGCTTTAGTCAGTTTGAACTCGGGCTCGCCTGGGATGTTTTCTTCGACAGCTTTTGGATTTAATGTGACCATTAGCTCACGCCATTGCGGGACGTTGGCCGGCTTGGGCGGAGACTGTAGTTCAATTGGGCCAGTAGGGGTCATGATCTTGCGTGGCTCGTCAGGCTGGTTTTCTGGAGATGGTGGGACAGATTCGAATGCGTGGATTGGAAGTGCGTCGAAGAACTCATGTGCGAAGATGAAGGGTGTCTTGCCTTCCTCTATATCACCAATTGCTTTTGTCAGTAGCAGGCAAACGGGCTACCGGTTGAAAACTGTCACTTACCTTGCGGTAGAAGACGAATATCCTCCACCCAAATAACGGGTACATCGAAGTACTTGCACACACTTCGATGCCCAATATCGGTCTCTTCCATCACAGCCTCCTCACCACAGAGCAACCGCTTCTGCACTTCTCGGAGAGTTCCGCTAGCTTCCACAAGAAAGATAGCCTCAACACTCGAAGAGAACATCTTGAAGTTTCGGAAAGTCTGTCCAATCACCGATCAGTCCAGTCCTTTATACTTCACTTGCGATTCAAAAGGCAAGCCTGATTGTAGCCACTCACCCGCAGCATATCATCCATTAATGTTCCCTTCCCCGGGCCGACCTCCATCAGCTGCACACCACTCTTTGCGCGGCCTTGCGCCATCCACTCCGCCACTGTCCATACTCCAATCAATTCTCCGAAGACCTGCGAGATCTCGGGCGATGTAACGAAATCACCATGCTTGCCGAACACACCGCCACCCTCCCCGCGGGTGGTATAATATCCGCCATCCGGAGAAGTCAAGACCTGACGCATAAAGGCAGCGATTGGCACAGGGCCAGTGACCTGAATTCCATGTGTGACCGATTAATAAAAGTGCAATATGCGACAAAGGAGTCGGCAAGTACCTTCATGACATTGGCCAATGTTTTTGCAAGCGGTGTAGACCATTCTCTCTGTTCAAACGTGGAATTCCATCGTATTGGGCATCTTGGAACTACTGAGTTGCGAGGTCTGTGGAGGATCCGCGACGCTACGCGCCTCGTGGCTTGGTTCATTCTTGGTCCGAGAATGAGTGCCGGATATGTTGGGTATCAAAAGATATGCAAGCCCTGTTGTATTTGTCCCTGAAAAACAACGCTTCCTGGTCTCAAGGCATTCGTTCAATCGGAGGTGGCAGGTCGAGATGTTTCTCATTCTCTCTCCGCGGAAGCTTCCCTGCACGTGACTATATCCTTATCGGGCTGTTATCGGTCACTAGTTAGTCGGGATTAACTTAGTCCCGACTCCCGATGTCGTGTTAAGGTTTATCCAACTCCTGCGTCCATTTCGAGCCCTAAAGAGTTGTAAGTGTGTCTAGACTCTAGACCAAAGTGCAAACCACGGCAAGAGAAGAGATCAAGAGAAGCCTAGAAGTCTCAAGGCCTATCCGATAAACTGACGCGGCGACGCCTGAAGAAGTCGTCCCAATGCAGACTGCAGAGAACTTCCTTACTATGAGTGCAGTCTACACTGTAACTAGTAGCGGGAAGGGCTCGAGGGACTCAAGGAGTGAGAGAGATGAATTCTCCAAGACAAGGCAACGGTCCAATTATCCGATGTATCATCTGAAGCAAGGTGTTTAACTGTGATCATCTGACACCAGCTACGTGAGCTAACCACTGCTAACACTACAACAGTGAATGGAGGGCTGCATTGAGGAAACTACCGATTGAACGATGCTGATGACTGGCTTTCTACCACTACACATGTGGTTATGTAGCCCTCCTCTATTACCAGCATCCGCCTACCATTGCTATTTGGGAGACGTACAGGAAACCATCGATCAACAACTCGTATTGTGCAGTAACTTCAGTGTAACTTCCCATGCGGCTGAATATTGGGTGAGACAAACAGCTCATGTGTGTGATTGTTTGGCATCCCTTGAACATGGTTGAGTCTGGGCAGAGCTTTGTTTTGGTTCTCCAATAGATTGTACTGTGAACACGAGGTAAGCGGGGGTACGACGACACCAGGAATGTAGATCATTGCGGGTGATGAGTCGCCCTAAGAAGTTTGAGATGCCAAGATCGACTCCGCTTCTGCCAAGACCCCCGCTCCCGCAACCCTACATCGCCAACTAAAGCCACATTGATCAACAGGCACGTCTGTATATGGACTAGCAGCACTCGTAGCTGTATGAGAAACCTGGAGTATGCCCACTGGACTACTTTGAAGACAAATGCCAAAAGATCCATTGCGGGGTACGTCTCTATCATACAGTCTACAGGCAACTCTCAAGGTCGTCTCAATGCAATCGGACGCCGGACGGAACCAAGTGACAGTGAGTGCAATGGCCAAGAAACACGAAGGTGCAGGCCCGGTGCATAAGAACACGAGACGGAGGTTACATCCAGCTTCCTGAGCTTCTTCAGTGTCTCAAGTCTCGCGGAATGAATGCCAGATAGGTAAGAGAAAGCCAGCGTAAACACGGCGGCCAAGTCTGAATACGAGAACCTGGGGGTTACTTGCATAGTTCCAATATTGGCGTCCTGTGTAGGATTTGGATTGGCTATTGTGATCAACAGAATCATCTTCTCGTCACATTGAGCCGGACAGACACGTCTGGCTGTGCACTTGGAATGAACAGAGAAGGATGCCCAAAGGTGAGGTATAAATACAGCAGATTCTCTCCAGGAATCTTGCTCATCATTATTCATCATCAACTATTACAACCACAGCAATCTTAGCTATATCAGTGAGAAGTTAGACCTCATCCGCTGCCAAAATGAAGTTCAGTGCCACTATCGCTTTTGCCATCCTCGGGTATGTCTTTCTCTATTCTGATATGAAACACTGGAAGATGACAGATGCTAACACGAATTGCCTCAGTCTCGCCACCCAGCGTCAGTTTTCACTACAATTCACTCACTCCCCCGCATCCTGCTGACAATAACAGAAACCCTGGCCGCCGCCGTCGAGTCAGAGTCCGTTGTGCCTTTGGAGAGCGCCGAGGTCATCCAGGCTCGTGCCCTCGGTTGCTACCAACAGGGTACTCCCAGCAGACCGGCTATGTGCCACAAGCCCAAGTGCCCATCCAACAGACGCAGTGTCTTCTGGGACTTTGGATGCCCAGATGGATCCTGGAAGTGCTGCATCTAAACCTCGTTAAGTCTTGGGAGATTTGATTACGACTCTACGTGACAAGCCAGATGATCTTTGGGATATCTGTTGAGATGGTGCACAATCTCTCAAATATCCTCACGCTCCTTAGTTATAGCTATATCTGCTCCAATTGACTACCTAAGCTTGGTTCTTGGGAAGTTTCATTGGTAGGCCCGTAGGTGACTTTTTGTAGGCTTGCGACTCTAGTCGTAGTATTTAGCCACAACCCCATTGAGGATAGGTTGGTCCCCAACGTCGCTCCGTGCCACACCTCTGTCAACTCCCTTGGCCACTCTAGCCTTGACCCAGTCACCAGCAGTGATGCCAACCGCACTATTGTCCGTGATCTGATCATACCCCAGGCGCTGTAGCACTTGACTCACCACCGGCCGCAGTTCGAGATCGTCCTCGGGACGGACAAAGTACAGCACACCCAGACGGTCTACATCCCTCTGATCAGGCGGAGGTGCGACGACGCGGTGAACGCTGCTCTTGAGGAAGCCATTGGTGAGGAAATGAAGCGAGTCGGCAAGGTTCACCGTGATGCTACCCGGGTACGGCTTCACCCACTTCCATGCGCCCTCAGGGGTACGGACCTGCAGCGCGGCAACTGGCTGGCGGAATAGCAGGGTCAAGCTGCCGAAGTCGGTGTGGCCCTTGGACCAGATGCCGTTTGACTTCTTGTTCTCTTCTTCGGTGCGGCGGTGGTACTTCATGTACCGTAGGTGGCAGTCGCTCTTCTCCTCGTAGCGATGTACCTTGAGGAAATAGTCCTCAGGGAGCTCGAGTATGATGGCGAACAGAGTGAGGAGTTTGCGCACGATTTCATCATGAATATGGCGTGCGAAGCCTTCAATGATAGGTCGGTTCTTATTCACGATCTCCGGCTGGGGACGCTCCAGGGCGGGGATAAACTTTGGGATGTTGAAGATCTCGGTGTTGTCAAAGACGCCCGGGCTGATTTCCTACACTCAAGTTAGTTATGATTCTTTCTTTGGGGTATATCATGGGGTTCCTGACTTACTCGAAGACCACTTGGCTTGTAGCCATTGTAGCCACCTTTTTCAAGTTCTGCGCGGAACTTGAGTTTCTCCTCTAGTGGGAGATTGAAGATCTCTCTGCCAATGGAGAATTGGCGGTCGACTTCTTCCTGGGTGAGGCCAAAATTGATGATATAGAAGAAGCCTAAGTGCGGATGAGTATGACAAGGGCATGAGGTGCGACCCAGCGAGGTAGGACTATGTGCTACATACCAATCTTCTGAATAGCCTCGAAAAGTTGCTTCGCTAACTGCGACTTGCCACCAGGCTGGTCAAACTGAGAAAGGTCTAAGGTGGCGAGGTCTGCCCAGTCCACTATATACAACTGTGAGCGGAGGTATCTTAAGGCTTGAGTGGCTACCTTTGTAGTGATAAGGGAAGAGCGGAATGAGCAGCCCAGAACTTACGATCAGCCGAGGTCTCTGGTATCTGGTGGTAGGTGGGTATATCAACTGCAGTAGGAACCGGAGCTGGAGGTTCGGTCAATGTTGCCATGGCTGGGATATTAGGATGGATTTTAATAGATACAAGATCAATACAGCGTGAAGTAATAAGGTGTTGAGACAATGATCAGAATGGCCTCGGATGTAGAGAGAAATGTAGGGTTTATCAGAACCCCGATGCCTTCTCCCCGCAGTTCTGCGATTGCCATACCTAGGTCCGTTCCAATCGGAGCATTTCCATCCTTTATTATGAAAATGGTCCTTTCGTTGGGGTTGATCTTTCCTTGGCCCTTGGATCCCAAATCTCATCACGATATCCTCCGTTGGCGTGATCGCGGACACATTCCTGACCATCTTTTAGTTACACTTCACAGAATGATTCGACGGTTTCAATGCCAAGAGCACTTGGAAACAAGATATACACCATAGTAAGTTAATAAACACATTGAAGCTTGGTCAATGTTCCCTTAACTGCCTTCTGCCTGTGAGAGCCTTGTTTAACATGGCAATCTTCTGTTCTCCCAATACCCCTAATAGAATTACTATTCTAAGTCTACTTCCTGATCTCTACTGATATGGTCATGTGGCAGTTAGGTAGTACTAGAGAAGGCTATCTAGATTAATGCCTTGGAACCTGTAGAATGGCCTGGGCCATGACATTTGCAATCCTGGTGCGCGATGATACCATGGCTGTCGGCTTAGGGCTTTTAGCTTGGTCAAAGCTTCAAACGTGTTTTGCGGAGGATTTTGAAACCGTTAAAACCAAGCCATTTGGCTTGGATATTCAGTAATCATCGCTCATCAATGCCAATTCTGGGCTTGGTGTATTGCCAATAGCACTGTTGCAACTATGGCGGACAAGCAATTGGGGATAACCACAAACTCTGTTGTAACATCTACCAATAACAGCGAGAGCGGCCACGAGCTTCATTTTGCCAGACGTGGTGAGGAGTTGGCGGAAGGTTCATCGAGCCAGGCTAGCATTGATGGCTACGATCCGGAACGGATGAGCGGTAGGACATTGCTCACGGCTGAGGAGGAAAAGAAGCTGTTGCGCAAGATTGACTGGCGACTGATGACGCTTTGTTCACTCATCTTCATGTTTAAGAATCTGGACAGCAACAATGTGCGTATCATATTGGCATTTGGTCACTGATCAAGCGTCCTTGAGTGGTACGGTTTTACTTACAGTTTGCAGGCCTCCAACGCTCGAATCATGAATAAAGGAACCGATCAGAATATTATGACACAGCTAGGAATCACATCCAACGAGTACAATCTTGTGACTGTTCTGTACTATGTGAGTTACCAATCGCGATATTTGATTCAGATGACTCGTTGCATGTTGCTAATCCAGCTTGTGCCAGGTCCCATACATTGTCCTAGAGGCGCCTTCAAACTTACTGCTAAAAAGATTTTCGCCTTCAAAATGGCAGTCCAGAATAATGCTTGGCTGGGGTATCGCGCTCATGTGCAATGCTGCTGTGAAGAATAAGGGCGGTTTATATGCCACACGCTTCTTGCTGGGTGTGGTGAGTTCATATGCCAGAAGATCCAATCCACAGTTGGCCTTCGATTTGAACTGACGCTTCAATAGGCCGAGGCTGGGCAATTCCCTGGCGTCATTCTCCAGATGACTTATTGGTATCGACCAGATGAGATGTCCTTGCGACTGCTTTATTTCTGTAAGCCGCGCGCGATATGATCTCAGATAGTTCCTGCGTGAGACGTTTCTAACTCATAAAACGCAGATATTTGCGGGAATGTTTCAGGCATCTTCGGTGGCCTCCTTGCCTATGCTTTTGACACCGTATCTGGCGCAGGAGGACTGTCTGGGTGGCAATGGTAAGCCGATCCCCAAGTTATCTGTCGTCTTCTCTTTTGGATGCATACTGATACATGCATAGGCTGTTTCTGAGCGAAGGCATTGCCACGGTACTTTTTGCTGTTGTCGTTTGGTTCCTGCTACCGGACTGTAAGTATCCTTTTCTTGCGTCCACAACATACGACAAGTCGCTGACATGAGACCATGCGAACTAGTCCCCGAGACAGCAAAGTGGTTGACTGAGCGGGAGAAGAAATTTATCCAGGCTCGACTGCCAGCCAATGCTCCCCGTGCCAATGAAGAGCACTTTCAGATGCGGGAGATTATCACGTCGCTCAAAGACAAGAGATTGTGGCTGTTTACCTTCATTTGGGCCACCTTCACTGTTGGAACTAACGGCGTCACTTTCTATCAATCAACCGTCATCGCGAACCTCGGCTACACGTAAGTTGTGCCTTTCCTCGCAGTTGAAATTTTAGCTTTCATCCCCCTAGGCAATACTGACAGCCATTCAGGAGCATCGCCAAAGCCCAACTCCTCAACATCCCCATCACGGTCTGCGGTCTCCTGTTCATCGCAGTTACAGGCATTACAGCGGATCGCAGCCGTATTCCACGTCCGCTGTACCCACTTACCTTCCTTCTTATAATTATAGCCTGCTACGGCGTGTTTGTTGCGTATCCGAGCAATGGGGCAATCTATGCCGTAACGCTGATCGGAAATGCCTTAACTGCAGGATGGTACCCTGTCATGTGGTGTGTCCCGCGCATTCTGAACCGACTTCATGTTTAATAGCTAACAATGTGATGATAGGCCATGGCGTGTTCAGACCACCTCTCGTGCCACGGGATCGGCCTTTTCTATCGGATTCGTCAACAGCTACGGCCAAATCGGAGGTGCGCTCGGCCCCCAGTTGTTCCAAAGCCAGTACGCACCTCACTATACAGTGCCCTTCTCCGTAGCCATGGGCCTGGTGGGTACTTGCGCGATCTTGACGTCGATTACATGGTGGGTGACTTGGGACACGGAGCGTGACACGAGGCATTTGAAACTAGCCAAGATTGCGGCTGAGAAGAGAGGCGAGACTATATTGGAAGATGTCGTGGACAATGATTTGAAAAAGCGATAGACAATTTAGGCTCTTAGCACCGGTATACAGAGAGCAGAGACATTCATTAGAAAGTTCGAACATAACCGAGTGTTTAGTAGGGTAGGCGGCCTGAGGCCAACACCAAGGGAACATGGATGTCTGGTCCTTTACCTTACCTTACCATCTCCCATCACCTGTAGCACATAAATACATGTTCCAATACCATTATTGTACGGTAATGTTGCCTCAAACTTGGAGTAATCTCCTGACAGGTCCTGGATCCGTTTGCTCTCTCTCTGTCCATCTCTCCCATTCTTTTCTCTTCAATGTACATACTATGGATGAATCTCTATAGAAATCGGACCTCAAGTCCCAAGAGTATACTTCTCTGACAGAAAAAGGTCCGATAGGACTCCCAATCACGCCATCCGACGCCAAGTTAGCCAAAAACCTCCGACCCCTTAATACTGCGTAGCCCGGTACCCCTCACGAGTTGGAGAACCCCTCATGTGACTGTTTAGATCTCGACTTTCTTCGTCGAATCGTCGCAACACAGTCCTGGCATAGCATACTTGGTGTTCGCCTCTCATCGCTTGGACAATGAACTCCTGCAGACCTCAACCAGCTCCAAGAGCTTCAAGTGACCCCTACTTCGATTTGGGAACATTGAGTCGCAAAGTCACTACCAGTTCCCAAGAAGCCCAAATATGGTTTGATCGGGCCCTTGTCTGGACATATTGCTTCAATCATGATGAAGCAATCACCTGTTACAAGCAGACAATCGCACACGACGAGGGATGCGCCATGGCTTACTGGGGAGTATCTTTCTGCTCAGGTTCCAACTACAACAAAACCTGGGCTTTGTTCGACGGAGTGGATCGAGTCAATGCGATGAAGCAGTGTTACCTATATTCCCAGGAAGCGCTGAAACGGGCGGAGAATGCATCGGAATGGGAGCGGGCGATCATCGAGGCTCATGCAAATCGCTATCCCAACGACGACCCAAACAGGGATCTCGCCGCATGTAGCCGAGCATACGCCGACGCCATGAGAAAGGTATATGCGAAATTCAATCACGATGATTTCGATTTAATCACATTATTCGCCGATGCGTTGATGAATTGTGCACCGCGAAAGCTATATGATGCGTCTACGGGACTCCCTATAGCATCTTCCCCAGTGTTCGAAGTGAAAGATCTGCTTGATCGCTCCCTGAAGTTACCGGGTGTCGAAAAGCACCCAGGTCCTGCACACATGTACATCCATCTGATGGAGATGTCGGCGACACCCGAGGCTGCACTGCCTGCAGCAGAGATGATTCGCGAGATCTTCCCTGATACCGGTCACACCTTCCATATGCCCGCGCACATCGATGTTCTTGTGGGTGATTATCGTCGGGCGGTGGAATACAATTACAAGGCGACCATCACAGACGACAAATATTTCCAACAGAACGGTGGCCTGACGTTCTACAGCTACTACCGCCTGCACGACTATCATTCCCTCATCTACGCCGCAATGCTCGGTGGCAAATCAAAAGCGGCATTGTCCGCGACGAATCGAATGGAGGCGACCATCACAGAAGAGATTCTTCGAGTAGAAACGCCTGCACTTGCGGACTGGATGGAATTCTTCAAGGCTGTCAGAGTCCACGTTCTCATTCGATTTGGGATGTGGGAGGAACTCAAGAAGCTTGATCCGCTTGAAGACAAGAGTCTCTACTGTGTCACCAATGTTATGCGACACTATGGAAAAGGCGTCGCCTACGCCGCCACAGCTCAGCTTGAAGAAGCCGACAAGGAGCGAGAACTCTTCAAAGAGGCTTCGAAGATTGTCCCTCCCACCCGCCTCGACTTCCCGAACAAAATCACCGACATTCTCAAAGTAGCAACTGCCATGCTGGATGGGGAAATTGAATACAGACGGGGAAATTACGAGACTGCATTCTCCAGTCTGCGGGAAGCAATTGCCCTTGAAGACGCGCTGCCTTTTGCGGAGCCATGGGGATGGATGCTCCCTGCCCGACATGCATACGCGGCTCTCTCATTGGAGCAGGGCCATGTTGAACAAGCTGCACAAGCTTATGCTGAAGATCTGGGACTCTCTCCGACACCGAAACGTGCTCATCAACACCCAAATAACGTGTGGGCCCTCCATGGCTATCACGAGTGTCTTGGAATTTTGGGCCGGCATGCGGAGGCAACTATCATCAAGCAGCAGCTTAACCTTGCACTCGTGGAGGCTGATGTTGATATCACATCTTCATGCTTTTGTAGGCTTGGGAACATCCCGTCGTCTACTAATAAGGCTCAGGTGAATGGCTGCGGTGGGGGATCGAAGTGTAGTAATTAGATCACGACTAGGTACCTTGACTAAATGAATATATTCCTTAAGCTTGATGACTTCATAACTCGAAATCTCTCGGGCTATCCACCCTGAAGAACGGTTTCCTCTCCGAGTTAATACATTCTGCTTAGAGACACAATGGAAGGCAGGCCCATCCATAAATAACCTAGTGACAAATACAACAGTCTCACCGTGGCAGCTCCCAGAAGCTTAGGGAATAAGACAGAAAGGGTATCACACAACAGCATTTGCAACTTGCTCAATCATCCCGCGAACCTCATCAACAATCCGAAAACAAGGCACCAATTTCCGCGCCACAGGGTTCTGCGGACACAAGTCCAGTGGATCATGATCAACACCATCTTCCTTCTTCCGACAACGCCCCTCTGGATCTGGACAAGACTCATGACCAACCATATGACGATCACGCTGCCGTTGTGCAAATTGTTTCCCTAGCCCCAGGAGCCGTTCTGCATCTGCTTGAAGGCCATGCGTGACAAGTTCCCGTAACTTCTTGCCGCTGATCTGCAAATTGACCCCCAGCCCGGAGTCAAGATAGACCGTATTACTCTCATTCCTCGCATCAACCTCCGTACAGTGTTTGTCCAACCAGCGAAGGTACTTCTGGTAGCAGGATGTGACTTCAAACATGAGCTGGCCGATGAGAAGCACATTTTGCACGGTTACTCGAGGCGGTTTTGACACGTCGTAGCAGATCGGACATATAAGTAGTCTCTCTGTGAGAGATACTCCCCTGCGAAGCATCGGGATGACCTCGTGAGACATGTTTGCTCGACTCAGGTTCCGGACTAGAGCGGAGACTTCTTCGTCGCATTTACATGACCGTGAGAACGACATCGGTGAGCCATATACATCTAGCCCGGTTGGAGACATCCCGGGGTCTGGATGTAGTCCGTTCTGGCGGGGGGTTTGTAATAGCTCAATGGGTAAGGAGCATATATCGCCGTTTCCGAGCATTTGCCAATGCGAAGAGTCGAATCCGCAGTTTGCGGATAGCTCGTATGGTAATGAGTCGAACTCACCCGGTCCCACTAGCATATTGGCGGCTTCTTGGGGGACTAGAGCTGCTTGAGATATGACAGATGAGGAATGCGGGGAGGCTGAGGAGCCTGTGAGTTCATCTCGATTTGGCGAATTTCTGTCTTGGGCTTCTCGTGGACGCTTTCTTGGCCGTCCTGGGGCTCCTTTGTCTTTGAATCTACATGTCAATGACAAGCCTCGGCAACGAGAACAGCCGCTTTTTTCGCCTGAGCATTTCAGCTTCCGCGTTCCTGGTTATCATTAGCTACGTACTCGTTGATGGGGAGATCCGTTCTTACGGCATGCTTCGCAGGACTTTCGTTGTCGTGTGGAGCTCATAGTTTGTTGGATGTGTCGACTTGTCACCTAACGAGCAAAGCAGCCCTGGACCGAAGCCATGGAGCTGGTGTCCACTGGAATAGGATTGGTCATCCGGTGGTGATATGGCGTCAACACGGCGAGCGGGGTCGCGTACGAAACGAGCCGCTTGGGCACATTTATGTCATTATTCCATAACTTAGTAAATGGAAAAGCATAGGGATCAAAGCCGTGGAGGATGAGAGGTAAATGAAGGGTCCATGTAGAGATTACCATGGAACTGGCAATAGCTGGTCCACTATCTGCGGTTGTCCCGAGGGGCACAATGCGGGGATATCCAAGATCATAGATCATAGACTTGACTCAGAGTTCCTTCTCCATGGATATAGACTATAGAGTCAGCAACTTGCATAGAATCACTCAATCTCCTATCTCTCTTCCGCGAACGCCCATAACTTCTTTTTAAACCAGGTGACGGCTTGGATATTGAATTGGAGGCTGAGCGGGTCAGTCTCCCCGCCAAAACCCTCCGAGCTACCCCAAAAACACCCGAGGACTTCGCGTATGTTCATTCCAGATGAAGTTTTCGAAAACTTCAATTAACCAGGTACCTGCATCATAATTTCTAAGTAACAATGACAAAAACGATAACTGCCCACGAATTGCGCCACCATTGGAGAAATCGCCATGAGATTGCCCTCCTAGACGTCCGCGAAGAAGGCCCCTATGCAGAGTCCCATCCTCTATGGGCATTGAGCGTACCAGTCTCGGAAATCGAAAAGAAACTTCCACCTCTGGTCCCCCGATTGTCTACCCCCATTGTTATCTACGACGATGGTGAGGGGTATGCTGATCGGGCCGCAGCCCGAGTCACAGCCTTGGGATACCAAAACGTTTCCATTCTGGAAGGCGGGCTTTCTGCATACGCACGTGTCGGCGAGGTGTATCGCGATGTGAATGTGCCGTCCAAGGCATTTGGCGAGCTTGTCGAATCTATCAACCACACTCCATCCTTATCGGCCCGGGATGTCAAGAGTGTTCTGGAAAGTGAGAGTGATGTCGTTGTTTTGGACGCCAGACGGTTCGAGGAGTACAAGACGATGAGTATTCCTCGTGGCCGCAGCTGTCCCGGTGGAGAATTATTGTATCGCTTCTTTGAAGCTGTGCCTTCGCCGGAGACGATGGTCGTCGTCAACTGCGCGGGTAGAACGCGGAGTATTGTTGGGACGCAATCTTTGATCAATTCTGGAATCCCCAACAAAGTGGTTGCGCTGCGGAATGGGACGATCGGGTGGACTTTGGAAGGTCTGGACTTGGATACTAAGAAGACGGAACGGGTTCCACGGCCTTCGGCTGAGGCGTCGCGAAGGGCACGGAAATATGCTGAATCGTGGGCTGAGCATGTTGGCGTTCCTTTCATTAACGGCAGCCAACTCACTCAATTTGCTGCCGAGGTGGAAGACAGAACTCTCTACCTGCTGGACGTCAGAGACCCGGAGGAGTATGTTCTTGGTCACCCTGCGGGCTTCACCAATGCCCCTGGTGGTCAATTAGTTCAAGCTACCGATGAATGGGTCGGTGTCCGAGGATCTCGTATTGTTCTATATGACACAGACGGTGTGCGCGCACGCATGACGGCTAGTTGGCTATTCCAACTCGGATGGGATGTGTATGTCTTTGAAGATCAGTCCGGAGTACCTGATGGCCTTCCGGTACCTCTGAGTCCCTCATGGCAGTCTCCTAAGTCCGGGGCAATCACGACCGATGAACTTCAAAAACTCACAGCAGTGACCGTGGTTGACCTTGCCCGCAGCCCGTCCTATCGCAAAGGCCACATTCCCGGCGCATGGTTCACTTCCGGGCCCGAACTTGCCCGGGATCTGGAGACTATAGAGGGTGACGAACCTATCGTGCTGACCTCGCCGGATGGTGAAGTTGCCGCCATGAATCTTGAGGATGCCCGAAAGGCTGTGTCGCGGGAAATTCTGTATCTTGTCGGTGGGACAGAAGCCTGGGTGGCAGCTGGGAATCCGCTCGAAACTGAGTCACGGTGGCTTTCCCAGCCCATCGACGTGTATAAAAGGCCATATGAGGGGACAAACAATGCCCGCGAGAATATGCAAGGGTATCTTGATTGGGAGTATGGGCTTGTTGCGCAACTGGCGAATGATGGGGTCGCTTGTTTCCATGTTGTGCGAGATACGCGTGTGCAATGACCAGAGGTTCAGGGATAATCTTATGTCCTGGAATGCATCACTTTGCCAGATCTATACTCGAGTATGTTGACCTTATCTAGCGTCATTACCTAGAACAATGCAAAGGTTGACTTCAACAGATGAACCAGATAGTTACACATACACTATTACACACAATTCATTAACTTCCAGCAGCTAAGCCTAAAGGGCAATTATCACAAACTATCAATACATCTCCTACTGAATACCGCGTTCCCGTAGTCTCCTGGTCCGGCTGTTGTCGGGGGTTCCTCAGTGTGAGTGCTGCCGCTTTGTTTCTCGTGAGTAGCGTGACCGGTCCTGTTTTAATCCCCCTAGGGCACTCAACGCGTGTGCCACCGCCGCCAGTTCCCCGGAGTAGGGTTCACCCAGCATGACAGAGATGCTCCTTGGCTTCAGTTTTCGATACCGAGGTTGTGACGGGACAGCAACTGTTTGTACTAGGCCAAATCCGAATAGGGTTAACTATACTCCGTAGTTACAATAAAGTAAAGAGTCAAAGACTAGACCCCTCTTCTCTTCCCCTTTCTCCTACTTCCTCCCTCTAATAAAACATTCTTGACGCACAGAGTATACAGCATGTTGTTCCAATCCAGTAACCTAGAGGTTATTAGCCTTATGGATGATGCACCCTGACCGCCACTCTCACAGGTATATACCACGCCGCTTTACCCCTTCTGACGATGATGATATACCAACCTAGGTAGTGCTTGGAATGCCCCTTCTAGGTTTGCCCCAGTGAGAGATAGTCTGAGAGTACGGTAGAAATTTATCGCCGTCCGGAGAGAGATATTGATTCCATCCGCAGCGAGATATTGGGAGTTGACTGCCAACTTCGCAGAGGCAAAGAGCACCCATACCCTCGGGTATCGCTGCTCGATCAGGTGGTTCGCACCGAACGCCACAGGTTACTACTACTGAGCCCAATATCTCCCTCCGGACGGCTATCAATTTCTACTCTTAGACGACCTATCACCGGGCGAAAGATGGGCCTTTCAAGGAACTTGGTGTATCATCATAATCACTTCGTTCTAGACATCCAATATTATCAAGCAGCATAGGTATCCTTCTAGCACTTCCACCGGCAAGAGGGCAGGTACGGGCAGATCTCGGGATGATCAGCATCAAGACCAATAAACGTACTACTAAATTGATCTCCCCACCCAAGTAAAAGATCGGTGCTGTACGGGATCTCTGCTCTTTATTCAACCAGAATACTCACAGCAATGGACTCATCACGCGTCTCATTTTTCGAAGCGACGAAGACAGACTCCTGACTCAGTGAAGAAGGTAGGAAAGAGATTAGGGTTATCTCGTACTTGTTGATTCGTCGGAGAAGGCCCTCAATACGATGATGAAAGTGGCAGGGACTGCTAAGATTGGAACTCGATGGGCTCCTAGCCAATGACTGTCCGACAAACACGAGCAGGGTCCCGCTTCATCCCCTTGGCACCTTGGCGCCCAGGGGCCACCAACGATAGCCCGTTGACCATTTGGCTGCGGCACAAAATAGAAGATCAGAGGACGCGCACGGCTATAAGCTCGTAACTATGGGGCGCATTTGGCCCTTTGGGTTCTTGAGATTTTTTCCTTTTTGTTACCCAGAAGGCAGACACTTTGAATCAACGACTTGACAATCCAACAACCTTCTTGTTCGAATACCTTATGAAGTGAATCACGACTTTGACTGAAGAAAATGTTGATCCGTCACCCTCTTCTCGTGGCTCTCACCTTGCTAGCCGTTCCAACGGGGGTGTTATCCCGGAAAGGCGGAGGCGGCGACATCGACAGCGACAGCAGTAGTAGTAGCCCCGGTGGCTCTGGTGGCTCCAGTGACTACGATGACTCCAGTGACTCCAGCGGCAGCGACGACACCTACACACCCTCTACACCATCTTCCGTCTCCTGCACAGATACCCACCGCCTCAATCTCGAAGATATGCAGCCCGACCACTACGACAAATACAACCGCGAACCACGCCGTGGCCATGCAAGCGCATACAGCGAATACGACGGCGTCTTCTTCAAAGGCGAAGCCAGCTTCACATACACAATCGAACCGGTCCCTAATAAAACGACCGAAATGCTCAGTTCATCGAAGGTGGAATGTCCAGCTGGCGAACGCACCATGCGCATGCTAGGCGCTGCATGGGTTGCAGCCAGAGCGCCCGAACCTGCTGGACTAAGCAATCCCATTACGATAGGCTTCAAGGCCTGGGAGAGCAACATCCGTCTCGCAGATATCGATTATTCGTACAGTGTGTGTGATAAAGTGGATGTTGTGCGCTTGTCGACGACTGTGGACTGGATCGAGAACGATGAAGATGAGGCCAAGGCTATGGATGCTGTGGAATTGAATATCACCCAGGCTGCTGGGAACAGCGATATGGTCGAATTCGATGGTGTGTATGATTTGAAGAGCTGGGCTGATAGCGAACGGGATGATGGGCGACCTGAACGCTATGATAATCCTGGCCTTTCGGATCAATTGATTATTCTTCCCGAGGGCTTATGCTCTGATGGTAATAAGTTGGGGGAGATCATCACTGTGTGGCCTACTGGGACATACTTTAGTGGGTCTATGACCAATGACACTCTTGAGCTGAGTATGTCTGGGTCTACGGTTACTGGGTTTAAAGAGAGGAATCGCCGTACGCCTGACACGAAAGTAAATGTGACTTTCGAAATTACATTCACGGGTAGGCTTGATGCTGCGAACTCAACACAGGTCGTGCTGACGGGGGCATCGAACGACGATGCATCACTGTTCAGCTTTGAGAGGGCGACTGGTGGTGCCAGCGCCATGACTATGTCCTTTCACTGCGTGTTACTTTGTTTCTTGGTTGGTTTCGGGTTAATGGTTGTATGAGTAGAACATGTTGGAATGAGATACGATATGGAATTTGGAGTCGCGTTTTCACCACCTAAGTTCAACTGCAGATCTGTCAGAGATGCATGCACCACCGAATTCGAAGCCGGCCGAAGAACATGTTGACAATCGCAAGTCAATACCCGTCTTTTCCTGGGATGATTGCGTAACAAGGCCCATCCTTGTTATACATGGCCCGCAGGTCCTCGGCAATAGCCTCAGGGACTTCCCAAGCAGCAAAATGACCTCCATGTGAATGCTCACTTTGCCTCACGACCGGCCCTAACCCGGCTGCCCAAGAATTTGGGACGATTGAAATCTCACGAGGAAGATGCGCAATACCTAGCTTCACATGCGGTGTGTATTCGATCAAGTGCGCGTAGGAACTCTTGTTTCCTTGTGGATGTATAGTCTCATAGTAGATACGGACACTGGCCGCCGGCCCGGCAGCAGAGAACCAATAGATGGATGTCCAAATGAGGATCTCGTCGTCAGTCCAGGGGTAGGAGTCTGTCCAGTCGTGAAGCTTTTCGTAGATCCATGATAACAAGGCAACGGGACTATCTGCTAGTGCTGCACCGATGGTCTGCGGCTTTGTGCTTTGCAGTGCGTTGTAACCGAAGCCTTCTTTCCGGAACCATTCAGACCGTTCCAGACCTTTCTTTTCCCGGGAGTTGTACGGCAGGACGGCGTGTTGTAGCGCTGCCCAGGGGTTATCGGCGAAACTGGGGGGTTTGGCTAATACCATGTTGATGTGAGATGCCTTGCAGTGCTCAGGGTATAGATAGCCAATGGTTCGAGTGATCCAGAATCCCCAGTCGCCTCCTTGTGTTACTATCGAGTGGGTTAATTCTCAGTTCTAGATTGACGGCCATTTTGATAACATACCATACTTTTCATAGCCAAGCTTGATCATAAGTTTGTGCAAGACTTCGGCATATTGTAGCAGGCCAAACCCGCGACGAGTCACTCCTGAAGAGAAGCCAAAATTGGGCAGCGAGGGAGCCACGACATGAAATGCGGGGCTGTTTTCGTCGCCTTTGAGCAGCGGCAGTAGTTTGGAGACTTCAATAAATGAGCCAGGCCCTACATACGGGAATCAGTAATCGCAGTTTCTATGGTAAGTGGGGGCTGAAGCTCACATCCATGGCAGAATAGCAGTGGAATTGCGCTCTTAGTCGTGCTGACTTGATGGACATCTATAAGTCAACTCCGTTAGTATCGACGCATCCATATGCATTACATGAATCTGACAGTGGATATTCAAAGGGCCAAATCCGTCCACCTCGATCTGCGTTTGATATTGTGGGAGCTCGTTCAACTTGGCCTCTGCCTTGCGCCAGTCGAAGCCATTCTTCCAATACTCCACAAGGCGTCGGAGTTCTTTCAATGGGGTGCCGAAATTCCACTCATCCTCTTCGGAGGATTCTAGTTGGGTGGGGAATTTGGTCAATGCCAGGCGTTGCTGGAGATCTTTGAGAGTGTCATTGGAGACAGATATCTTGTACGGTTGCGGTTGGTTGGCCATAGTTAGACTGCTTCTCTTCGAGGGACAACAGGTACGAGCTGAGGTAATTTGTTGGCTTTCAATTAGATGTTGTTCTGTAGATGAGGTGAAGTTATGGATCTCGATTGGATTTCCCTCGTATCCCCCGCAGATCCTCCGGCAGGACTGTTGCATTTGTAATATGTTCTAGGCTCCAGGGCTGGATCCCTCAAGATGGAGATAAATGAGATTTTTCTTGCTCTTCCCGGGTCCTCTTTCTGATGTGTCTCATCGGCAGATTTCCCGCGTAGTGGAAATGAAGTCTACTGAAAGTCTACGCTTTACTAATCTTCATATGCTTTACTGCGTTTATTGTCGGAGAACACTTTGCATTTCTGTTTGATCGCAATCTGCTGAGCTTTCTTTTCAACGGGAATATCTATACTCGAGGGTAAATCCAAGTTGCACTGGGTTTCCCGATGAAAGCATATCAAGAAGTCCGCGCTTCTCCAGGTCCTGACAGAATATTCTGTTGGAAGAGATATCCTCTGCTAATTCGTTGAAGAACCTGTTCGAGCCGGTAATATGTCTCTGAAGACTCCGACCTCTGGTTTTGACATAGCCGGATGAGGTTGCAAGTTTTCTGGTCTCCGTAGACGAGATATAGTCTATCTTGAAAGGCGGACTGTTCATCGAGGCCTAGCTGCTTCAGAAAGATGTTCTCTAATACCCGATAGGTTCCAGTCTTTGTGGCTTCATTCTCCAAGATGGAACCCAGCGTGAGATGCTCAGTTCGGGTGCATGAGAGGATATCAAGCTGCGGCATCGATGGACGCCGGTCTTCCGCGCCCCGGTATATCTTCGCGACAGCCGAGGGATAGACAGCGTTGATGGCGTTGAAAATGCAACGTTTCTGAATGTTGATCCAGGCATCGCTGGCCTGGAAGTCGGAAGACATCGAGATATCATGGAACGAAGCCACAAAGACTGGAACCTATCGGGTATTAGAGAACATCTTTCTGGAGCAGCTAGGCCTCGATGAACAGTCCGCCTTTCAAGATAGACTATATCTCGTCTACGGAGACCAGAAAACTTGCAACCTCATCTGGCTATGTCAAAACCAGAGGTCGGTGTCTTCAGAGACATATCACCGGCTCGAATGGGTTCTTCCAGTCACTGGCTTCTGGCATCTCCGTCTGAACTACCTGAATAGCATCCATGAGATGCAGTCGATCTGCCCTGAATGGGCGTCGAAGTGGTATGAGCTGGACAGCTTGCGTGATAAGGTTTCGACGCTCAATCTCATCACATACTGCGGCCAATCTCCTCTGAATTTCGTGAAGCCGCTGCTCGGTCTCGTTTCGCGGTTCGATCGAGGTATCAGACGATCGGATGCGAGGATATTTACCTCGAAGAGTCTTTTTTAAGCGAGGTATGATGGATATAAATGGACTGATCGAAGGAAAAATCATCAGCTCGGGTCTCAAAACGCGTGTTCTCTACCAGGCTATTGCCATGTAGATGCCCGATAAAACTCGACATTGCTCACCAGCACGTTCAAGCATAAGACCTGCGTTCTAGGAGGCGTGGAAACTTCAAAATAGTATCAAAGTAATTGTCCAGTTCGCATTTATGACGCTTGTAAGATTGAAGATGGTCAGGTCTGTGGTTGTTGAGAACGTTGAGATCGAAATTCACACACCAAAGGAGCGGTCAAGTTGTTGGTCGGTAATTCTTGGCAAAATTTCAAAATACTCCTCAGACGACACTTCTGAGCTGAACCTAACTTGGTTAGGAAGGTCATGTGAACATGACCCAGCGAATCATGTGTCGTCTGAGCATGCTGAGGTAACTCAGAGGTCTCCCATAAATTATGCTGAAAGAGGCAGGCGGTGGATAGCCCAAGTCCACCGCCTTTTTGGGGCGGCAGATGGAACTACTTGGAGTTGGAATGCTTCAATTTCAAATGGAAGTTGAAACCTGAATCCCAACAATTGTGACTTCGTGACTTTGTATCAGAACAAAAATATCACGTTTCCTTGTACAATACATTGACTACAACTCACATCTTGTTATTTAATTATGTTCTCTCTCCGCGCCGCCACACGCGGCATTCCAGGCCTTCGAGCCTTCTCAACAGCCCGAGTGCTCCAATCCGAGCTCGCATATCAAGTATTTGGCCCCGAGAACGGCCAAGCTGTTCGACTGCCAATCTTGTTTCTACATGGACTCTTTGGGTCGAAACAGAATAACAGAAGTATTAGCAAGTATGTGTCAACTGTCATTTCCAAAGCAAATAAATCGACATTTCTGACATCTCTCAGAGCTTTGGCACGGGACTTGAAATGTCAGATCTTCGCCCTGGTGAGCTCAAGGTTATCCCAGAAAATACATGATTAGTCTGCAAATACTGAACAAATCTGCAGGACCTGCGTAACCATGGCCAGTCTTTCCATGCCCCAGAGCACAACTACAATGTCATGGCAGAGGATGTTCAGGAGTTCATCAAACAACAGAAACTAGACAAATGTGTTCTCATTGGGCATTCCATGTACGTGGCCGTGTTTGCTAATCCCCAGTTTGGAAAAAGCAAACAGACCACGCATACTGACAGGTGAAATAGGGGCGCCAAAGCCGCAATGGCGGTAGCACTGCGTTCACCCGAAACCGTGTCAGCTTTGATCCCCGTCGACAATGCCCCGGTGAACGCAGCGCTTGCAAGCGATTTTCCCAAATACGTTCGCGGCATGCAAAAGATTGAAGCCGAGAAGGTCACCAAGCAATCTGACGCCGACAAAATCCTCGGAGATTATGAAGAGGTATGTCAATTATCTTCTAACAGGAGCAGCAAGCAGCAAGCCTTGCAGTCTCCAGTAATGCCGCACATGCTGAGAATATATTCAGTCTCTACCGATCCGCCAGTTCCTTCTTACCAACTTGATCCGCTCAGAGGAAGACAACACACTTAAATTCCGTGTGCCGTTGTCCATCATCGGAGGTTCATTGGATAATATGGCCGATTTCCCATTCAAACAGTCCGACAACCTTAAATACGAAGGTCCAACGCTTTTCGTTCGTGGTACCAAGTCAAGGTATGTCTCGGACAAGACTATGCCTGCTATCAAGGCGTTCTTCCCCAATGCACAAATTGCGGATGTCGAAGCGGGCCATTGGCTCATCTCCGAGAAACCGGAGGACTTCCGACAAGGTAAGAAACCTTCCCTGTCCTCTTATAATCGATTTCCTTGTTTGCTTACACGGGGACAGCGGTTGTCAAATTCTTGGAATCGACCTAACGGGCCGCCACGGGCCGGTCGCGGCCCGGTCACGTGACGTGTTTACAGACGGATATTTCATAGCGAGTTCGATATGTACATTATTTTGTCCCTAGCCTCTAGGTAGTGGACTGTATAGAGGGCTTATGAGAATGTTATCAGTGGGGGGTAAAAATCGCCCGGTCGGGCACTGGGCCTGTTGACCGAATGGTGAAAACGTATGCTAGAACGTAATAATTTCTTTCGGGTTCCCCCAAAGGGGCTCATGTAGATATCGATGTTTCACATGGCGAGTCGTATTATCGAGCACGGCAGAGAGGGAAGTTGGGACGAGATAACTAGTGACACGGGTTGAGGACATGAGATGAAACCATGACGTTGAACGAGTCAACTGTCCAGTTCAAATATCATCCTCCAGCGGCAGCCGCTTGCGCTTCTTGGCGCGTTTCAAGGTTCTCGCGGTTTCCTCCGAAATCTGCCCTCGCTTTTTTCGCTTTTTGTCCTTCCTGCCTGAGCCTGGATAAGACGGTGGGACAGAGGAACCAGGAGCTGGCGAAGAGTCAGAGAACGAAGATGACTGTATACTGTCTTCTTCCTCATCCGCTGGCAGCGGGGGCGTCGGTCTCCATGAACTCCTACCCTGACGGAATTCGGGGGGATTGCTCTTATACGGTGAGCTATTGCTGCCGCTGGGTCCCGGTGGGGGCGGTCGACCCCCCCTCACAGACGGGTACGGTTTCGGTGGAGGCTTTTCGAACTGACCCCTCGTATTGACCTTAAGAAGCGGCTGGTACCCACCTAGCTGGGGCCCTTTGGGAAATGCCGCAGGGCTTGCAGCTGATCTGGGCGAGAAAGATGGAGGGCCATCTGAGCGCGAATGACGAAGACTCGGCTGCCCCTCGATGCGCTGTCCCATTGGTCTGTCGGGTGCATCACGATTGTTCGGTGTACCCTCTTTCATGAAGTTGGCAGCATCCTCGGTTTTTCTCAGACGTCTGAGGTAGACTCTCATCGACTCCTCGAGGCCTCTGAACTCGTTCTCGAGGTCTCTGAGTTCCCTCTCTAGACCCTCGAGTCCACCTCCCAGGTTTGAGAATCCATCGTCTGATGCAATTGGACGTTCCAATGCGTTCAGTCGTGAGATAAGACTGTCAATAACGGCCCAACTGATACCGGTGGCATCCCGTTCCTCTTCGATCCTAGTCAACCTTTGTACTTGGTCTCGAACACGTTGAAGTTGCCACACATCGTCCTTAATCCTGTTAAGGTCAACATTCGTCGCTGCCTTTTGCTTTTCCGAGGCCTGATTGAGCTCTTCGACTGTTTTGCAGAGCTTTTCAAGTCGTGACGTGTGTTCATTGACCACATCAAGGCTATGAGCGCCCTTAGCCTGAGCTTCTTGTCGCTCCTTCATGGTTTTAATCAAGCTCTTGGCCTCTTGTTGGAGTGCCTGCAGCTGAGAGATGTCTTCCTTGACTTTAGCAAGATCTTCGTCCACCGTGGTCTCACGCTTCTGCGAAGCATTGGCCAGCCCCTTGAGCGTTGTTCCGATCTTTCCGCGGAAAGATTCGAGTTCCAATACGTGAGCATCGAACCTTTCGGTCAATGCATCGAACTTAACCAAGGACTCAGTGAATTCTTCATATCGCCCCGCTTGCTCATCGGCCTTTTCGGCCATGGCTACGATGGATTCTTCGTGAGTCGCGAGTTTATTATGTATTTCGCTCAGTTGTTCGAGGTTTTGGTTCAACTGAGTAGTATGACCCTTGGTGAGCTGATCGATGGGTGTGAGACGGTCGGAGAGATCGTTGACCTTTTGGAGCAAAGTGGCAACCTGATCTAAAGCCTGGTGCTGCTCGGGTGACACCTGTGGTGCTCGGGATTGGTCTGCTTCCGCCCGGGCGCTTGAGGCGTTTGCTTGGGCCTTTTCGATTGTGGCCTTGAGCGTGTCCGTACTTGCTCTGAGTGCAGAGAACTTGAGCTCAACTTCGCTTTTATAAGCTACCAATTGTTGGCTTAGTTGGTCAACAGATGGGTACATTTCGTGCATTGCACGTGCCATCGAATTGACCAGGTCGCCGGTGGTGATGTTTCCCCATCGTTCTTCCAGTGACCGGATGCCCTTGGAGTGAGTTTCAACCTGGCTTTCGCACTTCTTGACGGTTTGCGTGACGGCAGAAACCTCGTTGAGGCGAGTTCCGAATCCCTCAATCTCCTTCTCAACATAGTCTTGAAGCCGCCGTACGGCTCCGGAGAAGTCAGTCCTTAGTACACGCATGGTCGTGTCGTGTTCGGATTGCTTCTTGCTCATTCTCTCCACATTTTGCAAGGTTTCATCGTACTTAGATTCCAACAGTGCTTGTCCAGAGTTGTGGCTCTTGCGTAGTTCTTCCAGCTGAATCAGGCGCACATCATCCGCCTGACTATGGAGTTCTTTGATTCCGTTGAGGATAGTGGTATGGGCCTGGGTTTTGCGTTCCAAAGATGCCAGTCTCGCAAGCACCCCGCCATTGGGAGATGTGATTGCCACATCTGATAGACCCCCTTCGCCATTATCAAGGTTCTGTTGCTGCTTGCGCAAGTCCCCCAAATGGGCTTCCTGGGTAGTAATCGCCTCCATGGCCTGCTTTCTCTGGGCTTCCAAATCGGATCTGAGGTCTGAAACGCTGGTCGAGACGTTCCTAGGCTCCTGATCTTTTGCTTCGAGTGATCTGATATCGCCTTCGACAGACGAAAGCTTGTCCTTGATCTGAACATTCATGGTGGTCATCTTGCTACCAAGCGCCGAGATGCCCTTCTCCAGCTGTTCACTGGAATGTTTCATTTCTTCCTCGATGGTGTTGGCCATGGTCTGGACGATAGAAACCTTCTCCTCAAGCTTTTTATTAGCATCGGAGACTTCGTTCTCAAGACTTGAGATCTTGGCCGTAAATTGACCATATCGCTTAGATTGGTGAGCAACCGAGTTCGCGATTTTCTTCACGTAACCCAACGCTTCCTGAAGTTTATTGGAATTTCCGAGAGCATCCTCCACTTTCTGCAACCTTTCTTTGAGCTCTCCAATATCTCGGCCCGGACCCTGCAAGGCTACTGGGTATCCTTCAGTTTCAGTGTTTGCTTTCTGTGCCTTCTCGCGGCCGGCGGTCGAGTTGGAATTTTCAAGCACCGCACTCAATTGAGACTCCAGTTTCCCAATCCTCTCAGGCATCTTTTCGAGCTGAGGTTGCGGCTTTGCTTGCGACAGAATGGCAGTGAAACTATCCTGCGCCAGGGCGGAGATTCTTCTATTCCGGTTGATTGATTTGGTATGGCTTGACAATTCCTCCTGGGCCGCATCCAGTTGCTGTTGGAGGACAGCAATGGCGCTTGGAAATTGCGAAGACTGCTTGGCCCTATTGAGATTTCTCGTAATGGAAGCGATTTGCTTTTCAAGCCTTTCCTTTTGTTCCTCGGCCTTGTTCACTTTGATTAATGAGTTGACCAAGTCCGAGATAGAAAGGCTTTGGTGACCAGATACATCTTGGCTTTCCTTGTTCCTAGGAGTTGGCTGCTTGGTCGGGAGCGAGGCTCCAGCCACCTGTGGCAATCCCACTGGAGACCTAGGATCCGAAGGAAGATTTGTGGGAGCCGTCGGGTAGGCCTGTTGGGTGTTTGACGTTTGAGGACCGGCAAGCCGAGGATCTCGCACTGCGGCCGAGGGTAGACTAGATGGAAATTGGCCCGAGAGGGGTCGCTTTGCAGGATTGGGGTTGGCAGGGCCAACCTCCATATCGTCCATATTCTCCGAAACAAATGTGTTGCAAAATACTCATTGCATTTGCAATAGGACCGCAGATTGCTGTTTCGTGGGTTCAGCTGCGCAAAGTTCAGTTTGCACCTAAATCCTAGGAGAAACCACTTGCGGCAGTATATAGACCAGACTGCCTACCATCAGCACACAGCAGGATATGAAAGAAGAGGTCGGGCAGCGCAGAGCGTGAAACCTGTCCGTCGCGCAAGGACGTGTACGGGGTGGGGAGGTAGAATGATAGGTCGATGGTATTGTAGACACCGAAGCTCAACCACTTGGCCGTAAAAGAGATAGAAAAAAAGTATAGCCGCGCGATGTAGACGATTCCTGTGGAGTTTGAGTGTCTACTGTGGTTTAGGATCGACAATGTCAACATGAAGGCAAATGACGGGCTCTTTGTCGCTTTGGGAAATTATTCTGCCGGGCGGTGACGCCTCCGATCCGTCTGCTCTGGCTCTCTCTTCTTTTGCTTTTCTAGAGCTCTGGCGCATTTGACCAACATACGCAGTATATTTTCCAGTCAGAGGAAGAATTCTCTCGGAATATTCACAAAATGGCTGTAGTAAGTTAACCGTCCTTTATAATATTCATCTGCCTCTGACACCTGAAAAGCCAATCTCGACTGTCGCAGAGAGCAAGGAGCTCCGGGGACTGAACCTCATCGCCGCCCATTCGCATATTAGAGGTCTTGGAGTCGATCCAGACACTCTTCAACCTCGGACATCATCTCAAGGCCTTGTGGGTCAGGAAAAGGCCCGCAAGGCTGCTGCTGTTATCCTGCAAATGGTGAGGGAAGGAAGGATTGCTGGTCGCGCGGTTCTGATCGCAGGACCTCCTAGCACGGGAAAGACCGCGATTGCAATGGGCATGGCACAGTCTCTCGGGCCAGATGTACCTTTCACTATGCTGGCTGCTTCTGAAATCTTCTCAATGGAGATGTCGAAGACAGAAGCCCTCACACAGGCATTCCGGAAGTCCATCGGTGTGCGCATCAAAGAAGAGAGTGAGATCATCGAGGGCGAAGTTGTGGAGATTCAAATCGACCGAAGCGTCACCGGAGTAAGTGTATCTGTACTTAAGACTAATCAATGCTGTTGTTACTAACTCCCTGCAGGGCAATAAACAAGGAAAGCTCACAATCAAGACCACCGACATGGAAACGATTTACGATATGGGAACCAAGATGATTGATTCGATGACCAAAGAACGCGTAATGGCAGGAGACGTGATCTCCATCGACAAGTCCTCCGGTAAAATTACCAAGCTCGGCCGGTCATATGCACGCTCGCGAGACTACGACGCCATGGGTGCCGACACCAAGTTTGTCCAGTGCCCCGAAGGCGAGCTTCAGGTCCGCAAGGAGATCGTTCACACCGTCAGTCTTCATGAGATCGATGTCATCAATTCACGTTCACAAGGATTCCTGGCCCTCTTCTCCGGCGATACAGGCGAGATTCGGAGTGAAGTTAGGGATCAGATCAATACCAAGGTGGCTGAATGGAAGGAAGAGGGCAAGGCAGAGATTATCCCTGGTGTCCTTTTCATTGACGAGGTTCATATGCTCGATATTGAGTGTTACTCCTACATCAACCGTGCCCTTGAGGCCGAGCTGGCCCCTATTGTCATCATGGCCAGCAACCGCGGCCAGTCACGTATCCGCGGAACCAACTACACCTCTCCACACGGCCTACCTCTTGATTTCCTTGATCGGGTTGTGATTGTCAGCACATCAATGTACTCGGGAGACGAGATTCGTCAGATTCTCGCCATCCGAGCGCAGGAAGAGGAAATAGACCTTTCGCCCGATGCTCTCGCGCTTCTCACTAAGATTGGTCAAGAGTCCAACTTGCGTTACGCTAGCAACATCATTACCACCTCGCATCTCTTGAGTCAAAAACGCAAGGCGAAGGAAGTCAGCGTTGATGATGTCCAGCGCAGCTTCCGGCTGTTCTACGACCCTGCTCGGAGTGTTAAGTTCATCAACCAATATGAACAGCGCTTCATCAGTGACGAGGGCAACGTTAGCCTCACGGCTAACAACGGCGATGCTATGGAGCTTTCTTAATAAAGTCACACGTTTTAGTACTGGGCTATTCGGCGGGCAGTTAAGCGGGTTGGAAAAGCTACACTGGACTTGGATTTGTTTGTTTTTCTTTTGTGTCTCATCATTGTCATGATGTATGATAGGACCGGCGCTTGTTGAGATGATTTCAATGGCCTTTTCACATTCAATTGCGGCCCTCCCTATGTAGAGGGTATGGTATTAATGTTTCGTTCATCATTGGTACTTTCATGTGACCAAAGCAATATCTCGTAGCTACAGGAATGTTGGAAACAGCCCTGTTTGTATCAGAGGAAATTAGCGGCGGTACTCCACGGCCCTGCATCGCCTACTCGGCGGAATTCAACCCCTTCGCCAAAGTAGCCAGCATTGTTCCATGAATCCATCATGTTACTATCGTAAGGGCCATGGGGGTCGCCTCCGTCTCTAGCGTCGGACCACCGGTACTCCCACATCGCGGGACCTTGTTCAGTCACGCCACCTGTAGTTGGAGGGTCTACCCAGTTCTCGCCTGTTTCGCTGCGATACTGCCGTGTGAGCTTTTCGCGCTCTGTGTCGTAGATATCAATCTGATCGCGACCCATCAAGATATCCGCGGCGCCAGTGATAGAATCAATTGCCTTCTTTCGAGCCACTTCACTGGGATCTTCATCCTCCATCTCGACATCCTCAGTGGCCTTCTTCTTATTCTTCTTGTTTTGCCACTTGGGTTTCCGGCGGAGGCCTTTGCCCAGTCGGGCCAGTGCCTCGAGTATCGTTTCGCCACGCTCGAGATGTATGATGATCGATTTCAGGGCATCCGCTGTCAAGACGCTGTCGTCTACGCGGGCCTTCTCTCTGCGCTCTGCCTCGCGGTGCTCGGCGGCCTCTTTGGCCTTCTTGATATCCTTTTTAGAGACGTCGTCCAACCACGTATCATAGATGGCATCGGGGTCCATGGCTTTTCGGATATAGTTGCCCTGGTCGTCAAATCTACCCTCCTCTTGTTCCGTTTTCATGTTGAAAGCATCAAGTAGAGGTGCGTGCTTCTTCTTGCCACCTGCGCCAAGCTCCTCGTCCAGGTCATCGTCGACTCGTGCGCGTTCCTCCTCCGCCACCTCACTGCCACTCTCATCTTCCTCCTCAATTTGACCTGCGTGGATGTTCGAATCGATATTCACTGTTCCTCCGCCCTTTGAAGAGTCGACTTGGCCCTCGATCTCGTCATTTTGTAAGAATCGAACCGACTTCTTGTTCTTGTGGATAGCTTCATCGCCATCAATTTCTTCTGCTCCGAAATCTTCCTGTAGCTCGGCGAACATATCATCGTCGTCCGCATCTTGTTGGGCTTGTTTGCGCTCGGATTTCTTCTCTGTGTGTGCCCCGAACCCTTCGTTCTCACTGTCTGAGTCGTAACCCTCGAGATTGACAGCTTTGCGTCTGACTCTTTGACCACGTCGGCCAACCTCGTCAGCGTCCAATACTGCATCTTCTTCAGGTGCATCTGCAGCAAGGGCTGAAGGGTTTCGAAGGTCAAAGCGGGGCTTTTTGTGCTCTGAATCCTCGTCGTCATTGTAATGAGTGCTGCCGAAATCTTCGCCTGTCCGCTTGGGACGCGGTAATGAGCTCGACATGGCGTTTTGTGGAGGGATGATACGGTGGAGGGAGGGGTGAATTCAAGTAGAAAGGGGCATGGACGATGTTCCGCTAAAACAAAAATAAAGCGTACACGACGACAAGCGGGGAGCTGGATGCAGCTCCCATCGGCATTGTTCTTCTGCCGCGTCAGACCGCCTGCGTCTTCTGGTATAGTCCCCGCAGAGCCACCTCGATGTGGCTTGGTGCTGCTCTGACCGCTTTTAGTCGGAGCGGAAAATCATGGCGGAGCGACTGCGTCACTGACGGCGATCCAGCGGCATTGTGCCTCAGATAAATCGGGCTTACTGATAGCTTCCTTCTTACCAAGTTTTGGTTATTCACTTCTCAAGATTATACCATGGTAAGCTAAGGAACAATCTCATTGTTCCCCCAGTATTCAACCTTTTCGCTGACAGCTATAGTTTCGACCTGGTTACTGGCCCGACGACCCCATGGATGGTATCCTAGGTGCTGGCATGGCACGTCCGGGTGCCACAGCCCGTCGGTTCGATGAATACTATCGTTGCTACCCAGTAGCTATGCTTCCAGGTCCCGAAAGAGAGAATGTCAACCACGGTGGCAAGGTCATCATGCCTCCTAGCGCATTGGACAAGCTCACCCGACTGCACATTACCTACCCGATGTTATTTGAGCTTCATAATGGTGCTAAAGAGAAGATGACACATGCGGGTGTCCTGGAGTTTATTGCTGAAGAAGGCAAGATCTATCTGCCATTCTGGGTGAGCGAGAACGTACCCCTCAATGTGGCGGAGCTGTACTAAGACTCGGTTCCCTACAGCTGATGCAAACATTACTACTGGAACCTGGCGACCTTCTACAAATCAAATCGACCGACCTCCCTCCTGGACAGTTCATTAAACTCCAAGCGCAGTCAACATCATTTTTAGATATCAGCGATCCGAAAGCCGTGCTCGAAAACGCCTTCCGGAATTTCTCTTGCCTCACCAAAGGCGATGTCTTCACTTTTGCATACAACGATCAAGTCTATGAAATGGCGGTTTTAGAAACGAAACCATCTGGGACGAAGAGTGCGATATCCGTTTTAGAGACCGATTTGGAGGTTGATTTCGCTGCTCCGGTTGGATTTGAAGAACCACAGCGGACTAGTGGAGCCAGCACTCCTGGCAGCGTCATTCGTGGTGGTAAGCTTCCAGCCGGTGGACTTTTGCACCCCCATGGCACCATGGCACAATCAATCAACTACTCTGCAATTGCCCCCGGGGCCACCGATGCTGCCGCAGGGGCTCGCGCGGCGTCCTCCAACTTCTTGTCTGGAGGCCAGCGTCTCAATGCCAAAAAGGGCAGCAAGGCTCCAACTCCCAACCCGTCTACTCCCACCCCCGGCGCCTCGAATCCCTCACATCCTCCTCCCACCCGACGAACAAATGGCCCGCAACCGCTCCGACTCCCGCCTAACCAGCTGTTCTTCGGGTATGCCATCACACCTGTCAAGCCTCGCGATGAGAATGGGCAGGTCATTCCCGATGACCACCCCAAATTCCAAGGCATTGGACAAACATTGCGGGGGAAGCGAAAGGATCTGTCTGACTCTGCCACTGCCTCGGGAAGTGAGGCTGAAAGCCAGAAGGGCAAGGAAAGCACTAAAAAGTCTGACAGCGGTGGTCGGACTTTAGGGAAGCGCTGATATCTGCAATGTGCTATCCAACCCTACGCTTTCACGATTTCTTCTTGGGTTTAGATAGTGGTGATATCTAGATTTCACAACGGGGCTTTTTCTTGGGGACATAGCAAGGTTCGATACGGCGTTTTGGGGAACTAGTATCTTTTCTTCAATATATCAAACGGCGTTGCAAAAGAGAGTATATCGTTCTTCTCTGTCTTGTATACGCTCTTCTGCGATCCGAGCTTGTACTTCAGATGTTCTCCCAGACCAAGCCCCGTGATGCCAAAGACCTTTGCAGCTTAGGTCTAGTGTCTACAACGATTCAATGAACCAATTTACGGTACATGAGATATCTCATAAACTGCTCAAAGGGCTAGAGTCTCTTGAGAAATGTGGTGATAACCGAGGGCGTTCGAATAGTCCGGCTGCCGGCTAACTAGTGCGCACGGGCACGCCGAGAGATCGCCCTCCAAAGACCTCAAAGTTCAAACTCGACTACGATCTGATCGTACAGATATTTGGACTTGCATCATGGCCACAATAGCCGCCAATCCCTTAGGATCATTCACCAGGCTAGCCCCCTCGGTCTACCTCCACGATCCTGCCATTCCAGGTGAGAAGGAACGGCCAGTGATATTTATTGCTTTTTGGATGAATGCGCCCCCACGTGCACTAGCGAAATATGTGGTCGAATACGGGCGCCTAGTGCCATCAGCACGAATTATTTTTGTCCGAAGTTCATCGAATGACTTCATCTGGCGCCTGAGGACCCAGACCCGCAGAGCCCGCATCGCCCCAGCCGTGGAAGCAATGCGCGGTCTAGTGACCCCTGAAAATCCGGTCTTTGTGCACTTCTTCTCAAACGGAGGCATGTCAAACACGACTCATCTATTACATGCTTGGAAGGATGCCACGGGAACCTCATTGCCGATCTCGGCCATGATTCTCGATAGTGCCCCGGGCAGTCCTAGCCTACGATCGGGCTTGAAGGCTTTCTCCTATGCCCTTCCTCGGATGTGGATTTTGCGGCTGTTTGGGAAAAGCTTGCTCTTCGCTTTCTTGGTTCTCTTCAAGATGATCCACTCATTTACCGCGCTTTCGGATCCTATCTCCCTTGCCCGCGAGGTCGTCAATGATACTTCTTTGGTACGGCCGGTTAACGCGGAGGGAACTCTCAATCGCTGCTATATCTACTCTGATGCAGATGAGCTGGTTGACTGGCGCGATGTGGAATCTCACGCTGTGGACGCTGAGGCTAAACGCTGGGTCGTGCGTCGTGAGGTGTTCAAGGGCTCTCCTCATGTCGGGCATATGAGGGTTGACCCTGATCGCTATTGGGGTATTGTCAAAGAGTACTTGGGGGCTTTGGTATTGGCTTGATTGTCGATTCCTGTCCCTTTGCCTGTAGACTTTACCTCAATGTTTATGCATATACATGCATAGTTGATATGCATTATGCCGTGCGACCACCATTTCAGTTTGCTCTCCACGCATGACTATCTCCTCACTCTAGCAGGGCTTCAATAGGAATATGGATACATATGTGCCATACGATTCATTTCTCCACCAAGAAACAATTGAACTGCTGTTTCACTTGAGCGTACCACCAGATTTGACCATTCCATGGTCACAGGTGTTTAGTCACTATGACTGTGAGGTCAGAGCACATACCAATAGTAAGTAGAGCTAGCCGCCTGGACATCAGCGTGGAAAGGACAGGCCGCTAGAGACTGACCGAAAGAGCCGGAGCAAAGTTCCGCAGCTCCTATCTGGGGGCGTAAGTCATTGCGATTTATCAGGTGAATGAGAAACGACGACACCGCTGCATCATCACTTGCTTCTCTGTCCCGGAGTTCCCATTTTGATATCTTCTACCTCCTCTCTTGCCTCAATCGATGTTTACTCGATGTGTCTGACATAGTGCATGCCATTGCAAAAGCATACTTCTCTGTTGAAGTAGGGTTCAGTGTCCCAACCTCCCCGTACTATTCTGACCTAGTGGCATAGACTATCTCTCTTTTCTGGCAATAACCGCTGAATTGACGAAACACGACCATGTTCCAACAACCAGGCGCCCATCCCAGTAAACTACAAGCCAGATCGGCGGAAGACGCCCGCTTCTCTCTTCCGGGATTCAACCGGCCCCTGGACTTCGCTCCAAGGGAGAAAAATATCTATGGCGTGGAGTGTCGGAGCATGTTTCCATCGGCCCTGGACGACAGAGACATTCAAGCAGGACATGTGGAGTAAGTCTATAGACCCCTGGGAAGTCGACAATGCTGAAATGCTCTCAGTCTGCCAGTCTGCACCTTGCGTGAGCTTCATATGGTGTCATATATGGAAGATCTAACAGATATACCTGAATGGTGGGAAAAGGTCAGTGGCTCTCTTGAACGCAAGACTGGACATTCCATTGAGATAAAGATAGGTCTTCGACCCGACTGTCCAGGAGCAGTGGAAAAAGGACGCCATGAACAGTGGCAAAGACATCACACTCAACATGGCTGAATGGATCATTGACGAGCTTCAATTCAAAGCCATGATCTACCAGACCACAGGCGTAGTGTCCCTGTACAATGGCGATGTCACCAAGTCGGACACCAACATGTCTGAGAAGCTCATCCGCGATATCAAAGCCATGGTGCCGGAACTAGCGTATGCCGATGAAAGGCTGAAGGAGTGCTATTCAGGGGTCATTCTCAGCGAGCGAGACTATCTTTCCGTGGCTATGTATCCGCTCGTCTACGGCAAGAGTCGGATTCTCACCGACAGACTCATTGGGGTCGACGACGCCCTCCAGTACGCTGGCAAGGGAGAAGTCATCCCAGTCCCACAAGATACTGGAATCACCAGAGAAGATATTGCCTGGCGAGTCGTGGCTCGGGCAGACATCCAGGTCCGGCCGTACAGCCGCCATTACCAGCTTCTTCCCTCGGACTGGGAGTTCGGTGACGACGGAAAATGGCACATAGCCTCATACATCAACAATCTACATCCGGTCAAACACCGAAATGTCTACAAGGTGATCGAAGAGGCTTTCAACTGCGTCGTTCCCCAGTGGAATGCGACTTTGACTCCTCTCAAAGACATGCTTCATTCTCGTGCCCGAATCGAGTACGCCAAGGCGGAATATTACCCAGTTCCGAAGGAGCTTGCTGCTCAGCCACCTCAAATCCAAGCGAGAGAAGCTCAGAGTGAGTTTGATGAGCGCCTGGAGAAGTGGAGAATGGAAAACATGCGTGTCATCCAGCCCGACGTAGGCAAATTCATCCCCTGGGCCGTCCCACCTTGGATGATGGATAAATTACCTAGGGACCTCCCCAGTGGAGTTCGGATCGAGAACAGCGTCGATCTTAATCGGGACTACCAGGGCCGCGGACTGCAGGTGATTACCCGCATACTGAGCATTGAGCTAGATCCGGAGAATCCCACTTACGAGACAGACTTCCACGTCGAGGGCACGATGGTAAGTCCCCAAAGAGCAAACATCCCCCCTCCCCACCCCCCGATCTGAAATCTTGAAATTGACAGAACAAACCAACTAGAACGAACACGTCTGCGCCACTGCATTCCTAGTCTACGACCACCAGAACACGCACGACGCATACATGGAATTCCGCAACATCATAGAAACTGACATGCTGTCTGAAATCGAGCACGAGCCAAACGATTTCGTCTGGCTGCAGCAAGTCTTCGGTCTGCGAAACAACGAGCCAGCCGTTCAACGGCCCGGCACGATCCGTGCCAGACCAGGTCGAGTTATCATGTGCCCGAGCGTTGTACAGCATAAGTTCAGCTTCGCGCTGAAGGACACAACGAAGCCTGGATATTCGAGTGCCATGGTGTTCTTCCTTGTTGATCCTAATATTCGGATCATCTCCACGGCTAATATCCCGCCTCAGCGTGTCGATTGGACTATGGATATCCCGGAGTCTGAGGGAGGAATCAGAGCGGCTATGGAGAAGCTTGCGCTGGATAATATGAAGAACAAGGATGATATGCCGATGTCTTTGGAAGAGGCGGCGGAGATGAGAGCCGCAGCTGTGAAGGAAATGCTGGAGTTTACTCGCTATCAGCATGTGGCGTTTGAGTCCAAGATTCTGAATCTTTGATGTGTTCCAGGTTGTTTGGATTCAGTTTCATTGCCTTTCTCTTTGCTTTTGTTCTGGTTATCTTATAGAAATTGGATCATATGGATGCAGTGTTTGTAGCCCCGACTACGTGCTACAAGAAAGAATCTAGAGGAAAGAATAGTCCAAAGATAATATCAAATCGCCGCGCTATGCCATTCATTCGTAAGACCAGATATGCACATGTCCCATTTTGATCGTCCCAAACACCAACCGAACCAAAGCCGAATCAAAAAAAAGGCTTAACGCCCCTTCATTTCGGGGAACTCGTCATCCAACTTCAGACGAGCCGTAACGTTCATACTCATCAACTCTTGGATAAGAAGTTTAGCAGCATATGGAATCACCATCTTCACGACGGAACGAGAAGACTTGCAACCAGGACACCAGTTCAAGTAACCCATGAAACCACACTTCTCGCAGACATCCACCTCGTGGCGATCGGACGAGATCATTAGACGCTCAAGTAGCAGCCGACTGGTACCATATGCAATCAAACAATCACGCTCCATCTCACCGAGACGAAGACCACCGTTACGCGAACGACCCTCGGTGGGTTGACGGGTGAGGGTAGCTGTTGGTCCCTTGGCACGAGAATGCATCTTATCTTGAACCATGTGCTTCAGCTTCTGATAGTAGATAGGACCGGTGAAAACATAGAAGGGCAGGGCCTCGCCGGTGATGCCGGAGGTGAGATAGTCCTTGCCACCGTAGCTGAAACCCTTGTCGATTAGAATCTGGGACATTTCCTCGACTGGGCTACCACCGAAACAGGTACCGTAGCCGTGCTGACCAGAGAGGACACCGGCTTTTCCGGCGACCAGCTCCAGCATCTTTCCGACTGTCATTCGGGAGGGGAAACCGTGAGGGTTCATGATGATGTCGGGGTTGATGCCTTGGTCGGAGAAGGGCATGTCTGCCTGATCGGCAATGATTCCAACAACACCCTTCTGTCCGTGGCGGGAAGAGAACTTGTCGCCGACCTCGGGTCGACGGGTTTGGCGGGTCAAGACTTTAATGAGTTGCGTCTCGCCCTCGGTGGCAGATACCAAGACCTTGTCGATATAGGAAGGATCGGGCAGCTTGTAGGTCATGGATGCGTCGATAACCTCTCCTCTGCCAATGTCGGAACCGCTGAATCCCATCATGTTTTGTACCTTGGGTGTCACTTTGTGGATGTAGCTTTCGCCGGCATTAACCGTCTCGCCAACTGCAGCTAGGCCATCGGCCTCGAGGATCGCATGCTTGCGAATTGGGGCGCCGTTCTCATATGTTGGCGGCCTGAGGTCATCCTTGGCTCCATTGGGATAACTCTTCAAAGTCGTGACGTGCTTGCGGAAGACCTGACAACGTCCGAAGCCACGGTCAACGGATCCCTTATTCAGGACCAAAGCATCCTCAATATCGTATCCAGAGTAACTCATAACGGCAACAGTTGCATTTTGACCAGCAGGTAGTTGGTCGTATTTGGTCAGCTCAATGGTTCGTGACTTGACCATTGGCTTTTGGGGGTAGACCATGAGGTAGAGAACGGAATCGATTCGCTGGAACTGATTGGAAGCAATGGCACCAATGGCTTGTTTACCCATGGCACATTGATAGGTGTTACGTGGGGATTGGTTATGGTGAGGATAGGGAATCAAACCAGCGACGGCTCCGAGGACAGTGAAGGGTTCGATCTCAAGATGGGTGTGAGTATTTGAGATGTCTTTCTCGTAAATGGAAATGTAGGAATCGTTCTCTTCGTTCACATCGAGGTACTCCACGAGCCCTTGAGCGAGGAAGTCGTCGAACTCCATCTTACCATCTCGCAACTTCTCCAGATGGTGAGCTTTGACAAGAGACTTGCCATTCTCCACGACGATGAGCGGTCTGCAGATTCGTCCATCGTCGGTTGCAACATGGACAGCCCGCTGGTGATGGTTGATGTAGATGCTGACAAACTCCGAGATGCGGCCCATGCGGCGCAGCCGTCGGAAGGCATTCAGGAAGGACTTGGGGCGTCTGGTCAAGCCTGTCGGTGTACCGTTGATAGAGATTGTATAGGCACCCCGTGCGTAAAGTTGCTGTCCGCCAACACTCGAGATGTCTTCGACGCCCAGCATGAAGATCAAGTTTCGCACCGGCCCTTCCTCATCGTTGGTCGTAATATGCGTCATGAGAGCCAAGTTCTTGACGAGACCACATGCCTCTCCTTCGGGAGTATCTGCAGGACAAAGCATTCCAAACTGGGACGGTTGCAGGGCACGAGGACCACTGACTTTACGGGTCTTTTCGAACTGACTGCTGATACGAGTCATCATACCCAGCGCTGCAATGTAACTCAGTCGACTGAGGACATGAGTGACACCTGCACGCTCCATGCGGAAACGCTTCAAACTCCAGTTTCCGGTGGAGATAGCTCGATTCATGCCCTGAGTGATATGATTCCCATGCATGGTCACGATTGTCCATGCATCGAACTGTTCGGCCCGATTGCGTTTATTGAGAACTTTGTCGATGTTCATCTTGATGTCGAAACAGAATTTCTTGAACAAATCTTCGAAGAGGAGAGCCAACATCTGGCCCGCAAGCTCCAGCCGTTTGTTTCCAAGATAATCACGGTCATCAACTAGCGCCGGGTCGTTCTTCGCCATCAACACGCGACGAGCCATATGAGCGACATAAATGGCCTTGGGTCTGAAATTCATGTCCTTCACCTCAATATGAGAGATGATCACAGATGCAATGGCCTCAATTGCCTCTTGCACGTGCGTCTTTCGGTAAGCGGCCTGTTTACGGTTGATCTTGATTCGGCAGCCGATCCACTCAAGGGCTTGCTGTTGGGTGTAGACATCGACATTGATGGCCTCCTCGAAATTGATCGCGAAGTCATCTTGATACAGACTATCGTCACCTGTCACCATTTGCATCATCTCCTTGTCGGTGTGGATACCCATGGCCTTGAGCAGAATGACGATGGGAATATCTTCGTTCAGCACATTGTGCTTAACATAGAGCCTGCCCTTTTTCATCACGATATAACTCTTGGATTTGCGCTCGTTCGAGGAACTGTGGATGTTAGTGCCGGTAGAGAGAGAAGATGTGCACATGTACATACCTGGTAACCGACGCCTGAACGATGTCTTTCTTCGGGTCTGTTTCGACAATAATTCTGTTCTTGCTCAACTGTTCTTGCACGAGAATGACCTTTTCCGTTCCGTTGACGACAAAGTAACCACCGGGGTCAAGGGGACATTCGTTGAGTACGCTCATCTGAGCAGGTGTTTTGTTCGAGAGCACACACTTAGAACTCCGAAGCATGATAGGAATTCTTCCAATAGAGATGCCTCGTCGGATAACCCTTTGCCGACCACGCACATACTCAAAGTCTACGAGAATCGGTGCAGCGTATGTGGTGTCTCGCAGCCGACACTCCTGCGGTGTAATGGTCGACTCGAACTCAAGTCCGCCATCGCCTTGCTCGTCGGCTCGGCGAGGTGAGCCAACATAGATGTCGGTAAATTTGATGTAAAAGTTGTGGTCCACATCACTCCGAATGGTCGAGCTCGACTCCACGATCTTCTTCATTTGCACCTCAACGAAGTAGTTGTAAGAGTCGATGTGTTGCTTCACCAGCCCTTTGACCTTGAGAAATGCTGGCAGGAGATTCCATTTGTCTTTAGCTGTGTTGATCGGTTCTGTGAGACCTTTATTGTAGTAAAATGGTTCCAACAGCGCATCGAAAGGGTCTCTAGGCTTGTAATTCGAGGGAGCTGCATCATTGACGGGCGCGAAGTGCTCGTGAGGCTCAGTAACGGAATTCGACTGGGAAAGGCGCTGGCTTTTGGTGGTTTCAGTCGTCGTTTGCCTCTCGGTCTGCACAAAAAGAGAATGTTAGTACATCTATCATTCGTATGAGAGTTGCGACGGGGCAAAAAAAGTTTCATTACCTCCGATGGACGTCGGGCCCTACTGGCTGCAGAGGGCTGCGGCCTTTTGCGCGGAGGCATTTTGGCTAGGCAGCTGGGAGTAGAGATACGGATATTCAAAGATATTCCGATCACAACTCAGTTGTCCGTGGACCAGGAGCTCGCAAAAGATGTGTCTCATGGAGGGGAAAGATTTGATAAATTTGGAGATAGATTAGTAAGCCACTGGCTGGAGCTCATTGTTGCCTGAGGCAGAATTTAGTCTCCACACTTCGTCGCAAAAGGAAACGGGCGTTTTCATACATTGACGGTTGTACGTCGATATGATCAAGATTCAAGTCAAATTCATTGAATTTCTCTCTTCTCTCAGGAAACATGTCTGTACAGTCTGTGGTTTCTGGTCCCGCGTAGTTGGTTCAGTATATGTTTTGAACATTGAGAGCAATCCATGTGAAACAACCGGGCAACTTATACCTTAGGCTCCATGGGAGGGTTCCGATGGAAGCTCTCCATAGGTAGGTAGCTCCACATATACTTAAGTGTTTCATTACTTACTTCATTTTGAATCAGCAGACCAGCTCAGAAATCCGTCTTATCCTGTTGTTGAGTGAGTACATATACTGCCCAGTGCCCGGAAGGTCTAGGCTAGGCGAGTCTTAAATCCGAGGCTGAAGGACGTTAGAACTTAGGAGCCCAGTCGAAGAAGCAGACATTGCCAAACCAGCGAACGTAAATTGGTCCAACGAAAGGCCCGTGTGAGTGCAGCCCCTTAGAGCGCACAGGGCTGAATGTGAGGCCTTAGGTATGTACTTAGGTGGTTGTCAAGGATCTGTTGCCCAACATGGGAGTACATCCAGTGGGTCTTTGCGCATGCAGGCCAGCCCCGAACGTTTAGGTACATGTCGGTATATATTTGCAGTTGTCTATCTGCACGGACAGATTACTGGTCACATCTGACTTGACTTGCAAGTTGCTCGATGGAGCCCGATGATCTATGAGGACGACCCTAACAATTGATGAAGCGATCACCCATAACACCAAAGAGATGGGACGTTCCACCTGGGCTGATGGGCACTGCGAGGTACCAAGTGCGATGATTTGCACTGGCAATAGTACACCGAGCTTATAAATAGACCTCGTCGCACTGCTTGTGTGGCATTATTGAGTTGTCGAGTATCGGGAGTACTCCATCCAATTATATTGAATAGGTAAGAGGCTAGGTATCTGGCCAGCTCTTCAAATCCCGACAGGCAAATTACATCAGAGTGCTAGTCGAGGAACATTCGATGCCTGTGGCAAAAGATATGTTGACCGCAACTTTGAAATCGCCACGCTTGACGCTTATGCTACTATGGATACTGCACTCGACCTAAAGATCACGCATTCCAGCAGGCTTACCCCCTTTCCGACCGGATCTACTGTACGTGTGTCAAAGTGTGCACGCAATGGTGGTGCGATAAGTCAGCGATTGAAGGTGGTCTCCATGGCTGGAAACGTGGTTGGCAAGACAGGGATCATAGCCCAATGTGCCTTCCGATAACCATGCATACTCCATACTCCAGGGCTCCAAGGAGATATCAGTCAAGGGCTGGATCTGGGGGAATGCTCCACCTCGACTGGGAAAAGCATGTGTATTCGCTATCAATGCCTAGCCCCCACTGGGAGGCCCTATTGTAAGACTTGAGCTACAGGGGTTGGTTTGACGCCGGGGGCCGATTAGTTTAGATGGTTACGGATAATAACTGTTTGCCAACCGATTTTGAAGACAGTCTAATATTATTGCCTTCTGGTAAGCTCCTGTTACGAATGCCCTCGGTTTGTGATTGGAGTCATGGATTCTGGTTCGTGACCCCTATAATGGAGACAGCCAACCAATTTCGAAGGCGTCAGTCAGGCGTTGGGCATGAAAGAAAGCAACCGAAATTGCTTCATTTGGGCGTCGATAAGTGGGTTTTTGAATCCACAAATGTTTTAGGATCCTCACTAGTATTATGAGTGTGATGGTAATCATTGCATGCGATAGCTGGCACGCTAGTTCGCGCACAGTTGGGGTTGGACGTATCACTTGGAGATCATGAGGGGGATTTGCCCTAGAGATCAGCAGCACAGACCGTAGCAAGTACTCAGCTCAGATTGAAAAACATATTTAGTTTCTCGTGCCTCAATAGACTGTATATTGTTACAATAGATGAAGGGGGTAAAAGTGGTCCATAATTGACGATCATCCCCGATGTGTGAATAATTCTAAGGGTGATTGGGGTTCGGACGACCTCCATTGGCAAGCTCGTCATTTGGTGGATCGGGGGCAAAGCGACACGATCAGCGGGGACACTTTTCCGATTGTACACCGCTTGTCTTGACGAAGTAGCGAAGTAGCGACCGCTTATCGTAGATCGGAGATTGTGGACACAGGACAACTTCCAGAAGTTTAGAAGAATTGAAGACTTGGAAGGACCGAAAAAGGGGGGAAACTATAAGTGTAGACCCATGGAGAACAAAGAACGCGACCCATGGGTGAAGAACCGTCACGAACCATTCCCTCCGTTAACCATTCCAAGGTTCTCATTGGTGTCTTTTTAAAGGAGATATAGCCGGAAGATATCTTTGGTTTTTTTCAAACACATGAATACTCGAGTCCATTGTAATTTCACTGATGATTCAGGCACAGGGGCCAAGCTACATACCTTAGAAGGCGATCCGCTGTCACATCTTCGGGTACTTCAGTCCCCACAAGTGGCTCTTAGAGGGGGTAAAAGCACCTGCAGATGCCACGCTCCTGACCAGCGCATCGAGAAAACCCCTTACCGAAGTCCAAGCACGATGGTTTTTCTCGTGTACAGCCCAGCTTGTCGCTAGTCCACCTTGGAATTGACCACTCGTAGCCCCCTGAAGACTTCGCGGGAGCTATCGTCTATTGCACTACCCCAGGTTGTTCCCGGGACAAGTGCGCCCTGTCGTACAGACACCGGAGGCTCTCCAATCAATGGAATCCGATTGATTCCCGAGTGACTGCTGGCTCATCATCTGCTATGACCCAACAAACCGTGTCGAGAATATTCCAAACACTATAAGAATGAAAGAAACGTAGTGAGTTTTAAGGAGTATGGGGAACGGGGTGTATTGTTTTGGCGCCTCACCCGAATGTCCACCGGTAACAGGACATTAGATACCATCAACCTCAAAGATTTCCCATATAATTTGACAATATAAAAATTATAGGAGAAAGCGGTGCTTGCCAGATTATTCTCCGGCAACTTCGAATAGCATAATCCGTAGCCAGAAAAAGAATTAGCAGGGGAAAAAAGAAAGACAAAAAAAGGCCACAGTCCGTTTACTAAAAGGGTCTCCCCGCTCTGATCTGGACTCCCAGCCATTTTCTTCCCCCCCCTCTTCCTCTTTCCTTTTTTCTCCCTCTACAACTTCTCTTTGTACAACAGTTTTGTATCGTTCGTTTGGGTTATTGTTAGGTTGTATTTCCCCTTTGCGCGACACGCTCGTTTCGCTCGCGCCTCGATCCCTTTTCGCTAAGTCGGAGCGGTAAGAGAGCTTCATCCCACTTCGTAACTCCCTACTGATCTCCGCAATGTCAGGAACACACGATATTTCGGGTCAATATTACCTATAGATGACCTGCGCCGCATAAAGCCACATCACGCTTCCTTTGTCGACCTGATTTGACTTCTCTCGAGGCGTTCATTGTGTGAGTTGGGTCCCTTTTGCGAGCGCAGATCGTCTCCGCCTGGCCAACCCCTCAGCCCCTCTCCGTCGATATTCCCCTTGCTTGAGACGCCGAGGAGCACACACACACACACACCGCCAGCCCACCCCTCCCCCATTCGGACATTTCCCTGCCACTGGAGGATCGGCTGCCGTAATATTTGGGGCTGGTCACAATCGCTTTTCTTGGAGAAGCTCCCCTATTACCCATTTCGGTGCTGTCAACCAACCAAGATATTAGCTGACCGGAGGTCTGTTTTCGGGATATAGTTGGACAATTCGGCTGCACTGCCCACGATGGCCTTCAAACATGGGCTGAGTGAACGCCTCGACGAGCTGCGATTCCCAACCCCACGATCCCCGCCCTCGGAGTCTGCGTTCCCTGGATACACTCCTCTTTCCCCGGGCCATTCGAACTTTGTCTCGGGGTTTTCGACTCGGCCGGCCGGTGATGTTCGAGCAAACCTGCAACGTCGGTTTACTACCGATTCAAGCAAGTTTCCATCATGGAATTATTTGAGACCAAGCTCGGGTTCGGGATCTAGCTCGGGTTCGGGCCAGATGCAAGACCCGTTAGATCTGTTGTCTTCGGTAAGATATAAAATCTTCTCTCAATTGCCAGATGTCATATTGTGTGTTCACGTATTATTGCGTTGGTTGGGGAAGAGAGAAGAAGCAATAGATATGCGAAGTGAGAGGAGTCGATTCAAGACCTTTGATCGCTATCTCTATTGCTTATTGCCTAAATCCTGCGCTGCTGCCTCCATTATTGCCTATTCATCATTGCTATTCATTCTTTTTCTCTGTCATCCACCTTATTCATCATTCCATTGCCCCATTCATCTTCTTTTCATTGTCACAATTGCATTGACCAGGCGACCTACCGGGTTGATTGATCCAATTCCGTCTATTCTCCTCAATCACTCGGACTTGACATGGATGCCTGCCTGTGACCGCTTGCGAAGTATAAAACCCATGCACATCCTCGCCAGGTTTTTCTGTTTCTTACAGCTTCGTCGTTCGTATCTTGCTGCATCTTCGTTACGTCTGATACCATCAGGTCAAACGAGCTTCAAGCCCTAGTCGAGCTTACATCTGTCGTGTGCTTCGTGCGTTCCATGCATTCACCCCCTCTCCCCTCCAAGCTGCCCTCCTATCATCCCATCCCCTTTCACAAGTTGTCCTCTGGTGAAACATTCCTTGGCATGTCTGCTTTTGTTTCCAGAACTTGTTTTCTGAAAATCTGAAGCTTCTTGTCAAATTCACGTTGTCTAACTCACACTTCCTACTCCTCTCTGAAACCTATCATTCTGTCAAACACCATCATCTTCGTCTCTATCACGTGGCTTCGTTGTACTGACTTGTCACAGTTTGAAAAGAAAAGGCAACACATTGAATACATGCGAGAACAAAAACGCCGCTTTGAGGAGGATATGAAAATACTCGATATCCAACACGCAAAAGAGAAACTGGAGATGGCCCAACTCGCTCGGGACATGGCCCAGGCTGGTATCTCTGGCCCAGTCAGTGAGCCTACTACCCCGCCTGAGTATCGTGATACTGCTGTGTCAGATGCTTTCAGCCGTCCGGCTCGGTTTTCTACTTCCAACGTGACCTCTTCGCCCAATTTCTTCAACGCCTTTGCTCCTTCGACTTTGACTTCGCCGCAAGCGACTTCTCAGTCCGCTCAGCAATCAATTGACCGTTTCGCTGGACACTCTGTTCCCAGCTCACGACGCAACTCTGAGAAGGAAGACTTCTTCACGGACCCGACTTCTCCCTTTCGCCAGGGGCCATCGTGAGTGGAGAAATTTGAGGAATTTGTCGTTTCGGGGCCTAGCTAATATCGACTTAGTGTTGTCCATCGGTACTCGCTGCCTTCGGGCAATCCGAACAACCACTCTCACCGACAGAGTATTTCTGGTCTGAACGGATCTCGCTTGGACAGCTTCAATGTTCCGAAATATTTGTTCCCAAGCGAGGACGACAAGTCTCATCATCACCAGAGAGAGATGGAACGCTTGTCGACCCCTGACATCAAGAGCTACATCAAGTTGACCGAGCCGGATGACAAATTTCCATCTTTGACTCGTCGGGGTGACTCTAACATGGTAAGCTTTTTGTCATTGCAACAAGAAATGTATTGTGGGACTAATCATTTCTCAGCTGTCTGCAAACCCCGATGCGCACGATCTAGCCAATGGTCGCGCCCTAGGCTCCGAACACTACTCTCACCATAGCCGTCACCGGTCGTCTCATCAAAGCATGCCTCAGAATCTCCAAACTTTTGGCCGCTTGGATCAGGTGACAACTCAACACAGTGAGGATCCCAACAATACATCCCACGTTACTCGCCACAATGGTCGTCGTTCCATGGGAAGTCAGATTTCGTTCAATGACTGTCGCGAGGAGACAGCGACCCCTGTCGCTTCGAGCCGCCCTACGGCTTTGCAGTCGTCCTATTCAACGAATGATCTGCCCACTGTTAAGGGAAATGGCACTGGAATGTCTGTCACTCCTCCGCAATCTCACAATGCGAACCTGGGACGAATTACCCAGAATGGTGTGAACAACAATCAGCCTAAGGCTGATTTCGATGAGGCCGAGTTCCACGGTAACCAGTCCACACTGCATGCAGGTGCCCCACCCTTCGGGCCCCAGATCAGTTCTTTAGCATCGAACCAGCACCCTTCTGGCTCGCATGTCCCAATGGGTCTGCCATTCGGGGTCCCAGCGGTCACAGGTTCAGTCGCTACTCTCAATTACGGAATGCAGCCCTATGTCGGCCAAGCGAATCCTATCAACGGCCACATGCAAAGCTTTGGAGGGACTGCTGCTTATAACGGCTATCCCGGCTATGGGGGTCCTGCGGTCCGCTTCAGCGAACCTGCTGGCCGTGGAAACATGGCCCAACGTCGCCAGGAGAGTGAGGCAAGCCAGCTCACGCGTTTCGGGAATTATCCCCTTGAACACTACAAGGGCGAACTGTACAGCTTGTGCAAAGATCAACATGGCTGCCGATACTTGCAGCGCAAGTTGGAGGAGCGCAATCCGGACCACGTGCAGTTGATCTTCAGTGAGACGTACATGCACGTTATCGAGCTCATGACAGGTAAGAACCAATCGTTTGCTATCTGAATCATTTCTTGAGAACTAATCATTTCCCTCGGACAGATCCTTTCGGCAACTATCTTTGCCAGAAGTTGCTGGAATATTCGAATGATGAGCAACGTACCGCATTGATCAACAATGCTGCTCCTCAGTTGGTTAAGATTGCTCTCAACCAGCATGGAACTCGTGCACTACAAAAGATGATCGAGTTCATCTCGACCCCGCAACAAACCCAGACAGTGATTAAGGCGCTGCAGCATCATGTCGTTGATCTGGTGCAGGACCTTAATGGCAATCATGTCATCCAGAAGTGTCTTAACCGGCTCACTTCCGAGGACGCCGAGTTTATTTATGAGGCTGTTGGAGCTCGTTGCGTTGTTGTCGGGACTCATCGCCATGGATGCTGTGTTCTTCAGCGCTGCATTGATCATGCCTCTGGTCAACAGAGGGCTCGCCTGATTTCACAAATTACATCGCATTCGTTTGCTTTGGTCCAGGATCCCTTTGGCAATTATGTTGTGCAATACATCCTGGATCTTGCGGAGCCGAGTTTCACTAACCCGCTGTGCGCTACCTTTGGTGGTAACATTCCTCAGCTCTCCAAGCAAAAATTCAGCTCCAATGTTATCGAGAAGTGCCTTCGTACTGCGGACGATTACATGAAAACTGCCATGATCGAAGAATTCCTAGCCCCCAACGAGCTTGAGAAGATGCTTCGTGATTCCTTTGCGAACTACGTTGTCCAGACCGCCATGGACTTTTGTAACGCCGAAACTCGTAACCGCATTATCGAGGCCGTTCGCCCCATTCTCCCGTCCATTCGCCAGACTCCTCATGGCCGTCGCATCGCGGGCAAAATCATGGCTGCTGATACCAATCCTCGCAGCAACGGTAGCAGCGCCACCGCCAGTGGCGAAGTGACACCGAATGAGATGGGCAATTCTACTCAGATTCCTAAGAACCTGTTGCAAAAGCCTTTCGTGTACCAACAGCCTGGTGTTCAGTCCCCGGCATCCCACGGCGGATACGGCAAACAGCATTATGCGACTCAATCTTCCCAGAGCTCTGCCTCCACCACTCCTCCGGGACAGAGTGATACCTCCTCCGTCTACACCACCTCGACTCCGCTGTCCATGAAGGCTGGACAGCCGCAAATTCCGAACTACTTCTGATTGGGTTCGGGACGCCCACATCAGTGCTTGTCTTTCACAACCCCAAGTGTACTCATAGTGAATGACGCGACGAACGTTTTTTTTATTCCATCTTGTTTCTACCTATCACGACTTTACGGTTGATTTTTCCGCACGTTGTTCATGAACATGGGTTTTAATTGCACATGCCATGATCATTTCCTCGTGATTTACCTATGTTTTCCTGCATACACTCATGAAGTCATGTGCTTAACGATCATTCATTGCGTTCGGCCCATGTTGCATACTGCATACTTCCATGATGAAGCGACTCCGGCAGGCAGATTCCACTCGGTTCCTCTGTGCACTCTGTTTCCACTCATGGTGTACCAAACCCTTCCATTTCCTCTTGATGGGGGTCTGGCAATGGGTCTTGGGTTGCTCCTCGGAACAATCTGTTGCCCTATTGCCTTGGTTTGAGGACTGGATCGGCCTGCGGAAGATGTTTCTTTTGCTTTCCCTTCCTTCGATTCTTGCTTTCTCTTTATTTTTTTCGCTTCCACACTGTGATTTTCCCCATCATTTCCCCCAACATTGTACTTTGCCACATTGCTTTTTATTCATTTTTTCAACTGCACGTTGTGACGTGCCCGTTCAATTGACATGGCTTCTTTCCGTGTACTAAGCCGAGCATGGATGTCGAGGCCCTTCGAGCCTGTGAAACATCGTGAGCTTTTCATTCTCCGGCTAATCGCGTTGACAGTGCCATTCGTCTTCTGATGATGCTGCACACACACACTTGCATGTATTTTAGCACTGAGAATCGAATCGAGTTTGAATCCATCTTTAAACAATAACTGCCATAATTTCCGTCTGGAACTTGTAATTCGTCCCTTAGGTCGTCAATCTTGCGGCGCGACGCGTGGTCACGTGCGTGAGGAGCCGCCCTTCGGAGCTTCGACGAGATGCCGCAAGTTACTTTGGACATCAATCCAGTCTACATCGGTCAATATCGACTGGGCCTTTCATGCTACCAAAAGAGGTCGCTAGCTCATTGAGCACACAATGGCCATGTCGCGAGGTCCAGATGCGGCAATTGGCCAGTCTCTTAAGTGTGAGTCCACGCTCGAATTCCCCATATATGCCAATTGAAGGGAAGTTGGCTGACCAGCGGTTTTCTTGTTTGAATAGCCAAATGTCCCTAGTCCATCGACGCTCGTTGTCCATGGTATATCCGCAACCTGCAAATCGACCATTCTCCGCGCCGTCCTCGCTACCCTCGCAGTGCCGCATGCGATTATTCCTTGCTCGGAATGTATTACAGGTCGACATCTTCTGACGAAAATCTTATGGAAGACGCTGGAGGCGCTGGGCCAGAAAGAAGAGTGGGAAAAGTCCGGCAAGGGAAGATGCGACCATGTTAGCGGGCTGTCAGTCCTCCTCGAGGAGTGCCTGACAGCGAGGTCCGCTGAAAACACCGGCAAATTCGTGTTGGTGTTGGATGAAGCTGACAGACAAAGGGAGGCCTCGCCCACACTTCTGTCAGCGTTGGCACGGCTAGGCGATATCGTGAGTCCGGACTTTCGATGGCTTTTTACCGGGTGTGAAAATATTGCGACTAACAACCATGATCTCTAGATCCCGTCTCTATGTGTCGTCCTAGTCCTCAGCTCGACTCCACGACCACTGTTTCTCCAAAGTGCGGCGGTGCCGCACGTCAGCTTTCCTCCATACACGCGCAATGAGGCCATTCACATCATCCTCAGTTCGGATGCGCCGGTCATCGATGGCTTGCCCGCTGAGATCTCCTCTCGCGTATACCCCTACTTTGTATCTACAGTCTACGACTCCTTGGTTGGGCCAACAGCAGGTTCCATTCCGGATTTCCGGTCTATCTGCGACAGATTGTGGCCTCAGTTCATGGCACCGGTAGTAAACGGGGAAACGCCCCCAGGCGGAAACACCGAGTGGGATTTCTCCCGACTGCTAGTCAAGAACAGAGCGATCTTCCGCCGCCAAGGCGAGTCGGCCCTAGTGCACCGTATCATTCCAGACGAGACGACCACCATCGCGAAAAAGGCCCCCTTGACCACAAGCGCCATGCCATCCGCCCTCCCAACCCTGCCATACTTCTCGACCTTGATCCTCACATCCGCCTATCTGGCCTCACACACGCCCCAACGCCTGGACACAATCTTCTTCTCCAAGTTCTCCTCCTCATCCCTCTCAGCCCGAAACAAGCGTGCCCACCACCGCCGCCGTCTGAAAGTCCTCTCCCAAGCCCAGGCAGAAGAAAGACAAGCCGCCAGGGACGATCCCTCCACTCCCAATAAAAAGGGCAAGCGCACGAAAACCCGCATCACTAAATCAACTCTCTCCTCCGCTTTCGCCACTTCTTCGGCCACCACTTCTGCCGTCGGAGGTGGCGCGGGCATCACTGGTCCTTCCACTATCCTCACGGCTAGGCCTTTTCCCCTTGGAACGTCTCCTGGCTATCTACCACGCTATCGACCCTAACCCCCCGGCAACCCCACTGAGAGTCGCGGCCGTCGCTGACCGCATCTACGCGGAACTGGCGACGCTGCGACGACTAAGACTTGTTGTTCCTGCTGCTAGCCATAATGGCTTGGCGACGAGCAGTGGGAATACTAGTGCCGATGCGGGTGATAAGTGGTGCGTTAATGTCTCTGGTGATTGGGTCGGAGAGCTGGCTAAGGGCATTGGTGTCGAGGTTGGTGAATGGTTGGCTGGTGGTCTAGATTGATGTGGTTGTTCTATCTGGAAGACGTCTTTTGCTAGAGCTGGGCTGACGCGCTGTTTTGTTGCATCTATCTTCTGGCGTCGCTGGCTTGTTGGCGTCGCATTGCATACTGGATTTTATTTACTGAGTGGTCAATTTATACCCTGTTAATCCTTCCTACATTGGACACAAGAAGTAAACTCAAGTTTATGGTATTGGCACGGCGGCGTAGTGCAGGTTGCTATGGATATTTGTGTAGAACAGTGCTTTAACACTTCTCAATTTCAAGGTTGCATTGACATAAGTAATTGAGCTAACTACCTCTTCGAGTAGTAGACCCCATCGACAACGGGTAAAGACATGGCGACCATACTACCCTCGAATGTCCAAGAAACCCAGCTGTGCAGGAAAGAACAGGGGAAACCGATATGTAGATTGCCGACAACACCACCAAGGAAAGCTCATGCCGAAATTGATAGCCACAATGGCTGAAAGTAGAAATGCCACCAACTGGCGTCTACCCCATTCAATGAGCCCTCTTACCATGTCCATTGTTCGACGACGTCACCTGCGCCAACCAGCAAAGTAGGCGCCTGTGGGCCCCGCCACTCCGGGGTATCGTTCCCGTATTCAAATCGCACACAGGTAGGTAGCTCTGAATACCGATGTCCCTTGAGGGGGGAGTCAACTTGCCGGCCAGTTTGCAAGGAGAATATCTGGACTTGGCAGTCCTGTGTAGCTATAGTGAGGTGTAAGTCAACATCGTTGAAATAGTGAGTAAGACTCCGAAGAAACATACGATTAGCTAGTAGGCCCAGCTCCGGGCTCAGGTCGAAATTTGGTGATGGAGGTGATGAGTAGTCGGGGAAGGGGAGGTAAGGCGGGGTGGGAGAATAAGCTGATGCGGTTGGCGCAAAGCGTAGGTCGTACATTCGCAGCTGCAAGTAACGTTAGTCGGTCAGAAACGTTGGAATATGTGGCACAGAGGAAAAGTGAAGAGAGAAACACAATCAGCTACCCTACATACCGAGGATGGTCCTGCCGCCACGAGCCGATGCTCATCCATGCACTTCATATCCATCACAGAATCATTGTGCCGCAGACGCGTGACACTGCCCGCACTGCGCAAATCGTGGAGGAAGATTCGGCAGCTCTTCTGTCCCGCTGCGATGACGGTGGGCGACAACCATTCGACGGCATGGACGCTCTTCTTGTGCTTACGATACTTGGAACCTTTTCCATTATCTAGCTCAGTCCCACCGTTGTATGGCTTCTTGTATAGAACCCAGGAGTTGTCGGTTGCCTCGAGAGTGTGGAGTCCTTCGGATGTTCCAATGGCAAAATGGGTGCTTGATCCTGAAGGCTGGGCTGCCGAGCTCCAGAGCGACATTTTGTAGTCAGCTCTGATCCTGATTGGATGGAGAACTGAGAGGCCTGGAATCAGTTGAAATTCTGGGGCAATGGATGTGATATTCGATCTTACAGATGGGCCAGACGTAGTTGCCGCCTTCGTCGGGTTCTGGGAGGCGGTGGACCGAGAGGAAGGTATCGCCTTGGGGTCCGTTGTTCATTGTTGCGCTAGGGCCGTCAGTATGGGGTTTAGTGGATAGGGTTAGATGTTGACGTTGACGTACAGAAGGTATCCTGTTTGACTCAAGGACATGGATCCTATCTAGAAAGGTTGTCAGCGGTGCCGGTTACGGTAGCCAGTGGGACGATTGGGCTCACCCAGTACGGCTCTCTGAAGAGCATCCGCTCCATGGTTTGGTCGTAAGTCCACTGTGACCCTTCAATATCAGGGAAGCACACCCTAGTTGCTGGTTAATGGGTGTTACTGCTTGACACAGTGAGCCGATGAACTTACGATACAGACGATTCAGCACCGCGAGCCGTGCCTTTTCAAATATTTAGCCACGTGCGAGAATAATAGAAGCCAATATGCAATGTAACTCACTGGCAATCAAAGTTCCCGAACGCGGGTTGCGCAAGACATGGCTGATGCCATAGGTATTGGGCCATGGCTCAAAGCGGTGGAGATCCGTCCGATGTAGTTGGCTCGCCTGGATGCGAGCGCGCTGTTCTTGTCTAGCGGTCGAGGAAAAGCCAAGGATTCCCATTTCTCTTTGCAGATTCACCAAGGGATGACGCAGTGAGGTGGCCTTGCGGACAGTCTCTTTTGCTATGCGCTGCTGTGACTGTGCCGTCTTCTCACGGGTCTGGGTTTGTGAGCCGATGGGACCAAACATGAAGAGTGAGTATACTGACCTCTTTCTCGATCCGGCGTCGCTTGACGGATTGCTGGGAGTACTGCGCATTTGGGGCAGCGGCATGATTGGCCTCGATCTTGAAATACTTCTTTTTGTCCTCATCTGTGATATCCTGTTAGCTGGTCTGTCCCTGGATAGCAGCAAGAGACTGTAGTAGCGTGCTGTTGTCAAGAACACAACAATAGCACCCGTTCTTACATACTGCTCTTGTGCTCCTCGACCCATTAGTAAAGAGATGCATGCATGCTTACCATAGTAGAAACCGGGTATCTCACGCGCCATGGTAGCGAATGGTGCACCGATCCAGTCGTAACGGACGAGCAAGAAGGCCCAGGGAGGTATGTGAAAGATATCGAAGTGGTAGAGAGCTTTCCACTTTTGCTCGAGTGTCTAGCACAGACGAAGAGCCATTGTGATTGGCCCCAACCAAATTAAACATGCGGCCAACAACGTTACAACCGCCTTCCAAGCCACATGAGCTACGTGAGCCCCGAATTATTTCTTACAACAGTTTCGTGGGCAAAGGACATGGATCGGATCATCGGAGACCTTCCGTGCGGGACAGCTGGAGTGCCCGAGTGACGTAAGCTTACATAATAAGCCCTGCGATCGACGCCTCAGGCGACGATTTCGAAGCCCTAACCAAGCAAATTGCCTAATTGGGAAACAATGAGCTCCGAGTCCTGGGCATTCGACGTCAAACGGCTGCTTTTCTTCTTTTTCTCCTAGCAGACCATATAATGCATCATTCCGCCAATTAGCAAATAAACAATGCTCTCGTAGTTCACTCATCAAGCCAATCAAATAAGCAATTCATTGGTTCTAGAGATTTGTGACTTATGTCGAACGCAGTCAGAAACCTCATGACGGAGCTGTTTGTACTGAATGACGTTCTGCAAGTAAAAACTCCAATTGGGAGAGCTGTCTTTCGTTGTTTCTCCCAATATCGAAATAACACCATCTGGGGACGCGGCAAAGTGAATGAGGGCAACCACGACTTGCGATAGTCCCAAGGTTGAGATTCGGCGTTACCTGGCAACCCATACCGGGCTCCGATAAGTCATTTGGCCTGCCTTTTTCATAAAACGGTCTCAGCATAGACAGTACGGTGGTCAATTCTGACGATAACTCCCCAGGACAATTGGAAAGCCTGAGTGACATCGGGCATTGACTTGACCTCCAAAGCCCGCTCTTCATGGCGGCGTATCTCGGCCAACCTTGGACAAAGTGTAGACAGGCGTAGATTTAGTTTGCAAATGCTGCAAACGAAGCAAGTAACGTCGTCGTCGTCGCCGGCGGCGTCATGCCGAGACGATTCCACCTGCCCGTCGACGAGTCACTGGCATTGAGCCGGCGCCCACAAGCAGATGTAGCAAGTACCGTCGTCGTCGCCGTCATCATCGCCGCCGAGCCATCACCCACTATTTCTTTCTTTCCCTCCCTCCCTCTCTCTCTTTCTTTTTCTCCTTCTCACCCACGCCGGAAAATCATTTCTTCCTTCAACAGTTCTTATCGTAACACATACCACTCTTCAGTCAACTTGACTTATCCGAAGTAAGTTAATCTGCCGTGTTGTCTTCCATTCATTACCGTGAAAAGCGGGATGAATTCGTCTGGACAGCATCCCCCAGCCGCTTGCACTCCCCAGAGACTGAGTGCATCCAGTGGGCTTTGTGGTCTCTTCCTTTGTCCCATCCCATCTTTGTCCCATCCAAACATGTACCCAGTCTCAATCTATTCCGATGAGGTTGCATTCCTGTTTGGGAGTATGCTAACTCCTACAGCTTCATTTTCCATTCGTTCACAATGGCCGACCACGGAACCAATGCGCCGGAGGAAGGCAACCGTAGCCTCCCATCCGCCTCCAAGGCCCAGGACACCCCGGTTGTCCCGATGACCGAGCAATCCAGCGTCCCTGGCCATATGACCACGGAGGACAATGCCCCCCACCATCCAGTCGCCGGTGACTCGACCGAGCAGGTAAGCATCTGTAACACCAATGACTATCCTGCCATGTTAGCTCTTGATTTGACTTCAATTCCTCAGGGCGTGGGAGCCGATGACCTCAACGCTGAGGTCACTGAGGCCGAAGGCCGGCTCGATGCTGAAGAGGCTCGGCTGAATGAGCTCTTTCGACGTCCGGACGGCCCATATCCGGCCGACTGGCCTACCGATCCCCGAGCTAAGTTCAGGCGCGTCATTGAGGCTGACGTCTGTATGGATCTTGCCGCTCAGGCTCTCTGTGCCGAGTTGGGAATAGCCACGGAGGATAACAACAGACGGCGCAATACTAACCTGTATGACGCCGGGGACAAGCTCGTCGAGGACGAAGATGAGCTCGCCGAAAATGAGCTTGCCGAGGGAAAGATTCTCGATGGTAATAAAGATGGTTCTTCTGTCCGGAACATTGATAGTAACATCATTCACCAGGGAAGAGAGAGTAACTCTCTAGACGACCTCATTGAATCTCTTATCGCTGAAGATGGCAACGCGGATGCAGAAGTTATCTCTATCAAGGGTGGTGAAATCGCGACATTACCTTCAGCGCTATTTGATACGGATCCGAAATATGGGTTATCTGATTCAGAGGTCACGATTCGGCGCAAGAAGTTCGGTTGGAACCGTATGCGAGAAGAGAAACATAATTATGTTCTCCAGTTTCTTTCCTTCTTCAACGGCCCTGTGCAATGGGTTATGGAGGTAAGCAGGACGGTCTTCTCGTGATTGAACACATGCTCATCCTTTCTCTCCAGGTCACGGTTATCCTAGCGGGCGGATTGCAAGACTGGATCGACTTCGGTATTATTTGCGCTTTGCTCTTATCAAATGCAATTGTTGCGTTCGCTCAAGAATATCAAGCCGGCAACATTGTCGCAAGTCTGAAAAAGACACTCGCTCTCCGTGCTTTAGTCCTTCGTAACGGTTCGATTTTGGAGATAAGCAGTGAAGAAGTCGTCCCCGGTGACATCATTTATGTAAAAGATGTGAGTTCACAGCGACCTAGACCACAATCTTTGGATCTGACCTCCTTTTCCAGGGCACAATTGTTGCGGCCGATGGCAGGTTGGTCTGTGACGACGCCTATATTCAGGTCGATCAATCCGGAATCACAGGAGAATCTCTTGCGGTCGATAAGCACAAAGGAGACCCGATCTTTGCTTCGTCGGCCGTAAAGCGAGGAACTGCGTTGATGGTCGTGGTAGCCACTGGCGATCATACCTTTGTTGGAAATGCGGCTGCACTGGTCAACAAGGCTGGCAATACCACTGGTCACTTCACCCAAGTCCTGAACGGAATGGCCAGTATTCTTCTGGGTCTTGTGGTCTTCACGATTGTGGTCATCTTCATCGCGAGCTACTATCGTTCCAATCCGATTGTCCAGATATTGGAATTCACCCTAGCAATCACCGTTGTTGGGGTTCCTGTTGGCCTCCATGTGGTTGTCACCACGACAATGGCTGTCGGTGCCTCCCACCTAGCCAAACAACAGGCGATTGTTCAGAAGCTCTCTGCTATCGAGTCCTTGGCTGGAGTCGAAATCCTGTGTTCGGATAAAACAGGCACGCTGACCCGGAACCGATTGACATTGGGGGATCCGTATCTAGCTCCCGGGAGGACTGCAGAAGAACTCATGCTGACTGCCTGTCTTGCGGCAAACCGGACAAAGGGTGGAATTGATCCCATCGATAAGGTCTTTATCAAAGGTCTCCGCTTTTACCAGCGGGCCAAGTCTCAGATCGGCTCATACAAGACCCTCGAGTTCTACCCCTTTGACCCGGTGTCGAAGAAGGTCACTGCTTTCGTAAAAGGCCCCGATGGCGAAGAACTCATCTGTGTCAAGGGTGCTCCTATGACTGTCCTGCGAACGGTGGGAGAAGACACCATGCTGTCCGAGGAATTCGTTAAAGACTATGAGGCGAATGTCAATGAATTCGCGAGTCGAGGATTCCGAGCACTTGGGGTTGCCCGCAAGCGTCAAGGGGAGCCATGGGAGATTTTAGGTATCATGCCGTGTTTGGATCCACCGCGCCATGACACTGCTAAGACCATTGCCGAGGCAAAAGAGCTTGGTCTCGCCATCAAGATGCTCACTGGAGATGCAGTTGCCATTGCACGTGAAACCGCTCGTAAACTTGGACTTGGAACAAACATATACAACGCTGAGCGACTTGGGGTCACTGGTGCCGGCTCCATGCCGGGGTCTGAGATCAATGATTTTGTGGAGGCTGCTGACGGTTTTGCAGAGGTCTATCCCCAGCACAAGTATAGTGTGGTCGAGATCCTTCAGCGGCGAGGATACCTCGTGGCAATGACTGGCGACGGCGTGAACGATGCTGCATCGCTGAAAAAGGCCGACACTGGAATCGCGGTAGAAGGCGCATCCGATGCTGCCCGCTCCGCTGCTGATATTGTTTTCCTGGAACCCGGTTTGTCGGCCATCATTGATGCGGTCAAGATTTCCCGCCAGATCTTCCACCGTATGTACGCATACGTGGTGTATCGAATTGCCCTTTCCATCCACTTGGAACTGTTCCTCGGGTTGTGGATGGTGATCATGAATGAGACCCTCGATCTTCGCTTGACTGTTCTTCTTGCTATCTTTGCGGACGTTGCAACATTGACGATTGCTTACGACCATGCCTCGTATTCACAATCACCTGTCAAATGGAATCAGCCACGACTCTGGGGAGAATCCATCGTCTTGGGACTTATCCTGGCCGCCGGTACCTGGGTCACATTTGGCTCCATGCTGTTGCAAGGTGACGACGGTGGTGTGATCGAAGGCTGGGGCTCACGAGACGAAGTCCTGTTCTTGGAGATCACTTTAACCCAGAGTTGGTTGATCTTGATCACCCGCGTCACCGGATCCAGATCGTTTTTGACCAACCTTCCCTCGATCTGGCTTCTCGCTGCTATTGTGACTGTCAATGTGGCTGGAACTTTGATGGCGGCGTATGGTATCTTTGGTGAACCGACCTCCTGGTTAACCATCCTTCGGGTCTGGATTCTCGCTTTCGGGATGACGTGTGCGAGTGCTCTGGCGTTCGTCTTCATGCATAATTCCCAGAGATTCAATAATCTCATGCACGGCAAAGGTCCGCGGAGAAATGACAGAGAGCGGTCCTGGGAAGACTTTGGTAAGTTGAGAGATCACTTTTCGGTATGGTCAGACTGTTTATGTACGGGCAACTAACAAAGAATAGGACTCAACATGCAGCGCATGGCGAACCAGCATGAAAGGAGCAAGTGAAGGTTTCCGAGGCCCGGTAAGTGTTTGTCCCTGTGGCCTAAGGTGGTCTGGTGTTGACGTGTGGGTCAGCAGATAAAACCCCGTTTTAACAGCGCAATGAACGGGCATACCTTGCATATGGGTTCTTTTGATCGCCGTTGGATCATTTCAGGTTGGTATCATCAGGATGTGATGGGCGAAATGGACAGAGGATATTTTATTGATGAAGGGAATGATGGAGAAGGATAAAATTTGCGATTGGGTCAAGGCATTTTAATCATTTTCATGCTCAGATGAGAGACGAGTGAGAGACGACTGAGAGACGACTGAGAGAAGAAGGCTGGTTGTCGCCGGCGACGGTCACCGGAATGGCACTGTCTCGGCATCGCATCATGGAAGCATGAATCATTCTTATTGTTATTCAAACACTGATTCATTACAGACTCAATTCTACCAGATTATCTTGCATTCCTTGCCTGCTATTGTACACAGTATTGTTGATAGCTTGTATCTCGGAGTCTAGACAACATCTATGGTCGCAGGCTACATGTATGGTCTGTCTGATCTTCGCAGCCTTCCAAGGCTGCAGGCAATGCAGATGGGTCTTTCTAGGCTCTCAGCCAAGTTGAATCTAGAATTCGTTAGGCATCGACGGGCGAGCGGCATTTTGAAATGCTGTACGAGTCTCCCAAGGATTCCAGTCTGGGGATGTTTTGGTGGGGCTGTGGGACGAGCTAGTGCTAGCGCGAAGTTGGCACGCGTCGCGTTTGCGGGGCTGGTGGGCCGATAGCCCTCGATAAGCCTCGGACTGGGTTAACAATATACCGGAGCTCATCGGAGTGGACTAATGATAGACCGATAGCCCTAACTGTAGATGTGGACTTGTAGACTGTAGTTGTAGTCGTAACTCGCACGCTGTTCCTCACATGACCATCATAACAAAAGTAAGGTATTCCCTGTGGGCTGTGGCTACCAGCCTTGGAGTTGTCAGTTGGCACTTGGCCTACCTCTAGCTGTTCCCTGTACTCACGGAGTCACGGGCATCTATAGATGTAGTATGAGACTGCGTGCATGTTTGGATGACAATGGACATTGTAATTTGTACTGAGGGAAAAAGGTGTGGATATCTGGGGATTTATGCTCTGCACTGTAAGATCCTACAGGCTACGAGTTGCATCGACCCTGGAAAGGTGGGGATCGACAGTTGACACGATTGGTTCAGGTCTGTTGCCGTCCAAGTGCAGCAGGTTTAGATTCAGACTGCTGGGGGTGGGGTATAAAACTAGTATTTTCCAGAGAGTGGCTAATTTATATGTGGTCGACTGTTTGGCCGTTTGCGCGATCTTAGGGCTGACTCTTGAGCTCTGTTGGTTCAACCCGCAGGCCATTGTTCGCGGCAGCATTACCTACATTGGTCCAAATACAACCCAAACAAAGGACATAGTACCTAGTTATGTTACTATGTAGTTAGTAGTTAGTTATTCGTAAGTGATTACATAAGATGCATTTTACCATTCGGCCAAAACATCATAATCGGAACGTCCGATTGTAACAGCAGTTGTATATATACTAGGCTCTAGCAACCGCTCGGGACCACATGGTATGGCGTTCTTCATCACGTGGGGTGCAGGCTTCCATGCAGCGGGCAGGAGCATATAATAAAACAGGCCAAAGCCCCCGCACCACATCATTACTTCAATCTAGTTCCGCCAAAAAAGGGCATTCCCAACGAACATCATTCTTCATCGAATAACGCGATATGAATCACAATCATTCCGATTATCAGGCCCGCCTTGATTTTATAAATGGCAATCATGGCTTATTGAAGAGAACGTTCGGTCTGCCTGTATGTGCCTGAAGATAGAATGAGTTATGAACCCTGCTAAAGAGGCTCACTAGGCAAATACCCTGGTTGAACCAATTGCTTATGATCCTGAGTGCCCCTTTAAGTACAATAACTTTGTGTATCGCGTCTCTCTGCCGTCCCCACTCGACAAAGAAAATGGTGCCTGTCAGAACAAGCCCGGTTGTGTGGCTATTCCTTCCGGCACTAGTGGTCTGATCCTTCGTCGGACAAACTCTGATGCTACATCCATGGGAGCAGCGAATCGTGTCGAGAATGAGGTTGCTATGATGACTCTAGCTGCGGCTGCGCTAGACCCAAATTTCGAACCCAACGTTGTGCCTCGTCTGTATGGCTGGGCTGGAACCACATCTAGAAAAGGGGAGCCACAGCAAGGTTGGATCCTCCAGGAGCTCATGACAGGCGTTCCTCTAGACGAAAAGCTAGACGACATGGAACTCGAGGAGAAGAAAGAAATATTTGCACAGATCGCAAAGCTCCTCAAAGGTCTTCAGGACTTGCCGCTGCCCGCCTCTATTACTAAATTTGGAGGACTGACCTTCGATAACGAGAACAACATAATCAGTGCACCAATGACCACCACCAGTACTGGTCCCTGGCCCTCGTACGAGGCTGCATTTGAAACACGGCTCAAGCAAGCTCTGAAGAAAACAGACCAGAATTCTTATATCCGGGGCTGGCATGAGAATGGCGTCCGGGACCGACTAGAGGCCTTTATAGAGCGAGGGCTCCCAGAATCTTTCAAGCAGCTTGAATCGCGCGACGACAAGGCAATAATCCACGCAGATCTTAGTAAGCATTTTTCCCTTTCACCTCCCGAACCCAAACGCTTGTTCTTATAGATGCTTTCTATCAGCACCCAACAACCTATTATTCGACATTTCCTCGGGTCGCATCACAGGATTAATTGACTTCGACTTTTCGTGCGTTCTCCATCCTTCATACGAGTTCCTTTGCTCCTTTAGTGGGCTTGGCGGCAAGTTTGGGGGCTGGCCCGGCACTGACGCCTGTGAAGAAAGGGCCCTAAAGGAAGCCAAGTTACACGGCTTCCCAGACCCTCTCCCCGATGACCAGCAAGACTGCGAGGGAGTTTAGTGGAAAGTTGCGAAGGCCTGGGAAGACGCCCTTCAGAATGAGGGTTGCAAGCGCCCGATGACAATCCGAGGGATTGACATTGTCGCTGATGTCGATGCCCTCCTCAGTTCTATCCTGCCCTGGCGCGTGACAAATTCAGACATTCTGAGGAGGCAAACCGATCAAGCCATTCAAAACTGCCGAAATGAGAACGAGAAAGTTCTGATTGAGATTCTGGAGCACATCGGGTTCTAGAATTATTAGCAGAACGCTTTCGGGTCCGATTTAAGCCTTGAGCGAACAAACCTCGCACCGATTCACTTCCTCGAGCCTCGCCAAGCTGTTGATGTTTCATTTGGACTCTATATTTGTCCAGTTGGTATATTCAATAGCAACACTTAAGATATATTATTCCACGCTCCTTCCAACTTTGAAGAACAATATATGCACTGTGGTATTCCATCTACTTGTATGCTAGCTTCTTCATTCATCAACATCGGGCATATTTCCCATAGAATGTGATTGACGACCCAGAACAGATAATCAAGCCTACTGTCAGCTGCCCATTGACGGTTCGTCAGGAATATATGGGAGAATCTACGCCATTCGTGGATGTTTGGATTTGGATGAGCTCCGTTGATCATAGGCAATTTCTCGGTTTATACTTTGATCCATTTGACGACCACGTCTATCATCTCATGATTTCTTCTTTGTGTCCGGTTGGCAGCACTAATATCAGGCATTGGTGGGAATTCCAACATGTATACCTTGCGCAGAATCGTGTTTATTGACCCATTCTGTAATTGCGCTGAAGTTTCGACATGTGTGCGTCGTGGAAACCCGTGCATCTGGTTGTCTATTCCCGCGATCCGTATAGAAAATAAGACCAATATCGCTATTACACATGAGAACTTGTCGGAGGAGGTCGATACAATGGTCTGGGTTAACGTTAGAGGAAGTTGTATGTGAGTTTCGGATGAGGGGGAAACTCACCAACATGCTCCCACACCATCTCAGGGGGATCTTGGAACGTGTCCACGTGCTTATAGTGATCTCTCCAGATAAATTTACGGGTGATGTCAAGGCAGTGTAGTTGGTGGTAAACTTCAACTGTAGTGTAATAATGGCTACCCTTGCCTTTCGATGGCAGTTCAGTTGGGTCATAACTTCATAAGCCCTGAGTACCCCACTGTCTACAAGAATCATAGGTTCTTTGAAAGGTCAGTCATATAGATCTTAAGGCCTGCATATAGAGCGGAATGCGGCGAGGAGAGTCACCTAAACTTACGGTCTACCAATGCTTCCCATGCATCATCAAGCTCTTGTCGAGGTAATCCCTTGTAAATTGATGGTTCGCCTAAATTGGCGCTGAATCTCAGAGGTATATCTTCTGTCCAGTTGGTTAAGGAGTCTGTCATGTGAGCTAGCATCCATGGAGCAAGGGGGAATAAACAGAATCTGTGCTAGCCTTACAGTGTAGATCGGCATGTTGGTCACCACTACCTTGATGTTGACCATTGGGTTTGAATCTGCCCAGAGGGCTGCAGTATTCAAATCTATAGATGCCCCAAGCATTGAGAAGAACCCCGGTCACGAAAATAGGTACATGAAAGTACCAGGCAATCATTTTCCTTGTCAAGGATTCGAAGGGTGAGGACTGCTAAGTTGGCTGTTTTGTTCTGCATCGTGTCCCAACACAAGTCGATTCGGCCTTCTCAGCCATGAGGTAGTGGGTACAGGCAGGAAAGCACTGTGAGAAACAGATACGCTACGTCAAGCGGAACCCCATCTGCCTCCTCTCTTCCAGCAGCCAGCAAGGCAGCCAGCAACGACCCAGCAAGCATACTCCGCGCATGGAGTTGAGGTGACCTCCAATGGAACCATCGTTGCTCCTCTGATCCTCCCGTTTGCTGCACTATTCCACCCCCCCTCAATTTGAAGGCCTCTTGCCTGAACGCACGGATCCCACTGTGGCCCCGGATGGGCCTCATTCAGTTGAGCACACCATTAGAGCGCCAGTCATAAGCCATTAGCCATGAGACCCAGCGGGTTCCGATAGACCGAGGATAACGAGCCAGTGGGTACCATCTCTATTTCTTTCGAGTGACTGTTGTGAAGGGCTAAAGTAATATTGATTCAATACTAACTAGGCCTCATGCTGGGAACGAGAATCACAGAGAGAAAGATGCACAGCGGGGAAGATATAGAGTCATAGACTGAGCGGCACGTGACTGGACAGGAGCGGCGAAGCCGCGTCGGAGATATCGGGGTTTACCCCGTGACAACTGTAGGATCTTCTCCGCATCGACCCGGAGTTGCCAAAACTGGGAGAAAGTTCGCACAACGTATCAAACGGGCAGGAAGGAACATGAGAAGACCGAAGATTGGATACCGGCTCATCCTGTCGGCTCAGTCGTTTCCAGGAAGGAGTCAATTTATGCGAATTTGCGCGTGTGGTGCTTCGTTCGGCGCGGCCACGTGTAGCTGATGGCTCCTTCCAGCGCTGCACCCAGAAGCCCCTTGTAGTTGATGTTGATGAGTCTAGGCAATCAGTGACTGGAAGCATACCAGCCACCCATTCTGGAAATAGAAGTAGGGGCGTCTCCGTCGCTTTGAGGCACCATAGAGAGCGGAGAGCCCGATGGCTCATGGCACTTTCGGCGGAATCAGTAAATAGAGATAACAAGCTGATGATGATGATGATGATGATGATGATGAAGAATTGAAGATGATGTTCTCATTGACCCGTTTAGCGCGCTTTAAGCATCAGTACACGTGATTTGATGATGAGGCAATGACGACTGTTCGGTGAAGGAAGGTACCTGCTAGGTCTAGAGCTTGAGTATGGTTTCCGTCACCCGGTGACCCGTGACTTTACCACGTCTAAATAAGGGCTCAGGGCTAGGTCGAAGATAACCCTCTCGGTCAAATCATATACACCGTAGCCTAAACCATGCTCCTCAACAAGACCGAAGCTGAAGCTACGCAGAAGTATCCAACATATAAACTTGATTATGAATTATTGTGACATACACTACACACGCAAAGACGAAGTGGCGATACACATTGGAACAACCAATTCCAGGCGACCAATCCTTAGCATATGGGCATTGTGGGCCATTAGCTGAATGCAAAGGAGGTCAATGAAGTCGCAACATGAGAAAAGAAAAATGAAAAGGAGATGATATACACAACGCTGGACAAACCAAGGGAGGCATCGATGCAGAGGAGCGTATTGGTAAATTGATCATCAGGTCCAGAGGGTCTCCTTGAGGGAACGGAACGGAGAAGCATAAGTGCAATAAAAAGCAGACAGTATGTAGGAGATATGTGCAGTAAGGAAGGTAACAGGTGTTGTCATAATCAAGCCTTTGAAGTTAAGTGATCCACAGCCTGGTCCTCTGGTCAGTATATTGTAAGATAGAACAGAACGTGGAGAACTCACCTTATCGAGGTTGTAGTCAAACTTTTCCAGCGCATCTAGGGACTCATCCCGTGTGAAGCCCATGCCGGTCAAGCGCTGCAGGATAAGGTCGTCTTCACCAGTGTCATTTCTCAGGGCCCATCCAGGCTCCTTGGACTGCGCTTCGCTCGCGTCCTCGCCGGTGGAGGGCTTGGCATTGTCAAGAGGTGCGAAGAGCGCGTCCCACTCGCTTGCAGCTGGCTTTGATCCGCCATCCGTTGGCGAGCCAACTGATTGGGTGGTGGCTGCGTGGACGTTGTCGTCGAAAGAGAAGAACTGTGCGGAGCTAGATTGACCAGCATCAGCACCGGAGCCCACCTGCTGCTTTTGAGTCGGAGAGTCAAAGGAGAAGTCAAAGTCGGTTGTGTTCTTGGCTTGGAGTTCCGGCTCGTCGTCATCATCATCTTCTGCTTCAACCGCGGGTGCGAGGTCCATTCCGGCGAAGGCTGCCTCAAAGTCCGGCCCTCCCACTTTCGCTCCACCAGCAGGGATAGCAGCCTCCGAGACAGAGTCCCGCTGGGTCTCATTGCTTACGACTGGCGCTCCAGTGGTGTGCTCAACTGAATGAGGCGCATCCGGGGCCACGGTGGGATCCGTACGTTCAGGCAAGAGCCCTTCAAATTGAGGCGGGAGGTGGACATTGTCTTCTTTGGGGGCCTCATACTCCGGAGGACTCTGCTGCGCGTCAGGAGAAGGAGGCTTGGCGGACGTTTCTGGAACAGGGAAAGCAGCCAGTTGCGCAGCGTCGATCGAGTCCGGTTTTGTCTCCTTAGCCTCGGGCGCAGGAGGCGAGAAGTTATCATCGAAGCCCATTACAGCTTCATCCTCTGAACTCTCATCGTCGTCATCATCATGATGGAGCTCTTGGATCGGAGGGAATTCGGACGAGCCTGCTGCCGCAGCTTTATTCGTCTGTTCAGTTCCAGAGGGGTGCTTCATAGATGCAAACGCTTCCTCAAAGTCGTTGCCTTGTTGGGACTCGGACCGTCTGTGTGCTTTGCTGCCAAACAGCTCATCAAAGCTTAGGTCCTTGCTGCCCTCAGCGGTGGGGGAGGTAGCAGGCTCAGGCTGCTGGGTAGCTGCTGCTGGGACCTCAGGGAACCTGGCTGAGGCATCATGTCCTTCCTCCTCGAAAGGAGACCGAGCTGGAGTGCCCGCAAAGCTAGACGTTGTCGGTGCATGACTGTAGTCAGCAGACTCTGTCACCGATGGGACCCCGTTATCGCTGGTGGCCGCTTGAGAAGGTGTACCAAACCCAGATGTTTCAGGGCCGCCAAATCGACTACCAGGAGGCGATACCTTTGTAGATGAAGTCTTGGACTGTGTATCATCGAATTGCAAGAAGCTCGGCGTCAGTTGCCGTGACTCACTGGGGGGCGGTGGTTCAGCAAAGGCACCAGCAGGGAATGCGCCAGGCAAAGCGCCAGGAGGCGGAGAGACCGATGGAGTCGGAGCAGCAGAGGTAACAGGAGACGTAACCGAAACTTGCGGGGACTCGGCGCGGAAGGAAGTGGGCGGCGGTCCGGCGGCAGAAGGAGCCGCAAAGGACTGTCCGAAAAGGCTGTCAAATGCCTTTTGCTGATCGTTCGAAACATCGGGAGACCGGGCCTGTTCGCCCAAGCTACCCGTCCGACGGAAGAAGGGATTTGTGTTTTGGCTTGCCGTAGACGCTGCAGGGCTTGCAATCTCAGCCGCACTGCCGGTCCGAGTCACATCTTCGGAGTACTGCGGGGTCTCATTGGCCAGGGTGTCTATCTCACCCTGAAGTTTATCGCGTTCGCCTTCCACAGTAGCTAATTGCTTCTTGTTTATGGCGACGAGGCCCTTCTGTTGGCGCGCACTAGAGCGCGCCTTCTCTAGTGCTGGCTTCAGCTGGGCGACCTCGGCGTTTGCCTGGCGGATCTTCTCTTTCAGACTAGCGTTCTCCTGTTCGTCAGCAGCCAAGGCCGCAGAAACCTGCGTATATTGGGTGTGCAAGTCCTGACGGCTGCCCTCAAGTAATGCATATTGCTGTTGCAACTTCACAGTCTCTGCCTTAGATGACTTGAGGCGCTCCTCAAGTGCCTTGAAGTTGGTGACCTCCTGCTCGTACATTGAACGTGCTTGTGCAAGGCGCGCCTCGAAGTCACGCTTTTGCTGCGAAGTCTGTGCAATGTTCTGTTCGGCAGAAGTCCGCTTCTCCTGCACATTCTGCATCTCCTTGGCGAGAGAACCAATTTGGTTCGATAAGTTCGCAAGTTCAGTAGTCTCCTGAGTCAATTTGTTTGATTCCTCAGGATCATTGTCACCGAGGAGATCGTCTGAGGGAGGGGGAGGAGAACGAATTGCTCCCGGGGTTCCCGCTGAGGCACCAGTGACTTGGGGTTGCAAGCTCTGGCCAAATGAAGAAGTGGGTACAAATGGTTTGAAGGTGTGCGATGCTGTCTGCGGGGACGCTCTAGAAGGCGAGGCGGGTGTTTGGAATGCGCTACTTGATCCCCCAGTAGATTGAGGAATCTGGGGCTGCGCAAATGGCGGCGCAGGAGAATCAAGTCCAAACAAATCATCAGCAGCTGACCGTACAGCGGGGGTGGGCACCGGGGGAGGTGCAGGCGCTGCCATGGGTGCAGGCGCTTGGCGGCGCATGCTAGGTGGGATAAGAGCCGGTGGGACGACCTGAGGCAGCGGCTCCTTGCCGCTACGTTGCATTCGCACCAAGTACATAGCCACGGCAAATTCATCTCGGCTCAGCTGACCGTCTGCGTCGATATCTGCAAGGTCCCAAATTTGAGCAAGAGTTTCTTCGGGAAGCTGGGCCTTCATGAAGAAGGACACAGCTTGATCTCCAGTAATGAGTCCCAACTTAGCCGTGTCCACCGTCTCAAAGATGCTGTCAAACTGGGCCTTCTCCTGTGGAGTGACCAACCAATCGGTCCCAGTGACCTGAGCGGAGAGAGAGCCTACGAAAGGCGAGCGATTGGCTGTGCTCATGGGGCTCGTGGTTCGCTGAGGCCCAGAGAATTGCTGAGGAATAGCGGGAATGGGAGGCACGTCGGGTCTCGACCCAAACGACGCCCGCGCGGGGCCCCTCCGAGCTGCCGCATCATACAGGCCAGGTGGTAGTGTCGCTGGAATGCCGCGCAGGACGCCAGATTTGTAAGAGGTAAGGAGATGCATCGCAATGGTAAATTCGGTGGCATCCAAGGCGCCTCGCTGCTTGGTGTCCGACAAAAACCAAATTCGACCGAGAACCTCATTCGGGAGCCGGGCACGTTCGAAGATCTGTTTGGCGACTTCGCCTATATAGTAAAAAAGACTGTTAGACGAAGTACCTTTGCAAATATCCCATCTAAGGTCACGTACCTGAGATGAGCCCATTCTTTACATCTGATTTCTCAAACAGCGCGACGAATTTATTGGCGTCCTCCGGTTGAAGTGGAGGAACTCGAATCGGCCCAGCAGCTCCTGGGGGAGGGCTTTTGGTTCCTGACTCGGGGGTACTTGCGGCTGCATCGACCACAATTCCATCAAATCGAGGCAAAGGACCGGCTGTGGAGGAAATGCGGGATCAGCATGATTTCCAACTCTCGTTTTCAAAGACACTTACACTGCAATGCCAGCTCGTCGGAGGGTGCACGGCCAGCTTGGGCATGTCCGATTAACCGCAGAACGATGCCGAAGCCAGACGGGGTCAGGAGACCCCTATTCTCTTTATCTGCGATCTGCCATATCTACACCAAGTGACAATTAGCTATGGCACAGGTGATACCAACCCAATCTCTTCTCTATAGTCACGTACCAGGCCAAGGGTGTCGGGCGGGAGGTGAGTCTTCTCAAAGAACGGAACAGCGATTTCACCGGTGATAACGCCGAGATTGGTGGTGTCGGCAGCTTGGAAGAGCTGATAGAATACGCGCTTTTCCTCCGGCGTCAGGTGGAGATTGGGGTGTCGTTGTGCTGGAACATTACAATCCGTCAGCTCCGCTGCATTGCGCATGAAAGAGGAGGTCTCCAAAGGGGAGCGGGATGACGGAGGCCGGCGGGCCTCTCCTGAGATGCGCCGAAGCTCTCCTGGGACTCGTTTCGGGATTGACAAGATACCCCTGGTTTTACTTACTAGTATCAGCCATTTCTGTGCCCTGGGAGGAGCTTGACTCCCCGCCTTCCAATGAATTCACAGTCGTTGGGGGCCTTGGGGACAGGTAGGAGACACGGGATGCCGGCGGCTCAGGTTGGAGATGTAACAGGCCTGGGGGGAAGCGCGCTGTTTCAAGAAGACGGTAATGGATGAGAAATAAGAACTGAGCTCCAGTGAATCATTAGAATTCTAGAGGAATGATGATAGTTGAGTGGCTGGAATCGATGTCGTAAGGCTCCTGGGGGCTCAGGGCGGTCAGTCGGCTTAGCGCCCATTCCATCCAACATGTCTCAACTCACACCTGGGAGTATTCCTAACTACAAAAGGAGGGAACCTATAGGTTCAGTATTGGCATTACAGCTCTCGGCTTGTATGTCTTGGACTCTTGGTGGGGTCGTGATGTGTCATTTCTGTCTAAGACAGTGAGGTCTGAGTCTGAGTGGCTTCTTCATATGTCGATTTGCACCAAAGACCATGGGATCATGATTCATGATGTCCATTTCCAGCCAATTCGAAGTAGATTCATGGATGCAGTCAGAAATACTTGGAAATTGCGCCTGGATACAGAATTCCAAGCAAATTTCACTACCAAATCTCACTGGAGGTCCTTTTTGGGTCGACTTGTCCACCGGTGACTCCTCGAATTGGCCTGTGAGCCTGTAACAGTATACCATAGGCGCGCTATGGACAGTCAGTCCTGGCATAACGCAGTCAATCCAATGTAGAGACGCTGTCGAATGATCAATGCACTGAGCAACCTATGAGAGTCCACCTATCTTGGAATGGTCAGCTGTACAAATTTGCTTATACCTACCTATCGGGATATATGCCGTTTCAAGCTAGGTCTAGCTGCCAGAACGCTTGGTAAGACAGCTCACTAGGTCGAGAATAAAGCTAGCTACAAGGACTTGCACACTTAACGAGATGTAATGGAGAACAACTTGAGAGAGAGACAGTAATTACAACAATAACATACGTATGTAGAATCCCGAAAGTGGATGGAACGAGGGGGAATTTCATCGCTGCTTCAGGGATATTAAAGATATATCGAACAACAAAGCCAGAAAATCATTTGGCAGCAAAACTTATGTTCCCTTCTATTTGCAAGAAGCCCAATAGACGCATGACGACCAAATGTCAAGACTCAGCGCTGGTCCCTAAGCCAACCCGTAGAAGGGGAACAACCAAGAGCCCGGAAGCCCGGTGACAAAACATGGCTAATCTAGTACTCGGGCTCCAGCTCCTCGTCACCCTCAATGGAGTCGGAGGCAACCTCCTCGTAATCACGCTCAAGGGCAGCGAGATCCTCGCGAGCCTCGGAGAACTCACCCTCCTCCATACCCTCACCAACGTACCAGTGAACGAAGGCACGCTTGGAGTACATAAGATCGAACTTGTGGTCGAGAGCGGACCAGGCCTCGGCGATGGCAGTGGTGTTGGAGAGCATGCAGCTATATCATAATTAGTTTAAGGTTTCAATCGAGGTGAGGGTTCCAAATGAGCGGGGAAGTAAAACTTACACAGCACGGTTGAGGTTGGCAAGATCGCCGTTGGGGACCTGCTGGGGGGCTGGTAGCAGATACCGAGCTTGAAGCCAGTGGGGCACCAGTCGACGAACTGAATGGTGCGCTTGGTCTTGAGAGTGGCGACGGCACCGTGGGCGTCCTTGGGGACAACATCACCACGGTACAGCAGACAGGTGGCCATGTACTTGCCGTTGCGGGGGTCACACTTGACCATCTGGTTGTTGGGCTCGAAGCAGTTGGAGGTGATCTCGGTAACCGAATGGGCCTCGTGAGCGGCCTTATCGGAGGAGATGATGGGAGAGTAGGCAACCAGAGGGAAGTGGATACGGGGGTAGGGCACCAAGTTAGTCTGGAACTCGTTGAGATCGACGTTGAGGGAACCGTCGAAACGCAGGGAAGCAGTGATAGAAGACACGACCTGAGCGATCAAGCGGTTCAGGTTCTCGTAGCTAGGACGCTCAATACCGAGGTTGCGGCGGCAGATGTCGTAGATAGCCTCGTTGTCGACCATGAAGGAGCAGTCGGAGTGCTCCAGGGTGGTGTGGGTGGTGAGGATGGAGTTGTAGGGCTCAACAACGGCGGTAGCGTTCTGAGGAGCGGGGTAGACACAGAACTCCAGCTTGGACTTCTTGCCGTAGTCGACAGACAGACGCTCCATGAGGAGAGCACCGAAACCGGAACCGGTACCACCACCGAAGGAGTGGAAGACCAGGAAGCCCTGGAGACCAGCACAAGAATCGGCAACACGGCGGACACGGTCAAGAACCTCATCGATCATCTCCTTGCCAACAGTGTAGTGACCACGGGCGTAGTTGTTGGAAGCATCCTCCTTGCCGGTGATCATCTGCTCGGGGTGGAAGAGCGAACGGTAGGTACCGGTGCGGACCTCATCGACGACATTGGGCTCGAGATCGGCGTAGATAGTACGGGGAACGTACTTGCCCTGGCCTATGAAGTGGGGGAAGGAATGTTAGAATCACCCGTGCTTTGGAATTTTGCACGTCGAGAGCGGGGGAGCACGCTTCTCGAGAAGAAGGGGGAGGGGGGATGTTTTTTTCTTTTTCGTACCAGTCTCAGAGAAGAAAGTGCTGAATCCGTGGTCGGGTTCGGCCTTCTTGCGCTCCTCAGTGAGGAATCCATCGGGCTATTATGCATGTTAGTCGCGGGTGTTTACATCTCGGCAAGTGGAAAATAGGGGTACGGGTGCCCGAGTCAAGATCGGGCGCCACCACAAATTGATTGAAATCTCAACGTACCTGAATACCGTGCTCCAGACAGTACAGCTAGATGATCATTGTTGTCAGTTTACCGAATTTTTGTTGATTCTTCAAGAGGGTGGGTGTGGGTGTGGGTGTTTACCTCCCAGCAGGAGTTGGCGATCTGGCAACCGGCCTGACCGACTGTAGAGAAGAATCATGTCAGCGCGTCCATTGTAGAAGAATGTGATAGATTATCACGAGTAGAATTGATAGACGAAGTTGACATACCGTTCAAACTGATGATCTCTCTCATTGTGATTCGGGATGTTTTCAGGCTAAAAAATCAGGAGGGGTGGACGGGAAACCCAAACAACAAACGCGGCGGTCTAATATATTCTCGAGTGATCAGCTTTCGAGATACACACAAGACGCACGATGGAAGGGGGCGGGGTGGTGGAAGGTTTACCTGAAGAATGGAGGAATTGGAAGATGAAGGGAAAACAAAGTCGACCAGAAATGTTGTGGAGGAGGAGCGTCTGTGCTGTTACAGGGGGGAACTTCGTTGTTGATCCGTTCGTTGGGTCGCGTCAAGCCCTGTGATTGGCTCCTTTCCGGAGAGGAGCGGCGGGTGCTGACCGCCTCGTATGAGTCGCGTGACTGCACGTGACATGTATAAGGAGGTGGTCTTTACTAAGAATTTCGATTTGCATAAATGTATCTTTATCAAAATTCAAAGACATTATTCGAAGTGCTAGGTAAGATGCAAGTCTGTTTAAAACGTGGCTATGGTTAATTCCTGGGACTGCGGTGATATGCCGTTGAATTGGCAGCTCCCCCCGGCACTGGATACTCGGTCAAGGCTGGATCCACTCTAGGGGAACCACCAACTCGAACCATCATTCGGCCACACCATAGACGAAGTACGATCTACGAAAAAGACACCTCGGTACAGTAATAATCCCCCTACCTGGTACCTGCAAAGCTAATTGACCTCAAGAATAATTGAATAGTCGTGGAATTGAGGAATCTAGAACCTGATCATGAGCCAGGAATAAGACGTCACTGAAAACACCCTGGTCGTCTCAATAGGCGTGCACTACTGCGTATAACTAAACACAATTATACCGAAAAATATGCATATTAGCATGTTGTCCACGTTGGGACTGCTCTTCCCACTATTTACAGCAGTGGCGCAAGCCAATGTGGAAAAGACAATCTTCCTAGCACCAGAGCCAGCAACAATTCCGGCCGGCGGACCAGATCTCGATGATCTAGGTCTCGAGCGTCTCTCACCAGAGAGACCCGTGGTGCGCACACGGCTCAATGCCTCATTCCCAACATCCGACGCACCCAGAGGCACGGAATCGTGGTTCTTCCTCGAAAACCTGAATCCGGGCCAGCGGTATGAAGTACGAGTCTGTTGGCTAGCCACCGTAAGAACACCCAAACTTGCATCGTCATCATCATCATTATGCCTGTAACTCACAACCACTTAGCAACCGACATCATTCACTCTGACCACCTACCCATTATCAACCGCCATCGAAGACACAGCTCTCCTGTCTTCGCTGAGCATGTACACAGCATCCCGACTTGCAGCGCTGGATCCTCAGCTGCAAGCAAATAGCATTCCGCGCGGCGCCAGTCTTCGTGGTAGCGAGGATCCGCGCGATCCCGCCCCGACCAGTGACTCGGTCCTCTTCCTGCGTGTGCACGCCGCAGCAGACTATTTCAGCGCTGAGCAGTCCTTGATGCACAATGTGCCGCCGGTAGCGGTGGATCTGATCCTCGACCCATTCTTGTTCAATGTTTTCCCACGCTCGTTGGTGCCGACGGCGGGATGGACTGTGGTTGTTGCCGTTCTGGCGGTAGTGCTCGGCAGATGGATTGTGAAGGAGGTTGGGAGAGCTGTAAATGATGCCAGGAGGCAAAGTGCTTTGGAGGAGATGAAGAAGAAGTAAGGCCTGAGGTTGCTTTTGGGTATTTGTTGGAGATATACGATCAAGAAGGCGTTCACTGGACGACAAAGGTTATGGGGATTTGTTCTCTTAGGTTAGGCTATAAAAATCCATGTGAGACCATGGCATATTGGCCGAATAACCTGGAAGTCCATAGGTATAAAAGGTACGTGATCAGGATTATCATTGGATGTAGCGGGAGACAATGGGTACCTACATTGGGAAAGGTGTGTAGGTAGTGTCGCAGTACGATTATGGCAGGAACCTTGTGGAACGAACAACGTATCCTTGGAACTTTTGGACGCTGTCTCCCCGATAACTTCCATTCCATGGATGTAGGTACCTAGGTAGGTAGTCTTCATTGGCTTGGCTTGACACCTATGTATATAGGTATGTATTCCCGCTCACCTCACGAAATTAGGTAGGGTTCACTGAGACGCCCGAAGAGGATTAGCACAAGGACCTTAAGTATTCCCGCTCTGCCTGCCCGCCTGGTCATACTCATCAATACGATCAACGTCCAGCACGAGAGCTGGTCTCCATAAAGCTACATGTGCGGTAGTAGTACTTGTGGCTCCCTTTGAAGAATAGACAGCCATATTCAAAACTAGAACCTTGGAAAGAACTCAAGTCCCCAAGTACAAAGAATTACATGGATAGCTACAGGTTGAAGAGCATTGGAAGAGTCGTGTATTCGATATAACAATTAGGACCAGTGGCGGCGATGTGATAGGCGATGGTTGGATTGCATGACAAGAAGCAATAAACGTCAAAGCCGCCAAATCAATTACATGTGGGGCTGGATACAGGATGAAAACAACGAAAAAGGGGGAATAAGAACAAAAGGCAAGCTATGAACTGAAGATGGGAGTCAAAGCAGGAATCGACGGACAGAAACGCAGGACGGACGCCGAAACCACCGGGGCAAAGCTCAGTCAGCTCTTTCTTTCCATATCCCCTCTAGTCTATGCGTCTCTCAAGATCTGATTGACGCAAATTCCCGTCTATTCACCATAGGCTCAGGCATTGCCATCAAGGTCAGACGTCGACATCAGACAAAAGCTTTCGTCAAATCATAGTCTTCGTGAATGGATGTTTTTATCAGTGGTACAAACAAGAAGTTTAATCCTCAAAGAAGTTCAGGATCGCACGGATACCCTTGGAACCCAGACCGCGGGACGGGTAAGAGATATACAGCGGATCCTCGGTGGCACCGAGCTTAGCACGGAATTCACTCTTGCGAACAAGGTGGAACTGCTTAGCGAGGGCGTCGTAGGTGTGCTCCAGCATCTTGACCTTGGTGCCGCCCATGTTGTGGCCAGGAATGAGCTGGGAAGTGGCGCCAGCGCCGAACGTGAGGCTGGGGACGCCGCTTTTGGCGGCTGTCTGGATGGCGTGCGTGACAATGTACTCGATGACACCGTTTGGTGCGCCAGGGAAATCGAGACTGTACTTGACTTGCATACCATGGGCAGGAGACAGCATGGCCAGGGCGACAAAGGCACAGATAGTACCGTTCTTGTCGAGCGCATAGAAGTACCAACGGTGCTCGGAATCGTACCAAGGACGGATGAGAGAGAGGTGCACCTGCGTGCCCTTGCGGTTGGACAACCATTGGTTGATACGCTCATCGATCTTTGCGCGGATGTCATCAGGCACCATCTCGCCTTGGTTCATGGAAACAAGCTTGATTCCCTCGCTTTCAGCGCGACGCAACTTCCGCGCAATCTCGCCATCAGAAGCAGCCTGGTTGCGCGATGGATCGACGCGCTCCTCGGCAATACATGACAAACTGCGCCAGCCGAGTCGCTCACCGAGAATAGTTTCAACTTCGGGAGAACACAAAATCCACACAGGCTTGAGCTTGGTCTCGCGACGCAGCCACTGCAAGAATTGGGTGATTGTGCGGGTATACTGCTTCCGGTCACAAGCTGGATTGCCGGGTATGATTGCGTAGTTGTTAGAACTGGGAACGTAGGCAACAGCTGCGCCAGTGAGCATGTCACGCCAAATCTTGAAGCGCTCATCGAACCAGGACGTTGACGTAGCATCGCCATAGTTCGCAACCAGATGTTCCAAAGGCTGCAGCTCACCGACGTCCGTAGCTGGCCGAGCCTTGTGATCATGCCACCATGAGGGCTCAGTGGTCGATGATTCTGGGTGACGCAGCCTTTCCGCGATGGGCTTGGCCGGCAAACTCTTAGGGTCGCGGTGGAACATTGACGTAAGTCGGATGTTGCCCAGCTTCAAAACAAGCATAACCATGCGTTCCAAGCCAACTCCAGCACCCGCGTGGGGAGGAGCACCCCAGCGGAAACCCTCGAGATACTCCTCCATATCCTCCGGATTGATGCCCACACGACGCATACTCTCCTCGAGCATCTGAGGATCATGAATACGTTGGCCACCGGAAACAATCTCTTGTCCACGAATAAACATGTCGAATGAGTTGGTGTACCTGTCGTCTTCGGCATCGGGCATGGTATAGAAGGGACGTGCACTGCGAGGGAACTTGTCGAGAACGTAGTAATCGGTGCCATATTTCTCCTTGACAAGCTCGCCGAGGCGAATCTCATCACGAGTAGCCAAGTCCTCATCTGGAGGCAGAAGCTCGCCCTCTTCATTCCGCCAGCCTGAGTCATTCAGCATCTCGATGCCATCGGCGAAGCGGATGATGGGTGTCTCCTCTAGCCACACAACATCCTCGGAAGGAAACTGGGACTTCACAAGCTCGACTTCACGGCGGTGCTTGGTGTAAATGCCCTTGAGAATGTTCTTGATCACCGCATCAAGAGTCTCGAGCATCTCATGGTAGTGCTCTTCAATGGCCATCTCAATATCCAGTCCAGTATATTCTGTAAGATGCCGATGAGTATTGGAGTTCTCGGCACGGAAGACGGCACCAATTTCGTAGACGCGACCAAAATCAGCAGCAATGGCCATCTGCTTGGCCAGCTGAGGCGACTGAGCGAGGAAAGCAGGACGGCCAAAGTAGTTCACCTGGAAGACACTCGCTCCAGACTCAGTGGCGGCGCCTTGCAGCTTCGGGGTATGGATCTCGATGAACTCGCGGTCGTCGAGGGCAGCACGGAAAAGATTGCAGGTCGCGGACTGTATGCGGAAGATAGACTGTGAGGTCGCCGTGCGAAGGTCGAGAATGCGGTTGGTCAAACGCGTGCGGTCAGGGATGTGGTTGCGGCGGCCCTCTGCCCTCTCTTCTTCGTTTGTCCGGATCTCTGCCTCATAAACGCTGAAGGGAACAGGCTCCTCACGATGCACTTGGAGGTGAATAGAGTCAACAGCCAGCTCGACATCATGAATGGAGCAGCCCATCACAGGAACATCAGGTTTCTGAATGGTGCCTCGGACAGTAACAATGGAGCCTACCCGAAGGTGCTCCACCCACTGGATCATCGCAAGAGACGTAATTCCCGGCCGTTCATGCAGGACACCCTGGAAGGTTCCAAGGTTCTGGCGGAATACCAAGAACACCAGCTTGGCACTCATTCGGCGGATAACGTGCAATCTTGCGGTGAAAAACACATCCTGTCCCTCCATGGCGCCACTGATGTCGTCGATCCGAGTCCGTACTTCTCGCGGTCGAGTCGCGGACTGCATCAAGGGCAGCTCACCATAACGGGCTTTCATCTCCGCTGTCTCCTCAGCGGCCGCCTTGGCAATTTCTTCTTCCTTGCGGCGGTGGTCGGTGTCAGAGAAGGTCTCCTCGCTGAGACGGCTTCGCTCGCTTCTGCGGTGCTGACGCACCAACCGCTTTTGTTGGTTCTTGCTCAAGGTACCGGTGGAGGAATCATCAGAGACATCATCAGAGGATGAAACATAATCGTTCTTGTCGCGGAAGAAAGTGCCTAAGATGCTGCGGCGAGGGGATGCGGTGGGCGAACCAGATCGAGACTGGGAAGTACGAGCTCGAGGCACGAGGGTTGAGCGAACGTTATTGCCAGAGACATCGTCCTCACCTCCCATGTGCCCTTTGATGGCTTTGGATAGGGCGCGTTTGATAGACATGGTAGGCAATGTCTGGAAGCATATGAGGGAGGGGAAGAAGAGAAGTAGTGTGTACTGCGTAAGAAAGATTGAGGTGGGGGGGAATGGGGCCCGGAACGGGCGATTCAAGGTTTGGAATGAAATGATCGGCGCAAGCACAAAGAGAATGTTCGTAAGCGCGACTTCGGTCGAGAAATGAGAATGTGTGAAGAAGAGTTTGTCAATAAATAAGTACAAATAACTATAAGTAGGAAAGTCCATCTGGAATTCTGGACACTTTCAGGGCCCTCCAGCATTTGAAAGCAGAGCTATGATGACATCATCAACCAAGTAATTCAATGGCAGATCCCTGATTTCGAAGTATTTTTGGAACGGGGTAAACGGGCCAGTCGGCCCAGTCCTGCTTCAATTGACTTGCCTCTTACCTTCACACGTCTCTCATTGTTTTTCCCACATATTTCACCCTCCTCTGTCTTTCTAAATTTTGCCCTTTTTGTATCTTATAGACCTTTGATTCTCTCGGTCTTCGCTGTTAACAGTCTTGCGGGTATTCTAGGAGTCTAGTCCATTCCCGTCCACTCCCCGGCTTATCACCTTCGGCTTCCGGGTCTTCCGGCCCTCCGATGTGTCATATCGCTGGGATATTATCACTTTACACTACTCCGTACAGAGCATCATGGCATCGTCCCGGTGGTGGCTCTATGTACAGGCCGTCTTTTGGCGGTTCCTGATGCGTATTGGCATGTTCTTTCATGATATCAGTTTTCCTCGCCCACCTCGACCGTTGTTTACCCGCACCGTCACCTCCGACTCCCATAACCATCCCGTCGTCCTCCATTTCTACTGTCCGCCAAACTATCACGAGAAGCGACGGTTAGGTCATCGCTTCCCCGTCGCAGTCAACTTCCACGGTGGAGGTTTCACTCTCGGTGCCGCCACCGATGATGCGCGGTGGGCGCGAGCAGTGCTAGACAATGTGGGAGCTGTCATGGTCAGTGTCAGCTACCGACGGGCCCCCGAACACCCTTTCCCCGCGGCCGTGGACGATGGAGTCGAGGCGCTACTATATTTGGCAAGGCATGCGGGCGAACTGGGCTTGGACGTGAGCAGGGTGGCGTTGAGCGGTTTCTCAGCAGGCGGCAACCTAGCCGTTACAGTGCCGTTGCGACTGCGCGGACGAGTGTCCTTGGAAGTGAAGGAAAACCTGGGTCGAGCAGAATCAACACATAATTTGCTCAATCAAGTCAGCGATCTCAACATCGTTGCGCTCTTCTGTTGGTATCCTATCTTGGACTTTGAAGAATCTCGCGATCACCGCCGGGCTATGAGCCTCGTGCCGGACAAGACTCTCCCTGCCTTTTTCACCACCCTCTTCGATGAAGCCTATCTCCCTGACGTGGCCGAACGTGCTTCCCCATATGCTTCGCCTGTTCGTGCATCAGATCGGATTTTGAACGAAGCTCTACCCCGCGACGTGTTCCTGTTCATCTGCGAATGGGACATGTTGATGAAGGAGGGTCAGTCCTTTGTTCGGCGCTTAGAGAGACTCGGCAAACGTCCTCGTGCCATGCTTATCGAGAAAGCCCGACACGGATGGGACAAGTCACCCAATCCATGGCGGGACCAGAACAGTGTCGACATCCTGTATCGCGATGCTTGCGCGGATATGAAGGCGATTTTCGACCGGTGATTGGTTTGCCTATACTTACTTTGTCCGTTCATTAGCACAGCTGGGTTTGAGGGCGTTTGAATGGGATTTGCGGCGTCGACCGTACATAGCTAGCGTTTGATATTATTATTACATTGTATTTCATACCTGGTGATGAATGTACCGACTAGATGTATTGGTGGTCGTAGCGACGTATACATGTACAGCCTGTGGGCAACATTCGAAACAAAGCCGAGGCTGAGAGGCACGATACACGATGACATTGTACTCAAAGCACATCCAGGATAGATCCCTGAAAATATCTGCAAGTACGAAAAGAAAGAGCATTTCTCATTGGTGGTTCCGATCCCGTCAAGACACAACAGCTTCCAAGGTTGCCCCGAGAGATCTTCACGATGTTCCCAGCAGCCCAGTTCCCCTGGAATGATGTCATTCACATTAATTATGTACTAACCCAGTACTCTGTATGGCCTGGCCAATTCTCCGAAATGGGTCATCAAAGTTTTAAAAAATAACCTTGGAAGTTTGGTCGATCCCCGCGATTAAGCTGGTGGGACCTCAGGGACATTGACTTTGTGCCTTGTTTTCCGTCTTGGCTGATGACAGGCTGCAGCATAACTTTGATTCAAGCATTGGGCCGATCCATAGTTTAGTATGACGGGCCTGCACGTGGGAGATTAGCTCATGACGTGACTGTTTCTAAACTTGCCCTAACTTATTCGCCAGTTCTTGTGCTGAGAGCTCATAACCTATCAGTACTTCAGTAGGTTGGTAAACCGAGGCAAGGCAATATGAATTGAAGCGAAGTGAATAACGAGTGAGGTGAAGTATGCCGAAGAGGAGGGTAATACATCTCAAAGCCATAGAGGGAAGATAACTAAATCCCACATAGTTAACTAGTAACGTATTTCACAAGCGAGTGGCCCACGCAAGCGAGTGGCCCAGTCCAATAACACATAGTAAAAGCGATAAAATACAACTTGGTATCTCAACAACGGTGGGTTCTACTGACTTTATCTTATAGCATAGTATCTTTTAGGTTATAACTAGCATCTATAAGAAGTTTGAGGAAAATCGAAGACTTTATGCTTGTGTTATATCGATATATCTTTTTTGGCAACGTATTATTCTGTAATTTTTGAAATCACTTCGATATTGCCTCTTAATATCGTTGAAATTCATACCAAATGCTATTTTCTCCTGTCAATGGCTACCGCGAAATGAAGGAGACGAAATAAATTCGTGGTTGTTGAGATAATATATCGCGTTTAGTGCCGTTTACTATGTGTTTTGAACCGGGCCACTCGCTTGCGTGGGCCACTCGCTTGTGGAATACGTTATGGGTCGGGTCTAATCCAAACTTCTGGAGGTATCGACCGTGAGCGCAAAAACAACAACAGCTGAAACCGTATATGATATGCTGCAGTCGCAGAGGAGAGAAGCGTTGACTAGCCCGCTGGTAAATAGGTCTTATCCGGGCTCCAACGAGCCAATGCCATGTTCGCATTCCAGTCTCCAATCGCAGAGTATTACTCGGGTAAAGAGAAATGGATGGTGCTCTTCGTGGCTGTCAGAGACAGTTCAACGGGTCAATTCAATGAGTGTCAATGCGACTACGGATCCCACTTTAATACATGAACTAATGAAATAGTGGGAATTTGGGGGGCTTTTAGTAAAAGCAAACGGAGTAGCCCCGAGAAGAGAATCTTAGAGAAGTACATAACTACTAGTAGTAACCCCCCAAGACAATATGAACCCTCATCTCCACAATCAGTCTCAAAGGTTAGTCGAGACCGAACTTTCGCTCGAAGTGGAGATTTGCCAATGCCTTCTGTTTGACCATATCGAGCTTATCCAGCCAATAGAATCGATTGGATCTAAATTCACCATTCAGTCGCTTATGCTAGCGTTTGCCGTCCTGGCTACATCGTAGGGTCTCGAAGTGCCTGAAAATTTCAAAAAGACAGAATATACTCATTAGCAGTAAAGAAGCATGGTCTTAACAGTCTGAACTTACTGCCCTCCGGGTGATCTCCCCAAGTACATATTGCCAACTATTCGTCTATCATTTCATTTCATTTGTCTACATACGCAAGGCCATCACAATGCCCGCCCACGGGCGTCGGCCCACCTCCGCCAAATTCACATCGACCAGCATCTTCATTCTCACCTGTCTCTTCTTCGTTCTATACTACCACCCAAGTACACTATCGACACCCAGAGACCAAGACCAAGACCAAGCCTACAAACATGCTCACGATCACGACCACTCGACATACGAGTCTGGATCCCGCCGACAATCCGCCTCTCCGCGGATCCCGGAGAAGATATGGTACAAAGTCGGGCCGAAAGGGCTGAGTGACCAGTCACACGCCTGGCTCGACGACTGTCTCCACAAAAACCCAGCGCACAGCGCGCAGATCATGACCGACACAACGGGCGACGAATACGTCCAAGAGCACTTCAGCCATCGGCCCGACATCGTGGAACTCTACCTGGGTCTGGCAGTGCCGATCTTGAAAGCCGATCTACTGCGGTACCTGCTTCTGTACGCGGAAGGCGGCATCTGGGCCGATCTTGATGTTTCGTGTGGAGAGGTGCCGATCCGGGAATGGATTCCCGAGAGGCTGAGGGCGAAGGCGGGGTTGGTTGTTGGGTGGGAGTTTGATGTTGGGTGGGGGGAGAATATCATTCGGCAGTTTGAGAGTTGGACGATTATGGCGGCGCCGGGGTCGATGCATTTGTTGATGGTTATTAATGATATTGTTGATGCGATTCGGGAGAGGATGGAGGTGCATGGGGTGTCGGTTGGGGAGTTGACGTTGGATATGGCGGGCAGTGTGATTGATTTGACGGGGCCTAGAAGGTTGACGAGGTCGGTTTTGAAGAGCTTGGGGATGGTGAGGAATGAGACGGTTGATGTGAAGAGTATTTCGCATCTTTTGGAACCGGTACTGGTTGAGGATGTTCTGATCCTGCCGGGTTATTCGTTTGCTTCGACTGCGAATGTTTATGCTAACAAGACTGGGCCTGCCTTGGTTACGCATCATTATGCTGGGAGTTGGAAGAATGAGAATGGTGGTGAGGTATGATCGAGGTCATGTAGGTTTCAGCTCCCATAGTACATAACACATCGATGTTCATACCCGGACTTCGCTTAGAGGAGGCCACAACTTGAGTTTGATGGCTGTACAGTGATGGAAAGCTTGGCTTTTAGGTATTGTAAAGTTTTGGAGCTCTAGCTATGTTTTGCGAGGCCGGATATTGGATTTTTTTATGTTCACATTTTGATTCAATCTTCATGAGGGAGAAAGCGAGTACCCCGTTCAAAGATGGACTTAGTATGTGCTCGATGATTCCAGAATTTCCACCGGATAGTTCCATGCACGCTCAACGATATCATCAGTCGTAAGCATAGTATCGGAAACTTTTATCAAAATAGAAAGAAGAGATCATAAGATCAGGAATATGGGTGGAAATCCAAACGCCACGCTGAAGGTACGAAAAGAAAAGAAAAATCACAGGTCATACATGCTGGTCTGGAACAGAGACCGTGTCCAGTTCACTCCTCATCGGTCTCGGTGACGTCTTCGCCATCAGACTCGTCAGACTCGTCGGCTCCGCTGTCCGAATCATTGGCATCGTCGAGGCCTGGAATACCGCGCCACTCGACGTAGTCACCTTCCAGCCAGCGCCGGCTGCGAGGAAGTTGGTATGGATCGAAGGGGAAGTATGCATCCAGTTGATACCCACTGTTATCGCCGGCACGAATCTCGCGGCCCACGTGGCTGAAGCGACCATCGGAGAGGCTGGACATGCTTCTGAACGCTGTGATGCGAATACGCTTGTTGGTCTCGAGGAGTGGGTAGACGTAGAGGAATTGGAAGTGATGGGCGATGCGGGCGAACTCGGCAACGATGGCCGGTGAGCAGACCTTGAGCGGGTTGAGTCGCGAGTATATTGACTTGTGGAGGACTGCTTTGATGTTGGGAGGGAATGCGATCTGGCCCGGCTCGAGCTCGTCCACTTGATCCGCGGTGTCACCATCAATGGCGGCAGTTGTGAGATCCCGCCAACGGAAACAGAAGATGTAGAGCAAGGCTTGGGCGGTGGAGTAGAAAGGTCCGTAGCGGCGGAGATCGGGGCCGCGGCAGCCCTCCTCGTAGTCCGACCGAAGGCTGTCGAGGTGTGTGAGGAGGAGGTCGAACACATCGCGGACCACCTCTCCAGATATATGTGCGCCACGTGCGACAAAGCTAGCCAGGTACGCAGCTGCGGACTGGCGCATGATGCCAGGTTGCGTCTTGTTGAAGATCAACTGCACAAATGTGGACGCGAAGCGATCGACAAGCACTGGGGACGCCTGTGAGAAATGGAACAAGAGGAACTGCGAGTGACGAGACCGGTAGGTAGGAAGAATAATCGACTGGAAGTGGCTGAGGAGCAGATCCAAGGCGTTCTCCTTGTCGTCCAGGCTGCCTGAGGCGAAGGGGGGCGCAAAGTATTCGAATAAGAGATCAATCATCCCGTCCACTTTGAGAATGTTATCCTTGATCTTCTGAGCCGCTTTGCTATCATCCTCCTCTGAATCATCGCTGGCCACTGAGGCATCATCATCTTGATCATCATCGATGTCCTGCAGGAGATCATCGCCAACCTCCTCTTCAAAGTCCTCCATATCGACCTGGATCTGAACGTCGACCTTGACAAGCTTCTCGGTAATTAGGGCCAGTATATCCGACTGGAGCTCGGGGGCGTATGTGATGATTTGAATAAGATTGCGGGTGTAGGCGATGTTCGCGCTGGCGGGGTCGGAGTCGACGGGGAACTGGCTGGATAGAATCGGAGACAGCGATCCACTGCCGGCGGGGATGAGTCGCAGCACATGGCGAAGCGCCGCATGGACGCGAGTGTGAATCTCGGATGGCGGAACAACAGCGTAGCCAGGCAGTCGACCAGTTCCTCGAGGAACGCTCCCGAGGTTGGTGGCCAGCATTTTCAAGACAGGACCTAGGAAGGTCCCCTGGGCCGCGGCAAGGTTACCTAGAAACCGGATGTACAGCTTCACATAGGATTCGTCGCGCCCGAGCCACTCGCTATTGATAACCGCATTGACCAGCCCGCTGCAGGAGCGGTCCAAGGAGGCGACATGTGAGAGAAGACCGAGAAGGTGATTCTTCAAAGATGTGTGTGTTGGTGAGTCGTATGCGAGCAAGCTGTCTTCGCCTTGCTGTTTGGGATCGGTGGTAAAATAACCCTTAATCCGATCGTAGGCTTCGCTTTCTGACATGGCGACATGTCGGTGAATCGCACCGCGGACCTCCTCCCGAACAACTGTCAGGCTCTTTTCCGAGGAATTATGATCGTGCATCTTCACGTCACGGTCGAACTGAACGCGGGGTCGCTTTTTGGTGTGTGGAAGCCCTTCGGCAGAGTCTTCGGCTTGGGAGGAGGATGGGGAGAGGAGGTCCATGTCGCTCATTTTTCGTTTCGTGCCAGTAACCATGGGAGCTTTGGAGTTTTTAAGGATCGGAACCGGAGAAGAAATCGGTGGCATCTTGGATCGAGAGATGTTAGGTGTGGCCGGTAGCGCCGGGTTGCGTGAAGTCGTGGCAAGGGAGACCATGGCCGAGTGTGATAAATGACGCGGGGGTATCAAGTTCTAGAGAGAAGTTGGTGTCGACATCTGTTCTCTGCCTTGCATAACACAGATCCTTGACTTTTTCTGGATTCAATGTCGGAGCTTATCGAAGCCTGGTCCAAGCACACGACACTTCTGAAGTCGAGATGCTGAGGCTTATGCTACAGATTGGGATAGGAGAAAAACAGAAAAGTCCTGTCTGCATCCGTAAGAATTCAGTTGTTCGTTGTAGATAAAATCGGATGCAGACAGAATGGTCGAGCTGCTGGGTCCAAAGTAAAGCAATGTGAAATTTTTCTTCTTCCTTCTGTCGATGTGGAGCCCCGGAGCCCGTGACCGTGTCGGTGAGCCCTACGCTATGCCTATTTGGGTAATATTGACTTAGGTCATCATGTGCTCAATGGGCGATTATTGTACATGCTCTTGGATTTACAGTCTCTCTACTCTCTGTTCCACTTTCAAAACACTTGTAGACGTGTCTTAGATGACTTAGAATGGATTCGGAACGCCAGATGAAACATCAATGAACTCCGAATGAGTCAATGAATCAATCCAATATCAGTCAAAGATCTAGAATTCTCACAAAGGCTTTGTCGGCCCATGAAGGAATTGTATACATCCAACGAAACCGGAATGAAACCTGAACAACACGAACAAAAGCCGTCTATGACAAAAAGTATTGAATAGGTAGCAAAAATAGTTTGAAATTGGAAGATGAGCGCAGGAACAAGAGCTCCTCCCATGGTATCGTGCAAAAGGGTCAATAATCGTAAGAGGAAGAAGAAAGGTCGTCGTAGCAGGCCAAGCGAGGAATATCCAGTCCTCGTAAATCCGCGAACTTGGCTCGTCACTCATGTCGGGTCAACCGACACGAGGTATCATTATCTTAGAACCAAGACGTGTACATATTTCCACGAGTGTCCTCGAAAATGCTGCCGTACAGTTCTTCAACCTCAGCGAGATAGTCTTCGGCAGAGAACTTCTTCAATCCCTTGTCGTAAAGAATTCGCTCTTCCTCGTCGAGCAAATTGAGACCTCCAAACTCCTCTGCAACTTCATTGACCTTCTCCAGCTCTTTGCTGAATGGATGCTCGGATTGGAAGAAATCTTGCGATGCGCGGATAGTCGGCGCGCGCGCGTTCAGCGGAGGTGGAGACATCCTAGAGACGGATCGCTTGTGAGCGAGCTCCTGATGAGACCGCTTGGTGTGTGACAAAGCACGCTTGGGCAATAGCGGGGTATCTGTAGTTGATGAAGACGAAGTCGAGGAGCGCGGTTGGCTTGTCACCGTGGCTGAGCGCTTCGGGAAATAGGACATCGGATTTGCATCAACGGGACAGCTCTCATGGGGAGATACGTCGGGCGAGGTCATTGAAGATGCGTAGCTTTGTGGGGACATGGCCGAGTCGGAGTCATCTCGCGATCCTAAAGATGAGGCTGACGATGAGTTGGCCGAGTTGATGTCAGGTGCGTTGTAAGCGATCATATTCGTTGTGGACAACAACTGGACCGGCCCAGAGATATTGCCTCGCTTAACGCTTGCTGAGTTGAGTCGGATGTGCCCGTCGCCACGGTATGGCATGGGGGCGGACACTTCAGGACGCTTATTGCGCCGTGTAAACGCTCTGGTGATGTTCGACATGGCGAATTGGATTTTCGGTTGATTGCGAAATGTAAATCGCGATGGACGAAATCAGGGTATATGTACTCGTATTTGCTTTTTTTTACGCAACAATTTGCGTGGTTTTGTTTGCTCTGTTGGTGCTTTGCGATCGGATCCGTATTTGGCCTCGCGTGGCAGACGATCGCGGGACGAAAGAATGGAAGATCAATGACAGGAATGTCTGTCAGATATTGATCGGATCAAGACTTGCAAAGATGTGTCTTTTTCGGAATGAATGTCGAGTCCTCTAGATTTTGCACAGCAAAATGGGGGAATAACGGGCACTTTTGTGTTCCTCAAGGAATGGAGGGCACCAGGATGCGCGTTATGAATGGAAAAAGGAGTCCAGGATCTCAGATCACTGTCAGGACTAAAAGAAGAAAGGAAAGAGAGAATGAAGGAACAAAGGCACAATCCCAAGGAGGTTGGAAGAATAAAGAGGAGGTGGGGGGTCCTGGGGGAAGAGTCCCTTACGGAGTCAACGGGCGCTACACCAGCGTTTGACCACTCCGAGGACAAAACCTTCGATTGTGTCCCAAAGGATCGAGGTAGATTTCAGCCTAACAGAATCCACGATAGCCCCGTGATCAGGGGACCCAGTGTTCTTAACGATCGGACTGGTTCATCCAGACTTTTCCTTTTTTTTCGCCTCCCTTTCCACGGTATGTGGACTACGCGCACAAATAAGTACCTGGAAAGGGTAGAGTTTGTTCGGGTACCTGCCACCCTTGATGTAGGGCAAGGGTATGTGCCTGAGTATGGAGGAGTCTTGGGTAGCCAAGTCGACGTGTTGTCCACTTGCTTAGACGTGTCCCTTCTGCGCTGTCACCGATTCCAGATCAAACAGCAAACAATTTCATCTCGAAATTTGACAGATACGTCCACGTGAATTGGCCTCATGTAACTACATATCTTGTGTGTTGCGATAATACCCCGACGCTCTAGCTGAAACGGATGCAGGTCCGGGCTCTTAGTCTGAAGGCTTGAGCGTTTCATGCCAATCATTTGTTCCCCTTCATATGCTTAAAGCAGTCTGTGCTCCGCGTCCTATTTGGCTGGATGGATCATCCAATCATGGTCTCTATCGATAGATTTCTGTCACCCGGTCTTATTTCAGCTCTCGAGGGCCCACGTGATGGACATCGGAATTGGAGACTTTCAGTTCAACAAGATGGTGTGGTGGTCTTAAGTTATCTGGGTGGACCATTGGATTTCTTGTGGAGCATCGGGCGTTTTTAAAGCCTCCACTGCCGTGAAAAATGTGTGGAGGTCCGGAGGACCACGAGCCCCGCTAGAGGAATCTCCATGTTCGAGGTTTGATCGTTTCAAGTTTGAGGGGTGCTTATATCGTGGAGATGAATGTGTTATACTCGGCTTTGAGGAGGAATCAGGAACTTCCGATTGATGTACAGCCCCTGAAGGTTCCGATCTCATTCGAGATTGTTCGAGTCGGTCGCCAAACATTGTTGCAGCCTGAGGCACAAATCGGTTAGAGTTCGCCCAGGACCGCCCAGGACTTAGCCCGTCACAGATAAGGAGTGCAAGTTCAATTGACCCTTCTACATACATTCGGATCTTGTGTATCGCGGTGAAACGAATCGGACCATCGGTTCAAAAATATAGACTTGGCTTATTTCGTGATAATTCTTCAGCTTTGCTCGGTCGGCCTATCCCACCTCTTGCAGATGCATCTGCCCCAGCGACACTGACAACATCATCGACACCAGTCGTTCCCTGTCTAGAACAGCCAGCCGATGAGGAAGACACCGCTTCATGTTCTGTCGTGGCCTGATGTCCAAAACATATCGGCGAAGCCATTGGTTCCGTTTCCGTGCGGGGCCGTTGAGCATCGGATGGATTCTCCGGCCTGACCCTGCCGTCTCTGGCCTGCCATGCATCTGAGACTGGTCCGGCGTGAGGCTCATACTCCGACCTGTGCATTATTTCGTGATCGGAAGTCACAAGGACTGCGCGGCCATTCCTTGAGCTCTCTGGAACTAGTCCTCCTGGTTGCTCCATGGTAAACTGGTCAGACATGGTCGTCAGCCAGCGCTCCATATCGTGCCATTCTCGAAGCGGTAGCTGAGACCACTCTTTCATGAGAGCTGCCTTTTGCCTGGGGACAGCATCCGTCTTCCTTGAGGCGGGCGCTGCGCTGGGTTGTCCAAGTGATCGAAGGCTCGTCAAAGCCCCGTAAAGGGCTGCCTCGGTCTCACTCAGCCTATGTTCCAGTTGGCTTAAATATCCCAACGGTAGTCCTCTGGCCAACAGTGTCAGCTTTCCCACGGGTACCTGCATATACTGTGTATGTGGACTTGGGTAGTGTCGCACGTACCTTTTCCCACTTTCCGGGTAAATACATTTTGATTCGCCTGCGCATTGGGAACAAAACGGGCTTGCGATGGCACATATCAGAGACATGACCGATTGGATATCGGCTGCAACGGTAGGAATGTTTTGATCTTACAGCTTGCGATCACACTACTCTACTTATCAGCGCGAATCTTGCGATTTCATGCAGAAGGAAAACACACTTTGCATTTTCGTTGTCTGCATAGTTCACAGGAAATCGGGCTCAGGTTCTCTTCTTCTAGTTGCGGATATCTAGAGTCAGTTACAGGATGACGCTCTGTGGGGGTATTCTGCTCGTGCCTGGCATGGTAACACCAGTTGCCTTCGTCCGTCTCGTTCGCAATGGTCCCATATTTAGGCTATAGGTGGCTGTAGGGTAATCAAATGCAGCACGCCTTGAATTGGCTACTCAAGAATGGAGTATGTTGGGCTGCCGAGGCCTTTCACTGGTGATCGATAGAGGATGCTGTTTGACGGGTGCAAGATTCGGACTAAGAAACGTCCGGGAGCATGAATGTAGGCACGTGACGGTTGATCATACCTATTACCTGAGGGCTGAGAGCCTGAGGCCCGCCCGCCGCCCGGAATGGCCAATAAGACGTGCCCAGGTGGACCTGAGAGCTACTGTGTAGGAATTGACCTCAAACAATCTCGGTTTGATGCAATGCGAGAATTACAGCAATAATGACCCCGGTTTCCCAATCCCCCGCCAGCACACGATTCGAGGGTAATGAATCTGGGCCATATCCTTCCCATGCGGCTAAGAGAAAGCGTACCTCCGCGGCAGGCACCTCAGAACCTTCACCTCGCGAGATTGGGTTTATGAGAGAATCTCGCAGCCACGGGTCAGCTAGCTTTATTGGAAGCTCGAGTGGAATTCATTTTATTCGTCATGTTTATGATGCCTTCGCACGTCGCTCTGCAGACTTGGATCAAGCTCGAGCCCGTGACGGAACCTCAGTGCCAGGAGAAGACGACCGGCTACGACAAGATACTGGCAGCATTCACGGCTCAGACAGTCTATGGGCAGTACACGAACTAGAATATTTATCTCGCCCCACCTTCGACGATCTTATTAGATGCACACGCAGCTATTTCGAGAATTGGCATCCAATCTTTCCATGTCTCCACGCCCCGACAGTCTTAAAAAGCCTTGAGGCTCTCAGCCAACAGGGAGCAAGCTCCTTGAGTCGATTGGAGTTGATGATAATCCGCTCCATTGTGTCTATTTCTCTCGGTGACAGTCGACAGACAGCATCGTCCGAGTCGAACCCCCGTCCCGTTCCTTCCGTTCTAGTCTTTCGATCCGTTCAACATATCATGCAGGACGTACAAAGCCTCCTCGAGGAGCCTACTACTTTACCATTGCTTCAAGCGGCATTCACTGCCCAACTTGCACTCACCTCTCTTTTGCGGTTGAATGCCGCCTCCAGGTTAGGGGGTGTCATCACTCGCACTGCACTTCACCTTGGATTGCACCGCTGTCCGGGCCGCTTCTCCTGTTTCAGCAGTGAAGAAAAAGATATTCGATGTCGGTTGTTCTGGTCAATCTATTCTCTTGAAAGATACCTTTCACAAGCCCTTGGCATTCCGCTCTCTATTCGAGATGACGACATCGACGTGTGCTACCCTGGCGCTGAGAGACATTCTTCAACAGGCTCCAAAGCAAACGATGACTACAAGCTGCGCTTACTGTGCCACATGGCAAAATTTGCACGTATTCGAGGATTGATAGTCGAACTTCGCAATAAGTCCATTCTCCACAGTCACGCCAGTCAGGCTGACGCAGCACATGTGACTGGGGAATTGGCCCAATGGTGGAATGAAGCTTTTGACGATGTTCACTCGGTCGAAGAGCCCATCGAAGCTGACCAGGAGCGAGAGCCGATTTTGCAACCATACCATAAGTTACTCCTGGTGGTCCTAAGGCACGAAGCTACAATCTCGCTCAATCGCCCTCTTCTAGCCTCCGAAAAGCCTAGTGCGGGTTATAAGACCGCCTTGCAGACTTGCATCGGATCTTCCAGGACTATACTTGTGGCTTTGAAAGACCACATGACCTCCCACCCGGAATCCCCGCTTTCCTGGCCAGGCTTCACATGGTCCACTTGGATGGCGTGCCTCATTTTGATGTTCGCTGCATGGGAAGGAGAGCTTGCCACATTAACAGCACTCAAATATGCTAGGATTGGGATAGCCATATTGGATAATCTATCACTGCGTGGCAGTGGCTGGCCGGAGACTTGTATTGAGGCAATCAAGAGCATGGAATCTGCCTTGCAGACACAGACTCCTAGCGAGCAGCAAAGCACAGCTCCTACCATATCGAATGGTATTGGTAGATCTGCTGAAGCTCAGACCCATCCAACACCATCGCGGGATAGGCGCATGTTTCACCACCCACCAGCGCAGGACGAAAATACTGAGGTTGGCCATGCAGGCCTCACGCCGGCCAGACCTCAGCCTTCGCTCTCGAATGGACCTCAGGATCGCCATGCCCCTGCCGGGTTCCATTCATCTCGATCCCCTCTTCACTCTCCGGCCCAAAACCTTGGCCACACGGGAAGTTACGACTCCGCCGCCTTTTCGCCGTCTATCGGTAACTTCGCTGAAGTGCTGGATCCTGCCGAGAACAGTTTCGTGCAGTCATCAGCTGGGCTGATATTCGGCAACATGGTAGATGGAAATGCTGCTTTCAATCCGAGTTTTGCTGGTCAAGACTCTATGCCGTTCTCGTCATCCATGCCCATCAACGATTTATGGAGTGTCGCCGATGGGCCATGGATGATTCACAATAGCTTTTTGTGAGTTACGATGATAACTCATAACAGCACATGTATGATAGTCGATTTCTATATGAACAGACCGTTCGATCTAGCTCAACGGCTACCTTTCTAACCGTAACTTTGGCCCCGCCACCACAACTTTCCCTCAGTACGAATAGCGTCATGTGCGGTCACCTGACCGCAAAACATCTATATAGGTTCCTTCTTGATTCAGCTCTCGTCTTTTCTTTCCTCTCCCACCCGTCAGTCCCTTCACCCTCGACAGCCCTCTTTATAACATCCCACGACTGCTTCAAAACCTTCAAGCTTACGATTCCATATCCCATACGCCATTAACCTTTACATTACGCCCACCTTTACATTTACGCACTTCTCGCTTTCAGCATGCCTCCTGGGGCCTTTACCAACCCTGAAGATTGGCGTTAAGACCACCGCCAGCCCCGCCCTGCATAGGATCCATTTCACAGGAGCCCTACGGCTATGGCCAAATTTCCAGGCCGAGGTCATGAATACCTACTTTCAATGCTCAGACCTGGAGCCAGCAAGTCATAGACGCCAAGTCTACAGGGCCAAATGCGGCTAATTTAACTGCTGAAGAACATCATAACATGTCGTTGTTTCATGCGAGACAGATCTTCAAGGAAGATCTCTCGGGTGCGCAGGTCAAGTTCTCGGCGCCATATCCAAAGAACAGCAGCAGGGCCTTGTGTTTGGCAGCTTCAAAGCTTGTCAGATAAGCCAATCCCTTAAGTACAACATCTGTTCACTACTAAAACATTGATTGATAGGGCCCTCGGACATTGCTGGACGAGCCAAGGCTATCGTACTTGGAGATACCAAGTTCCATTGGTCACCCCTGGATGTCATCAATAGCGCACGTCCAAGTCGCGCCGATCCCGACTTCGATGCTGCACTGGACATTATCCTTCCGATTGAACAAGTGCAGCATTACTGCGCTATGTCGAGATGTCGGTTTGGCTTTTTGTTCTCAGAAGCCGGCGCATTTATTATGGCAATTCTCCGAGGAGCAAGACATGCAGCGATCGCCGAGGCCTCGGCGGAGTATCCCACGGCCCTTCTATGGCACGACCTCGGCCCCAGATATTGATATGACTAGCCTACCGGCATCCGACGGCGGTACCTCGTTCAATTCCGAGACACAGCCAGGCCGACCTATTCGTCTGGTGGAGTATGCCTTTGTCGCTTGGGATGCTCATGGAGTCGGCCGATTGAGCGTCAAGCTTAGCTCCTGGCAAACGGTAGTGAGCTCAGACCAGACTATGCGCCAATTAATCTGAGCAGCATCTCAATGTTGGCTTGGCCTCGTCCTCCCTTCAGCCTGGCCTGCAAGCAGCAGGTTCGCTGCGGAGGGGGCAGACGGGGGAAACATCCACAGGCGCTTCAATGGCCCGGCAGCACACAGATGTTTCTCTCAGAGAACACGGCGACTATTTCGGTTTCTTCTTGCATGGTGTTGACATACATACGATGTCTTGTCATGTGCCTCTGTGTTTACAGCCTGAGGCCTCTCACAGACTCATCCATTGTTGTCCTCTTTGTTTCGGCAGGCTTAAATACAGCCTGCTTTCCATAGCTCATGAATCAGTTTCTTCTTCTCTCTTCTTCCCATCCACTAGTTTCGTAGCCTCAACAATAGGGGTGGACGCAATTTACAACCTATTACCTCTGAAAAGTCTTTTTGGGGGATGCATGATGGATATAAATGGTCATGGACTGATCGAAGGATGGAAGATCATGAGTTCAGGAACTCCAGATCCTGAGATCGCCATGTAACTTCACATATACGCCCTATGATACTAACTAAGCACTTTAATGCAAAAGTCTCGCGTTCTACGACCTATGCGTGGTAGTTACAGGTAGTTCACAGGTAGTAGGTAATCAGTGGTTCGCCGGCGGACATGTCTTTCTCCGGGCGGACCCCTTCCCCACTGCACGACGCGGGGTTTTCAACCTCCGCCCGCACCCCGCGACAATGATGATAGTTGGACGGGCTCTCGATGAGGGGGATGTGATAGGTTTCCGAGTCGATATGGTGTGGAGAGCCAATTTGGAGAAGATGAACCAAAATACATATAAAAGCCCTCGTATCCCCTGAGCCCATCTGCCTCAACCATCTCCCGAACCTACTTCAGAACAAAAGCTTCACCCCAATACCTATACGATGGCTGCTCAAAAGACCTATAGCATCGCCTCGATCCCAGCCGACGGAATCGGGCCGGAGGTCATCAATGCCGGCATCACAGCGCTGAATGCCTTGACCGACACCCTCAAGACATTCAAATTGGAATTCAAAAACTACGACTGGAGCTCCGAGACCTTCAAAAAGACCGGGAAATACATCCCAGACGGCGGACTAGAGGAACTCAAGAAGCACGACGCAATCTTCTTCGGTGCCGTCGGCGCTCCCGGTAAAGCTTACAAAAATACCCCCCATTAGTTACTTTTCAAAACAGATAACTAACTCGAGCAACACAAAGATGTCCCCGACCACATCTCCCTCTGGGGCCTAAGACTCGCCATCTGCCAGACCTTCCAGCAATATGCCAACGTGCGCCCAACCCGCGTATTCCGCGGCACCGAGTCCCCACTGCGAAATTGCGGACCCAAGGACCTTGACTGGGTGATTGTGCGCGAGAACAGCGAGGGCGAGTATGCGGGTCAGGGCGGTCGCTCGCACGTTGGAAAGCCGTGGGAGGTTGCGACGGAGGTTTCTATCTTCTCCCGGCACGGGGTGGAGAGAATTATGCGGTTTGCGTTTGAGACTGCTCAGAAGCGGCCGCGGAAGCTGTTGACTGTTGTTACGAAGAGCAATGCTCAGCGAAATGGATTGGTTCTCTGGGATGAAGTTGCTAAGGCTGTTGCGAAGGATTTCCCTGATGTCACTGTTGATAAGATGCTTGTCGATGCTATGACGACGCGTATGGTCTTGAAGCCTGAGAGTTTGGATACGATTGTTGCTACGAATCTGGTGGGTTGTTGCTGCGAGATATATGGGACTGCGCTTTTACTGACTTGGTGGTTTTTCACAGCATGCGGATATTCTCTCGGATCTTGCTGCTGCGCTGGCTGGGTCGATTGGTATTGCGCCTACCTCTAACCTTGACCCTACACGCGAGTATCCTAGTATGTTTGAGCCTATTCATGGCTCCGCTTTTGATATCACTGGTATGGGTATCTCTAACCCTGTGGCTACGTTCTGGACGGCGGCGGAGATGCTTGCTTGGCTCGGTGAGGAGGAGGCGTCTAAGCAGCTGCTGGATTGCGTTGAGAATGTATGTGAGCAGGGTGTTCTTACTCGTGACTTGGGTGGTGATGCTACTACGAAGCAAGTTACCGATGCGGTTGTGGCGGAGATCAAGAAGCTTGGGGCTAAGTAAATAGCTGATCGCAATGAGCATGGAATATCATAACAGATCAGTCCACCATTGAGCCCCTGAGCAGCCCGTTACCTAGCTTACCTAGGTACTACCTACAGGCTATCATGGATGGAACCTTGCAAATCGGATGCCCTATACTCTAGGTACCAGAGGGTGATGTGAGCCCTTTTGTAAGACGCCAACGCTGCGAAATTGGATATCCATGTACAAGTTTTTCCGACCAAATCAACGAATCGCCATGGAATTTTTTACCAAATATATCTTACGCCGAATTCTCACTTCTCAAAGTATAGGTAGAACGTTAGAACGTTCCCTCGTAGATCGCCCAAACCCGGGCATCGCGACCGCCTTTTCCTCGAAACCCATCAACCCCCAGCCCAATGGAAACCTCCTCCAATCCAACAATAAGATGGAGCCCCCTTCCAAAAAGCCCCGACTCTCAGAGTCTGGCACAGATGGTACAGTAAACACCACATTCGCCTCTCTACACAGAGCCATCAGTCCACCGCTCCGGCGAGCAACCTCACAGCCGTCGAAAGATCTCCAAACACCAGCTGGTGATAAGACGTATCCAACTGGATCTAATAGTGATCGGATCCAGTATGTCAATTCACCTACACAGCTTACGTATATTCGAGATCTACCAGCAGGCAACAATGTCGACACAGTCCGACTACGCGATATCCTGGGGGACCCCATGATCCGCGAATGCTGGCAGTTTAACTACCTTTTCGATGTTGATTTTCTGATGTCTCACTTTGACGAGGATGTTAAGGATTCCGTGCAGGTTAAGGTTGTGCATGGGTCGTGGCGGAAGGAGGATTCGAATCGGGTTCGGGTTGAGGTGCGTACATTCAACATTGCCTATGTGCTCTTCTTTTGGATAGATCGTTGGCTAGAAACGTGACATGCAAGACTGACACTGACTTCTAGGAAGCCTGTTCGCAATATCCAAACGTGGAGCCAATTGTGGCCTACATGCCCGAAGCCTTTGGCACACATCATTCCAAGATGATGATTCTTCTTAGACATGATGACCTGGCTCAGTAGGTTTCTCATATTGAGCTCTTGTGGCTTGGTTCTGATGATTTGAATAGGATTATTATCCACACTGCCAATATGATCCATATGGACTGGACCAACATGACACAAGCTGTCTGGCGCTCTCCGCTGCTTCCCCTGCAAAAGGAAGTCCCATCAGGACCTCAGCCTGATACAAAATTCGGCTCGGGGGTGCGGTTCAAACGGGATATCCTGACCTATCTAAAAGCGTACGGGCCCCAAAGGACCGGCCCATTAGTCCAGCAGTTAAACACATATGACTTCGGAGCTATCCGCGCTGCACTCGTTGCCAGCGTCCCGTCTAAAAAGCACATCAGTGATTGCAGCTCAGAAGAAGACACGCTATGGGGTTGGCCAGCTCTGAAAGATACAATGCGCCGGATTCCGATTCAGCAGAAGAAGACCAACAAAAAGCCACACATAGTAATCCAGGTAGGTCCACCACCTCCAACCCCACCACTATCTCCATAACCAGCTCCCAACAATCCCAAGATCTCATCAGTCGCAACCCTCGGCCAAACAAACAAATGGCTCAAAGAAATCTTCTTCAAAGTCCTCGCCCCAACACCACCACCACCACAACAACCAACCTACTCAATAATCTTCCCAACCCCCGACGAAATCCGCCGCTCCCTAAACGGCTACAACTCCGGCGGTTCAATCCACATGAAAACCCAAAGCCCAGCCCAACAAAAACAACTCCAATACATGCGTCCGCATCTCTGCCAATGGGCCGGCGACGTTCTCCCACCAGGAACCTGCATCGATCTATCCGAGGATAGCTCCCCGAAGCGCGAAGCAGGCCGCAACCGCGCAGCACCGCATATCAAAACCTACGTGCGCTTCGCGGACTCGGATATGAAATCCATCGACTGGGCGATGGTCTCGTCGGCGAATCTGTCCACGCAGGCGTGGGGCGCGGCACCGAATGCGGGCGGCGAGGTGCGTATCTGTAGTTGGGAGATTGGTGTTGTCTTTTGGCCGGAGCTTTTTCGGGAGGATACTGGTGAGGGGACTGCTTCCGGCTTGGAAAAGGGGGGTTCCACCGCGCTGATGGTTCCTTGTTTTAAGGCTGATTGTCCTAGTATACCTGATGGGGCTGAGACAGATTTGCTGGTCGGGTTCCGTATGCCTTATGATCTTCCGCTGACGCCGTATGGAGTCGGCGATGAGCCGTGGTGTGCGACTGCTTCGCATCGTCTGCCGGATTGGCGGGGGCAGAGCTGGATTGTATAAGATTGCTGCTCTGCATGAGTCATTGCTATATCTATTATGGTAGTTTCCCTTGGGGTTGTGAGTGGTTTATAAAGCCCAGCATGTGTCTTTTAGGATACTGGGGAATGCGAGATCATGGAAAGTAGCATGCATTTGTACTCGTTGTATTCGTAGAGCTAGAGACGATATGAATTATCTGTTCTCTGCAAGATCACCGCACTTCCAAAAATCCACAGGTAGATATCCTCCCAACATCAAATCTGCCAATTTCATCGTTTATTCGTCACGGGTACCGTACTTGGAGATCAAGGTGTTGACGTGACCAATGTAAAGCTGGTGAGCCTTAACCTGGCTGTAATCCTTAACCTTCTCCCAAGCACCGAAGAGCTGCTTCTTCTGTAAACCGCAAACAATCGTTAGCTACCAACGTCTGTCTCAAAGTGGGATGTATAGCGTGGCTTGCGGGGAGTTCCACAAGCACACGAGCTCAAGCCAAGTTTAAAATTGAACCATACCTGAATATCGAACATGCCGGGCTTCTCCATAACCTCGCCCTTGCCAACCTTGAAGTAGATGTACAGGTCCTTTTTCTCCATAAGACCGGGGGAAGTCTTCAGCATCATGACAGCCTTGGCGGCGAATTCGAAAGCCTTGCGGAGGGTTTCGGCCTCGGCGGCATCGTCGAGCTTCTCGAATTCACCCTGCTCGGAGACCTTCTCGTAGACGGCCTTGAGGGCTTCGATGTCGATGCCGGCGGCGGCTTCTTGGACTTCGGAGGTGAACTTCTCCTTCTTCTGGGCGGCCTCCAGGGCGGTGATGAAGGGGGTGATGTCGGACATTTTTGTAATGTGGGATTTGTGTTTTAAGGGTTGATATAGGTAGAAAGCAGAAGCTGAGGATTTGTATGTGGGGTTGTTGAGGATGTTGGAGATCGTTGAGGGAGTAGTGGGGGTCCGCTGACACACTCGCCAGTTGTCTCTGAGCGCGGGGTTACGTTTACGAGATGGCTGTGATGTGGGCCAAGAGCTGAATAAATGACCTATGGTATGGCTATATACACGTATTTAGATCCAAAAACTTCTCTGGCTACCCATGCCGGCAGATGCATGTCCATATGCGACCGGGAAATCACTCGCTATGCATACGCCAATAAAATCAACACCCAAAGAAATGTACATATTGGAATAAGAAAAAACATCACCAGTCAACTGCCCATCCATTCTTCGTCAGGAACTCCTCACACGCTGCCTTGAGAGCGTAATTGTTCCGCAGATCTTTAACAGACATCGGAGTGCGAGTTAGAGGATCAACACCCGCCTTCTCAACATATTTAGTGATGCCAATGCGGTCGTAGCTGACGCCAGAAGGCGTGATGACTGGATCATGCATAATCTCGAAGGTGATGCCGTCGATAAGATGGTCAGGGACAACCTAGAAACGCAGCAGAAGGTCAACAACCCAGCCAAACATAGCAAAAGCCCCGAACAAACACATACCCGTTCTTGAATCTCACCCTTGGAAGCAATGCGAAATGCCTCCCTCAAGTTCTTAACCTTATTCTCAGCATCCTCCCGCAGTGCCTTCTCGTCCTCCCCAAATCCGATCTCGCCAATCTCCCCGCGATCCAGACGGCCCTGCAACTCGCCCAGCGCACGCGTCAAATCAGCCTCAATAAGAGCCTCGACAGCGCCCAGAGTCTCATCGAGCTCCCGCACCCGAGCAGTCTCCTTCGCAGCCCAAATCTGCTGCTTAGCGCGCAGCACCGTCCGAGACAGATTCTCTGTCTGGACACTCTTCGCTTCCAGACTCTGTTTGTATGCGTCGCTGGCGACTTCGTATGCTTCCTGTGGGCGCTGGAGGCCCAGCAGGGCCTGGGCAAGGTAGTAGCAGCTCTTGAGGACGGCCGGATTCTTCAGCCCGTAAATATCGATCGCGGCGCGAGCATCGTGTTCAACGCCCGCCCATTTGGCGAGTTTGATACGCGTTATCGCGCGGTTTGTGAAGAATGTTGCATCGTGCGGGTTCTTTTGGATTCTATTTCGCGACAGGGATGTGAGCTCGGGTTTGTGCAAATGATCGCGTGGCGTTCCGGAAATGAGGGGGGCGAGGAAATTGGGGTCGGAGGGGTCGGTGTATTTGCTTACGCTTGGGAGAAGTATTCTTCAGCGCCGCTGAAATCGCCTGCTTTGAAGAGCTCGTTGCCCTTGGCTTTCAGTTCTTGGGCCATGATAAATGTGTGTGAGAGTTATTTGAGGGTTGAATTTGAGGATGCTGATCTAGTCTCCAGGGTGGGGTTGCTCCACCATATAGAGTCAGAAGCGACAGGAGATGTGGATAATGCTGAAGTTCATACGAGCAGATCACAGTGAGAACCCTAGATGATCTGCAAGATCCCGTGAGAAAGGCCTTTGTGAGTCCATCTTTCTTTTCAGCGTCGGTAGAGTGCGCGTTGTTATGTTCAGTTGCGTACCTCGTGGAAAGACGTGGATCCCCGCAGAACATCTGAGTCAGCTAATCGGCACGTGGACCACAAGGCCCGGGGATGACGGAATCGAAAGGGATCGTTGGATTCGATCGTGGCTCATAGCCTCATAGGTGCAACCTGTGCGCGTCCTACAGATCTATTGGAGATGACCAGCCAGTGGACCGCAGTTGGAGAGAATTTTTCATTGACTATGTACATTTGTGATCTTCTGATCCATTATAGGAACGAAAGGAACATTGGAGTCGTGGTATCATGCGCTGTAAGAACTGGGAAAGGCATAACAATCAATGCATACAAGTGACACTTGACGATTCATGCTCGGTCAATGATCAAAGCAGTTGGGAGGTCGGTGTCAAGACTTGAAGTTTCAGAAGTTTGTTCGAAGGCGTGATATCTCGGTATTTAAGCGGCAGCGCGGAACTGAGCCTCATAGTCGCTGATAGCTTGGATCTTGGCAGCAGAAGCGCTCTTAGGGTCGAAGCGGTAGTTGAGCCAGTCAGTGGCGAGCTTCTTGGCCAATTCGACGCCGATGACACGCTGGCCCATGCACAGGACCTGGGCATCGTTGCTCAGGATGGAGCGCTCGACCGAGAAGGGATCGTGGGCAGTCACGGCCCGGATGCCGGGAACCTTGTTGGCAGCAATGGCAACACCGAGTCCAGTGCCGCAGATGAAGAGGCCACGGTCAGCCTTGCCTTCGGTGATGAGCTTGGCGCCCTCGACGGCGGGGTGAGGGTAGGCAGTCTTGTCTGAAGTGGAGTTGACGCCGACATCAATGATATCGGCGACCAGAGGGTTCTTCTCGAGAACAGCCTTGATGGCATCCTTATAAGGAACACCGGCCTCGTCGCAGGCCATGACGATGCGGAGGGGAGCTGGAGTAGACATGATGAAGGTATAGATAGGTAAGATCAAGTATATATGAAGAACGGAGTATATGAATTGAATGAAAGCTCGCGAGAGTATGGATATGAGAATAGAGTTATAGAGAAAAAGAAGACCGGATCTGGGAATATGCCAGGGGTCTTTATATCTTTTCTGCTCAGCTGCTTTTCCCCCTCTCTTTCTTCCTCCATGTAGCCGGTGCAACCAAGTACCCCAGATCCAGCCAATCTTCTCGGAATCATCGATAAGTCGTTCTCCACCGAGGGAATGCCAATGATATGTCCGATCTTAGGATTTATTACGTGTATTCCCAGCATTCAGGGTGGCTCCCAGCATCATGACAGCGGGCTGTGAGTGGCCAATGTCAAACGACGTCGAACCGAAGGATGCTTTTAAAACGCTCGTTTTATGCGATACATGACTCTTCCCTCGTATTACACGGGATGTTATTAAACCTCGCCGGGGCTGGCTTATTTCTCGGAAATCACTTTCTCACTCAAGCCATCGATGTCAGTGGTTCGTCTATTGCAGCTATGGTGTAGGGCACAACGGGTGTGGCTGTTACACAGACATATTAAATTTCCCCCTCATTAATCCTGGTGCCTCTAAAAAGCCAAGGGTTGGGTCGGTCTTGAGTTTCACCTGTATTCCCGGTGCCAGGGGTGAATTCCGTGGCTAAGGCCTGGGCACCTCGTATATTGTCTAGTCTCTCTTAGAACGGGAAGAGGCGGGGGAACTAATCGGAAGGGCCAATTTTGATGCAATTGACGTCGATAACTTAACATCAACAAACTCTGTCAACAGTCTTACAGTCATGATAGGGACTTATCATTGTGAACGTGATTCCCTACAAATAGTGTACAGAGTACATACATCATGTACAGCTACGATATGTACCTACTTCGTACAAGATACTATCATACTATGCCTATCGCTTCGACGCTAACCCGCATTGATGTGCATCGCCTCATGGGGCGGGCGCTCGCCAGGCAATGATTCTCCCCGCTTTAACCCCACTGTCTTCAATATTGTTGGTTCCGTGGTTCTCGATAACCGGTTCCTTGTATTGAACTGGAACTTACACCTTTTTCTTTTGATCGACAGGCTATGATGTACCCTTGCATACGTACACATACTAGACTTTGATGTGAACATAGAAATGCACAAGATAGATAACGCCAATTCCAGCAGAACTGAAAGTATTGCCCCTCTTTTGCTGCTCTTTATGTACCTGACGCTATTCACATTTCGTCCTTTGCCCAACCGCAGTGATACCTACATGTACAAGTACAACCCTTGGACCCGCCATTGTGTATATCCCGTACTGAATTCTAATGTTACCTAGACACTTCATGTACCAATGGCATGTTTTCAAAGTACCTTTCTCATGTTTAGAGCATAACGCTAGGGGACTTCGGCCGAGGCCGAAAAACGCCGCTAACGGGGATGCGCATTGACGTCTTGGTCCCTTGGAATTACGCAGTAGCTCGATATAATCGAGGAAATTAGTTCGAAGACATCGAGCCAGTCCATCCGAAGCAACTATTCCGAGACTTTCCCCTCTCAGAGTCGCACTAGACGGGAACGCTAACACAATCCCCGACAACCCCTCAACTTTCAAGACCCCATCATCAACAGTTATTCAACACACCCATCAACACACCTATCAACACACAACTCTCCAGCAGAGAACCGCCATGGCCTCCCCCTACCCAATCCTCCCAGAGAAGCTCCTTCTCATCTCTTTGAAGATGTACTTCACCCCAGACCGCACACTCACCTATCTCCGCGACCTCCTCAACCCAACCAACGAGATCGTCCACCCCCAAAACCGAGACAAGCTCCTCCTAGCTCTAATCCCCGACTTCCTCACCATCTGGCCGTGTGCCCAAATCCTCAAAGAATACGAATCCCACCTCACCACCACCGGAATCTCCCCATCCCCATCCCCCTTCCTCCTAGGCGCCCAAGACTGCTTCTGGGAACCCCAAGGCGCCTACACAGGCGAAGTATCACCCGCCTCCATCCGCAGCCTGGGCTGCTCAATCGTCGAGCTCGGCCACGCCGAGCGCCGCGCCATCTTCAACGAAACAGACGACCAAACCGCCCGCAAAGCCGCCGCAACCTGCGCCCAGCACATGGTCCCACTCGTCTGCGTCGGCGAAGTAACCGCCCCAGGCCCCGTCGCATCCCAAGCCGTCGGCCAGGCTGTCTCTGAATGCGCGGTGCTTGTGCGCGCCGTCCTGGCTGCTATTCCTGCCGACGCACCCGTTATCTTCGCCTACGAGCCTGTCTGGGCCATTGGCCAGCCAAAGCCTGCGGGCGTTGATCATGTCGCGGCCGTTGTGGAGGGTATCCGGGCGGTCATTGGCGCCCGACCTGGTGCTGCTCGTGTCTTGTACGGTGGCAGCGCGGGACCGGGGCTTTGGGGTGCTGGTGGGCTTGGAAAGGCCGTTGATGGGATGTTCTTGGGCCGCTTTGCGCATGAGATCGAGGGGGTGCGCAAGGTTGTCCGGGAGGTGGAGGAGACGCTGGCTGTGTGATGTGGCCGCGTTATTACTGGCTTTTCTATGCCTATACGCTATGCGCTCTTCAACATGGACGATACAATGCTTCAATGCCTTGATACCTGATATATGTGGGCCCCCGTACAGGTGTGCATATGGTATTGTGTTTCATACCATTACACTTCCTTGTCATCGTTATACGGAAAAGTACATAACACAGCTAAACAGAAAGAAACGGCAAAAATAACACAGGCGCATCTAGACATCAACCGACTCTGTCACAAAAGAAAAATGGAAAAAATGACAAAACAAGAAAAGGTGGGAATCTCAACCGATGACCACCCCCGAGCTTCTCTCGGGAAGCCTATCTGGGGGAACCCGAACCCTTGGGGCCGGGCAAACCCACTATCGGTGGAGAACTGGAGCTTCCAGTTCCAATTTCCCCGGTTTTTCCTTCTCCATCTTCGGTCCTGTCACGCAGCTGATCAGGATTTGCACCTCAGGTGACTTTCAAGCTTTTTTTTAAGGCTTTTTTTAGTCTGCATGGAACCCGGGTCCTACTCCTGGCTCGTGCGTAGATCGGATGATCTCCGATACTATGAAGCTATGTGGACGGCTTTCCTGGTCCACTGCCGATGCCATTACTACAGTACAGTACTAGTCGTCCCCTTTGTGTGGGGTTTATGGTGGACTCCCCTCCCGTTTGCACTGATCGAGTAATCCGAGCTATTGAATTTTGATATACGACTGACTTTCTATCGAATAATCGGAGGCATTACGGGGTCAACTCTTACCGACTGTTAGTAGGTCCCCCTTTTTGCAATGTTCTCTTTTCTGGTCCCGGTACTGCCTATATTGGCTGTTCCACAGCCTCAGAGCTGTGATTCTCCGTACCGCTTGTCTCCTGTGAGTCAATTGTATTTCTCGGGCGAAAAGACCGGGGAAGGAAACAAGATCTAGTCAAAACAGCCGATATCACAATGGGATTATGCATTCCTTATTTCGTATCAACGTTATATACAGAGTCTACTTTTTAAACTTTCGGCTCTAGAAGAACGAACAGTACAGAAGTCTAGACCGCTCATTTCTCCTGCAGCTCTTTCCGCAGCTCCTGCTTGACTCGTGTGACAGTGCCAACACCACTGTAGACAACGCCAGTGTACATCATAGCGACCGAAGCACCAGCCTTGAGCGCCTCACGCGCCTCCTGGCCGGTCGTGATACCACCAGAGGCGAAAATAACCTTCCGAGGAAGCCCAGACACTTTTTCGACGGGCTTATCGGCCTTATCCGAGTCCGCAGCCGACGGCGGTCCCTGGTCAAGCAAGGCGCGGTAGCGGGCGACGAGTGCAACAGAACGGTCAAACAACTGCGGGCCGGAGTAGCCGCCGGTTTCCTTCAGAGTCTTCTGTTCCTCGGCGGGGAGGACGAATCCCTTGGGCAGGGGATCGGGTCGACGGTTGGTTGTGTTTCCGACGATGACGCCATCGACGCCGGAGTTCCAGACAGCCTCGCAGATTCCGGAGATCTGTTCGTCGGAGTCCTCGTCCGGGCTGACCTTGACCATAACGTAGGGCTTGGTCTTGCGCTGGATGTTCTTCGCCGAGGCGACGACTGCAGTCAGGATTGCTGTGAGAGGTGCGGCGGCTTGGAGGTCGCGCAGACCGGGAGTGTTTGGACTAGAGACGTTGACAACGAGGATATCAGCATATGGCGCGACGCGATCGACGCAGTAGACGTAATCGCGCTTGATCGCTTCGATGTCTGAGTCCGGGGTGAGCTTGTTCTTGGCGACTTGCACCGCGAGCAGCTTGCCGGGCACCAGACTTCCCGGTGGAACGTTAGCTTCGCCGTCCAGAACACGTAGCACGGACTCCTCGTGCGAGCCGAACCCGACCGCGTAGGCAAAGTCAGATACACGCTGCTTCAGCACCTTTGCCATGTGGTCGGCACCCTTGGAGTTAAGGCCGTAGCGGTTGATCATGGCATGTTGGGAGGGCAGCCGGAACACTCGAGGCTTGGGGTTTCCTTCCTGTGGCAGGGGAGTGGTACCACCGACCTCAACAATGGCGGGGCCGATGTCGAACAGGGCGTCGGGGACGTCGGCGTGCTTGTCCAGACCGGCGGAGATACCGATAGGGTTTGAAAGAGTGTACCCGAAGACCTGAGGATGGATATCTCGTCAGCAATTGATTCTCAGTCCAGTTTTGGAGAAGGCTGTTACCTCAGTTGCCAGGGCACCATCGCTGTCAGGGTCGCCACGCTCGCGCGGGTGGAGACCATATCGGTAAAGCATCTTCAGGTTCTCTACACCAATGTGGTGCGCGTCCTCCGCATCGGGCCACAGGAGGCGGATGAGGGGGACCACTCCGTATCTGTGGATACTGGCTCTGGTGTCCGTTCCATAGATATAGCCCACAAGTAGCGTCAGGGCCAACGAGGTACCGTACAGGAGCTTCCTCGAGCCTCGATCCGCTTTGCGAGGGATCTCCTTAGCTGCCTCCTTTGTCGCATCCTTCACCTGCTCCTTGGCTGCCTCGGCAGCCGCTGGTGCAGCGGAGTCTGAAGCATATCGTGAAGCACCGGGGAAGCGCACGGCCCGCTTCGAAATCAATGCGGACGGACGTTGGGTCAAACTGTATGTAGGGAAGGTGCGAGCCCGGGCACTGGCTCTCCAGGCCATTCGTGCAGACGGTGTAGCCATTTTAGTGTCGTGCGGAACTTATTGTCTTTGTCGGCGAAGCAACGCCCGAACCTATAGCGGTTAATTCTTGCGACTGAAGGTGGAATGGGACTAGCACCCAATAGCTGGCGGAGATCCAGGTTGTGGGCATTCCAATTGACCAGTTATAACGGCACATGGAGGCCACTGGGCATGCTAGGGGCACTCACAATTTCAATTGAGCTCGATCCGACGTTCTCGCGGCGGTTCGCAAGGGCGGATTCGGGTTCTTTGCCTGCAGAATCCGGGCGGTGGAGATAGAGTCAGCAGAATGTTGTAAGGCGGTATCACTGGTAGTATGCACATGCACATCATTCGGATTTCGGAATCCTCTCAGCAACGCTCTTTTACTGTGTAGAAGACAAAGGAAATGACTTACGACCTATGCAGGCAGGTAGGCTGAGGCAGGAAATACAAACATTCTAACCTAGGTAGTTAAAGTTTGGACACTCTAGTCTGCGACTAGTAGTCTCACCAAATCGAGCTCCGTGGTTGTAAACATTGAGCTAGCTGCTAACAATCCTACTGGGGGATCCTCAAAACCACACGGCCGTCGATCTCCGAGCGCTCCAGGCGGTCCAATACCTCATTGATATCATCCAGCTGGTAGACGTCAATGTGCGCCTTGACATCTCCAGCTACTGCCATCGCCAGAAGCTCGTCCATCTCAGCAGCTGTCCCCGCAGAGTTCCCGACAATAGTTTGACCTGTATGAATGATCAGACTAGCTCATGTTTTGCTCTCAGTCTCACGGGACACAAAGTAATGTTCCTACCCTTGACAATCATATCGAACGGTGTGGCTGGCAGTTTGAACGGGCTGCTGGGAATACCGACACAAACCAGTGTGCCAAGCGGACGCAACATTTGCATACTTTGCTCGTATGCTCGCTCGCCATTAGCAGTGCAGATCACAGCGTGAACACCGAACTTTGTCTTGGCCTTGACTTCTTTGACAATGCCAACTTCCCGGAAATCTAAAAACTCCGAGGCACCAAGAGAAAGACAGAGTTGCTTCTTCTTCTCACCACTTTAGTATCAATATGTCAGTTCAAGGACAAGATACAGACAGACGGTCTCAAGCCGGGGTATCTCGTACCTGTCTATCGCAATGACTTTGAGGCCTTTCTTCGCGGCGATTTGGATTCCCCTGCAATGTTCCTTTTGTCAGAATACAAGCCTTCCATTGCTCGGGTCTGAATTGGGACTATACATATGACCAAGGCCACCGCCGGCGCCAAGAATAGCGAGGTAGTCTCCCGGACGAGTCTTGGTCTTCATGATAGAAGAATACATCGCAATGCCAGCTAGAATGGAAGTATTAGCAGTGATATGAGCAATGCAACCCGGCAGATAGATACCACAAAGAAGAGGCGCAGCACTGTCCGGTGAAAGCTGCTCCGGAATCTTCGTTACATGTTGTGCTGGACTGACAATATACTCTGAGCCACGACGTTAGAGCTAGTTCATGTGAATGATGCTAAGAGAGAGACGGTAAGACTTACGTTGGAAGGTCCCAGGTACATTCTGCACATATAAAATGTAGTCAGTAACGGAAAACATAACATCTGCATGTTGAACTGCACAACTGACTGCACCAGCGTTCTTCTGATATGGGCACGCAGTATGATTGATTTCGCAAATCTCACACTGGCCACAGGAGCTATACAGCCACCTAGTGCGAATTGATCCAGGTCAATGTGATTTCAATCGAACAGTGACTTTACCCAGGAAGAACCAACCTGATACCGACACACGTTCCCATCCATTGAATTTCATCAACCCCCAGTCCGACTAAGAGCGACGACAGGTTATCTTAGTATGATGTGTGACCCAGTTTCAACGGAGGTGGTGCTTACCTGCCACTACTTTGCCAATGCCTTCATGACCGGCCACATCAGTCAACATAGGTGTATCACCGCGGATACTGTGAATGTCCGAGTGACACACTCCAGAATATTCGAGCTGGACGAGGATTTCGCCTTTTCCTGGAAGTGGTACTGGACGATTGCTCCTGATCCCCACCTTTGCGGAGGCATCTGTCTTAGTAGGTTCGATAACGGCGGCGATTTGAATCCGAGGTACCGCCATCTTGCTCGTTGAGTCCTTTGAAGAGAAAGGGATTATGTGGAAGAAAGACTTCTAATTAAGTACACATGTCTGAATAATCGGTAGTTCACAGCTAATCCGATAGGCGGTACTTATGGTATCGCAGATGCGGGGGTGAGGGAGTAGGCAACGATAAGCAGGAATCAGGTGCAGCAGATGCCAAGGTGATGAAAGAATCTTATAGGCAAGGCAGACAAGATGGAGGAGGAACCAATACGGGTCTCTGATATACTCGAGTGGAATGTAGCTGACGCTTGTATTTTACTGTGTTCAGCGTCAACAATCTAATTAACAATTATTTGCAAGCCGTAGGATTGAAACCGAGGAAATCAAGAAGGATATAAGACAAGGGACTCTGCAGCAGAGTCGAAGGAAAGAAGCGGTAGGAATGCAGAAGGCCCTCGAGTCCAGCGAGGAAGCTCGAGCACCAAGGTATCAATGGTGAAATCTAAGTCCGACACTCAAACGCCAGAAAATCATGCATTCTCCGATTGGATCGTTTGCTGCGGAGAGTCAGTTTAAGGAGTCAAATGGAATTGGGAAAACGAACCACCAGCCAATCCATTCCCTCATTAATTCCTTTGCCATCAATGGCGGAGCAAGCGACGATACTCCAGTTTCGGTCCCGAAGCTCTCCCAACTTCAAAGCTTCTGAAATCTCGCCTGCGCCCTTGGCACCCGGCTGATCTTGTTTGTTGGCAAACACCAAAAGTGCCGCATCTTGAAGTTCCTCCTCATTCAACATGGCTGCGAGCTCATCTGCTGCGGTTCCGAGCCGCTCAATATCCGTCGAGTCGATTACAAATACCACGGCAGCGGTATTAGCATAGTAGCATCGCCAGTACGGGCGAATAGACGTTTGGCCACCGAGATCCTAGAATCCAGGGATGTCAATGATGGCTTCAGCTGAGCGCTTAGATAGACGACACATACCCAGACGTTGAGATTCAGATTCTTGTATGTGACCGATTCGACATTGAAACCGATTGTAGGTATAGTGGTGACGACCTCGCCGATCTGTGGGCGCAAAGTGTCAGCTCCTCGAATATCAAACACATTTAAACTGCCCCAGGGTAAAATGACTCAAAGCTTTCGTATCTTACCTTGAGCCTGTACAGCAGAGTAGTCTTTCCAGCATTATCCTGAATGCCCCGAGGGAATACAATTAGTGTCCATATCATCCCGATGAGAACAGGCTTCCCCGCGCCACGGAACTGCGTGGGACATCACATACAAGTCCGAGAATCAGGATGCGAATCTCCTTCTTGGACCACAGCAAGGACCAAATGCGCGATAGTGAGCCTCCCATGACGTGTGTGATTTGATTAGTCGGCGCGTTGTGGTTGCTTCAGTGACCGTTGCCTTGCGAGTTGCGACTACGGGGCCGAGTGTGATGAATTGAGTAAGAGGTCCGTAAATCGTAAGGGTCCGGTGGATTTGAATGAGACAAACGCTCAGTGCGTACGATAGAATGAATACACAGTAAAGTAGATGAAAGGGAAGAGTTGCTGGTGGCAACCGCGTGTTGGCCGGGCCTGTGCGGTGTGGGCGGTCAATCCGTCAATCCGTCGCCGGCGGGATTGGAGCTCATTCAGATCAATCGCACCACCCCATTGTCCCTTCAGCTCTGATCTCGGCGCTAGTTGACTTTTAGCTTCCTTCTCATGTAATCCGTTTCACTGCATCTCACGATCTCAAGTGCCCCTCGGTTACTTCACTCACCTCCGGCGCAATCTCTAGATTTGCGGCGATTGATCTCAATCAAAGCGAGCTGACCAGGAACATACCATCATGGTTGGAAAGAAGTCGGGCAAGGCCCTGCGGGATGAGGGTAAGATAGTCCAGTCGAGGTCATGACAGCCATCAAGCGGAGAGATTCTGATGATTGAGATAGGTCTGGAAAGGACGGACAACAACATGGCATTAACCAGCTGGCCACAGGTCCCAGCGATCAACCAGAAGAACTACTACACGTACGTATATATGCTTGTCACGCGATATCACGTTTTTTTTGCCCACTTTCTGGTCCTGAGACATCTGGTCATGCGACATGGCTGACCTCTCGACTATTTAGCGACTACCTGAAGCGAGACGATCAACTGCTCGCCTGGCGACTCCAAAACGAGGAAGCGAGGACCAAGATGACCAAGAAAGCGAAGGATCACGACCGTGCTTTGGCCATGCCCAAGGTTGATACTACAGAAGGCGATGCCGATGCCGATGCCGACGCTACCATGGAGGATGCGGAGGAGACCCCGGCCGAGATGGCGGGTTCTAAGGTGATTGTCATTCATATGGGCAGCCAAAACCTCCGTATTGGACTTGCCAGTGATGCACTGCCAAAGACCGTGCCGATGGTGATTGCGAGGAAATCAGCCACCAATGAGTCTGAAGAACATAAGGAACCTAAGCCCAAAAGGTTCAAGAATGATGATGGCTCTGAACTGGAGCCCGAGAAGGCCTTTGGACCTGAGGTATGTATGCCTGCTGCTATTCAGTCTTGGCTTTGTACTGATTTTTCCTGGCAGTGGTCGTCTCATTTCAATCGGATGTCTGCGGATTTGAAGGTGCACATGCGACAAAACAAGCGCAGGATGCTTCCGAACTCGAAGGAAATGGTGGTGAACTACAATCGCAGAACCGCGCCAGAGATCATTTCCGAGCACAACGATCCAATGCGCGCCGAATGGACCGAGCTCTCTAGCCCTCCACCCGAGTACATTGTCGGGCAACCGGCCCTCCGAGTCCCGGATTCCTCGAAGCCACGATACAAGCTGTATTGGCCAATCCGGAATGGCTGGTGCAACGAAAAGGACTACACAAGCAAGATGTTGCTCTTCCTGGACATCTCTTTGATCGTGGAAGACGCGATCAAGAACCAACTACACTTGACCAGCAAGAAGGACTGGACCCAGTATTCGTGCGTGTTCGTCATCCCAGATCTTTACGACAAGACCTATGTCAGTCACGTTCTGGAAATGTTGATGCGGGAGTTTTCATTCGCACGGGTGTGTTTCATGCAGGAGAGTTTGGCAGCTACCTATGGTGCCGGTTTCACCTCGGCCTGTGTCGTCGATATTGGCGCACAGAAGACTTCGATCTGCTGTGTGGAAGAGGGAATGTGCGTTGAGAACTCGAGGGTGAACCTGAAGTTCGGTGGTCAAGATGTGACCGAAACATTCATCAAGATGATGCTGCACGATCATTTCCCCTATGCAGATATCAATCTCAGGCGCAGACATGACTTCCTCCTAGCCGAAGAGCTCAAGAAGAGCATCTGCACCATGAACGAAGCCAGCGTGTCTCCCCAAGTCTTTGACTTCCATCTTCGTGTAGCAGGTCAAGACACTCGCAAGTACACCTTCAAGGCTTTCGATGAAGTTATTCTGGCACCGCTGAGTGTCTTTGAGCCTTCTATCTTCGACAACTCCGAAAAAATCAAGGGCAGACGGACCTTGATCGAGCGATCAGTCGACATCTATGATGGACTGTCTAATGATCCCACTTCCACAGCGCAGTCGGAGATATTGACCGCTATTGCCCCTCCCCTTCCATCCCAGGCCAAGGCGAATGCCGAGTCTCTCGTGGCGACTGGTGGCCAAGCCACACCTAGCCGTTCCCAGCATCCCAATGCTCTAAGCAAAGTCCAGGATCTTGACGGCACTCCTCGCTCTTCTGTCACAGGCTCTCCAGTGCCTGAGAACACCGGGACTCCCCAAGCTGGCGGAACAACCGCGTCTGCTGCCGTGGCTGCTGCCACACAGGCCCCTCGCCCTCTCCCCGTGGAAGAGAGGGACGATATCATGCCTATCTTTGGCCTGGACAACGCCATCCTCACCTCTATTGCTCACGCAGCTCGCTCCGACGAGAAGAAGATGCGCGATTTTATCGGTGGTATCATGGTCGTCGGCGGTGGCAGTCTGACCTCCGGCCTCCACCTCTACCTGGAAGAACGACTGCAGTCACTTCGCCCCAACTACGCCAAAGAGATCATGATCGGGACACCTCCCCGAGACCTTGATCCCCAGGTCGTTGTGTGGAAGGGAGCTAGCATTTTCGGCAAGCTTAGCAGCACAAATGATAGTTGGATTGGCAGGGTGGAGTATGACCGGCTTGGCTCCCGGCTGCTGGCATACAAATGCATGTGGGCCTATTAAGCATCCGATGCTCTGGGATATTCTTTATCTTTATGACTAGCTTGCTCTGGGATATTCCTTCATCTTTATGACTACCTCGCTCTGAGATATCCCTTTATGACTACCTTGATCTGGGATGTTCCTTTACGACTATGAGAATGCGGCGTGGGGAGTTGCTTAACTTGCTTTTTTCGGTCGGTATGGGGGATATCTCAATATTCTTCCTAACCCAAGGACCTGGTTTTGAGAATGCGGCGTCGGAGTCGCTTAACTTGCTTTTTGCGGTCGATGTCGATATGAGAGGTAGCTAAATTAGCTTTAATATCCTTCCTAATCCAATGACCTGCTTTTCAACACGAGGGGATTGTCCATAGTTGCTGAGCGTTAGCGAAGCAAGCTGTAATAGGGAGTTGCGGGTTGTAGGTCCTGAATTTCATAGTGCTTCACGCCTGACTGTCGTGTCCCATACGTTGCTCCCTTCCCGTCTATCTTTCCATACTCTACCTCCACGCATCACTTCTATCTTTCCTTGCTCATAATGTCTACTAAAAGATGCTCTCAGTGCAATCACTTCCGTCCCCTGTGTGGGAAGGTACGAGAATAGAATACATTCGAGTAAAACCTTCTCCTCAGCGCATCTTAGGTTACTCGAACGTACCCTACCTTCTCCCACCTTCCCACACCCTGGACACAGTTTTGATCCGTCCGTGGGAACAAAGAAACGAAGACGTGCGAAGGCTGTCGACTTTTCTCAGCACAATCAAAAGCCCGCCTTCGCCAGTCCACATCAAGGCCTTCCTCGGCACGATCGCAAGCCCGCGTTCGCCAGTCCAGATCGAGGCCTTCCGCTGCGCCTCCGACATCAATCCCGGAACCTACGCCACTCGCAGAATCGACCGCAGTCTCCCATTCTATGCCCTCGCACAACGCAGCCGTTAGCAGTCAGGAGTGGGAGCTGATCCAATCTTTCTTATTCCCGGCTGCAACAGTACAAGATGGAGACCTGTTCCCGTTGCCAGGAGCGGTGGTTCGAGATGGGGCTTAAGGATACCGTCTGTCGGCGCCGCTGAACAAAAAGACAAGGACCAATCAGTATGGTTGTATGGTAAAGGGAATGAGATGCAACCGGACCAGGTACCCTCACACCTGCCCGAGCTTACGCAGATCGAGGAGATTCTGATCTCACGCGTCCACGTTATTGAGTTTCCTCAGCACAAGAAGTGCACAACATGACCTCGGTAGCGGTACTGCTGTCCACGTATCTGCGGGACCTCGATACAGTGGACGCGTAGATCAGAATCTCCTCGATCTGCTGCATAGCCATTACGATACTAGTCAGGCTCCAACAGGTTAATAGAACATTGATCCCAATGCCGATCTGCTGCGGAGAATGTCACAAAAAGGTGCGCAGGCCCACGCTGCTTGACGGGTCGGTCTGGTCGGCTTGGGGGTACCGCACTCGGCTTGGGATCAACGGCTTTGACGTAGACACCCCAATGGTCCGCAAAGGCCTGCTGTGCTGCTGGGGATAAATTGAGCCGATCCGCCAGATACGTAGACAGCAGTACCGTTACCGAGGTCATGTTGTTGTTGTTGTTGTTGTTGTTGCGATTTTTAACGTCCGGCGACCGCCGGGTCAGAACCCGGCTGCCTTAGGCCTCCCATGGGGCATGCAGACGTGCTAAGCTGAGACTTTCCTCAGAAAGCAACCCGTACTGTGAAGCGGTCTCCCACGTTCCTCGCCCCGACCTGTGGGCTTCTCGTGGAGTTGTGTCGGCGGGCTGGTTTCCATCCCTTTGAGAGTGTCTCGTGTCTCGGCGCAGGCGCGCTCTGTTTTTTTTCTTTCTTTTTTGGGGGGGGTGTAAAACGCTTGCCTGATTAACTACCTTGGGCAGGTCTTCGTGTAGAACTCCGTCACCCTTAGTAGGGTGGCGAAGTCTCCCGGTGATAGACCTCTAAGGTAGGTGAGGCCTGTTCTCTCCCCGACGGGGGGTGGGCGGCCTTTCTATCACCGGGAGACTTACACTCCATGAGGTACGAAGAACTACCTCTGCTTCCGAGTGAGATGGGTATCATTTGACTTCGACCGTCCAATTTATGAGCGAGGAAAGAAAATTTTGATGTGTACGGGGTAGAAGGTGAAAGAAGAAATCGAAAGAGAGATAGAAGCCCGGGATCTGATTTGTGTCAAGATCTACATCATGACACGGGTTGCTTCGCTTTGCTAACGCTCAGGCCAATAAGAATTAGGAAACGTTTCGATATTGGTCCATTAGTAGATGCACGCATATTGGAATATAAAGGCCACGGCCCCGGTTGCCAACCATCGCCCACGTGACGTATATACCAACATCCACGCGAAGGCTTGCTCGATTACCACGCACTTCATCGATAGGCGGTGAGTTTGGGCAAAATGCTTGGCGGCTTGCTCGAATATGGCATCCAGCTTGTATGGAAGCTTTTGCAAGCGATCTCATGCCAACTGTCGCGCGCTTGGGATCCACCTGAATATTACGATCCCCAAACCAGGGACATCACTCTTCTTAGCCGCATTCCGACTTTGCTGCAAGCTTTTGGGCGTCACCTGGGTAGGGTTGCGATCATTTCCCTTCCATTCCTAATTGAGCTCCCATACTGACTGCATACTCTAGAATTGCGCCACCGTCCCTGTCTGTTCTCCTACGTCCTCTCCACATATCCTTCCATCCGTTTGAACTCGAGCGACAGTGTTCTATATCGTTTCAGTGAGCTTTGATCCCATACCGCCCAGAGGCGGGCCGAGATGCTGATGCGCATACTATAGTTTAGTCTTCTAAGAGTCGCAAACACAAATCACAGCGACGAAAGATGTCTTCAAAATCCAAGGATACGGCTGGTGGCTTTCACCAAGACTACATCGCGTCTCTCCGCTATCGCAATGACCTCCCTCCCCCGGACATGCCCCCCAAATTCCTCGACATCCCACACGAGGGCTTGAGCCGCTTTCTCACTCCCGGATTTGCATCAAACTTGGCTCGTCGAGAAGAGCCCAACATTGATGTCGACGCTGAAGGTGGAATGCCAATTGACCTTGTCGGTATTCCGGGATTACATTTGGGCGACGAGAGTGGTACGTCTATGCTGATTTCGCTTCACATGCATGCCCGCGACTAACGAGAAGGCTAGCTATCATGGCTCCTGAAAACCCGCAGCCCTTGGACCCCGCTGATCTTCCCCTTCTCTTGACTATCGACCAACTCCGCAACCCTGCCCCCAGGAACACCAATGTCAGCTTCCTCCGTCGTACACAGCACATTGGTGTCGACCGCAGTGCTGGAGATGGATCCCGCGCCGCACCCATCAAAACACAAACACGCACCCCGAAGAAAGGAAAGCCCCACGTGGATGACCCGAAGCATGTTAAGAAGTTCATCCAAAAAGGATTCGATATCGCCTACCCGCAAAGCAAGCACGCTGGAGAAGACACAGATAGTCACATTCGAGGTCTTCCCGCGACAAAGGCAGAACTTGACGCCTGGGCCAATCCTGTTCACCCTGAAAACCCGAAGTTGAAGCCAGTCGGTTTCTTCCCTATCATGCCCGATCTCGAAGGCTTCCCAGACCCAGGTGGTTATCTTCAATTCAAGTTCGATAAGGCGCCTTTGCCGGCCGTTGGGGGCAAGCGAGACAAGCGAATGGATGTCGGTATTCTGACACCAGTCGCGCCTGAACAGCGCGTTTGTCTGGAGCATTCGGCCAAAGTCGATCTTCACAATAAAAACCCTGCTCTCTACCCTCACCCGGGCCCGGTTCCTTATGATTACCAACTGTTCCTACCGGAGAAGCACCAGTCCGTCAAGAACATTGATACAAGCATGAACCTGGCGAGCGCAAACCGCGACAGCGAAGACTTGTACGCCAACGAGGGCCCCGATGGCAACAAATTCCACCGCTACGATCGAATCCGCACTTACGCTACCAGTGCTCAGGTATTCAACACTGAGCAAAAAGACATCGCATTGACACTTTTCGAACCCAAGGGCGACGACACCAGGCAGTTGGCGGCTTACTACTATCCTATCTCAGGCAAGGCCCGTCTCAAGCCAGAGCGCGCCCGCACCATTGCTCAGGCTGGCCTCGCTCCTACTGCGACCCAACAGGAAGAGTCTGAGGAAAGGATTGATCAGATGCAGATTGTGATGCGTGATCCCAACGAGGCCGAAGTCTACAAGCGTGCTTTGACACGTCTACGCGTTGATCCCAAGTTTGCAAGCAATATGCCCCCTGAGCCTGTCCTTCAGGAAGAGGAGCAAGTGGAGAACGAGGAGACGGATAAGGTGGCCGATGAGGATACTCGCATGAGCGATGACGAGTAGGCATTCACCCGCTTGGGTGCCCGTGCTGAAAATCAAGCGGTTGCGCTCCTGTAAGTCGATTCACCTTGGTGTCAAGACCATAACTGATCTTTGTTGGTAGTGGCGAGAGCGGATCTGGGGAAACGACCCTCCGTTCACATTTGCTGTCCTCTTTGTCATTTTCATCCACCCCGCTTTCCTCTAAAATCTCCTATGCCGCCTTTATTTTCGACACCTTGACAACGACCCAATCCGTTGCCACACCCACCGCCTCGAAGGCCGGCCTCTTCCTTGAGCTCCAATACGATGGATCATCCTCCGTCAACCACATCCTAATCGGCGGCAAGATCATTGACTATCGACTCGAGCGAAGCCGCAAGAAAAAATACCAATATGTAATCCAAATGACTCCACTGAATATGATAACAACTCCATCCAACTATGCTGTATTATGGATTTTTCTTTCTTGAACATTAGAATGTCGAAGTTTTACTCAAGTGGAATCTCATGGGTTGGCGTCTGAGCAATGGAAAATGGCGTTACGCACAGATGATTCAAGCAGACTTCATCCTTCATCGCATTATTGCTTTCATTGCGGATTTCATAAAATGAGGTTAAATTGAGATCCCATTAGATCTGGAGAACTCCCAGTGTGCCGACGATGACGGAGTTGATTGGCGCCTAGGTAACGCTAGGTTGGGGCTGGTGGGCCTATGTGGCTCAGCCCGTGCCCGGGGCCGGGGCTGCCCATTGGGCCACATGGGAACGGGCTGGACTGTGAGTGGTCCATCAATCAACTGGTGAACTTTATTTTACTTTGTATGGACTCCGTCCGCTAACGGGAATCGGGATGATCTATTCTTCCAATCCGGAACGGCGAATTGTACCAGTTACTTCCTTGGTGCACGGTGGTGTGCATGTAGACCATGTCCATTCTACCCTCTTCCCTTGCCCCGTCTTCTTGTCTGTCCCCCATGTGTCGCCATGATAGGACCTGGCTGACGCTGCCTGTCTCCGGTGGAGCTTGGAGGGGCACATGTAGTCGATGTAGGGCTGATTGTAGTTGGTATTTGAGTCTGCCGGTTGCTACTCTTGCTCCTTGCTTCTTGCATCGCTCTTTGCATACTGCTGACAATGGATTGGACGCACATCTATATCGCCGGGGCCGCCATGCTGGTGTTTGCCCTAGTCGGTTTGGTTCTTTTGGTCTCATCTCAGCATATCAAAATCGCCAATATCAGCGCTGACCCATATTTGAGGTTCATATGGGCGAGCTTCATCAAGCCGCACGATAAGAAGGCTGGGGGACAACAGGATGCATTGGAGAGTTTCTATAGGACACAGGTATGATTGAACCTTGAGTTGGCGGAATTGGTATTCAGACTGACAGTTTTAGGCCGCCATTTATGATGCAACTCGTCGTCGCCTTCTCTGTGGTCGTGAGGATATGCTTGGCCTTGTGGCCGCACAGTTGAAATATAAGGTTGACAACAAAGAGGTCAAGGTTGGCAAGGCTGTCTGGGTTGATGTGAGTACCCATCAGCTTTGATGTCGAGTCGGTGCTGATTTGATTCAGGTCGGAGGTGGAACTGGGTAAGGACAATCTCCTTCTGGTCATACAGGCCAAACATCTGACTTGGAACAGTTACAACATTGAAGCTATGGGGGCATTCCTTCCTGTGAACAAGTTCTTTGGACACATCTACTTGGTTGACCTCTCTCCATCTCTGTGCGAGGTGGCGCGCAAGCGCTTTGAGCGCCTCGGGTGGAAGAATGTCACTGTTCTCTGCCAGGATGCTAGATCCTTCCGTCTGCCAGAAAAGGAGTTTGATCCGCGGTCTACGATTCCAGCAGATGATCGCTCAGATTTGATTACTATGAGCTACAGCCTATCAATGATCCCTGGTAAGCTTGATCACACATGGAAGTTTGGGTTAAAGCACCAACACTTACCGTTTTAGACTACTACAGCGTCGTGGACTCATTGACCTCCCGTTTAAAGCCAACTGGAATGTTGGGAGTCTGTGATTTTTATGGTAAGCAGCCGCTTGTGCATTTGGTACGGATGACCACTTACTCGAAATCCAGTCCAAAACATCGTGGATGTGTCCTGTCGCAACTACACAGGAGGTGCCTTCAACCGCCATGTCAATTGGCTTGGGCGTATGTTCTGGAGAGCCTGGTTTGACTTTGACCGGGTCAGTCTCGAGGCTGCCCGTCGAGACTACCTGGAGTATAAGTTTGGCACTGTCATTTCGGCTAGCGAGCGGAACTATCTCCTTGGTGGTATTCCATATTACATCTTCGTCGGTCGCCCAAAGGAGATCGCATCTACGCCGTCAAGTCAATCGATCGAGAGACTGAATGCTTCTTTTACCGAGTCACCTTACCTACACCCCGCCAATCACCAACAGGGCATGCATCAAGCAGTGGTCAAAAGTTCAAAGGAAATCCGCTCTAAAGCATACGAGACCGCTGTGATCAACCTGAGTGCAAACCTGCCACTCCCATCGGCCTTCTATCAGAACCACCACTACCGAATCCATTACAACGATATGCTACCCAAGCATACTCAATTCCAAAATGAGTACATCTACGCATTTACATGGGAGGATCCGCGGGTGGACCACCGACTCCTCAACATTGGCAAAGACGATGTGATTCTGGCCATCACCAGCGCTGGTGACAACATCCTTGATTATCTACAGAAGAACCCCCGCCGAGTGCACGCAGTTGACTTGAACCCCAACCAGAACCATCTTCTCGAACTGAAGGTTGCTTGCTACTCAGCACTAGGTCACCGAGATATGTGGAAGATCTTCGGCGACGGCAAACACGCGCAATTCCGCGAATTGCTAATCTCGAAACTCAGTCCTCACCTGTCCAGCCAGGCTTTCCAGTACTGGCTCGAACATGCTCAAGTCTTTAGTTCGAGCTCGGGTCACGGTCTATACGAAACAGGTGGTTCTCGCCACGCAATTCGCATGGTGCGCTGGCTCTTCAATATCTTCGGACTACAAGGTGAAGTCCAGAAGTTGTGTGAGGCGCAGAGTCTCGCAGAGCAGCGTGAGATTTGGCCTCGTATTCGACGTGTGCTCATGAGTCGACCGCTCCACTGGGCTATTGTGAGCACCGAGTGGTTCGCTTGGAAGGCCGCCGGCGTGCCACGGAACCAACGTAACATGATTGTCGAAGACTTCTTCCGGCGTAACGGCTTGACGGAGGATATGAAAAAGGGCAAAGATGTGAGCGGCCAGTCGATCTGGGAATACGTCGTCAATACGCTTGATCCTGTTATCAACGATACCCTGATCAGCAACGACAACTACTTCTACTTCCTTTGTGTACAGGGAAAATTCTCCCGCAGGTTTGTTATATCGCATCTCTCACAGGTATCCATTGCTAAAGGCAGATTTAGATGTCATCCCACCTATCTATCTCCCCAAGCACACGTCAAGCTATCGACACCTGGCGCATTTGACGGTCTTCGCATCCACACCGATGAGATCAACGAGGTGATCAACCGTATAACCCCAGGCACTCTGACTATCGCCGTGGTAAGTATCAGACCCAGAAATCATAAATGGTCGAGTTCCTCACACTGATATATCAACCAGGTCATGGACTCGATGGACTGGTTCGATCCCGCGGAGGACTCAGCCCCCGCCCAAGCCCGGACATTCAACCACGCCTTGAAAATGGGAGGTCGTATCCTCCTTCGCTCCGCCAGTATCGACCCTTGGTACATCAAGCACTTCGAGGAGAACGGTTTCTCTGCTCGGCGTGTTGGAGCCCGTTTCCCTGGCACATGTATTGATCGGTGAGTTTTCTCGTGTTCTCGTCTGACTGTCAGGGCGGAGCTTATACATCTAGGGTCAATATGTACGCATCCACCTGGATCTGTACCAAGACGAAAGATCTGTCGCGCCCCGATATAGACCGGAAAATCTCGTCATTTTCGTTGACCGAGAGCGCGATCCCTGTTGGTAAGATGTCGGGCAGCGTGGAGAATCTTGTGACCTGAACCTGCCTTGTTTCGCTTCAAATTGTACCCTTCGTGTCTTGACCTGTGTTTATGATACCTATGAACTGGAGTTAGATGGTGTATTGCTAAGTTTTTGCGTTTATTTGGTCTTCGTTTGGCGTAAAGGGCCATTCCATGATAATCCTAGAAAGAGATACATGATCTGCATGTTCAATAAGCTTGAAGACAGCCTTTTCTGACTCGTGAACCCCATGGAGCAATCTGATATTGTGAGTGAATGGAACAGAACAGAAGGTACTCAATCGAGTATCGCAAGTCAATCTCATCTAACCGTCACAATGAGGGAGAGTTTGGTAGACGATGAAGTATGGCGTGTTGTGGTTGTATCGCTGATGTGGATGCAAAGAGTGGTGACGCAGGGTAGGTTGGCTATAATTAACCTACGTGCGAATGTATACTACTTACCATTCAATCAAATGGTTATCGGGCAAGAAACTCCGTGTATAAAGACCTTGAACCTCATTCGAACGTGATATAATGCAAGTCAGTTTCATTCATTGACCCCAGGTCTAATCATATTTCACAGGTGAAGAAGACTGGAACACGCCAAAGTAGCGGTCCTCTAAGTAAACAGTGATTAAAAGAAGAGTTGAAAATTCATAAAAGGACCAGGAAGTCCGGCGCTTACACCTCCTATCGTGTCATGTCTGCCCGTGGCTCACCAAGCTAAAGCGCACATCCACATACAAGAAATGAGCATGCGGGTAATCGTCGATATAGAGTCAGAGACAGAAAGGAAACTAAGAATACTCCAAGCTCTCATGAACGGCCGTACCGCGCCTTTCCGAATGAGAAAGGCACGTAGCGGTACTTAATCATGTGCTGGATTTGTCGTCGCACTGCAAAAGATGTTAGAGGGATTCACCAATTCAGAGCAGATGTTGCATTTAGCTCGGACCAACGCGGGAAGGACTTACTCGTCAAAACAAAAAGGATGATCCAGTAAACAACCAGCACGGGCCAGAAGACCGGGATATCGAAAACGGCGAGCCAGGAGCAGACGAAACCAATGGCGATGGCACGGGTGGCCGAGTGCCAGAACTTGAACTCTGGCAGACGGCGGATGAAAGGCCGGAACTCCTCGTCCTTCTTGGTAGGGAGGCTAGGGGAGCCGGCGTCACCGTCCTCAAGGCCCTCGTCCTGGGTGAGAGAGGGGTCGAATTTAGGAGTCAGGAAAGCGAGGAAGAGGTTCAGGAGGTAGATTCCGAGTGTATAGGCGACTGTGATAGAAGATGCCAAGGTTAGCGGGGTTGTCCTGCTGACGTTTCCAGCGCTGCTGCTGCTGTTTTTGTTTCTTGGAATTGAGGCGCATTGTGTCCACGCTCCGACTTCCAATCCACAGGGTTATGTCGAGTCATACCGATATACCAGCCCTGCGCAAAGATGATGCGCAGGAAGAAGAGGAAAAGAAGAGCGCCGGAGCCTACCCAGCGGTAGGTTGTGTACGGGGTCGAGGCATCGAGTAAGGCTTGGTAGCGCTGTGAAGAATGGTTAGCATATTGGGTTCGCTCTTCATTCTATTTCAACAGAGGAACTGAAGACATTGCACAATGCTTCGCCTCACAGGATCAACACTTACCCGTGTCAATTTCGAGGTCTGCGCGGAGACGGCCATGAACGGCGACTGATCAGGCTCAGGGACATCCATAATGAAGATATGAAGAAGAATGGACGAAACCCGGGATCTAGATCACCGATAGAAAGAAAGGAAAATGCTAATGCACGGTGATTAAGATTAGCTGCTGAAACCAGACATTCCAGGAACTGCCCCGGTGCTTCAGGACAGAAAAGTGTCCACTGTCCACGGGCCAATCAGATGGAAGATGAGTCACCAGCCACACAGGAACATGTGATCTGGGACGCTATTTGTGGCAGGTACCCTGACATAATCCACACTAACCAGTTCCGCTCTAGTCACTTCACGTGAACCTCGGGACGGTTAACTTCGGCGTTCACACGGTCGCGGGGAAACGGGCCATCTACGGAGTATGATGTTATCGGGGAACTACTCGTCTGTTTTCACATTCCTCCCTTTCTCCTTGTAGGACAGTCTCAATTCTCGAACAAAAGTTATTGTCTTTCTTCTCTTCACATATCACAATGTTTGCTCGTCAATGCACTCGTCTGGTTACTTCTCGGACATCGGTCCCTTTGACCTCCTACCTCGCCCGAGTCCGGGGTTATTCTTCGGCTGCCGGCAGCTATGAGCACATCCTCACTTCGACCCCCAAGCCCGGTGTGGGATTGAGTATGTACAAACCAGCAAGTTTCAGACATGGACAGCTCTAATTGCCTTTAAAGTTACCCTGAATCGTCCCAAGGCCCTCAATGCGCTATGCTCTCCGTTGTTCGTCGAGCTCAATGAAGCCTTGAGCAAATACGACAATGACAAGAGCATCGGCGCAATCATCATTACCGGAAGCGAGAAAGCCTTTGCCGGTACGTCTATACCTTAGTTCCACCGCTTATACGTCTCATCAGGCCCAATCATGACCTACATGGGCACATATACTGACCAACCAATCCTACCACAGCTGGCGCCGATATCAAAGAAATGGCTCCCCTCAGCTTCTCAGCTGCCTACAGCGACAACTTCATCGCCCCCTGGTCCCACCTCGCCAACACCATCCGCACTCCCGTCATCGCCGCCGTCTCCGGCTACGCCCTCGGCGGCGGCTGCGAACTAGCCATGATGTGCGACATCCTGTACTGCACCGAGACCGCCACCTTCGGCCAGCCGGAGATCAAGCTGGGCACAATCCCCGGTGCAGGCGGCTCTCAGCGTCTGACCCGCGCCGTTGGTAAGAGCAAGGCGATGGAACTTATTCTTACTGGCAAGAACTTCAGCGGAAAGGAGGCTGCCGAGTGGGGCGTTGCGGCTAAGGCTGTTGCGGGCGGTCATGAGGAGTTGCTGGAGCAGGCCTTCAAGACTGCTGAGACGATTGCTAGCTATAGCCGGGTGGCTGTTGTTGCTGGTAAGGAGGTTGTGAATAAGAGTCAGGAGTTGTCGCTTAAGGAGGGCGTTGAATATGAGAGACGGTTGTTCCATGCGCTTTTCGGTAGCAAGGATCAGAAGATTGGTGAGTGCTCCTGGTGAGTTGTGTTGGGTGGAGTTTGCTAATGATCTCTTTTCTTAGGTATGACTGCATTTGCGGAGAAGAAGAAGGCTGAGTGGTCGCATGAGTAAATGCCGACTCGCCGGATTCGTTTAGAATCAAGCATCTGGCTTTACTCATAGCCTGTGTGTAATGCATAACGCTGCAGCTGTGGGATAATAATATTTATTTACATGACACAGCAGTTTCATCTGACTCATTTTCCCCTTTGGTCGTTTGGAATGATTATCTCGGCTTTTCGTCACGTCTTTATGAGATCCGTACGAACCTCAGTCTGATTCCAGCCCATACCATTTGTACGATATCACGGCCGTGGTCCACGTGGGATGCGATACCTAACAACATGAGCACGGGATAGTCAGGCCGATCTAGTCAAGGATCTCCCCGAGATCCCGTGCGTCAGACGTTCGTTATAGGTACCATGTCCAGCCATATTTAGATGCTAATGATCACAGTTCTAACAGACATTGTGTAGATTATTAAGGCTAAATTAATGGTGGATGATGGCAGATGTCTAAAGCGCTATGTACATGCCAGAGTTTACATCCAAATTGAAAGCCAGCGCGAAATCAGTCGTAAACGTATTACACATTGCATCATACATAGTGCTCATGCTTCTCCAGCTGACTCACATCAGTAACAGCATTCTTCTCCGCCCTGTAATCCTCCATGACACGCCCCTCGATGGTCTCATCGAACACATCCACCTGGGTGGTCGCAAACTTGCGGGCACTGACACCACGCTCGAAGAGTAGATCAAGCTCGGCGAAGCTGCGGCCACGAGGTTCAGGAACGCGGAAGTAGGCGTAGATGATACACAGGAAGCAGATGCCGCCCCAGAAGAAACCGGCGAAGTTGCCCCAGTCCCAAGCACCCGGGTTCAACATGTAAGGGGTCAAGACGCCGCAGATGATGGCAACGATGTTGTACAGGTTGCGGCCGAGGACAACCGTTTTGATCTGCAGGCGGCGAGTGGACAGTTCGGCGACGAGGGAGTAGCTGACTGTGCCCACGGTGAGCTGGTAGAAGAGAGCCCAGACCAACATCATGGCTCCCGTGGCTAGGGAGCCTGCGTTCCTGTTCTCTTCGGGAACGAGCCCTAGGAAACCCATGACCATGAGCATGACGCATAGTCCGCATAGCCCACACAGAACCAATGTGCGTCGGCCGATTCCAAGTGTCATGAGGAACCATGCACCGAACACGCCAACCATGTTGATACCGTACTGACCCATGGCGAAGGCATAGGAGTTACTGGAGCTCAACCCAGCCTGTGTCAAGAAATAGGTCGAGTAGTTGGAGAAGGTATTGCCGCTGAGGTTTTGAATCGCCCAAACCATACAGACAATTTCCGTGCGGCGAAGATCGGTGCCCCGGAAGCAGTCCAAATAGCTAGCACCCTTGGTGATCTTTTCCTCGAGAGCGGTTGTGTGAACCATCATAGCGACAGTCTCATCGGCATCAAATTTGTCCGATTGAGACTTTCTAGTCAACCGCAAAAGCACCCGCTTTGCATCTTCGGCACGACCTTTACGAACCAACCACCACGGAGATTCGGGCGCAAGCCAAATTCCAATGAAGAGTGGCACGGGCCACATCCATTGCAGTCCATATGGAATCCGATAAGCCCATTCGTCAGGCCGGTCTAACATACCCATAATCACACCGATGCCAATAAGCTGGCCAAGGCCCCAGCAGAAATTGACATAAGTGGTCAGGTACCCGCGCAGCGCCACAGGGCACACCTCCGAGGCGTAGGTAATGGTCAAAGTCTGAAATACACCCCAAGGAACGCCACTGAGAATCTCCGCTGCGAGCAGCGCTTGCACATTCTTGGCTGTGAAAAAGATGGACGTCCATGCGGTAACTAGTATGAGGCAGGCCATGATCGTGTACCTGTAACCGAAGCGTTCCGACGCCCAACCGTTGATGAAAAGACCGATGATTTCGCCACAGTACGCACCGTTGCTCAGACCTGCTTGCCACTATTGAACGAAGAACTGTCAGTTTTTATTTTCCATCGCCAAGAGGTTGGCAATCGCAATCGCCCGGGATGGGGTTTATTGGACTAACCGCTGCGGATACTTGGTATTCGCCATCGGTCCATTCTCCATATTTGCGATTGAATTGTGGGAAGGCGTAGAAGTTGTTGACCAAACTGATATCGTAGCCCTCCATGACGATACACGTGGAGATGAGCACGCTCCACATAACAGCCTTCGGATACAGCCGGATGCCCTGCATCAAGGTCATAGACTGCTCCTTCTCCGTGGCGGCTTTCGCATTCAAAATGACTTTCGCGGTGGCTGAATCTTGGCCCGGGCCTGCGGTCGAAGACTCATCTGCGGGAGTGCCGCCCACCGGCGTGATGGTGTCTGATTCCTCGGGTTTAGCCATGTTCGATAGGCGGAGTCGAAGACGCCGGCAACGCTTAGAGGGGGGTTCTCAATTGATGATTGAGAATACTAAGGCCAAGGCGAGTCGGGCGTTTGAGGTTATGGATTTAAGAGTTGGCGGACCGGGGTCTCAGGGGGGAAAAATCAGAGTATCCACAATGCGAACATCGCAAAAACTCCGAGAATTGAAGGGTGGCGGATGACTCCTCACTCCCTTGACTACCGAGGGTAAATGAATGTAAAAGGAGGGGAAAGGACTAGCCAGAATTGGGATAAGAGCGAACTCGTTGATCAAGGCGGGGAACGGGGGAATTGGCTAGAATTGGCTTCGAGCGGAATCGAGCCTCAGGTCTCGAAGCAAATTTTCGGATCCGATAGCTTGGCGATTCCGCATCGGGCAATTGATCGGGTGTGGTCCGTGTTTTGAATTATCTACTGTCACGTGGACAGTCTGTGGTACACAGTACACAGACTACACACACAGTATTGTGATTTACTCTACAGCCTTTTGATCTTTTCATTGTCTTACTACAGTGCTAATAAGGCCTCTCTTGAATATTTTATGCAGGGATACCCCAGGAACCCCGATATATGCGCGATCTACTCCATACTCCAGATTCCCGATTCGCTGTCTCCCCACGTGGGGGGGAAACCTTTTTTATTCTCCGGATCCCCTGGCATGTGACGGGAATTTTAACCTTCCCTCACCTGACAATTATTCCAATATGATGATACGAAGCCCCCCAAAAATATTGCGTCGACCATTCTTACCACCTTACTATATTAGGATAGGTTTATAACTATGCCTTGGTATTAAATACATTTGTTCTTAAACCCTATATTTTCTATCACGACCTTCTTGATACTCATTACCACCACCACACGCGATTATTTGCTGGATATGCCAAGGTATACGCTCTATCCAAGCCTGAATCTGCCGCTGAGGAAGCTCCTCCCACGCTGATTTCCACGCAAGATAGGCTTGCGCTTTATTCTTTGGTGCACCCTTGCGTGTTGTATGTCGTTTCATCCAAAACCAAGTAGGCTCGATGGCGTTTAAATCTGGCGAATTCGGGCACCACAGTAATCGCTGCACTTGATAAAGATTGTAAATGCGCTTCTGGAACCAATGTGAATGCGCTGGTGCGTTATCCTCTTGGACAATCGTATCCGGACGATCAATAGCACATTCTTTCGCGAATGGTAATAATTTTGGTACTAAAATATGCTTTTGATATCGCCACCAATCGATTCCACCTCGTGAAGTTCGAGATAGCTTGCCGGTTTGTTGATTAAATCGCCATTGAGGTTGACGATCCGGAGTCTGACGAAGATTCAAGCGCCGCATTCCATTCGTAAGCTCCCATTCCTGACGAAGTTCAGGCTCTAAGATCGTATTCAATTGTTCGATAGCTTTCTCAGCTTCCCGTTTTTCAGCAGCCGTTTCAGGCACCCAACAGTGGCAGGGTTCTTTTTTATCATAGGTAAAGCAGCCCCAAAACATGAACTCCGAAGCACCTTTCCAGCGCTCTCGGATACAAGATCGAGAGTAAGCCTCGCGAGGAGTTCGCCAAAGTCGGTATCCGCCCCGTCGGTGAAGCAAAATGACCGAAGTTTCGTCTGACCAAATTATATTTTTGCAGTCTTCGATTGTCCAGTGTTGGCGTTCCAAAGCCCATTCAAGTCGAGCTTTCTTCATCGCTGGTGTCAACCCAGGCTTCCGTGGTCTTCCGAAACCCATTCTTTTTGAGGATTCGACGAACGGTTTCTGCAGATATATTGACCCCAAGCTTGCTAAGATCACCAGCAAGGTCAGCACAAGATTTCTCCCGTTCATAACGATCAGATCGGACCTTCGAAATAACGATCTCTTGGGTCGCAGTATCTTGCTTTGTAGGTCTTCCGGGACGAGGTGTATCTTGCACATAACGATCATGAATGATAGGGTCTTCGCGCGGGTTGAAACCCCGTTCGATAGCACGCGCATATATCCGGTTCACAGAGCTGACAGTTAAATTGGCAATTTCACTACTCGATTTAGTAGTAAAGGCCCGAAGTGCCACAACTTGCGTGCGAGTCGCCGTCTCGGTATGCATCGTGGTGGGTTGGCAGGTTGGCAGGTTGGCAGATTGGCAGATTGGTAGGGGGCTTAAGGGGGTAGTGAGAAAGAAGCCAGAAGGATGGAGATCAGGGGTGTTGTGTATGACTTTACTGTAATCGCTAGCTTTCGATATCAGATTAATACCGCTAGTAAGGTGGGTCTACGCAATATTTTTCGGGGGCTCCTCCGTACATCACTAACCAACCCCATACCCCGTAAATTGATGAGGATACGGCATTCGCACATGCTATTCTCTTCTCTATGAGTACGTCCATGAGTGGATCTGGGAAAGAGAGCACAAATTTCATAGTCAAAACCTTGCTACACAATAGGGAAAGGAAGGAAGTCCAACCGAAGAATGGATGCAGAAGCCCTGACTGAATTTGTATCTGGTCAAGACTTCGAGAGATGCCAATACTAGGTATGCAATAATTCGTATCATATTCAGTTTGTTGACATACCTGGATACAAGAATATACAAGTGCATCCGCTATTAATATGCGTATCCGTAAAGAAGCTAAAGCAGATCTACAGACGCGCTGGCGGGGCACCTTTGACATGAGCCTCAGTAGCAGACTGAATGCGAGCCCCAAGATCGGGATTGACACGACGGAACATCTTGTAGGTAGCGTTACGAACACGCTCGTGCGCGCCGCAGAGATGACCAGAGATGTTGCCAACAAAGTTCTCCTGCTGTCCGGGGGTACGGCCCAGGACCTGCCATAGGCCGTTGGCCTGGACGTAGTCCTCAGAGGTAACCGGATACTGCTCGGCAATCACAGCACCGGACCACTTTTCATGTTCCTGGCTAGCCTTGACGGGTCTGTGGGCGACGGGGCGGAAGGTGGAGGGGTAGTTGGGGTTGGCGCCGTAGTTGCCATTCACGTTCATGTAGCCATCGCGGTGGGTCGGGTTGAAGGCCTTGAGGGGGCAGTTAACGGGAATTTGCTCGTAGTTACCGCCCAGACGGTGACGGTGGGTATCGGGGTAGGAGAAGAGACGGGACTGGAGGACGGGATCGGCGGAGGGTTCAACGCCGGGAACCATGTGGGAGGGAGAGAAGGCGGCCTGTTCAATTTCCGCGAAGTAGTTCTGCGGGTTCTTGTTCAGGGTGAAGCGGCCGAAGCGACGCAGAGGCACATCTTTCTGGGGCCAGACTTTGGTCAGGTCGAAAACATTCCACCGGAACTTCTCGGCCTGCTCGGGGCTCAGAACTTGCACGTAACAAGTCCAGGACGGGTTTTCGCCGCGCTTGATGGCCTCGAATAGATCCTGGGTGTGCCAGTCGGGGTTCTCGGCGGACAGCTTGGCCGCCTCGTCGTTAGTGAAGGTCTTATTGCCCTGGTCGGTTTTGCAGTGGATCTGAACATAGTTGAAAGTGCCATCCGGCTTGATCCACTTGTAGGTGTGACCGGAGTAGCCATTCATATGGCGGTAGGAGTATGGGGTCCCGCGGTCACTGAACAAATGCATCACCTGGTGCACCGCTTCGTGGTGGGTGGAGAGATAATCCCAGAACATAGTAGCATCCTTGAGGTTGGTCTGCGGGTTGCGCTTCTGTGTGTGGATGAAGATGGGGAATTTGGCAGGATCACGTAGGAAGAAAACCGGGGTGTTGTTGAAGACCCAGTCCCAGTTGCCCTCTTCGGTATAAAACTTCATGGCAAATCCACGAGGATCACGGGCACTGTCGGGAGATCCCTTCTCACCGCCGACGGTCGAGAAGCGAGTCAGCATCTTGGTCTTCTTGCCGACGCCCTTGAGCATATCGATAATAGTCTAACTTGCTGCGTGAGTATGGTGTACTCCGCACGTTTATCCAAGCTTGCAACGTACGATATCGCTGATGTCGTCGGTGACCTCAAACTCGCCATAGGCACCTGCACCCTTTGCGTGGACCACGCGCTCCGGAATGCGCTCACGGTCGAAATGTGCCAGCAAGTCGATTAAGTGGAAATCTTGCAGCAGGAGAGGGCCATTGGGCCCAATCCGTTGAGCAGCCTGGGGGTCCATGACCTATATGCATGCGATTAGATCATGCAATTCAGGTAGAAGGCGGGGAAAGGGCGTACAGGACAGCCATTGGAGGCCGTGTAGACCGGAGTCTCGTTATAGCGGTATGTTTCTGTGTAAGAGAGGATGTTCAGTTGTGGCTCTGGGCTAGTTCGGCGGTATAAACCTACTAGGCTCATTATCTTGGCCCATGATGGCGATTTGTCTGAAGATGAGGTATGAATAAGGAGTTGGGAAACTCTCCGGAAGGGCAGGCTTTATATCAAGTGACCATGCGATGAAAAACCGACGTGTGGGGAGCCATGGGAAAATCCACCCAATTCCATGGACCCACCGGTAGTCTGATAGGGAACTCTCTTCCACTACGCCTACATGTACGTATTCGATCATTTATCTTTGTCGCTTCGACATAGACGCGTGCATTTCTACACTGCATTTGCAACTGCAACTGCAATACATGTAACTGACCGTAGAGGTGCAAACATGTACACAGTACACCCCGATCATACTGTGTAGAAGCTGCCTAATCGTAAACGGGCCCGACCCGATGTCAGTTTGTAACTTTGTATTCGATTTTGGGTCCACTTCCCGGGATTCGGATTGGACAGTCATCGAACCAAGTGCATAAACATGAAAGCCGTGAAACGGTAGCTTCGGTAAAGTGACGAAGCGGGAAAATCGGAAAACCTTCTGTGGGGAACCCCCGGCTTACTTGGCAGTCTAAGCTCATTTGGGGACGTGTCTAACTGGATGTAGCTTACCGCGTCGGAGGTTGCCGTCTCCCGTTCGGCACCCTCCTAGGTACTCTCTCGGACCTCTTTACGGAGGCCTCGGTGCTATGTACGCAGTACACTGGGACACTGGGAGTAATACTGTAACACTGTGTAAGGAGTCAGACTGTCAGAGAAGAACAAACTGCAGGCGACGCACAGGCCGTTGGTGCTGCTCAACCGATGCCACCGCACGGTCCATAGATAGTCTGAGTTGCTCCACTTGAAACAGACATCTGTACCCATTCTCAAGCTTGGAAGGTTGAGTTTGAAAGAGTCGATTTGTAAATAGATTGAGGCCAGACCGAGGGTTGGCGTAGATATGCATTTTGGGAAGATCAGGTCATTCCTGAATCATCTTGCTTTCTTCTACATACACCACAACGCAGTGACAGTGTGGTATTCAGAGCTATCCTATCTGGCGGTCTTTGTATGTATCCTAAAGATGCTCGTCCAATCTTTCGCGTCCATGTTGGCGATACTTGGCGGGGAATGGTCGATGAGCGAACTTTAACAGTGAATATGACCAAGAGGAATCAGTCTGGCGAGGGGTTGATGTGGACTTGTTGATGCGGACTTTTGAATAGAAGGTATCGCGGCGTCCAACGTCATCTCAGAAAGTTACAAAAACCTTTTGTAACTTGAGGTCACAGTGACACGGACTCACTGACACCTCCAAAGTTTCGACAACACCCTTCAGCGCATGTTGAGTCTCTTGGATTTGTCTAATCTGTCCCAGTTGAGTATCTAATAGATTCATTGAACGATCTAGGTTTAGAGATGAGATGGGGGATAGCAACCAAAAGCTTCAAAGGTCAATCCATCAAAGGCGTTCTTCGCAAAATGAGTTGGCTGGCCGCCCGAATGGGGCTTGTTTTGGTCAGAAGTGACTTGAAGACTTCCGCCAAAAGGGGCACCAGACAGGGTAGGCTAACATGGAGTCGTGAATACATAACAGAAGTGCCAAATGCTCGCTCACATGCGCCAATCGTGTATCAAGAAAAAAGAACCGAAAGCAAAGCTGGAGAGTTGAAAAATCATCAAAGTCGGAGGGTATAACAAGCGCCTGTGACTTGTCAAAAGTCAGGATATAGCAGAAGGAAATGGACACTATGAGTAAGCCCTATGCATACATGGAGAGAAGGAGGGGTTAACTGGTAGGGATGGGTGCCGATGTGATTGCAGGCGTGGTGGTTGACTCATCCCAACACCCCCAGACTTTTCCGGGGCTATGACAAGTCGCAGAAGAGGAAATCAGGACAGAGTTAGCGGTAGTTGTGGCCGTGGTGCTCGTTTTGTCACGGCAACCGAACCACCCTGGATCGCGGCAGGTGCTAGTCGCGGTCACAGTGGGCAAAGTGGTGGTCACAGTCGGCGCTGGGGCGGCTGTTGTACTGCTGGTGGGATCATTGCACCCGAACCAGCCAGGTGTCTTGCATGTTGTGGTAGTAGCAGTGCTCGTCGGTGATGAGGTAGTTGTAGTGGTAGCGGTTGTGCTTTCGTCTAGACAACCCCACCACCCCGGGGTCTTGCATGTAGAAGTCCTAGTGAAAGACGTCGCAGTGCTAGTGGTTGTGGTAGTCGTAACTTCAGACCCGTTGCTGCGGAAGAATTTCCAGAGTTCACAGTCGAAGCATTCCTCCTCTGCAACACAAGGAGGGACATCATCATATTTCAAGATGACATCAGATATCACGTTCTCAATCTTGTGAGTGCCAATCCCGACACGCCAGCCCTTGTCTGCAACAGTATCATACGCACACATCTGTCCCGTGTGACATGCTGACTCCATCGCATAACCGCCCCATGTACATATAGAGTTGATACCGTTGCAGGTTCCCATATAGATTGGATCTGCTGTATGTCCAAAATGGTAAGCTCCAGTGTACTGCCGGGTTTGCGGAAGTCGTGGATCGTAGCCTGGAGGACTCGGGAGGCCAAGTCGAGCTGCGGGTAATGCTTCTGGGACGGCTTCAAAAGTTACCACAGGCAACCCAAATGTCAGTCCAACTAAGCTGGTCATTGCGCCACCCAGAGAATGGCCGGTCATCCAGATATTCGACTGGGGATAAAGTTCAGTGACGTTTGAGTAAAGGTCTATCGCTGCTTGATAGTAATGGTTTTCATCCGTCATAGAATCGATGATGCAAGTCAAGTTTGCCGTGTATGTAGCGGTCTGACAATCGCAGGATTGTCTCCATAAGTAGGAACCTCCCTGGCCACAGCAACAGCTGAAGTACAGGTTATCGTTGATTTTATCGTTTGTTGTGGTACCGGCACCATCAAAGAGGGCCGGGGAAGTGCCCTTCAGCGAGATGACAACAGTACTATTTGTCTTATCGGAGTAGATGTGTCCTCTGAGGCCGTCCTTTTGCCAACCAAAGCTCCCCGAATAATTGAATTGGCCATGGATGGTGTGCCACTCTCCCGTTCCGGGTTCTTGAATGTAGTCGTTCGCGGTCATTTGCGCAAATGTCAAGACTGTCTGCTTGTCCGTGATATTCGGCCCGGGCAAGGTATCCATGACCCATTCTAATGGAGACAAGGTAGTTGCGAAGCCCGAAGTCCGTGCAGCTGATAAGTGACCCTGGATTACAGAAAGCCGACGGTCGACCAACCGTTGTATTGTAAGGGGACTGGATGAAGCCAACAGAGGAGACTCCGATGCAACGTATTCCAGTTCGGCCCCATCTTCGGATATAGCTCGAAGGCGTGTGTCGGGCGTGATGTCGAGTCTCGCATGAAGGTCGGGTTGTTCGTAGGTACCACGATGGAAAATGTGACGCAGAGACTAATACCAGTTATTAGAATCCGGGTAGAGTGGCTCAGCTTGCGTGGGGAAACATACAAATTCATGTGTGTTTGGTGTAGCTTCAGCCCCATCCAAGGGTACTAATGGCGGGATGATGGGAACTTGTTGGGGGAGTGGCTGATAGCCGACGGCCGACGCAGTACCTGATAGTAATGCTGCCGATAGTGATAGGCTCTGGACACTGAGTCCAAGCCACGAGCGTCTACGAGGCATAATGTGATGACGATGAGGATAAAGGACCATCCTTGAAGGGAAGAGACCTGCCTAGGTGAGTCTATCGCGGTTATCGGCGAGTCACTTATCAAGTGACGCAGTGCGGAGATCGGCACGTGACGATCACCACCCGCAATGTGACGCCATCTCGTGCTGGATCAATGCTGTGTAGAGTATTGATTCGTGGATCTGAGATTTGCTGGGACGCTCGTCAGAAGGGCCTGACTTTGCTCCTGATCAATCAGAATCCAACAGTACTTCCACACTGCTTGACTCCTACTCAGCAGACATCAGAACTGAGGAGCTCGGACTCGGATCGGCATAGGCCTATCAGCTGCACTTGACAGTGGAGACACGCCGTTGCTAGTGCCCTATCCCCATCGCCCCTGGGCCTGAAATGCCTAGCCCCTCTGAACATGGTCTTAAGCCTCACTTACATCCAGTACAGCCATTCAGCAGGATGGAGGGCTCCGATGCGAAAAATTCCCCTACCGAGGGGGGCTCCCAAACAATACCTTTAGCATCGACTGCAAGCTGTGAAGAACCGGAAAATGGCCCTGACGTCTTTGAACGACGGGACTCCGCAGAATCTCAAGTCGATGCGCACACGGATGAAGGTTTCGTGCTTTCGCGCAGCTTGCAGGATCCCTCAGAGGAGCTGCCGATTGAGCTAATCAGCCTGGCAGACCGGTGAGTGAGGTTCCTGATTTCTACGTTTGCACGTTTTTCTGACCTGACAACTCTGCCTCTACTTAGTTTCGTGAATTCACTGAGCGCCAAAGTACACAGCTCACCTCCCTCGATCGAAAGGATCTCCGAGCTTTTCCAAGTCTTCTACAGCCGCGCCGAATCCCACATTGCCACGCACATATCTGCTCTAATCACTCGTATCAACCGGGACGTCGCTCCCCAGACCCCCGCAAAAGCTCCGAGGGGAAGCGCACTATCAAAACTCAGCAGCAAACGTTCCCAAGACGATGTCAGGTCAGGGGCTTCAGGTCGCCAAATGCTGACCGCGTCTGAAGTAGCCGAAAAGCGAAAGGCTCGTAAATCCCTTGAGATTAAAAGGATTGCGTTGGAGGAAGCTGCGGAACGAAGGGTCTGCGAGCTGGTATACGATAAATTATGGAGGCACAAAACTACATTAGATGATGTGCGGGATGAAAAACTGCGTTCTAAGACTGCTGCTTTGCTGCTGGTCGGCATTAACCTGAAAGATCTTGGGATCGATATAGATTTTGAGGCGATTGAACAGCAGAAACAGGATGAGGCGAACGAATACCTCGCTCAGGCTCGAGAATATCTCGCGAAGATGAACGACTACAAATACCCCCTCGGAAAGCTTCAGCAGCTTGCAGCAGCGCACAAGGCTATTGTTGATGCCCTGACTAAACTTCTACCGTCTTCGTCATCGGCAGATGAAATTCTACCTACGCTGATATATTCACTTGTGACGTGTCCTCCTGAAGGAATCAACATTGTCAGCAACCTGGTCTTCATCCAGCGGTTCAGATCTTCGAGTAAAATCGATGGAGAGACAGCTTACTGTTTGACCAACCTCGAGGCTGCAATAAGCTTTTTGGAAAATGTCGATCTTTCTACGTTGCGCGCCGATGAGCTGCAGGATGGCCCTGTCAAAACTCCCAGTGAGACAACTCCATCCTCAGAGCGTATCGATCCTTTCCGGCCCTCCAAGGAGACTACAACCTCTTCTGTTACGGCTGTATCTGCGTCACCAGAGTTGTCCATACCAGAAAGCAAGGAACCTCTCACCACATTACCTACCCCTCGACCCTCCGCCACACCGCAACAACGCCGTCTCAGCAACATTTTCCAACCACCGTCTAAAGTGCTCGGGGCTGCAAATGATGCTGTCCGTACCACCGCCGATCAAAGTCTCAAGAATATCAGTGCTACTCTAGACAGCAGTTTCAATTTCCTGTTTGGCCGTTTGAGGGAAATGCAAAACATACAAGGATCTGGCCAGGAGGGAAGCGGACCAGTATTGCCGAAGACATTGGCCGAGGCTCGCCGCCTAATGACCCTGCCTTCTCCCTCTGCCACCAATCAACCACTGACACAGGAGGATATCGCAGCAATCAACTCTGTTTCTGTGGATGAAAGCACACCCCCACGCAGCAGTTCAGGGCCCACGGATCTCTCCAGTAATGGTCCTACCACTCGAGATCGAAGCGTAGACAGCACCAGAACGCAAGGAAGCGACAAAAAGTCCATTGCCACATCACTGCGAGAAGAGATCTCATCACATCCCGCCGTCAGCCCCACCACTCCGTTGGAATCCATGCGGTACTTTGGCAACACGCTCAATCCGCTGAACCATATACCTGGTATGATGAAGAGCTTTGGCCGCAATACACCTGAGACTCCCAGCGGCCGGTCCGTATCTCCATCTGGGTTTGATAGATTCAAGTCATCACCTATTTCGGCCGACGGCGCTACTAGCGCTGCCGCCACCCCTTCTTCGAGAATTGATCCTCCGATTCAGCGCTTCCTTGAGACACAGGACGTCCACGATCTCCGGATCGGAGATGTAGCTGTACTATTGGAGGACTATAAGAGACTCGCTGCTGCGATGCAGAAGTATCTATAGATCTGTTGTGGATACTTGGTCTGTTTGGAACACATCTTTTGTTTTCATCTCATTTCGTCTCCTAAGGTTATTGATTGGCATGAGATAAGACAACACCTGGGCTTGAATATGCTTGTATTATGAGCTAGCGGCATTATCATAGGTGTTCCGTTTCCGTCTCGTTTCGGCGAACAAAGGGTTAGATTGCATAGCTTTGGCCAATGAGTCATGCATTGTCAACGTTTTCACATTCCTTTCGTGTGCCATGATTCAAGCACCTGCAACGTTACACGCAACTCCGTGGTTGTGCAGTTGATGTATCATGTGCGTTTGATTAACTATATGGGATGAAACACCCATGACTCATAAGGACATCTGCAATGCCGTCGACCGTTTGGCGGTGACTTCCAACAAACCTTACCCATCCTTTCTGATGGCCAGCAAGGGCGTGCCAATACGGTAGCAGCATGTCTCCAATATGCATCAGTCTGGCCTTCCTTGCAAATACGAACGCCACCAGAAAGGATGGGTAAGGTTTGTTGGAAGTCACCGCCAAACGGTCGACGGCATTGCAGATGTCCTTATGAGTCATGGGTGTTTCATCCCATATAGTTAATCAAACGCACATGATACATCAACTGCGCAGCCACGGAGTTGCGTGTAACGTTGCAGGTGCTTGAATCATGGCACACGAAAGGAATGTGAAAACGTTTATGAGCGGTACGGCTTCCAGGAAGTAGAAGAGCAGCGACACCGGTAGAGGCAACGCATAGAACAATATCAGCTCTGGCGCGGTAGTACGCGGCAAGGGCACGGTAGAGAAAAGTCTTGCCTATAATAGGAGTATTAGCGAACATCATAAGCGTATTAAGACATATGGAGAGAAATACCCGTGCCGCCAGCGCCTTCTCGTTCTTGTTTTGCACAGAAAACTCGATGGCGACGGGCTCGGTCAGAGGAAAAGCGCGTGGCACAGCGCATACAGAAAAGTATGAAAGGCATGATTGACACGAAATGAAAGCCTTGGAAGGCAGGGAAAGCGGTGATAAAGTATGGGGCAGTGGAAAGTGGAAGGGATGAAAGCTCAACAGAGGGTAGGCACATGCTACATAAGTATAGGAAGTCGTCAGTACTTGGTGGCGTTCGCATTACGAAGAAGATTTACATCGCGGAGCGGAAGTGACTGAGATTGGTGGAAGGGGAAAGCTAAATAAAGGAAGAAACTGTAGGTCCGGAGTAATGGCAGGAAAGAACAGTGGCATGAAGTTAGATTACAGTAGTAAAAGAGGAAGAGACGTCGGTGGCTGTACAGAACAGTGAATGGACACAGATAGAGGAAGAAGACGGTGGACGGGGTAAAGGGTGATTGGAGAAGGGTAAAGAGGCCAACGAAGGACGAAGCAGTGATTGGTGAGGAAGAAGCTGGAAAAGGTGGACGGAACGGGGATTGGAGAATGATGTAGGGAAAGGACAGTGGACAGAAGGGTGATTGGAGAAGGGCATAGCACCGTAGAGGGCGCAACAATGGAGAGAACAGTGATTGGAGAAGAGGAGGCAGAAAAGGGAGGAAAAGGAAAGCGGTAGAAAAGGCCGCAGAATACAAAACGGAGTATGATTGGTGCAGACAGAAAATTGGGAGTATGATTGGATTAGATGGAGCATGTTCGCTAAGTATTCTTATGACTCTTATGATTCTTATGATTCTTATGATAATCATATTTCATTCGAGCAAAGATGATCGTTCAGGACAGGGTATGAATGGGCACTTGATCATCTATAAGTAAAATCCCTAAACAAACGAAAGGAAAACATGAAATCATAATTGGGGTATTGAGCATATAACACAGTATGAAAATCAAGTCCCGCGGTAGGTCATATTGTGGTTAAGGTAGGGTTGGAACACACTTCTCTTGGACAGCTGAAGGGCTAAGAAAGGCCTTGCTTAACAAGAGTGGCAGTCGTCACTCAGTGTTGGCTTGATAGCGTCCGCGCAAAACCTCTGCACCCCCGGTTCTCATCTCGGTCAATTTGTTCGTCAATTCCGAGCCTTCTTTTTCGAGTTGGTCATGACGGCGCTTTATTTCGCTTTCAAACACAGCAGCGGTTTGACGACGGGCGCGCCGTAGGTTTTTCATGTTGGAGAGGAGATGGGTGAAACGGTCAATTATTTGGTCACCACAGTCCTCCCATTCATCCATAGTCATGTGTGACAGATATGTCTGGCGCTCTTCTTCTGTCAGAGCCAACAAGTGAGAAACGGCATTTTTGGGCTCCTGGGTGTCGGGGACAAATGGTGGGTTTGGAGGTAAGGAGGGCGATTTAACAGGCGGCGGGGGCGTGGGGGATTTGTCAAAGGGCTCAGCCTGCAGCTCGGAGAATGATTTCTGGTAAAGCAGCTCTGGAGGGTAGTCTGCTTCAAGCGATCGTTTTCTGGAATGGATAACAGTGTTGCGACGGCCTCTATTTGAGCGCTCGTTGAGCTCGTGTGCAGAGAAGGGGTCGTGCATTGTTTCGTCGATGTCGAGATCGGTCAAACTAGTCATGTCGAAGGCATTGGTTGAATGCCCGCCGCTTTCCCGTCTTGAATCGGCGCGTATGGTGTGATCCATACCGTCATCATCACTTCCACCGTCTTCTTCCATGTGCTCCTGGAATGCTGTGATGCTGAGGGTCCTGGCACCCTCCGGCAGGGGATGCGAATTATGCCGAGTAGGAGATGAATCAAGTTGTTGGTCAAGCTGTTCAAGCAGCGAAGGCTTCGGTGGACTGAACCGTGTTCTAGGGGTGGCCGACGTGCTGTGCGGGAGAAGGATCTTTCTAGGTCCTGTAGGGGGAAGCATTTGACCCAGTTTCCGCGGCTTAGACTTGGGCGGAGCTTGAGCCTGGCGCTCGGGATCAGAGTCTGTACCAGTAGCCTGACGCGAAGAGGTCCTTTTTCGGCTGGCGGACCAGAAATTCTCCAATCGCTTGCTCAACGGCTCGTCGGTCGTACGCGGTTTATGCGACCCATGCCAGTCGCCTGTTTCCGTGTTTTCATCGTCTCCACCAACGGATGAAGGTATCGGACTTCCAAAGGCATCGAGGTCATCTGAATTGAATCCAGCCTTGTGCATGGCTTGATCGCCCAGCCCCTCATACCAGTTAGATCCGTAAGGATGTCGTGCAGGCCGGTGTTGGTACATCGGCTTTGGATTAGGATTGGCGTAAGCAGCATTGGTACTCGATGCTGCCTGGGACTTGTTATCATCATATCCGTCAACGCTTGTTCCCGCCACAGTCGAATCGTCGATTGCCTCAACGTCAGTATCGAACGCGTCCCTGCTGCGCTGCGCATCCTGTGCAGGAAGAGTGCGGGGTTGGTTTGGAAACTGAGATGTTCCATGAAAATCTACCGGGCCACCTCTACCATTGACACCGGCAGGACCCGGGCCGAGTAATGGTGTGACTGGAACCTCGACTCTGGCCTGTTCGGCACGTTGCTGGCGTAACTGAGCAGCTTTATCGGTGACTCCGGGAGGTTGTCCACCTTCTTTAGAGTGAACATAATCACCTACCCCCATCGTAAAAGGGCTGATTATTGAAAAGGATTGGACAAGAAAATGTCTTGTTTCCAAAGACGTTGGAGAAACTGAAGGGGATCCAGTCTCTTAAGGGTGTTGGGGCAGACGCGATATCAGCGCGTGGTCACGTGTGAGCCACTTTAAACATCTCCAGCCTGCCAGGCGGCCAGGCCTCGCCGCCTCATCTACTGCGTAGAAAGGACCCCATTCGAGGAAGTGTTAGCGGGGGTGGGACCAGCTTGATTTCATACACAAATTCGCAGTAAAAGGCGGTATGAAGAATGCACAGCACAGCCATTACTCGTGTGTGTGAAAATTTGCTGCCACTCAACGGCTCTTCCCACTTCAATTCCTACTGTAGGTGTGGTTCTTATGGGCTACGCACGTAGGTGACCAGCCTCGCTACATCTCCCCACCTGTGTCAAGCATAGATATTGTCTCGAATGCAAGTTGAAAACTGGTTATATATGGGATTGGGGGGTATATTGAACAATATTGTACATGAAGAGCTCCATGACAAAGGCAAGAACTCCAGGATCATCTTAATAAAAAGTGTCATCATCGATATGAAGGTTCTCCAGATTGTATGCCACGCTCCGGCCTCGTTTCTTGGCCTTCTCGAAGAGCTCGATTGACCTTTGCAGTTCGACTGTTTTCCTCTCCGTTGCAAGCCTGTGCTGACGTCTCGCTTCAAGAGAGCCCGGAGATTCATCCATGAGCATCCGGTCGTGGTCATCGGTTTCTTCAAAGCCTATTGGTAAGGATAGCGCAGAGATCAATAGATCACCAATCCACAGAGAAATCATCCCTCGGAGCTCCAGCAATTCAGGCGAGTCGGAGTAAGGGGGAGAGTTTAGGAGCTGGTCCAGTCGTGCAGCAATCTGCTGCGCCTGTTCCAACTCCCGTGCTCTAATTGCGCTCACCGCAGCGTCGGTCTTCTTGTGTGAGTTCTGGCCATGGCTAAATTCAGATTCGGAGTCTTCGTCCCCCGAAAAACCATCGGAATCTTCTTCCTGGTGAAGAGAAACATTCTTCCTAGCCATCTTGCTTTCTTCCTGGGCCATATACACCCACAGTCCAAACATTGCAGGGTAGAAATGCAGAGAGGAGATAGACTGTGGTGAGACTTTAGTGTAAGGATGGTTAAGGATAAGTCGTTCGTAGTAATCCTTGGCTTCCGCGAAGCCCTTGGTGGTGAATGTAAACGGCGTAGTTTCTGCTGCATTCGGCACCTTGCTGGTACCAGGGTCGGCTGAGATTTCTTGTTGACCTCGTCGCAGCAATATCTCAGCACCGATGCCCCATCTTGCTTCGTTGCGAACATCCATTCGGAACCCTCGATACTCTTCACGCAGAATCAGGCCCCAGGCTCTCCCGGCCCGTATATAGTCACCTTGAAGCATACATCGATGTAGAATAGCTGTCAATACTCCAAGGTGTTGGAAGCGAATGTTGCCTTGCTGGGCCGACTGAGGAGGGTAGATCGGACTGGATAATGCTGCCAAGGCTTTGACGCGGCGAGAGGCACTGTCTCTTTTCAATTGCTCTTCTTTGTCTGGCGCATGAGGGAAATGGCCCTTCGGTAACTCCTGATTGAAAGGGAAACCGGCAATTCGGTATTGATGAGATTCATTCGGCGTCAATACCAAGGAAGCCTCGCCGGGCTCAAACTCCGTAGCCGAGCTGACATCTGTCGTTTCTTGGGCATCGAGTTCATCCTCACTCCAAGCTACATTCTTGCGTTTCTTTTGGCGGTCAAATCTAGATACGCGAGAGCCGGGCGGATGGAGCCATGGCGGGATTGGTAGTGAGAAAACCGAAGACGACGGCGTAGACGCCATATGCTCTGGAGATGGCGTCTTCCATGCGCCGCCAAACAAAGGAATTGTCGTCGCAGAGTTAGTATCAAAGTCCAGGCTGCGATTACCCGAACCTTTGCCGCCGCTTTGCGCATTTGTCAGAAAGACGGGTGGTGGAAGATGACGGAATAAAAAGTTGGTGGCCTGAGGCAGTCGAGTTTAAGCAAAGCAGGCAAACATTGTGGATCACTTATCGCAGGCGCGGGTTATCAACTGCTTGCTTTGACGTTACTTCTCTACTTCTCCTTTTTCTTTCCCCTCTATTTTCCCCTTTCATTTTGTCCAGCGTCTTGCCTTCTCTCCTTCGCACTTGACAGCCGCTGGCATCCCCTCCTTGAGTGTCCCTACATTGACTCTCTCGGATCAGACTCGGCGGTTATACAGCTCGGAGTGTGGGCTGTTCCTGGACCTGGCAGACAGTCTGAGACTATTGGCTGCTGTCGCTCGTATCAGGCAGTGAACTTGCCTTTCTGGCTTCGTCCCTGTTACAAACCACCCGATAGTCGCCACCTCCCCGTCCGCCCTCTCCTTTGCCTCAACGGTTCGACACCTAAGGACGCAGAACCTCCGAGAATCGACTACCTCGATCCGACGTTCCGAACGGGAGAGCAAGTCATCTTTCACTCGCCACAAGTGCACTTTGGATTTGGATTTCACTTGGTTTAGACTTGGTTTTGACTTGGCGCTTTCATTGCCCTAGGATCCATCACAACACCGGCACGGTCGCCGCTGCTAGACATATGGTTCTCGCATGGCAATGAATGGTCGTTGACACTTACTTCCAACTAACGCCAGTCTGTTACTATGGGCCAGTCGTCTTCCACACAACGTACCCTATCTGACACTGGCTATTCCGCACACCTTACTCCTTTCTCGACGCGACGTGGTTCTGGGACAAGGAATGAAAACATGAATCATCGACAGACGGCTGAACACAACGGAGATGGTGGCTTCTCGTCAGGCACCGACATGAGCATACACAACAGTGACGATCAAGACATGTCATCTGCACGCCCGGACGACCTTCCAGAACCATGGCAGCAGCCCACACGATCTTCCGGTGGATTTTCACACCCCATGCGGAGCATCGAAGAGGAAAATGGGCCCGAGTACGAGATGCCATCGCGGGAATATCGCACCGCTGCATTTGCTCGAATGGCAGCACGGAGGCAATCAACCATGTCACGGCTGGGCTCTAGGCTCCTTCCCAATTCAGTCATTCGTGGACTTCTCAGCAGCCAAGAAGAGACTCCGGCCGAGGGACATGCACATCGGTATGGGTTTGGTCCTACGCCCGTCCCAAGAGCTGAGACTGCCCATACCACTGGCCGTTTCAGTCCGTTCAATTCGCTCAGCTCCAGAGGGATCACTCGGCGGCGGTCAGTCCGTCCGCCATATGTCGTTGCACCCCGTGCAGAGTCTGCCGGGATTCCAGATACACCAGCAATTCCGACATATATTGACTCTTCTCAATTGCCTGAGCCTACAAGAGCATCCTGGCGGCGCAGTGTGCGGTTACAACGCATGCGCCATTCGATCTCATCGCCCATATCTCACATGTTCGGTCAGCCACACTCAGACTTGGGGCCTTTCGAAAGCGCAGAACATCCTTTGTCAGATCCGGTGTTTGGTGATACAGCTATGGACACTCGCTCAGATTACGGTGAACCGCCTCATGAACTTGATTCGGTGGAACCAGCGATCCAGGCCGAGGGCCCGGTCACTGGTCCGGCTCCTGGCCCTCCAAGTCCTGCATTGATGCGACGACTGCCTGGTATTATTCGAGCGAGGTCTTCCAGAGTTTTGCGACGAGAGGAACAAACTCCTCTTTCAAGGGTCCTTCAGCTCGCTGCGGCCGCAATTGCAGCTCAGCTATCTGGTACTGCCGGTCCTGCGTTACCTAACATTCAGGCTTTAGGAAATGATGGACTAGATGGCTCCTTGGAAAATTTCATTCAGAGTTTGCAACACGCGACTTCTGCTCAGGCTCAGCCAACAGCAACAGGGGAGGGACCAAGCAACACCGCAAACGATGCACCCTCGCATCCTGTCAACTTCTTGCGCGTCTTTAGATTTGCCAACACAGATTCTCCGGTAGGCTCTGGCTCTTCAGAGCAGACCGACAATGGCGTTGGAAATAGTGGGGCCCAGACCGATGGACTGGACATTGACGAACCTGCAGAAGGCGAAGGGCGAACAGTGACACTGGTTGTCGTCGGGGTCCGATCGGTGCCGTCTGGGACTGCTGGGATTGGAGGGACTGGTGAACAGCAGCAGCCTGCAAGTGCGGGCCCCGGCCTGGATGCTCTACTCGGCCTACCATTCTTGCCGCCTAACAGTGTCCCACGTCCGCCAGGTGGCATTGGTGAATCTACGCAACGGGAAGATAGACATTCCAGATTGACCTTTTCTCGACGGCCTGGCGTAGGTCCAGAGTTCCCACGTCCGTCAATCCCCAATCCTTCCAGAAGATTGTCAGATACTGGGCCTCATTCTGCATTCCCCCACCCCTCTGGTTTCTCCGAAAGCCCTCCAGGACCTCACCCGCCCCCTTCTACCCCAGCTGAACAGGGCATCACCGCCTTGTCTTCTGGCACTTCTACTCCCAGCCGGAGACCGTCCTCCGCTTCAGCCATAGCTCCGGACGTTCTGCCCCATCTCCGTCAAGGTCCGGCGATGCAGCCCATGGCGGAGTCCGCGGAAGAGCAGTTGCCATTCAATACTGCCCGTCAACGACGCCGAAGCGATTCTGAGTATGCTCGCCATCGAGCACTCGGCTCCGGTGCTGTTCGACGTAATGGCATGGTTGAGCCCGATCAACCCCCGCCGAGTGGAGGTCGCAGCTGGCTGATTTATGTCGTCGGAACTAACCTTTCTGAAAATCACCCTGCGTTGACGACCCCGAGTCTTTTCACCGACGTAAGCCGGCCCTCACTACCTTTATTCACAACCTGCTGGCTAACACTTCTCAAATAGAACCCAACCTACGAGGATATGATCCTGCTTTCATCACTGTTGGGCCCAGCTAAACCTCCCGTTGCCTCACAGACCGACGTCAATTCTGCCGGAGGATTATTCCGTCTTGTTGAGTACGCTGGCTCATTGGTCGCAGAAGCTGTGCAAGGCGCAGGCTCCATTCAAATACAGGATGGGGAGAGGTGTTTGATCTGTTTGAGCGATTATGAAGTGGCCGATGAAGTGCGACAACTAGGGAAATGCAAACATGTCTTCCACCAAGAATGTATCGACCAGGTCCGTTACATTTTCTCGTCTTGTCTTGATTTTGCTCCATTGCTAACTCATGTTTTAGTGGCTGACCACTGGGCGAAACTCCTGTCCCCTGTGCCGAGGGCAAGGTGTAAAGGAGACTGCCAGCAACGATATCGGAGTCCGTCCTGCGCCCAATTCTGCTCCGCCCGCTACGGACGACACAGCTGTCTAAATCCTTCTGCTCACCTTTCTAGCAAGCTGGGTAACGCCGGTCGTTTGAGAAACTCTCCACCCCGACTTTGACTCCTTTCTTCTTCCAGCCTTAGCATCAAGCGTTTTATCTTAGAGCTTCTTAACGACTTTATTCCCAAGGATATCCCCATTGCATGCCAGTTTGTGCATTGTTTTCTGCTGTTGTTCATGTTCGGGCTATTGTATGCTGTACTCTCGGGGGTCTGGAACCAAGGAATCCCTGCTATGTACATACACTGTAGTTATCAGAGGATGCCTAGTATCATTTTCTTTTAAAATTGTCGAAATCGCCTCGGTATTGAGTATTTATCTGTCTCTTACTTGGGCCATCTCTAACGACTGCCCACTCCGCCGGGGCCCCGCGGCTGAATTATGTAAGTCCAAAAAAATTCCCCGGTGTCGGGCTCAACCTCTTCAACTCTGATTGCTTGCGCCAGCGATTCGCTTCAATTACTTCTTATTGTGATAGCATTCATCGACTCATCATTGCCGTGGAATAGTTCAATTGGACAGTCGTACCCGCCGTTCAACCTACAAAGTCCGCCAAATCACCAAACCACGGGAACCCCGCCATACATCCCACCAGAGCTACCTCCGAACCTTCCACACGCCATCATGACCTCTCCCATCCGTGTTACAGTCCTTATATCCGGCAATGGCTCGAACCTGCAAGCTGTGATTGACAAAGTGGCTGCCGGCCAGCTAAACGCCACAATCATCCGCGTCATCTCCAACCGCAAGACCGCGTTCGGCCTCGAGCGCGCAAGCAAAGCCAACATTCCCACGCACTACCACAACCTCGTCAAGTACAAGAAGCAGCATCCCGCCACTCCTGAGGGTGTCCAGCTTGCGCGCGAGGAATACGACGCCGAGCTTGCAAGGCTGATCCTTGCCGATGCACCTGCGCTCGTCGTCTGTCTTGGGTTCATGCATATTCTGTCGCCGCAGTTCTTGGAGCCTTTGGAGGCCGCTAAAACGAGGATTATTAACTTGCATCCCGCCCTGCCGGGGGCGTTCAATGGAGTCGTAAGTCACCGTTTCCGTGTGGAAGTACTGTCTTGTTAGTTGGATGAGTTGCTAACCGCTCACTTCGTTCCGGTCAATAGAATGCGATCGAGCGTGCTCATGCTGCGTGGCTGGAGGGTAAGATTGACAAGACCGGTGTGATGATACACGATGTCATCTCCGAAGTGGATATGGGGAACCCCATTTTGGTGCGGGAGATTCCTTTCCAGAAAGGCCAGGACGAGAATCTCGAGGTCTTTGAAACCCGAGTTCATGAGACCGAGTGGGCGGTTGTGATCGAAGGGGTTGACAAAGTGTTGAAGGAATTGGCGGCTCAGAAACAAACCGCCTCGAGTGCATGAATACCCCCCTGTATCTTGAATGACATTATAGTATCGGATACCGGGCAAAAGGATACCACGCTCTCTCGAGCCCGTTGACCCGCCAGGGCTACAGATCCCCGATTGATACCGTCCGGGGTTGTTGACGATTTATGACTATCCCATGTATGATTTCAGACAAAAAGAGATGACCATATTGCATGCTACATCTCAGTTCTTTTTCTCCTTTTTCTCCTTTTTCTCCTTTTTCTCCTTTTTCTCCTTTTTTTTCTTTTCGGCTTCGAAATGTCATTTTGAACAGAGCCGCAGCCGGGGAGTCGGGGATCATTTTAGTGAGACAAGACGAAGATATCCGCCACAGAAGTCCGAGAGAAGTCAACTTTGTCGAGATTGCCGGTCCAATATCCATGTCAAAGGCAGTTACATCTGTCTCGTGGTGAATAGCCAACGAAAGAGGGCCGGGGGGTAAATGGAGGACGATAAATGGGTCCGCAAAGGCCATCGGATTTATCCTTGACAAGGATGTGAAATTGCAACCAACCCGACTCACCGGTCAAATACACTTGATACTTCATCACATGCAAGGACAACACAGTGGTCTTAACTACTAGCTGCATCTTACCTAGTCTCTCTCCCACTGAACTACCTTTGGAAAGTCTCTCTGATCTAGACCAATGCCTGGGTCTGACTGTCTGACTGTGTCTACCACTCTACCTACGCCTCCTGAGGACAATTGCAGTCACTGCCACTTGCACAGCCAAATGAGTGCATACTACGTGACAAACAAAGCAAACCAGAAGAGGTAATGGGGGAAGATCAATTGAACCAATTTAAGGAAACGGACAATCTAATTAGCCGTCGGGCCTACTCCATGATGGTGGCGCCAGACAGATCAAACCCAATTTCCAACGGCTTCCTTCTTTATGATCTACGCCAGTCCCCTTCCGAACATCCGTCTGCTCACTCTGCTTAGTATTTTCTGACATATGGAGGGTTTGGGCCCCTGAATCCACTTGGCGTCAACTCAATTAATGGTATCCAATAACGTAGCCCATTGGGCGAGAGTACTGGGGTCTTCTTTCCGGGTCAATACGCTTCTGGGGGATACATACGACAACCAGATGTGGTTGGTGAGGATGATCGCTACCCCGTCATGATTTGAACTTGGGTGTGCATAAAACTCCAGTTTCACCATGGTACAGGACAGTTGCTGTCGACGTCAAACGGTCAAACCCCTGGAACCTGGTCGCTCTCAAAACGATACCAAATCAGGAATACAGCACGGGAGTGGGGACGCCTTAGCTTACCATACTACGTACGCAGCGTAGTTAGTTGGATCTCTCCAGGGCTATGTACTTGGGTCCTTGACATGATACTGCCGAGGGCCCGAGACCAGCTTGATACATGAATGATCATGCACGACGCAGGCAATATTTGAATGCGGACAAGAGAAAGGAAAAAGGAAAGCAAAGGAAAAGCAAGAGCTTAGACCACTATCTTAGCCACATATGAGCCCTGTGAGCCACAGGGCTGTGTCAGGTGATGCGGTTTTGATTTCACGAGGTCAGATCCTCGTGCACGGCCCTGACATGGATGTCTTCTCATACATGTGCCCAGAGCTTCCAGATCTTGATAATAATGCTTCGAGATAATCATCCAACGTATGTCAAGAGAATTACAACCACATTCTACCCCGTGTATCTCCATACGACATACGAACATTCTATCCTCTTCCCCTTTATTTTCCCTTTCCCTACCCCTCCAAGCTACCTCCCTAGCACTACTCCTCTTACTAAATATGGATTCACTGACAGCACAAGTCGGTTTGGGTTTAAAGAGCTTCATTGATGACGGAGGCCCCAGCTCCATTGGGATACTTGCGCCGACACTGGAGTCGATCCGAGGCTTTGAAGAGCCCTAGTGGCCTTTCTTCGATCCATATCTCAGACAGGCCCACCATTGTCTGTCAACTGTCGTCGATCAGGCACAGTGCTTGAAAATCCTCCGAACAACTTTGATCCTCGGCCCCCTCGATTTGGGGGGTCGAAAAAGGGGGCAACAGTAGCTTACGATGTACTGTGGGACAGACATATGCTGTGATGGCACACCGATACTTTGACTAGAACCAGTTTAGAAAGAGCGCTGGAAACAAAAAGAAAAGAATAAAAAGCAAACCAACTCCCCCCACATCTGCCAAGCGCACCGTCAATCATAGTGCAGACTATCGTTTCTCTGATCGTCGAATGAGCGCCTCCACGTTCCCACAATCAACTTTGGCTGTCTCCACTTGGGACTGATCTCCCTCAAAAAACATAACTGTCGGCACTTCCTCATACCGGCGTTGGCGTTTTGGAACCTTGGAAGGTATCATAAACGCCGAGTCTAGCTGGCGTATCCTTCGACCGGTAGTATATCATTGGTGCATGCAGTATATTGAAGGAGGGAGCCCTACTGGATCAATGGCGGAGGTTAATGACAAATTATCGCCGAGGTCACACAACATGGGCCTTGGATTGACCGTCGAAGGCAATAATGAGGCAATTAATAGCCAAAAGAGTAACAAGATAATCGGGGAGCTCCGAATAGCTCCATGTGTTTAGTACCGGCCCATCTGCAGAAAAGCAAACGGACAAGGGGTCCGATTCAAACGCAGTACTGTGTGCTCCGTAGACGCTCTGATCATGATTCTCTCTGCATAGACCCGGCCATGCCCTAAAAGTGAATTGCTTGGATTCAGTTCCTGTGGCTTAAGATCGTCGTTGATTTTCCCCCTTTTTTGAGTGGCTATCGTTACACTGTCTAGGTACTGTAGGGAATACGGAATAGTTGTGGCTGGGCTGACTGACTACCTACAGAGGGTGTCAGCATAATCATCTCGTAGGTGATAGTTAGCCACACTTGACTTTGTTGGCCCGAGTTACATTGTGCATGTAACTACAGAGATCATTGCTACCTTGACCCCCTGCTTCCCGAAGATCATGAATCTTTTTTTAGTGAGTCAGGAGCTACCAGCCTACCATATTCCCATATAAAAGCAGATCTCCACTCTCGTAATAAATAAAGCTGTATAAATATCCAAACCTAATTGTACGTATTAGATTGAACCTGTCGCAGATCACCTTAGCTTAGTGTCTTTGACCGGAGACTGGCCCGACACTGAAATAGAATGGAAAATTCAAAAAACCCATAAAACCCATAAACCCATTGGTCGATCTGAAGTACATTATTTCATATTTAGAATAGACTACTCCGTAGGTACCTCGACTATTGTGTAGGTATTACCACAGTACTCCGTACTACTAACATCCCTTTCTTTTTCCTCTCCGCATTCTCTCTCGGCTCCGGTTTAGGTCAACTTACTTCCACAACCCCCCACCTCCGCGCTCTCCAACCCCCCGCCATTCAACGCATTCTCTCATTCTCTTTGCAATAATGGTTACAGATTCTTGACTTGCTGTGTGGAAAGGAAATCGGGAATATCGAGGGAATCAACCGAAGATCGGACGGACTTTGCGACGCGACAATGAATTCATATCAGACGCCCCAGCCGGCTCTATCGGGCTTTCTCGACTCAATGTTACAGGACTCAGGTTCCTCTGCATATTCCTTGTTTGGTCCGACTGAGTATCCCGAGAGCGTTGCGTTCTGGCACGATCCCTCTGCGGCACCGACGATGATAGTGCCACCTCCATATACACATGCCCAGAACCAAGCATCTCTGCTCCAACCCCTCTCGGAGCATAAGAAACATAAACGTACCAGAAGTGGCTGCTTTACCTGCCGTTCGCGACGGATCAAATGTGACGAGAACCGTCCAACCTGTGAACGATGTAGGAAAGGAAGGCGCGATTGTGTTTACCCCTCGCCTACCGCACCCTCCTCCTCGTCCTCCTCGTCCCATAAATCTAGTGCACGGACTACGCCCAAGCCGCGCACTGGCTGTCCACCGGCTCACAGCGCTGATTCCTCTGGAAAGGTCGAGACGGATGCTATCAGTCCCTTGCAGCCAATTGTCGACGAAGAGGAACCCGACAGTTTTGCACCCGAATCACGACCGTCGCCTACAAGTGCCACGATCTCACCACAATCAGACCTGCATAGGCGGCAGAGCACACCATCTCTTCAGAAGTACAATGCAAGTCAGACATCCGAAGCTGGTTCGTTTATCAAAGACAACAGTAGTTCACCCTCGACTGAGTCATCGCGCCTCGAGACAATGAGTACACGCTCTGGCAGCGTCGGGCATTCAACGGCAGAATTGGTCAACAATGCGCGCCTACCGGATGATTTGCGATTCTATCTCGATTTCCACCAACAGTTTATGACCACGCCGCATTTCTTTTTAAGACAAAGTTGCTATTTTTTCGTCCACTACAGCCTTATCGATCTTGCATTGCAGTATGAGCCTCTTCTCTATGCCCTGGTGGGCTTTTCGGCATATCATCATTCTTTACGCAGCCCAGGGGCAAAGCTGTATACATTCTTGAAATATTATAATAAAGCCTTGGTTCTCCTTCGGAAATCATTGGGCTCCGGGGAAAAGCACAGCGAGGCTACACTGTGTACTGTTCTTGTTCTGACGACATTCGAGGTAAATCGCTCCCTTTGCCCTATTTATTGCACGGACATTTGCTGAATTTGGTGCTATTGAAGGAATACATCGGCGATTGGATGAATCTGATCGATCACCACCAAGCGGCACATGAATTGATGCGGGAACTAATTACGCCAGCCTCTGCCAACGTGAACGAACTACATGAGAACATCTTCCTATGGTACGCTCGCTTTGATGTGATTGTAGGGATTTTGGCCGGCACCGAAACGGTCCTCGGTCGAGACTGGTACCTGGCAAAGGAACAGTACGATGCTGAACAAGCTGCCATCTACCCCGATGACCCATCCAAACAACTCGCCCACGTGGCATCAATCAATCGACGATTTGGCCTAGACATGGCTTCGCTCTACGCCAAGTTGTCGCGCGGCATGCTCTCGATGGAAGAATTCACCACCCAGAACGAACAGCTGGGCCGGTGGTTAGATCAGGCCAAGACGATTCTAAGGACGTTTGATGATCACGATTACAAAGTGCAGCATTATCCCAATAAACAGCCCTTGACCGAAGACGACGTTACGGATCCGTATGTACCGGGTGGCCTGCATCGAGACGCCTTGTGGGACTTCAACTATGCTTGGATCGACGTCCTTGCCACCGACACAATGTACAAATACCAGACCATGCAAGTTCTCAAGAAGCCTTTACTTCAAGAGATGCACGACTTGGTACAGGAGCAGATTCGCCTGATTGAGACAATGGTCCGCTGGCCTCACAAGGAAAACGGATATTGCATCATGTTCAAAAACAGCATCACCATGATTAGCATGTTTTTACCTAGCGAGCCGAAGTATCAGATGTGGTCCCGACGCAAGCTGGCCTTGATGGAGCAACATGGGTAAGATGGCAAACCGGGCACCTCTCAGATTCGAATGTTCAAAAGCAAAGCTAACCAGGAACTTGAACAGATACATAATTCCTCCTCGGTTCCGTGCGGGGCTTGCCACCATTTGGCAAGTGCCAGAGATAAATCACTGGTGGCTTCCCAATGATGAAGGATATACAGACATCATCCGTGAGATTCGTTCCTTGACAGACGAACGCTCGACACAGCCGCGCGATGAGCTGCGCGAAAGTGTTCGTGATATGAAATCTGTGCTTGGTAGGCTGAACCTGAATGACCCTGAGGACAACAAGAGCCCTTCATAGTGAGTTGCAGTGAACCGAGAGATCTCGCTCCCATCATCCACGTTCAGTGCTCGGCCTCGAAGTTCTACATGCAGTTATCATGATCCATGAGAACAGCCTCCGCTTCATTCGCGAAGCCTCGTATCGATGTCCCATATTGTGGTCCTCAACCCCGAGACCCAAGCTACTCCCTCCACATGCTCGAAATCCAATCCCCCTCTTAAAAACACAAATGCGACATGCCTGTGTGGAACGAACATCCATTGGACCTCGACCTACTTGTGCCATCTCCATGCGCTTCTCTCCCCATCTTCTCACCATTTTATACGATATTCCACCCAACCCCTACCGGCCATCGTCACACATATCTCCCTCCCTGTTACACTATTATATTCTTTTCTCTCTGGACCTAGAAGGCATTCCCTCGGCCATGATTTCATGTACATCTATTATACCCAATCGTTCTAGATCATTGATCGATCTCATTCATTCTACCTCAACTATGCCTCTGAGCTTTCACATTTTCATATCATACCGGAACAGCAAATGCCCCTCGACTGCTATTATATGTAGGTAACGAGCCATTTTGGGGGCCTTTGGCAGTTTCTTATAGGTAAGACCTAAAGATTCAGAGACCAAATCTTGGATTGACCTAGGTTCCACGCACAGCACGAGACCTCGCGATCTTGTATCCGATGCGATGCTCAGTCACACGTTCAGATCTTTCTATCATATACGCCAAGCGAAGAATGATAGATTATTCTTTCCGAACACCCGGAGTGAAGGGATTCATATAGGCAGTATTTCACAGAACATCTACCTGTAATGGTCTGCGGGATACCTAGGCTTGAGTATGACTGACAACTTGTTAATGAAACAGCATGGCTTTCTCAACGACCACCCCGACACCCAGCCTTCCAAGGCACCTCCTCAGCCCTGACAACAGTCTCCAGTCCACCAGCCAGCTCTCCAACCATCTCACTGTCGCCCTCAACATCCTCGCCCCACGGCAAGGAATCAACATCAATCTCCCACCCCAGCAAACACCGCAGTATAACCCCAGCACCAGCCTTACTCATAACAACATTCATCTCCTTACACCGCTCATCACAAACACACTCCACACACCCCTGCGGCGAAAGACAAGAGCAAGCCTCGATACGCGCAACCGCACGTCTCAGCAGCAACTCAATAAACTCAAACGCCTTGCTCGCAATGCCCGAGCCACACGAACCCCCCTTCGCATCGTAGAAGGTCAGTCTCGCAGGCCTCTGCCGTGAAGGCGGCTTAAGCTTCTCTTCAAACCCAGGAGGTATATTATTCGCCCGACGCAGCGGTCGACCGAGCTCTTTCTTCGCGACCTTGCATTCTGTCCGAACATCCCCAGGCGACGAGACGACAAACGAAGGCAGCAGAGAAAGCACAGCGTGTTCGGCTGCGTGGATAGCAGCGGCGACATTCAGTCTATGGGATTGCAGGATATCGATTGCGCGCGTGGGGACATCGAGCCACATACCGCGCGTCAACCGGTCGATGGGCGGGTTATCGACTGTTACAGCGTCTAGGACACGACCTCGCTTATCGACTTTGAAGAAGCCGTAGACGACGGCGTGGATTTTGATCGTGCCGAAGAAGGCGTGGGTGGCGGATGGGTCGCTGCCGACGCTTCGCATGGCCTCTGTTTCTACGGGGTCGATATCTGTGTAATCGCGTTGCTTGGTTGACCAGTCTACGTGGACGCGGATGACGCGAGCAAGACGGGAGTCGGGGTTTAATTCTTTGACGAGGTAACTTGTGCCTTGGTGGAGGAAGATGCCGCCTTCGTAGATGGTGAAGAAAGCGCGCGAGAGCTCGACTTCTTCGAGGACGATGTTGCGGTCATTGGTTGTGTCGATTACGGCGAAGTGTTGGTCTTCTGTGTCGCGGATTGAGACGCAGCGGGACGGCTGTGGGCGGAAGCGCGGGTGGCAGTGGTAGAAGCCTATGGGGTCCTTTTCTAGGCGGGTCGGGGCGAGGGCGAGAAGCTGGGGCCCGAAGTAGATGCTATCTTCTTCTGGGCGGATGGGCATCTCGAAGGCGGCGCATTGGACGTGGCCTTCGAGGATGAGCTCGTTTGTTAGGTCTATTTGGAGTTCGCAGTTCGGGCGTGTGAAGATCTCGTCCGGATTCTGCATGTAGTGCTGGTCTGTTGGGTATCGGTCGCCGACTAGTACGGAGAGGGAGTCTTTGTTGCGGCGTCCGGCGCGGCCGCTTTGTTGTCGGAGATTGGAGATCGAGTAAGGGAAGCCCATGGTGATGACTGCGTCCAGGGAGCCGATGTCGACACCTAATTCCAGGGCGCTGGTTGCGACGATTCCCATCAATTTTCCCTCGAACATTTCCTTTTCGATTTGGCGGCGGTCTTGAGGGCTGTATCCGCCTCGGTAACCCATTACGAGTTTGCCGATCTCGGTTCGTTCAAGTCTGTCGAACTCCGCTCGCACTGCTTGTAGGAGGATCTCACATAGCGTTCTAATGCGGCAGAAGGCGATGACTCGGACGCCTCTGAGGATCAGCTGGCAGAACAGCCTGGCGGTCTCGGTGACAGTGTCTGCTCGTCCGGAGGTTGGATCCTTGGGGTCTTTGAATGGCGTATTCCAGCAGATAAACTCCTTGCGACCAGAGGGTGACCCGTCGAAATCGATGAGCTTCACGTCTTCGATGCCAAAGATAGACTTCATGTGAGCTTCTGGGTTTGCAACAGTAGCAGAACAAGATATGAACTTGACATGGCGATTACCCACAGCAGCACAGATCCGGCGAAGTCGTCGCATGATGAAAGCGACATGGGAACCAAATAGTCCGTTGTAGACGTGCAGTTCGTCGACAACGACAAACTTCAAATTCTTCAGAAAAGTGCGCCAGGCCCCTTCCTGTGGCAGAATCGTGATATGAAGCATGTCAGGGTTGGTGAAGATGATCCGCGCCTCGTCACGAATCATGTTCCGGCTGCTCATCGGGGTGTCCCCGTCAAAGGTTTCAACCATGGTGTGTTGCAGCCCATTCATATACTGCAGTAGGTCCATCATGCTGCGCCTCTGATCCTGTGCCAGAGCCTTGGTGGGAAAGATATACATCCCCCGGCTGTCCGGATCCTTCTCTAGCTCATGCAACATGGGGACTTGATAAATGAGCGATTTTCCAGAGCTCGTCGACGTCGACACAATCACATTGTGGCCCTCGTACAAGTAGTTGATTGCCTCTGCTTGGTGCGAATACATCTGCGTGATGTTCCTCGTATTATACAGAGCATTCACCAGATCCTGCGAAAGCTGGAACGTCAAATCACCGTAAACGGGAGACTGGGCTTCGAATACACGGTGGCCTTCCGGCACAATCTGCGCATAATACCAATTCATCTCCCGGATCTCCGCAACGATTTCCCCAATGGACTTTCGCTCCTTGGGAATCGTCGCGGGCGGCCTCGCCACATGCGCAGGGGTATTCACCCCACTGCTGGGGGGAGTAGGCAAGAAAGCATCCTTCGCTTGCTCGAGAGACTCAACCGGATCAACACGATTGTCCTCGCATTGGACCAGAAAGACGTCAAGCGCATCTGCAAATTTAGCGTTCCGCTTCTCAATAGACCGCAGCATCTGTTTCTGACTGTAAACCGGCATTTTCAAATCCTCGTCTCTCATACGCCGCGTCGGTTTCGTAGGCTCCCCAGTCTTCGGATGAATCACTTCCCGCTTCAAATCGCCATCCACAAACTCAAATAGCAGCACATGCTTTGTACCGTCTGTATCAGCTAGATCGCCACCGGCATTATCACCGTCATCCTCCATGTCAGCTGCATGTGCCAGGCTAGATCGCTTGTGTAGCCCATATTGAGATATTTCCTGGTCTCCGACAGTCATTACTTCCAACTTCGCTTCGTCCACGTACTCGAATCGCACCGCACCCGGAACGATTACTTTCACGCGTGCCACATCCTCGATCGTAAGCTCTCGCTCTGGACCAATCTGCGCTTGTACAGCTTTCTTGATGTTATCAAATGTAGTGGCGAACTGCTTTCGCGTGCAGCAGAATGTGTAAACGAGATTAAGGGCGCGATGGATTTGTGAGAGACGTTTGAAGGCTTCTGGCACTGGTGCTGAGGGTGTTCGTTTCGCGGGTTTGCGTGGTTTCGAGGCTGTCTTTCCTTTGGCTGGCTTTTTGGTGACTGTGCTTTTGGTGGATCCGGCCTCCTGTAAGTCGCAATCCTGGGGAGGATGGGTAGAGATGGTCGATGGTGTAACTGTTTGTTCGGCGGAGTTTTGCAGGGACGCGTTCGAGGCAGGCGAACCGCGGCCTATGTCAGTGTCGCTTTCTTCATGGCTTCTTTTTCGCTTTAAGGGAGCTGGGGTCATGGGTGACGAGGGACCGGCCATATCGACACTCCATTGTGCTTTGCGCTGGTTGGAGATCGATGATGTCCTGATTGACGGGAAACGCGAGGTCACGTGTACCAATTTTACCCGAAATGATCATATCATCCCGAGGAACCGTGCGCGCCTCAGGCAGAAATGTCACTTCAGATTGCCGAGGCATACCGAGGCAGGCCCAGGCCCAGGCCCATAGACAATTACCAACAGGCGGAGAAGCACCAATCTATCATGGTAAGTCATGGTGGTATGCTTATTGCTTGGATTAATGTCATGCTCTCATATAAGCTAATAGTCTGTCTCCGTACATTCTAGGATGCGAAAACAGTCAGTTCCTTTTGAGGCAGCCCAAGCAGCTCTCAGGCCAGTTCTGCTTCGATGACGCTCTCTGCAACGCCAGGATAATTATAGATATTAACCACCTTCAACCCAGCCTGAGCAAGAATGTTCCTCCAATCAGCCTCCGTTCTTTCTCTCACTGCAAAGTGGGCCAACATCATCATATCCATATTGGTCGCTGCAAGCGTCGGTTTCTCCTCATTGACCACAATCTCATTGAACAAAACCCTTGAATATCCCTTCTTCAAAGCAGGCACAAGATTCTGCACAATCTTGAGACCATCCTCATCACTCCAATCGTGAAGAATAGAATGAAGGAAGTACGCACGCGCACCCTTGACCGGCTGCGTGGTAAAGAAGTCATGCGCCTGCACCTCGAAAGCTCTCTCCTCGCTACTAGCCACAACGTTCGCAATCACAGGCTCACGATCCTGAAGCACGATCCTGCCAGTGACCGGACCATGCTGCGCAGCAAAGGTAGCCACATCGTGACCCTTGCCGCCACCAACATCGACAAGAAGAACATCACTGACCGAGGCATCGAAGCCCGCAGTCAATCGCTCAGCAACGGGGTAGAATTCATGCCAGTCCGGTTTACCAGCACGGTATGCGGTCATGAAAGAGTCGAAATGCTGCAGGTGCGGGGGCGTGGCGACCAGCCAGTCAAAGAACCGAAGCTCGGTGTTATGCGCCGCTTGCCAGGGACCATCTGTTCCGCCTAGCGTGGGGGACTTATACCCGATCTTCTTGAAATACTCCGGGAATCCGTTGAAGGAGGGACGCGTCGCATCATAACAGATGCTGATGCTGTGTTGGTAGTTTTCTGCTGCGAGGCCGTTGCTCAGTTTTGTGGCGCGGAATAATCCGTCCTGAAATGAGACGACATTCATCGCCACCAGATGTCTAACTAGTCGTTGCAGGAGGGCATTATCTACCCCGACCTTCTCGGATAAAGCCGATGGGGTGAGGCCCGCATCGCCCGCTTCCTGGAGGCATTGGAAGAGCTTGACGTCGACGGCGAGACGGATGATAGCGCTTTGAGCTGGCTGTTGTATAAGTCTGATTAGCGTTGGCGGCTTTCAGCCCGGATGCAGTTTCTCACCTCTGCCCAGAAAGTGCGCTGAACGAACTCGCTGGGGATTTCCAGAGCCGAGATCAGCGCGCGACTTTGGTCGATCAGAGCTTCTCTTGCGCCGGCCTCGTTGTTCTCGAATGCCTTCCGCGAAGTGGCAATTGCGTCCAGAATTGAAATGGCAGATGGAGAAGCCATGGCGATAGCGATTTTGGGGTTTTGAGAAAATGACAATCAACTTGTGCGGAAGAGGGGACTTCCAGTATTTTGAAGCAAGGAGGAAGACATATTCCAAGACCCCTCCTTTCGCTTTATCTTGCCCGTTTTTCCCCACGTTTAGCTTGAGGCTAGTTCGAAGTTAGGGCAATGATAAGCCCCCAGCTTACTCCCACTTGGAAGTTGGAACTCTGCTGCCATGTTTTGAATTCGCCAAAAGTTGCGACTTCCCTGTGTCGATCCACGACCTCGGGAATAGTTACATAGTATCTAAATATACGCAGCACATGTCGAGGTGTCTATTCTGCAGTCCGAGTACTGTCGGGGTTAAGCCGATGCAAGAAGTCAGGGATCATGATCCATTGTGTTGGGACCACAATGTTGCCCGATGTGGAGAGTGGATTCAGCATAACAGCAAATGTCAAGGCTAGCCCCCACCACCTCCTTGCATCGAACAATGAGATTGGCAGAGATGAGTACAGTAAGCCCAGCATACAGTACTGTACCATAGTTGAAACATGCTAATCGGTCTGGCGGCCTGGCCCCTGAACACATCTTCCAAGAAATCGGTTCCCGACTTCCCGTGTGCTCGGGACGAAACTAGTAAATGACCATTGTGTAGTGCAATATGCGAATCCGTCATTGCAGGATCAAGGGAGATGTGATTTGACAGAAATCGCATCGGATACATAATCCGTACACTAGGATAGAATCCTCCGTCGTACTCCGTGTACAGATCGTATACGGTGGACAACAAGCTTCACCGGTTGAGACGGCACAAACAGAAGGATCGGAAAAGCTTTGTCCGCCAATGCCGCTGTGGGGCAGTCGAACCCAGATTTGAGACACCACGGCTGGGGTCATTATGAGATTCATATGTTGTCCGGGGTAAACCATAGAAAGTTCGATATTCATCCTAGCCGTTTAAACTTGACGTAGTTCCGAGGTTTCCACTTCTTCATGCCGTGGTACACACCTGGAGTAGGGCTACCTACCACATGGCTCGCATGTGAACAGGGTGGATTTAGAAGATTCGGTAGAGAACGCCACATCCTCACGCTAACCCTACTGGGACAGGTTCGGTAAACTCAATCTGCGAATACTTGCAGGGAATGTCCTATTCCGGCTTAGCTAGCTAGTAATACCATTACCTGATTTTTCAGAAATGGTCTTTTTCCCTACTATTTACTGCGTAGTAGACATGGTACCTGCGAAACAATACTGTATTACTAGTTCCTCTGTACTAGACGCTAAATTGCGACGATGAAGTCTTCCCCACTAGTTGCAGTATCCATGACCCACTCTTTCCAAAAGTCCCACTTTCTCATGCATTCTGATTGGCCGGATAGATGAATAATCAAATAATGATAGAACAATTTAGCAGGGGAAGGATGCTAGATGCGATTTATCAGTGTACCGAGGAACTTACTTCGGATGGGAAAACCAAATCCAGGCCGAAAACTACTAGTTACACTAAGCCAGATATCATAATCAGCGAGCATCGTATTAGCGAGCATCGTATTAATAACCGAGTTTTACTGTAACTACGGAGTACGTACGGAGTAGTTAGTATTGAGGTGTCAATTAATCAATCCTGGGGCCAGAACTTCCCGTCTGGTTTCATAGTTCTCTCTAGGCAGCTACTTGTACTCCGTACAGGCTTCTTCTTTTCACACTCCAATGGATTGATGAACCCATCGGAAGTAAAGCCTTCACTATGGCCTCTTTCGACACAAATGTTGACTATAGTGAAACGCGCTCGGCGGAGGTCAATGCAATCGGGTGGGTCTTCACTGGCCTTGCGATGGCAGCCGTTGCGTTGAAGCTATTCGCCCGAATTGACAGCAAACGTTTTGGCTGGGATGACTTTTTTATCTTCTTCTCGCTGGTGAGACCAATGTGCTCTTCGATATCTTGCGCAACGACTAAGATTGTCACTCATAGGGTCTCAGCATTATTGCTACGGCGTTAGTCTCATATTCGGCCACCCTAGGTCTAGGTCGACATACTGCAGCGGTAGTTGCTGAGCATGGCATTGAGAGATACGAAGAGACGGCCTTTTGGCAGATCATCGCATTTCCATTTAACATTGGTTCGTCTATCTAGGGAACATAGCGAAGCTGCTCACATGTTAACCACCCGATCTAGGAGCCTTCAGCTTCCCCAACATATCGATCGCGATCTTGATCGTGAATCTGCTAGACCCAAACCCACTTCGTGCAAGACTTTTATACGCCATGGTCACACTCCAGGTTGTGTCTGCCATGGTCTCCGTTTTCATCGTCTTTTTCCAATGTAATCCCCCCTCCATGCTGTGGGACTTGTCTGCTGGGGGTACATGTTGGAGCCCAGATATTTTTGATGGCTTCAACTATTTTGTCAGCGCGTGGACAACACTGACCGACATTATCCTGGCATTCGTGCCGATTGTTGCGTTCTGCAAACTACAAATGCCAGTCTCGACAAAGGCGAGTGTTTGCATCATGATGGGATTGACATTGCTTTCTGCAATCGTCACCATCGTCAAAGCAACTTATTTGAAGCTCTTCACCAATCATGCGGATCCTCGTCAGTACTTACCTCCCTAGGCATTGCTAGGTCTATCGGCTAACACTCCACAGTATTCAAGGTCGTGCCATTAGTTCTCTGGGGACTGTAAGTTTCTCACACCCATATCTCTCTCGCCCAGCATTCGCTTACTAACCTCAATCTTAGCGTCGAGCAAAACGTTGTCATCATCGCCGCCTGCATCCCAACCATCCGCCCTTTATTCCGAAAAGTATTCGGGTCTACGAAAAACTCATCCGGTCAAGCCACTTCGCGAAGCGGAACTGGCCTTGGCCTCTCGCACTCGCACAGCGCGAAACAGCCTAGCTCTAACGGGGGGCTGTTTGCTGGTGAAATGCCTCTTGAAGACATCAAGCCTCAATGCTATGATGCGGAGAGCAGTAGTAGTCAACAAGGCATTTGGCGAACGAGGGAGGTCATGGTGGAGAGTGACGAGGAACGATTTCTGGAAAGCGGCCGGGAAGAGCCTGTTCGATAGTTCGAATTCAGTTGTTCTCAATGCCGGAAGGCGGGTTCTAAACAATGGACTTGAAGCAACTAGGGGTCGTGAATGCTTTGGCTGACGACTCCAAACCCCAAAGTTCATCGCAGGGGTTGTGGTTAGTATGAAGTACCGCAATGTAAGACTCCGGCGTGTAAGTGACAGTCTCTTGGCGTTGAGGTAATGAGGTGAGAGGTGGCTAGTGAAGAGTGGCTGAACAGTTGCTCTTTCCAAAACCGCCAGTGGGAAGGGAAGTGGCTTGTAACAAGACTGCAGAGTGTACTCCGTAGAGAGGGTCACAATTGTGTCTGCTCGACACTGCTAGAAGTTGTAGACTACACAAGACATACCTCCTAACATACAGGATGGTAGCCTTGACATGCTCTTTCCATGATATCAAACGGTTCTTGTCATTTGCTATGCAACTTCTCACTTAGCCCACGAAGCAAAGAATGTTCTTGATAGAGTCCAGCGGAAGCCTTAGAGAAAGAAGCATACTTGAGTATTGACACATTTGTATTATTCCACTTCGCTAATGATAAGTTGAGTGAGATTACCATTGTCGGAGTGAGCTTCTTTTTTCCCACATTGCGACATGGTCCACATCTTCACATGCTCCTTTTCACATCTCCCCTTTCTCCTTCTTGCACATGTCCGTTTCCTCCTTCTTTCACTTGATCATTACTTGATCCGCTTCAACAGATCCTCGAGAACATCGTAAAGCTCCCCGGCCTGCTTGTCGCTGCCGAGCTATTTCATCTGTTAGTGACCTGACTTCCAAAAGTGAAGTGAGAAAGGTGACTTACGCGAAGAAGCAGGGTCGAAACCTTGGCATCTTCCTTGCTAGCCAGATAGATGTCGCGGCTAGTGGGGCGTGCACCCTTGACGCCGAATGGCATGGTCGACCAAAGCGCACTGTTCAACATAACACGATGGGCACCATCGGCACGCATAATCATACGGGCAGAGACCTTTCCTTCGTCCGACTTGGAGTTAACTTTGAAGGTGCCAGCACCACGCTCCTTCCATTTCTTGTCGTCAAAGTAGTACAACTTGCCCTTGGCCGTGAATTCGGTGGTCTCATTCTCTTCGCCGGTTTCGACTGTGGGTTCATGAAGGGGTGAGTAACACTTCATCACGGGGTCCTTGGGATCCGCCAGTAGGGATGGGCTCCTACCGGTCTTTTCGTGGAATCGTTCATCGGTCTTTTCGGCCACAAAGGTGTCATTAGTTTCATCGTCAGCTTCCTTGTCGCTTTCGTCGTCAGGTTGCGTAGCACCGAGGGTCTTGTCTTTGGTGTCGCCGAACAATGCGGGAGCATTGGGAGATGCGAAGCTGCTTAATTTACCAGCTGTTCCAGAGAAACTGGCAGGGGCATTAGGAGAAGCAAAACTGGACAATTTACCAGATGTGCCGGAGAAAGCGCTGCCGAATCCAGGTGCTCCGAAACTGTTAGTCGAAGCACTGCTAGCTCCGAAAGGTGAAGCACCAAATGCCGATTTGGCTGAAGTCATGCCGAACGGGGAAGCGGCAGAACTAGAGGCGTTCAACGCAAAGGGCGAGCCTGTAGAAGCCTGTCCAAACGCGCTCGCAGTGAAGGTCTGCCAAACGGCGAGTGTTAGAAATGAAAAGGTAGGGGATTGGGAGAAATGATGTCAAGCTTGCCTGATCGATCTTCGTCTTACGCTCCTCCGAGTTGTCACGGGGTTTCTTCTTCTCGGGTTGTCCCTCGGCAGCATCCTTCTCGTCCGAGGAGGTGGGTTCGGTCAAGCTGGGCGCGGAATCAGTTGTAGCGTGTGGTTGATTTGATTCGTCATCTTCTTCAAGTTGTTCACGGCTGCGTTTCTTCTTGAGAGTTTGGGAAGCTCCGTCCTCGTTTCCGCGGTTCTGTGGGGATGCAGAGTGGTCAGAATCATGGGTTTCAACCGTGGGTGCATGACAATTTGAATCACTGGGGGATTCAGAGCCATCCGAGCAACTTGTATAATCCGGGAGATCAGGAGTTTCTAGGAAACCATGATGCTCTGGAGAGCCAGGACCATTTGGAGAACCAGGGCCATTTGGAGAACCAGGGCTCTTTGGCGAACTAGGGCTCTTTGGCGAACCAGAGCCCTTTGGCGAACCAGGGCCCTTTGGCGAACCAGAGCCCTTTGGCGAACCAAAGCCCTTTGGAGAACCAGGACCCTCCTGGAAATCAAGATCCTGAGAGTCCTCGGAGCCATCTGAACTGTATGAACCATCAGAATACTCAGAGGAATCGTCCTCTGGGATTTCCGGTTTCGGTTTGAGATCTCTGGTCCAACGGATGCGCTTTGGGGGTTCTGGTTCATTGGTGAGAGGGTTGGGTTCTGGTTCCCGGGGAAGTTGGTTGGTCTCGGCAGGGCTAGCAAGTACAATCGTTGGCGTGGACAACTGGTACATGCCAGTCCGAGCATTCCTTTTAATCTCCACGGGAATGCTCATGGTTCTCATTTGGATGGGGCCACCAAGCATAATTTTTATCCTGATGGTCAGGGGCAGGCAGAACTTGACATCCTCCGCGAAATTGAGATTCTCCGCCTCGGGGGAGGGTGGCGCACTGCCAGATCCATGGGGGGTTCCAGGGGTATGGGCGGGTTCAGAGGGGTCCTCGGAGTCACTCACATTATGGGAAACGTCATCGGCGGCGCGAACTCCTGTGGGTGTCGCGCCTTGTTCGGCCGAAGAATCGTGAGTGTTGTCCTCGGGGGTGCATTCCCGGGATCGTTTCTTTGGGGGTGCGTCGGCCCCATCCGTGTCATCGAAGGATCGCTTTCGGTTCGCCTGAGCAGAGTCGGAATTTTGACCCGCAGCGTCAAGGTTGGTCTCCTTAAGCTGCTGTCGCATGGGGCGTTCGCCGCCGTCATTGTCGGAGAGAGGCGACTGCGCGGAAGCTGCTGTAGAAACAACATTGTCAGATCGCAAGAACGTCAGAAGTAACTGCGCGACAGGAGGAAAAAGCAGTGTAGAAAGGGAGGAAAGCTGTATGGTAAAGCATGAAATGTGTCGCTAGAACGTACCTTTGGACTCCGAAGGCTGTTGCGCCTTTTCCGGAGCTGTCGAGGTTGTCAGTAAGACTGCCCAACGCGCGGGCCTCGGCGGCTATGCGCTCAAGCAATGATGGCATACCGGCAGTCGAGGGGCTCTGCTCACGAGAAGCAGATGCCATGATGTTGAGTCCTTGAGGACAAACTTGTTAAAAGTTGGATGTTGTTAGAAGGTGGTATCTGTGATAGCCGCGAAGCTAAGTCGTCGGGGTAACGGGTGATCGCAAAGACGGATAGTCGCAGGAACAGAGAAAAAAGAGAGCCAGAAAGCTGAAGTTGAGAGAAACGAAGAAGTTGAGAATGGGAAGAGAAGAGAAAGAGAGAAGAAGAAAAGGTAGCCGGTTGTTATAAGTTGACCGCCGGGTGCGGGGCCACTCTCTGAATAGCAGCGTTAATAGGCGCCAGTAGGTATCAGCTCAATAGAATGGGCGTCAATGACCACAAAGGCATTCAAATAAAATAAAAATCGTTTATTCATCGGCAGGCCTCGACAATAGGAGAACAATCATTCACATTTGATTCAATTAATTCAAAGGATATACCGGTATCCGCAATATGCTAATATCTGGACTCAATTGTGAGGCCATTCAACGTGTTTGCTCAATTGCCAACAATAGAACAATAGAACAATAGCTCAATGACTCAATGGCTGGGGACCTTAACTGATGAAACACAGGCATCCGATGGCAACGTAGAATACAAACAGTGGATACACTGCGATGCCGACTCGGTTCCGCACCACTCCAGAGCCTCCTAAGATGCTGACTCCTGCTGCTAAAGACCATGCCACTAACACAAGATATACCGGTATCCGAGCAATCGTAGGAAGTCCCAGTGCACTCAGCATTGCAGCAATAACCAAGGGGAATAGCGTATAGCCGATGATGCAAATCGATTGGAAGAAGGAGCTAGATGTCACAATGTCAGTAAATGCGAGAGTGTAATTGATAAGGAACCATATGATGCTTACATCTTCCCACCAAGTAGCTTGATCTGTAGGGTCACAGCTGCTTCTCCGAGCCAGACAATACAGAAGACACCCGAGAAAACCACCGATGATTGGTCGCCCTTTGCGACAGACAGGAACAAGCTCAAAACCAGACAGAAGACAAGCGGACCCCTATCGTAGAATCAACTGTCAGTTGCCATTGCAATTCGATAAAGCAATTCTCGTGTAAGGTGACATACCAGAGATCCCAGTCGCGCAAACCTTCACTCATGCCACCCTGCAGGACTACGTCGGCATCCGGCCAGCGTCCAACGAGTCCCCGAAGATTACCACCAAATCCTGAGATTCCACCTTGTTCAGCATCAGCAGTACCACGGCCGCCGCGCTGCAGCATTCCCCCGAGCAAGTATTTAGGCCAAAGCACCTGGCGCATCTTCTCCCACACGGCAATCAGATCGCGCGACAATGTTTCCCAAACACTTTCATCGATGGTGTTTTGCGTCGCACGGCGATCTTCACCGCCAATAGTCGAAGTCAGATAGTTGCCGTAGTTAGAGGCATTGGTCCGATTGCCAGAGTTGGTTTCGATGTTGCCTCGTAGAGGGGCCGTGTCGGAGGTGTCGCGCAGAGGGTCGTCAGCCTCGATGGCTACCACACCGAATTAGTAATTTGCACATATAGTGGTATTCGAGAAGTAGCAAAAGAGGTCTTACTCACCATCGTCGGCTTCAATCAAATCATCACCAAGGAGGGAGTCGTCATCATGGGGGTCACCATGGGGTTGACCGTAGTGTGCAGTAGCCATGGTTCCGTAGGGTTTGTGATAATCAGAATTCTATCACAAAATCGGCGACACAGTTGGTCCTCGCAGAGGGCGTCGACAGCGAAGGTCGGGGTAATTGTTGACGGTATGAAAGCGAGTTGGCTAAGCTCCAGGGCTGTCCCGGAAAGGCTAGAGTGGCATTACGTACGATGGGTCCAGTCACGGGCACGGGCACGGGTACATAACATTGCCAGCCACGTTCTGTTTCTCCTTTAACTACACACTTTGATATCTACAAGATCTTTGGATTCTAATACGAGGTAACAAGAGTCCTTTGTTGCCATAAACTGAGAGATTTCAAACTGTTATTCTGATATGGATCATTTCTCCTCGCCGTCACTAACATATGGTTCCTCCTCCTGATACACATCGTATTTATACTTGCTTCCGACGTGATCAGTCCTGAGTTCTTTCTGCCCCTTGCCGAGGACCTTCTCACGAGCAGTGAGCGCAGGCTCTAAGGGATCGGGAAGTTCAGGATAAAGACCGCGTCGCCTCAACTCCGGAATGAGCAGGTCAACCACATCCTCAAATGTGCCAGGCGTGGTGACATGAGCAATGTTGAATCCATCGAGGTCTGCCTCGCGAACCCAACGCTCCATCTCATCGGCAACGGTGGCAGGGCTTCCAATGCCCACTGGTCCAAGGCCACCAATTGCAGCTTTCTCGGCAACAACGCGAGGTGTCCAACGTGGAATATCCTGACTTGTCTTGAGTAACGAGTCAAGCAGACTGGTGATTCGACCTGCCTCCAACGAGTCTGCGGCGGTGATTTCTTGATCAACGGGAATCTTGGAGATGTCGATGCCCGTCCATCCGCTGAAAAGGACTAGACCTCCAACCACCGAGGCATACTTCTTCAGCTCATTATACTTAGCCTGCGCCTCCTCGTCAGTCTCACCTACAATGGGTGTAAAGGTTGCGAAGAACTTGATTGACTGTGGATCACGGCCTCGCTCTGCGGCCAGCTTGCGGATCGCTGCGATCTTCGGCCGCAATACCTCTGGTGAATGCGAGGAGACGAAGATTGCTTCGGCGTGGGTCGCAGCGAATTCCGATCCGGCCGATGAAGTCCCCGCTTGGAATAGAAAGGGGGTCCGCTGCGGCGACGGGTCGACGATGTGTCGTGTTTTCAGTGAGAAGTACTTCCCCTTGTGATTGATCTGGCGGACTTTATCCGGGTCCACGTACGAATCTGTTTCGGGGTTTGGTGACAGCGCATCAGGGGCCCAGGAGCCCTCCCAGAGTCTATATGCAACAAACAACACGTCAGTTGTCAAGAACATACATCGGTGGGCGTGAAACTTACTTATAGAGTACCCTCAAATACTCGTCCGCCTGACGGTATCGTTCGTCGTGCTCGATTGGACTATCCACACCAATGGCTTTGAAGGCCGCTTTCTTATATGAAGTCACAATATTCCATCCCAGGCGACCGTTGGTCAAGTGATCCAAGGTCGAAAAGCGCTTGGCCAGCAAAAAGGGCTGCTCGAATGAAGTGGAGGCCGTGATGCCGAACGCCAGATTTTTGGTTACTGCAGCCATTGCAGAAATCGGCTAATCAAGCGAGTCAGAATCCATCTGAATATCTTGCTTTGCGAGACTCACGATAGTTGGATCCGTCACCGGCCATTGCGCCGCACGCCGGATACATTCGTCCAGCTTACCCTCATAGGTATCATAGCCTCCAGTCGTATCCGCCAGGAACAAAGCGTTGATTCCACCACGCTCCAGCAGCTTCGCTAGCTCTATCCAGTACTCCAGCGTCCGCTTGGTCGCAGACTTGTCTTTGGGATTCTGTAGAGTTGTCAGCCATCTGCCCATCACCTAGGCAGAATCAGAGGCCAAAACCAACCTTCCATTGTCCAGGGGACAAATGTCCCACGGTCGACATGTCAAAAGCATTGAGCAGGATGTGTTTCTTGCCTTTCTCATCACCCGAGCCATCCTGGCCGCTGACGACGCTGGCGTCTCCCATGATTCGCAGTGGGTCAGAGGAAGAGGTCAATTTTTACGAGACTTACTGGTAAACTGGAGGTCTGACTGCGGTCTACGACGAGGTATAAGAATAACGCGACCCCTCAAGTCCCAAGCCTCCAACGCTCGGAATATCTGTACTACCCCCGCATAGCACTCGGTCATCGCACGCGTATCTCGCGCCATCGGCTTTACAAAAGAGGGGAACACCAACTTCTAGGAACGGGCGACTTCTTGCGCTCACTGTATTGTATATGGTGTGCCGTAGAGGAAACATTCGCCATTCTGTTGATGTGGATACTTCGAAATCATCTGAATGCTTTAATACACTGCGTGATGTCGACACATCAATAACAATCGTCAGTCGAATCACATTTTGTTTGGTCGCAGGATATCAGTATTGGGGGGCAGTGGATTGTCGCTTTCATCATCGGCTGTCAGATTGCGTGACGATGTCGTTTTTAATGCCCCGATTGGAGCGGAATATTTTCCATGCTCTTTCTGAGTACATCTAAAGCAACAGGATCAATTAACTAGGTGGTGACAGAGTGAGGAAATCCCTTATAATCTAATTGAAATCCAAGTTTAAGAAGTAGAGAATGTACCAATGATATTATGAACATGATACCAATAGACAACGCCATCTATAATGCCCCCAATGTGTGATATAGGTACAAGTATTATACAAAAACTCGAAGCAACAAAGGCCGAGACTCATTCAAGCCTCAATTAGCCTCTGCTTTCCGCTGTGCCGAGCCCCAACTCGGCTCACTAGACTGTTGAGCAGCCCGCAGATATTCCCTAATGCGCTGACGACCCTCCTGCAGCTGCTGCGACGTGGGGTAAATCTTCTTTTTCTGGAGAGCCTCAATGGTCTGCCTGCCAGAATACTTCTTCAGCCTGGCCGAGTCAGCGGCAAGCGCCTCGCGCTCGGCTTTCGTGATGAGATTCTTGGAGGCATCCAGATGCAGCGTCTCGTCGACTAGCAGACGGACGGACGCCATTAGCTTGACAGCTGTCGTACCGTCGAGAGGAGCCTCAACGCCTTCCTTATCCCTCGGGAAGCGATATCTCGGGCTCTTATCCAGGTGTCCGAGCCCAAGGACGCTCTCCAGAGCCGTGTGTAGCTGGAGGATATAGGGGCGTAGGACGTTGATGGCGGTTAGTCGCAGTCTCACTTGGAATTTCCTGTTCAGAGCTGGCAGTGAGGACTTTTTCTTCTCTTTGGTGGAGTCGGAAGCTTCGTCTTCGAGGCCTCTTAGGTTGAGGAGGAAGGAAGGGGAGTCAGCCAGTTTCTGGATAATGCTCAAGTATCCGTCGAGGACTCGGAGCTCGGGTAGAACCAGGACTTTGTCCATCAGAGACATCAGCTCGTTTGTGTGCAGGAGGATGGAGCTGTTGCGCCGATCACGGCGGCAGACGCTGAGAGCGAGGTGGAATGCTAATCCGGTTGCTTGGCCGGAGGGAATCATCTGATCCCGCAAGGTTTTGACACAGACCTTGCTGGAGCGAGAGAGGCGGAGGAGGCGGAAGTATTGGATATAGGTGTATGTGTCAGGTTCGAAGCGGTGGGGGATGTCTTTCAGGGTCAGATAACTCCAATAGGCCTGACCACCCTCAAGGCCTTGGGTCATGGTAAAGCAGGCACTCAATATATGAGTCAGTTCTTTGCTGTCTGGTCGAAGGTATTCTAGACCCTCCGTATCGGGGACGACAGGGCTGAAGAGTTCCGAGAAGTCCTCCGCTTCTTCCACGTTTGCCACCTCTGCTTCAACTTGCGGAGTTGATGGCACTGATGAACTCGATGAATCCAATGGCTGGTTATTCTCATCTACAAACGGAACATCTTCCAGCTGTTCTTGTCGAGCTGCCTCGGCATTCTGTATGGCTTGCTGGTCCTCACGACTGATCCTGCGACGCGTGCTGCTCGCGCCCTCGGCGGGCCGCTTTTGCAATATGGGAATCCCCATGGTCTGCTTGTACAGCTCGAGGACATTGTAACAATCCATATCACTGGCGCCATCCAGAAGCAAGCTGGCCATGGCGCTAACAACTTGATTGTCAAGTTCTAGGGTTTTGTTCTTCCACTGCCAGATGACATCGGCCCAAATCCGCTTGCCTTCGGTGATAACTTGTTTCTTTCGTTGGAGAATCACATCAATATCATCGGGACTCATTTTAGCGATATCGCGGCGGCTCGCAAATTGGACAGCGTTTAAGATGATCGTATAAGTGGTAGTATCGGGAGAATTTGGTCCCTCTTCCGGTGTGTCGGCGATAATCTTCCACAGCTGATCCATATCACCATGGCGATGACAAACTGAAAGCATCGCATTGGTGTGGATGATACTACGCTCGACTCCAGAATTGGGAGCGCTAATCGAGCGGTAGATAGATTCCGCAATCTTCATCGTAGCCGGAGACTTTGTGACTGTCGCGGAACTGAGACCCGTCAACATGGCCGTGTACGCTTTTTCACCCGGCTTCACGCCACGCTTTTTCATCTGTGAGAGAAAGTCTGTCAGCATACAGTCCAAAATATGAATTTAGACAACTCGCTCCGCGGCAACGCAAATAAACCGAAGGAGAACATGAAACTCACATCGTTCCAGAACTTAAACGCAGCCTGCGGATGGTCCATCTCAAAGCAATATCTCATAAGAAGTACCCAGGCACTACCGGTTCTCATGCCCTTCGCCGTTGCAGCCCTGACCAGTGCGGCAGCCTTGTCCGCATCGTCGATTTGTAAAAGGCGCTCAACCCGCTGCGTCAAGTCCATCGGATCGGTCATCCATTTCAATTCCATATTGATAATCTTGGGTGTGACTTTCGCTCTCGGGGAATCACGATCGGATCTTCTATCGAAAGTTTTTCCACGAGGTGCATCAACCCCGGGAGCCTCACTATCCGGAACCTCATCATCCGGAGTATCAGAGATATCAAATTCAAATGGATTGTCCGCTGCCTCTTCGGCTTCAGCAGCCTCAGTCTCCCGACCCCCGATCTCCGCAACCTCGTCATCATCATGCTGACGACCTACAGCCCGGCCTGATGCAATATCCATCAAGGCTGCTCTTCCCTTTGCTGTTTTGAAGAACTCAGTCCGTCTATCCGTCCTTTTATTCCCTGGCGCAGATGGAAAACCGCGCTTCCGAAAAGTCCGGTCATCGGGGCGAGTATCGTAGGTACTCCGGGAGTTTTGTTTGAGGGACGAATCATTGTATAGTCTTGATGCAATCAATGGCTGTGGAAGTCGTCGTGCTGAAATCGTCGCCCGGTATTGCTGTGCGGAGAGAAGTCGGCTGCGCAAAGCTCTGTTCACGAGCGACCCTGGAAACCGTGATAGCATAGCTGGCTGCTATGGTCGTCGGGTCGGAATAAAGCTTGTGTCCGGCACAATGCGAGTATGAAGGAATGATAATGCAAGGGCTATAATATGGCAAAATGAAAGAACAGCAGAAACAGAGCGTCACGTCTGTTTTGACCTGTCGGAGATTGAATCGCAAAACAATTTCGCAGAAGGTAATCGGGGGCTAGTCTATATCGGGCTTAGACTCTATTCCCGAGTTATCAGGCATAAATATCTATGCCTGAGGCATTCATACATCAATTGATACCTCAGGTTCTATCAGATCCAACTAGACTACAAGTGGTTTAGTCCCCATTCCACCAACCCATGTTCCCTGCGGGCCTCGACGGGAGCGCTAGAGCACATTTCCCAGAGACTTCTGTGCGTCAGATTCCTTTCATGGGTCTGCGCGGGCTCTAAGTAGCTCCGCAAGCAGATCCGTGGATGAAGAAGTGACAACTCTAAATCAACCTACATCGGAGTTACATAGATAGAGCCTAGTATGGAACACCTCTACGTCACACTCTACGTCTTGGCTTCTATCGTCAGAGATTTAATATCCAGCCACCACCACAGGCCCCAAACCCACCATCATGCTTCAACCTTCCCGATGTTCAGTTTTCACGCCAGCCCTACACAGTATTATGATACCACCAGAATCCATGCAGATCACTCCCCGAAACCCACCTAGCCCATCCCCTGCACACTTCACACCCCATGCACAGGCTAAAGAACCCAGGAATCCAAAGCACACGAACTAGCCCGAAGCTAAGAAAGCAACCAGTGGAGCACAGACTAGATAAACCTTGAAATAAGAAATGTGACATATGCCAGGCATACGCGGCCGACTAGGTAAGAACAGGAAGTAGACTAGAAACGATTAGGAATAACTCTATAAACGCAAATTTACCACCATCGATGATATCGGTGGCTGATACTAATGCCCACCACGTGGAGACGGTTGCGTTGCACTAGTCTCCTGTCTCATGTACGGCGTACAGCGTACATGTAGTGATCAGGCTTTACTTCTTCGGTTCTAGTCAGGTACGCGTAGTGCATATGCACCTTTGCGCAGTAGTTCCAAGGATCCGAGTTGCATGCGTACATCAAGCTACTTGGTAGCTTGAAGGTTGGTACTCCGTACATGGTTCGGGGCCCGGGCCGGTATGGGACTAACCTCATTCGTGTTCATTGCGGTTGGGTGGCTTGTTAAGCTCTGGTGGCTCTAATTGTGTGACTTGGACGATCTCCATTCTCCACGTCTACTATGTATGCAGTATGTACTCCGTAACAATTCCCATGTTGGGCTGTTGGATGGCCTTTTGTCTTTTGCTTAGTTTATCTTTATCTTTTCCTGTCTTATTGTCAATCGAGACTAGGCTGCATGTAACTAGCAGAAACTAAGATAATTCGTAATCACTGCTACCTTGTGGATTCAAAACTTGGCCAGTTCTACCTTTGCTATGTTGTCCTCTGAATGGTAAATGACTGTCTAAATCAGTTGTAGGCAGAAATGATGGCCAACGTCCAAACCTACCGAAGATGGTACAGCGAAGAGGAAACACAAGCCACCCGGGTTGAATGATACACATTTATCAGATAGGAGTATAAGTCAATGTAACATAATGTACGTTATCAGAAGGAAAAGAAGAGAAAGTAGAGCGAAGATGGACTTGCATGTAGCAAAGTTAACTGATACAAAACGATAAAAGGAAATCACTGAAACAAATAACTCCCTGGTAAAGGGCTCGGGGAGAAAAAGTTTCTGCGATAAGTAACAGATGCAAAAGATCCACCGCCCAACCATCCTTGGAGTCACAACCCAGCGAACGCGAAATAAATATAGAAAATGCGCCGCATCTGCATCAACTTTGGAGCAGAGAACAGAGCAGAGAGGAGCGAAGAAGGGCAGACAGCACACCTCTCAGCTCGATGCAATCTAACGCAATGAGGATGGCAGGTATTGAACGAAGCCGGAAAAGCCACTCTTGAACAAATCAGGATTGAAAGCCGCAGAGATTGGTATCATAGCACGAAAGACTTGGGATCAGAAGGTAGGGGGAAGGGGGGTGGCATGCGGAATCCAGGACGAGAACATTAGCCAAGGACGGGGGATATCGTGATTAGAAAGGAAAAGCAAATGCAGGGTCTGACGGTGCAGGCGGAATAGGAGGTTGATTACGGGGAACGTATTATTGCGGATAGCTGGCGGTTTGAGTCTCTGGAAGCCGTAGCGAATTCACGAATCAGCTGCACAGATCAGGTCGGGCGAGGATGACCTTGTCGAGAAGAAATCCAGAGGGTCGATCCTGGTACTGAGAAAAGGTGACGGCATTACTCACGTTGCGGGTACACCGGTCCGCTCTGGTATGGAGAGTGAGGATAGTTGGGAGGATAGGCCATCTGTGTGTTGTTCTGGTAGACCATGCCACCACTGGGGGGTCCGCCGTACTGGCCGGGGACTTGGCTATCTGCGGGCTGGTATCCGATAGGGGGGAGTTGGGGGCGGACACCGCTGGCATAGGCAGGTGGCTGTCCGTGGGCGGCGTCGGAGGTGTTGGGGGCTTCGACCTGGTTGGCCTGAGCAGCCTGAGCGGCAGCACGCTCACGCTCCTCGACAGCCTTGCGCTGGGCCTCTTCCTCCTTCTTGCGTGCCTTCCATTCCTTGCGGATTTCCTTGAATTCTGGGGAGGGCAAAGTCAGCAGGGTACTTAGTAATGAACAATGATTTGCCGGAAGGAAACTAGCGTCGACCATGCTTTGGTAGTGAGGGGGCGGCCGGGAAGGGATAAGAGGCAAGCTTAACCTCCACGCCATCGACCACGCTACTGCGGGTCCCGCGACGTCTAGTGTAACTCACTAGCGTCCAACGGCCGGCGCTAACCCGATCCAGCCATTTGCGACAAAGATTCAAGAACCTAGTCGCAGTGGCTACCAGACATTGACTATTGCGAAAAACAATATCAACTTACCCTCAGGAGTACGCTTCGCGCCGTGCGACTGCATAGTCACGTGTGCATTCAAGTGGTTCAGAGTACCATACGCCTTCTCACAACCGTTCCATCCACACTTGTACATGCGCTCAATTTCCTCGTAGCGACGACGGGGACGCTTGTGTTGCTGTGCACCAGGAATTGGGACGAATGAGTAGACCTAGAAGAAGAGCAAATTCCAAATCAGCGACCCTGCGAGCGCAGTAAGAAGGGAGGGAAAGACCCACCGTTGTAGCTGGGGAGGCATAAGGACCGGGCAGACCATGATGCTGTTGTCCATAGCTATGAGGCCAATCCGGGCGCGCATACAAATGTTGAGGTGGCGGGGGATGACCCTGGTACTGCGCCATCTCGTGCCCCTGAGGCTGGTAAGGAGAGTAGGGAGGAGGGTAGGTGGGGCTGTTGGCCGGGAGCGAAGGATCTATAGGAACGGGCGCGTCAGACTTTACGTTCGGACTGCGCTGGCCCGTAGGCAGGGTGTTGATAAACGGACTTGTTGCTTGGGCCATACCTGCCGCACCGCCGGGTTGAGAAGAGGGAGCGTAGGATTGAGGAGGGCGGTGGAGGTATTCCTGATAAGCAGGCGAACGGGCGGTCGGCGGAGGGTTCAGACCGTATTCCGACTGAGGGGTGTTGGTAGAAGAAATATTGGCGGGTCGAACCTCAGGTTGTGGCGTGTACTGTGGTGCAGGGCGGACCTCGGGTTGGGGGGTGTAGTGAGCACTGGCAGCAGCAGTTTGGTCTGCAGGTTTTTGTTCAGAAGGTGCGTCGGCAACGGTGGTTGAGTGGTGCGAACCTGGCTGTGCGTACTCGGAAGCGGGCCGGTTGTCCATAAAAGAAAAGATTCGCGCGCAATGTTGCCGACGAATCTATGGAGAAAAGTTTCTGCGTAGAACTCTGTGGAGACGCGTCAACAACAATGTGTCTTGGGAAAAGTCGGGGGAATTGACGAGTCGGGTCCGACACGTTTCAAGCAAGGGGACGGGAGACTAGGTTGCCACGTTGGGATCGTGGCTGACCTTAGATCTAGGATGTTTCTTTGTCAACATACCTTTTTTTGGTTCAATTCCTCGGTGAGAAGGAAATTGAGAGTTGTCAAGTTACGAAACGCTGATCAAACAGGTTCGCGCACTGATACTTTTTGAGATAAGAGAGTTGTAGAAAGGGAAGAGGATGAGGAGTGAAGGTAAAAAAAAGGAGATTTAATTCACAATATTCAAGATGTTATGAATTGGGTCAAAGCGCACAGCTTTGAACGTAGGGAGGGAAAAAATGGAAAATGATAATCCAAAAAAAAAGAGGTTGATACCAAGATGCTTAATCTTAGCTCACTCGGGCGATGATGCCTTGCAGGTGGCGGTAAGCACGAGGCACCGGGGCGGAAAAATAACCACGGGGAGGAAAGATACTAGGCAAGGAACTAGACGGAGACTAAAGAAAAAAAAAAGGTGTCAAGAGTTCAACGCGACTTGGACGGGCCTAAAAGGTGAGACGATTAGGGAGGGAAAGCAATGCTCGTGGGATCCGAGGATACAGTGGATCCTGGTGGACCGTGTAATTAATTGGTGGACGATATTCGTTGGCCGGCCGAGCAAAAAAAATTACATCTGCATTGCTTTTGCATTTCTGGTTTATTTTTCTTTGCTTTTGATTTTGGCATTTATACTGCGTAGTTATATACAGCATACAGTGCACCATACGTTCTCCCATTTAAACATGGGATATCGGCAGGACCAACTGCAGTTTGAGTGTGGCTCATACACTTGATAGAGGGGAATGCTATGACCACAAAGTCAAAGACCCGAGGAGAGATCGATATCAAGTGCAAAAGAAAAAAATAATAATAATTTAAATGATTGCTTCTTCGATCTCGGACCATTCTCTTTTTCCACATCAGTCTCCGATATTTGACTGGCTTGGCCCCTTTTCCCCTCAATGCCTTCGTTACCGGCTAAGCTTTCATGTCTCCGTGATAACGATTGGGGGGAATTTTGCTTTTCGGATTTATGAGCGAAAAAAAAAAAAAAGAAAAAGCGGACCCTTCCAGGAGAGAAGTGGCAATAATTTTCTCATCATAAATCCCCCTCTTATTAAGAAAATCTCCATGACAATGAAGGAGAAAATCATAAATGAAGTAGACAAAGTAGAGATGTTGTTGTTTTTTGCTAAAGGCTACTGGTTAGGTTCATAACTGGAGGCCTCTTAGTCTACCCGCAACCCGGTGCCTCGAGGAGAACCTAGCGTGTAGGGCGTGGGTACCAACCAAGATGTGTCAGAGAGGGGGAAAGCCAGGGGAGGGCTTTAGCCTGACCAAGTAAGATGGCACTAGGAATGGCGTGCCCGAGGAACCTCAACCGAGAGAGGGAACCGAGTCTCAATCAGGGATAGTTGCAAACACTAAGGGGCACTTACCGTTGTTTGGAAGGAAACTAAGGCAGGAAAGGGAGTAGCGCAGGTCGGGGAAAGAAGAAGCGATGGGACTCGGGAAGACCAGGGCTAATGTGGACGAGAGAAAAGCAGGCACTCAGCTCTGTTGCCGACCAATAGGAAAAATGGGTTGAGGGTATTGTGGGGACTGGAGAAGCTCGGTCGATGGGCCTGGCTTGTTCAAGTCTAGCGTTAAAGTCTGTTGTGAACCTTGGAAAGGTTCAAAGCCGCGGCGGTTGAAGCCGGTGATAGCTTCTTTTCCTGAAAAGGAGGTTTAGCGTTGCACTTTGAATACACGTATTTGGTATACAATATATTTTTACAAGCTCCAGCGACCATACCACATGTCCTTGAACATTTGTACATAGATCTGGTCTAAAGAGGCCTACTGGGGTGCGATTGACACCGGCGGGCATGCCGCTTGTCCTCAGACACCGCTGAATGGGTACGAATCGTCAGGCTACACGCTACTAGTCATGTTGCCCTTTTATTTTGAAGATTCTCGAGTCATGGTAAACTATTCTGATATCTGGTCGCGAAACCGTCACAATACCTAGACGCGTCGGTGGGGACTGGAGAACAACAAGATATACCGGTGATCGGAGTCTACAATCTCCTGCATATGAAAAAGCCAATACGTTAGGTTATGTTTTTATTAGACAAGATAACCTCAATTCCAGGCGGAGGACTCCGTCCCTGCGACATCTCCCATGGTTCCAGCTTCCACTCGAAGTTCGAATACGGCAACAGTGGTTCTATCCAGCTAATTGTCCATATGATAATTATAGCACAGAGCACACCATCTCCGGACCAAGGAAGAAAAGAGGAGAAAGGGGGCTATCAGTCCCCAGCGGGATTGATTTGCGAGTCCACCCGCTACTCGGCGGCTCTCCGGTACGATCAGTGCATGCTCCATGCTCAGTCACTGCAGTGTATTCTCGGAATCCACTCGTGGACTCCGCTCCGCCTAAGATATTCCTATCATTTCGCTTCGGGGCACATATTAGTATTCTCATCTCTTTCTTTTCAGCATCGCAATAGAGTAAATGGGGGAGAAGTATCGTACCAGCTCTTTACCATCAAAGTCCCCTAACCATAAACAAACGCCAGATGCAGGACTCTCAGCTCGGGAGACCATCTCCCACGATGATTGGCGTTCTCGGGGTCTGGATCCCACCCCGCAGGCGGAACCTGTTCCCCCGCCGGTGAGGAAAAAGCAAGTGGAATATTTGTTTCTATTTTACGAATCACAAGGCTGATGATATTCATTTCATAAAACTCAACCCCCTGCATCTCAATACAATATCGTATAACAGTTACGATATACGATGGACCAATGGATAGCCCTCCCTCTTACTGTTTCCCAAGGCACAAATAGAAAAAGTAAATCAGTGGGACCAGACGGACTCCGCGCGGACAACACACAGTCCAGTGCGGGTAATCGGGGTTAAAAAGCAGACCGGGAGCGATACGAAGCTCATATAGCGCTTCAATCATTGGACGCCGCAGCCGCTCTGGGATCCAGTAGGTTGTACTCCGTACACCTGGAGCCTCTGGAGGCAATGATCTGAGTCTGAAATTCGGACGATCGACCCAGACCTGGCTCCAATTGTCTTCTCCAATTTTTACCATGTCCCTGGTTTGCTCAAAGCTCCGGGATATGTAACTTCCATCGATCGAATCAGAGCAACGCTTTGTCGAAGCGGACTTGGCGCGATCTCGTCTTTCTGCCTTCTTTTATGTCGAGTGTTGTAGGAACGCTGGACGATGCTGTACTGTGTAATGTTGTGGCATACGCGCCTTTCGCGGCTGTGGCTTTTTATACTGTAATATTAGGTTCGGGCTGCGGAGAGATCAAAGGTAGAAGACGGCAATTCTGAATGTCTCATATCACGAGACGACAGGGAAGGTTTCTGTGTTACTTAATGCACGTGGGGCCCATTTCTGCAGGTTAGGCGACATTTCCCATCACCCATGGGACAGTTCTAAGCGAGTTCAGGTATAAGTATTAAGTACAACATCGCAGACATACGGAGTACATCGTAGGGACATCAGAGCGGAAACGGTTCCCACTTGGCCTGATCGAGCCTACTGTACGGATAAACCGGGGTGTTTACCTACCGGTGCCTAAGCTCAGGTTAACCCTCAATCGCTTAGGGCGATCATGAGAGAGACAGGCTTGGCGTTATTTCCTTTGCCCAAACGCATCGGGTTTGAATATGCGAGGTATGGAATTTATCCCGCAATTATCCTCAAAAACCACTCAGTAGACGTGCATACGGCATACAGTAGCCCAAAATCGAACCCCACGAACGTGCCGAGATCCTATCTAAACGGTTGGGCGTTACTAGGAAAAAAATAAAAACAGTAGCGCAATTTCCCAGACTCCACATCTGGCCAGTGCGGCGATATGAAGGTCAGATGCCAGACTACACCGGAGAAAGTAAGTCTCACCCGCTAACACTTCGGCAGATCGCAGTAGGAGAGACCTGGTGTGGCACCTCCCCAGATGATGATCGCTGAGCTGTTAATTGTGGACCCAGCGGGGAGGGGTCAGGTAACTGGTTTTCACGTTGAGTTTCCACGGGGGGTTAGGCTAAGATTGAAAATATCCCATGAGACCTCGGGTAGGGAGCGAATACGCAGTATTGACGTTAAATTTGATGAAATCGGCAAGAGACTGGAATACTTACACCAATGAGCTGAGGATGTTATTGGCAGGGATTGGGTAAGGGAGACAGGGGTCCACGGTGGAAAGGAAGTTCAGTATGTAGATTGACTTTGGGCTGGGAAGTGACACTTCGTTGAAGATCATGTCTGTTGTGCATAAATAATGTTGACTACTATATACGATCTACTTTGTCGAATATAGGCGTTCAATCCGAACCCTAACTATACTAAAGCTTTGACATTCCGCTAAGAATCAACCACCCTAAGGGTAATCCCAACCCGAGTCCCAGGAGCCAGAGTTACATTTTCCATGCATATTCTACGCCTGCTCTAGACAACGTACAACCTAACTTACAACCAAGACTCCAAGAGATTTCCCTTGTTCCGTTTGTACTGTGGCGCATTGCCTAGAAGCGCCACGTCTTACTAGCGGAACCAAGACCAGGCTGACCAGCCACTGTTAGCTCCAGCAAATCTCGGCAATTGGGATTTTTGACGTTCGATTTAACTCTGGGCCAACAACGTGCCCGCTTTTCCTGGAACTCCGACGTGCACCGACGGATGAGTGACATTCAAAGAGAAAGTGGCGCTTATGCATCCGTACTAGGCACGGGAGTTGAACCCTCCCTCTTATGGCATGGGACGCTACTGCACGCACCTCGCTGTTCTAGGCAATTGCCAAATTGTTTAAGTAATTTGTAGGGTAACTGTGCTCCGGCTGTAGAAAGAAGAACTCGGGATAATTTCCTGCTGTGTTTTCCATGCGATATGCAGGTAGGTCTCTTTCGGGTAGTTTCTGGTGTGGACGCTCGATTGTCGGGTGTTGGCTGACCTCGGGAACCCGGGGATATTGTTATCGTTTATAGATGGGATCAATACCTATACTTATGTACCTTCATTGCATGGAGCTTTCTGGTTTTTATGCATATGCAATGTCTCCCTCACCTATAAATTGCCTAGGTGGAGAAGACTGGTAATCACGGCATATATCGCAGGAATATTATATATACCCCATACGAAAGCAACCAACTTCCAACTGTGATCTGGACGTACCTAGTTTCTGCAGGTGTTGCTCACATACCTCCCATTGATACGTCATATATCTAGCGCTAAAGGAATCCACAACAGACTTTCCGTGAGCAGCTTAAGCTTAAAGCTTGAATGTTGGCCCATGCGCGATCAAAACGCTTGAGTCGGAGGACAGCCACTTATTATGCTAGTTCATGTGAACAATGGCGGCTTTTGAGTACGATCTGATCACTGTTTAGTAGAGCGCTTGCGTCAATTGGGTAAGGATTGGAAGGCTAGAGCAGATGTCAGTGCCAGCCCGGCACCGGTCCAACTAGTATACAAGAGGTCACACCAAGAGCGTAAAAAGAAGGACAGACAGAGATAGCTACCTACCTTCGGGTGTAGGATGATTGTTACCTACACAGTGCCCGATATTCCATAGAATTCCAGTGTTGGCATACCTAGTACTGTCATGATATGTCCCCCACCGGCCCACCCGCAGGTCAAGGTACATATCGGATTGTGACGAAGGATATAGGTACATCCAGTAATCACAGAGCTCAATATATTATATTGACGAGCAGGAAATATGTTTGCTCTATCTTATCTATCATCAGCAGACTCTCATTAAAGCCCAACCTCATCGATTGTTGAACGGGGAATTGTCATGTGAAGCTACTGGGTAACAAGGGGCCGGAGTTAGGAGATAACCACGTGCATTTCTTTCCCCGAAGGCACCTCAATAGGATAGGCCCTTTCTAAATTCAGTCCTTCTAAGAGCAAGAGCAAGAGAGGACAGGACCCCTCAGAGAATGAGTGTCACTGGCACCACTGCTCCAGATGCCAATAATCCATCTATAGATGATCCACAGCATGGTTGTACATCCCGACCAAAGAAATCCACTCGAAGTCTCGACTTCATCATACGAAACGGCCTAGCAGGAGGCATAGCAGGCTGCGCCGTGAGTCCATCCCTCTATACAACCAACAGCCAGCAAATCACTAAGAGCATACCAACAGGCCAAAACAATAGTCGCCCCATTAGAAAGAGTCCGAATCCTCTTCCAAACCTCCCACGCCACCTTCATCCAGTACACAACACACTGGACGGGCCCCCTCAAAGCCGCAAAACACATAAAAACCACCCACGGACTCCCCGCCCTCTTCAAAGGCCACACAGCAAGCCTCCTCCGCATCTTCCCATACGCAGCCATAAACTTCCTCGCTTACGAACAGCTCCGCGAAGCCATAATCACAACAACCGAAAACGAAACACCCTCGCGCCGATTTCTATGCGGAAGTATAGCCGGCGCAATCTCAACACTACTCACATATCCACTTGAGTTAATCCGCACACGTCTCGCCTTTGAAACACAGAAACATTCCTCCTCATGGCTGGGAATTACGCAGAAGATATGCTCCGAGAACACAGCTGGAGGCAGGACCGGGCTCTCGAATCTTTATAGAGGTATTGCACCGACGATGTTGGGGATACTGCCGTATGCGGGGATGTCGTTTTTGACGCATGATCAAATTAAGGATTGGCTCGTGCGCCTGCTCTTGCGCCGCATACACTAGAACCGGGATCTTCTACACGACTTACTGCTGTTGCGCAGCTTTCTTGTGGGGCTCTTGCTGGTATAGTTGCTCAGACGGTCTCGTATCCGATTGAGATTGTTCGGCGACGGATACAGGTTGCGGGTGTTGTTGGTGACCGCTTGAGCATTGTCGAGACGAGCCAGCGGGTCTTTCGAGAGAGAGGTGTTAGAGGGTTTTTTATTGGATTGAATATTGGATATGTGAAAATGGCGCCTATGGTGGCGACGAGTTTCTATGTTTATGATCGGATGAAGCGATATCTGGGTCTTGCTGTCTGACTTGGAAGTTATGGGTTCTGCATCTTATGATCTTGTGGACGATCCTGGCGGTTGTTCGTGACAGCAACGGGGCAGACAAATGAAGTAGCTTCTTATGTTCTGATACCGGGAAGTGATTTTATTCCAAAGTTGCAACACTTGCTTCTCTACCTGGACATGGTAAGACTGGATACGTCTAATAGTCGAAATGAACCCGAGTTGATTGAAAAAGTTGATGCGATTGAAATTAGAGTCTCCAGCGAGCTCTGAGACTTTGAACTTTTGAAACTAATAGACATGCAGGCATTTTGTCGTGGGAATCTAAGCCATCAGATCCCACAATAATGGATGAGTAGGATTCCGGCACCGGTCAGATCCCTGGTAGCCGAAGACGTAAAGGACATAGAAAAGAACAAGTAAAGAAATATCTATGAGACAAAGATAACGCCGTCCGTTCCGAGTTACGCAAAAGGGAATAAGAGGAAGCTCTACCGACACAAGCACAATACAGGCCCGGGGACTACTACACGAGCAGAAGCAGCAGGGCATCAAGGAATCTACCAGCGACGGTTGCCGCCGACGGGAGCAGCGTTGGAGGCAGTGAAACCACCGCCGCCGCCGCGACCGCCCCAGCCACCGCGGCCACGGCCGCCACCACGGCCACCCCAGCGGCCACCACCGCCGCCGCCGCCGCCGTAGCGGACCATCTCGGCAAGACGGGGGTCAACCTGCTGCTTAGCCTCAGTGAGGATAGTAATCAAATCACGAGCCTGCTTAGAGTCTAGAGGAAGCAAGGTTAGTACAAGTTGCTGAGGTTCGAGACACGAGATGAAAAACTTACTGTCAGTGGTGAAGAAGGTAATGGCAGTACCCTTAGCACCGGCACGAGCGGTACGACCAATACGGTGGACATAGTCCTCCGAGTTGTTGGGGTAATCATAGTTGAGAACATGGGTAATGTCTCGGACATCTTGAAAGTTGTATGTTAGCAAAGAGACCATTAGTGGGAATATGAGGAGTATGGTCACAAAGGACCCTTTCTCCGCCGTGCAGGACTTGATGCATCACTGCTCTCTTGAAGGGTTTCTCTGAAGAAAATTCTTTCTTTGAAGAAAATCCCAAGGGAAGCGAATCCATGGGATTGGCGATGTTATCGTGGTCCTAGAGCAACCTTGGAAAAAAATGCAGCCTTCAACAGTTCAAATACAACACTGTGAGAGAAGACTTCGACTCTCCTACGAGTCTGTCACACAAGAGATGGAGAATCAAAGTCAGGCAAGAGTGCCTGCTGCTGTGCTGCACTGTGAGTCCAAGGTCCTCTTGGCATGAAAACCATTTAGGATGACCAGATACGCCTGGACGCGGCGTGTACACCAACGTGCTTCGAGAGAGTTGAGCATCGTGCCATTGTATCACACAACGTCAACACGGGTAAGTGTTTCTCAAGGGCCCCAAGGGGAGAAGAAAAGGGGGGAGGGAGGAAAGGAAGGGGGATGTAGTTTGTTCATACCGATACCACGGGAAGCCACATCAGTGGCCACCATGATGGGGCTCTTGCCCTGCTTGAACTCGTTCAAGACCCAGTCACGCTCATTTTGCTGCTTGTCGCCGTGGATGGCTAGGATGTGTGTTAGTATTGATTTAAACAGCGTGACAGGAATGGAATCTTACAAAGCGCAGGCCATCCGTCCTGGCGAAGGAATCGGGTGATTTCATCTGCGACACGCTTGGTGCCAGTGAAGATGATGCACTTGTTGGAGCGGTCCTCCATGATCTTCTCGAGATGCTTGATCATCTTATCACGCTTCTCAAAGTCGGAGACGACTTCAACGATCTGCGTGATGCGGTGGTTGGCGGAAAGGTCGGTGGAGCCAACGTTAACTTGGATGTAGTCGTTCAGGAAGTCAGAAGCGAGCTGGCGGACTTCCTTGGGCCAGGTAGCGGACCACATGCACGTCTGACGATCAGGGCGAATCTGGCCAATGATCTTGCGAATTTGGGGCTCGAAACCCATGTCAAGCATGCGATCAGCCTCGTCAAGAACGAGGTATGTGACACGACGCAGGTTGGTACGACCAGCCTCGAGCATATCGATCAGACGACCGGGAGTAGCAATGCAGACCTCAACGCCGCGAGACAGGTCACGGATCTGGGGACCCTTGGGGACACCACCGTAGACACATGTGTTGCGAATGCGGGAAGACTTTCCGAACTTGGTGATCTCGGCCTGAATCTGGACAGCCAACTCACGAGTAGGGGCCAGAACCAGAACAATGGGACCATCGCCAGGAGCGAGGAGAGGCTGGGCGTTGATGTGAACAATAGCGGGAAGACAGTAACTCAGGGTCTTTCCAGAACCAGTCTCGGCGATACCGACGACATCGCGACCGGACAGAGCCATAGGCCAGCCCTGAGCCTGGATAGCGGTAGGAGCACTGAAGCCCTGGGCCTTGACCTCAGACAGCACGTACGCGGGGAAACCAGCCTCGTCGAAGTTCTGGACGGGACGAGGGACGTTGTTACCCTGAATGGACATCTCCTTCTCCTTGCGGAAAGCCTGGATTTCCTCCTCGGAGCGTGCTGTGACATCGGGGTGCTCCTTGTAGAACGACTTCTCGAACTTGGGCATAGAGCTAGGATCTGGATTCGATGTTAGTATTGCATAAACAAACAGATTCCCTTCCGGTGATATTGACTTACCCCAATCCTGAGTCTTCAAGCCAGCGCCGAGGCCGGACATGCGGTCACCACCGGCACCGGCACCACCGCCGCCGTAACCACCACCGCCGCCGCCATAACCACCACCACCACGGCCACCGCCGTAACCACCACCGCCGTAACCACCACCGCCGCCGTAGCCGCCGCCGCCAGAGTAACCACCGCCGCCACCATTAGAGTAGCCGCCGTCACCTCCACGGGAGCTGGAGAAAAAGTTAGCATCGATGATTCTTTCTGTGATGAAGTTGAAATGTGGCCCCTGGCAGTTGAGAAAACTCAATCCCGAGGCCCAACGTCGCTGAGAGCGACTGTAGGCTCAAGGAACTTGCCAGATATGCCACGCAGCTGATGAAGACTAGGACTGAACATAGTCCATAATCTGCACGCTATCAGGATCAGAAACTTACCGGTAGGAATCACCGCCGCCGCGAGAATAACCACCACCGTATGACATGATCAAGTCTGTGAGAATGTAGATGAAGGGAAGTAGTAGGGGAATATGATAAAAGAGAGGAGAGTTGTGATGGAAGAAGAAAAATATGAAAGGTTGAGTTCACAGAGAGACGAGATGTGAAATAAAAGGGAAGGGAGAAAAAAAAGGGCCAGGGGAGGAAGGCGCAAAGAAATCTGTATTAGGTTTAGCTCTCTTTGTATTTTTCTTACCGTATCACGTGCTGAAGGCCTTTATCAGGTACTTTAGACCGCCTTCCTAGGTAGGCTGGAGATACTATCACCGCCTTAATGTGTTCTGCTTATTCGATGCTGATTGGTCGTGATTGGCAGAAAAAATATCTTCGATTTGCGCAGGGAATTGATGGCCCATGGATGCAAAGGGGCGAAAATAGGTGAGGCGATGAAGGAGGTTATCTTTATTATGGCGAGAGTGGCGATATCTATGTAGGGGTAAGGATGGACTCGCGAGGATTGCGTTAGCCAAACCCAACGCGTTCAACGTCGTTCATACTTGTTGGATCTGATCATCTGAGACAAATTTGGCAGTTGGCAGTCATCTCTTAGTCTTAGATGCGAGAAGTATGGGGTTGACAAAGAGACCATGCCAAACCTGTGACTATCGATTCATCGAACTGTTCTGGATAAGGTATCCATTGATAGGATATCCAAATTCCGACTACAGTAGTTCTTAGTTCAAGTGGGAATGCGAGTGCATTATCATGGCATTACATAGACTAGAAGATATGTAGGGCCTAAGTTCTAAGTATCCTATTCCTTGCCTCCAAGGCCCATGTCCCAAAAGCGAATCTCCAATTCTGTAGCTCGGATAAAAATCCGAATGAGCTCTTCCAGACGACTTGGCGATACATGCTGCATATGCTTCTCCAGCAATTCTATGATGTGACTTAATTTAGTTGAAGGTTCAACGCGCATTTCATGACCTGACTTACCTGAGCCCAGTCGCACAGCTTCAGAATAGTCATCGGCAACGTAGTTTTCGATCCACTTCCAGTAGTTGTTTCCATCTCGTAGAGTTCCTTCTTCCTTATGCAGTCGCTTTGCAATGGCGCCATATCCGATCAAGCATGGCGCAAGGGCCATCTGAAGGGCCAACCAGTCTTCGGACTGGCCTACATCCAAGATGTACCGGCTGTACGCGGTGCAGGCTAGAGATATAGGTATTAGTAAACGTATATAAAGAAGCATCACTAGCTTACCAATGCTTTCTGGTGTATCTTCCATCTCTTGCTTCGAAAGGCCAAAGCCAGTACAATAATCTATATGCAAGGCCATCTCTCGTTGGATATGGAGAACGATTTGGGCCGACTAGAACAAAAGGTCTTAGTTTGACTTCGGGGAAAGCATGCCGAGCTCTTACCGCTGCTATTGAATCCATGCTCTTGGCCTTGTAGGACGCCAGTGCGTTGCTTCTAGCAAATTGTACCTGCGAATGAATCTGATGAGTCGAAAGCTTCCCAAAAGTACACGGATGGACATGTTCCCACCAGATAGAGGTAATCTTGCACAAGGTAAGCCTTGAAGCGCTCAAGAGGCAGGGTACCCTGAGCAATTCCTTCGACGAACTCGTGGTGAGTGAATTTGTGCCAGACTTGCTGCACATCGTCACGGTCTAAAATGTACTCGAGGAATCGGCCACTAAGATGATCAAAGCGTCAGATAGCACATTGAAGGGTCTGAGGGGCATGTCACATACGGCGCAAAGGGCATAGTGTAGGTAGAGTGGAAATGGTTGATCGGGCCACTCCCTTTACCCAGGTCAATGCTCGTCTTGATTCCCACCTCAACAAATCGCACAGCACTACGGACCGCTCTGGTCATGCCTTTTCCTGAAGCCAAATTTGCAGCAATTGCGGAAGCAAGTGAACAGCCTGTGCCATGAGTATTCTTCGAGATCAAGAACTCTGTTTCGAACAACGTAGTCGTCGATTCGTCACACAAGATATCCACTACTAAGGTAGTTTCCTTTGGATCTTGTGATGTCTGGTGATTTTTGGTCAAGGGAAGATGCCCTCCCTTCAAAAGAACTGCTTTGGGACCCAATGAGCAGACCTTCTTAGCAAGCTCAACCATCCCCTCCAGATTAGTTGGTTCCGGAGTCTCCATTCCAGCATCTTTCAGCAAAAGAAGAGCTTCGGGAATGTTTGGCGTCACAAGTGTTGTTAAAGGAAGCAGCTTTGTCCTTAATTTGGTGATTGCGTTTTCCGGTAGCAATCTCGACCCACTCGTGGAAACCATGACCTTTCGATTCTCATTAGACCAACACTTGAAGCAGAACGGAATTCATCATACTGGATCTAGGACAACGCAAGGGACCTTGTGAGCGTGTAACGTCTCTGCAATTACATCAATGGTCTCAGCAGATGAGAGCATGCCTACGGCGATTATCAGTAGCTGGAACGAGATATTGATCCATTCCAAATGACTTACCCAATTTCACTACATCAGCACCAACATCTTCGAGTCCGGCATTGATCTGCTTTCTCACAAACTCCGATGGCACGATGAAGATATCTTGCACACCCAGTGTGTTTTGTGCCGTTAATCCGGTTGTGGCAGTGAGAGCATAGCATCCGTGAGCCGCAAGGACTCTTTGATCGGCTTCAAGGCCACTAGAACATGTTAGGACTATGCCATCCTAATTCCACAGCGCATATTGTAGAATTCCATGCCATGGTCTTGAACATGGGATACCGCTGTTTTCTCGGCAGTTCTGCAGGATAGATTGTGAGACTTACGCTCCACCCGAGCTATCCGAGCCTGCAATTACCAGAACTCTTTTGACGGACATAACCACAGCCAATCAGTAGACGGATAGTGATATCTGCTCTACACTGAAGATTAGAATGAGGCAATCAAGCAAAGAATGACGGAGTGGGGTGGCCGGAGAATTGAGATGGGATGGATACCTAAGGCAAAAACTTAGTAATCAGATGGCCGAGCCTCTATGGAGTTTTGGAGCGAAACTCCAAATTGGCATCAATTGGAGAAGCACATTTGAAAGACCCTAAATTATGCAATTCGATTTGATCATGAGCATGAAACTCTCCCAGACCCCATGTATTTACAAACATCCCAAAACCAAACACCGTCCGAGCATCTATTGTAACATAAAGCGGAAGAGACCATCCATCTCAACCCATTGCCGACCACACTTCTTCAGATAACCGTCTACCACCCCCTTGATCGTACCGAATCTTACGCGGTTGAACTCTGCAAGGGCAGCAACGCTCTCTTTCTTTTCGCCTGTCTCCTTCTCGGCGACGACCTTAGCCTTGTCAACGTCCCAAAGACCGGCGAAGTACAAAAGCTGGTTGTACATCTCCTTTTCCGAGTATTCGTATGACATACGGCCCAGGCAGCCTTCTGCACGACCTCGAGGACCCAAACAACGGTGCCCATACACGCTGATTTGTCGGGTGCGGTTGCCACATGCCGAATCGTCACACACCAACCACCCGTCGTAGTACCGCGAGATTTGCTCGCGTATCTGGTTCTCGAATTGGGCCACAATTGTGATAACGGAGAAAGGCTTCTGGCAGCTCTGATTTGGACAGACAAGTCCATGAGCGGTGCACATATGTGATGAAGCCAACAGACCCTCAAATACAGACTGTTCTTTACAGAAGCGACATTTCAGGGACAGTCGCGTGGAATTGGCGAATCGGACCGAGTCCGGAATTTGGGACTCAAGGGGTGTAATCTCAGCGTCTTGCTGGCTGTTGGAGCTAGAGGTGTTGATCTGATATTTGCGGGTATCAAGACCTAAACACTCAGCGAGGCGGACAGCATCGGTGCCAGGAATCGGGGCGCAGAGACGCTCAATGGGGGGAAGATCTGCTTCAGAAGGTAGAACTCAACGTCTGGCTTCAGTCCCGATTCAGCTTTGAGGACATCTTGCGGGCTGTATGATCGCTTCGCGGGCGGTAGTGATGAAGTTTCCGAGTCTCCATTAGTCACAATATATGAGATGACGTCGTTTGGTCGAATGTTCTTGCCCCGGGCAATCTCACGAAGAGCAACTTGCGCTGGCGGCATGCTCTCCTTGTTGGGGTATTCGTGGGGTCGTTTGGAGAGTTTCTGACAAAACATTAATGAGATGGTCGGATATTGTTTAGTGTTATCCACATACCGTATATATCACGTATTTCTGCACGGGGATTGTGTATTCTTTCATCTTCTCCGCAAGCTCGCGCAAGTATTCGTGGATCTTGTTGAGAACAACTTCCTGGTCTTCACCGGACAGGATCTCATTGAGCAGCTTCGACGATACTTCCTTCGAAAGAGCACAGTATTCACGACGCTTCATATCCAATCCCTTGACCTCGAGTTTCTCCACGTACTTACCATCAACCTCGGTCAGGTTGACAGCAGCATACTTCTTCTTGGCGTGCAGTAGAAGCCGACGGAAGACATTGTCGATGTCGATCTCCAGCAGTCGATAACGCTCATTGACCGATTTCTTGAACTCCTCACCAACCTTGAGCGCATCACTCATATTGTCCATGTTTGTATTGATCATGACCGAATCGGTGTCACCATAAATGACTCGCAATTGCTGGCTTTCGGCCAATTCCTTGGTATTTCTCAGAATCTCACGTCCTTTGAATGTGGTGAGCATTGCTAGAGGTCGTGCATAGAATCGACTCTGCGTGTATCCCAAGCATCCATACATGGAGTTTGCAGTCAGCTTCAAGGCCAATTGTTTTGTGTCCCAAACGGCCAGTTGCTCGGGTGTAGCACGTTTGTCTTTCATCAATTTCTTCACTTCGCGCCGACGATTGACCAATGTCGCAATCAACCGAGGTAGAACACCTTGCTCTTGTTCTGAGGAGGGAACGTCCGGAACTGCTTCTTCTTTCTCATTCTCGGCCTATTTTCAATGTTAGGGTAAAACGAAACGTAGTTGAGCCCCCAATTTCGGTAAGCTTACCGTAGCTGTTCGGTCCACCGTGGTGAAGCAGATGTTGTATTCCTGGATGATACTGGGATAAAGACTGTTAAAGTCCATAACAAGGACGAAGCGGTCATAAAGGCCCTTTTCAGGCTCAAACACAAGACCACCCTTATACTTGTCCTTTTTCTTCTTGTCGACCGTCTCGTCGTCATCGCCCTCTTGCATTTTCACTTCCGCCTTTTGAAGACGGGAAGAGTACTTGTCGGGACATATGTATTTGTTGCGATGGAATTCATGCAGCAAAATATACTCGTTCCGCTCAGCACGCGTACCGCTGAGTGTGCGTGCCCATGAGTTACCAGCGGTGTTGGTCAAAACTTTCGTGAGCGGCAGCATTTGAAGTCGCAAAACCAATGCAGCGATGAAGTATGTATCTGTGTCACAATGGTTCACGAAGTTCATGAGACCTTCTTTGGTGGTCGCCCAGGTCTTCAACGCTGCTTCGACGTCTAATTCCTGGCGCACATTGTCTTGACCAAGATAGAATTGACACATCTCAGTCAAACTCCACGATTGACATTTCATCATGAGAGACTAGAGGCTGTCAGCATTGTCCATTATCAACGCTGGGAGACCTCTTACCTTGCCCATATCGTTTGCAACATCGCACATCAGTCTTCCAGCAATCAGCTGTCTTTCCGCAAAGAAGTTGCCGCCTTTGTTGAAGTGCTTGGGCCAATCTCCGCGCCTGAGTCGTCCAATACGGTGCCAGCCTGGCGTCTTCTTTTCGCGCATCCGGCTAAGAAGAATCCCGAGGTCGACATCCTGCAACTGATGGCCCATAATCACATCGGGGTCCATCTTCTCGAACATGGCCAGGAACTTGCTGAGTAAGAACTGCTCGCTTTTTTCAAGCATGATTATGCCACGCTGCTTTTGCGCTTCGGCTTCAAAGTGCAACGGATATGAACCCCCAGCAGGGCGCATGACAGTGAAGGTCTTGCACGGAAGTTTCTCCGGGGCAGTGGTGTCGGTGAGAGAGACATTCTCGTACACTCTGGCACTGGCTATCAAAATCTCCTGTTTGTTTTCCTTGACGTTCAGCTGGGTACGGAAGGACAGACTCATCAGGGTCAATGGCGGTGCGTCCAAGTTCTCAGAATCTGGGAGAACGCTGATGAGTGCTGGCTTGGAGGCTTGACACTCGAACTTGCACCAAGATGCGTTGGTAACCGCAGCAAAGTCGGCCTGGTCGATCTTGAGCCAGCAAGGACCCATTATGTTCTTCCATAGGACAAATTGCTCGAATAGGGAAGTATTCGTACCGAAAACATGGGAGAAGGTTTCTCCCTTCGTTTCCATCGGCAATGCGGGCTTGTCATAAGGGTATAGCAATTTGAGATATTCTGCCTCCTTTGGGACACCCGGTAATTCGAATGCATACTTCCGTTCACACGGTTTCATTTTGTGCATGCCGACCTTGATTTTTGACATCATTTCGTCGACCTCCGAGTAGACATCTTGCATGTCAACCTCCTCATCGGTTACTCGCCCATGCTTGTGTCGGTACTCCCGCGGAAGGAAGTAGAGTTTTCGCAGGATATTGTCAACCTTGACGAACGCACTGGTATAAGATCCGGTCTGCTTGTTTTTCACTTTTCCAAACAAACAAAGGCTACCGTTGATTTCCGTATAGTCCAGCCAGAACATACGCAGGCTGCCGTCTTCTTCGACCACATCTTGGGCACGGAGCTTTCCGAATGACCGCATCTCCGGAGCCGGACTGCTGAGAACGTTCAGTTTGTTTCTCACATCATTCCAAGAGGCATCCATGACTTCTGGCATAGATTTGACTGGGGATGAGCTTGCTGGCGCGGAAATGACATCGTGTTTGATCTTTGGAGGTGGTCGGCTGCCAGCCATGTTGATCGTCTCGGTTTTGACACCAGCGCCTCCAGTGACCTCTGCAACGTCCATGAGATCAACATCATCATCCTCTGGCTCCTCGGTCTTGACAGGTACAGCGTTCCTTCGCTCCACTGCTTTGCTGATTGGAGATGATGGCAAAATGTCACTCATGGGAACATCATCATCATCCGGCATCGGTAGAGGGCCATCGTCAAGATCGTCAGAGTGGAGTATTTGGTCTTTCATTGGAGAACTTGGCATCTCATTTTCGTCTCTTGTGTGGGCCTTATCCCGGCGATGCCTCTCAGACAGTGGTGGAGAAAGAACGCGAACTTTGCGTCGCGCCTCTGATTTGACGATATTTCGTGTCGGAGCGTGATTTGGTATGATGTTGGTGTCGACCTCCCCGAGGAGGTCGGCCATGAATGCCTCATCTTCAGCGGTAGCAACGGGCTAAATCATATCAGCTGTCAGACGAGTGATCTAGACGCTATGTGCAAGAAGCACTCACCTTGGGCTTAGGAGCGGAGGTCGAAGCTTGTCCTTTGTTGAAGTACCTGGATATGCCATTGTTCATTTGTTCTTTCCGCTGCTGTTCCTCCTCTCGCTTTCGTTTGGCAGCTTTGCCACGTGTGGGTAGTTCGTCACTCTCGTCGCTGTCGTATTTCGCGGTTTGTTCATTCCATACTTCGCGGCCATCATCTGCGTAACCGGCTCCGTTGTCATCGACGACAAAATCATCTTGATCGAGGCGGCCCCTGATAACCTTCTTGTAGCCATCATCATCAACCTCGTCGTAGATATCGCCCTGGTCCTCAACCTCGTATGTGGAGATTCGTTTCTTTCCAGAGGCGCGGAGGGCCCTGAGCTCGGCCAATGTCTCACGAGCCGTAGGCATTCTGATAGATTTCAGAGGGCACTGCCCATGTAATAGCAGTTGGGGCAAGGAAAAAGACCTGGGGGAATTTGCAAAGGTTGCGGGGAAAGGGGGGATAAAAGGAGCGTCGCGCAATTAATTCGAGGAACGCGTACCACGCGTTGAGTCGTGTTGGCGCGGGTTGGCCAGTCCCGTTATGTCAGCCAATTAAGCCTCCAGACCCACCCACAGTTCGGAATAAATTTACTCCGTGGCGCCTCAGGCGACAATATCGTGCCCTAAGACCGTTGAACCTACATACATCTATGGATCGGATTTCCATTGAACAACCTAGCTTGATATCTGGCATTTCATTTGGTCTTTGACCAAGACCAGCTAAGCCCGATCATTGATTATGCTCCGCACCGCGCGAATGATGCGCGAATAGCCTGTGGTCGTTTGTATCCCAATCGGAATGGGCTCAATGCTCATGATCTCATCGTTGCCTGCCTGAGCAGCCTGATCGGACTGGCCAGACTCCTGGTGCTTCGACAGTTGACATATATGGGTTAACATTAAGCAGGCACTGAGGCAATGATGCTCCGCAAGCAGTGAAGCATCAAGATGTAAAAGAATCTGCGACATCATACACTTACCTTAGAGGCTTCCGACCTTCCATTAGCACTGCATCTGCGGACGGGAACATAGACCGCAGTATGTTTGCTAAGAGTCAAGTTAAGATCTAACTTCTATTGCTCATACCTTCGGGTACAGACATTGGGTCAATTTGAGGCCTCAAAGGGAGTGCCAAACATGGATTGAGAACAGCGTGCTGTAGTTACATAGTGGCAAGTTCTGGGCCTAGATATACGTATGCAGCCCATTACATGTCTAGTCAGAAGCTTTAGTTACTTCTCTATAATGGTCAAGTAACAAGGAGATCTTACTACGGCGCTGGGAAGGCAACAAAACCCCTAGAATCTGTGCAATTAAGAGATTCAAAGAGGCACAGAAAGAGAGTCACTGATGCCAATGCATTGTAGCCTCGCATGTTTTAATGGAGCTTGATGACCTATCTAAGCTGTGGCTCATGTTCTCTCGGCGTCTGCTTTTGGTGGCAGTCGGTTTTATGGTTGTCAGTCCAACAATAAGCTGTTACTGCGGCGATATCCCCCGAATACGTATGGACGTTGACGGCGACGTTCCATTGCTCTTCCGGAAGGCACTCGCGATGACCTCTATGTCTTTGTATTTGCCGTTGCCGTAGTTTCGTGCGTTGCCGTAGTTTCGTGCGTCGTCGTCGTCGTCGTCGTCGTCGCCGCCGCCGCCGAACACGGTTCTATTATTGTGGTTATCTTCTAATGGTCTGTCTTTCCTCCACATCTTCCCTTGTTCACACAGGCGGGACACTGCTGCCCATGGTCCATTCTTGCTTTTTCAATAATGGACGTGTTTTGGTAGGGTTTCCTCTTTGACGAAACTCGATGCCTGCTTTTGTCTCTCCATTTGGTACCTCATCTGTGTTTCTGATCCATTCATCTCATGTTACATGGGCCTCATCATCCCCAACCACTCATTAGGTTAGATGATGAAACGTCATGCATGAAACAGTGGAAGTCTAAGACTGTTTGGTATGTCTTCCACTTTCCTGGATGAAAGCATGTCAAGTATTGACCAGTTCAGCTTACTACCTAGGTGCATCACTCCCTTCCACGGGCTACCGAGTAGGTTTCATTGGAGAGACCACAGCATATGACAATCGGTATGCGGAGAAGACCTCGATGCACGCCGGGTTTGCGAGCCTTGGTTCGGTGTTAGACAAGGATATTGTTCGACTGTGGAGTCCGACATCCGAGGAATGATACAAGGGATCTTCTGTTCTTGGGTAAGACACCATCGAATGAGCTTGAATAAGGCATTCACCTTCCGAGTCACTATGGCACTGGATTCTAGGTTTCTATACCTTGCTAACACTGTATAGATCTGCGCCCATCCCGTGCCGGCTACGGTCAACGAGACAAGGTAAGTCTGATCCTACGATGCCCTTTTGACAAATCATACCTATGAGCAGTCCCATTGCACCTGCATGAGCCTTACAGCCTTCTCATAAATGATGACTTTGCCATGTTCTTTGTTCGAGGAACTGTACCAACACTGGCACAATTTCCAATGACATAAAATGATAGCCTGATATGAGAAGCGAGGTTTCTATTGCATCTATTCCTGTTGATCGGGGAAGACGAAGACATGCAAGTCTGGAGTATGGTGATCCTTTGCTGACAATGTATATATCGAAGTTCGTCAATCCCCCGTTGACCATGCCCGAGAGACGGAACGAGGTGACTATAAAACCCTCCCGATAGGTACCTTCCTGGCAATGAATTGAGGTCGTCCCGCCGCACCGCATGAGCCTCAAACCCTTCTCATAAATGATGATTTCGAAGTATAACTGATTCGAGGAGCCGTACCAGCAATGGCACAGCTCCAATGACATAACAAGCGACGGTCTGATATGTGAAGCGAGGTTTCTATTGCATCTGTTCCCTGTTGATCGTGAAAGACGAAGAAATGCAAGTTTGGAGTGTACCTTGATACCTTACTGACAACGTATAGATCGAAGTTTGCCAATCCCCCGTTGACCATGAGAGACGAAACGAGGTGAGTACAAAAGCCCTCCCGATACCTTCCTGACAATGTTATCGAGGTAATTCTGCCGCACCGCATGAGCCTCAAAGCCTTCTCATAAATGATGACTTTGGCAATGTGGTTTTTTCGAGGAACTGTACCATCATTGGCACAGTTTCCAATGACATAGAATGATAGCCTGATATGAGAAGCGAGGTTTCTATTGCATCTATCCTGTTGGTCGTGGAAGACAAAGACATGCAAGTCTGGAGTGTGGTGGTACTTTGCTGACAATGTATAGTTCGAAGTTCGCCAATTCCTCGTTGACCATGAGAGACAGAACGATGCGAGTATAGAGTCCTCCCGATACCTTGCTGCCAACGAACTGAGGTGAGTCTGAAGACTCGCCAAGTATAATTTACTGTACGAGTCCAGACTTCCCGCTGCACCGCATGAACCTCAAACCCTTCTCATAAATGATGATTTCGAAGTGTGTCTGATTCGAGGAACTGTACCAACAATGGCACAGCTTCCAATGATATAGAAGTCGCAGCCTGATATTTGAAGCGAGGTTTCTGAGGTTGTGGAAGACGGAGAGATGCAGGTCTAAAGTATGGTGATACTTTGCTGACAATGTATAGATCGAAGTTCGCCAATCCCACGTTGACCACGAGGGACGGAACGAGGTGACTATAAAACCCTCCCGATACCTTCCTGACAATGAATCAAGGTCTGTCCGCTGCACCGCATGAGCCTCAAACGCTTCTCATAAATGATGATTTCCAAGTAGGTATCTGATTAGAGGAACTGTATCAGCAATGGCACAGCTTCCAATGATATCAAAGTCGCAGCCTGATATGTGAAGCGAGGTTTCTGAGGCTGACGGGTCATCGTGGGCGTTTCTGTTCGCGATTTGCTTATACTTCTCTGACGATTGAGTCTCGCGGTAGTTCAGGCGAGAATATCCATGCGGATGAGCATATCTATCAATTCATAGAATGTGGCGAGCTTGCACTGATGTCGTTCTTCTGCTCCAGGTACGCCGAACGAGACGAGAAGCGAACAGGATTTGGAATTGCAGCTCTGATATGAGAGGGATTGACCGAGTGGAGAACTTGACATTTGCCTGGTTTGGTGGTGGTGAGGTTTACGTGTATGGATGCCCGGATGGTTCCTCGGACGGAATGGGAATTTCACAGCTTGGTGGTTCACAATGTACTTTCTGACGGGGATCTATGTAGCATATCTTGTTACTGGAGATGAGGGACTGGTTGAGAAGCCCTAAGGTGACGGGTGTGCCATGTTGGAACATGTCAGAAGGACCTGGGGGAGTTGCACCGTCTACGCTATTTGTTAATCGTGGTCGAGAGTTGGAACTTCTGCAAGACGAGAAAGGACCCTGCTCAAATCAACTGTGGCGCTCTACCAATTGCGAGGTGTGGTGATATCCCGTCAGAACGTGCTATCAGAATGCGGACCCATCACTGTTGTGAGCAGACAAATAGTTCTGGCCAATACCCACCTGTTGCTTGCCGGGCTTGAGTATACTGTGTACATGTCCCAGTTTGGCGCATGAATCCACCCCTAACAGACATGAGACCGACGTTAAAACGCCGTAGTTAACACAATCTAAAAGTCCGAAACACGAAGATTTGAACAAGATAAAACCCAGTTTCATTGAGTAGATTTCCCTGGCTATGCTAGGTATTTTTTTCCAGCCGTGCAGGACAGCGCCAGTGAAAATAATATCCATCCTGAACAAGGCACCGGTACAACAACCAGAGGCCAGTTTCCCGAATTCCTCTAGCCCGGTCCTCTGATCTCATGCAAGAGCGGTCTACCGAACCAGAACCGCTCAATACACATCCCCGAATTCCTCCCAAGTCCCCAGTCCACCAAGAAGTCATGGAAATAAGTCGTGATTGAAAAAACATATGAAGACAGACAGATTCCATTTCCCCATTGCCGTAAATTTTTCTTTTCCCTTTCGCCGCATAACAAGTGAGAGAAGAAAAATTTAACGGTAGGACTTCTGGTAGCGGGAGCGGGCACCGCGACCACCGAACTTCTTGGGCTCGGCGCGGCGGTTGTCGGCAACCAGGAGTGTGCGGTCGTACTGAGCAAGAGCCTGCTTCAGCTGGTTCTTGGAGTGCTCATCGACGTACTTCTGGTAGTAGGCGACAATGGACTTGGCGATAGCCTGACGGATGGCGTAAACCTGCGAGGTGTGACCACCACCGGTGACGCGGACGCGGATGTCGACACCAGCGAACTTGTCAACGCCGACGATGAGGAGGGGCTCGTAGACCTAAATTCGAGCGTGAATTGTCAGAACTGTACTCCAGTTTGCGATTCCCATTGCCGATGTCGTTTTGCGAATCGGGCGAATCCTTTCTTGTGCGGCGTGCGGAAGGGTTGATAGAGCGATGTGTGCGTACCTTGAAACGGAGGATCTCGGGCTGGACCAGGGAGAGGGGCTGGCCGTTAACCTTGACGAGGCCCTTGCCTTGCTGTAAAAAGTCTCAGCATGTTGTTCCAATTCAATATGTATATGACCCCAATGATCGCGCAAATGTTGTTTCGTATGTCTTTCCAGAAATTCAATTCGTGTCCTTCTTGCCGTGCACCATTCTTTTCCGATTCATTTCCTTTCCTTCCACATCTTCCGAAACAACGTATTGGGACCGAGGGGGGTATAGGCGTGATCATACCTTGCAGTGGGCGACAGCGGTGGCTATTGAAAATTGAACATGTCAGCGCGCGGGTTCCTTCGCTCAAAATTACAGGATGAAAAAGGGTGAGCTTACCCGTCTTCTTCTTGCCGAAGCATTGCACACTCGGGACGGAAGCCATGGTGGTTGTCGTGGGGAGGGAGTGTGTTGTCGAGGGAGATGGAAAAAGAGGCACTTGAATTCCCATACACAGTGATTTGCCCTTCCGTGCGGGTTTCGCTTAGTGTGCGACGCTAATTCCGATTTTGGATTAGCGTGCACGGGACTTAGGGCTTGGTCACATGACCCGGAGAACTTCATCGGGGGCGGGTTGCAGGGTGACAGGCAAATAGAGAACGCTGAGATCATCATTATCTAGGACTTCTTGCGTGTTGGGTCTTATTTGTTCCTGGGAACTTCAATTGGACATTCCCAACTTGATTAATTGTCTAATTGTTCCTCGCACCCACCCTGCGCTACTTTCCATCACATCAACAAGATGTCGCAACTCGTTGGCAAGGTAAACAGCTTCAATGCGGAGCCTTCCGGCAAAGCCGCGCATGTATTGCGATAAAGTGAACGATCCAATTCTAACTTTCGGCGCATCAGACTCGTCTCGCATATTCGCGCACATGGCACCATGTCGACGCCGGCACCGATGAACGATCCCTCGGCCGCCTCGCCTCGTCGATTGCCCTCGTTCTCATGGGCAAGAACAAGCCCATCTACGACCCTTCAACCGACTGCGGCGACTATGTGGTGGTTGTGGGATGTCATGATCTCAAGACGACCGGAAAGAAGCGATTCCAAAAGATGTACTACACTCACAACACGCGGCCCGGTAGCTTAAAGAGCATGACTATGGATCAGATGTTCGCCAAATGGGGTGGTGGAGAAGTTCTGCGTCGCGCGGTAAGGGGCATGCTGCCCAAGAACCGGCTTCGTGATATTCGCCTGGCTCGATTGAAGAGTAAGTGCTATGTCGTTGCTGCGCTGCTATCCTTGAAACTGCCTTTCAGGGAGCAACATGCACGCCCATCTGGTCGAACCAGCTACCATATTTCCATTTTGAATACCATCTAACCTACTTTCGCGCAGCTTTCGAAGGTCTCGCCCACCCCTACAAGGAGAATATCGTCAAGTTTGGCAACAAATCGGTGATCGGAGGTATGCCCGAAGTGCAAGAGGCATTCAAAACGGCTGCCGAGAAGCCAACCGCATAGATTCTACCTTTTCTACCCTCCTCTTTCGCCATTTTCCACGCCTATCTCGACCGGGTTCGCGTCTACCTGTATTCTATTCTCCTGCGATGTTATGATCCAACCGCAAAAGCGCATGGGTGTGGAGTCCATTTGGGATATTGCTTTTGATTAACTACTCCGTTGGCGTGGCCTCGAACTTTCAACTTTCAAGCCTGCGGTTTCCTTGAATTGTACTTATAGCATATACAATCACAATACCACGTACTATACATCACTTTACGTTGTCTCGGACGCGCACTATTCGAAAAGGTATACGAGATTGTATTCGATGGTATAGGGAGACTGCTCCCAGAGGTATAGGAAATGATAATATGTACAAGAGAAAAAAAGACCCAGCTAGTGCCCATATCGGAGCTCGCCGACATTCCTGAAAGCACTCACAGCTTAGCCTTTTGGCCAGCGCGGGCAACGGTGCACTTGATGAGACCATTGGGGTTGGTCTGCGGCGCGTACACATCTGCATCCTTGCCAGTGTTCTTGAGGCCCTTGTGCCAGCTGAGATCTAGATTCGTAATGTTAGCTCATATCCCGAACCACCCGGGTGTTAACAGGAGAGAACCAGAAAACATACCAACTTCAAAGTAATGTTTATTAGGCAGCTGGTACTCAACGGTATTTAGCAGAGGGACAGCAGCAAGAATCTGCTCTCCCATCTTATACATCGTGGCCTGAACAGAGGCACTGTTATCCTCAGCAAAAGTCTTGAGGGTAATACCGCGCGCCGCCTCCCAAGCCGCATTGAACTTCCCCGAGTGTGTCTTGACATCTGCCAGAGTAGCGAAGCGGCGCCACTGCCAGTTCGCAGTGACATCGGTGCTGAGGATACGATCCCAGGTCTCCTTGAGGGTAGTGTACTCATCGCGGAGGAAGCCCCAGAACTGAGAACCGGTGCTTTTCAGCACGGTCAGGCCGTTGATAGCGGAGTTAATGTCGATGCCCTTGCCCTCGATGACATCGACCTGCACGTCGCGGGTCTCGGAGCCCGGCTGGACGAATGAGTGCGGGTGCGGCTTGCCGTCGATCTCCATGCGCACCCAGCGGTGGGTCACGATGTTGACGTGGGCGGCGTGGATGTGGCTGTACTTTTCGACGAAGTGTGTGCCCAGAATTGAGCCGAAGAGCTCGGGTGGAGTTACAGGGTTTTGCTTGGCTGTGATGTAGATGGTGTTCTTGATTGAGTCGGTTGCGACAACGACGCTGTTGTCGGCTTTAGTGTATCTGTGGAGAACCTTGGCTTAGCTTCAACGTTCTTTTCGGAGATAAGAGAATCAGTGGTTGACGCCATGGACTTACGAGGTATCGATGTCGCCTTCCAGCAGGACGCAGACGGTCATCTCCACGACAGTCTGGATCCCTGTCTTCTCATCACGTTGGACCTTGCAGACGCGGACGTTGTCCTTGCCATAACGGGCTGCTGCTAATGCGCTCATTTTGAGATGTGAGATAAGCGGTCAAGATGGAAATTGGAGTAGAGTTAGAGTGTGTAAGGTCAGAGTGAGGAGATTTGAACTTATCCAGAGACCAGGTCAGTATTTATTTGAGATGCAAATGGGCTGATCCAACAGCTTCGGGCACCTCCGATGGCCGCGAGTGGCCGCTGGCCCGCTCCCCACTCGATCTTATCAGCGATAAGCTTCCAAATCTCCAATTTTCTCTCTTTACTCCGTAGTACTAGTAGTAGTTAGCTCTGTCTCTTTGATGTAAAATCTGCTTGATTACTGCATAGCACGCCTTCAATCATATCCAATGAGAAAATAAATGATTATTGATCTTTCCCCCAGACTTTCGGGCCATGAGCCGACTGAGATAGAAGAATGGCGGAGATCGCCATCTGACATTCCACACAAATCCCGAACTTCCGATCTCCGACTCTATTCAACTGCAAACCCCTAGACTATACCAAACCCCTTATGCATTGTACTAGGATTCTTCGTGGAGTTTCTCCTTGGGATCCCGAACACCAACCCAACCAGCCCCACTCATGTTAGGCCGGAGACCTCCACTGCCGACCCGGCGCGGCGAGCTGCGATGAGCAGTGAAAGGTGTGGAAGTCCTGGCGACAGATACTCAGCGCTGACATGGCATACTCTCTGCTGACGATGGTCTTCTAAACATGTGCGGCGACCTCGCGGGTGGTAACACCGTGCGGGGTGAAGAACGTCAAGGTCCACGGACTCACGGTCTAGACATCCCAAGGACCCAAAGCCGATTCTCCTTACGATGTAGGGAGCTTGCTATGTTCTGTCTTCTCAATATGTGCACTTCCTACGCCTAGGATACACGGGGTTAAGCATGCTTTGCTCTAATTCCAATTCTCTGGGAAGATTGCATCTGCATCTTCGGTGGTATCTACGCGTGCTCGTTGCAGAGCATCTTCCGCAATCACCTCCAACACAGAATGCGAAACACCATGTTGTGGGTTCCTACGTGAACATATGGAGTTAAAGCCGCTGACTTCACTGATCGGTAAGCGGAAGTTCCTCTACTTAGTTACAGGGCACACAACACATACACGCCGCAAAGAGAAAACGTGTGGCACAGCATGTGCAACGCAATGTCAGCCATACTGGTCAATCTAGCGGCCAACATGATTACCACAAATCGACTTGCGAGCAAGTATTAAATACTACCCGAGTCTATCATGTGCTCTGCCACCCTGCTGGGCAGTCGAAACAAGGAACTCTCAGATAGACAGGGAAGCACCTAGCTGCTTATTCAGTTATGTGATGATAATACAGTTAAGTATCCTCCGAGTCACGGCAGTAAGGGACTATACGACCCTTGCAAATAATGCAACACAACGACAGTATGTACGTCGTATATCAGATCCAGATAACGAGTAGATCTCTTATTTTGCCTGAAAAACAAGCACAGAATGCACCACAAAAACGAGAGCCAAGAAAGCACGGTCTCAGCTTGTGTCGCAATCCTCGAATCGGAAGTTCTAGTCGAGGCCGAGTCCAGCGAATCTGCTCACGGCCAGCGTGTCTGCAACGTCGATCTGACGAATCTTGCATGCAGTGCGCATATCCAAGCCCTATGAATCAGTAAAGCTCTCCGTCATTGGATGAGTGCCGTTCTAGGGTAAAAGATCGAGTCTCGGTCTCGGCTGGGCTGACGAGATTCTTTGTTCTTTGTTTGACAAAGAGTGCCTTAGGCCTGCGGCTCTACTTAGGGCATTGTGTCTGGTATTTATCAGCTGATTCCTGATTTTTCCTGCTTTCACTTGCGGTTTCGACTGTATTCAAACTATTTGCGTCCATATCAGTGATAATCACCAATTCAGACTGAGGAGCTTATTTTTTTTTTCTTTATTTCCCGTCCGCAAGCGAGACACGAGCGTGAGCTAGCTATTTTTGGCATATCTGGCAGTATGCGCGACCTGTCTAAGTTCAAGAGAGCGCCAGGGGGCAAACGGGCTCCCTGGCTATTGAAGTTCCGGTCTTCGACTGGGTTCATCATCGGTGCGGTTTGGATGTCCACTTTCACGGTATGTGAGAGCCTTACCCTTTTTGGCTTTGAAGTCCGAAGTTGACCGAGACTAGGAGTTTCTCCTGTATGCGATGGTGAGCAAGATCTAGCATTCCATGATGTTTTCGAACCAGTATCAACGAATTGACAGATAGTTCCCGTTATGCCGACAGCACTCGTAACTCGAGCTGGAGTCGACTACAGCCACCGTACGTTCTTCTTCTCTCTCTACCGATCTATCTCACAAATGTTAATTTCCTTTCTGAGCAGGGGAGTATTGGGTCAGTGTGCTTCTCATGTCCGAAGCCGGCACGTCCCTGCTCCTATGTCCCGTGTTCGGCTACCTGGTTGACCGACGCCGCACCCGTCGACTGCCCTTCATAGGCGCCTTGGTCGTGTTGACTGCCTGCATGATCATTCTGCAGCTGGCACACTCCGTGGCTGGGTTTGTTGCGGCGCGTCTCCTTCAAGGTGTTGCAGGCGCTTTAGTAGTGGTAGCCGCCTTTGCTCTCATCGGCGACGCCGTGCCCCACGATCGCCTCGGCCGGACAATAGGTTATCTGGGCTCGGCAATCGCTTCAGGCTTCTTACTAGGCCCGTTTCTCGGCGGTATTGTGTATAACGCCGGTGGCTATGACGCCGTCTTCTGGTTTGCATACCCCATTCTCGCGCTAGACATGGTAATGCGGCTGGTATTGATCGAGAAGAAGGTCGCTGCTCAATGGACCGGAGAATCAACTGGAGACCTGGAGCCTGATCTGGATACGGCGCAGCGCATCCCCTATACCGGCCGGTGCGAGCCACGGCCAATCCAGAGACGGAAAGGATTCGTCATTTTCCGGATGCTCAAGGAGCGTCGGGTGTTGATTTCCTCGTGGGCGTTGCTAGTACAGGGACTCTTACTCTCTGCCTTTGATGCGGTATGTACGAGGTTTCAGTTGCCTCTGACATAACTAGCTGGCTGATCATATCAAGACACTCCCCATCTTCGTCGAAACAACGTTCGGCTGGAACGCCCTCGGCATGGGGCTGATATTTCTCCCAATGGCCATCCCGGCCTTCCTCGAGCCGATGTTCGGTTTAATCACCGATCGCTTCGGCGCACGCTTCATGTCCTTCGGTTGCTTTGTTTGCCTCTCGCCTACTCTCATCTGCCTCCGATTCGTCGAGCGGAAGTCAAATGAACAGATTGCCCTATTGGTGTCGCTGCTTTTCCTCACGGGGATCTTCATCCACGCCTGTGCACCTGCCATGTACGTTGAGACGCAGTCCGCTCTCACAGCGATGGAGCTCAGGACCCCCGGGATACTCGGTCCCAAGGGCGCCGTGGCGCAGGGATTCGGACTGCAGAGCATGTGCCAGTTCGCCGGGATATTCTTTGGACCGCTCTGGGGAGGATTCGTCGAGTTTCGGTTTGGGTGGGGCACTATGGTGGGCACTTTGGGGGTTTTGGCTGCGCTCACGGCACTTCCGATGTTCTGGCTGGGGGAAACGGAGGAGGAGAGGGCTTTAATGAGTTGATTGTGGGTTACGCAGTTAGGCAGCAGTGTTTTTGGACGCAGTAATAGTTCTGCCTGTCGCCCTGCATGTCTGTATGTAACTATACCTAGCGGGGCTTTTCAATGTTTGGTAGGTCTGGGTGTGGTGTTTACAAGGGCGCTTCTGTCTGTGCCCGTGTTGTATTGATATACTGTGCTCCCGGAGGCGATTAGAAATTGATACCATGTGCAGTGCACAATTGCCCGGCCGTAGTTCGCAGTAGTTCGTGTCCTGATAGACTGGCTTGGCTCTGGTCTCATTTAGAATCATTCGATGTTGCTCTCCGGGTCCTTGGAAACCCCGAAGCCGTTCACTTGACGGAGTGAGGGATATGTGAGCAATCGATCTATGTACGTTCTAGACTAGACCCAATGAAGCTAATAGATAGTAGCTTAGATGCCAAGTATCATTTCGGAGTAGCCTATTAACCTTTAGTTCGTATAAGATACCCAGGTGGATTGAAATGAAGGTAGCATTCAGGAACGAGAAGTTAGAACCTTACCAATAGAAGCAAATGTGGTTATGCAACGGATGCACGGACAGTCCCCACAATGATGTCACTACCTAGTTTAAGCTTATCGCCTGGACTATCCCGATACGGGCAATAACTATACTACATCTCTTCCCGATTCCTTCTTGAGCTCTCTCTCATTTTTTCAACCTCATTTGTCTCGTCTCATCCTATTGCCCATATTGAGCCTCTCGATCTTCTGCATAAATAGCCCTCAACTCTCACCTCACCTTCAATCTCTCCAGAGTCCAATGTCTCTTCTTCCCTCTATCCTTCGACCCAGACGATCACCCGTCACAGTAAGCATACTACTCCCTCAATTTAATAACATCTCCTTAAACAACAAATTCAATCTAACAATGACTTAGATCTCCAAATCCCGATACGTCTCAACCCTCTTTCAACCCAGACGGATCTCACCAATCCTCTCAACCCCAAAAATGCCCCCAACCAACAGCCTCTGGCATGCCCAGCACCGCGCGCAACACCACCAAACAACAGACAAAACCAAAAACTACATTTGCCCCGCAGAAACATCCCCCCACCTCGCAACCCTCCTAAGCTTCCCCTCCCGGCGCTCCACTCTACCAGAACTACACGCCAAAACCGCCAACGAAATAATAAGCCTCGCAACCACAATCGCCCCTTTCGAGCCCGTCCGTCTCCACACACGCCCAGAAGACCTCAAACAAGCCGAGACCCTCCTCTCCCAGCAGGGTAAAACCCTATCCCCATCCCAGCGGGCAAATATCTCCCTAATCGCAGCCCCAACAAACCACTGCTGGATCCGCGACACAGGGCCCGTCTACGTGCGCAGCGCCGACCCAGCCGACAAAACTCGCTACGCAATCGACTTCCGCTTCTGCGAATGGGGCAACAAGACGACCGAGTACATCTACGGGAACGATTGCCCCCAGCGACACGCCGACTGGCCCGTCATGGACGCAGCGGCGCGTATCGAGAACACGGCGTTCGCGGGCAAAGTGCTCGAACTCGAGAATGAAGGCGCCGAGGCAGCGGATGAGGTCGTGCGTGTTGAAGCGGAGTTGAGATTGGAAGGAGGTGGGATCGAGGTTGATGGTCAGGGGACGTTTATGGCGACGGAGAGTAGTATTCTCGGTGAAGCGCGGAATCCGGGGATGGATAAGAAGTCTGTTGAAGATGAGTTGAGGCGGTTGCTTGGTGTTCGGAAGTTCGTTTGGTTCCCTGGTCGTGTTGGGCTGGATATTACTGATATCCATGTGGATGCCGAGGCGAGGTTTATTCGGCCTGGTGTTGTTGTTGTTAGTCGGCCGCGAGAGCATGACAACGTGCATTGGGACATTTACCGGGAGATTCGCGGGGTTTTGGAGAATGAGACTGATGCGCAGGGCCGGAGGTTTGAGGTTTATGATGTTGTTGAGCCGGATTTGGAGTTGGTTCGGGGGGAGCTTGAGGGGGAGGAGGGGGTGCCGGCGGCTTCGTATGTCAACTTCTATTTTGTGAATGGTGGGGTGGTGATTCCGGCTTTTGGCGATGCTGAGGCTGATAGGGAGGCTTTGGAGCTGTTTAAGAGACTGGTTCCGGAGAGGGAGGTCCGGCAGGTTTGTGTTAATGCCTTGCCTAGGACTGGGGGTGTGTTGCATTGTGTTACGCAGCAGGTGATCTGATTGCCAGATGGATAGCTGTAGGTCGGTTTGCTGAGGATTTTCGACATACTGTGTACATGTAGATCGGGAGAAGAAGAAGATTCTTGTCAATAGATGCGATATTGATATTGATGTTAATGAGCACTTTTTGACTATCGAACTGCAAGTATCGAAGCCAGGCATAGAGAAGAGAAGAAGAGGGAAGAGAGGAAATAAAACCGCAGTTGCAAACCCCTTATTCGGTCAAATCTTAAGTCATGTAGAACAGTGTAAGATGTATATCTTTCTGGGCTTCTTTTGTGCCAGCACAATGACCAGCAAAGAAACGCAATCCGTATTCCTCCCTGGCGTCCATCCCTCCGACCCAGAATACAGACCTAGGGATACCAGCCTGAAAAATATGGGACGAAATGGAAAATGAAAACATGAATAGGAGGCTACCACCATCCCATGACGCCCGTAATGCTGCAAAGAGTGATCCGCTAAAGGTAAGAAGGCACGAAGAATCAAGCAGAGATGGAAAAAACCGAGCAAAATGCAAAGAGCCACGAACATCGCAGTTCGAACAGCATCTCACAAACTCAACTGATCAATACTCCCAACCCGCCCGCTTCCACCAATCCGTCCACCACCCTTCGCAACCATACCAAGCCGATAGAAGCGTTCCTCCCCGGACGCCGTCCGCCCACCAATAAACCACTTCTTATCACCCGTGTTATCGCGGAACCCGCCCGAGCCGCTGGAGGAGTCGCTCCCACGGCGCGGACGCTCTCCAGGCCTTCCGTTGATTGGGATTGGCATGGAGGTGGTAGTTGAGATGGGTGGAGAAGCTGCTCGATCGGGGTGGTGGTAGTGGTGGACTGGCACTGGGGTTGGGCCGGAGATTGGGCCGGTGACTTGTCCGGTGGCTGGAGCTGCTGAGGACGAAGTGTCGTGCGAGGAGCTCTGTCTGTGGTTACTGTGGTTGTTGTGGCTGCGGTTGCGGTGGTGGTGAACTGGGGAAGCGGAGGGGGAGGTTGAAGTGTGGGCGGAGTTGGCAGCTTTGGTTGCTATGGCGCGGGCACTTTGGGAGATTTGATTTGAGGATAGCGATGAAGAGCCGGTGGTGACTGGCTGGTTTGAGGGTTTGTAGGTGGATTGGGCGCGGAAAGCCGCGAGGAAGTTATGGAAGAAAGGCCTGTTGTTGGACATATTGGGTTGTGGAAGAGCAGGAAAAAGGCCGTTGAAGAGCCCTGCTTTTATTGTGTGATGGAGTCCTTTGATAAGCTATTATATGTAAATCGTACGCTGTTCGTAGTTCCTGATCGTAGTCTGGAGGTGAGAGTGGATACAATATAAGTCAAGACGATGGCGGGGAAGGCGTGAAATTCCGATTGCCGCGAAAGTTCCCGTCGGTCTGCCGCCAATCATCGGCATCGGATTATCCAAGTGACGTTGCATAGGAAGATCCCGGAGTGTTCCACGTTTATATGCACGAGGTTTAGATCCTTTTCTCCGTTGGACCGTTTTATCAGCTGGCGGGTCTCGAACATTTCCCATTTCCCCCGCATACATGTCCATGACTGCCTGAAGTGGGGGAAGTGGGGAGTTCAACTACAGACCGCGGCACAACTGTCCCTACTCCCTAGTGACCTACTAATTCCCATGTCCATAGTAAAACTCTGTAAGTCTGTATCCTGAGCACTTGCCTCCAGTGACAGTGTTCGAGCTCTTCTGTCATTATGACCTAGGGGACCCCTGACCTATGAGTCATCCTGTCCTCTCAGCCTAGGCTTTATTTAGCTCACGGCTCTAGTCGAGACTCGAACCTACAACACTGTCACTACCTTCTTCATCTATCTCCATCTTTCATCATCCTTTCCCCACATCTATATACCTACTTCCAATCCATCTCGAGTATACAAACGTCGAGTTCCTCCGGGTGCAGATGAATTCGAAAAGACGAGCTTCCCATGCGACGTGAGTGGGAGAAACAAGTGAAGTGGCGTTACATCTGCGAATTGAGCACTCGAAACCTCGACAAATCGATGTTGGAGCATAGTCCTGGGATCGATGACCACTCATAAGTGGAGACCTCAACCGTCCCTCGATACGAGTTTAAATACTTCGACCAACATCGTCGATGTACCATCCACTCACGGGCACACACCCTCGAAGCCTTCCAACAACCACGCAGGCTACAACCAAGAACAAGGCACGATGACCTCTGCCAAATTTTTCTACGATATGGCCCCGGCCTTCGACTGCATAGGTTCCATTGCTGGTGACAATAGCAGCCTCGACCCAAGGTAAGTACTCACATATAGCTCTCTTCAAATAAATGTAAATACTGATATCTTTCACAGGACACTCAAAGTCCACCAGGTGGCCCCGAAATACCGCACCTTGAATCCGACACGTCCTCGCACCATACAATCTGAGCTGTGCCGACTTGTTCAAGGAGCCTAGATAGAGGCGAATCTGCTCTGAATTTTCGCTGCGCTCGCCGCTTTGAAGTTGGTCGTTCGGGAGGGAGATACAGATTCGCTCGCTACGTCGCCCACGGACACCGAGCGGAGACCGTTTAATGCGGTGTCTTTCGGTAATAATCAATTGATTGCATACACGGACGGTTATCTCATTGCACCCCCTACCTTGGAAGTGTTTGCCGTCGTGGAGGTAAAGGCAATGATCATCAGGAACCGTAAGCAACATCCCGAAGCTCTGTGGCAAGAGGCTGCAGAAATGGTTGCATGGATCATGAGTGATGTCAACTCCCGGCAGTGCACCCTTGGACAGTAAGCTAAATGAGAATTTCCCATTGAAAGTTTCCCATGCTTACCAACCCTTACAGGCGCATCATTGTTTCACAGGCAAGTACGAGCGCTCTCTGTTTCCGTTTTGCGGGCGTGTACCATGACCCGTGATCTGCCGTCGCCGTCCGAGGAATCAACTCCGTCTTCCTCCATCTCCTCCTCTGCCTGCTCGCCCAAGCCGGTGGGCCCTTAGTGGCTCCTCCTTATGGTTGGACGCGTTATAGAGACAAAGGCCGGCAAGGTACCTCACTTGCGGGATATGCTCCCCCATTCCCGCCCAGAACAAGAACGCTGGGTAAATCCTGGGTGCTGGGGTGCACGTCATATGAATGACGCTGCAACCACGTGTGGTATCAGAATTCGCAATCTCGCTGGCGTGCAGCAACAGCGCCTGGAAAATCTATTGTCCTGATTCACTATGCTGGGCATGGGGCGGTAAACACTGGACAGCTCTTTGCTGTTGAAGGCCGGTCCCGCCGAAGCCTCAATTTCCAGAGGATCATTGATTCCGCGGTGGCGGGGGATATACCACCCATCCGTGGATGGAGATCTTATCGGCAAGGTCGTCGATTCTCGACCTGAGCTTAACATCGCTCTCGTCAACCTGACACCAGCTGCCTCATCGAACTTCACTAATTCCTGCTACTTTCAAACCGAACCACCTACCTATCTTGAGCTAGTGACATAGGTTTGCAAGTCAGATGAAAAGAGTCCACAGGGCGGATCTCAGGGATGTGTTCGGGTAACATGACATGGAAGGCTTACATCAACTCATCACCTTCCACTTGTCTTCATCCTTTCTGTTTTCCTTCCACCTTTGATAGTCTAGTTCAAATGCTATACTTTCCTTGTTTGAAACGTTCTGGGCATCATCATAACACTACCCGCCTTCTAGAAATGTCCCAAATCTCGCAAGGCTCATGGAGTGAAGTGGACGGCATGAGTTCAGGGCTCTTCAGCATCATCACCATTGGCATCCAGACCATGCAACCGAAACGTCCAGCTGGCCACCCCGACCTCGGATTTGAGAAATGGGATACCGGATCGGTGGGTTTTCTTTTTGGGAATGTCAATAAGGCTATCTCTGATTGTGTGTGTGGCGCCCCAATCGTTGATATTGAATCCCATGGGGTATCCGGCCTTTTCCATCTGAGCGATGGGGTCTTTACTTGCAGTGCTGTCATTGGTGATCTGGTGGCGGAGGGATGGGAGGTAGTGTGACCCGTGGAGTCTTGGACTATTCTCGTCGGATGCTTTAGCATCTTCGAGAGACTTGTCGCTAACTTGCTCTTTTCTTCAGCGTTTACACACCCCTTATGAATCTTACTAGCTGTGATGACATGGTACAAACCGCATGCTTGGTGCACTCATACCTAAAAGCGGCAGCAGCTTAGATATGATGGAAAACGTATAGCTACGTGCATGGAGCAATATCGAATGGATCATAAGTCTATATCTAGCTGCTTTTCTAGTAAACCCTGAGAGAAAGACACTGAACACCTTAAATCACACCTCAAGAAGATTCCCGCAGCACACATATGTCTGTGCTATGTCGACTTTACAACAAGAGGCCATGCAATGCAGACAGAAGAGAGAAAGAGAACGAAAGATAAAAACACATGGAAAAAAAAACGAAGATAAACTGAAAAGAATCGAAAAGCAGGCAATTCGACAGAAGTCATCCCAGAATGATACAAGAGAAGCTTTTCTTTCTGATGTCAAATTTTCGCGCAGAAGATGAACACATGCCCATGTCTATGTTGTGGACGCCGAACAAACCCCCACCATACCGTCTGCCCCTCGCATCGGGGATTCAAGACAAAACGTAACCAGACTCGCAACCACTTGTGTAAGAATGCACACCCACACCGGATGGGGATCAGAATAAAAAATAAGAGAAAGGAGACGCGCGATACTGGAACAAAGCCGAAGAGTGCCAGAAACATGAAACGCCGAAAGCTGAAAAGCCGAGGCGAGTGGGGATAAACCCGACAATCGTAGACTAGTTTGGTGGAGACATCGGAGACATCGCAACCAGTGGATTTGCACCAGCAAAAAGAGCAAGACGAACGACCTAGAGACGATCAAGGAGAGGGTGGAGAGCAATAGTCCTACCCACGGCGTGAAGCAATAGAACACTGTGAAGGTGTTCATTGCTCCGTCAGAAACGCTTTTTCAGTTATGGCTCGTATGCATCATCTTGCTTTCTGATCGAATACCCCGTCTACTGTCTCGCGGGCTGCACGGTACCTGCGTATGGCGATTAGAAACATTTCAACATGGACCACGAACCTCAAGAGGTTCCAAAGTAGACTTACCGTCTCCGCTCAGCGTAGTCGAGGCAAGGTACAGTCCATTCATACCGCTCTCGGGACCGGACGAAGAGGGGTAGAACTTGCGATCACCGTGATCGACGGGAGCGTGGATAGGTTCCTGGCCCGCGGCCATGGAGTGGGGGAAGACGGGGTTCATGTAGCCCTCGGAGGCACCGTGCTGAAACACCGAATTCCAGTCAACACCCGGCTGATGTGAAGGGGGACCGGGCATCACCGGCTTGTGGTCATAGGACTTTACCTGTTCAAGGGGACGATCAGTCGTCAGCTGCTGGCCATGGGCATCGACACCAGGCTGCATGAGATACGGATTCTGCTTGGGCGCAGCCATCCACGAGGCTCTCGCGTGCGCCTGGCTAGCGGAGAACGCGTCGTCACCGGGACCACGGTTCATACCGTTAACAGGCTGCATCGTGTAGCCCAGTGGCTGCTGCTGCTCCGTGTAGCCAGGACGGCCGGCGGCCATTCCATTGCCATTCACGGCCCCATCGAATTGCGTACCCATACCGCCATTGGAGTGGGGAGCGGGGTTACTAACTTCATCTTGAAGCGGCTTGGGAGGGTTGGCCGCGGCAGCCGCAGCTGCTTGCTGCTGAGACCGCTTCAGATGGGCCTGAGGGTGGGACAAGTGGGTCGCACCGGTCGGGTTACCCCGGCGGATGGAGCACTTTTGGAAGTGACGCTTCAAAATATCACTGCGGGAGAAGGTATCCTTGCACAGAACACACATGTAGGGGCGGTCGCCGGTGTCTTGAAGCAGAAAACGCGTTTGTTAGCCATCATTAAAAGGGAGGTAGATCGGCTCCTAAAACTCACGTCTCAACAGATGGCGCTTCAGGTGCTTGGCGTGGAGGTAGGTCTTGTTACAATGCGGGCAGGGGAACTTGCCATCCGCATCCTTCGCGGGGATAGTCGTGCTCTTGGCTGTACCATTGACCCCGTTGGCGACCGGAGTCGCGCGGCCGGGGACACTCGGCAAGATGCCACGGCGGCCCTGAGAGCCCACGACCTGCGTGCGTGGCGGTTCCTTGGCGTAGGGAGAGCCGTTCGCGCCGTTCACGTCGGGAGTCATACCCCAGCTCTTTCCATCGGAGTAACTAAAAGCACCCGAGGGAAGGCCGTTGTAATCTGCGCGACGGTCACGTGGGGGTGCGGGAGCAATCGGCTGAGGGTAGCTCTGCGCGGTGGATGCGGGCGGGAGAACGCTCGGAGGTGGGGGGTACTGCTGATGCGCCTGTGTCTGGGGGTTAGGAAGGTTCAACAGAGACGATGGCGGAAGGCTACCGACAGTCGTGTGCGGCATCATAGGGGCCTGAGAGGCCCCGTAGACATCGTGAGTTGACGGAGGATACCGCGACAGGTCCGGGCGGTACGGCTGGCCCATGTAGTGGTGAGGCGCGGGCGACTGAGGGTGATGCGGCTGCAGAGGAGGCAGAGTGTGCGACTGCGACACCGAATACTGCGGCTGCATCGAGTATTGTGGCATGTGCATGCTCGAGATGGGGTTCGAAGACATGGGCGTGGAGCCTGGAGGCAAGCTGGTGGATGGAGGACGGGAAGGGTGAGATCTGGGATCCATTGTGGACAGAGGAGAAGATATCGTATGGGGGAGAAGAGCGAAAGTTGTTCACGGTAACCCAATCATCAAATCTGCACACTGCAATTTTTTTTCTTTCCTTCTTCTTTGAACGCGCAAAAGCTCCTTGTTTGAATTTTCTTCAAGAGGCGAGAGAGACTGAGAGACACGAGGTTGAGGGTCTCCAAAAGTTCTGTACCCACACGAGAGAGAGAAAGGAAGAAGAGAGATGCTTAATTGAAGAAGATTTCCCCACGGTCACCCACCAAGGAAAAAAATAGGATGGTGATTTATCCGCACGTTGTCACCGTCGATGGTTCTGTATCCACCGAAGAAGCGGGCGTGCAAGTGGGTCTCTCGCAGAAAAAAACAACTAGTCCGAGATCTGCTTCGCGTCAAGTCAATACCTTGAGATCGAGGAATTGAGTCAGAAATCCCTGTAAGATCGATGTAGCAAAGAATGAATTGAAGAGATTGAAGATGTCAAGTTGAGAATTGGGAGTTGGGGGAAAGGAAATGGGGGGACCACCAGTTTCTTGGTAGAAGACGAGAAGAAAAAATTCTAAGGAAGACCGGGTCGAAATAGAAAATAAAATAAAAAAAAGGGAAAAGATGAGAGAAGACGAAAAAAAGACGTGAAAAGACTGAAAAAGACGATCGTTCCTCGGGGAGGCAAGAGGCGAGAACAGAAAAGAGAAAAGAAAAAAGAAAAAAAAGGAAGGGATACTGTAATTACCAGTAATTTACAAAAGTGAAAGTTACAACAGCGCCAACTACTAAATTTTACACGGCCGTCTTCCGAACTATGGCCGATAGCGGTAGAATAGACGTATTATGTAGTATTGGTTTGAATTTATTAGTCGAAATAGTTAATTTGAACAGAGTTAGGTTTGGAATTGGAATAATGCAAGAATGATAGGAAAAGGGAGATCATATTTGCAGAGTTGAGTTTGCAAGCGGACACATCGTCGGATCTCTGTATTGCTGATAATCCTACGCGTCCGGACACGATGACGCAGTTGGTAACTCTCACCCGTGGGTGATCACTGATTTGATATCAGACAGCTTACAGGATCCCAGCCATAGTACAAATGCTAAGGCTGTAAAGAACTCAATGCAGTGATTCAATATGTCAATTGAATATGTACTGCTAACATGCAATCAGATAATTCCCGCCGTCCTCTGTAGCAACAAAATAATGCGGTTTCATTGCCCCCATGCTGCATTCAGGGCCCAATTCTTGGCCAGATGCCTCCGATCGCGGCGGCTGAGAGGATATGCATTGGGCACCAGTGTCCAACTGCTCACACTATTCATCTCTCTGTGATATTGTGTACGGAGTACATCGTGTGTATCTGACATTGTAGATCATCTCACAATTGAAGATGGAGCCCTGAGTGGATTACATATGGGTGATCCTGACTCTTCTTTGTTTTGGGCTCCGCAGTGGCTGACAGCCCCGCAAGTGACATTCAGATGAGATCTAAGCTATGTGTCTACACTGCAATCCTAAATCTTTGAATCATAACTATCGTACACGCTGTAGATGGGTAAGATATCATACTCTGTGCTCCGCATGGGTCTCTTCAAGCACGTCATCCGGGGAAGTCCGCTCGGTCGAACCCGGTTGAGCTCGGTATCTGTGATCTAGTGAAGACCACCTCATCTTTTCACTCATCAGCCTGCATACTACCCCAAGTCTGCTTCCTACATGCAGCCCAGATTTATACAGCACATCTTTACAATCAGATAGACATGTGACTCCCAAGCCTCGTGTCGGGGTAGGCTTCTGCAACGACCATGCATCGTTGTCCTCCAAGTGGATGCGCCGTAGCCGCCTGCTGTTCCGCGTTGATTCCGCCCTTGGCTTCATAGGTTGATTCGAAGTGAAACCAAGCTCGAGATAAACCCCAAAGAAAGCTAAGATGGTCAGCTGGCAAGAGTTAGCGCAAGTCTAATTTTGTCTGATTGTCCACTAGTACTATTGCTTCTTAGCTGTTCTCAGTAGTAACAGGGCCATACAACGTAGGAATCAGATGGTGGTCCGTCCTCCGTCCTCCGCTCCTAGGGGTTCAGCCACACCGGAATGCTCTAGACAAGATTGGCATTCAGGGGGTTCCCCCTATTGGACATTGCTACTTCCGGGCTCTGACAGGGGAGGTTCAGTACACTACTTTAGGGAGACTTGCAGATTCCCTGCTTATTCATATGTGATCTCGACCGAGAGGTCCAAAGTTTCTTTCAGAACCTGCGCGCCATTCGAGTACTACTAGTATCGTGTGACATATAACCATCATCATATTTGACCAATTAACTATTTAACTATTTAACTAATTTACTACAACAACTCTCTTCTTACGAATCGAACAAATATGCTCCATATTTGTACCTTTCGATCGTATCTCTGTACAACGGAGATGATCTGTATTCCGGACCCAACATCCCTGCCCCTCCTTCTCCACCCCTTCTCAAGAGCTTCTCCCGCTTCGATTGTGGACCTGGAAGGCTTCGACCAGGGTTCTGCAGAAATATTGAAATCAGACCACCTGACCTCGAAAAGTCCTACACCTATTTTCGGTCTAATATTGCAATATTAGACCTCATCGCTACAATTCCCCGATTATCACCCAAATCCTGGTTTCGCCAAGGGGGGAGAATGAATCCAAATCCCAAGCTACGACGTAAAGGGAAACTCGCTTGACCTTCCGCTTTGTCTCACCTCGGTATGTGTTCATGCGCAGGTAAAAGGGTAAAAAGGGTTTTTGTCGAGGTACAACGGATATAGAATGCGAGTGCCTTGGCTAACCTCTCCATTCCACCTCAATCAGGTTTATATGTTGTATTCCTAGAGTCTTCAATCTGTCATTGTCTGTGGCTTGACGATTAAACGCGGTGTGTTGAACTGGCAGGTGGATTGACCAAAGACACTCGGCATGAATGCCGGGATTTACGTGACTCCACTCTACTCCCCGAAACGGATCGCAAAGTACGGTGAGAGGCCTTTGCCGAGTCGCTGAATTTTTGGATCTGATCAGGGGCTGGTGAAATACATTTTTGTTAGTAATATTCTACTGTGTACTCGGGCAATTCTTTTGTCTCGGTTGCCGAAGGTTTCGTTCTGAGGTGAGACTAATAGAGGCTAATATTACCTAGTATTGCAAAATATTCATAGCAAGTACTGCTAAGTATTGTGTTGTATGGTGTATAGATAGATGCCTGTTGAAAAGCTTGGTCTCATTCAAGGCGAATAATGAAACCCACTGCTGCTAGAGATGGGGCCGGCAGTAGTGTGTAATCAGACCCAAATGCTTAAGACGTTGGCCTCATTATCAACCGGGATAGAAGAGGATAGCGCGCGCAAGAGCGCGTAGATCCCGCCCCAGTCCCCATCGCGACCGAACTATCTGGTGATACATACATCCATGTATGTTGCAGACACAAAAGCATCGGAGTCTTCAATGTATTCAAACATTGTATGAATCAAAGAATACAAATCCCAATATGGTAGCCTACACCTAGACAGTCCGTACATCCGAAAAAGGTCCGATGTAGGAGCGCGACCAAAAAAGGCAACCTGCTTCTTTGCCGGCACAGGCCGGAAACACCGCTAAAGCCAAGTCCGGATCGCCGAGTTTCAGGAATCCCTGCACCCAATCAAAAATTCACACCTGCTCTAGCGGATGAGAGGATCGTTGCCGCCACCGACCTCATATGCTGCCGACGTCTGTAGTCGAGACCCGAATAGGAGTAGCGTTTCTTGTTTTTGCCCGCAAGGTCCTTGGGGATCTGACTTGCAGTATCATTATTCATTGTAACGTTGAGATATGGTATTGGGATATGCAAAGGATGAAGGTTGGTTTACATGTCGACTATTGGAATTGACTTTAAAGATGGACGTTAAAGTGGTTTTCTCCATATTCTCCATTTCCCATGTGCTATTCTGTGGATCAGAATCCATTTTGACGGGTACGGGGTGGCTAACGTCCACAGTTCAGGAACCGTCGTACAACATACGGGTCCTGGTATGTTGTGCTCCGTGTGATGCATGTTGGCATGTCGATGGCCGCTATTTGATTTTTGCCCTCGAATTGCCTCCAAGCCATCTACCAAAAGCCAGAGCTGCCGTTACCATGGCCTTGGAAACACGAATCTGGACCGAGGGACAAATTGCCTCCGGGCCGCGTCATGGGTTTCGGATAGACTTCGTTATTAGGAGCGATGGCTAAGAACGCTTATCTGTATGATTCGCTGTTAGTGTATCAGACTCATGGCCACCTCGCTACCATCTCGTATACATTCTTCATAAGTCAGGCAAATCTACGGAGCCGTAGATTCTTCCATTCCACAGACCATGGTACCCGTGCCGAACCAACTTTATTCAGCTGTTTGCAGCGCAACATGAATGTATGTACTACGTACAGTACTTAATCTCTGTGCATAAACCCAAGCGCCTAAATGCACAGTCCAACGCCGAAGGAATCGGGAGCCCGGAGCGCCGAAATAAACTACACCATCGCCATACGAAAAAGACAGCACTTTGTAACTCTAAAAAGACAGAATCACCCAATTAGGATGTTCTGTAACAAACGTTACAGGCGGTAGACTCGGCTCACCCCCGACCCCCCCGAAACAGCCTGGCAAAGACGCCGATGACATTTTCTTTACCTTTTATTCTTCCTCCCCGGCTCATCGTTCATCCACGGTTTAGACCGCTCAATCTGTCAACGAACCAGTTCCACTTAGGTCCAGGAACCGAGGGAGTGAGAAATACTGCGTACCAGAAAGATACCATCCTTCATGTAATTTGGCGACATGACGTACTGTGTGGACCCAGACCGATCCCCGACTGTTCCTGGGAGCTGAGTGTCCAGTCACAGCCCTTGACAACGATGATCCGGACTGCGCGCAATAAGGCGGCAGCGGGCGCGGAGGGCTGGGGGGTGTGCCTGTACGGCATAAGATATGTACGATGTATATGTTTTGGGGTTATTCTTTGCTTTTACGTATCATTTCCGGGTTTGAATTTTTTTTAAATCCTTTTTTGGGTTTGGGATCACGCATTTTTGACTTTTCTCGCTGTGCCGTGACCAGCCAAGGTTTTGATTTCAATATACGAGAACCGTGATGTGGACGTATATCTCCGGCAACGCTCGAAAGTGTGTTCAATGCACATGTGGGCCGTTTAGCAGCATGGTCCTCGTGTTAGGGGGTAGGGGGGAGTGGGCTGCCCCCTCTCTCATCTGGAGTCAGTTTAAGCATATCTCTGTGCCAACCACGTTTGGTTGGAATTTTTTTTACTCCGTGGCATCCATGTTCAGTGTCCACCACTGCTGGTGGGGTCTCAGGGGTGGTGGATCTTACAGGATTCTGCCCGGGGTTCCCCAGGTACGTTGTACACAGTACAGAGTACTTGGTTGGGGACGACGTATTCGTACGCATTATGTGAATTGGTTTGGGGTTGGGTGAGGAAGATCATAATTGGCATTATGAGTAGACCTGTTCAGGACTTGGGACCTTGCTTGAATTGTTTGGTACTCTGGGTGTTATTCGCGTGGAATCGCGTCAAGGTACCATGTACATTGTACAATCCCGTTTAGCTGTTTGGTATATGGGCATTTCTGCGTGTTTTGTGTATACTGTGTAGACTGCATAACTGCTCTTAGCGGTATGACTTCCTTCTGTATCTTCTCTTATTCGGGTTCATGCCAGAGATCCTATGACTGTCCTTCGGCCCTTTCCTAGTAGAATACTCCGTACATGTACCCAGTACTGTGTACATGCTTTCCTTCGTTACCTCGGGCCGGATAACCTGTTACTCACATACAGTTTAGCCTTATCCTACATAGAATACTGTGCATCTTGTACCTCTACAGATGTATGTTGTACGGAACGGTGGAGCAGTGGATTCGCTCCATAACTCCATCACCAAGAGCCACATGTTGCCAGAAACCCCCAAGCCTAAGAGGGGCCACTGGGCTAGGCTCCATATGATGATCCCTGTCAGAATGCTCCATCAAGCCCAGATCGATCCATATTTATGGAGCCAAAACGGTCTTGTGCTTTCTGACATGCAGGTGGCAAATGCTTACCTTGCTGGAGGTGGGTTCATCTGCGGCTATCACAGCTATTTACAGGTAGTAGCAGCCTCAGTGAGATGGATGCTATCCATTTCAACTTGAAGTATTGTTGACACACACGGGACGTCTTTGTGTATGCAGACTGAGGCTCTCATAGTTGGTCATTTGCTTTGTTTATTCGGGCTTTAGTTATAAACAGCCTGCTTTTCCATAGTTTCATTGATCAGTTTCTGCTTCTCGATCTTCCCCATGCCAGTAGCTTCGTAGTCTCCCAATAACTTTATGAGGCTTTTCTTCCTGACTCTCGTTTGCTTTGACTTGTAAGAAATGCTAAGTCGGGGCCTCGATGAGAGATCCGCGAGACACTGTATAGAAAGAGGCAATAATTATATTAAGGTATGCAATATCAAAAATCCAATCCACTAATACATACAAACACACTCTAGATAGGATTATCTGGGTAATCCGTCTTTCGTGATAACGCACTTTCCTGTGTCTCTCCAACAGGCTCGATACCCTCACTGACAACCGGCTCCTGCTGAATCGCATGAATCGCATGCTCAACATTGACCACAGGCCCAGTGAACCAGTGACGGGCATCAATAATCCACCAAACCGTGACAGCCAACATCGGCACACCCCAAACAAGACAAGTCCAGTTCATCATATCAGGCGTCAAGTTCTTCCCCACAACACTGGGCAAACACAGGATGGGAATCATCAACAAAACAAACATAACACCAACACCACCAATATACCGACTATAAGGTCCCAAATGCCACGGTCCCCTCCGGAACCGATCCCCAACAAAGAACACCCGAATAGCGATCGGGACAGCAAAAGCAAAGAACTGCGCAATAGCACCAATAGAGAACAAAGCACCAATCGCCACATCCCCAGCCAACATAAGCAAACACATGAGGATACCCAGAACACCATTCAAGATGACCGCATTAACCGGCGTCTGCGTAGCAGGATGAACCTGCTTCCAATACCTCGACAGCGGAAAGCACTCATCGCGCGCATAAGCATACGTAACCCTCGACGCAGCAACCATACACCCCTGTCCCATCGAAAACCCGCAAACAATCGTCAACGCCAGTACCGCCAGCGTCGTCTTCTCCGGCACAACCTGCAGCAAATAGGAGGCGAACGGTTGTCCGAGATCGGAATCGATCACGCCCTCGATATCGATGACCGTGTAGGCAACGACGAGCTGCAGGAACCAGCCCATTAGCCCGCCGACGCCGGAGGTGAGCACGATTGCGCGCGGCGAGGCGACGTTCGCGTTCGAGCACTCCTCGCTCAAGTGGAAGGGGAGTCGTAGCCGGACATGGTCCAGATTACGCTGACGAAGGTCATTAGGACGGCGACGCCGTCGGGGAAATCGGTTAGGTTGGTTATGTGGCCCCAGACTTCTTTGGAGGAGTTGAATTTGGGGGTGTTTTTGGAGCTGGCGGGGATGATGATTAGGACGGCGATTAGGGCGATGATGTTGAAGGTTGAGCCATAGGAGTTGAATTGCGCTACGCGCTTGGTGGGCATGCTGCTTATCACTGAGTGGAGGATCATTATAAAGGTTGTTAGGAGGAAGGTTTGCCAGCTTGTTGGGACGTAGGTCGGGTCGCGGATTGAGGCGGCGGCTAGGATCATGGCGCTGACGCCGTAGTTCACTGATGGCGCGGCTGTTATTTGGCCGATCCAGTTGGACCAGCCGGTTATCCAGGCGGCGAAGGGTCCATAGCCCGGGGGTGCGAGGACTGCTGCTGCGTAGTATAGGCCGCCACTGGAGATGGAGGTTCACGGATTAGCTTCCTGAGCCCTAATTTGTAGATTCTGGGTATGGGGTCATACCTCGTGGGCATTGCTGAACATAGTTCTGCCATTGACATTGCGATGCATTGGATAAAGATCATCGCGATCATCCAGCCCCAGACCATGCCCGCTGTGCCGGCATATCCCATACCTTCAACCCAATTTGTGTCAGCTGTACCCAAATCGTAACCACTTGATAGGTCTGGGATCACTCACCATAATATAAGGTACTCGCGAACGACGGTAGAAGTCCCAACACAGCAAAACTGACGCAGAATGTTGTCCATAGCGAGAACTCGCGCTTGAACTCTTGTTTATAGCCGAGCGCCGTGATGACCCTCTCGTCGGCATCCATATAATGATCCGTATAGGGTACATCACCCTCTGGGAGGATAGAAGTGACGGGAACATGGTCAACCCCATGGCGTCCCTTGGAGATGTCTGAGACCGCAGTCTTGGTCTCCACGTTTGCGCCCATCAGGTGGCCTGAACAAGTAGGTAATTGGTAGTGTAGTCGAGAAGGTAGGACAATATAGTATATAGATGTTAATCAGATAAAATCTCCAGCTTGGAAGAGCCACCATACATGGGAAACCAAAAGAAAGACTTTAGGACTCAAGCTATATCCAAGGAAGACGGGGATATGGATAATATAGCTTGGAGTTCTGCTTTCTACAGCAGATTGACCAGAGGGTGCATCTTATCTATGCACATTGGGGGCGTTTTGCGTTCAGCCCCGCAAGAATCACAAGGACCCACTACATCTGTCAATGCAGGCAAGGATAAACCCCTGCAAATGATAGATAGCGCCTCGACTTGAATCGGATCCTTCGGGGCCCCAAGTGAGGGGGTAGCGCTCTCAACGCTCAGGCTGGCTGGACAGGCCTTCTCCATAGACAGCGATAAGGACAAATGACATGACAGTCCATAAGTAATAAGCCAAATATAGCTTGGAGATATTCGGGTATTTCATATTGGAGCAGACGTGATTCGAGCACGAGAACCTTTCCGTTGTGAAGCTTATACCGTTCTTTCCGTTCATTGGATTGGGCTTCAACGATCCGTGCCACGAGCTTGGCAGAGATCCAGTCCCAGCAGGGAAGTTTCAGCCGTCAAGCTCAACTTTGGAAGAGGTTTAGGAGTGTTAGTTGAACTTAGCGTACTTGAGCATGTGGTGGAACTTAGCGGTTATCATGATAGGCGTTCTCAAGATAAGGGACTTACGTCTGCTTATTTGGGAGTCCTGACACTTTGCCCTGTCATTAATGATTATCATTTTGTGGCTTGTTATCTTAGCATGGACTTGCCTTGTTGGGAGCAAGTCTTCAGATCATTTCAAGGGGGAAACACCCTGTTTGTGATATACTCCGTAGCCCTATCTGCCTGGTCATGCACCCCGCATATGGAGGAGAGGTCTGAGGCATGACCCCATAAAACCGTTGATTATTCAAATCCTTAGACCTTGAATAACTACACAGTAAACTTTCTAACCTGCTGGAAATTCTGAGCTTTTTAGTCCCATAGTTGGAACAGTCGGCATGTTGGTGGCCATACGCTAGTATGAGAGCCAGATGGACCCCTACGCAGTACAATGTAGGAGCAAGATCACTTGGAAACAACTGTTTCTGCGTGGTATTAAAAACAGAAAAGGCTTTCATATTCTACACAGTACATCCCCAACCTGTCCCCCGAAAGTCCCGAGCCATATCGATAAAGGAAGACAAATATACCTTCGCGAGTTATTTAGAAGGGCTAGAAGAAGGTCAGCACTGATTCAAATGCAAAACATCAACTGTATCAAACTCACGTTGTCCTCAGGGGCGATGCGGCGGTCGTAGTAGTTATCGAGGAAAGGAACCTTGCGGAGGATGTCGTTGCGCACACGGGGGACCTCGCCGAAGAGGAAGAGGGCACCAGCGCCGAGAGCAACACCGAAACCAGCGGCGACAGAGCCACTATAAAATACCCTAGTTAGCTCCCGTACGTTGTCGATTTTGACAACAGGAGAGTCGGATGCGGGTTGGACTCACTATTGGACAGCTGTGCCAAGGGTCATACCGGCAGCGGTGCGGGGAATGTAGTACCTGCAGATAGATGCAGCGTTAGTTTGATGTACTCTCTGCTTCGTTGGTATGTCCTCTTTTGTGGTCAATTCTTGTGGCCAGAAGTCCACAGACTGATACGTCCACCACTCCACAGCTGCCAGGGCCAAGTCTAGGTCCGTGGTGAACGAAGGTCCACGATGACAGAAAAGTTGTCCCATAGACCGAGAAAGCCTCGCTGGCAATTGTAATCCATGGTAACACGCACTCAATCAATCATATCGAGCCTTGACAACGATTGTGGACTGGTCGGGGTTCGAGGGAAAACGATGTGGGAGTCTCACTTGGGCGCATGGATAGAGGCCTGAGCCGCAGCGCGGCGAGCAGTAGAGGCGAACTATGAGGATGGTGTTAGCGATCGATGCATTATTTCACGTTGCGTTTCATCCCGCGGTTCGGAAGCCCGGTTGTCATAGCCATGACTTGAATGTCTCCCGGTTACCCATGTTGCAGCCGAGCAGGTGAGAAGTCAGGGAATGGGACATGATATTGGCTAGGATCTGATATTTAGCACACTTACCATTTTGAATGACACCGGAGTGATTTGGGATGACAATTGCTAGGAGACAAGAGCTGGCACCTGGTGGTTGACGAAAACCGGGACCGCCCGAGCTGGCACGTGACTATGAATTTATTGACCAATCAGAGATGGCGTAATTGTTTTTGTCCAAGTATGAGTTACTCCGTATCAAGTGCACCCCCTACATGATTAAGAACTATATAGATGGAGATGAAGGAAGGAGTCGATGCGAGGTGGGAGAAGGGTTGGGTGTATATAGACAGAGATGGGTGATTGTTTGGCATATGCAAACTGGGAGTCATATGGTCAAGGGGTCAGGGTGAGACTGAGAGCAACTTGTGATTAAGATACTGGTGAAGCTGTGGGAGATTATTCATGGGGTTGAGTTGATATCCAAAGCTTTACGGTACACCGGACTCCAGGGATTCGTGAAGAAAAAAGGAAATAGAATAAGGAATAAAAGTGATATGTGCTTCAAAACCCCATGATCTGACATGCAGAAGATTCAAGACAGGAATGATCGAACAAGCGTTCGCACGGAAGGAAAGCAGAATCAATCAAATACAGTGGAAACAAAAGATTATGAGAAACCGCATAGCCAAACACCCTAAATGTACATTTGTCTCATTAGTCGACTTTGTCGGTGGAGTTTCCATTCAGGAAGCCCTCCTTGCCATCTAGGTGGAAGAAGCCACCATTGTTGCCGGGGTTTCCAATGATGCCACCGCGTGCAATACCACGGCGAAGACGTCCACGTCCGAAGATGGTGGCCACAGCAACCACGGCGCCCAAGATTATGAAGAAGAGTATGGGATGGCTACCGAGGAGGGTTCGTGCGAAGAAAAAGATGCTCTCGAAGGTGCCAATGGTAGACTTGGGTGAGAGTTTCGAGGGGGAGGAGATTACGAGCGGAATAGTCTCCAGGATTGAGGTCCGCGAGGCCATAATGGGAGCTCCGCTTGAAGCAGTATCCCAATAGCGGCGGTTCTAGAAAGAAGGTTAGCTCGAGTGCTTGCGGTAAGCTATGAGGGAAAAACTTACATCTTGATCATTGATGATCACGCGGTCACCACTTTCTACATCGATACCGTAGGTGGTACGCAGCCAGCGCTCCCAGAAGTCGCCATCAACCCAGGCAAATGCGACTTGCTTCTTGTCGTCTTCGCGGATCGTGATGCGCATGTTTTTCGCGGCCCGTAGCGCACGTTGGTCATCGCGGTCGTCGGCCTCTTCGATGCGCAATTGCTTGGCATCACGAAGCTCAGCTCGCTCAAGTCGGAACAGCTGGACTTGCTTGTCCATCCATTCCAACGCGGCTTCCTTCAGTTCGCGCCTAGACTGCTTGAAATCGTCGCTACGACGGCGGCTGAGGAGTCCCAAAACCACAAACTTGCCATCCATAATTTCTTTGGCATTGGACGCGGTGAGCTCGGGTACGATGGGCAGCCACACGGTTTGCATCCAGGACAGGATTTGGCGGAAATCCCTCATGTCTTTTGGCGCAAGCGCATTGTAGTAGTTGGGACGTCCATCACGGACGACGAGAAGACGAGGCCAGGTGGAAATCTTGAACCGTTCGGAAAGGACAGCACTGTCAGACTTAACAATACGCGCATGACCCACAAGACTGAGGGTAAGGCGGTTCATTGCCTCGAAGTCTTCAGAGGTCGTCGCATGATCATAGAGATACAAGAACAGAACATCCTCCGTCTGTTCCAACTCCTTGAATGTAGTGGCGTCCACATCCTGAATGCTGGAGCCCACACCAATGGCCTTGTTGGTATAAGAAACCAGGTCTCCCAGGCCCCGAAGGCCAGTGTACTCAACTCTCTCGCCGCCGCGGAAAAAGTAGATCGTTGGATAGGCATTCACGCGGGCATCTTCGCACAGTCGCTTCTCGAGTTCGCAGTTAACCTCGCCAACATTGAGTTTGTCCTTCATCTCCTTGGCCATTGAATTCCAGTTCGGGGCAAGGGCCTGGCAGTGGCCGCACCACGGAACGTAGAACTTGATGATCCACGGATCATGGGTAGTCGTTACAAGGCCTTGGAAACTTTCCGCAGTGAGTGGGATGGAGACACCCTGGGGATTAGCAGGCCGCCCTTGGAGCTTGGCCTTGACAGACTCAGCGCTGACGCCCTCCAATTCTGCGGTCTCGATGCTCTGTTTCTCGACAGCCGTCTTCGCGCCAGGCTTGACCACTTCGGGCTTAGCAATCATTTCCATGTTCTTCACACCGGCCTTTGGGATCACAACGCCTTGAGGAGGTCGGGATCCAGGCTTGATGGACTCAAGCTTGGCTTCGATCATGTCGGCAATGTCGGACATCTTCTTGGCACCAGCGGGAGGCTCGTTTTGAACACCCATATCATAGAATGCCCAAGCGGGGTAATAACTGACGCCCATCTTCGCACAAAAGTCGCTGAAGGCCTGGCAGTTCATCGACGCGAAATGGATGTTGTAGTAGCTGGTAAAGGACTGTTGCGCCTGGACCTCATCGGGCTTTGTCGTGGCTTGGATAAAAGGATTGGATGTCTATCATTCATCAGAGTCAAGGTCACATTGGTTCTGAAGGGCAGGATAATTACTCACGTAATAGTACTCATATAGGGTCTGGTACATCGGAGCCGCCGTTCGGCAATGCGGACAAGAAGGGGAGTAATGTTTGACCATCCTACAATTGTTAGAAGCGTCATGACTTGCTGCAGAAGGAGACCTCACCAATAGCCATTTTTGGTCACTTCCTCGAAATTGTCCGGGGTCAGCTGCGTCAATGGAGGCACCTCGACACCGTTGAATATTGAGGGTGTTTCGGGGTCCACTCCTCGGTCCCACCTCTTGACGAGACTATTTCCTGATTCCTGATCCGAAATAGCATCTGAAGGCGTACCCAAAGCAGGCGCTGCCAACAGCGAGAGGAGGGACCATCGCAACCAGGAGGGTCTCATTTTGTTGGAAGGTAGGCGTGAATAACTTAGCCAGTAATAGTAATATGAAGGAGAGTATAGGTATTATCAGAAAGTCACAGCTGAGCGAAACGAAGGACTCTGGTCGAAGTAGGGAGAATCGCGAAATGTCACAGGTGGCACATTGGACGGGGGCGAAGACTGGCGACTTAGGCGGGCACTGCTCGACACGTCGCAGGAGGAAAACAGCACTTAGCGACTATAGCGCCCGTAGCTGAGAGCAATATAGAACTGCACACAGCCCAAAAAGAAATTCTCAGATGTGAGGCTTTGTTGGTATCGAAAAAAGGTGAGTTGCCTTTCCCCTTGCCGTTTGGGTGGTGTGGAACATCAGGTTAATCCGCTCCGTTCCGACCTCGACACTTCAACTCCCTGGACAAAGAACGAGTCCAATACACATCAATCCCATCCACAATGCGCTCTACACTCCGGCTACTGGCCAATGTCAAGCCCCGGTACCTGGAGCCTTTCGCTCCCACCGGATTGACGGGCCTTTTCACCCACCCCAGCCCTCGCCCTACTTTAATCTACCTCTACTCCACCACTCTGCAAAAGCTGCAAGCGTTCCCCGAAACCTCCGCCTACCGCCAATCTGTTGAAGCTTTGACCCGCCACCGTCTCCAGATTGTCGAATCGCAAAAGCCCGCCGGTTTCGATACTTGGTTGGAGCGTGTGAAGAAGACCGTGGGATCCGAACCCGAGCGCTTCGCCAAACTCCAGCGCACCGATGGCACTTACTCCCACGCCGCTGCCCAACAGAAGGATGGAAGTGACAATGCTCGCGGTGAAGAGTGGGACGGCGAAGGCCTGTCAGCTACAACTGAGGGTCCCGCTCGTACCCCGCAAGAAGAAGCGGAATGGACCAAAATCATGAACGAGGCCAGTGAGACAACTGAACAGGCTGAGCATGATTTCTACCACCAAGATATGAAATGGGAGAGCGAGCCTGCTCTTGATGCCGACCAGTACGTGTGCCTGGCCTGATGATATTTTTCGAGGCGACTTTGGGCAATATGATTCTAACCTTCTGCACAGGATCTCTCACGTTGAACAGCAGATCGGCGCTGGCCTTATTGAAGAGGTCATCCAAGTGGCAGAGGCAGAGCTCAAGCTTGTAGATGAGTTGGCTAAGTACAAGGTGTAAGTGGAATCCCGAAGCTCTGGATATAAACCTACCACTGACACTTTTATAGTTGGGAGAGCCTCGAGGAGAAGCCCCAGCCCGGCCAATGGACTTATTTCGAGCGTGGCAACTAAACAGCAGTTCCGGAATGTCTGCGAGGTCTAATTTCTGTAACTACTAGATGTCTTCTTTCTTTGAATACATTATTTCGAGGGATCAATAATCGTGCATGAGAACCCGTCGTAGGGGCTAATAGATCATAATCTGTGCATTTCAGCACTGAAACAATGTGTATATGTATATGAAATTATCATATTCACGCAACAATAGTATTAAACAGGCAATTAAGTACATGTATGTCTCCCTCTGCGCGGGCAAATTGTATTATATTATTATCTTACTACTGACTAGGCCGATCGCTCCTGTGCGAGCTCTTAGCTTTTGGTAAGCCCCGAATGTAACTTGAGAGGGTTGAGCATCGGGTCTAGGTCGTAGTCATCTGTTGCTTCCCCACTGTGGCTTCGTCTCTCTCTCGCGTCGTCGAGTTTCCATCTTCTCCTGGACTTCCACTCCCGTAGCGTCGGGTCGTCTACGTTCACGTCTGTCCACCGCGCCCAGCAATGAGTTACTCCAGATACAGATGACATATCTCCTTCACAAGCACCCAACCCGGCGCGGTGGACAGACGTGAACGTAATGACCCGACGCTCAACCCTCTCAAGTTACATTCGGGGCTTACCAAAGCTACCTAAGAGCTCGCTCCTCACCCAAGCACGCACAGGAGCGATCGGGTTAAATGCGTTCCTTCATCGCAGACGAGTCCCAGATGTCGAATCTCCGCTCTGTCAAGAGGGCTGCGCCCCGGAAACGTTTGCACACCTCACGCTCCGCTGCCCACGATACACACCAGAAAGAGAAGGCCTAGCTGGCCTGGATCTTCCTGACGGACACTCCCTAAGGGCAGCGCTCTCCCGGGATGGCTCCGCCCAGCGACTGGCAACTTGGTTCTTCAACCTGGAACGACTGAGTGAGAACAGGCTCGCAAGAGAGCTAGAAGACGGCAACACGTGGCCACACGAGACCCACACAGGGGGGACACCGAGAAGGAGACGAAGGGACGTAGCTCTATAGCTAGCCAGCTGCTCGGAGGGTCCCTACTGCTAAGATAGGGGAAGGAGGAGGGAAAAAAAAACATTTTTTTTAGTGACATGCACTAAGACTTGTCACCAAGCTGGACGGACGAGGCCTAGCACCATTGGATTGAGGCTAACGATGGGAGTTGCGGGCGAAGGCGCGCGCCCCGTACGATGTACATAAAAAGCTGGATTCGAACCGAGGAGGGACTGCTTGCCCACAGGGGCGAGGAGGCCAGCCGCCTATTCAGTAGTAAGAATAATAATAATAGTCTGGGCCGTGAGCAAGGCCTTGACGGGACCCCGAGGGTTGCCGCCCTTTGGTGTGAGTGAGTGCCACGTGCTGGCACCGTACGCCACAAGAACCTGACCTTCACGGTGGGTCAATTCACCGGATTTGTACATCTGTCGGTCAGTAACGCGCGAAAGATCTTGTTGGACGACTTGATCTTATGCGCGTCACTGACCAACAGATGCACAAAGCCGGTGAACTGACCCACCGTGAAGGTCAGGTTCTTGTAGCACAATTTGTCTGCGCCCATCCCGCCAATATAGCCAGGGATAGTGGTGTTATAATGGATGCTCAATGCAGGGTAAGCGCGAGGGATTGAGTCTCTAGCTTGACGCGCACCCTCTTGACGTGGTCTTTGAAAGAGAGCTTCCGATCGAGATTCTCCGGCAAAACCTGGTGGGTGTTCGTATCTCTGAGGCGAAGGTGATTTACACTAAGGTTATCCGAAGTGTGACGGCGTACGGTGCCAGCCCTGGCGCTCACCCGGCTCTCCGGCAAAACCTGGGGTGTTCGTGTCTCTAAGGCGAGGGAGAATCTGGGAGATGCGGGCAAATTGTAGGATAGCGGATGGAGCGAGGGGAAGGCGGTGAGCCAAGGCGGGAATCCCTTGTGGACACATACATTGCTGTCCCTGAATAAAGCGCGCTCCCCATAGCTCCTCTCCATCTCAATCATTTCCTGACTCCTCCTATTAATACCTTGTTTCGAGGATTGCACCTCCCTACCATTGGGCTGTCTGAGCGGCTCGCGGAATCCCCTATCGCTGTTACAGGCTCAACGCCGCATCACACAAACACTCGTCTCATCCCCCACACAATATGCGGCTAGACGTCAAGGTACGCAATTATAGACGATGCGAGGCTGTCGTGTTGCTCCGAGTTCATTCCGGCAGATGAGAAAATATGGCCTCACAGGTGCACATGTCACAATGGAGGGATTGCTGACGACAAATGTTACAGAGGCAGCTGTTTGCCCGCTCCGAGCGGGTAAAGGGGATTGATTTCCACCCTACAGAGCCCTGGGTAAGCTTCTATAACCCACTCAAGAGCTTTTCCCGTACTAACCATTGTTAGATTTTGACAACCTTGTACAGCGGTATGTCGAGACACAGAGGGATGGTCTGCGAGATGTCAATGCGCTAATCACTTGCCGGTCTAGGTCATGTCTATATCTGGTCATATGAAACGCAGGTACGACAGACACATTCCACGCCTCATGCCCTCTTCTAAACGATCTATTCTCTAGTCAATCATCAAAACATTCGAACTCACCGATGTCCCCGTCCGGGCGGGTCGATTCATTGCGCGGAAGAACTGGATTGTCTGTGGTTCAGATGACTTCCAACTTCGTGTTTACAACTACAACACATCCGAAAAGATCACGTCCTTTGAAGCACACCCGGATTATATCCGTTCTATCGCCGTCCACCCCACCCAGCCGTTTGTGCTCACAGCCTCCGATGACATGACAATTAAGCTTTGGGACTGGGAGAAGAACTGGAAGTGCGTACAAATATTTGAGGGCCACAGCCACTATGTCATGGGAATGTCGATCAACCCAAAGGACACCAACACTTTCGCTTCCGCATGTCTGGACCGGACCGTGAAGATCTGGAACCTGGGCTCTCCCCACGCCAACTTCACACTCGAAGCCCACGAGACGAAAGGTGTCAATCATGTCGACTACTACCCACATGCGGATAAGCCGTACCTCCTCACCACTTCCGATGATAAGACTGTCAAGATCTGGGATTACACTACCAAGGCACTCATTGCAACCCTCGAAGGCCACACAAGCAATGTCTCTTTCGCCTGCTATCACCCCGAATTGCCCGTCATTATCTCGGGATCTGAGGATGGAACTATCAAGATTTGGCACGCAAACACCTACCGCCTGGAACAGTCATTAAGTTACGGATTAGAACGAGCATGGTGTGTTTCCTACCAACGAGGCAGACAGGGAATTGCGATGGGTTTCGACGATGGTGCCGTGGTGGTGAAGATGGGCCGAGAAGAGCCTGCTGTCTCCATGGATGGGTCAGGTAAGCTTATCTGGGCCAGACACAGTGAGGTTGTGTCCTCAGTGATCAAGGGTGGTGATGCTACTGTTAAGGACGGCGAGCCTCTCTCGCTACCGACAAAAGATCTGGGACAATGCGAGGTGTACCCGCAGACTTTGTCGCACTCACCCAATGGACGTTTCGTCTCCGTCTGCGGTGATGGTGAATACATCATCTACACTGCATTGGCGTGGAGAAACAAGGCCTTTGGACAAGCTCTTGATTTTGCTTGGGGTTCGAAAGAGAACAGCAATGACTACGCTATCCGCGAGTCATCGACCAGTGTCAAGATCTTCAAGAACTTCAAGGAGCAGAGCGCTGGTCTTGATGTTGGATTCCAAGCCGAGGGCCTGTCCGATGGTGTTCTTCTGGGTGTGAAGGGCCAAGGTGGCATTGGCTTCTTTGATTGGGAGACTGGCAGCCTCGTTCGAAGAATCGAAGCTGACCCTAAATCCGTAAGTCTTCTGCGTTGCAGGAATGGTTTGAGAATGCTCACTGACGTGCACAGGTCTACTGGTCCGAATCCGGTGAACTGGTCACCCTTGCCTGTGAGGATGATTTCTACGTCCTGCGCTACTCTCGCGAGGACTACATCAACGGATTGAACGCCGGCGAAGCCGACGAGGATGGAGTCGAGGCGGCTGTTGAATTGGTTGCTACGATTAACGAGACCGTCCGGACTGGACAGTGGGTTGGAGATTGCTTCATTTACACGAACTCTACAAACCGGTTGAACTACCTCGTCGGAGATCAAACCTACACAATCTCTCACTTCGACCAACCGATGTATGTCCTCGGCTACCTACCCCGGGACGGTCGTATCTACCTTGCCGACAAGGACGTCAACGCCGTCTCCTTCGGCCTTTCTCTCAGCATGGTCGAGTACCAAACAGTGGTGCTGCGTGGGGATCTGGAAATGGCAGCCGAGCTGCTGAAGGATGTGCCACAGGATCAGATGAACAAGGTCGCACGCTTCCTCGAAGGCCAAGGGTACAAAGAGATGGCACTGGAAGTCGCCACTGACCCCGAGCACCGCTTCGAGCTGGCCCTCGCATTGGGCGACCTTGAAACCGCACTTACAATTGCCCGCGAGGCCAATGTAGAACACAAGTGGAAGATCGTCGGCGACGCCGCCCTGGCCGGCTGGAACCTGGCTTTGGCCCAGGAGTGCTTCACCAACGCCAAAGACGTCGGTTCCCTGCTTCTCCTGCACACCGCCACCGGCAACCGTGAGGGTATCAAAGCCCTGGCCGCCCAGGCCTCGGAATCAGGCCTTCACAACGTCGCTTTCTCCACTCTGTGGTCCCTGGGAGATATCGATGGCTGCATCGCTCTTCTCATCCAGACTAACCGTATGGCCGAGGCAGTCCTCTTCGCGCAAACCTATAAACCCTCAAGCGCCCCCAAGCTCGTCGTTCAATGGAAGGAGTCCTTGGAGAAATCCGGCAAGACCAAGGTCGCCCGACTTATCGGTGTCCCGCCTGGTGCTCCCGACGTCGACTCCACCGATGACGATCTTTTCCCCGAGTGGGACGAGTACATCCGTCTAGAGAAAGAGGGAATCGTCCCCGAGCCTGCTCCCGAATCTCTGATTGATGTCAGTGATGTCAATGATGTCGCAGCGGACGGAGAGGCACCTGAAACCGTCAATGGCGCAGCTGAGTCCGATGGGGAGACGGAGGAAGCCGACCAGGCAGCAGTGGATGAGGCCGATGGTGCCGAAGCCGAGTGAACAAAAAGCAGAGTTTTTCATTTTGGTGACATCCCCGGAGAGTTAGGTTGATCGTTTGCTGGCTGACGAGTCAGTTGATAATCTTGATTGCGAGCGGCGTCTTAACGTGTGTCCGACTTCTGTTTTCTTATTTTGTAATTCCATGTGTGTCTGGAGCATGACACATGTCTAGATATAAGCAATATGTTTCCTCTATTCCAGGCTTTGATTTACTAGATTCTGTACATGTATACTAGTTATCCTATGTGCGAACTACGGGAGTACTTGGAGCCGGTTAGAAGCTTGACTGTGTACTAGGTTGGCTGCTTACATGTTTTTTATTTTGTTCCATTGAACCAGTTATCGTATACATTGATCGTACTCTACCTATACCTAGGTATTACACCATTTAGTTCCAGCTTTAAATAGACTAGATACCTGGATGTGGACAGTTCGCATTTGATAAAGAGGATCATTTCATTCGGACATTCATTCCGACCATTCCCGCAGTCGACTACATGTTTATGGACAAATCCTGTTGTCATGGTCCATTGTTTATCGAGATACAAAGATGACCGCTGAAGGAAAAGCACCGCAAGAACCAAGAAATAGAAAAAGGAACCTGCCTGGGAGAACGAACAGTTGGCATTGAAGATACCCCCGAACAAGACAAGAAAATCAAACCAAAGCGCTCACTCAACAGACACATGAAACGAGAACAATGTCTCGAAGATCGAGAGCGTCTTCCGATCAATGCCACAGACTCCTTTCTGATGGGGGATAAAAAAGCACAATGTGACGGACAACCAAAGGAGAAAGACGAAGAGACCAGGACATTGGTGAGATGTCGGCGAGAGACATACACACAAAACTGGTCTGATGTCATCCTATTCTCTGGCGTTGCATAGATTTTCAATCTAAATTGACGGTGCGAGGAGAATCTACTCCGGAATGCTACCGAAGGAGGGGTCTTTGATGCTGCCGCCTGCATCGCCGAGGCCAGCCACGGGTCGGTTGTAGGACCATCCAGCGAACTGTTGCTGCATGGTCTGTGACAGAACGGGACCATCCACATAAGAGTCCTGGGGTGCTTCATTGGTGAACTCGGTATCGAAGTTTCCGGTATCGCTGGCATCAACCTGCATCGAGTCAATCTCAGGTGGGTCCCAATGACACAAGGGGTCGAGTGTACATACCACATTTGGTCGGAAGCTGGGCTCATACTTCCTCTGTAGAAGTTTGCGCCAGTCGATATTGGCAAAGAAGTGGTGGGACTTGATCTCCGCGGCGCCATTGGCACCCAGTCGGCGCACGGGATCACGGTCCAGCAGGCGCGTGAGAAGATCCCGGGCAGCAGGTGGGACAATGTCGCTGCTTGGGAAAGTCAGAGGCTCTTGCAAGATCTTGCGATACATTTCGTTGGTATTTTCATCGTAGAATGGAGGCAAGCCTGTCAACATCTCGTAGAGCAGGACACCAAGCGTCCACCAATCCACGGTCTTGGTGTAGCCATTGCCAAGAAGTAGTTCTGGAGCCAGATATTCAGGAGTTCCGCAGAAAGCTATGTTTGGTCAGTTATGTTCGGTGTATCGTGAGAAGATGTGGGGGAGTCTTACTGTTAGTGCGGTCCTCATCCTTCATGTCCAGCTTGCAAAGACCGAAATCGCAAAGAGCGATGTGCCCAGTGTAGTCGAGAAGAATGTTCTCTGGTTTCAAATCTCGGTAAATGACCTTGAAGCCGTGCAGACATTCAAGAGCGCACAGCAACTCTGCAGTGTAGAAACGAGCTCTGTTGATATCGAACCGCTGTTCCCTTTGCAGATGATGGAACAGCTCTCCACCGTTCACAAACGCCAACACGAAGTACAACTTCTCGGGTGACTGGAATGAGAACTTCAAAGGAACGATGAACGGGTTGTTGATCTGTGCGAGCACTGATCGCTCGGCAAGTGTGTGTGTGACTTCCGATCGCGAGATGATATGGGCCTTGCGGATCGTCTTCAGGGCGTAGATTCGACCAGTATCCTTCTTCCTGTATTTTCGCCACATGTCAGCGATTGAAACATAACAAATGAACGTGAATCCTCTTACATGACCTGCATGACTTTGCCGAAACTGCCCTTGCCAACCACCTTAAGCAAATCGAAGTCCTCTAGCTTGAGGCTTTTTTGCTTGTTCTCCACATACGAGATACCGATCTTGATCGAGCCAACACCAAATTGGAGGTCCAGCCACTCAGTACCCTGCTGGCCAAGCTGGCGCCCCTGCTCATCATGAGCCGCAGCGGCCTTCTGATTATCCTTTTTGCTGAGTTTTGGATCGTCCACATAAGGCTGTGCCTCTTCAAAGCGAGGGTTGACCTTGCATGCGCCCAAAAAGATATCCTCGCTCCGTCCGGCACCAGGCCGGGCTGCGGGGTTGCGCAGATACAGCTGCACATTCAATTCGGTCTTTCGGGACACATCGAACTTGAACGCCGTGTTATCACCAGCCCACAAGGGGCACTCCGGAGTGCCAGAAACAGCATCGACAAAGACCTGGTTCTTTTCAAAATCGAGGAGGGCGTAAGGGAGGTACTTGGTGGAATAGCGACCGTGGATAGTGGGGGCGGCGTTGATTCCCCCACTTGTGGATTGCGGGCGGCCAGACTGCACATAGGAACCCGACTGGTTTTGAGTGGAATGTGAAGAAGAAGAGGTGCTCGGGCGTAGAGAAGATGGTGCGTAGGAGTTATTTTGGAAATGCGAATTGAAGATCTGCTGGAAATGGGGCGACAACGAAAAATTGCGCCCTTCGTGGAGAGTCACAATGAGGATTCCTGGGTTCACAGGAGCCACTGGAGGGGAGACAAGAGACTCGGAAGCCGCTATTATAGAGATAAGACGATTAATCTCTGGGAAGATACCCAGGCACAGGGAAGAAGACATACCGATCCCGTTTGTTGACGGGGTGGCGGAAGCCACAGGCGGCTGAGAGGTCACTGGTGTGGGAGTCTCATCACCGTTCTGATCAGCCCTGATCGTTGAAGTGGATGACGATCGGCCAAAGGATGAGGTCAGGGGGGCCAAGTGCGTCTCCTTCAGCTCTGAGATACGAATCGTTAACGATTGCCCATGGATTCTGCAATGCAGAGAGGGGTAAGTTGAGGGGGAGGAGAGGGAGACCAACTGCCAGTAAACATACTTTTAGTGAGCTTCCAAGACATAGTGGCGGTTGTTGTGAGGAGGATGAAGAAGAGATCAAAGTCCAAGATGCCGCAATGCGTGTGGTGTGCAGGGTGCTAGAACCCAATAAACATGCGAAAGGCCCCCAAATAAAAACCTGGAGAGCCACACAAGAACACAAGACACACACGCAAAAGGAGAGGAAGTCGAAGGCACAACCACCACTATTGTTTTTGAATTCGTATGGAAGCACAACTAAGGATAAGAAAGAGTCGAGAACTCAACTGAGAATGAGAGAGGGGAAGTTCCCCTGTAAATTAAATACTTAGATTACAGTAGATGACTGGTAGTACTGCACGTGATTGGTCCTACCAGTAACATGATGGTATTGAAATTAATCAGCCTCAGCCACGGCTCCGCCACAAGGGTTGACGACCATCAACTTCCCCACGCAGGAGACCAACGACTGCATCAAGGGACAGCGGACTCCACAGAACAACTTGATATCCGTTATTCAACTTAGATTGCCTCATCATTTCACATCCCTATCCCCTTGAAGATTCGGAATACTTTTCCGCTCCGAGGCGGAGACCACCTACCCCGGAGATCTCATCTCAACTGTCATCTGCGACGAAACCATCATCCGAACGTCTGAGTGTGGTCGGTCTCCTGATATAATACCTGACAGACCGGAAATGAAAGAGGCCGAGGTTCAATGGGTGTGATACGCAAGAAGACCGCCTCACGCGGCACCGAGGCAGGCACGAAGTTCCACTGCGATGTCTGCTCCATTGACGTTACGTCAACGGTAAGTGCCAAGGCGACCGGGTTATGAATACCTAAGGGTGTTCCTTATCGGTTTAGAGGCTGACGCGACTCCCATCGTATAGGTTCGAATCTCGTGTGCGCATCCTGCTTGCCCCGAATATGACCTCTGTGTCCCCTGCTTCTCAGCTGGAAAGGACTCCAAGAATCACGACCCCGCCACACATCCCTTCCAAGTAATTGAACAGAATTCCGTCCCTATCTTCCAGGAGGACTGGGGTGCTGATGAAGAATTGTTATTGCTGGAAGGTGCGGAGATCTATGGGCTGGGTTCCTGGGCAGACATCGCAGACCATATCGGCGGCTACCGCAGCAAGGATGAAGTGCGCGATCACTACATCGACACATACGTGAACAGCGTCAATTTTCCGCTGGCGGCTCGCGCTGATCCCGATGATCGAGAACTGCAAGACGCGATATCCAAAGAGGAGTTCCAATCACGCAAGAAGCGACGCATTGAAGAGCGCAAGGAGGCAGCCAAGGCAGCGCCTCCAACAACACCAAAACAGAAGCCCACTGCCAGTGTACCGGCATGCCATGAAGTGCAGGGCTACATGCCCGGGCGACTAGAGTTTGAGACCGAGTTCTTGAATGATGCCGAAGAAGCAGTGCAGCATATGGCCTTTGAGCCCGGGGCTGGACTCAACGAGAACGGCGAGCCAGATGCAGAGACTGAGCTCAAGATGACCGTCGTCGACATTTACAATGCCCGCCTCACAGCGCGAACAGAGCGCAAGAAGATCCTCTTCGAGCACAATCTCCTCGACTACCGAAAGAATACCGCCATAGACAAGAAGCGATCGAAGGAAGAGCGCGAGTTGTTGAACAAAGCAAAGCCATTGGCACGGATGATGAACTGCAAAGACTTCGAAGAACTCAACAAGGGACTGGAGTACGAGCACAACCTCCGTCTAGCCATCTCACAACTTCAAGAGTGGCGTCAGATGGGCATCGGCGACTTGAAGGCAGGTGAGAAATACGAGCAAGATAAGCAACTACGCATGCAACGAATGCTACCTCAAGGTTCATTCGATCGCTTCGCCAGCAGCCGTCCCAAACAGGCTCAGCTGTCCGAGACCCCGGCGGCGGCAATTCAGCTGACAACACCCGAACTGCCATTACGCCTGCAAAAGGCCGCCAACCCACACGCAGCGGATGATGCCGAAGAAACATTCAACGACTTCGATCGTGCCTTCGCTGTGGACGGAGACGCGCCTCCCCCGCAGCCCGCAAAGACGAAATATGTGGTGCCACCGCTGAGCGGGATGGCGCCGTGGAAGCTGAATAATGAAACCGCTGCTGACTTGCATCTTCTGATGAAGGAAGAGGTAGAGATATGCAACGTTTTGCGTCTGATGCCGAAGCCTTACCTGGTTGTGAAAGAGACACTGTTGAAGGAAGCAATGAAGCAGGGCGGCAGCCTGAAGAAGAAAGATGCACGAACAATTTGCAAGGTATGTTTCGTTGTACTCGATACCTCTTCTACGCGGGTCTTTACTAACTGACCTAGATCGAGGGCACCAAAATCAGCCGCATCTACGATTTCATGGTCCACAGCGGCTGGATCAACAAGGCATAGCACACCGAATCCGTGCACCGAACTCACGATTATTTGCTGCAATCTCTTCTGAGCTTAGTGATATCCAATCTTTTTCGTGATTTTGCGGGCGTTTACAACGGCGCTAATAGGGACTTGGGGTGGAATTGTGGTCAGATTCTGGCCTGTCAACATAAGTAGCTGGTAGAATGATTATATTCCTTGCTATGCACACAGCTATACAATATAATCCCTAGTCCGTAACGCAGAGTCGAGTATCATCAACACCTAACCTAGCATTCAAAAGAAAAGACAGATGATATAATCCCCCCACCCTTCGAAGGTTCGGCCCTCGGCATCCCCTCTTCTCCGCATCTCCAAACTAAAGATGTACAGCCGATCATCACACCTTAAGATAACCCCTTTAAATTAAGAACACAGTGCTGCTTTCCTTTCTCCTCCTCATCCCAATAGCCCAACAACCTATCAATTTATCAACAAAATAATCCAGAATGTCCTTCAAAACCCAACCACCGTCCCCAGCAACCGCCATCCTCACCTTCCCATCCCCGCACGTCCTCCTGGTGACCCTAAACCGTCCCCGCGATCTAAACTGCATAAACGGACAAGGCCACGCAGATCTACACGCAGTCTGGGAATGGCTAGACGAAGAGCCGAGTCTACGAGTCGGCATCTTGACTGGGAAGGGAAGGGCATTTTGTGCCGGTGCTGATTTGAAAGGTGAGCCAAAGCCAACCCCCTCCTTTGTCCCCCCCCCTCCCCCCAATTATATCCCGCTAAACAAGCGCAGAATGGAACAACCGCACCTCCGACTCAAATTCCTCCACCTCCTCGACACCACAGCCGCCAAGCGGCTTCGGTGGTCTATCCCGTCGCAAAGGCCGGAAACCAGTTATCTGCGCGGTAAACGGGCTCTGTCTTGGGGGTGGTACGGAAATGATCGTGAATGCAGATATAGTGATTGCGTCTTCGCGGGCACTGTTTGCGTTGCCGGAGGTGAAGCGGGGGGTTGTTGCGTTGGCGGGTGCGTTGCCGCGACTTGTGCGGACGATTGGGAAGCAGAGGGCTATGGAGATGGCGTTGACGGGACGGATGGTTGGTGCTGAGGAGGCTGAGAGATGGGGACTTGTTAATTTTGTTGTTGGGGTTGGTGAGAAGGATTCGGAGGAGGTTGTGGGGGAGGCTGTTGTGAGTAGGGCTTTGCGGGTGGCGGAGGAGATTGCGGGGAATAGTCCTGATTCGGTGCTTGTCAGTCGGGAGGGGATTAAGCTGGGTTGGGAGGGGATTGGGGCTGAGGAGGCTTCGGCCATGTTGAGTGAGACTTGGGTTCGGAGGTTGTATGAAGGGGAGAATATTAAGGAGGGGCTTAGGGCTTTCGTGGAGAAGAGGAAGCCTGCTTGGGTTAGCAGTAAGTTGTGAGTTATTTGTAAGAACAGACGATTGCGTTTGTGAAAATGATTTGATTGTTCGCTATCATACTACAGTCGTAAAGTCATCTAAGAAAAGTGAACCCATTGCTCCGTCGCTCCCGGTACCTGGTATTTCCTGGTATTCGCCATAATCATGCAAGTTGGAGTTCAAAGTCAAATCAAATGCGTGGTTGCCCAGCCTCTCTGCGAAGTGATGTTAATTGCTGTTGTTTCGGATGTTGTGAGGCCGGCGGAGGGGATCGGTGCCTACTTTGCTTCGGATTGTACGCCGTCAACGACCTTGACCACGTGGGGGAAGAGAGGGTGGTCTCGGTCCAAGCCGGTTAATTGGACGGTTGCGTCGGCAGGCGAGTTCTCCTTGAGAACCTTGGCCAATTCCACGCTCTCATCGTCACCTTCCACATTCTGGAATCGCAGAGCCATCTCGACAGAGCCCAACAGGGACTCGAACTTTCCTCCACGCTCGGCCAGCTGCGCAGCAGGGCCGATGAACCGTTCCTTGCGGGAGAGTTTGCGCATCGGGGCACGACCCACGCGCTCCACGCTGTCCTCGAGATAGTGGTTGGAGATACGGGCGATAATGGTTTCGACGTACTCCTGCTGCTCAGCAGCGCTGATTTCGTGCTTGTCGACGATGAGGGAGGCAGTCTCCTGGAGAACTGCACGAACAATGTCGCGGATGCGAGAGTCATGAAGAGCCTCAGCGATGGTTTTCTTGCCGGCATTGTAGCCATAGTAGGCTGCAGTGGCGTGGCCGGTGTTGACGGTGAATAGCTTGCGCTCAATGTAGGGCTCGAGGTTGCTGACCCAGTGGATGGCTGGGATGTCGGGGTGTCCGTGTTCGCCGAAAGGCGTCGACTCCACGGCCCACTCATAGAACTTCTCGATGCGGACGTTGAGACCGCTGTCAGCAGCCTGGGCGGGCACAATACGGTCGATTGCGGAGTTGGCAAATCGGGCCCGGTCTGGCATAGACTCCAGACGATCTTGGGCAGTGTTCTCCTTGATGAATCCGTGCAGGGTGTCAGTGGCGCCGATGGCGTTCTCACAAGCAATGACGGCTAAAGGTGTGGGGCCCTTTCGGGCATCGATGCCCTTGGCAATGACAGGGGCAATGAACTTGAGGATGTTAGGACCCACGGCGCAAGTCACGACGTCGGCAGTTGAGATCTCCTTGATGACATCGGCCTCATGGGTCTTGGAGTTGATGGCACGGTAGTTGGTGATGGTCTTTGTTGACTCTCCCTCGTCACTGACTTCGGTGACCTGGTAAGACTTGGTGGTCTGCAGGGAATTGATGATGCTGTCCATGACATCGACGAAGACAACCTCGAAGCCAGCCGCGTGGAGGAACTCAGCCACAAAGCCACGGCCGATGTTGCCACCGCCAAAGTGAATAGCTTTCTTCTCCATGATGAGATGAATGTGTTTTAGTTCAATGAAAAAGGGAGGGAGAAGATGTAGATGGGAAGTAGGAGTAAGAGAGAAGGAGGAATGTTGTGAAGTGAAGAAGAGGAAGGGTATATGAAGTAGTTTATAGTTTTCCAATTCAGGAGGGGAAAGAGCAGCTATTTAACAAAAAGAGGAAAGAGCAACTATTTAACAAAAGGGGAAAGTATCAAAATTGACCAGGGAAAGGGCGACCCAGGACTCAGGAGTATGACGATGACTTCATACATATTGGGCTGGCGGGACTGGCCTCCGCCCTGTTTGGAACCTTGGGATCACGATAATGTGTCATCCAATAAGAACATCATGAACATTACGCGTACACAGTTCCTGAGTTATTTGTTGATTTGTTTATTAACACGAAATAGTTACTATCTCTCTCTATGCCCTTGGAATTAAATGTGAATAAATATTCATTTCATGTTCATACATACAACATGCCAATATATGGGTTACACTTCTGATTCTCCCCGCTTTGTGTCCGTGCGACCCTCATACTTCGGTAGAATCAAGGCATCCGCACTAATCCCGATCTAGTAACTGTATACTTCTCCCGTGCCATTTAATTTGCTCATTCACAATAGGGCCTGAACCACTCACCGGTAAATAAACCGCCGAATCACCGGGAAGACCCGTCCAACGTCGTCACTTCGTCACTTCGTCACTTTGTCTTGTCCTCCGTTCCGCGCTTTGACGGAGAAGACAAAACCCCTTGGCATTCTAGGCTGTCGGAGCAAATCAGCCGATGGACCGGGAAACCCAGGCCGGAGTACAGTGGTCCCCGTCTAACTATCCTATTACTGACCTGATTCACCTGAAAAGTATCACTGTATCATGCGGCATTATTTCGGATATACTCGAGTCGTTGGGTTAGTACGGAGTATTCTCACGAATATTCTATCTGATTCTGATACCCGTAGGACCCACGTTGGGACTCTTTAGTGAGTCTTTACCCTCGATCCACCATATAAATTCTCCACATAGGGTGACGTCGGATGAGCGGTTGGCACTATTGACCCAGTTTTACCCACGTTTAGTCGGACATCGGCCCAGCCGAGGTTTGTTGATATGTTCGAATCACATCCATTATATTCCGTGGAGCCTCTTTCACGGTAACAGTACGCAGATAAACAGATAGGCTTAGTGGCTGCACTGCCACGGACACTCCCTAGCCCCCTAATTTTGGGGGGAAAGCCTAACTCTTAGTTCTCCTGGCCATTGGCTGCATCTCCACCCTGAACCCTCAGATATCCCGCAAAAGCCGCGGCCGCATTAGCAACTGGACAATGTCGCCTTGAAACCATTTGCGCATCGTTAGTTCAAATAAACATGAGGTTTTTATTGGTTGCTAATCATCTCACGGTAGTATCGTGTGCTTCATACAGAATAAAATCGCTCTATGTAAGGGGTAGTATGGGTAAGAACTATTTGCGAGTTTTCCCGACCTCCGCCCCCGGCCGGGCCTGCCATCTCCGACTGGCCAGTACCTCCTCTCTTTTTGTTTTCGTGATGTTTGGACACTACCCCTCTATGTCCTTTGCGATGGCTGCAGATGGCGATGCAGCCTGCCGAACGAAGACGTTCACAAAGCTAGCAGCACTGCCGACAAGTAATAGCCCCGTAGCGGCCCAAGTCATCCCGAGGAACTGCCCTCCATAGCTCGCCGAGACATTCGACCCTTTCCCATGGGCGTTGATAAGAGCGACAAACTCAAAAGCGATGACGGTGGCGATAATGGACGCAATGCTGACGGTAAAGAATCCAAGCTAAAACAATTCCATAGTCAGCCTCTGTGGTATTGTGGGGAAATGCAACTGCACTGCACAGACCGCAGAGAGTTTATGTAGAACCAGTTCATGACCAGCTGCCACTGCTCATGTCATGTACGGGGTCACTCACCGTTAAGAATCCAAATTCAAATAGGCCTTGTCCGTTACGCGGGGCCAGACTCGTCCATACTTGTACGAGGAGTGCAGCGCCCATCGCACCAATCCCCATACAATACAGCACGGCCATGGCTCGGCTGGTTGTGCTGAAGGCGTGGAAGTCATCGCTGATCACGCGCGGCCACTCCAGTTCCGGGCCGTGAGTGCTGCTCGCCTTCGGCCAGGCTTGCATCGGATCGAATGAGAACAGGATCGTGCGGTTCGAGCACGAGGTCACGTTGCGCGTGACTCCGGCGCTTGGGTCGGTTGTTCCCAGTGTTCCCTGACAATAGGACATGAGGTGGACGGAATAGAAATCGTGGGAGAGGGTGTCGGTGCTACCGGCGATGCCAGTGCTGCCTGAGGGGGTGTAAAGCTAAATGGATACACCGGTCAGCTTCGGTCTGTGTCTCGTCTAGTGATGCCGTTATAGGCAAAGAGCTTACCGTCAGGAGATCTGCGTCATCTAGGAGGTTTCTTTGCGTTCCTGCAAAGAGGCATAGGAGGGTGAGTATAAACGCGATGAAACCCGCCACCGTCGGGAAGAGCCTCTTGAAATCCAGCATGATGATTATGGAAGTGCGTATACTGCAGTTAGCAAACGGTATAACCACCGGTGGGCTGCAGATGATATAAGCTCGACGTTCTGTCAGAGATCTTCAGAATCTGTGATTCTTGCACCCTTCGCGATCCTTATATACCATGCTGGCGATTGGGTCGGTCGGGAGCTAGAGTTCTTTCTCACGATGTCTGCATTCCAAACGTGGGCTGTCGGAAGGGCGAGATTTCGCGGGAACGCTCCGGTACATAGTATATCGATCAAGTTTCGGTTCCTGAAGGAATGTATGGAGCGCACATGATCTTGCGGAAAGCCTCCAGTGCATTGCGGATGTTAGTAGCCCAGTTACGATGGTTAGGCTGGTAGAAGGGAATGGGTGTGGAGGCCCTGCCCGCTTCAGGAATGTTGAAGAATGTTGCCAGCCACTGCATGTCTCGCTCGGAAGGGCAGATTTTATCGATAGGGTCTGGAGTTAGTGAAATCACTCAAATCAGTGAGAGAAGTATGCTACATATCAATAGGCTGGGGTGAATTTGATCTCAAGGGGGTCAAGGGTGATGTACTGCGTTCATATAGTACGTGCATCGACTCCAACCCCGGATTGACGTCAGCGACAGGGGTCTTGACCACGTTCTTTATCTCGCGGTTTTTCCCGATTGCCTTTCAAGTTGTACTGTGACACTCCCTAGGCCCTAGGGCCTTGTCCCTCAATACCCCCTCGTTTCTCATTGCTGTTAGCGACCCATATCATAAGGGGGTCAAGATGCAGTTCGACGCGTTTTTGGAGATTCCGCGGTTTCTCGTACACCAACGCGAATATTGAAAATCGAGCGATGTCTTCCAACTGCGCCTTTCTGAGCCGAATCTGTTGATACCAGAAATACATATAGGATAATAGGTCTACGAAATTGGGGAAGAAATATGTCCTTTTAATATCCACTGGAGTCCCCTCGTCGAAATGATTGTGTGCCCTAACCATTCCGCCGAAACGTCCGTGAAATGCATTGACTAATGCTAATGTATAGGAGCCACTCCTGATCCCCAAAATCAACTTTATCGCGCCACTGTTGACTCCATACCTGCTGAACACCATGCCAGACAGATATCAAAAAGGCTTCGTGGAACCTCTAGATGGAATATGGATCGAAGAAGCCCTCCTGCGGCGATATACTGGCCAATACAAAGCTTCTCAGTGATGGCAGAGATATGCTCTGTGGGATCACGAATCGTTTGATGTCGAACAATCTGGTTGTAAGGGAGATTGTCCCATGACACAATGAGAATCTTCTTGCGAGTCGCTCGGAAATTTTGTTTCATTCATCTCTGGACACTTCTTAAGAAGTCAGCCAGAGCAAGTTATTGTCTAATGATTGAGACTTACCTGTCCTAGGTCTGCGAGTTTCTTCCGTCGGTCCATGATAGTCTTGTAAGCTGTAATTATCCCCAGGCCAGACAGGAGGCTAATCACGCGTCGCTTGACCCCGTTTGCATGTAAGTACAGGCCGAGCAGCGTTGGGAAGTTGTTGCTTTTCCGCGGTGCAAAGGCAAACGCGAGCATTGAACAGATCATCAAGATGCTGCCTGGATAGACTGTAGCCGTATCACGAGAGCCTCTTGGTGGTGTCATGATGCCGACCAGGAGACTCCATAGCTCTGGAGCTTTAGACTGAGCTCGCGTAGCCAATGCAGGAACAACATCCACATGTTCAGGATCAGTATACAATTCAAAATCGCCCAGTACGTCAAGGCCTTTAAGCTCAGATTGTAGCCGAGAAGCTTGTTCGGACAGGCCAATGGTATAGATGTCCTTGGAAACACTAGCTAACTGACTGACAACTTCCGGTTGCCCGTATATTGCTTGCGACAGCAGTCTTGCGCGCCGTTTTTCCGAACTGCCGTACGGTATCTCCGGTGGAGCATGCACCATATGGTAGATAAGATCCTTCATAGACCACCTGTGATGTTCCCGAAGGTCTGATAGAACCATATCAACTCTCTCGCGCGGAGTGAGGCTCTTTATGTAGCGCGTTGCGGATTGTTCATTTCGTGGAGTGGACGCGTCTCGTCCGGCGAGGGCGACATTCGGACACGTTTTCGCGACATGGTCTGGGGTTTTCCACTATAAGCCATTCTTAATTTAACACATGAGTCATGAGTATATGAAATATGCTTACCTCGATGATAATGTCATAGTTCGAGAAAATGTCGACAGGCATGTACAGCGGGGGTTCGCGGCTCAGACAACAAACTGAGCAACCCGGGTTAGTGTGGCAGAATTCAGCCTCGCCATTGGCTGCGGTCTGAGGCAATGCCGCCTTATCACGATTCACGACTCCTGTTACTAGTACTAGGGCTATGTAGTTGCCAGTTGCGACGCGTCGCCTTACTACTTACGGGCGAAATGGTCGCGTGGCAGAATTATTTCCCTCTGATTGGTTGTTCGTAGTTGCAGTCTTTCCGCCTGTCTATTGCGGATAGTTTGCCCTTTCCGGTCCCACCCTTACCCTACCGCTTTCCCCCGAACACTTCGTCCAGCCCCTGGAAAGTCAACCTATCCTCTTTCCACGTTCTACAATTCTACGGTCTGCACCTTTCTACACCTTCGCAATGACCGACGATCCTACGATCCAGAATTGCCGGATCGGTCGATGCATCATCCGAAAGATCTCCAGTCTGGATAGGGCTTCCAGGAGGCCCAACTTGAGAGTGCTGACCGGCAATGAAGCGAGATCTGGGGTCGCTTGATCCAAAGCTGGGAGGTTGGTATCCAGAATAATAACCAATATTGTCGAAAATCGGGAGATTATCAAGGTCGTCAAAAGCTGGGCAGAGCTTGGTAGGTCTTGCACATCAGGTTTCCAAGACCGGAAAGGCTCCAGGCGATACGTAGCATATTGTGCGCAACAGGAAGTTCCTATCCTACAGGGTAAGACAGAGAACCCCCTTAGCTTTTGTTCCAGGTAAACATGGGGAACCAGGCATTATCACGGGGATTGATTTCTGGTGTCCGATATCTCATCATCGACGAAAAGTCCATGATTGGCCTGCAGATGCTCTATTGGATCGATCGTCGTTGTCAGCAGATCTTCCTGGATCGGCGTGAGGAACCCTTCGCTGGCTTGAACATCATCCTCGCTGGTGACTTCTTCCAGCTTCCTCCGGTTCCCCGGAAAGCGCTTTTCACCCCCGCTAAGCAGCCGTTTAATTGTTTAATTGTCGAGGAATTGTATGCAGAACGGAACGCCTCGCTCTCTGGGCCGGAGTTCTGCTGACGCACAACTGTATCAAGCTCTACTGTGGTGGCAGTGTCGTCATACTTATACCGCGCATGCAGCTCCTCGACACTTAAACGGCTGCTTATCGGAGTGAATAGTGGTTTCTGGGTAACCGGAGGAAGCTGGAAGAAGTGACTGCCGAAGAAGGGACTGTGGAAAGAGGGCCTGCGGCAATGACGGACTGCGGAAAGGAGCGACTGTGGAAGGACGTATCTGGTGCAACTACCTAGGTATGTTGTGCAATAAAGTCCATCGAAGAAAGTATCTACCGCGTAGATATATTCGCCTACTATCTACATGGGTCTGTTCGCTATTTAGCATTCGGGATCACCCTGCGTTTAGGCTCGAAGGTGGGTTCGCCCGGGTCTCCCCGTCTTTGTCCCTGCGGATTAATGATTGGTCGCTTTACCAAGCCATGCTTGCTAAAATATGCTCGATTGGGATACGTAGGCGAAGCTGAGCGTCGCAGTTAAATCCCAAGGCCTTTGGGCGCCGGGAGACCCTGTATCTTCAGCACGAAAAGATTCAGTCAGCGACTCAGCACCCAATGTGGCCCGATTCAGCATTCCTGCCGAAAATCCCCCACAGCAACGTGCAATATCTCGACGGACTTCATCCATTGAAGTGTACTTGCCATTCCAGCAGCCAGAAATGACAGACCCGAAGGCCAGAGTCTCAACAGGCGGGAACTTCTGCTGTGGGAACAATCCCTCAACAACTGTCACTAGCTTTCCCATTTCCAGAGTCCTTTCCAGCTCGTTGTAGGGGACGCGCCCTGTTTCAAGCTCAACAAAGCATCGAACCAAAAGCAAATATATCTGTGCAGATGCTGATTTCAATGCCAGGCCGGAGGCTACACCACTCGTAGCCGACAAGGGGGCTCCACCGTCGATACCGGAGCCAGCGAAGTCAATAAACTTGACGTGATTGGCATTATCATGGATGATTTCGTGGCAACCAGGTACCAACATCTGCATGAACAATGCCTTAGGTTGCTATGAATATATACCAGACCATCCGCAGCTTCCAGCGCCCACTGCAGCTTCATTCCCCAACCCGAGGAATGGCAGACTCGCTGACATCCCGGAGCATGCTCCGAAGACAAGTTCCACGTTCCAGTAGGAGACCTTTCTCGGTCACCTCACAAGATGCAATGCGCTCATGGTACCCAAGCCGCTCGTAACAGCGGATTTCAATGCTGTAAGTTTGACGTTCGAAATCCCCTATGTGGGACGGATGTTGGTGACGTTATTTTTTGTCAACAGCAAGGATTACTGAGGCCGTACCGGCCGCAATGATGGAATCGGCTCGGCTCAAGCTCGGGCTGGAATATGCATTCGTTTTGATTAGATCTATGAGAACGCCTTCCATATATACGGAAACACCACGATTATGGGTTATATAGCACAACCATACATGTCACTCCTCAGGTCGTCCCTCCATGGTAAAGGGAAAGAAAGCCAGGAACAAACTAAGAAACATAATCCAACACCCCTTTAACCACGCTGTCGAGATCGAAATCGTCTGGATGTATCATCCAATTGTAAGCCACGATGTTAATCAAGCGTTCATGTGTATCATTGAATTGAACCCAAACATGGCCTGTGTTTGGCGGATGTGCCATGAAAGGCAGCTTGCAGTCCCCTAACATCTTTCAGCCACAGTCTACACGAGGTTTCCCCGGCGATCCACTAGTGCTCGAGCGGCTGTTTCCGTGTCGGCGATATCCGTGATGAATCTCTGTGTAGCCATATGTTTCAAGAGCCCGCCCACTCGTTGCATCTGGGCTTCTTGCCAGGCAATAGTAGCGATGACCTGGTCTTCAAGATCTGGAGGCCCACGGCCCTCGAGGGCGACCTCACAGGCAGTTGGCAGGGTTGAAACCCAGTGCGAACTCTGCAGTGGTCCAAGGTCTTCCAGGTAGTTCGCTATGACTATGGCATCCATGTCTGTCTCCGCGCCATTTCCCACCGGGCTATCATCCGCTAACGCCTGTGTTGGCTCTCACTCTGAGCTTGCCAAACCACGAAGTTTTCTCCAAAAGCGACGGGTGGAGATCCGCGGCTGCAAGACAGACTCATGACGATCTTGCTCGGAAGCCACATTCATGATTGCGGTTGCAATCTTTGGATTCAAGATCATACATATTACCCGGTGGCGCCAGAGTTCATGGGCACAAAGCCAAATTCACCCGCTCCTGTCCCCCGGCACCGGAAGCACATTCCAACAATCCACTCGTCCACTCGTTAGGGGTCAACAAGTCACGACCCTCCTCCCCCCAACTCAAGACGAAGTGAGAAATATTCTGTGAAAGAAGAGCACGGGCAGACGATATCACTAGCGGCGTGGAGGTCTATTGGTTGAGCTCAACAAGCATCATCTCGTCAACTATGCGGCTCCGATCCTGAGAGATTCGCCCCTCGGGAATAAGTCGGGATAGGAGGTTGTCAGCTCCTCCACGAATGCGGCTCCGAATAGAGAGCACCGGTTCCGGCCAGATTCCGATTTATATGCATAGGACTTCTCGCCGATTGTGCTTGCTGTCTCCATGAGCATGCCTGGCCTGAAACATTTCTGATCCAGTCCATGATGTGTGATTTAAGGCCATGGGCCTCCAGTCGATAGAATGATCTTGTAGCCTCCTGACTGTTACAAGTCAATTGAAAAGAGGTCAATTCGGTACCCAGGACGGAAGTATCGTAGCTGAGGAAAGACAGAAGCAAAGATCCAAGGGCGTGGGTACGCGTTCTGATAAGCCGGCGTCATATGGGGTAAAGGTTAAGAAGACCCCGTCCCTACCCTGAGACAGACTCAGGAAATGGTGATTAAAGAGGTTTTATGTGTGAATGGGCAGAGTGCTGGAGTGCTCTGAGTCCGGACATTCTCCGAGTAAATGAAACGACCGTACAATAGGGCTACACAGTAGTGGTCGGTTGACCCCATGGGACATTCCGGCGACAATAGTCTTAAGAGCCTCGAACCTGTTTTCCGATATTGTAAGTCAGTCTGAGCTCACAGTCATTGCATTTGGTAGCAGGCAACAGAGCTGTATACGTACATGTGCATTCTCATCACATCTGGAGGGCATCCTCGTCTCCTCTTGAAGCCTTGGGTCCATGGTTCAGCTTCAAAACTCCACCAAGACAGGGAGAAGAGCGGCTGATGCGGCTTCTGAGGCAGCTCGGTACTATCCCAAGCTTCTTGCAACCTCCCTCTGCAGACCAGAGATGATCGAGAGGAAGCAGCCTCATCCAGATGACCCAGCGTCATGGAGGGGACCCCGCCTCATCCAGATAACCCAGCGACATGGAGGGAGCCCCGCCTCATCCAGATGACCCCGCCTCATTGAGAGGAAACAAGAGGCTGCTTCCTCTCAAAGGAGAGTCAACCAGCCATCGTGGGGCGGTTGCTGTCCATTGCACCAGGCGTAGTTCTGGTGGTGATCAAACCTAGATGGTGGTCACCCGGGGTGGCGTAGTCCTCGTGCTCTTCACCACGTCCACAGTCTCCATGTCATCTTCTCAAAGTCTGTCGGCGTGATGAGCACGTCACGTTCTCCTTGTACCGGGACTCTATCGTAGAGAGCATCGAATGGCAAGACATGATCCGTCGTGTTCGTTGGCGATGGTTTAAATCGGGAGTGAACCAAGAGTTGAAACGTTGGAAGCAACGTCGGCCATGCTTCGCGATGTGAGTGCCAAGACGGGAACATGGTCGGTCAATGCTGGTACATGTCTGATGTCTTTTAGAACCAGGATGTGGTGAGGACGCCATATTGTCGAGTAGAACCCGGACGTCTAGTCATAAGATTAGACGAAGCCACCCATGTTGCTGGGGCATGTCGCCTCTGAACCGTATGCCACACCATGGACATCACAGCCTCACAGAGGGGACCATGGAATGATGGAACTTGGAACCGATGAACCGGGAGTCGAGTTGATGGGCGTATGAGAGATGAGAGAGATGATGAGGACGATGTAAGGGTGGTGAAAAGGCATACAAGAGGATGGATGAAGGAGAGAAGAACTATCAAGGTGAGAAGCAGCCTATATATATGCGAGAAAGCAGAAACTGCAGGGGCATTTGAGCACTCCAAGATCCAGCCCACGAGCTGGCAAGTTTCTTGGATTATGACAGCCTTTCTGTCCGTACCCCGGGTCCTTTTCTTCACTTCCAGAATGGCGAAAACCTCGCTCGGGCGTTCTCTGGACCGAAGTGCTCCATCCGTAGATGCCTTGTAGTTACCTTGGGCAAACTTCGCACGGAAAGAGACTCTGTTGAAAACCCATTCCAATGGCGAGGGGGTCAGGCGTAAGAGTGCCTGCAGCATGGTGAAAGCAGCTGCATTGACTGTACACTCGTCCTCCGCGTCTGGCACTCGAGACACGCGGGGTTCTGCTTGCCCTGGGGCTCTCAGGCCTGATAATTCATTAATAGTCTGCGTACCATAATCCATATGAAGCACGCTCACACTTTTTGCCTCGTTTGCACATGTGGCATCCGAACTCTCACTTAGGATCTGTCCAAGTCACACCACTGTGACACTGTCTCGTTTCGGCTGTACTCGTAACACTGACTATCGTAGATGCGGACTCGATCTCTCAAGTCCTCTCGCCCGAACAGGAAAGGCCCGGCCATATTCGTGATATCGTGAAGATCCGTTCCCGAGAGACATCTCGGATGAAGCTCGTCTGCCATAAACTTCTTTGCAATCGCCACAGTCTGTCGCTGGGCCGTGTCGAACACGGATCCTCCAAAGACTATATACGCGAAGGTGTGGGATCTGAGGTCGGACATTTTGGAATGGCCGAATCTATATCCATTTATCTTGAGACTAGAAGGGCTCGGAAGTGAGAAGGGAGAGAGTTGTATTGGGAGAGGAGCGAACTCCCGAACCGAAACTAGCTGGCGAGCAGTAGTTATGTTTATTGACATGATAGAGATAATCGGGCAGGTGCGACACCCCGTGATCCCGCTCAACCATGGCACTACCTACATCCGTTCCGTTGACATAATGATATCATATGACCTAGGGCTGCATCTTTTTACGCCTGAAAGCACTTGAGACCATTGCTACGCAGCGATTTAAGTTCAAACCCGAATCCATACTCTTATATGGGACCGCAACTGCCACAGACTCGCTGGCCGGTGTCAAAAGTCCGACAGGGACAGCGACAAGATTATTCTGACTTATGCATCTGCCCCCGGGGAGAAAGAGGCGACATCCCGAAAGAGTTTCGGCGGGTGGGATACCTAGGAGCAGACCATGCAGGGAAAGCACGGTGATAGCACTTTTCAAGGTGTAAGGAAGGATGAGATCTCTGATAAGAAGATTTAGGTCGAAGTCCGGCCTTAGGATGAGAGGTTAGCTAGCGGAAATCAAGGGAGATCTTTAGCTGGGGCCCATTTATCCTCGAGAAGATCGTAGGGACTCGAGATATTAGGTGCTTTGAAGGTTGACAATCAAACGATGCAGGCAACACAATCCAGAATGGACTCGAGTTAACCTAGACTAAGAGGTCCGTGAGAATGAAATACGCAGAAGATTATAAATCTGGCACCATGTAGCGCAGCCCCTGAGAGACCACAAAGAACTCCGATGTACTGCAATCTACAGCATGACATATGCAAGGCACACCATGCGGTTGATAAAGTCCGAAGCAGGGGTGGAGTCTGGTCCGAGCCATCAAACGCGTGGCCTAACTTTAACGAAAGACCACCCGCCATACACAGTAGGAGCACGTGCGTGCCAATTCAATCCACTCTGCCGTGAACTTTGAAGCACCAAGCCTTGTAGAAGCTCACTTGGCGACGCCTCGTCTATTGCTTGGTAGCAACTGAATTGCGCTTGGAAAGCTTAGACTGTGCCGAGAGACCGAGAGATGAAAGCAAGCTTTAGCCAAGGTTCTGCAATGTGCTTGACATAGAGGTGTCGCATGCATCAACTTAGGAGGTTATATCAGTGCTAGCTGGTTCATAGCAGGGTTGTTTGGGTTCCATTTGAAGCGGAATTCATCGAACATCTCGTCTAAATGCATTGCGGTTATTAAAAGTCAGATTGAACACGAAATAGGATGACATGAAGCATAACAGTGACTCGCGAGCTGATACCACGTGGTTGATAGATGCGCAGATTAGGAAGGAAGATTGCGGAGGAGAGGATTGCACATGTCCAAATACTGCACGCTGAGTGGCCAGAGATCCTGCATATCTTGGAGAGAGTTACCGGGTGGACGACTAGTGTGGAACTTTCTTGCCACTACGTCAATGGCCAGAATGTGCGGCCCGTCTTTTTTTGACTGGTGGTCCATTCAGAATCGGCTTGGATCTTGCCGGGATAGAGGGGTCTTTAATATCGAAAGGCCCATTATAGACAATGCCTCCGGACCGCGGGTCCGCGTGTCGAAGCGCAAATGACATTTCCCCTGTATCCGAGAAGACTTGTAAGTTCGCTAAGTTGTACTTGTCGGTGAAAGCAATCGCCACTGTGTCCGAGACAATCCATTGCCAATTGGCATTGAAAGAATATCGCTACCTGGCAATCGGCCCTGTTAGTCGAGTAATTCATACATAAGCCCGTTGTACAACACACCTTTCAGTGAGATCAACATCTCAGGATCATCCAACCATCACAAACTTTTATTCGCCCCGCGATTCTTTGGGGTGATCTGCCGTGAACCGCAGGCGGTGAGAATCTGCATCCGAATTCTGCCACCACGTGCATAGTTGATTGGTTGTTGACAGCTCCAGATTAACTCCGCTTAGACCCACTTGGACCCACTTTAAGTAGAAAATCTGTTTCCGGAGCCAAAGTCAGACTAAAAAAGATCCGCACCAAGAAAACCTCCAGGGCCAAGGGCCAAGCAGATCCCAACGCAACCAAGATGGAGCCATCACAGTGGTTCCTTTCGATTTTTTTCTTTTTCTTTTGTGGCTTTTTTTCTGGGTTTCGGTGGAGACCCGCCACTGAACTTATCATTGCCTCGTTACATGTGCCCCCAATCTCTTCGGTTGCTCCGACTTTCCTAATTTTCTCCTCCCACCTTCTCGTCTTTCTATAAGATAGTCTTGTCGCCACTTCTCTCGACTGGAGTTCACCCACACTCCAATCTTCGTGGCCATCCCGAGTTTTCTTTCCCTCCCCCGGAATTGAACCTGTTATCAGGCGAAATCCCTGCTCACGCGACACTCGAGCTTTGAGGGAACACTCCAGAACACTCACACACAATGACCGACTTTGGACCTCGTGCCCCCCATGGGCCTGATATGACGGGAGACCATAACCCACTGGAGGACATGGATATCCACGAGAAGGGTGCTTTCGATTCCCTCATCCGCCCCGATGACAGTTATACCCCCGAGGGCACCTACTGGGCCGATTTGCCGCTTCTCAAGAAGATTCGTTTCGTCACCGCATACGACAACCAAGAAGCCAAGCGGGAATTGAGCGATATTTGGGCCATGGTCAAGAAGGACCCGCTCTCCCCTGTTTCTTACTACTTCCGCAACATGGTTCTCCCCGGTGCTGGTCTCGGTCTGGAGGGTTATGTGCTGTTCTCCATCGGCAACATTAAGCCTCTCTTTGAGAAGGCTTTCCCGGCATGCTGGGATACGGCTGAGATTTGCAGCCAGTCGTGGCTCTCCGCCATCGAATATCTCGAAATCATTGGTATCATCGTGGGTCAGGTACTGGTTGGAGTTTTGGGTGACTGGTAAGCCGAAATTGCAGAGGCCCTTTGAGGCTTAGAACAGAGTTAACTTGGGGTTTAGGATTGGCCGTCGCTGGGGTTTGATCCAAGATGCTGCTATCATGCTTCTCGGTCTCATCATGCTCACTGCCGCCTGGGGCGTGACACAGAATGGCTGGGTTATCTGCTATGCCTGGTCTCTTTTCATCTACGGCATTGGTGTCGGCGGTGAGTACCCCATGACCGCCACCAGCGGTATGGAAAACGCTGTCGGCTCTGGCAAGATCTCCACCAAGGAAGATCGTCTGCACCGTGGCCGCAAGGTTACCAGTGCCTTCCTGATGCAGGGTTGGGGTCAATTCTTCAACCAGGTTCTGCTCATCATCCTCCTGCTCTGTTTCCACCACGGTAGCGGCAACAACCCCTACTCTGCTGTTGCTGTTCAGTGGACCTACCGTGTTTCCTTCGCCATTCCGGCCGTTGGCACCCTCTGGCTCGTGTACTACCGTGCCTACCACATGAAGGCTGCCAGCAAGCAACTCGCCGCTGCCAAGAAGAAGGCCTCCGTTACTGGTTACGATGCCCAGTCTCTCAAGCTGACCTTCCACCACTTCGGATTCCGCATCTTTGCCACTGCTGGCGGCTGGTTCGCCAACGATGTCTTCTTCTACGGCAACAAGCTCTTCCAGAGCGAGTTTATCAAGGTCATCAGCCCCGCCTCCGAGTCCGTCATGCCCACTTGGCTGTGGAATTTGTGCAATGTCGGTGTCTCGCTTTGCGGATACTACATGGCCTCTTTCCTGATCGACAACAAGCTGTACGGCCGCAAATGGATGCAGATCATCGGTTTCCTGCTCTGTTTCATTTTGTTCGTCGTCCCTGCCTTCAACTTCGATTACTACCGCCGGCCCGAGAACATCAGGTCTTTCCAGGCCATGTACTTCCTCAGCTCTTTCTTCAACCAGTTTGGCCCGAACTCGGTCTCTTTCCTGGTTGCCGCAGAGGTGTTCCCCACCCCTATTCGTGCATCTGCTCACGGTATGTCTGCTGCCTGGGGTAAGGCCGGTGCCCTTCTGGCTGCCGTCCTGTACAACTACATCGACACCCAGACCAAGTTCTACGTGGTGCCTTGGTTCGGTCTGCTTGGTGCTGTGATCACTGCGTTCTTCCTCCCGGACACCACTGGTCTGGATCTCAAGGAGCAGGAGCGCCGTTGGGAATACCTCCGTCAGGGTAAAGAGGAGGAGTACCATGGACCTGCTGTCCACCCCAAGCACCTGTCATGGTATGAGCGCTACATTCTCAAGAAGGGCCGCTTCTACAATGCCGAGCTCGATTACCAACGCAAAGTCGAGGAGTACCGCATCGAGTGGGAGTCTGCCATGGCAGCCAAGGTCGCCGAGAAGGAGAACGCAAATGACACCACATTTGATACCGACGACACCCTTCTCGAGGGCCATGTTCACACCTACTTCCATCGCACCAGCCCCATGTTCAAGGGCATGGAGAAGACTGTCCCCTCCAAACAGGACAACTTTGCCTTGCCTCCGCCTGCGGAGAGCGAGTCCGAAGACAACTACTCAAATGAGAAGCAATAATAGGGGTTCTTCTCGTGTCTAATTGAATTTTCTTTCTGCTGTTTTTGCTTGGCTTCATACCTTACCATGCATATTTACTGAGTCGATTTTGTCAAACTTGCATACTACATGAACTGGACGCATGATTTTTGCTTGATGCATGAAGCGGGCCTTCGCTCGATGTGATTAGATCTTGATACCACTTACTGCGCTGATTCCTAATGGTGAACTTGCTACCATATCATTTTCAAAAGAACTACCATTTTACAAACATCCTATTCAAACCATGAACAAGATTGCAAGAGTGATCCTAGAAGATATGCCTACGAAGTAAGCGCCTTCGTAGCCAGCTCCGATGAATGCGAAGGATACCGTCACCGGTAGTATCCGATGAACTTGCCGGACACCAAAAAGGCACCGGATGCTCCCTCCTATTGGCGTCACCACTTTACAACACAGTAACAACCGCAACCAGCCATAATGAGCCATTTTCATTGACTTCTACGTCAGATCTGGGCGAAACAAGTAACAGATGCCTGTGAAGACTGAAGTCCCTACAAGTGGAACAGACCAAACATTGATAGACAACTCATGACGCTAAACCCGAAAAGACGAAGCTAAACCTAATGGGGTAATGCGCCGTCACGAGACTACGCAGTACTCCGTACAAGAGCACATTGATGTATGGCTATGGACAGCGTCACCCGAACCCATCTAAAAGCATAGAATATAAGAGGAAAAAACCAGCAAAAAAAAACAAGAGAAATGAATATCTTCGCCTTCGGCTCAAACGGCTCAGGCCAACTAGGCATCGGCCACGAAGACGACGTCTCAACACCAACGCAATGTCTCTTTGAAGACCCAAACTCCAACAACCCCACCAACGGAAATAAAATCACCACCATCGCAGCAGGCGGGAATCATACCCTCCTCCTAACAACCAGTGGCGTCCTCTACGCCGCCGGCTGCAACACGGATGGACGGTGCGGGCCGCGCAAGCCCACAAACCAGAGCCAGAATCAGAGCCAGACAGAAGCCTCAAATGGCACGAATCTCCTACGCTTCCGCAAGGTAATCCTCACAGACCCCGTGTCCGACACCGCAGTTTCCAAATTCAAGCATGTTTCCGCTACATGGGAAGGAACGATTGCAGTGGCTTCCGTGCCGTGCAGCCAAGAGCCAGACTCTAGCCGCCAAGACCGGGTTTTCGTCTTCGGCTCGTCGCCCAAGGGCGAGCTGGGCGTTGGAATAGAGTCGCCCGTCCCCGGGTTTTGGTCCTGTATGAGTTCGTTTCCGCCGGAGGGTACGGAAATCACCGCGCTAGCGAGCGGGATGGCTCATTCGGCTGTTGTGCTTTCGGACGGATCTGTTTATGGATGGGGTGCTGCGCGGAAGGGGCAGCTTGGAGCTGGGAATTCGGCGGGGAAGATTGCTTATTCGCCTGTGAAGATTTGGGTTCCGTTTTTCGCGGAGAATGTGGCTTGTGGAAGGGAGTTTACGGTTGTTTCTGGAAGGGGTAGGTTTGTTGTTCTTGGTGATTGGGGCAATCGCTGGGGTGTGTTGCGGGTGCCGGATTTACTTGCGGTGCCGGGTGCGGAGGTGGATGCGGGTCTGGGGCTTGCTGGGGAAGAGAAGGGGTGTGGAGGGTGTGAGGGGTCTGTTCCTTATGGGTGTGCTGATATTGGGGCTAGTTGGCATGGGGTTTATGTACATGCTGCTCCGGGACGGGAACGGGTGGAGGCTATGTGCTCTGGGTCTTGGTCTTCGGTTGAGGGCCAGACTGGTTCCCAGTCTGGGTCTGCCGGGTCTCTTGTTGCTTGGGGGCGCAATGATCGAGGACAGCTTCCACCGTCGGAACTTCCGACCCCGGTCAAGTTCGCTGTCGGTAGCGAGCATGCCCTTGCGCTCCTGGAAGACGGTCGAGTTGCGGCTTTTGGATGGGGCGAGCATGGGAATTGTGGGCCGGATACGGATTCCCAAGGGAATGTATCGGGTAGATATAATGTGGTTTCGCTCCCTGAAGCAGTGGATGGGAAGGTCGTCGGCGTTGGAGCCGGGTGTGCGACGAGCTGGATCCTTCTTGAATGATTTTCATTTGGCTTTCGCAGTCCCGAGAGTGCTACTTCGACTTCCTCGAAGCATTGCTCAGTCGAAGAGACCATATCGGCGAACCTACATGCTATCAGCACACGCCAGTCAAAGTTGCAAGAGCCGGACTCCACATACCTGGGATAATCGTTGTGTCGGTGGAAGACCCATTTCATCGTCCTGCTCGTCGGATCGAGATGCATCCTGCCTTGCCAAGGTTGGCTCTGCGTCGCGGATAGATGCCCCGAATGCATCCTGGTCAATCGGTCAGCCACATCTACCACACCCATCACGACAAATTTCATCACATACCTGCGTTCCGGACGCATCCCACCCGAGAATATCTTGTGGCTCCTCTTCTTCATTCATTTCATCCCACTCTCTATCATCGTCAGCAGGCACGAAGAGAGCATCGAATTCCATCGAAAGACCAGACGCCAATGGCTGATTCGTGCTAGCTCTCTGACTCAGGTTTTCCTGCGTAGACGATCCATTCAGAGGACGAATCGATCTGCTCCGTGGTGGTGGTGGCGGCAGCATCTCCATACTGACAGTTGCCGACGGCCGAGGCCTAGCTACTGATGTCGCGACAGGCGCGGGTGTTTGTCGCGGGATTGTCGCTCGCGAGGATGTCGGGACGTCTTCACCATCCGCTTGGCCGCGGGTCATGACCGTGAACTCTGCAGTGATGCCTTCGAATGAATACGCCAGTTGGAGAGGTTTGCAGGGCCGGGTATACCGTGCTGTCACAGTGGCATTTGCTGTTTCGGCGTGGGCGACGACAGCTTTGAAATCTTTCAGGTTGATCGCGACATGCATGTTCTCTTCGACCCAGTATTCCTGGAAGTCGCGCTTATCTGCTGCTACCGATGTATGCACCGGGTGCTTTAGCACCTCTGTCTGAATGTCAGTCTAGAACTTATACCTGGCAGTGTATTCGACATACCTTTTCCCTCCGTGATCTTCGTTGTAAAACTCGTAAACACAGCCTTGCCGGAATCAGAGTACATATCCAGCTGCTCAGCAGATGGACTGAAATGCTCAACGACCTGCTTAAGGAATCGCGGATCAGCAGCCCACATGCTAGTTGCTTTAGACTTATCGAAAACCGCATGCTGGACTGCCGCTGGCTCGTAGGTGAGCTTATATGATTTAATCACCCCTAGAAGAAACGTCAGAGATATCCAATCCAAACCAACTGCAAGGATCTTACCAAGCCCACAGATCATCTTCACTGTCAATCTACATTCAGTCTGCTGCAGGTCTTCATGCAATTCCATATCACATCGTTCAACGGCCGTATCCTTATTCCTGTCAATTCGACCACGGAAAATTGACAAAAGTGCCTTTAATAAGTCAGCCCAAGATACCGACATACTCACTCCAAACATGCTTGAGTAGAATCCAACGAGAACAATCAATCTACTACACTTGCCTTAATATAGATCTGACAAAAGAACCGATCCATCGAAACACCGCGACCATCACCGCCAGCCTCAAAAGAATACGACTGGAAGTAAACCTCTTTCTCAAAGGCAAAGGAGGCAAACCCCGTCTTAGTGGAATTGAGCGCACTCAGGCGGAGCTGGCGCAAGTCAGTCAACAGTCAACGCAATGTCCCGTCAATTGTTGGTCTCTAGACCCTCTCGAGTGGTCAGATCAAGAGAAAATAACTTACGAGATCAGGCTCTGCTTCAATGGAGACTGTTTCGCTGAATTTGGACAGACATATCAGGGCATCGTGGAGCTGGACTAAGGCTGGTGGGCTGAGGGACAAGGAGAGCGATGTCATGGTTGCGGTGCGGGCTATCTGGTCTGCTATTTAGTGCTTGATGAGACTTGGATAGGAAGGTATCTGGAGGTTTCAATTTTTCCTCTTCAAGTTGAAGTCATCGCGTGCTTGTTGGCTGTTTGAGGTTTGGTTGAACCTAGGACCTCGAAGACGCGGCGGATACACCCCATTACGTAAGCTTTTTTATAGAGCGGGCTACCTAACTAACTAACTAGCGAAAGTTGCAGGTATGATTGGTAGAACGATGTCCTTTGGTCTAGACACCTTCTGCTGGTCTGTTCAGTGTCTATCGGAGTTCATGCAAGATGTATGTAGTCTAGGAAGGTATTCTCACTTGCCTACAAGGTGGTGATCTATATCGAACCTAAGACGTGCCGGACACTCAGACGGGCACACGGCAGCATTGGAACTTTGGAAGTATGGGCATCAATATTTTGACCTTCAATAGATACAATATGTACAACAGTCTTGGACAAATATGTAAGGAAACAACAGTAGAAGAATCGTAAATCTCGTCAAAAAGAAGGGTATAGGTATCGCTGGGATGGGGAAAGATATGTGCACTTGCACCCCCGAGGACCGAGATGACTTTTGTGCATCGAATAGTTATGTGTGTCGGAACTGTGCTATCCAGTTCCATGATTTGATTCTGTAACAGGGCGTCCCTCTGCAATATCTCGTGCATTTCCCTCTCTGGCATTCGCATTGGCCGCAGGTTCTTGATTCAGGCCACGGTCTTCTCCCCGATCCCGCTGGGGTAAAGGCTGCGGAAACTGCAATTGCAAGAATCGTCGCCTGCGTCGTCGATTTCGAAGAGCATGCAGGTAATTGACACCAACCTGTGCGCAGAAGATCACCAGGAAGGCACCAATCACGAATCCTTGAGGGATGTATGAAGCATCTCTCTGCTCTTCTTGATCCACACGGTGTTGAGTACCTGCGTCTTGTGTAGGTGAGCCACTACCGGGATAAGAAAGACCAGGACCCCCAAATGAGACCGAGACCGAGAGAGAGAACGGTGTCCATGATGTGAGGACGTTTGGCGATATCGCGGTGTAGAATCTCGTTAGAGGCCCCAGAAAGAGAGGGATGATGCAGAAGATAAGGAGAGGGACGGATAGTCATAAGACAGAGTAGACGGATGAGCGAGTAGACCTGTTCAAACATGTCAGAATAGCAATTTAAGAAGAATGAACGTTAAACCTACCAATCACGAGCCTCGAGTTGTCTCGCCCATCTCGCTGAGAGTTTCAGTCTTTCCCTAACACTCGTAGAAGCGAGTATAGGATATTTCTCTTCTTCCGAGATGGGCAAAATGCTTGCAAACCACCATGGGAAGCGGACCGGGTCTACAGGAATGGGTCCATATGCCAACATGACACGCGGATGCAGCCAAGGAGCACCTGATCTGCGCTGATTGCTGATGAACTCTCTCGCATAGAGGAGTAGCCGCTGAGTGGACATCGAGTCCAAGGGTGGATCAGACGCATTCTCCGTCGGAGCATCGACACCATTTGGTGAGGTCTCCAATGACTCAAGTCGCTCCTCCTCCGCTATCGAAATATCATTTACGCGCTCTGTTTTGGCAATGTGGTAGCCATCTCGCATTCTCGAGTCGAGTATCCTAAACCGCGATATGCCGGTGGCCACCACCAGACTGCGACCATCTGGAAGCAGCTCATACCGTTCGATCATCAAGAGCGTCCCATATCGCATAAAAGGGACATCCTCTAGTTGGTCGGGCTGTACCCCTCCCCGCCGATTGTACATGACCATGCCAAACTTTCCATGTCCACTCGCGACAACCCGCCGAATCATGAGTCGGTACCTGGGCTCGAAGACATGGAGGAAAGTCGGCATTGTCGGAAACGCTAGTGTGCACACAAAGAGCGGTAAGTTCTTCTCGTAATCTGTGTCTGTTTCATCCTGCGCACTGCTCTCCCGCCTGACAGCGATCTCATCAGGATGAAAGTAGTCGATCAGTCTTGCCACGGTCTGATTCAAGGGCTCTGAGTGTAGAGCATGCATATCCAGCTTGCGCCGGCAGATGGGACACAGATCGGTATGGTCCAAGACCCGCGCGACACACGTCCGGCAGAAGGTGTGACCGCAAGGCGTGGTCATTGGGTCCAGAATGAGCGCATAGCAAACCTGGCAATCCAACTCAGAGCGAAGGCTGTCCCGTAATGTTTGGAAGTGGATGAGATCCTGCCTTTTTGTGTTTTCCCCTGAGACTCCGGGTTCCCCATAGATAACCTCGCATGGATCTGACGGAAACCGGCCTTCGCGCGCCAATTTGTATATTCCCTGAAGCCACCCGTCCGACTGCAAATGTGCGCTTTCAATATGGCTTTGCTCATTGGTTTTCCATTGCACTGATGGTACTCCATCGCTAGACAAATCCTGAGACACATCATTTGCCTCTGACCCCAGTATTTCTCCAAAAATGCCTACCAGCTTTCCTAGCAGGACATCGGCGCCGCAGTCCCCCACACAGTGCTCTCCAACACAAGCTTGATTTCCTTGCCAGGGACATATAAATCCCTGATCTCTCCCCGGACCCACGGGGTATGTGATCCCAGTCCGCGGCCGAGCGGGGGGTAAACATTCCCGGCAGACAGTATTGCCGCATGGTAGACGGAGTGGGGTTCTCAAAGGACGAGAGCATTGATGGCACTGAATTAATTGAACGATGCGATGAGGAAGGTCTGGTATATCGCCGGTTGTATGCTCTTTCGCGCTAGACAGGTCGGAGGTAGAGGCTTTGGGGTTCTCCATCGCGGTCGGGAGGGGATCGGTAATCAGATGGGGTGGGGATGGGGACTCGACTGCATCTTCCATGGCAGTGGAATAGAAATAGCTGATTGGGAAGGGTCATTCAAGAGAGACGGGTAAATTGAGGGTAAAGTGAAGCTGGTTGGGGATCCGCTCTTATCTGCAGATGCGGGTCAACTTTAGATCGGAATCACGTCAGGTGTCAGGCGTCAGGCGTCAGGCCGAGGTCTCGGCATCCACATCAACGACTTTCCCATTCTTTGTGTTTCTATGGATTTAGGTATACTTCACCGGATTTAGGTTTATTTGGTATCAAAATCATATCCTATTTCAAAGAACCTGCCCGTGTCGAGATGCGCAGGGCGAAACTAGAGTCATTGATCGTACGCATAAAAACATTCCGAAAGTCATAGATTGAACTGCATAAATCGTCGCTCAGAATACAAGAGAATTCAAACACCCAATGAGACGGTTTGGAGGGTATATTGGGACCGGAAACGATAAAGGAGCTTAGTCTGACTGTGAACTTGACGAGTCAGACTCCGAGTCGGAATCTTCGAGAACAATACGTCGCATGACGCTCTTATCAAATAGGTCCAAAGCGAAGCGTCGAGCGGGGAGTCTATAGTGATGACTCTCCAGGATGCAGAGGGTTTTGCGGAAGAGATGAACTTGGCGGAATCTCTCGGGCTGTTTCGACTTGATGCTGCATTTGATGATCGTTAGTAAATAAGGATGGGCGAAGTCGCAAAATAGAATTGTGAGCTTACCTATGAAGATCGGACGCGGCTCGTTTGGCCAGCACGGTGTTGCCCATATCTACGATCAACTTTAGGATCCGTTGGTTCCCAGGATCAGCGTCCGTGGTAGCTTCTCTGAGTTTCTCCTTGGGAGTGCGTTTGGCTCTTTGGTCGAAGCCGGGGAAGGAGATCTAGCTAAATGAGTAAAATGTGACAAAATCGGACGATTGGAGATACTCACAGAGAACAGCTTTCGAAAGTCGGTAGGTAGACAGAGACCCAAGGAGTCACCCTTTTGATCAACACCGGAATCCCAGCCTAAGCCCCGTAGGACTTGAAGTCCATGTCGACTGCGGGAAATCAGGCCCAAAACGAAGAAAGCAGTGCCTCGCATGGTGAGAACCTCCGCACTGGTAGCGATCTCCACGATGCGTTCAATGATCTCGGCATCGAGGAATGGAGCACCAAGCTCCATGGAGCCAACATTACCAACAGCCCAGAGACATCCTTTGGCCTTGAGAAGCATTTCGTTGTCTTCTTCGTCCAATCTGAAATCACGGATCGTCCATGCAAATTCATTGAAATGTCCTGACTGTTCCAACAACTTACAGCCCTCGGCCGTTCTGGCAAGTTCCCGGTAGAAATGCGGCGGCACCAACCCGATATCTTGGAGGTCCACCAAGTCTTCCGGGACAAGACTGCTACGTCGCGGCTGCTCGACGTATGCTCGGGAAAGAGCGGCCTCAACGAGAGCAACATAGCTGTCATTGCGGCCAAGAAACCAGTCGTCCATCTCTTGCGTGATATAATCGAGACCATCCAGATAATGATACCCGACTGAGGTTGAGAGGAACCGGAGAAGTAGCGGTGCCCCAATTTCACCCAGGTGGTCGAGGGAGGGCCGACATTTCACCACAAATTCGAGATAATCCCGCTGGTTGCACGCCTCTTCCAAGATCTTCACGGCGACCTGGCAGACCGTGACCTCGGGATCGTACAGTTGAGTGACGAGAAGTTTGACCACCCATTCTGCATTGCCAATCGCCACGTGAGGCGAAAGGGAGACGTCTCCGACGGCGTATTTGCGGAGTAGCCTCGTTGCGAAGATCCTGATTTCTTTAGACCCAATTGTCAGCGCCTTGGAAAGCATGACTCGGAGATGACTCTCGCGGCTGTAATCCATGTTTCCTAACAAAGTCTGAATGAGGTCGTTTCGACCTTGCAGCTCGATTATGTGATAAAACATGTTGAGCATATGCCACCGCTCCATCATGAGCAGACCATTCACATCGCCACTCAAAGCGCCCAACATCGCGAAGTAGCCTCCACTCAAAGTGCTGCCCATTTGCTCTCTGGAGAACAGTGGAGATGCAGACGTCAGCCCACTCATGCGATCTAATTGGGCCAGACATTCCGCAACCTGCCGCAGGAACTTATTCTCAGCCAGATACTTAGTGCCCTCGGGGGTCGAAACGAGAGTCCGCATGAGAACACAGCCCGTTCGGACATATCGCTGATTCGCTTTCGTATTTGGAACCATGGCAAAGCGATACTTGAAAGGCCGGTAAAAGCCAATGAGTCGTTTCATAAACTTGGAGCCCTTGATGGCCTCGTCCATCCTTTTAGAATTTGTGAGAGGACCTTCGACTAGGCGATGAATGATGTCCCACTTCCACTTTGTGTAGTTGACGGTATTCAGGACGTGAGTTTCGAGAATGGCATTGCGGAACTGCGTCTCGTCCATGGAAGGGCTCATCTTATCTTTTCCTTGCTCAGCGGGAAGCAGGGAAGCGGATAAATCACTCTCCATATTGTACCGGCCTTGTCCACTGGGATATCCACCAGAACGCGCCAATGTCCGGTTGATACTATCGATTTGAAAGATAGTGGCGGTTGAGAGGTCGTGATTCTCGGTCTCAAAGTCAACTGCTGGCGGGATGAGGTGTGGAAGCACCTGGAGCTTTGCGCTGACGGCTTGAGGTAAGGAATGATGGGCGAGCTTGAGCACCTCCGTTAGTAGTAGAGTTGCTTTGCGTCTGAGTGAGAGATCCGTCTCATCCTCAATTATATCGGAGAGAACCTGCGTTTGATCAGTCCATGCGCTCAACCTAGACCTGTTAAATAATTATGCATACCTTCGGGAGCCCTGCCTCGACCAAACCTGCCAATATGAGAGTGGAGAAATGAGCTGTCAGATCGAATTTGTTGGCACTAGAATCCTGGAACGCGCGGGAGAACCTTGATGACTCGGCTTCAGAGCGGAGATTCGAGACTCTGCCATAGGTTGTGAGTCGCCTGCCCGCGAGGAAGGACGATGACCACGAAGGAGGCTTTATTCGCAAAGCGTCAAATAACAGCTCCATGATCAGGTCTCGGGCTATGGGATCTTGGTAATGGAGCGAATCAAGGAGAGAACGCAATGGTTGTGAATCATGCCTTGCAAGAATTACCAGCCCGGGCCAAGTTTTCAGCATCGCAGAAATCGCCCGTGCCGCGGACTTTAACCGTCCATTGCGTAGTGTGTCGGATAATGAGTCGGTGAAAGGTGTCAGGACAGCTTCCAGTTCAGATCCCTGGAGAAACTTGCGACTGTGGGGGGTGTCCACAACATGCAGGAAACTTGATATCAGAGACTCGGAGGCGCCAAATGTCCCTTCCGCAAGAGCATCATGTAGAGCAGCAAACCCTCCGGCAGAAGCAACCAGTTCTGGGTCTTTCACTAACATCTCGGCCACAGTCATGATTGAGATGTTTCGGAGACGATCTTCGTGATGTTCTGCAACAGCAATAATGGTTCGCACAACGGCGGGCGATATCTCCCGAACGCCATCTTTGACGTCCAGGAAGCCTCTCACAAACTTCAGCGCCTGTTCCCTTTCAATGCTCGCCTTTGTTTCTTTCACTAAGGACAATATCACGAGTTCATCTGTATGTAACGTTCGGATTGTTTGGAGGGATTTGCGATCAGCAATAGCATAGCGTGTCAGCCGGTAGCCTGCAGCCACCACCTCTTTGCTGTCACTCAAGAGCATGACCTGAACTCGGAGGCCAAAAACAGACCATGCGAGGTCATATTTTAGTGCGGGATGCCGTTTGAACAACTCGACCAAGCTATTGGCACGCTCAACATAGAAATCAGGAGACATCCCCTCAATCTCTAGAGCCTGTAGCGTTTCCGAGAGGACATAAGTTGGGGACTCCATGTCACCCTCGCCGTATTCCTCTCGTTCACCGTTGACCGGTGTGACGTCTTCCTTGTTTCGAGATGGTGAACGCATAGGGCTGGCTCGGAAAAGATTCGAAATGCGGCTGCTGCGTGGGGGAGTTGATGAAGGCGCCTGCGCACGTAATATCTCATCTTCCAGTTCATGCTGCAATTCGACCAGCTTGCGGTTGGACGAGCTTAACTCCGACTCCACTCTGAGACGTTGCTCTTTGGTCTGTTTCGGTGGCTTTGCTAGCAGTGCCTCCAACATGTTCTCCGTTCCGCTCTTGATCTTCATCTCCTTCGCGATCCTGTCGCGAAGGTGAGCCTGGCGCTCCTCAGTAGTGTGTAGATCTTCCTCGCCGATCGATCTGCTGGCGCGTCGATTGTATGTACCGTCTGGTCGGGGGGTGACACTGCGTGAAGTCATGCTTTTGAGGTCCGAGCTGAAGCTGCCTGGTCCGCCGGTGGAGGGTGCTAATGAGGGAGTTAACGAGGGAACTAATGACGCTCCGCGTCCACCCATGTTGCTGCTGCCGCCCGACTCGGATCGCTTGTTCCTTGCGGTTCGTGGGATGCCATCCTGCCAGCTTCCATCCACGGATCCGCCATCCTGACTGAATGAGGAGCGTCCATCACCCAGTGCGCGATGCTGGGTCGACTGCTGGGTCGACGCGGAGTATGCTGAGTTGTGCCCAGAAGCCATATAGCTCCATCTAGCCGTGTCGGCTTCGGTATCACCTATTGCGAAGTGTTCTGAGTATCGGATGGCTGCATTGAGGTCGCGTTTAGCGGGAGGGTCGAGCGGAGCGGAGCAAGGGCAATATGGGGAAGCGTAAGGGAGGGGCGCAGGCCACGCAGTCACACGTCGCTTGTTGCTTAGAGGACGGCCGTGGAGATGTCCATCTGGTCAAAGGGTCGGATACGATCAGAGGTCAAGTTGTAATAAACACGGCAGTGATTGTCAGAGTGCTCTAGTTGTCCCACTACGAGATACTCGGTTCAGGTCCATCTCTTGGCTGGACCAACACACTGCTGACTAAGGAGCCTTTTATCGTGGAGGTCCGTTCACTGGCCCTGGCCCTTGGGCTAGTTACTTCGTACTTGATTTAACTGCCTTTTCAATTGGGAAGATTATTGTCTGATTAATTGCTTATTGCATTGCTATTGGGAATTGGGATAATCCGATTCAATCTGCCCCGCAATTCGTAAAAACATATACCATAATAAAAGCACAGGCAGCATTTCATGGTTCCCAACGGTCACTTGAGCTCATACTGATAGAATCACACACATATCTTGTCATACGCCGTTATTCATTTAGTTTCTGGGGCTGGTGGTCTTCTCCAATATGGTCTTCATCATCTCGTTGCCCAGTTTGGCAGCTTCAGGGAAACGTGGTGAGAAGTACTCCGCGATCCGCTCAAAGCGATGACGGTAGGACTCAAAGTCGCCAAAGGAAACGCAATCGGACCAAGCCTAGAAGAAAAACACCACGTTAGCATCAAACAAGACTCTTGCGTGACTCGGACAGGCATTGTGGAATTGTCCAACACATACCCGAGCGGCAAAGGTGAATTCCAGATCATCTGAGCGGAAAGTATTGTCGTCAATGGCAGTATCCAATGCTTCTTCGAGAAGCTCCGGGTTCCGGAACAAGTATTCGGTAACACCCAACCAGAGACGGAAAAGCTGCAAAAAGATCAGTACGAGCACAATCAGGAGATCCGGATCTCCGCAGGGACATTACCGGCGTGGAACAGATCATATGGTCATAAGGGACGATGCCAAGTTTCGACCAGCAGTCAACAATGGCAAGCAGACTGAGATGGCTGTTTGGTGGTGCCTCCCCACGCGGCCGATTGGACAAAGAGAACCGATCAAGCACCTCATCCTTCAACAGCAGATCTTGTTCTTCAAAGCCACCCTTGAAAACCGAAGCGCCTGCCGTCTTAACGCGTTTCTTGAGCTCTTCCCGGTGTCCTCCAATCATGAGTTTATACAGGTCAGTGACCGACTCGGCGTACTGGCGAATCTGCTGCTTCGCCGCCGGGTTGAGGATGGCGAGCCCGGCGTAGACATGCCATTTGTTCGAGTATATGCGCAAGGTGATGTTGATCTTGACGTTCTCGATGCCGCCAACCCATCGGCCATGCTCCCAAGGGAACTGGTTATTAGCCTGCCATGCAGTTCCCATGCTCAGGAATGCAGCGTGGGTGACAGCCTGGGTATCTGCGGTGATGCGGTCATGCATCTCACCGGTGAGATATACATGTTTGGACCCGAACGCGGAGAGTATGTTGTCGACGAATTTAAGGCTTTCGTCCGAGGCTCTGTGTTGAATCAAGACCTAGATCATCGGGGTGTCAATGCATGTCCAGGATGGTATAGGCTTCAAGGAGGCATGGGTCGTACCAGCGGCTGGCCTTTTGGATTGACCTTGGGGCCGTGTAGCGAGTGACAGGATACAATCTCTACATCAGGGGGCAGGTGTTTCTCGAATGCAGCAAGCTCCGGAGCCTTGCAGGATGTTTGACCACCGACGATGGCACCGACCTTGGTTGCTTTGAACGCGAGTTAGAAAGTTCTTGCTTGAGCGCCCAGCAGCTTGGGTTCGACACCTACATGGCCCATACTGTTCCACGACTTTGTCGATGACTCCAGCCTCTACACTGTACAAAATGAAATCGCTAAGTCTTGAGACGAGATGTCCATTGGGGAATATGGTGACTCCTTTCTATATACGATGAGCTTCTTGAGCTTTGAGTGGCATAACCCCGGCCGGGGGACGTACTTGAGAAGCGAACTCTTGTTTTAAAGATTCATAATTCTCAGGTCTATCACACGCGTTTATCCTTCAAATGAAATCCAGGTTAGTCCAGTCTGATCTAAAATTAGTGTAACAAGGCCCGCTGCGTATCTGTATAATCTTTTCACTTGTTAGCTTATGTCTCAAGAAAAGAGCAAAGTGAAGGTGTATCATGTGAGGTTGATATGTGGTATCAGACAAAAAAAAAAGTAAGGTAGCGAGGGTTTTACATCACCGACGACCGCTTGGTGGGCTATCAACCAGAATGGCGTGATAGCGCCAAACGAGACGTACTCGAGCCAAATGCACTCTTGTCATCATTCGATAGGGGATGGGCAGGGGAGAAGGAAAGGATAGAAAGCTTACCATTTCAAGCATGTCGGGCCCGTGTTGTCGAGATACGGGAGAATGGTCAATTACCTCCATCCAGCATCGCTCAGGCGCTGGGCATACATCTTGCCCATATCGCCCATACCGATGATGCCAATCGAGACATCCTCCTGAGTGCGGGCCATTCTGAAGCACGTCTGCAAATATTGTCTGTCAAGCCAGTAACACTAACAACCAATCAATGTCGATGAGAATCGTTCTGTTCGACTCCAGATACAGATGAGAGGTTGTGTTACCGAACGTTGGGAAGATCAATTGCAATGTCGGAAGTAAATGAAGCGGGCATGAGAAAAATTTAAATAGTTGAACGGAGCTAGTGATTTCACCGCCCAGCGGGCCGACTTAAGCCCCGTGTCGAAAAGCATTGACACCTGATATACAAGGCATCCACTCGCTTGAACGGTAAGCCAATCATAATGCGTGGTGTTTCCTAGGGCACACACCCACTTTTTTCCTCAACACCCAGGTGGGATCAGATCCGACTTTTTCTTCCTTTCCGTATTCCATCCACACTAACCACCAACAACAGTCGCAATGGCCCCCAAGACCAAGGCTCCCGCCGCCGCTAAGGAGAACGTCTCCCTCGGCCCCCTCGCCGGTGATGGTATGTTGCGACAGGAATTTAAACATTGAAATCGAGAAGTGAAGCGGGATCTGACTCTTCACAGGCAAGCTCGTTTTCGGCGTTGCCCGCATCTTCGCCTCTTTCAACGATACCTTCGTTCACGTTACCGATCTTTCGTGAGTCGCCCTCTACAAGCCAGCCACTCGCATTCGAATCATTCAATTGGCGCTGGAATCGACGAGAAGAATATGTTGGCTGACAGATATCTATTACAGTGGTCGCGAAACCATCTGCCGTGTCACCGGTGGTATGAAGGTCAAGGCTGACCGTGACGAGTCCTCCCCCTACGCCGCCATGTTGGCTGCTCAGGACGTCGCTGTCCGCTGCAAGGAGCTCGGCATCAACGCCCTCCACATCAAGATCCGTGCCACTGGTGGTAACGGCACCAAGACCCCCGGTCCCGGTGCCCAGTCCGCTCTCCGTGCCCTTGCCCGCTCCGGCATGCGCATCGGTCGCATTGAGGACGTCACCCCCACTCCCTCCGACTCTACCCGTCGCAAGGGTGGTCGCCGTGGTCGCCGTCTCTGAGCGTGTGCGCTCGGCTTGGTCTTTCTCTTCCCCTTGCAAGTCGCTGCATGGCTGGATTGGAGGCTATTTGCGGGATTTTCTCGCATCTGTGGATGGAATAAACGCGGAGAACGGCATTGATCGCCTGGTCTTCAATTTTTTTCATACGCTGAAAATTATACTCTCGGGTTTCGGTGTTGGATTAGGTAGTGCTAAATCAACAACTTGACCTATATATCGTACGTCTGAGTAGGCTTCACCATAATTAAAATAGTTGTAACAATCGAGACCCTGTCATGGCTCATCGGGATCATTGGTCATTCGGAGGCAGACCCGGCGGGGAGCTCTGGCCGATGGCGATAAAAGGATAAACACAGAAAACTCCAAACCCTCGACCATCCTCCCTCAACTACACCTAATGAACTCCCACTGCAATCCGAACGAAATAATCTAGCCCCAATTTGAGCTGGTTGTAGCGCAGATCAAACCCCGCCACTCCCTACCCTTCATCCGCCCCGATCATCCAGCTTGCGCGCAAACCAGCAGCACCTTTCAATACCCTCCGACAATCCCCTCCAACGAATCCCCCGGGATTCAAACCCGAATACAATGTCCACACACCAGCCAACGCCAACAATCCTCCTCCCCGAGCTCCCCGCAAAAACCCTAGTCGGCATCGACCTAATAACCTTCACCTCAACCGCCAACTTCCACGGAATCCGCGACCTCTCCCCAGGCTGGCACTTCCTTTACACCGGCACAACAGAATCCCTCTCCCTCCGCAGCGGCGCATGGTTCTACATCGGCGACATCAGCAACGCAGGCAAAGGCAACAACGACACAGCGCTCGTAACGCAAAGCACCAAGTCTCCCAGCACGAACGACCCAAGACCAGAGATCTACATTTGGAAATGGAGCGCGGAGACAGAGACATTAGTCGCGCTAGGCGATAACGACTCTGATCGCCAGGAGAGCATGCGCCACAAGGCGAATTTAGGTCCTGTCTGGCAGAGTGGAGGATTATTTAAGTATCGCAGTCGGATTGCGCCTTCTATGCTTGTCAAATCCAAACCCGAGCAAAAGGACGAGGATGAGGAGACTGTCCCTCGGCCTGAAATCGAGGCTCGCATCCAAACGGAGGACGACGCACAGACCGAGGAGAGCGGGCGGAGGGATTGGTCTGGATTGACGGATCGGATCTCGCCGAGTCTCTTGTCACGCGTTATCGGCGACCCGGAGGTTGATGTCGATGGTCATCCGCGATGGGTTCTTACGTCTGCTTCTACGGCTACTCGTGATGCAGATCATATACCCGGCATTGACTCGCCGGGAGGAAATGAGCCCGGTGCGGACGTGGAATCGGAACGCGAGTTTGGGTTCATCCCTGTGGATTTGAAGCGGACGTGGCGGGAAGGCGCTGTTGGGCGTGAACGCACGGAAGCTGCGAAGGACCGGTCTTGGGCTTTGGGGTACTTGCTTGATCGGTATGCTGGGGAGGCTTCTGGGGGGAATGAATTGCTTGGAGAGCTGCAGTTTACTTTTCTCATGGTGTTGACTATGATGAATTACTCGTGTCTGCAGCAGTGGAAGCGGCTTCTTGAGCTTGCTTTTACGTCTAGGAGGGCGATTTTGGAGAGAGAGGCGTTCATGAGTGAGGTGCTTCGGATACTGGCGTTGCAGCTGCAGCGATGTGATGATGTTGAGGGTGGACTTTTTGAGATTGATGGTGATGAGGGCGGAGCTTTCTTGCGCCATTTACTCGTCAAACTGCGCCAGGCTGTTGATGAGCTGGTTGGGGATGCTGAATCTAAGGTTAGATTGGAACTTGATAAGCTTGAAGAGTGGGTGAAGGAAGAATACGATTGGGAGCTGCGTCCGGGTACTTTGCTTCGCCGGGGTATGCTGCAATTGGAGGACGGTGAGCAGGTTGAAATGGACTGGCATGGGGGTGATGAAGAGGAGGAGACTGGAGAGTATGCTCCGATGGTTGTTGAGATGTAACAGCTCATATCCATCAGGACAATGAATAATTTATGAATATATGAATACGTCTCTATTCTTTCAGTGCCCGAATCCACTCCCTGGCGTCTTTGTACCATTGCAGGCTCAACCATAACATGTATTCTGACCTATAAAGCAGGGTAGTCCTTTGTCCATAAATGCAATCCACAATAACAGTTCAATCACAAAATCAACATTCCCAAGATGCAAAAATTCGTAAAACCACCCATGAGTCTATGAGAAGGCTGAAATCATCCAACGAGTTGATATCAATGGCTTTTGGGCATCTATTGCTTCTCCTCCTCGATGGTGTAGGCCCAGTCGTGCTGTTCCTTGCCGTACATGATGGCCTCGAGCCAGGACTTGATTTGCGAGGCATATCCAGCAGGCTCGCCATTAGCACCCAAGGTGCTAATATCAGTCTCCTCGTTGCGGATCATAGCAACGGGCGTGATAAAGTACTAAGGGGGAAACACGTTAGTCAATCGTTATCCTCCAACGCTGGGACGATCTTGAACTTACAGCAGTGCCAGAAACAAAGGCCTCAACAATACGGCCCTCCTTGGAAGCCTGCTCAATCTCACCAATGGTCAAAGTGCGCTCAACAGCCTGAAGAGGCGCAAGCTTTCCAACGAAATTCTCCGACAAGCGCTCGCGCACGAGCTCCAGAACACTGCGGCGAGTGACACCGGGCAGAATCAGCTCGTTATCGAGGGGAGCAGTGACAAGCTCCAGCTTGCCTGCAGCGTTGTGCCATACGATGAAGAAGTTGCTTGCGCCAGCCTCGGTGACCTGACGGTCCTGTCCGTACAGCCAGAGGACCTGGTCAAAGCCGAGAGCCTGGGCCTTGCCGTGGGCCTGCAGGGAAGGGCCGTAGTTTGCACCCAACTTGGCATATCCGAAACCGCCGGGCCAGGCGCGGATGGAATCGGGTGAAGAAGCGTAGAGCTTCAGGCCCTTGGGGCGCTCGGCTTGGGGGTTCTTCTTGATCTTGGTGAAGTCGGGCCAGGGAACGGCAATGATGAAGAGGAGGGCTTCCTTGGGCACCTGGATGCCCAGGTGGGGACCGCTACCGATCACTGTGGGACGGATATAGAGGAAGGAACCGGGTTCAGGGAGCCAGCCTGCGAAAGGATGGTCAGTAAACAGCTTTTATCTTATTGATATTCTCTGGAGCATGTATCTGGGGTCGGAACGTACGAGGACCATCAATCTGCAGTAGCTTAGCGACAAGCTTCTTTACCTCGTCGTACTTGAATCCGGGCAATGAACAGCGCTGCGAGCTGTTGTTCAGACGCTGGCCGTTCAAGTCCGGACGGAACAGACGCAGCTTGCCATCGTATCCGCGGTACACCTTCATACCCTCAAAGCACTCGGTAGCGTAGTGCAGGGCCGATGCTGTCGGGGGGAGGCTGAGGTTCCCGTAAGGCCTGATCTCGGGGGTTTCCCAACCATTGACGTCGGTCCATCTCACGGTTACCATGTGATCAGTGCAGTGGGAGTGGCTCAGCTCCTCGGGGGAGCCAGGCAATGGCACATCGCGCAGGTTGGTAGAGCGAGTGATGTTGAACTTGGAGGCATCGAGCTCAGCGATGTTGGGAGCGACGGAACCCATGGTGGGATGTTGAGTTGTATGTGTTTGGATTGAAAGATTGGGAGGTTTGGGGTAAATGCAAGGGATTATGAATGACAGAATGAGTCACAGTCACTAGTCGTTTAGGTGATGTTCTTAAGGGAAAGAATGAAGAATCTTTACCTTTTTCCTTTTGTTTTAATGAATTCTACAAAGAGAGGGTCCAATTGGCTTAAATACGGTTTGCCCCGGGCCTGCCCCTCGAACTTTATCGGGATGGAGAAAAAAGTTTTCAAAGCCGAGCGGCTCCCCGAGAAGTTGCCTCCCCGGCTTCACCGACATTGCCACCCATTCTTTCTAGAACTTTAGAAGCCATTTTGATGTGATTTCCATAATCCATATTCCATAACGACTGCAACTTCCTGAGCCCAGCGTGTGCGATATAGAATGCGCTGTATGTTGTCCACCTCTATGAGGGGTCAAACTCTGATAGTGCCCGGTTATCGATCTGCAGGCCCACTTGACAATGTTGACACATCCGATGCTAACCGTGCGAGACATTCCCGAAGCATAGCGATGTTAATTCACTTAGGAATGTCGAGTTCCACGCTCTCGGGTCCAGCAAAGACTGAAACCAGTGTGGGAGTTCACATTCGAACCCAATCAATGGCTTTCAGGATCACTCAAATTCACAATCAGAGCCATGACTTCCTTGAAGATCTTTTGAAGTTGCTAAGATCTTAGCCGGGATGGGTAGATCTCCAACGACCGAACCTCTTGTACGATAATTGTTACTTTACACAGTAGTAGCTCTCGCTCTGAGCATCACTGACAGGCAGATTATGGTTATCGGTCCATATACTTCCTAAGGTTCTTACTCCCGTCTGCATGCCAAGTTATAACGGCCCAATAAGAGGTCACAGTTGGACGCTCCACAGTGGATATGACTCCCTTGTACTCCAATCATCGTTGAGTGGATGGTATTTCCGTCATGTCGCCTGAAGGGCGTGGGCAATCACCCGATCAGCCAATTATCACAATCTGAAGAAGTTTATCTAATCTGACCATTCGAAGAGTGCATTGCCAATGCCGAGGAGAATCAGCTTGGCTCTTTCAAACGGGATAATGCTGGTAATGCTCCACAGTCCACACAACTTGCATCTGGGTAATACCAAGAGCGTGTATAGAACTTGTCAAATACAACGCTACCTATTTGAGTCGAGATCTTTGCTTAGACAACTAGGAAGAGAAAGATGTGATCAAGTCTTCACCAGCTAGTACCGTCTCGACGGATTGCTGTAGTCAGGTGATTACCCGTCCTTCCTTACAGCCGACTACCTCAGACAACTACGCCTCGTCGCTCTTGCCTTCCATCGTACTCGCACGGTCACACCTGCCCAACGGATCTTCTTACCATTGTGGCGATCATGTGACGAGCAAACGATATCTGACAGAAGGAGCAAACGACAGCTAAGGGAAGGAGCAAGCATGGCAGAAGAACATAAAATGGAGTTCTTCTGCGCCACTCTTCTTTCCTCTTTCTTTCCCCATCTCACCACAGGATCAAGTCATCTCTTCTGCTCTTATTCCCTTCTGGCTTGTAACACTCCTCCTGATAAATCCACGTGTGCACCCTTCACTACTCATGCGACACTCCCGACGATGCCAGTATGCCGCTTCCTCTCTCCCGGCGCTTGAACATTTCTGGTGATCAGACAAAACAATTCAAGGAGATGGAAGGTGAGCTGGTCGGAAAAATCAGAGATGAACACACGGGATATCTGTGGTTCCTATACACCACCGCTATCAACTTCAGGACGAAACCTCACGAAGCACCAGAGCGGCAAAGCCAGATATCGCCCACACTCACTACAACCGAGATCCGACTTCCTGTGGCGGCTTTCACAGGGTACCAGCTTCCACGTGTTAGCCATCATCTGTCAGGACAATACTGTCTCCAAAGTTGACATGAACACCAACATGTATGATAATGCGCCTGTTAGTCCCCTTCGTGTCCGAGAAAATGTTACGAGTACAGCTGCGCACCACCCATACTAAGCATGCGAGTCTCCAATGATCTTGTACACGGATCATGCATCCACATGCCAGATTGCCAAGCATACTCACCTAGGTTCGTCCGCGGTGGATAAGCTAAACAAGCGCCTGATACGCGCTTCGCAATACATCAGCCAATTCAATCTAGACATCAGGCATCGGCCGGGAAAATCAAACATCGTCGCAGATGGGTTGTCCCGTCTCCCTATGGATACAGACGAGCCGTCAGGAGACGAGTTTGAAAGGGTCATTGATCACGATCAGGTCATGTTTCACGCGACAGTACTGCAAATCGACCCCATCTACGCCGAGCAATTGCGAAGAGGGTATGCGGTTGATCCAGCGCCGAAATGGGACAGTAGTGTGACTTGGACAGAGCTTGGGGGTCCTAAGTGAGAGTTGGGATGCCACATGTGCAAACAAGGCAAAGAGTGCGAGCGTGTTTATCAGAGCTCGTCCCCACGCTCTAGGTTGGATCTTTTCTTCTTTCCTTCCTCAGCTTCGACATCTCCCTTCCCTCCTTTCTTCCTCTCCTACCGACAGAACAACATGTCGACCAGCCCGGAGTCACAACATGGCGTCAACATCCTGAATGCTCTTTTCCAGCCGAGTTCATCCTGGTCGGCGGCGCAGCTGCAGTGCTTCAAGGCTACAAGAGGACCACAACCGACGTAGACACCTTGATCCGGTCTCAGACCGTCCTCGACTCTCTCGAGTCTGTTGAAGGCTTCGAGGTGGTGGCGGGACGGCTCTCGTACCGATCAGTCATCATTGATCTCCTCACCACGATTGACGACCGCTTCACCTATAGCCAGGTGGACGGGTACGTCCGATATGTGCATGGCGTTCCTGTACTACAACCCGAGTACGCCCTCTCAGTCAAGATCAGGTGCTTCTACCTTCGTTCAGAAGATTCAAACGGCCTCGAGAAGCAGCTTACCGACCTAATGGATGCTGTCTTCTGGGCGAAGGCAATGAAGGAGGCTGGCAAAACTATCTCAAACACTTGTGCGACACTATTTCAGATCGGCTGCTATCACGCCGTTCTGGTCCGACTCAAACTAGAGCCCGACGACTTCGAGATCCTGGTGGACGTGGGCTTTGGGCGACTCATCATCCCATGGGAGGAGAATACGCCAGAGCAACGTGAATACTATTACTCCCTGTTTGCTCCTGAAGGGACCGATCTGTTGACGGTGCCACTGGACAATTGAAAACCCTGGCCAATAAGTCCATCCTTCCACTCTAGATTGAGATCACCAACTACCGGGGGGCTATGTACATTCTTAATCAAACTGCTCTATTGCCCGTCTGTTCCGTTCGCTCGCTCCTTGTAATAATTAACATTGGCTTAGTTGAATCTAATGATCCTCTTGAATGACACGGCGCCGTTCACGCTTTGGGACGAGCAGAACCGCAAGTTCCGCTACCCTTCACGTCATTGCCGCCCAAGGAGAATCAACTGGGCTCTTTCAAATGGGAAAATGTTGCCAGTTGATAATGCTTTATTGCTGGATTCATTTGACATCTTCCTACTTTCCAAGTGTAACCCAGAGCACTCGTGACCCAGCGAAAACGTAGGTCACTTGGTCGTCCATGACAAAGGGAAAAATCCAATCACCGTATGGTCCGCATAATCATTGAAAGTCAAGAATACTTCCGGTGGCTGGTCGAAATCAATCTTAAACTGGACACGTTGGTAGAACAGACACCGAGAAAGTCTGTAGAGACATCAGGAAAGCCGACTGATACAGATCAGAAGAGGGAGCAGAGGAATCTTGTAAATTGAATAATGATCCCTCGTCCCCTCGACTTCCAGAAAGCAACGGAGCTGACCCATTCCGTACTTTTGGATGGGCTGTTAATGCACGATTTGCATTTGTAGTACTTTTGCAATTTGCATAGGAAGCAATACTACGTAGTAACTCTTAATGATATTTTTGGACCCAACGGGTTTTGCAGCACGCACGCACCTGCGCGGGGACCGCCAGCTGGGCCGCGCAACCCCTCAACAACCGCCACTAGCTTTCCCATACACAGTAGTTATCCAGAGATCTTTCCAGCTCGCTGTGGGGCAGGGGACGCACCTTCAAGCTCGACAGCATGGATTACTGAGCTGTACCAGCCGCAGTGAAGTACTTTTGTGGCTCATAAGTTGAGTCATAGCAGTAGTTAGCTACTGTAGTGGGGAGCTAAGCTCTCCCCTGCAGCGTGCACTGTACTTGCTTCCGTCCACAACAAGGGTTTGATCTCTTACATTCTCAGGACTCGAAGATCCAGCAGCCAGATAGCCATGGATACACTCCTTTACGGAGTAGTGCGATGCTATCTAGGTGGCAAATGCTAAATGTTTTAGAGCATACTACAACCTTCGAGCAATCCCCTCTTCGGTGCGTAGATCGCATACTTAGTATCCGATGATTGGATAACATGATTCACCCCGCAGAGGCGGCCAGGGTGAACTCCACGAATTTGGGAGGATTCGCACAAATGGAAATTCAAGGTCGAGACTTGGATTTTAGAAAGATTACGTACAACGGGTCGATCGTGAACCCGTGTAGCTGATATAGTTATGTTCTGGATAGGAGCTTTTGGATAAAACTAAAATAACTAGCGCGAACTATGTTATCGACGTACCAGGGATCGAAGTGATTAAAGTACGGGAGTGCGTCAGGACCGGTAAAGTTAGGAAAACAGTTTCAGCCTACGAGGAAGCAAACAAAGGCGCCCCGCATTGGATAAAATCAATCTGCCACACGGTTGAAATCTCCGACCAACCAGAGTGTATCCGGCTGTTATCTCCTAGCCACTAATGAGCAGGTGATGCACCAAGAAAATGCCAAGTGGGATCTTCGATGGACGGATCAGTTCGGCAAAGGGGTCCCGTTAAGTACTTGTTTTTTTGCCTTAACTACATAGTTACCTTTTAACGCTAGATCTACTTCCGGTAGGAGTCTCTAGCGTTGGAGGTGGGAACGGGGGGAATTTCCATCACACATGCAGGTGACAGCAGTACTTTCTGTTACTTAACAGACTAATGTACAGCCTAATCCAACTACAATATATGACGGGGGTCTTGTGCAGGGGGTTTCCAAGATATTTCTTGCTTACATGGGGATGAAACAAGGAAAGGGGATTCACAGCCGCATATCTGACTGGATCCTACCTATCAACGGGAAAACGTCTTCGGATATCTCTGCGACGGAATATGCCAATCCCTTCAACGAGAGGCCGAGAATAAGAATAGACTGGACATGGCTCCAACTTGGTGTTCCCAAAAATGTGGGCGCATAAGTTAAAGTAATAGACTAGTTCACTAGTAGTTAAGACAAATTGATCTGTTCCGTCGATTCGAAGGGCCCAGATTGTCCAAGTTTGCTTCATCGTTGCATTCTAGTTCGTTGTCCTCGCATTATCACGACTTTCTCTTTCCTATAATGTATTTACATTAATTTTATTTTATTTATTATATTATTGAAGAACCGTCTTCCTTCTCCGCGGAGCTAAGGTTGGATGACAAGGCCTGTCATAATGGCTCGGGGCTCTGCATAGCCCAACTAACCCCTGTTCGATCCCTGATTCGTAAATTGGGCAAATAACATCCCAACACTTGGGAATAGTATTCCACGACATATCAGTAGTCGAAGTCATGGCCACATATTTCAAGGTGGACTCGCTCTGACCACACCAGAGTGTATCAGAGGCAGGTTTCGAGACAGTGAAGATACATCTCATGTCGGCAATCAGCAAAGATGGAGTACATGCACGGAGTAATCAGGTAGATAATGTCTCCGTAGATGGCATCTAAACAGGCAAAGAAGAGGGCAAATACTCATCAGCCCTGGGAACGGATAGAAAGCCGAGAAATCAAACCATATCAAGAAAAAGCGTTTGATTGAAGCCTTTGATTGGCTGCCATTTCTACCACCAATGAAAACCACAGGAAGAAGTATCTTCAGGTGGAGATATCAGGAGAAAAGGGGAGAAATCTCTTGCCTTGATTCGAGATCGAATTGAGATCAATAGCCCCGAATCATCCCAGACTATCAAACATATTCAATATGCGACATGTGGAATATTCAACTAGTACCATCATTCGGTAGTACCCTGGAGACCCTGGAGACTCAGAGATTCGAGATGTGTGTCATTTCCGAACGAATGCCGGTGTCCACTCGATCCACAGCGCAGAAGCTTTGGGACGGGACAATGTTCCATGATCCGACGCAGATCACCGCCGCGGTGCACTGACTAACTTGGGGCCTTGTGCCGCCGCGTTGTGCGTCACGCGTGTAGTATGTAGTTGTGCCGTCAACCAGTGTGTTGGAACTTGGAAGTGCTCACCGTTGGTACGAACCCTTCAGTTTGGATTGTCCTGGTTCAAAACCACGATCCCAGGGCAAAGCTGCAGATCATGACTCGTATGAATGTTGGCTGGCTGAATACAAAAATAAGATCCATCCCCAATGTTCATCAAACATGGTATTAGTCTGGTTCATTCCTGGTATGTAATATGAAGATACAAGTAAGTCACAAGTCACATTTTACCTAATTTTACTTACCTGCAACGGTAGTTGATGGCAGTTGATGGCTGACGAACGTGAAGGTCGGGGATGTGGCTTTTTGTTTTTGGATTTTTCCTGACAAACAAGGCCAGAGATATGAAAGTCGCGTCAGATACCAAGTACAATAAGTGCATGGCAAATGTAGAGGGAGATTGGTAACTGAACCCCAACGCCGTACGCGTTCTTCTTGGTTCCAGAAGGCATCAAAGAGGGAACTGGGTACACTTCCCCGGGCCAAGTCCCGATTAGTACCTTCTGATACTCCAGAAAAGTGGGGAGTCTTTTTTTTTTACCCTTGTGTTTCTCATTTTCTCATTTTCTTTTCCTTTTCGGGGCTTTGGTTCGGTATCCTCGTGCATTGACAGGTCTGCGCTGGCGCTAGGCCCCATGTTAGTTGTTCTTACATCTCCCCAACAGCAACTCGAACCCTACCTCAGACGATACCCTCGATGCGTTCTGCCACCTGCATAACTATCATCAGAGCCTAGATTGGGCAATCCTGATCCGTTAGCTCTCCAATCACTGCTGCTTTCCAGCTCGGACTACCAGGTCATCCCGGTTGTGTGACGGGCATCGAATTTGCCAATCCGTTTGCTAACGCCGACCCCTCGCTGAGGTCTTGTCACCTGCAGGTGGACTCTGGTCACTTCAATCAGTCCAAAATAGTTTCTTCTCGTTGGGTCCCACCCTTAATGCGCAAATAACGCATCCACGCCACCGTGACGCCGGTAACATTACGACATGACACCTAACCCCTTTTGAATTCAAGTTGGTGTTTGGTGAGACGCTGGAGATTTCGATTTCGATGGTTATAGAGGACCGTCTGCTTGCAAAGCACGGCACTCTTTGCCAAAGCAGTGATCAGCAAGCGCATCGCCATCGGCATTCTGGCCGAAGTATATTTTCGTACGACGACACTTGGAGGACCACCGCTGTTGAACCATAGCCCACAGGACCAGTCTCTCAGCCATGAAGATGAGCAATCACGATCACACAAAACAATTCCAGGCCTTGGCCCCAGGCCCGCCGCGTATCTTCACTCCACAGACGTCGACAGCTGTGAGTAGACCGAAGAAGAGTTCTACAGCTTGTCTGGCATGCAAGGCGGCCAAGAGAAAGGTTCGTTGGTCATTCACTCAATCTGTCTCTTCTTGACTTGTCACGAGGTTCGAGAAGATGATCTCCGAAATGGACGGTATGGCTGATTGTTACTTGCTCAATATAGTGCTCTGGACCAGATGCGCCTTGTAAGGCTTGTCGAGCCAACAACACCGAATGCCATTTTGACCCAACCCGAGACCTCAGACGCAAGGTAGCCGTCAAACGCGCGATCCACGAGCTTGCAAATTACAAAGATCTATTAGAATCTTTGGTGAAAACCATCAGGTCGGATGATCAAGGCAAATGTGAGAGGGTGATGGGCTTGATCCGCGGCAACGCCTCATATACAGAGCTCGCTCATGCTGTTGGATGCCCCTCCATGACGTTTGGAGACCCGCAGGAGTTGTCTAATGCCAGCAAATTGGCGATCGCAGAGTACGGGGACACGCCTGTGGAAGTCGCCGACCCTAAAAGACGGCCGTCTGATCCCAGCACCATACCAAGCTCGCCAGAAGAGTCTCAACCCATCAAGGCTTCTCAGTGGCCGTCGGTTAGCCCTTATGCCCGTGTCACTCTGGAGAGTCTCTGCGATATACCTCTTTTCGAAGTCCCGGCAAAGCCGTGGACCAAGGTCACAGACAATGATTATTTGGTCTCGCACCTAGTCTCACTGTACTTTACCTGGGACCACCCATGTTCGCAGTTTCTCGATCAGGGTATCTTTCTTAAACACATGAGACTCGGGAAACAGAACTCGGAGTTTTGCACGCCGCTTCTTGTAAACAGCCTCCTGTCGATGGCTAGTGTATGGAGCCCGCGAACTGCCTCCATCATTTGTTAGTAGCTGACCAATGACCACAGGCGCATTCTGATAGCCCTGATGTTCTCTCCGCCCCCGAGGATGCGTTTTCGCGGGGTCAGAACTTCTTCAGCGAGGCGCAACGATTGTGGGAAGCCGAAGATCTTGAGAATGATGGCCGTGAGCTGCCTCAACTCCAGGCTCTTCTTCTGATGTGTTGTGTGTAGGTGACCCATTGATACATCCCGCACGAAATAGTTCCAGGAGATTAATCAATTTGCAGATTCAAATGCCTGGGGCGTCTCAGGAAAAGCTGGATGATGCTGAGTCAAGCTAATCAGTTAGCTCGTGATATTGGGCTCACTGATACTCCAGCAGAGTCGGAGACCAAGATGTCTCCAGAGATGAGACGCGTTCGCGCGGTCACCTCCTGGGGTCTCTTCAACTTGAGCTCGTGGGTATTAAATGATCTCGTGGAAATGAGTAATACCTAACGATTTGAGCAGACAAATGTCCATTGAACTGCCAAGGGCTGCTCCCGTGGCATATCCCACATGCGAGGTGGAGAGATGCGGCAACGAAGACGTTAACTGGACCCCATATCCGCGCTCAAACAAGATCACTTGTGACACAAAGCCAGCCCGTCTCCCCCAAGTAAGAGAAGGGTTGGCACAGGTCGCCCAAATCCTAGTCGATGTTAAGACACTCGTTTCTGATAAACATCATCGGCGCGCTAGTTCCACTGAGTTGTGGGGGAAGGCCAATGGCCCGTTCGAGCGCTTGACTGACTGGCTGCAACAATGGCCAGGCGTTGCCGAGATACAAAACGATCCGGTCCCCCAGGTTCTTCTTCTGCGGTAAGCGATGAGTATGTCATCTCCCTTGTTAATCCCGTACTGACACCGGACAAAGAATCAAATGCCTCCAAGCCATAGTACGCTTGTTCGAGATTTTGAAAGACCATCCTCAGGCAGAATACAGCCAAAAGGCCCAGTACTACCAGGTCACGTCTTTAGTAGAGACGGCGCGATGTCTTCGGATCCACCGTCAGAAGTATGGTCTTAAACACATACCTACCGAGATGGTGGATGCCACACACACAGGACTGTGCATATTGGCCTATCAACTGGACCATGGTGATGAGGCCAAACAGGCCTTTATAGAGCTCTGCCAATTCGGAATGGCTCTCAGTCAACGGTTCAAGCCAACGGCCGACGTCATCCGGGCGATCAGGAAGAGGGCGCTGAACCAAAGCCTTCGACTGCCATCCGAGGCCATTGAGATCTTCGATGGCCCGGAACAGTGGAATGGCATCGAGCCCTGAACCTTGGCTTTGAAAGACATGTTTGTAACTGGGTGTACCCCCCGAGGACATGCTGGAATGCCGAAACAGCATCACCACGACCTGACGCGGTTCAATCTGCTGCAGTTATGGGCGAGGAAAAGGTGTCAAGACGAAGAGTGGGCACGATGGAGACGTTGGGCTTGGCATTGCGGTGTTTGTTGAAAGAAAGCCGTGCTTCTCCGTGGAGAGATCGTCCCCGGGCAAGGAGACCATATAACTGGCCTGCCGTCAACCTTTGGTGATGGCTAGTGTGACTTCTACCTTTACTGACACCGGAGTTAGTGACGTGGTGGAATACTGCCCGTTTCCCGAAGCGAGGAAAATGGAAGGAAGCGGTTCATGTTGGCTGGAGGGGAAGACAAAGGGGGTGTGATCGAGTGCAGAGGAAAATATGATTCCCAGAGGAAACCAGTTGTTGGCCTCTTGAGACCCCGGAAATCTTTTCCCCTGCTTTGTTAGTTTCTAAGCCAAGTCAACATAACAGAGGAATTACGAAACCACCTCCCATTAAAGAGATAACGATTGTCTTTTTCGTACCAAAGCTGTTATTTTCAGTAGTCCAGAAGATCTACTGTTAACTAATCCGCCAAAGCCAACTGCTCATTGTCTTTTGTGAAACCATCACCTATTCAAAAACTGTCTATCGGTCGAGGCTATTGTGTACGACTCGGCATAACTGACCTTACTCCGAAAACCCGGTCATTTTGCCCACAATCCGGGTGTTTAGAATTGAGAAAGGCAAGCCAATGAGAGGAAAGAAAGGCGAGTCTATATCAGAAGGCTATTCTAAGGATCTGTGAACTATTAGCGAGACCGTCGCCCCCCAGACTTGAGGCCTCGCCGCCTCAAGTAGCCCCTCCAGACTCTCCTACACTTCAAGTGCAGATTCAATCCTGCTCTGTTGCCATTTTGCTATGGCAAAATCTCTTCATGCATCAGGTATGGGAGAAAGTGTACGGAGAGAGTTTGATGAGACGGCTCAGACGGGGGAGGATCTTAAGCAAAGCCTGGGCCCTGGGATGCCCATTCCCTTGGGGAAGATGAAAGATCCGACGTAAAAGTGTTGCTGCCTGCCAATCTATAGAGTTGTATTTGAAGGTGAATATGCGTAATTCCATGTATCATGAATGGATGCTCCTCAAATTCAAAGGAAGCTTGGAAGCTAGCATGCAGTCACATGACTTCACAGCTGTATTGCTGAGTCATCCCGCTGCTTATGCGCAGATAAGATAAGCACAACACCCAAGCGAAAACCCTCAAAATTCGACTTCTTTGGCAAATCGCACACGCCGACGCTATTCCCCCCCCCTCCTCTCCCCACCGCTTTCCGCCTCCTCGCCCGCCGTTTCATCCCGGCTTCTTCCTACATTTTCAGTTCTTTTCTTTCAAACTTAGCACTCAAAATGTCCTACGAAGACCGCGCCAATGCGCGCCCCAACTTGAACGATGAGTCCGATAATGAGGAGGAGGCGATGGTCAACGATTACCGCGAGCAGGTCAACTTTGACGATGGAATGAGCGAGCTGGACCAGGTCACATCCAACGGTGCCCCCCAGGCCCAAGATCTCCAGGCTCAGCTGGCCGCCGCCGCTACCCCGCTGGAATACCAGGCTACTCTCGAGACCAAATTCGCCAGCTACGACAACTACTGCAGTCTCTTCCACTACATCCTGAACTCCGACGGCCCTGTGGATTTGGAGGTTCCTTCTGTAGGTGTTCCGTCCCGGCGACCCATTGATGAATGCCATGAATGAAAAGGGAAAAGCTTGGCATTCGTGGAATCAACAAGCTCGACCAATTCTACAGATATCACGAACATAACTAACAACATTCTTTTTACCATTAGTACTACTGGGCTTGGGAAGTTATTGACGAGTTCATCTACCAATTCGAATCTTTCTGCCGTCACCGTAACCGCGTCGCTCGCAGCGGATCTAACGAGGAGGAAGCCCAGCTGCTCCGCGAGAACCCGAACACATGGGGCTGCTACTCAGTGCTGAACGTCCTTTACTCCCTCATTCAGCGCTCCCAGATTAGCGAGCAATTGAACGCTACCAAGCGGGGAGAGGATCCCCTCGCCTTTGCCGGCGAGTACGGCTCGCGCCCCTTGTACAAGATGCTCGGCTACTTCTCGATCATCGGATTGCTGCGCGTGCACTGCCTGCTCGGCGACTTCAGTCTCGCCCTGAAGATCCTCGACGACGTCGAGATGAACAAGAAGGCCATGTTCGCCCGCGTCATGGCCGCCCACTTCACCACCTACTACTACGTGGGCTTCTCCTACATGATGATGCGCCGCTACGGTGACGCCATCCGCATGTTCAGCCACATCCTCGTGTATGTATCTCGGACAAAGAACTTCCAGAAGGGCGGCAACAACTACGACGCCCTCGCCAAGAAGAACGACCAGATGTACGCCTTGATCGCCATCTGCGTTGCTCTGCACCCCACCCGTCTGGATGACACCATCCACTCGGCCGTCCGCGAGAAGTACGGCGAGCAGTTCTACCGCATGCAGAAGGGTGGCCCCGAGGCCCTGCCCGTCTTCGAGGAGCTCTTCCGCTCCTCCTGCCCCAAGTTCATCAACCCCACCCCTCCCGACTTCGACAACCCAGCCTCCAACGTCGACCCCGTCGACCACCACACCGCCATCTTCATGGACGAGGTTAAGAACACCCTCTTCAACCCCACCATCCGCTCCTACCTAAAGCTCTACACCACCATGGATCTCAAGAAACTGGCCGGATTCCTCGAGGTGTCTCCTGAGCAGCTCCGCTCCTGGCTGCTCGTTAACAAGCAGCGCAGCCGTCAAATCCGCTGGGTCGACGGTGGCCTACTGGAGGGCGAGCCTTCTATCGCCAACGATCTCGACTACGCCCTTGAGGACGACCTGATCCACGTCAGCGAGACCAAGGCCGGCCGTCGTCTGGTCGACTGGTACCTGCGTAACCTCGCCCGTGTCTACTAAGCGCGGGTCGTGTCTCATAAGTGTGCCGATTGAAGAAAGAAAAAAAGAAAGCGAAGAGTAGATGGAGCCTTACGGACATGACTTGAGATGAATTTTCTTTCTTTTCCTTTTTTTCCCCACTTCTCTGCCTACTTTGTTTTCCCGTTTCCATATTATACTCATTGCTCATTGCTCTCCCTCCTCCTCCCTTCCCACTCATCATGTTTCATGTTCATGTTTCTTGTTTCCAATTTTTTTATTTTTCGAGTATTTCCCATCCATGGACCCAGCTTTCTGGTCCGTTCAAAATCGAGTTCGATTTTCGCGATTTTCTTTGGTGGGCGTCCGCTGTTTCATGTGTTATGCTGGTGCTGCTATCGCTGCTTCTTTGAAGGCAGGGGGTTTACACAGCATGGAGAGTATTTGTGTCAGGTAGAGAAGAAAAGCAGTTACTTGATGAAAGCAATAGATCAACGAGAGATACTCTAAATATTTTTAACTCCAAATGTACACGGTAGCTGGGTCTGTTGTACATTGTGTCAGAAGACTGGGGTAAGGCCTCCTACTGCTGCGGGATAGACGTTGAAGTCGTTTAGAAAAGACAAAGATACCTAGACCTTGTGTGATTACTAGGCTGAGACCGGACGAGACTGTATTTCTATCTACATATACAATTAAACCTCTAAATCTGAATTATAACAATAACAGCTCACCCGTGGCCACACCACCAGCTAGTTGCGGCTGATAAGCCGACTGCTGATTCTGATTCACGACATACTGCGACTGAGACGCATTACCACCGCCAATATTCATTGAAGCCATCTGCTGGGACCCAATTCCACTGAAGTAAGCATCTGCTGCATCAGCGGCTTCGTTCATATTGTTCGGGCCTGTGATTGTCGGGTTGCCCCCGGGGCCTGTTGGCAGAGAAGGAGGCGGTCCGTTGATTGGCGTGACAGGTTCACCTGTAGTAATGATTGTGGCTAGGCCACTATTACTCGTTGAAGCAGAGGCCATATTTGCAGAGGGGGGTTGTATTCGAGCATGTTTCCTGTGCCATTTTCGATGCGCGGACGTTGTAGCGCTGGGCTGGGCATCAAACGGCGAGGGCGGGCGGCGCGGAAGACTTGGTGGATGGGCTTGAGATAGACGGTGGCTAGTGTGCCGACGTTCAGACACAATTCCTCCAGGGTGCGTGGGTCCAACTTCTCGCTTTCGGCGGTGATCGGGGGCTTTTGGCCCATGACGACCTGCTTGGCGGTTGCTGGGTCCGTTGATAGTAAGCGCCAGTACATGTAGCCACGGTCACGCAGATCAGGGTCGTCGGTTTCCTCGGTGCACCATTTCAGTACTTGTGGTACGAGCTGTTGGCCCTTGGTGGGGCGTTGAATGAAAAGTTTGACGGTAGCCGTGAGCAGGGCCAGCTGCACCTCGACTGTTTCGTCGTGGAAGGTGGCCAAATAATCCTGGAGGAGGCCGTCTGAGTTATCAATGCGGTCTGCATATTGGCCGATGATCCAAATGACAGCTGCTTTGGCCTCGGGCTCGTCCAAATCATCGATGTTTCGAATGACGTGACTGATTATGCTCTCGTATTGGTTGGGGTATTTACGGAAGATGTTGCGAATCACCACTGTTGCCTCTTGGACAATGTATGGGATCTTGGCATCGACCAGTTCCAAAAGCGTCTCGATGCATTGCTTCGCAGCCGACTCGATCTTGATTGCCAATTTGCCAATGGCCCGAACGGCCTTGCGCACAAAGTGAACGTCAATTTCAGTGGCATATCTGCAATACTATTAGTACACGTGAAGTCCATCTGGGTTGAGGAATACTGACTCTCGCAGCTCTGCTAACACGACAGAGATGTTCTCTTTCGTGGTCAGCATGAACATTAATTCCAGCTTGGTCACTTTGACATAAATTGGGTCGTTGTAGTTGCAGAAAAACACTCGGATATCATTCCGCAAGACCTCTGGTCTCTTCTGAAGAATCAAAATAGCATTTCGCAATGCCAAATATTGAACCTCTGGCGGCTTCGAAAGCAATGTGACGAGGGGCGGAGATAGCTTTTTGCACAAGGAGGTGATGTGCTTTTCACCTGCAATGTAGTTCATGAGATAAAGAATGACACGACAGGAGGTAAGTACGACGGCGGAATTCGAATGTGATAGTCGCGGAGCAATTCTCTCAGCTAGTAGAAGTGCCTCTGCGCAATCCTGGGGCACATACGACATTAGAGCCTCGAGGATGTAGGTTTGGCCCCATCTGGTTGAAAGGTCAGCAGTCGACCTCTACAAAGGTATCAAATCAACTTACTCAGAACAGTCTGGCAGAATAGAAACCAGTTTTGACGCACTGACGTAGTCAATAGTGAGTGAGATAGATTCACTGCGGCCCCAGATATCGACCAGCGAAGCCAGAACGCTGGAAACGACAGTCGGATTCTCATCTTTCAACATGCGATTAAGCCTGTCAATCAGATCCGAGTTCTCTACCATCTTCTTATCGTGCTCGTATAGCTTTGCAACGCAGAAAGCAGCCGTCTTGCGAACATAGGGATCATTATCCTGCATCAGGCGCTTGACAGGTTGGAAGGTCGCTTCGACAAATTCGCGAACATGCACATATGAGATGGTTCGTACTGCCAGGGCGCGAACAAGTGGGTTGTTATCTGCCATATCCTGTAGAGCCATGTCAGACCACGATCCTTCCATCTATACACTGGGACCATACATCAACCAATATAGGCAGCGCCTTCAATGCGATCTCGGGTTTCATCCTCGAGTAGTTCACAAGGAATAAGAAACACCTAGGCACGATGTCAGCAAGCGAGCATGCCAAAGTATAGAGGCATAGTCCATACATTTTCTTGATCTCCAAGCTTGGCAGATTCATACAACCAATAACGTCCGGAAACAGCGCAATCATGTCATTGTTGCTCATGGTCATGTTGGCAACGATCTTCTTGAGTGCGATCTTTTTGGCGGAATAGTTCTTGTCTTTCTTGCCGCCGCTATTGAGCTCTTGCCGTAGCTCTGCGACCTTGCCCTGTATAGTTTGCAAGCGTGAGCCATATGGTGGAGCATAAGGAGTGATATAGAGGAACATGGGGGCAGATTTAGTAGTTCAAACTGATGTGGAAACACAAGTAGCTTATGCCGAATGCAAGGGAAGTCTGCGAGTGCAGGAACCCCCGAGTACAGCGCTCATCAAAGCGAGGGGAAGTGAGAGTTGAATGCGGGGAAAGGCCAGAAAGTGACGAAAGAGAGTACGCGGCCAAAGGAAGTAAGCTGGGCTAACGTACCCTGGCGAACAACTTCGCATCTTGTCCAGAACTCATGGCTGCGGTCTGAGCGAATAGCGATTGGGCACTCGGCGCAAAAGCTTAGATAGGATATGTCGGCCGGGCTGGACTGGTTTTGACGGCCGTGCGATAAGTCACAGGCTAGCTGGACGTCGAAAATGAGTAAAACGTAATGGCGCGAACTCGAGCTCGAAGGTGTCCGGGGGAATTGGAGAGAAAGGGCGAGACCGACGTGTTCACTGCACCACTGTGGCACGTTCGGGGGACTCGGAATCAAATCAAATTAGCAAGACATCGTTTTTCTCAAACAATTCCACTTTCAACGGATTAGAAAAGCAATGAAGTGGGAGTGGAAGAGAGAGAGAAAGGAGAATTAATTGAAGGCGGAGTAGGCGCGGAGGGAAACTCCCTGCCCCAGCAACTTTCCCTCCCCCCCCGTTCACTTTGTTCTTCTACCTCTCCCCACACCCACACCCACATACAGATCTTCGTCATGTCACAAGCTCGACTACCACCTCCCCCTCCACCACAATGGGTTGTGTCATTGAATTCCCCGATGCCACGCCCCTCGAAGGCAGCATCTAGCATCCCGGACCCGCCAGGCTTCTCTAGCACTCGGGGCAAGCAGGTGAGTCTCCACCACAAACCATCATCAGAGTCCAGAGGTGCTAATACAGTCTTCGTCAGCGCCAGCAACAGCAGCAACAAGCTACCACAAAGAAACCCGCCGATACCGACGTGCTTAAAATGAAGAAAGCGTGGGAAGTCGCCATCGGCCCGTCTAAGCAAATCCCTATGAACGCCATTATGATGTACATGTCCGGCAATAGTCTTCAGATCTTCAGTATCATGATGGTCATGATGCTGTTCAAGGGCCCCATCCAGGGCTTGATCAATACCAATGCGGCCTTCGCCAAGTACGATACTCCATCCACACATTCGCGTCTGCTTGGGGTGAAGGTGGTCTACATGTTGATGCAGCTGGTATTACTGGGGCTGGGTATTTGGAAGGTTAACGCAATGGGTCTATTGCCGTAAGTCCTTGCTGTCCGATCTTAGCGACGCTTATTGCTAACATATATCCAGGACTACAAGATCGGATTGGCTAGCTTGGGAATCCGAACGACAACCTTTGGAGCGGGCTCATTTTGCTTTCAGATGATGCAACACTGGATCAGGATGATTTGTTGAGAGGCAGTGAGACTTCGATCTTTGGACGACCCAATTGAGTACCACATCTCATTGGGGGTGGTCATGGCGGCCTGCCTGCCTTGTATTATTGATTAGAGTTCTCTATAAGCATGCATTTATCTAGCGGAAGTTTCGAGATCGATTTCGCAGTTCATCGCATCCATAATGGTCTTCGGACGGCGGACGTCCGTACTCACGACACCCCCGGGTCACTTCTGACCTCTTAAAGCATTATCCTTCCCAATGCTCTTAGCTTCTTCCTTTAACCGACGCTCTTCGCGCCACTTTGGTCCCCTCCAGATCACAACCAAGAGCAGTGGCGATGTGGCCATCATCACCAATGCAATGAATGTGAAACACCAGCCTCGGCCCATGGCAGAAAGCATAGGGTCGATGAGTGCCGTGGCGCCGGCACCCAGAAGGCAACGCACGAAGTTATTCGCAGCAGTGGCCTTAGCTGCCTGCGTCGGGTAAAGATCCACCAGGAGTGTACTGATGGTGTTGAAAGCGCCTGTCAGGGACAATCCCATGAGGAACAGAATACACGTAGGCGCAGCGAGGTGAACTTTCTGGTCCAAGAACCACCCAAACACAAGGACACAGATGCTTCCTGCTGCAAGAAGAGGGAAAGCAATCTGCAAACGAGCCTTTTCGATGGGGTAGTTTCGCAAGTCAGTGTGGCGATTCTTGACTAGTGGGAAGTTCAACTGCTTTGCGAGCCGGCGGTAGTTATAGTCCAGGAACTTGCCGTTGCCAATAGAAGCAAGAGTCGCACCAAGGCCAAAGGGGATATAGCATAGACCGACCTGGAGGTCGTTCAGCCCGTAGAGTTCATTGTAGATGGACGGAATGCTTGCGCTCACGTCGTAGAATCCAGCAAACAGAAGAGCGTTGCAGAAGAGGATGAGACTGGTATCTTTCTGGAAGACGATTGCAAGCGTCTGGAAGGGATTGGGGAACTTGAGTTTCTGTCTGGGTGCAGTAACCGGAGATTCAATGCCCGCCTGACGAGCCTTTCGGGACTCTAAGTAGTTTATCAAGGACATGTTCCATTTCTGAGGAGGCAATGAGCCATCACCGACGACGCTCCGAGCTGTTTCGGGGAAGAAGACCAGAAATGGAATCAGGAAAGCCCCCGCAAAGATGGTCAGAAACCAGAAGATTGCCCGCCATCCCAGATATTGAGACAACAGACCTCCTATAACCGGTCCAACTGAGGGGCCCATGAGAGACCCTGCCGTGACGAATCCCATATAGGAGCCTCGCTTTGATGCAGTGGCAACATCAGACACCACCCCAGATGAAAGGGCAATAGTGGTGCTACTCCCTGCGCTTTGCAAGCATCGGAGAACAAATAGAGCAGCATAGTTGTTTTGCAGGGCAAGTCCGATATTGGCTGCGATATAGATGACGAAGCACACGATATATGCTGGACGTCGCCCGGCTTTATCTGCAAAGTCACCAATGAACATGGGCGACAGCCCTTGAAAGATCTGGATTATCATTAGCTCTGCACATCAATCAACACTCTATGCCTAGACTTTACCATGTAACTCGTCAATGTCAGGTTGATCAGCGAATTGGACACATGCAGATCTTTCGCCAAGGTGTTCAATGCGGGAAAGTAGATTTGAGATGAAACGGGGGAGAAGAAGCCAGCCCAAGATGCCATGAAGACAATAAATCTTCGCTGGCCATCTGTAAAGACCGAATACTCGACATCGGCATGATCCCCGCTACTCGTCCCCGCCTTTGCATTTGCATCTTGAGCGGGTACGGGGTTCGTCGACGGTTCTCTTATTTCCTTTTCCATCTGAACCGTGGACTCTTGAGATCAAGGTCATGAACCCAACATGTTAGAAAAAGAAAAGAGAGCAGACGTGACATTTCTTCCAAGTTTCTCATATTTTTCTTTTCCTCACTAGCCCTTTGCCCACCGGATGGGTCCACCATGCCAGACCTCATTTGCGGAGATAACTGCCATCCGTGCCGAGAAGCCGAAGCTTTTATAGCGCCTCACATGGAAGTGGAGTATTGCATATACGCACTACCGGGGTGGCATGGAGTTATTATATCGTTATATCTGCTGGTATATCTCAAGGGAATAATCTTGGAAAGTCGTGTGCCCTCAGGTCTGACTTTGGAGATTGAGAGAATAACTATGCATACAATTCAAACAGCGGTCAACGCGCTTTGACAGCCTCTTTACATGCCCGCAAGAAGATCTGAGAGAATTCCCAGACCTCTACATACGTGTTATAGAGCGGCGCAGGGGCGACCCGGATCACATCGGGTTTCCGTTCGTCAATAACGACCCCATTCTCCTCCAGGAGGTGCAGAACATGATCTAACAAGCCTGGCTGGAGACGAAGACTGAGCTGGGCACCTCGTTCAGCTGGATTCGACGGCGTGATAAGTGTAAATGGTTTGTCTTCTGGGGGCGCATCCAGGGGATACTTCAACAGAAGGTGTTCGAGATACCCCGTGAGATTGAGGGACTTTTGTCGGATTTCTTTCATTGTTGTCCGATTGAAGATCTCGAGAGATGCGACGACTGCATTGATGTCCAGAACGGAGGGGTTCGATAGCTGGAACCCAGCTGCACCGGGCTGTGGTAAGAATTCTGCAACAGTCAGTTTTTTGTCTGAACGTCATAGACACAATACGTACGGTTTGCCATGTCGAAGCGGGTTTTGATATCTCCGCCCCACCAACCTGAAAGTCGAGGCCGGAATGTCTCTTCACTGTCGGGCTGTTTCTCATCGACGGAACCGTGGCGTTCATGGACAAAGAGTCCTGCAATCCCACCCGGTCCGCTGTTAAGGTATTTGTAATTGCACCAGGCCGCAAAATCCACGTTCCAGTCATGGAGACGCAAATCCACATTGCCAGCGGCGTGGGCACAGTCCCACCCGATCAAGATGTTCTTAGAGTGGGCATGGGCTGTGATTCGTTCAATATCGAAGTACTGCCCCGTGTAAAACTGAATGGCCGAGAGAAGAATGAGAGCAGTACTAGAAGCATTGTCATCAATCACTTGGATGATCTGTTCTGTGCTCAAGATAGGCTGTTCCAGATCCTTGGGTTCGATCAACACCATGCCATCCTTCGGATTGAAATTGTGATGGCGGAGTTGAGACTCGACTGCATACTGAATTACCCTTGTGTTAGTAAAATCTACCCAGGTTGATCTGAATCCTCTTGGAACAACATACATGGTCACTGGGAAAGGCCTTGCCTTCGAGTATAATCTTATACTTCTCTTTGGTGGGTCGATAGAAACTTGCCATGAGGAAGTGCAGGTTGGCTGTCAATGTTCCCATAACAGCCACTTCACTTTGCAAAGCACCAACGACTGGGGCCATAAGCTTGGAGGCCGCAGTGTCGACATCGACAAAAGGAGGTAGTAACTGATCATCATGCGGCACAAAATGTCCAGTCACACCTTTGGTAGCCCAGGTTCGCAGGTATTGTTCGATATATCGCTGAGTGTTGCGAGGTTGAACACCTAGCGAGTTACCACACAAGTAAATGCATGGATCTGATGCTTCATTGCCTAGCGAGAAGAACGAAAGCCACTGGTTAGAACGCTTGGTTGTAATTGAGACCCTGATACGCACTGTCTTCTGATACCAAAGTCTTCCGCTTCAGATCCTCCTTCGATGGAATGATGAACTCTTCGCGAAAGCTCCGAAGCGGATCCTGGGCATCAAGAGCTTCCGCATACTCTCTCTTGTAGGCCCTTATATCGTCTGTGTAGGGAAGCGGGGAACCGCTTTTGAGCTCCCGAAGATGCTGCCTGGAACCCATGACGGTAGAATAGACTCTCAATAGAGCACCTGAAGCTCTTAATACTCAAATAATCAACGCAATTTTAGAGCAGCAGAAAATCATTCAACGGCCTGATACTGCGTAGACTTCACTGGATCCCTGCAGCTCTCCCCCACCATACGACGATCACTTCCTAATCGGACCAATATTCTGCCATTTCTCTCCGACTATATCTGGCCAATGGCGTCACAGCTAACTGACTAACCCGATGTAATCGAATGGGACGATTTGATATCAAAGCAGACTTGCACATTCTCATCTTTCTACAATCTCCTATACATACTCTTCTCACGTCTCAGATATGTCACGCCATTTGATTTCATCAACAGCCACCCGGGGCTTATCTCAACCACAAACTTGCCGACTCTTCTCAACTTCCCGACCGACCTTGCTCCTCTCCGCATTCTCCGGCGGCGAAGTCGCTTCTCGACGACCACACACTGCTACAACCAACGCACCATCTCTCCGCCGCTCAACTCCACAGTCTTCGGTTTCCCGCTATACCCGTCAACACTATGTGTGTTTCTCTTCCTCGCCCATCCGCCCGGCTACCAAGGTGACGCAAAATCCGAGAACCGGAGATGACGGAGAGCCTCTGACGATGACTATCTCGCCACGAGCTATTGAAGTGAGTTGATATCTGATTTTTTTGCCTCATATTATCTGTCTTGCTTTGTTATCCTACACAGCTTGTGGCGGTGATGGATGAGAAATTGTGTGAGCTGCATGTACATCGAGCAGCCGGAGCTCAGTCCGGTGTTGATTGGCCGGGGACAACCCTGTGACCGCGCTATGGTCCCTTGAGACATGGTATCAAGTACATGCGACCATAGGGTGTGGAAAACAGGGCTTCCCGTCCGCTCAGCCGTACTTAAGCCACACGCCGGTGAGTTAGTAGTTGGGTGGGTGACCACCAGCGAATCCTCACTGTTGCATGTTTCTTCCTTTTTTATTCTTTTTTTGACTGCTCCCATATGAACCAATGAGCTAATGCAATGCAGCGTCTCCGCGAAATCACAGATCCATCCTCTGCCCCTTCCGCCACCAAGGAAGACAACCCTTACCACCATCTCCGTATCACAGTCACCAGCGGCGGATGCCATGGTTTCCAATATCTGATGTCCTTAGAAGGGGTTGACAAAATTGACCCGGAAGAGGATACCATTTTTGAAGGTGAAGCAGACTCCGAGGGTGCATCAGGGTCAGCTGGTGAGGCCAAAGTCGTCATGGACGAGCCTTCGCTCGAGCTCCTGCATGGCAGCACGGTGGACTATACCACTGAGTTGATTGGGAGCCAGTTTAAGATTGTGGACAACCCGCGTGCAACAAGTAATTGCGGCTGCGGAACGAGTTTCGATGTCAGTGATTGATTGGGAAATGTGCTCGTTAAAAGATGGATGAGAGGCGTCATCTCGTCCCCTTCTGTTATTTTATGTGCCATACTGCATTCTGCATACTGGAATGATAGATAATCGCATGCTATACCCCTCTTCTCTTACAATGCTAGGTCTCGATCTATGTCCGGAATAGTCAAGTCTGGTCATAGAAAGACTTTGAATGCTGACTGTAATAAGAATACTGCAAAAAATCAACCTGAAGGATGGATATCATTGCCTTGAAACTTGTGTTAACGCTCAAAAGATATGGAAATATGGAACAAGAACATCGTAATAGAGACGGAAAGTAGTATAGGGGAGCACTTGGTTTCACAAACCCAATGTTCTCAATCCTCCTCCATCTTAGCAAGCCCACCACGGCTACGACGAATACGTTCATCAAGGGTATCCTCCTGCACGCGCTTGTTGACATCAGACATGAACCTGCCCCGATCTGAGCGCAGCCGATCATCAGCCTCCCGTTGCTGTTCTTCCTTGGCAGTGATTTCAGCGATGCGCTGGAGTCGCTCTGTTTCCATATCGGCCGCGCTGGACTGCATCTCTTCCAACTTGCGGCGGCGTTCTTCTTCCAGGTCTTTTGGATCAGGTCTTGGTGCTGGAGCACGGGTTGGGGGTGGCATGTTGTTTCGGCCGGAGTCACGTCGATTGTTGTATTCGCGCCGGAGGTAGTCCCGGCGGCGGTCTTCGGCGGCAGTCGGGTGCTCTTTGCGGTCACTGGACGGGACGGGGGACCGGGAGTATCGACGTGGTGAGCGGTCTCGGTCACGTCTGTCGTCCCGGTCTTGGTGCCGGCCAGAGTAGGAACCCCTCCTGTCTTGATGGTCGCGATGGTCTATGTCCCGATCTCTATCGTCCCGGCGAGACCGATGCCTATCATTCCTCCGATCACGGCTATCTGAGCGGTGTCTGTCGTCGCGTCGTTCGCGGTCACGGTCACTGCGATGTCTGCGGGAAGATCTGTCGGGCGAAGCAGGCGATCTCGATCGGTGTCGACGAGGGGACGATCTTCGGTGATGGCGGTCACGGCGATCATCGCCTGCATCGTCGCTGTAGCGTCTGCGCTTTGAGTCATGGCTACGGTGACGATGGTCCCGATCACCACGGTCACGTTCCTTGTCCCGACCGGAACCCGCGCGTTTCTGCTCCCTTTCCTTGCGTCTGATCGCCTCTTTCACCATTGCATCATATGCCGCTTGTTCCCTCTTCTTCACTTCCAGCAACGGGTCCGCCATAACCTTGGACATGGTGTCACGCGCCGACATGGCAGACGGGCCGGCCGCCGCACTGCCCACCACCTCCGAGCCCTTCTCCAGCTTCTTTGTGTCATGATCGTTTTTCAGGATGACCCCATCGATGCGCCGCTTCCCCAGCAGGTACCCTTCCATCTCCTCGCTGTAATGCCCGGTCGCGCTCGAAGGCGCCTGGTACATCCAATCGACTCGGCTTTGTATCTTCGTCTTTCCGGAGGCTTCTTGAAGGCGTTGGATTTCTTCCATCTGGCGCTCCTCCTCTCGTTCACGCCGTAATTGTGCAATCTGTTTGCGCTCCTCTAGAGCGCGTTTCTCTTCGAGCCATACGCGCTCCTGGTTCTTCATCAACCCCGGATGCCATGACCTATTAGGATAGTTAGTTTTGTTCGCAAATTGGGAAGCTTGGATCCGTCACTTACTTCTTCAAATTCAGATCTCCTCCCATGATGCTTGAGAGGTAGTAAAATCTCTAAAAAAAGGTGGTGATGTGAGGAAGTTGCGATGTCCAAATCTCAAGATCTGTCGTTGGGACCCAAGCTCAATTGGCCACCCGGTCACGTGTGGCCGTCTACTATGACCATATCAACACAATGTAACTTCATTATGAAGCTGGAGCATGTCAGATTGAGGGAGATTATGTATCGAAATGCCAATTGCCAAAGGTCAGAGCGAGCTTGTTTCTCCTCGTTGAGAAAGTCGAGGTACCACCAGTGAGTTATAGGTATCCGTACAGCCCGATCCAAAGGCGGGACGATATATTCAAACCAACCTTCGGAATTGATGAACCGCCCGCCAATCGACCTACCTACCAGGTAGCGGCATCCCAGGCATAGGTACTCGCGAAATTAGAGTGGACGTAGCAACTTGGGGACCGAGACTGAACAAATAACAAATGATCGAATTAATTCTAGATACAAAGGTGAAGAATCGAAACGCATCATATCCTCATCATCATTCACGCCATGCAACTCCAAAAGCAAAGCCACATTACCAGAAACTACACCATCCAATCCAGTGTTGACAGATGTTCTCGACGTTGGTTGCTTGCGCAATAAGCTTGTCCACCTGGTCACTGACACTCAGCTCTTCATTGCCTCTGAAGTCTCGTCCGGTGAGCTTCTCCTTGACACGGGCGAGGACCTGGAGAGCACGGGCGTTCTGTGCCTCGCGGGCCTCTTGCGGAACGCCTTCTGGAGCATCGAGAATACCACCTTCGAGCATGGAAGGTCGACGGCGGCGGGCGAAATCCGGCTGAGCACCAGGTTCGAAGTTGGCGCTGTCCATAATTGACTGGCGACGATCCGTAGGAATAGACACTCGGTCGGGAGACTCTTGCGTGCCCAGACGCCAGTTGATCAGAGGATCGTGAATGAACTATAAGTACGATGGTTAGCGGTCGGCATCAAAAGCAATGATATACCAGATATAACTTACAGCCTCCAACACTGCCATCAAGGAATCCTTATGCTCTCGCAGAACACGCATGACAGCCTCGCAAGTAATGCGGTAGCTACCCTCAATATTGCTGACTTCCATAGCGAAAGTCAGCATGCGGGTGAGTCGGAAGGGAACTCGCTCTGGATATTTCTCTCGGTGCATTGCGATTTCGAAACAGTCACCAAAGTCGATATGTACCACACGGCCATTGCCACGGTCCAACAACAAGTTCGACGGGTGTCGATCTCCAAGACCAAGGATGTAGCCTACCATAGACATGACACCGAGTGATCGAGTGTAGTTGGTACGGCGTTCAAGCCATGCCTCAGAGCTCTTACTCTTGAGCCAAAGCACCCGGTACAGATCCTTGCCGGTTGTGTTGTCCATAGCATAGCCGAACACTTCAACCTTCTGCATGAGAGTAAGGCTGTCGTAGTCGGGTGCCATTTGCAGCATAATCCGATGCTCGATGTTGAGTAGAATGCGACGACTCTCACGATATTCCTTGATCAAGGCGTGCAATGTGTCACTGTTGGACACCCATCCCAGCAGACCGGAGCTCTGTGACAATGGAATAGCTGGGAAGCGTTGAACTGACAAGTGTCGCTTGAAACTCTCGCTGTCATTATCCAGCAATGTATTGCACAGGCCGAAGAGTTGCATAACTCGCTCATCTTGTCGAATGTCTTCGTGGCCCTTGACAAGGTACATGTACGAACTTCCGTTGCTGCCCTTGAGCGTCATGCGACGCGGGCGTTTCTTGGTCTGCAAGACATGCAAGATCGGGTCAAAGCTCATGATTCGAATGACTGGCTTTCCACTCTGGTACGTTCCTGGAACCGCAAGGCCTAGGTCGGAGCAATCCTTGAGTCGCGGAGACACATATTTGAGATCGAGAGTCGATAGTTGTGGCAGCTGCCGGCTGATCTTGCGGAACACTGTGTAATACAAGTCCCAAGCTTGGTTCAGGTCGCCTATCTCCTGCGATTCCCGATACATCATGCAGTAGTGCCTCGCTTCGGCCAAATCACGCCCGAAAGCTTGGGCAAATGAGACCTCGCGAAGGGTCTCAGCCCCCTTGTCCAGCATCTCATGGAATGGCGCAAGCGTTGCGAACATGCCTTCCACGTTGTGATCGCCGAAATAGAGACGAGAGGCCTCTTCCAAGCCCTCATGCCAGAGTTCATGCCACAGTACCGCAACTCGAATGAGCTCGTGACTGACAAGATCCGCTTGCTCAACAAGTTTGGCACTGTGTTGTCGCATGCTTTCCATAATGTTGCTGGCAGATTGAGAACGTCGAGTCACATTTGACTTCATTGCCACCGTCAGTGGGTAAACCAGGGCTTGAGGGTGTGCTTTGCCGACCTCGGCAAGCAACCTATGGACAGCACCCCGTACTCTGATATTGGGCTGGTTGATACGAGCGATCAGTTGGGGGGTAACAGCAAGCCAGGTGTCAATGTTGACAGATGTAAACCCTTCAGTGACGACAGTATTCACTTCATGATCCCCACCGTGAGTGAACCACAGAGTAAGCAATCTAAGGGTGTCTTGCAGCGAAGATGTCAAAGACAAAGCGATAGAGCGAATGAATCCGCGAATGGCAGGAATCACATGCTCTGTAACGATGTGGGCCGGAACCGGTGCTGGCGTGCCCTCACGATTAGCCTGATTGGAAATCGTTGTCACGACTTCGAAGTTGGCAAGTGCCCAGGAGTGCCACGCCTTGTATGAATCGCGGTTGTACTGGGTCGCCGCTGAGTATGCGTTGAGGACCTCTTGGATGTGTTCTGGTCTCCAATCACCTCTTTGAAGAGCCGTTTGCCATTCTCCTTGCCTGAGATAGCTTTTAGAGAGTAGTCTTCTGAATTTGTTTGCATCACCAATCCGCTCATGTATACGGATAACATCCGGGTGGTTTTGATCGATGGCTCCGTTGGCTCCGTTCGCATTATGGTGATCAGGATGTGACACCATGAGTGTGTTGTATCTGGAGAAATCATCCGTCAGACTAGACGTGAACTCCTTCATCATTTCGAGGGATTCTAGTTGGTGACCGTTTGCCCAGCTGAACTTCAGCCTGGCGTAGGTGACTTCGGGAGGTATGACGGTGTGCATGCCATTGGCATCGGATACCACCGTCTCCAAGGATGCAAGAGATCGTTCCGCGAGACCCATTCGATTGGATTTGCGACAAAGATTGGCAAATTTGATTGACATGTCAAGATTTTCACGTGGAGCAGTGACAAGAGCTCTGACCTTGAGCATGCGCTGCCATACCTCCACGTTTTGCTGACATCCAAGCAATCTTTGATTCCAGGTTTTGCGCATAGCGTCTTGCTTCTCAGGGTCGCCAACGTTGCGTTTGTAAGTGATGATCTCTTCCAGTTCAGCGAGCATCTGGACTCGAACAACAACGTTATAGGCACGGTTATATGACTCTCCGAGAAGAGCAGACAGTTCTGTATCGAGACCATTGCGAGCCTTCTCAATGTACATGTTTGCCTCTTCGAATTGGTTGCGATGGATTGCCAGAATGGCACCGAAGAACGAACGGTCGGGAGACTGTTCTTTCATGACACCAAGATATGAGTCCATCAACTCCCACTGGCCCCGGCCCCAAGCAGCAGCAGCGGCAAGAGGCGCGATAGCTCGGCGATGCTCCAGTGATGCTTGATTCCACTTCTCCTGAGCGAGGTCCGAAAGGACCTTCCACTCACCCAGAGCGTGTAAACAGCGCATCTTACCCATCGTGATACCAAATGAGTCGGGATCCGTCTTCTCACGTCGTTTGTAAGCAGCAAGGGCTTCGTCCCACCGTTGGAGCTTCTCAAACCACGTTTCCTTGAGTTCCACATCACGATACGCTTGCGCTTTGCGAAGGATACCAATGGCGGCGTCTGACTGCTGAAGCTGATTGTTGATCGTAATCAAGGCTTCAACAGCACCTGAGTTCTGATCTTGCTCAAATTCGAGCTCTTTGTAGTGGAGAGCTTTAGCAAAAGCATGACATTTCGCAGCATACTTGCCAAGGGTGCGGATGTCGATCGGAAGAGCTTTATCATCGTGCTCCATGAATTCGGCCAAATTGAGAAGGATTTGCAGAATCTCAGGTGAGATATTGGTAGAAGTAAGAGCCTTCTCAATTGAACGGACGAGCTCTTCTTGGTATTGGTCATATAGCTCAGTCCAGCATGAGACGAACGCAGCATTGAATAGGTCCCTCGAAAGCGGCTGATAAATTCCAGCCAAACTGGCACACGCACGCAGTGCCGGAGATGGGGACTCCTTCAAAAGCTCGATGCTAAAGCGGCGTATCCACTCCTGCCAGTCCTCACGAGTAGACTTCTGCGAAGCGTCCCATGCATTCTTAAGATGCTGCTGGTTCACGACGATCTTCTTCTGTCCAATTTCCGAAAAGTTGGTGTCGTCAGTAGGGAAAGAATATACTTCTTCCGGGTTGAGATCCTGCGGGAGTGGATCGCCCTTCTGGAGTTTTGTCACCAGGATGTGATAGTTGACATGCGTAATCTGGTGGGCTTTCAGAACTTTGTTCAGGAGGTGAATGTAATGCGTGAAATCCTGGCCGAGCTGGAAGATCAGAGCACAGATGCAGTCTAGTGCAGCTTGACGCAACACTCGATCGCCGCTGGCCACAACTCGTGACAATGAATGAATCATTAAAGATGCAAAGTCAGAAACATTGACTTGCCTCGACAGCTTCGTCAAACTATCAATAGCAGACTTGCGGATGCTTTGAGGATTTTGCGGTCGATCAAACAGACGAACAATGGAAGGAATGATGAGATGCATGTATTCCTCCCCACTTGTGCCGAAGATCAAGAGGGCGTGAAGGATCTTCTCAGACGGTTGACGCCGAGGCGACGTGTCCTTATCGAGTGTATCAAGCATCAAAGGGATCAGGCCGGCAAGATACTTCCTGAACTCTCCTTCCAATGACCGGGCAATAGCTTCGACTAGCGATAGAATTGTGCCCTGTATTTGATATGAACTATCCCAAAAGTCTCTGATGACCTCAATAATCTCTGGCAAGAATGTGCGAATGTGCTGTCGCACGATGTTCACAAGGATTGCCATCTGGTTGAAATAAGTCTCAAGGCGGCTAGCAGGAGAACTTCTAATGACCATAATGAAGCCTGGAATGATTTGCCCAAGGAATGGCACACACTTCAACCCCAAAGTCTTGAATATGGTGACAATCGCATCAATGACGGCTGAGTGATATTGTGCAAGGGAGTTTTCTCGCAGGATGTTCTGCATCAATGTATGAATGACCACCGTAGGGTAGTACTCCTCGTTGGACGGTGTGAGACCCTGCATGATGAGGGCGACATCAGACACATTTTGTATCTCATTGATATGATGTACATCTGGTTCAATCTCGCTGATCTGTTGGTATTTGTAGGGATCGAGGGCACCAAGAACTCCCAGAAGTTTGATGGTCTCCTTTCGTAGCGAGCCTGTCTGTTCCGTCTTGATGATGTTGATGAGGACGGCGAGAAGATGAGGGTATTCCATGTAAGGTTCGATAACATAGCCGGAATTACTGGCGAGCTGCCCTAGTGTCCGAAGCGCAGCTTCACGTTTGGAATGAGAAGATAGATCCTGAAGTGAGTCCAAGATAATTGGCATGATCTGCGGTAAATATTGTCTCATCTCATGGCCCCCGACGTTGGCAAGCTCGCCGACGGCTTTCAGAGTAGTGGCGGCAACACCGGGGTTGATGTCCGTTGTTTTGGGCAACAAGGCAGTCACCATGGGATCCACGTATGACCTGATCAACTTTGTTGCATTAGAGACAAACAGGCTGATGAGTTGAGCTGTTTCCTCCTTTTGACGAGCAGTATTTGCGAAGCCAAGACCAGTGAGAAGATTAACCAGCAATTTTCGTAGCGGCGGGAAGACATAAGCAGGATTGACGCTTGAGAGTCGACCGATAATGCAGATAGCGGCTTCTTTGACATCGAAGACCTCATCGTTGACTGCTAAGAACAAGCATCGGATGTTCTCCGGCCGTGCCAAGTGACGGTCGAATTTGCGGTCCAGTGACCACAAAACGGTGCGTCGGATTTCAGGGTCAGGGTCCCCAATGCCCACAGTCAAAAGCTTATCGATAACCTCGCTGACAACTTGGATGGAATGCCCACTGGTCTGGTTGATGATCGGATCGTGCACGAACAGCTGACAGCATGTAAGAGCGGATGCCTTCCGAATTTCAGGGTTGTCGTTTTCCACGTAATTGATAGCGACATCTCGCACAAATTCATTCAATATGTGTCCAGAGAAGTCAAAGCTGCCTAACGTGTGAAGTGCTAACGCGATATCGGAATCGGTATGAAGTTCATGAGGTGCAAAGTCTTTCGCAAATGACGGCATAGGAGGTAGTCTGTTTTCAGGACAACCCAGGGGCCGGAACGGCGTGCCACAAAGGATGATACTCAGCATATCGAGAAGCTTTTCCTGAATCATAGGCTTGATAGGAGGAATATAATGGGCCATGTCGACCAAAGCTTGTGTTAATGACTTGCTCAATCCGCAGGCAAAAATGGGATCCAGAAGAGCCTCCATGTACTTGCTGAGCGCCTGTCCCACCGCGAGGGATAGCATGCTGATACATTCGAACATTGGCGCTTCAATGACTCCAGGTCGGTTCCTCGCTTTCATTGCGAGTCCTTCTCGAATGTAGATTATGATGCCATCAAGATATTGACCGATAGCGGGGCCCACCGCGTTCGCGATCTTACCGATGGCAATGAACGCCGAGTTCCTCTCTTTGTCCCTCTTGAGTTGCGCTTGGAGGTAAATCATGAAGCGGTGGAGATAAATCTCAATGAAGTCGGTTGGAGCGTAGGAGGCGAGAATAGGAATAGTGAGGACGACTTCAGTGCGAATCTTTGGATCACGATGGTCCTTGAGACGGAGAATGATTTCACAAGCATTCCGATAATGTTCTTTCATGAACATCGTGCCCTTCAAGATCAGCTCCTTGATGATCAGAAGGGAGCCATGGATCGAATCGATATTATGGGACTTCAAGCCTAGTAGCGCCTCATCATGTATCCGGGCAAACCACGACTGGCGGACTTGAGAATCACGAGCCACAATGATTTCAAAGCATTCACCCACGGCCTCGGCAGCAGTCTCTCGGATGAGTACTTTGGGGTCCCGAAGGGCAACCCATACAAGCTCGAAGACCTGGGGAACAAATCCGTAGAGGAGGGTTGGCGAGCCCTTGGCAAGTTCTCGGATCACCAGCACGGCAGCGAACCGCCGGCTCTCCTGTCGCTCTGATTGTAGCCATTCCAACGCGGATTGTATTTCGCTCTCCACCAATTCCGCGGTGAGAGCCCCGCCGGGCTTCGCAAGGCGCCCCAGCGATCGGGCTGCATACACCAAGACCACGTTGTCATTGCTGCGAAGGGCGCTGCGTAAGTAACTGGCGAACCTCGTGGTTTTCTGGGCGGCATCAACACCGTCAAAATCAATGAGATGATCTAGTGCTAACAAGCCGCCTATTCTCTCGTTTGCATCGCTGCCGTTGACCACGAGTTGGGCGATACGTTGGCTCACGGCGTTATAAAATTCGACGAACTTCTCGGCGGGCCATTCTGCAAGAGTAGACAAGTCAGTTTATCCGTAGAGTTCTCAGGCGCTGAATTTGCGATAGTACCTCTGGACACTGAGAGAACGTTATCATAGAGCTCATAAGCAGCTCTGGCCCTAGCCTCCTCATTCTTCGATTTGAGCTCCACGAACAACCTCTGCGTCACGTCTGAAATTGCACCTGCTTGGGCCATATTGTTGAATCACACCCCGTGGTGGACATTGGAATACCAGGTCTAGGCCATAAAAGAAAAAGACGTGGATCGCATAGAGTTGGTGGTAGAGGGATGGTCATGTGTGAGGCTTGGAGAAGGTCAGGGTGCACGGACCAGTTTGGAGTTCCTGGCTTGGGTGCGACTTTACCCATTTACCGCCCTTCCATATGTCACAGTACGCAGTAATGTTGTGCTTACGATTACGAGGTAGATGGTTACTCAATCTCAAAGATCCAAGTTGCAAATTATCTATCCCATCTCTCAGACCTCACTCTGTGTTTGCCAAAAGAATCCAGTCACTCCTCGGCACCGAATACGTCACCAAAGGGATTGGATATGACGACTCGTGCAGGGCACAATATCCATCTTATTATCGATTGTATATGAACTGCCTTCCTGACTCCTGAATGGCCCTCTCATCTTCGATCTCTTCTGGACTGTTGGCCGTGAGACCCGTCACAGATAGGTAGAATGGCTTCCATGTACTGAACTGCTCAGATGAATCGCACACGGTCATGCCAACCTACCCGGCTAGCATGGTGCTAAAGATGCAGTCAACACGGGCCTACATCTTCCAAGCAGTGGTCTATAATCCGTCTTCATTCAAAATGATTAGGTGCTGTCCACGTCAGAAGCCCAGTGACTACTATGGCACCTCTACATAGACCCACATTATGAAGGTCCTTCAGAGTAAGAAGCCCTGGTTGATTCTAACAAGAGCGGAACGATCTCATATCTGTAGGCCAGCAGCCGGCATCGAACATCCATAAAGGACCGTTAGCAGTGCTGAAGGCAAGGTGCAAGCTGCAAGCTACAACATCAGAAGGGCGGAAGTACTGCTAGGATAGAACCAACGTCAACCATCTAATGACACGAAGACTTGGTTCCTATTTAGTGACTGCACAAAGCGTGCTTTTACAATAAAGACAAAGTGTGATTCAGGTGTAACCTATGCCTGCCAACCAGGTAAGATATGGTAAGATATGATGAATCGGATTGAGAGGGATGACGGACTCGTTCCAAGTGATTCTTGCCAGAATCAAGACGGATCCCGGGGGCCATGAGACTATTCAAACTGCTCCGGGATATGGACATCACGTAGCATCGGGATTATGTGATGACAATCCGTAACAGGCATATGCCTTGCTGCAAAACAGCATGTCAATTACATGGAGTCTTGTCATATTCATACTGACGTCTTCCAGTCTCACTGTTTGTCTATCCGTTACAATTATCCCTCCTCTCCAACTTGCGAATGCCCTCATTCGCTGGTGGAGCCTTATCTTGCATGGAATCAAATAACATGACTAGTGAGTCAGAAAACACATCTAACCTTGGAACTACTGCGTATATGCATAATGGAGTTATCAAGCCTTAAAGCCATTAAACTCCGGATAACTGCCGTACTGCGTAGCTCCACCTGGGCAGGACCAGGGAGCGAAGATCGCATATTTGTAATCTCCTTGGAGGTTTACGAGGTTGCGGACCTACAGTTGACCTGTCGCAGTGGACGATCGCGGGGGAAGCGGGGGAAGGGATGACGGGTTCCGTGGGGGTTGGGAGCTATAAAAGCCAAGCTCCTCACTCTCTGACATATCTCAACTTTGGTTCTTCAACGTTCGATAACTCTTAGACAACTCTTACCCCAATCCTTCTAGCAAACAGCGCAATGGTCAAAGTTCTCTTGACTGGTAAGTGGGTTCAAACTATGGAATTAACATTGCGACCTAACTCTCTATAGGAGGCAGTGGCTTCATCGCCGCCCACATTGTTGATATCCTCCTACAGCATGGGTATGACTAGTACACCGCAATGCCTATGACAACAAGTCAACAACTGACAAGTTTATCCTAGTTTTGACACCGTTGTCACTGTCCGGTCAGAAGAAAAGGGCAAACAAATCCTTAAGGCCCATCCGGACGTGTCGAAGGAGAAACTTTCTTATGTGCTAGTCAAAGATATTGCCCAAGACGGCGCATTTGACGAGGTCGGTACATGTTTCTCATCCTCACATGCACTACTAACCCCAGTGGGATAGGCTGTCAAATCGAGCCCTCCGTTTGATTATGTCCTTCATACAGCGTCACCTTTCCATCACAATGTCCAGGACCCAGTGAAGGACTTCCTTGATCCTGCCATTAAGGGAACCACTGGTATTCTCAAGGCAATCAAAGCATACGCCCCAACTGTGAAACGAGTGGTGATCACGTCATCTTTTGCTGCTATTGTGAACCCCAACCAGCACGCCAAGGTCTATAGTGAGAAAGTATGGAACCCTATCACATGGGAAGAGGCCAAAGACCACTCAATGGTCTACCGGGCTAGCAAGGTGAGTTCCGCCTCCTTGGGAGAAGGCTAAACCAAGCCCAAGAGCTAAAAGATGGCCCTCGAATCTAGACCTTTGCCGAGAAAGCAGCCTGGGACTTCGTCAAGAATGAGAAGCCGAACTTTGATATTGCGACCATCAATCCACCCCTAGTATTTGGTCCAATCGTTCCTTATCTTAACTCCCTTGAGACCATCAACACCTCAAATCAGCGCATGAGAAACCTTGTTCAGGGAAAGATGAGAGAGAAGATTGAGCCGACGGCTACGTTCCTCTGGGTGGATGTGCGTGATGTTGCGCTTGCACATGTCAGAGCCATTGAAGTTCCTGAGGCAGGGGGTGAGAGGTTCTTCGTAACTGCTGGCCACTTCTCCAACAAGGAAATTGCGGACATTGCTCGCGAGACCCACCCCCAGCTGGAGTCCAAGCTGCCCCCCACAGACGCCCCCAGCGACCTCCCGGCAGACATTTATGGTATTGACAACAGCAAGTCGCAAAAGGTTCTCGGCCTTAAGTATCGTCCGTTGAAGGAGACAGTCTCGGATACCATCAATTCTATTCTAGCTGTTGGTGTTTGAACTCGCCGTGGCTTGTTCATCAATCATCTCATAGACCCAGGGACTAGTTAGAAGCTAGATAAACAACAGAAAAGCTGAATATTACTTTATATACTACCATACTGCCATAACATGTCACATGACACAAATCACACAATTTCTTGTACAAATCAAGAGGTTAAATCTGTGAAAAACTCAACGCAAGGATCCCAAGGCCAAGGTCAGTTCCTCGACGGTCTTAGGAAAGGATTGCGGTTTGGGTCGTTGTGCCTCACCCTACCGCTTTGGCCCGTCTCTCCGGTCAACTTTTTCTCGCGCCAGCTAACCAGCACCACATAGTCAATCAATTGAACAAGATGGCGTCCGCCAGGATGTCGCCAACGGCGAACTTGCTGCGCAAATCGCGTTTATTCGCACTTCCTCCAACTCTCAAACCCCCTAGTGACAACACGACATCGAGAGCTGCTTTCGAATCCAACACCGCAACTCTGCCTCACCCCATTCGAGCCGCCATCGTTACACCGCAATCATCACTAGCTCGAGGCGATTGGGGTCTGAAAAGACCTCTGCCAGCAAAATCTACATCTGAGAAGTCATCGAGACCTGTCGTCAGGGTGCACGCCCTCGATACGTATGAACATGTCACCGACTTCGAATCCGCCGCGGACCACACCATGACACTCGAGAAGTTCCAGGAGATGCACATCCCGATGTCTCTTCCCTTCAAAGTAAACTACGCGACAAGTGTTATGCCAAGACATCAAAGTCCGTTCGAAACTCACCTCGATAACACTGAAAATAGCCAGGGTCTCCACGAAGCTGGGGCCAAACAATTTAGACACACCGGTCCTTGGCTTGCTGGGCAGAACGAAGCGGAGTTCGCAGCGTACTTGAAGCAAGTCACCAGGAACAAGCCTGAGATCATGCGGAAGCTGCGTGAGCAGTTTGTCGCTAAGCGAACTGCCGAGCTCCGGAAAGTGGCACAGGATAATGGAGAGGATTTGGAAGCCATTCCCTCCACTGTCACCGATGCGGAGTTCAACACTTATATCAAGACTCTGCGCGACGACCCATTCGCTCTAGGCCCGGTTATCTTCGAGTTGCTGGACCTCGCCTCCCCTCCCGCAGTTCCCAGTGAGCGCATCGGCCGCAAGTTCTACCAACCTTCCGGAACCAAGTTGTCCTCATCCGAATATGCCATCACCGGACCCCCGAAGACGCACCCGTCTGCTGGTCTATCCTACACGCGTTCGCACGCTCTCATTAAAAACCACCCCGAGTTTGGCCCACAAGCCTACCAGCGCCCCGTGGAAGCCCGCGTCTTGCGCCCCAAGGGCCGTTTCAAGGGACGCATGGCTCGCGCTCTTGCAGGTATCGGTGGTATTGCGGTTGAAGACTTGAATTCCATGACCTTCGTTGAGCAAGGCACGCCTCCCGGTTTAGCCTTCTTCGATGCCTCCATTCCTGGTGGAGGTAAATACTGGGTCACTCCCATCCGGGCTGCGGTCGATTCTGAGGGTCGTATTGGCCTGTCATCGTATCGCGCAAGTGCGACTGCCAAGGCCCCTTACGGCATCGAAGATCACACCAAGCCGACTACCTTGACGATATCCGATATTGCCACTTCTTCGTCTCCCGTAGTTCCAAGGTTGGACAGGAAGTCATTCGGCCAGCCTCGGTTCCAGCCTTCTGCAGCAAACCGGCCCCGAAGACACCCCACGAGGGGCACGGAGGACGTTGCTCGCAGCCTTCTCGACAACCTCAACGCTAAGTCATAGGGGGAAGTGAGGTATGGCTGGGTGTGCAAATGGTTGTACCATGTATGATAGATTGGTGCTCGTGTAAAGCTACTTTCATTTTTCTCTTCTGGCTATGTCATATAACTCGATTGCATCAATAGCAGATCATTTACTCAGCGATGATTCCGAAGGCCCAGATCATCTGAAGAGGGTATCGTAAGGCCAGAGGACCAATAAATAGTCCCACGCTTCTAGAACCTTTACTACACAGTATTGATCTTCTACGTACGTACCTTCCTAATACGGCAGGTGTAGCGTCACATGACATGTTCCGACCATTTGTAGTCACGTGACGACGGAATTAGGGCCTAGGGCAAGACCCGCACAGCAGTAAGCGAAAGTCGGCCCTCAAACTCATCCAAATCGGCAGGACGATTTTCGATCTCTCGAACATTCATTCCGCCAGCCAACAACAACCGCCAAAATGGGTCGCGTCCGTACCAAGACAGTCAAGCGCTCTGCTAAGGTCATCATCGAGCGTTACTACCCCAAGTTGACCCTCGACTTCGAGACCAACAAGCGCATCTGTGATGAGATCGCCATCATTGCCTCCAAGCGTCTTCGCAACAAGGTAAGCTTTGACAATTTTACCAACATACTCCAGCGGAACGCATGCTAATTTAAACTGTCCAGATCGCTGGTTACACCACCCACTTGATGAAGCGCATCCAGCGTGGTCCCGTCCGCGGTATCTCCTTCAAGCTTCAGGAGGAGGAGCGTGAGCGCAAGGATCAGTACGTTCCTGAGGTCTCCGCTCTCGATGTCTCCCAGACCGAGTCCGGCCAACTCGACGTTGATGCCGACACCAAGGATCTCCTCAAGTCCCTTGGCGTAAGTTTTTGCTACACACTATAATGCGTTCGGTTACAGTTATCTAACAACTTCTATAGTTCGACAACCTCAAGGTCAACGTTGTTGCCGTCTCCCAGCAGCAGCAGGCTGAGCGTCCCCGCCGTTTCGGTCCCCGCTAAATTTAGCGCCCGGAATAACGAAAAAAAAGTTCATGCCTTGCCTTCGGTCGACCCTTGGCGTTTCCATAATGTCTGTTCTGGCTGGCTTCTAGCTCGGCTGCATGGTTTAGGAATGAATAAAGACGATTCTCTTTGAGAAAGGTGTCGCCGATTCTCCGAAAGGAGATGACGCTTGATTGCCAATTTTTCCCCCTCGTGTCTGCCTATGAGAGTTTGCTCTTTGGGTTGGACTACGTAGGAGTTCTTGCGCTGGGGGTTACTTCGGCGCAAGAGACTCAAGATCTTCGTTGGTCTGGGTCGTGTCTGGATTGATATCTACCTATAGATGGGTAGGCATTGGTCTTGATGGCCAGCCAACAACCATTCATTTGGTTCATGCGTAGATTCATCATGATTCATCTGTCAATGTCATAATTGATGGGTATTAAATCTGTAGAAAGCCAAAAACTCCGCGCAAATGTCATAACAGGCTCGCTGGATCAGATCTGATCAAGCATATCACGGTCTCCATCTGCGTCGACGGACTCCTCCCGCTGCCCCCTGGGCATATATCCTTCAATGGAGCCTCCATTTGCATCCTCAGGACGCATTTGCGGAGCGCGAGCAGCATGCTGCGATCCACGCTCGTTCTCCCGAATATCGACGTTCACACGTCCGTCCGGACGAGTCAAACTGGTATCCCCTCGTTCCATCGCTAGCTCTCGGGACCGATCGGAATTCCCGAGCCCCATGCCCTGCAAGTCATTCAGGACGGAAGAAACAGAACTTGTGGCAGCTGGTGCCACAAGTCGTTTTTGGCGCGCTTCCTCAAGCAGTAGAATGGTCGTGCCCCGCGTGTCACTCGCCCGACGTTCCCATACAGGTTTCTCAGACAGCTGCACCCGGATAAACAGAGCACGCTCTGCACATGCATCTGAGCACCACTTTTCAATCTGCTCCTGGGGGACAATCTCCACGCTGCGCCCGCGTCCTCCTGGCCCGCTTCCCTTGAGGCCATATTTAAATTGAAATCCGCCGCCCGGGCCATTCTTTTGCTTGCGATGCTTGCGCGGACAGAGAGTGTATCCGCACGACTCTTCAAAATTTCGCTCCAAGATCAGGTTATCGTAGTCGGTAGGGCGAAAGGGCACTAAAGAAGTCTTGAATTTCATGGTATCTTCTTGGGATGGTGTGGCAGGGTCTGCTGTTGAGGAGGAGGGGAGCTCGAGGAGTTCTAGAATGCGGTCTAGGATGACATCTTCAGCCTCTTTTTGACTCTGAATCTGTTGTGCATGTTGGAGGGCGATCTCAAGGTGCTGCTGAGTTGCGCCGGGCCTTGCTTTCAGGTACTTGTCTTGCTCTTCTTCTGATGGATGAATGTATGAAGGTCGTTGTTGAGCATTGACTGCGGCATATGTCTTGGGAAGGGAGGTTTTGAGAGCATGCGTTTGGCTTTGTTGTGTGTCCATGATCAAAGCTCTGCCGGGTAATATGAAGAGAAAGCTGAAGTGGTTGAGGGTGAGGGCACTGAGGGGAAGGCAAAAAAAGCAGCAGAATTCGAATCCAAAGCGGAAAGAGGCAAAAACCCCCGGATTATCGACTCCCAATGAGAATGACCTCGGGAGGCTTCACTGCTGACGTATTTGGGCTAATCTTCAGAGGTCTTATCTACACACGCAGTTACTGAGTTACACAGTACATGGGAGAATGTAGCCACTGTCCCACTGATATTTACACATGTGTAGGCGCATATATGCCATCTCTCTCGACCGCCAACGTAAGGACCTCTACAGCTGTTGAGCTACCAACCAACGTTAGCATACTAAATAGTATGTCTTTACAAAGAAGCAAAAGCCGCCAATCTAATACCTGAAACCCAGTACAGTACAATATAAACCCTTGATATTGGCCACATGTCCCCATGTGCGTGTTCCCTGGTTGCTGTTAGCCGCCGATCGTCCAGTGGAGCCCATTTCTCCCTCATCCCGCCAAGTGACGACCAACTCACTACACCTTCCTCTACCTCCTACTGTTGTTTTTTTTTTTTCTAATTCCCGACCATCTTCGTTTCATATTGCATCGATTCTCTTGCTGGCCCTGACGAGGGTATTCGGTTCTCCACATCCCGCCGTCAGTACTTCCGCAGTTTCCACCCCCCTCCCCCTCATCTCCTGGTCGTAGGCACCACTCATGGACCTTCGTTTCATCTAAGCTGACACTTCGTACCACAAAGGAATTGAATCGTATCGTCCCATAATATCACTGCATGCTGGAGAAATCGAAGCTGGCATTTTGTTCTGTACAGATATTCTAGCGTCATCGCCAGCCACCGACCTGTCCAGCGTTACTCTTCACACCGATTGTTCGCAGGTCAGAACCTCGGCCTTCATCTTGTCAAATGTCTGACCCGCCATTTACCGTCCGCGCGGTCTTCGAATATGCTTCGGGCCATGATGACGACCTCAGCTTCCCGATCGGTCAAATCGTGACCGTCACCGCCTTGGAGGATGACGATTGGTACTACGGCGAATACTCAGATGCCCAGGGTGCCAAGCAGGAGGGAATATTTCCAAAGAACTTCGTCGAGAAGTACGAGCCTCCGGCTCCTCCGAGACCGTCTCGTCCCAGACCAAAGAAGGAGCCCGAGCCCGTGCCAGTGGAGACCCCTGCGGTTGAGAGCAAGCAGCTTGAGCCCGAAGCCGAGCCAGAGGTGGTGCCCGCGCAGGAAGAACATGATCTGACATCTGCGCAACCCCCTGTACCTCAGTCTCCCCCTCTACCTGCGAGTGCCCCTGTAACAGAAGCTGCGATTCCACCCCCACAGCCGGCAAAGGCGCCAGCTCCCGCCCCTCCCGTGGCCGCAGCTGAACCCGCTGCCAAGGTTGCCTCAAAACCTGCCGCCCCAGCTGTCGCAGAGAAGCCGTCGGGGTCATCATTCAGAGATCGTATCGCTGCGTTCAATAAGCCCGCCGCAGCACCAGTAACCCCATTCAAACCGAGTGGCTCCCAGCCATCCTTTATCAAGAAGCCTTTCGTTGCCCCACCTCCAAGCCGGGATGCCTACAGACCTCCGCCAAGGGAGCCCGCCCCCAAGATTTATAGGAGAGAGGAGGACCCGGACGTGAAGGAACAGATTGCTCGGGAGCCTCCGGTCTCTGAAAGCCGAGCTGCTCCCACCGAAGGGGGCGAAGAGGGTGCAGAGGACCAGCCCAAGCCGACTAGTCTGAAAGACCGAATTGCTTTGCTCCAGAAGCAGCAATTAGAGCAAGCTCAGCGTCATGCAGAAGCAGCCCAGAAGAAGGAGAAGCCCGCTCGCCCTCCTCCTAGGAAGTCAACGGACGAACCTGTCGCTCCTACACTTGGTGATGAACAAGATACCTCTCACGCCGAGGAACCTGCGACTGCTCGTGACCCCAGTGTTGATACATTGAGAGCTGCGGTTCCTCCTCCACAGCCCCCTGTTCCGTTCTCGCCCACCCAGGACATCTCCAGTGACGTCAATGACGCCGATGCCTCCGGTGCTGCAGACTCGGAGGATGCGGGTGACTCGTCCACTAGCAAGGATGAGGTGGATCAGCCTGAGCCTCGTCCGACCTCTCAGCGTCATCCATCAACTCGCACTGTCGATCAAGCTACCGAGGCAGATGTCGAAGACGAGGGTGATGCAGAAGAAGAGGAAGAAATGGACCCTGAAACCAAGCGCAGAATGGAATTGCGTGAGCGAATGGCTAAGATGAGCGGCGGCATGGGAATGATGGGTCTTTTCGGACCACCCGGTGGCATGCCGGGCATGTCTGGTCCTGCTCCTCGCAAGCCCAAGACTCCTGGCGAGTCAGAGAAGAAACTGGGAGAGGAGCCTGAGCCCACATCGCCTGCCCATGCACCTCCAGTTCCCCTTCCGGGCATGAACATAGCTAGCAAGCCGATGCCTCCTGCTGCTGAAGTAGAAAAGGAAGCGGAAGAACCCTCCGCCACTCCTGTCACTGAACAACATTCCGCACGTGAGGTGCCAGATGTCGAAGAGGTTGTTCACGAAGGGGCAGTGCCTCGGGCCTCTATCGATCGTCAGGCCCCGGTCCCTCCATCTCAAGGTAAGACACATCCCCCAACCCCACAACCTGACGCCTGTTCTCGTTTGCTGATGGCCGTAGAACGTTCCGCGCCTCCTCCGCCTCCTCGTGAGCCAAGACCTGCTCCGCCGGTTCCAGGAGAGCCACCTGCTTCCCCTCCACCAGTCCCAGGGGGTAAGTAACGGATCCAAAACTAGAACATTTGACATGGGTGTTGACAATACTCTATAGGCCGACCAGTTCCTCCTCCACCGAGGCCCACAACTGCCGACAAAGGTGAGGAGTCTGATGACGAATTGTCGGTGCACTTGCCTAGTCTCTCTTTACATGACTCGGCCGCTCCACCTGCCGTGCCTGCGCCTGCGATTCCTGATCAAGTTGATTCTCGCCGTTCTTCAACATATGACCCGGCGTCATCTACGGTCTCGACTCCCGCAGCCGAGAAGAGGGCCAGTCGTTTACCACCCCCTATTCCAGTCAATCCACCCATGTCGCCACCATCACAAGGGCGCGCTCCTCCGCCTCCGCCTCCCGACCAACTTCGCCGCCGATCTACTACCGATAGTCGCACCAGCGCGATATCCCCTCCTCAACAGGCTGGAGAAGATACCGAGGGAGAGGTCACCGAATACGACGGGGACTACGACACTGACATCGCGTCAGGAGTGAAACACAAGGATGCTCTGAAAACCCACCACCGTGATTCTAGCTTTGACGAGGGTACTATCACCGACGACCAATCTATTCAATCCCCCCGAAGCCCTCAGGAATCTCGCCATCCCCCGCCTCTCCCGCCTACGGCCCCCAGAGCAGTACCTCCTCCACCCCCAAGTCAGCCGCCTCGAAATGCTCGTGCGTCCATTGACACACCCAGGGGACCGCCGCCCCCTCCACCCAACAGAGAGCCTGTCGGTGGTGAGGATAATGATGAGTACGACCCATTCAACTATGCCGCTCCCCATCACAGTCTGGCCACGTCTCCGCCCTTCCCGCCTGGTCGCCCAGAGGTCCCACCCCCAGTCCCACCTCGTCAAGCGACCGATGAATATGATGATTTGTATGATGCCCCTCCAGTGCGGAGCCCGACCACAGAAAGGCCCCCTGCCTTCCACGAGAAGCGTCCTTCACAGGCGCCTCCGCCTCCCCAAAACCAAGCTCCGAGTTTGCCGTCCCCCTCCGTAGCCCGAAGCCAGCGAGCATCTATGGATCTTCTGAGGAATCAACCTAACGTTCGTCGGTCCATGGATGTTTCTCGCCCATCTGTTGACCAAGGTTACATTGCCACTGACATTGAGTTCGCCGAATATACTCTCTGGTGGACTCAGCCCAACACGCCGCCTCCAGTCTTCCAGAATCGCAACGATCTTCTTTTCGAGATCGAGGAGACTTCTTCCACAAAGCGTGGTGGCAAGACGACTGTATCAAAGGATGTCTACGTACTGTTCATTGATTACTCTCAGACAGTCTTGCACGTTCAATTCGACTCTCGAAACCCTGCAGACGCTTCTTTCGAGCAGCGCCATGAACCACCGCCGCTTCAGCCTCGCCAGGATCAGCTTGAGCAGGCCCATACGCAGTTCGGAGCTCGAATTTCCGAAGCGGTCAACTCGATACAGAACTCTACTGTTGGAGACGGCACTCCGTTCGGGCTCGTTCAACATCTGCTCAGCCCTCTTTCCGACGCGCTGCTTCCCATTGGTACTCGCGGGTACGGAGCTTTGGTCTATTCCAACCTAGCCAATGCCTCCGTGTCACAAAACGACGAGATCCGCGCTGGTGACATCGTCAGCTTCCGCAATGCCCGCTTCCAGGGTCACCGGGGAACCATGCACCAGAAGTACAGCGCTGAGGTTGGCAAACCCGATCACGTTGGAATCGTGGTTGACTGGGATGGCACCAAGAAGAAAATCCGAGCGTGGGAGCAAGGCCGGGAAAGCAAGAAAGTCAAGATGGAGAGCTTCAAGCTGAACGATCTCCGCAGTGGCGAATGCAAGGTCTGGCGAGTGATGCCCCGTAGCTGGGTGGGCTGGGAAGCCAACAAATAGCTGGAAAGACGGATTCTGAATTGAGATTTCGATCTTTTGTTGTTTCAGTTGTTGCGCTATGAGCAAATGACCCTTTTTCTTTTCTTTTGTTTCTTTTCTTGCCCCCTTCTGGATTGGGTGGGATCATGTATGAATGAAAAGGAGCCTCTTTTCTCTCCTGTTCTCTATATTCTTGTCTACCTTCTCTTCTCTTGTCCGGCCCGATCCCTTCTCTCGCGAATCATCTGGACTTGGCGTAATGTGAGATGAGGAATAGCAGTCCCTGTTTGATGGAGAGCTGAGCGAGCGTGCAGTTTTTTATCTTCCTTTGCCAATAGTAAATCTTTCATGATTCTATTTGACCATATTAGATACTATTATCGAATTACCTCTCGGCGCATTGTCTTCTGTGTGGTGCATGCAATTCCCTAGTGATGTTATTCGTGTCCTCCAATCCAATCTGGAAGCATTGCTGGTATATTCTTGACTGCCACCTTCATGAGTCTCTAAAGGAAATCAATGGATGGAACAGAACTCCAAAGGCTCTAGGCTCGAACGGCAGGGATATAAATTGGAGAAGCAAGACCTACTAGACCAGTCTCAAGCCAATTAGGCTCATCCCAATGCTTTTGAAACCTCACACCCTGTCTTGAATAAATGAATACGAGCCCCGAATCTCAAACAACCAAAATATCTCGCTAATCTACTCCGAATCAACTAGCCCTCATCTCAGCAAAACACTCTAAACCGCACAGCTACTTACTTTATTTCCACTTGTAACTTAGTTATGTTCTAGACAAAACCCCACATTTAGGCACTCACCTGGGCACCCATCTATATATATTCAATAAACGTGGCTGACGAACTCACTCTCCCCGAGGTCGGATCCGACTGAGGCAGAGGGACTCGGTAGATTTCCATTTCCATCACGGGTGCGTTAGAGATGTTGGGCACGAAGATGGGGCCAGTCTCAACAGCTCTCAGTCTCGACAGGGGAGCGGAGAAGGACCAATTATAATGGACGAGGGGTGTTTGTGGTGAGTTTCAGGCTTTCAGCGTTTACTTGTACCGTGTCCCGTGCATGAAAGCCTCGGGCTGGCCCTTCGGATGTTCATGGTTGGTGTATTGAGGACAATATGTATCTGATAGGCATTGTTGGTTCTCTATGTTGTATGTTGCCGGTTCCATTTGACGGACCTTGTAGATCAATGCGAGGTTATGTATAGGATCGCTAGTATGGAGTAGTGTATGGAGAATGGCATTCTAATATGCATTCTAAAGGATGTTCTATTGAGTCAATCCTGGAAGTGATAGGTCTGAAATTCGGAGATTTAGAGGGGTTGAAAGGATAATTGAATTTTCGAGGATTCGGAGCCGCGGGTTATGCCCCGTTTACCCCGTTGCCGGTGGACTCCTCGGAATGGTGGGAGTCTACTTAGGGCTTCCGCTCTGTACGGAGAACTCCGATAGGTATATACGATATGCAGCGAGAGTGGTCAAATGACGTCCGTTTGGTTAAGATATTTCAATCTCATCTGCAGTTAAGATTAGAATCTTGAATCCAGTGCTCTCTACTCTGTACTGTTGTACTGTGTAATTGCCAAGGTTGTCATATCGTAAAATTACCCTTTCCCCTTTAGGACTAGTCAGGGGCACCACGCCGGTCTATCCATGGATGTGCTGAACCTTTTTTTTTCCATTGGGGCTGCTTTTTCGACTTCCACTCCGACTTACCCGTTTAATCTGTAACGCCTGCTCGTTTCTTTCTGGTTAACGCTTTCGGATTTCCCCCGAAAATATGGAAAGCTTGTAAGCGGGGCCTTGCTAACAACGGCTGTCAGACAAAATTGGCCCTGGACGCTAGAGAACTGTGCGTCCGTTTGCTGTTCTAGGCTCTGTTGGCTTAGGGGTTTCAGCATTGTTCAACTATTCATGATCTCATCGGTTCCACTATCCAGTTCATGATCCGGATTTTCCTTGATTTCATAGAGATCTCGATGAGAGTAAACAAACATACTGATTAGTTATGGAAACCTTGTTGTACTGTACAACTCTATCGCATGTTGTACATCATCGTGCCTGGGTCAAGTGGGTGCCATCTTGGTCTCGATCGGAACATATCGTAACCATGGTTCAACATCCCTTGGCGGGTCTAGAGGGAATCTGCTGTGGCACATCTCGATTGTACATGCATAGCCTCAGATGCAGGTTCGATCCAATCCGACTCCAATGCATCCTACCATTGCCATGCACAATGCAGGAGGTGATGCAGCCACGGAAGATGAGAATAACCTCTGCTCGGCCTTGGCCTGCCTTTGGACGGTTACTGTGTATTAATGCTGTTCCGCCGACAGCAGACAGCTCAAGTCTGTGTGCTCATGGTGTGGCTGAGGTCCTGCACGCCATTCATCTCTTTACCCAAGCCATGGTTCCGATACGCTTCCCCGTAGATTGGGATTGAGACGAATCTCTCCCACGCTAAGATTATTACTTGCAGGGACAGAACCAATGCATTTTTCCTTGCTGCGGGTTTCCCCTGAAGCAAGGAGGTTCAATACAATAGGTTATTTGTGACCTTGACCAATGACTTCTGATATGAGAAATTGGATGAATAGACAAGACACCTTCCCTCTGTGGACAACGAACTCCCTCCGATCTTGGATATCAAGTAATGGGGCGACGATCTTGGTGTTTCCCGTATCCAGTCTCCTGGGAACTATTCCGTACATGCTAGTGCAAATTATGGGGCTTTTTTTCACGTTTATTACCCAGTTTCACGCCTGGGAATCAGCATTTACAATGGATATCCGATTGGATTGCATTTCAAGAGTCTCGTTATCATTGGCAGTTTCTTGTTGCAGACCAGGATGACCTGTCCAAACTCCGCAGTCGTTGGGAGTGGCGTTCAGCCCCAGGTTCCACATACCGGAAGCGAGAGGAGAGGGGAAAAAGAGGATGTGAGAGGGTGAGTGAGAGTGATTCTTGATCTTTTTCAGATATTTTCCGATATTTTCTTCTTTTTTTATTTTACGCAAGGGGGAGGTGGGGGGTTGAAATCACTTACGGTAATATTGCTCAACGGCTACTTCATCTTTAGGGGTTCCTGGCCTATTCGCTTAAGTAGCTGTACCGTACCATACAAGGTGATCCATGGATGCAGTCTCGGGAAGCCCCTTGGGCCTCATGGACAGTGCAGCTTCCCCCAGGTCGAGTAAATAAACAGAAAGATGCGACAGATGAGTTGATACGTGTACGAAGTAGAAGAATAAAAAGTGAGAATCCCGAAAGTACGGAGTACTGAAGCCCTAATTGAGTCACGTTCAATCATATTGATCGACTCGGTGGACACCAATTTCAGCCGATCATCTAGATCTTTTTTTTACTGTACTTTTTCTCGTGGTAATATGGTAAGCCGCTAAGAGAGGGAGGAAAGAGTACAACCTCTGGATCCATTCCAAATCTCCCATCACATTCTTCGCGACAACTTCACTCTTTTCAGTCCTATTTCACTCTCGCCTGGCTTTGCAGCTTACTGTTTTCTCCTACTCTCTCTCTCTCTCTACTCCGTGCTGTGATCCGTCAATTCCTACCAAATACATTGACTGGCTTTTAACCGGATCGACCATTGATACGCGATAAACGGCTAGAACTTGGCATCCTTTCGCGCTACTCTTCAGGAGACATTCTCATCCCATTGATCCCATTTCACATTCATCCTCGCACCTGGAGGTCATGCCGCTCTTTTCAATCTATGGATAAGGACATCCAGTGAGTCACCTCGCAGCCATTGGATTGAGGCCAACCATTGATCGATCGACGGTCTCAAGCCACATCAACGTACCCGCCAACTGAATCATTCCTTCAATTCGAATCCCAGACGCCGTATCGCATCCATTCTTTTCATATTACGAGGCGTCTCCTGAGCGCCTCGAGCACAAAATCCATGATGAATCGATTCCGCAAACACAAGAAGGTGAAGGAGGTCGTCGAGGACCTAGAAGGGGCGCCGCTACCATTCACCTTAAAATCATCCAAGCAGAGAGCCTCACCGGAACCCAAGCCAGAATTCGACTTATCGGCGGCACTCCCACCGACAGACAATTTCCGCACTAGTCTGCTGATGCCCAAGTTGTCCGCTCGGTTTAGCATGCTTAAAGAACAAGATGATCCACTTTCAATGCTGGGGAAAGCCAGTGACGACAGCGTTTTGTTTCCTAAGCGCGCCTCAAGACTCAATTTATTTGGACATAACCCTGCCGTGCTGGCGGACATCGACGAAGTCTCATCCAACGACGGTAGCCGACCTTCATTCGGACTTGGCCGCACCGGTTCTTTTGCCTCCGGCGGGGATGGCTACGGCACAGACGACGATCGATCCCAGCAGGGGGGTATTATGAGTAGGGCCCGTCGCGCCGAGGGCAATAATTTGTTTGGAGGTCGCCAAAAAGTCTACAAGATCCCAGTCCGTTCGCCAGGTGGGCCGAACACCGATGCGCCGGAGGCTGGGTCCCGGGGAATGGGCAAGCCGGTGTATGAGCACGATATGAACTTATCTGCTTTCCAGCGCCTGCGCTTGAAGGAAAAGGAGGAAAGAAGAGCAGCTGAGGCTAGAGAATCCTGCTATGCTGCTTCAACTGCTTCATCCAACAGCCGCGGTACATTTTCCTCCACCGCATCTGGACCTATATCATCCGTCCCCACGTCGACAGCAGCAACCTCGGCCGACGAATCGCCAACGAACACATCTAAACCTCCAGTAACCGGTTATCCGTTTCCCGAGCCCCTCTCCGAGGCCTCGCGACCTGGGTCTGCCATGTCTACTCCGCGCAATGGTTCAATCCGCAGCCGTCGTCTTTATGGGCAAGGGTTAACACAGGCCGCCCAAAGCCAGCAGAACTCTACTTCGCATCGACTGGAGAGTTTGAGTCGCCAGCGTGCCGGTACTCCGGATCTCCCTACTCTGAACCGCAACTATTCGAGGAGCGCTACCAACTTGCGAGACCGCCTGCAAAAACTGGCCATTGTCGAGCCCCCTTCGACCTCTCGTCCAACTAGCCCTCCTTCCTCCGCAACGTCACCCAAGCCTCGCATGTCTGGAGAGACCGCATTCAGGGACCGTCTTTCGCCCACGGCAGCAACGTTTGGTGCCCCTCCTTTGAGCCCACCCACAAGCGAGAACGACGAGGCTTCCTCCCTGCTGGCTGCCTCGATCCACCCCGAAGACCGTGGAAAGGCCACTGCCATGGGTTTGTTCAACCGACCTGCCACTGGGTTCGACGAACAAGCATTCTCCCGCCGTCAGGTTCAGATGCACCAAGGACGAGAGACCCCACCCCCGCGCCGACCTCTACCTGCGGAGCCAACGGGCCGCCCTCGGGGGCAATCGAAGTCCAGCTATCGGTCCCGAGCAGAGTCTGCTTCATCCCACTATAGCAGCGACGCGAATCGCGGAGTTGATAGTTATGGCATGTCCAGCGTTGAAGCGTCTCCCTACAGGCTTGGAGCGCGGACATTCTACGCCCATTCTGATGCCAGCGACTCTGGCGACGAAGGTGAGAACCAGGCACAGGAGACTTCAATCGGTCATGACCACGGTTCATTGCTTCAGCACGCCAGTTCGTTATCCAAAAAGTCGCCAAATCCTGCCAAGGAGCACCTTGAAACGCTCCCGGAAGTAAGATATTCAGATCTTGGCGACCTCAGGCCTATTGATGAGGACGACCTTGACCTCACAGCTTCCTCTACTGGTATGGGCCACGACACACCCGAAAGACCCGACTCGCCTACACTCGAACCGGATTTAGGCTTCCATGGAGTGGGAGGGATGATTAGCTCCCACTTACGCCAGCCAAGTGACAGTTCTTCGATCTACCCTAAGTCGCCGCGGTTGCCGGACGACGATGATCTGTTCTCTCCCAAGGTGGAGTCCCTGGAACCCGTGCCCCAGCAATCGACCACTCTTCCCATGGTGGATGCACAGCACCAAGAGGCTAGGCCATCATCATCAGCCCGGCCAGGAACATCGAGCTCGCAAGCTCCTTCTGGACATTCGGCAGAAAGCACGGCCTATCGGAACAGCGAGGAGTCATCCGCTGCTGGGATCACGGCCGACACAGGTTCCATATCAAATGCCCCATCTTGGAGAGAGGAGTTAGAACTCCATCATCGCCGCCATGGTAGCAGTGAAACCCAACGAGAACGAGAGGAGCTTGCTCTCGAGCTGGCAGAGAGGCGGAGAAAGGTGCAAGAGAAGCTGCGAACTGTTGCTGAAAGTGACAGCCGATCTAGCAGTCCCGCTCCTGGGCGATCAACTCCAGACTTGCCTCGGGCAGGCAACGCATTTGCTCTCTTGAAGCAGAAGTCTAACAAACAGGGCGCCGCCAAGTTGGACCAAAAGAAGTTGTTCGGGTATGGCGGTGGCAATGCGTCCACGCCTGCTCTCCCTTCGGAGGACTCGTGGCGCGAGGAGGAGCTACCTTCGTTCAGCTTCGGCCAGCACTCCAACTCCAGCGCTCCCCATGTTGGAGCCGACCGTTCTATCAGGTCTCGAATGCCATCTTTCAGCCGCGATAATAGCCATGGGGAGTCACGCGACTCCAGCCGCAGCCGTGGTCACTCACCCTTCCGCTCGCAGCGGGAACGTGCAGGCTCAGATGAATCAGGCCGCTCCAAGAGCCGAACTAGACCTCGCGAGCGTGATGACTTGGGAACTGTGGACGAGGGTTCAGTCATTGCTCATGACAAGTTTGTCGTTCCAGAGGGATTCGAACCTCCTGTGCGGGCCTCGCGCCCAGGATCGACTCGTCCATCCACTGAAATGAGCGATTCTGTGAACTTTGATCGTGCTTCCTCCGCCGCTTCGAGCAGACACCGCAGCACCAGCCGATCGGACACCCCCAGCTTCCAATACGAGCGGCCATTCCAGTTTTCGCAGTCCAACACATCCTCGATCATCGGCGCCTCGCCCCGAGCACCCCCTGCGGCCCCGGCATACTCGGCCAATGCTACTCCTCCGCTGAATGAACTCCCGGCAGAGAGCTCGTCTACTTCTGTAGTCTCTAACGGCAGTTCGCAAACGATTCCCCAACGTGGTATGGGAGTCGGCTCCCTTCTGAAGCGCCCTGTGAACAAGAAGCAGATATCCGAGCCTACCTTCGTCTCATCCACTTCAAATGTCCCCCTCGTCGGTCTCCCACCGACATCCACTCCCCCACCACCCAGTAGCGCACCTCCCCTGCCACCCATGAACCCCCGCCGTCGCCGCGGAACTGCGACCCAAACCATCCTGCATGCATTCAAGAGCGATAAGCACGACTCATCGCGGGTATCGTCACCCGTCCCGAGCGCCTCCGAAGAACAGAGTGTCTTCCCAGACGATGAGAAACGTTCTCGCTCTCGCTCCCGCACTCGTCTCCGGAAGAATTCCTCCAGTGACGGCAGCGGCAACCTGAACGCGCGGGCGCGCCAGGAATCCATGACCGGCACTGTGCCGGCTGTCCCTCAATATCCGCCTCCGGCTATCCCTGTTGAAGGAGGCATGTTCTAACTTCCTTTCACCTCCTACCCTCACTCTTTACATACGCACCATGCCTTGACCTTGGCTCTCCTTTTCCCGTCCATACCTCTTCTACCTACCGTGTCCTCCACATACCCTCTTTTTGGGCTTTTCCTTGTTTGTCCTATCTATCCTTTTCTGGACTCTTATCATTTCTGCTGTTGACGACTAGATACCACGCGGTGCATTTGAGCGTCTCTCTACTTTCGATCTTTTCATCTTTTCCTTTATGTTCCAATTACCTTTGAGCTGGATTCTTCCATGCATGTACTTTATCTTTGGATCATTTGATAAATACATACCCCGATGATATGATTTATTCTCCATGTTCTTATAGTCGGTATTGTCAGTTGGAGAATTTCCATTACGCTCATCGCAACTGTAACGCTTATCATGTCTCTCAAGCTGGTCTGACAGCCCTTGCAGGCTGGCCAATGGTCAATGATCCGACTACCTTGGCTCGATACTTGCTGTCACTGACATTTGTTTCAAATTGCACGCAGTTGAAGAGCACGTTGGATGGTATATGATAGGCTCATCTAATCTATAGGTATTATACATTCCCGTCCATTCAAGACCTCTCCACAGCCGTCTTCAAATACCCCAAAACCCTCTCAACAAGCCACTGCCTCGGCTCCGCCTGATCATCATTGCTCAAAGCATGCGAAGCATTTGGGATAACCCCCGAATGCACCTCATCCCAAATGCGATATTTCCCCTCATGATCCGTAGCCTTCCTCCACCTCTTCAACAACACCTCCTTATCAACCCAATCAGGAATCGACTGATCCTTCCCAGAGATCAAAACCATCAGCTTATGCCTCAAAAGCCCAATCTCCTGAATCCTCCCGAAAGTCCTCCCAAACTGCTCATCACTCAAATCCGAACTAAACAAATCATCCTCCAGCGGCGCCTGCGGACTCTCAGGACTAACCAGACTCAAAAACCTCCGACAACTAATCGGCGTATTAGCCGGATAAATCAACGACGTCAACTCCAGCGGCAAAATCGTATCAAGTTTCTTCCCCTCCTTAACAGCCTCCTTCGCCAACCTCTCCATCTCATAATACACCTCCCTCGCCTTCTCAGCACTCGTATCCCCAATCCCCCACTTCAAAACCCAGAAAATCGCCTCGCGATCCGAAACAGGCGCCTGCATAATCGCTCCGTCCAGCGCCGGCCGCGTGATATGCTCAATGCCCGCGTCGAAGCTTGGACAACTCGTGTGCGGATTCAACTGCGACAGATAGTGTAGCACGCACTGGCTGCCCGTCGAATGGCCCATTAGCGCGATTTTCCCCGGTCCGAATTTATCCGTCTTGTAGCTCTTGATGTACTCAAGACACTGCGCGATCTCGGTTGTGTCCCGGTCGAGATGCCCGAGCCCCCAGGATTGGTAGGAGGATGTGAGGTTTAGCGTGAAGAGGGACCATTCGGTGTCCTTCAGGGCGGACGCGAGATCGGCCATGTAGGAGGTTGTGGCGAGGCCGTCGCCGAGGCCGCCGACGAAGAGGAGACTGTGTGGTTGGCGTTTGGTGAGGGAGGCTGATTCGAAGGTTACGAGGGTTTCGGTCTGTGGTTTCGTTAGTTGGTGCGATGGGTGGGAGGGGCGCGGGGGATGTACGTAGTGGTGTAGAATGCCTGGGAGGCCACCTTTGGGCCAGAATTTGGACATATTGGCTGATGTGTGTGTGTGTGGTGAGGAGCTGTGTCTGTATATACTGTGTAGTGGGATGGGCGTGAGACAATTGGAAGGGAAAAGCACTTTAGGAGCTAAGGGCGCTTGTGGTGGGATGGAGGTCTTTCAACTTCGATCGGACGATTCACCGAAGATCGGCTCTGGCTCTTTCCGCATGGCGGGCGATATGTCATTGTGGGCTTGGTTGATCGGTTAATTTGACGCCGGTGGCCCGGTGGGCTGGCCCAACCCACAAAATCAATTTTCCTTGGCCATCTTATCAATCTGATTACACCGCGCCCAACCGAAATCTTAGGTAACTTTTCTCTCATTCCAGGGTTCTTTGCTGCCAAGGACATCTCGTGGAGGTATCGTATCCATGGATGGCATCGTCGGATATAAAACCGGCTTGATACATTTTGTATTGCATGTACAAAATACAGACCGTCGTAATACGGGTATCATACCGCGTAAATTATTATACACAGTATTCTGTGCAATACCGGTGTATTAGAGCCCTTAAATACCGGAACAATACATTGTCTCACCCATGCAGCCGGAAGGAAAGTAAAGCCCCACATTTCATGCACGCTAATCAGATGCTAACCAAGATAAGCAGGATCAACGGATCTGATTAGATTGATTGGCTCGAAACAAGAGGATCAGATTAGATAGGCTCCACCGTGCAAAATTCTGCGGGCTACAGCGGAAAACCTTTTCACACCTGCAACCCAAAACTTTTCAAGCTTTTCCTTCGATTTTTCTGTGATTCCCAGTCTTCGACTTGGGATCAGACTTGTTAGGCTGCAGATAGAAAATCCCGGTATTATAGCTTTATAGGGCACTATGGAAGCTACAAAAAAACATATGTAAAACTATGCACACCTCGTCGGGTCGCAGAAGCGACGCGTGGAGGAGAAATTTGTGGCGTCCGGATTGAATCCACTTACGGAGTGAGAGCCAACGGAATAGTCCTGGAACGTGCGCTACCGTGAGGGCTTTTCCTGCAGGTTGCTTTTATGGTAATACGCTTGCCCTGGGGTTCAATCCCTAGGTAGCGCGCTATGAAATATTGGGTAATTTACTTGTCCGGATACTGTAGTTTTGCGTTTCTGAGCGGTTGGCATGTGAGATGTCGGAGAATACATTACCTTTATTCCATGGCTTGGAGTCGGCTTTTGGGGCCAAGTCTTGGTGGCTGAATTCAATTGGGCACCTTTGTGAAATGATGTCCTTGACATACAGTTCATCTTTGGCCATTTCTCTTTCCTTCTCTCCGATTTTAGATCCTAAATGTGTACTGTACTGTAGAATCTGCCTGGGCTTGATGTGGAGCAGGACTGTGGATACACACTGTACATATTGCGTATTACAGTATTGTATTGATTGAAGTCTGTACACACATACGACGATGTACAATGTAGGTACTGTGTATGGGTCCAGATCATCAGACACGAGGGAAGATGAAATCAACGGCCACATGTTCGGGCTTGGTATCACCCTACGTGTCGAACAATCCACAGTCCCCGCAATGGCCGATTACGGTGAATGACATGCAAAATGCCTGCAGGTAAGAGTCAGGACATACTTCGGAGCATGCTGGTGGAGCACGATGCAACAGAACCGTGGTTGGTTGAGCTATATAGCGTCGGCCTCACCAACCCCCCTCCGCCCGCGCAAAGCTCCGGAATCAATCAATAGACGGCCAAGCTCCAATTCCCCTCTGACATCAATTCGAGGGAAATTAAGACCAGCACAGCTGGTCTGTCGTCATCATGGGCTTCATACCTCTCGAAGATGTCGATTATCAGAATGCGCCAACGATTGGAATTAAAACGGTGCCAGCCGAGACGAATGGCGACAACCTCAGAGCTTTCCCAATTACGCAACTTGCTTCTGAGCTGAACATCCGGACAGGCATGAAAGAAGAGATCGTGCTGCTGTCATGGCTCATGGTGCTTTTGCGCAGTCGGGAAGATAGTCAGGTGTCTTTCGACTGGTTTTACAGCGGTGCCAGCGCTGAGCCTGAATCAGTGAACAAAATATCAATGAATGAAGTAATGAATGGATTGCAGAGTAATGTTGCGGAGGTTGCGACAGCGATCTCGCGGAATATCACCGCTGGTACATCCTCCACACCCGCATCGCTCATCCTGAGCACTAGCTCTCTTTTGCGCACATCCGAAGAAGCTAAAGATGAAGTAAGTAAAATACTATGAGCATAGGGTGATTGAACTTTACTGACTGTTATCGAAAAGGGTGTTCTTCATCTCGAAGTCCGCTTCCAAAATGCCAACCTCGAAATCCGTCCTGTGTGGCACACCGAGAACATATTGCCCTACACAGTGAACCACCACGTTGAGGCGCTGGCCGACACTGTCAGAGTGTGCCTGACGAATCCCGACGCGACCATTGAACGGTGTCTTCGGCCGACGGAAAGTGATCTGAACGATATATGGGGTTGGAACCACGAATTGCCTCCCACATACAGCTTTTGCATGCAAGATATGGTCGCCGAGAGAGCTCGCGAATACCCAGATAAGGTCGCCATTGACTCTTGGGACGGTAGTCTAACCTATGGCCAAATCGATCAATGGTCCACCTCCGTTGCATCCTCCCTCCGGGATATGGGAGTCGAGCTACATGATGTTCTTCCCGTGTGCTTCGAAAAGTCCCGATGGACAATTATCGCCGTGCTGGGAGTCATGAAAGCAGGCGCAACTCTTGCACTCATGGATCCAACACTTCCGCTTGCACGCCTTCAAAACATGGCTGTACAGGTCGGCGCAAAGGGGATGGTTTCGTCTCGGAAACAGTACGACCTGTCAATGAAGATTATGCCAGAGGGGAAGCACTTCGTCGTTGAGGAAGATGCCTTCACGAACTTGTCACACTTTTCATCTCCCCCGGATTTGCCCGCTGTACCACCCTCCGCCCTCATGTACATTATCTTCACCTCCGGCAGCACGGGTACTCCGAAAGGAGTGAAAATCTCCCACGAAACATATACCAGCAGTGCCATCCCTCGGGCAAAGGCAGTCGGATATACACCAGAATCAAGGGTACTTGATTTTGCATCCTACGCCTTTGACGTCAGCATCGACAGTATGCTCCTGACTCTCGGAAACGGCGGGTGCCTTTGCATTCCATCCGACGAGGATCGTTTGAACGACATTAATGAAGTTATCCGAAGAATGCGAATCAATTACGCAGGTCTGACTCCCTCAGTGGGCCGAATCTTAGATGCAGATGTAATCGCATCGCTCAGCGGCCTCGGCCTCGGAGGTGAAGCTGTTTCAGCAAGAGACGCCAACAACTGGGGCAGGGAAACCCGAATCATCATTGGTTACGGCCCCTGCGAATGCACCATTGGATGCACAGTCAACAGCAGCGCTGCTACTGGCAGAGATTACCTTTCCATCGGCCCAGGCAACGGAGCCGCTATATGGATTGCCGATCCGAACGATCACAACGAGCTTGTGCCTGTCGGCGCTGTCGGTGAGCTACTAGTTGAGGGCCCCATTGTTGGACAGGGCTACCTTAATGACCCCGACAAGACGGCTGCTTCTTTCATCAACGACCCCACTTGGTTGGTCGCAGGCCACAAACAATACGCTGGTCGTCGGGGCCGTCTTTATAAGACTGGAGATCTCGGGAGATACGACCCAGACGGTCTCGGTGGTATTGTCTTCGTTGGCCGGAAGGATACCCAGGTCAAATTGCGCGGACAGCGTGTCGAGTTGGGCGAAATTGAGAGTCAGCTCAAGGCCGTCCTGCCTTCAGAGGCCAATGTCATCGCCGAGGTGATCAACCCCAAAGATTATGGTGGCCAGCCGATGCTCGTTGCATTCGTTGCCTTCCAACCAAAGGCTCATGGCCAGGCTGAGCTGGCCTTGGAAGAGCTCTCAAGCGAGTTGAATGATACACTGACAAAAGCCAATGCGGAGGTGTCCAAGACTTTACCGCGATACATGGTGCCGACCACATACATCCCGATCAATGTTGTGCCAGTGTTGATCTCAGGGAAGACTGATCGCAAACAACTCCGAGCATTTGGCGCAACTGTTGATTTGCGCCAGCTTGATCAAGGTGCAGCAAGCACGGCTTCTCGGGAGTTGACCGAGATTGAGCGACGACTGCGGCAGGCCTGGGCAGAGACACTTAAACTCGAAGCAGGTGCTATTCGGCCAGATGACAACTTCTTTGCTCTGGGTGGTGACTCCTTGGCTGCTATGAGGCTTGTGTCTGTCTGTAGAGCGCAGGGCCTTGATCTCTCGGTGATCAGCACATTTGGAAACCCTACTCTCTCGGCAATGGCTACCGTGCTTAAGCCTTGCAGCTCCGAGGCACAGGAAGAGATCCCGGCTTTCTCTTTGATCTCCCAATCTGTTGAGAGCGCCCGTCTCGAGGCGGCACAAGCTTGCGGAGTGGACGAAGCAGATGTGGAGGATATATATCTCTGCACTCCCACACAAGAATCACTGTTCACTTTCTCGCTGAAGTCAACGAAGGCGTACATCGCTCAAAGAGTCGCATGCATTCCTTCTCATATTGAACTCGATGCTTGGAAGAAGGCATGGGAGGATGTTGTGGCAGCAAGCCCTATTCTGCGCTCTCGCCTGGCACCTCTCCAAGACCCAGGCCTCCAGCAAATTGTGCTGAAAGAAGGCATCACTTGGAGGTACGCCACCGATCTGGAACAATATCTGGAGAACGACCGAAGCGAGAGAATGAACCTTGGTCAAAGTTTGGCTCGATACGGCATTGTCACCAATGCAAATGACGACAAGCGCTATATGATATGGACTGTGCATCACGTTCTCTATGACGGATGGTCAGAGCCAATAGTGCTTAAGCAAGTCAGCGATGCCCTGCAGAACCAATGCGTGGAGATCCAAACGCAGATGAGGAACTTCGTCAAGTACGTGCGCGACACAGATGAGACCGCGATGCATGAGTTCTGGCGACGGGAGTTGAAGGGGGCTGTCGGGCCTCAATTCCCTCGTCTGCCGTCTCGAGACTTCCTGCCAACTCCCAATGGCCTGATTGAGCACCAAATTTCCCTGGAGACAGGTGCCGGATCACCCTTCACAATGGCAACATTGGTCCGCGGCGCATGGGCCCTCGTCGCATCCCAATACACGGGCAGCGATGACGTCGTGTTCGGCGAGACACTCACCGGTCGTGACATCCCCCTGCCAGGCGTGGAGAGCATCGTCGGACCACTGATCGCAACAATCCCCATCCGTATCCAAGTACGCCGGTCGGGCTCGGTCGAGTCGTACCTACAGACGGTGCAGCAAGCCGTCTTGGCGCGCACACCCTACCAGCACATGGGAATGCAGAATATCAGAAAGGTCAGCCAGGATGCCCAGTATGCATGTGAATCTGGTACCGGTCTGGTCATCCAGCCAGATCCCGAGTATGTGGGAAGCGAGCTTGGATTTGAGCTTGGCGACGTTGTCCGTGAAGCGCTTCATTTCAACCCATACCCGCTTATGGTAGCCTTTGGAATCCGCAAGGGCGGCCTCCGTGTGTGTGCCAGTTTCGACAGCAGCTTGATCGAGGGCTCGCAGATGCAGCGCATTCTTGCACAACTGGAAACAGCTTGCTTGCAGTTATCCACTGGTCTTGACAAGCGCATTGATGAGATTTCTTGTCTTCCCGCCGAAGAAGTGGACCAAATCTGGCAATGGAACCGGGCGCCTCCTCTGTCTGTGGAACCATCCTCGGGCAACATTCGGGCACATGCGAGCACTAAGCAGGGGTCAGTATATCCTCGTGCTGTGGTTCCTTGGGTGTGTGATGCTCGCAACCCGAGTCTGTTGTCCCCCATCGGCAGTGTTGGTGAGCTCTGGCTCGAGAGGAGCTTGCCTGTCTGGGGAAACGATCGAGTCCCCTGCTTGGCTCTTAGCCGGAAGCTCTGCTTGTGCAGGTCGATCAGGCAAGGTGCAGCCGACAGGCGATATGGTTCAGCTTCAGGATGATGGCAGTCTGGTGTTTGTTGGCCGAAAGGAGAACGTTGTCCCACTTCAAGGACATGCCGTGGATATCGCGGACCTGGAGTCACATTTTGCAAAGCATCTCCCGCCAAACACCCGCGCTGCTGCATCTGTGTTCCAACCATTGAGAGAGGGCGCACAGAAAATGACCGAGCAAGAGCTGGCGATCTTCATTGAAAACCAATCTTCCGAGGAGGACAGCATCAGAATCATGCCCGGGAAATACGAAATGAGCGTTGATCATGCGACGATCTGTGATACTATCCCAGTCAGCCTTGCTGTCTCGTTGAAGAAGCTTGACAAATTTATCCGGGACTCGCTACCATCTTACATGGCGCCATCTGGGTATGTTGTGGTTGACAAGTTGCCCACTGGACTGGACCAACTTGATCGCACTTTGCTCAATCAATTAGCCTCGAAAATCCCCCACAGTGTCCTCAACAACCTTCGTTCAGGATTCAAGGAAGCATGGACGAAGGGTCTGGCACACACAAACCTCTCCCCATCAGAGAAGATCCTGCAAACGGCTTGGGCGAAAATCCTCCGCCTGAGCCCAGAGCAGATTGACGTTGACGACAACTTCTTCCGCCTTGGAGGAGATTCTGTTCTGGCAATGAAACTGGTTTCCAGCCTCCGCACGCAAGGACATAGCCTGTCCGTGGCCGACATCTTCCAACACATGCGTCTCGGTGATGCAGCCAAGGTGCTGAAGGTAGACCAAGCGAAGGAAACTAGCCAGCCTTACAAGACTTTCTCGGCACTCAGCAACCTGGATGTCAAAATGTTCTTGGCCTCTACCGTCCGTCCCAAGCTTGCCAACCCAGGCTGGCCAATTCAGGACGTGTCGCCCGCCACAGATTCCCAAGCACTCGACATCAGAGGGACAATCGGAGCGCCACGCACTTCCGTCCAGTACACCATGATGTACTTCGATCAGAATGTTGATCGCGAGCGACTTGTACGCGCATGCACTGTCTTGGTCAAGACTCACGACATCCTGCGCACTGTGTTCATCGAGAATGAATCCTCTTTCCTCCAAGTGGTACTGGAAGATGCGAAAATTCCCGTGGCGATGCACCAGGATGTCAAGGAGATCGAGCAATACGTCACTGCACTTTGCACAGCAGACATTGAGTCAAGCTTCGAGCTCGGCTCACCGTTCCTCAAGATCTTCCATATCCAAGCCGACAGCGGAAAACACTGCCTCGTTATCCGCCTTTCGCATGCGCAATACGACGGAGTCTCACTCCCCAGACTCCTCCAAGATCTAGAAACTCTGTACGCTGGAGGCAAAGTCGTCGATTTCGAGCCATTTGCAACATACATGGCCCGGGTCTCTGACGGACGCCTCCAAACCCAGGCAATCCACTACTGGAACGACCTGCTCAAGGACTCAACACTATCCGTCCTCAATGGACCCACAGTCCAACCAACAGACAAAGCCATTTTCCACTCGAAGGCCGTCGAAAGCTTCCAGCCCGTACAGGAAATCACCACTGCAAACGTGCTAACCGCAGCATGGGCGCTGGTTCTCGCTCGTCGCCTGCGCACACCCGACGTCACATTCGGCTCCGTAACCTCAGGCCGATCGATCGATCTTGCAAACGTGGAAAACGTCATGGGTCCATGCTACCAGCTCACTCCTGTCAGAGTGAAGTTCCAGTCCCAGTGGACGGCAATGGATCTGCTACGCTTTGTGCAGAAGCAGAGCGCTGAATCTGCGGCGCATGATTTCCTCGGGTTCGAGAAGATCTCGAAGGAGTGTACGCCGTGGTCATCGGACGCTCGCTCGTTTGATTCTATTGTTCATCACCAGGATTGGGATGAATTCGATGATATGCCTTTTGCTGGGTCTTCTTGTAAGGTTGATATTTTGAATCCCCATGGGGATGCTGCTTATCCCTTGAAGGCTGTTTCATTTGTACGGGGTGGGAAGATGCATGTTGGGTTTGTTGGAAGTGAGACAGATGCCACATTTGTTGATAACATTCTTGATGAGTTGGCTGCGGCGGTTCAGGAGTTGTCGGATTCTCGGTCTGAGTCGTTGGTACTTGTTTGAATGTGATTTTAGATGTTTAGTTATGAAGTAAATATTTGAAGATTATGATGAATTTAAGATTGGTACGAGACGAATCCAAAGGACACAACGAAGTAAATACTTTTCGATAAATACAAAATAGGTATCTTTCTAAAACCAAAAAGAGAAAATTACAAGCTTATAGATCTAAAACAATCAAGTCGCCACAGTCTGGTGCATGACATTTGCCCGGTAGCTGTCCGACCTCTCGAGCAATTCTTCATGAGAGCCAGCATCAGTGCACACACCACCATCAATCAAGAAAATCACATCCGCTTTCCTGATAGTATGAAGACGGTGGGCAATAGCAATGACGGTGATTCCACGAGCAGCCTTTTCCAGGCCATCCTGCAGGAGCTTCTCAGACTCCGCATCCAAGGCACTAGTGGACTCATCAAGAATCAAAAGCTTAGGCTTGCGAACAAGAGCACGAGCAATGGACAATCTCTGCTTCTGACCTCCAGAGAACTGGTTACCGCTAGGTCCGCAGAGAGTCTGGTAGCCATTTGGCAGTGCAGTGATAACATCGTGGATGTTAGCGAGCTTGCAAGCCTCTTGAATTTCTTCGAGGGTCACATTGTGACCAGGACGGGCACCAAGACCAACGTTGAACTCAATGCTTCCCTCGAAGAGGACGCTGTCCTGCGGCACAAGGGAAATCCAGTCGCGGAAAGTCACATCCGATGTCTTGGTCACGTCGACACCATCGATGATGACAGAACCGGATTCAGGGGTGTAGAGGCGTTCGACCAGGGAGATGATGGTCGATTTACCGGCACCACTAGGCCCAACCAGGGCACAGAACTTGCCGGGGCGGATATCAATATCCAAGCCCTTCAACACTTTCATGTCCGGCCTGGCAGGATAGCAGAAGTGGACATTGCGCAGCTGCACGGCCGAGGCCGAGTTGCCGGAGTCATATGAGGGTTTCTCTTCAATTGCCTCGAGATCCCTGCTCGTGGCAGGCATGAGAAGTCCCACCCATCTTGTCCTTGCCGATCTCGATCAGGCCTAGGATTCTGGCCATTGCGGACCGCGCAGCAGAAAGCTCGGGTGCAAGCGCAAACATTTGACTCCAAAGCAAGGCACTGACTAGAAGGGAGAAAACAACAATCAGGAATTGAGTCTGGGTGTAGTTGCCGTTGATGATCTGCTTAGAACCCCACCAGTATGCCAGGGCATTCACCATGTTGCCGAGGAAGTAGGTCATTGCTTGCCAGAAGCTTGCCTGCACGGTGACTATGAATGTCTCCTTGCGAGGGCCCTTTAGGGATCGTCGATATGTTTGCAAAGTGTTCTCTTCCAGAGAGAGAGAAGCGATCGTCTTGATAGAGGTAACAGCCTCCACGCCAATGTCGACGGACTTGGTGTAGGCGTTTTCGTGACGCTCCTCGAATTTTCCAAGGACCGTCAGCTCCATCAAACCGGCACCAAGAAGAAGGGGAACAAGGGCAAGGCAGACCAATGCAACCCTCCATGCAACGATATGGGTCAGGATGATGGCGGCGATGAGGTTAATGGTAATGGAGAACAGGGTTCCAATGACAGATCCGCTCAGACCGGCAAGCGCGTTGCCGTCTCTGGTAATATAGGAGAGAAGCTGGGAGGGCGATCGGCCCTTGGATTGATGCCACTGTAGATCTTGCTCAAACAGAGAACGGAATGAGAGGACGCGCACTTTGTAGACTATTTTCTCGGAGACGAGGCCGAATCCTCCCCAGCTGACAACGTTTGCGAAGAACTCGATAAGAGCAAGGACGAAGAACATCAGACCGTAGAAGTTACCGCGACTGCTGATACTGGCAGCGCTGTGACAAGGGTTCAAACTTCCGACGGTGTTTCCGAAAATGACAGCTTCGCCAGAGAAGGCTCCACCGACCATGCTGGCACCGAAAAGTGCGGCAAAGATGACGAAGAAATGGGGTCTAAGAGCTGGTGCATAACCCTTGCAAAGATCCCACAGTGTTTTGGGTGGAGTCTCGGGTTCGTCTTCCTCTTCTCCTCCCTCTTCCGAGGAGACATCGGCTGGTGCCTCAGTGGTGGACACACGGGCTTCTTTAGCAGACCCCAGGTCATTTGAAAGATCGCCTTTCTCGTTGTCCGCTTCTGTGATAGAGGTATCATCAGACTTGCTCGCAATGCTGGCAGTGGTATCAATCTTGTTGGATGAAGCTGCAGCCCCAAGAGTCTGCAATTTGACCAGCTCAGAGTAAGGACCATTCGCAGCCATCAATTCTGCGTGAGTACCCTCCTCCAAGATATCACCTTTGTGCATGCAGACAATCTTGTCCGCGTTGGTGATAGTCGAGAGACGATGGGCGATTGTGATGACAGTGCGGCCAGTTGAGATGTTGTTGATAGCCCGCTGGATACGCTGTTCACTTCGTGAATCCAAAGCAGCGGTGGCTTCATCCAAGATTAGGACGGCAGGGTCCTTGACAAGAGCACGGGCAAGAGAGACTCGCTGCTTTTGACCGCCGCTAATCAGTCGACCACTGGATCCAACTAGAGTGGCGTATCCGTACTGCAAAGCGTCGATGAAGCCATCTGCATCAGCAAGGGCGGCAGCCTTCCGGACCAATTGAACAATTTCGACAATTTCGGGACCACGTTTCTCTGCTGCAGCGACAAGGTCCTGACCGTCCCTGACTTCGGTGGCGATATCATTAAGGTCTGTTCCGAGGAGTGCGGGTTTCAGATGTGCATGAGCAGGGTTGCTTGAATTCATCAAGCCATGTGCGATGTTCTCCAGAAGAGAACGGTCCAAGAGAGATGGCTCCTGCTGCACAAGACTGAGGAATCCCCTCAAATCACGGGTATTGATATCACGAACATTCTGACCATCGAAAGTGAGCTCGCCTTCAGTGACATCATACAAGCGGGTGGCTAGACCTGCGATGGTAGACTTTCCACTTCCGGAAAGACCGACAATGGCAGTATGCTTTTTAGGGGCGATTGAGAGGTTGATCTTGTTGAGAACAGTGATCTCTGGCCTAGAAGGATAGATGAAAGAGACGTCCTTGAACTCGAATCCACCCTCTGCTTGGGAGAGGCGAATGCCTTCATCGGAAACCCCGTCGATTAGGGAAAGGCGCTCAATGTCGTCACGCAGCTTGTGGTAGCAAGCGACCGCCTGTGTAAACAAGTGAATGAAAGGTGCGACTTGACTCAGAAGCAGTGTAGCTGTACACGAAGTTAGTACAGGTCGTATGATCTATCTTCACTCAAACTGACCTTCGACCAAGACAAAGATAACAGTAAAAACAGCTCCAACTGTGGCACCTGCCGAGTTTGTGCGCACTGCCTCAGCAATCTGTTTACTTCCTTGCCAGAAGGCAAGACCGTTTGCACCGTAAGCGACGAAGTATAAAACACCAGCTTGGATACCGGTAGCAGTTGCCTTTTTCAACCCTTCGGTTTCCGAGTCCTTGAGTGCCTTAGAGAACTTCTCCTCCAAGCGATTGTTCGCACCAAAGGCATGCACCACAACAATGTTGTTGAGCGCTTCTGAAGCAATTGACGCAGCGGAAGCAGCGAAATCCGACATGCGCCCAGTGTATTTCTCGATATAGTGACTCCCAACAAACGACATGATGAAGTACGCGGGAATCAAGGAAAGCAGCATCGCGGCAAGGATGGAATCTTTGATGAATGCAACAACATACGCGGTGACAAAAAAGGAGAAACTTGAGATGCAAATCCCGACCTTCTCAGCTGTACCGGAGCGAATTGTTTGAATATCGGTGTTGAGTCGGGAGGCGACTTCTCCAGCGGGGAGGTTATCGAAGAATGAGGGTTCTTGTCGGAGCAGGTTCTGGAGGTATTTTTCGCGAAGTCGCTGCGCCAGGCGCGCACCGGTCATCGTCCAGCATAGCAGGTGGAGGTAGATCAAGACGAATTGGGCAATTCCCAGGTACACGATCAACAGAATTTTGCTGTTAATTTCTGATTGATCGCTCGAGTCTCCTCCGGAGGAGCTAGTAGATTGCTCGCAAGTCACTGAGTTGAAATCATCGAGCAATTGGCCGAACACGATTCCAATGATCGGAAAAGGGACACCGGATGCAATTGCTGACGCCAGGCCAACAAAGAGGGTTCCCAGCTCGAGTCGTGAGGGATCGGCGGCCACAAGTAGCTTGGGGTAGCTAGCAAGCTTCCCGAAACCCATGGTGACTCGAAGATGGCGTTCAACACCGGGATTATCGATTGAGTGGTTGAAGAAGCTAAGTTTTCACAGGCGATCAATTTATCGCTTTGACTAACTAGCTTGACAGTGGCGTCACCATGAAAATTGCACCCACTCCTTAGCGCGAGTCCATCCAGTGAAGCGACTGGAGCTGCGGATTGCGACGAGGCACTAAAGAAACTCGTATGACAAGTGTGAAGATGCAACCAGGAGGTGACTTCCGGATGTTGAACATCCCGAGCGGGATTTTCGATCAGCCGACATCGGTTTGAACAGCAGCTCCGAAGATGCAACCCACCTGCACCTGAAGATTTTCAATTGCTCGGCGGGGGTTATCAGATCAAAGTGGGGCATGCGAGCCGTGGTTCACTAGCGTCTTTACGTGGATACCCGGGTAATTACGGCCGTATGGTGTATGGTTCCTGAGGATCGAAATTTACAATATTACGAGACACGCTGTATACTAACTACACAGTAGTTAATGTACTGTGTGGTTGGAAATAAAATCCGCGGACTATTTGGTCGGGGTGAAGAGAAATAGGACTTTAAATGTAGTTATATCCTCGATAGACATTGATCCATAAGACAGAGAATTCCTCCAAATTTCAGAATCATAAAGAGCTCGTTCATCTCGCGCTCAACATCCAATAAAAAAGATATCATCATAAAATACAACACCCATCAGGAGGAAAAGCCAAGAACATGGAAGCCAAATGAACACCCGAAAGGTAATTTCATTAAAGCCGCATAGATAGAAACTCGGTCTTGGAAAGGACTGCCCGGGCCCTGACTAGGAATTCTAAGCGGAACAGTACCTACGAGATATCTGTCTTGGAGTTGGATGTGAAGTGAAGATCGCGGCAAGTACTGTAGGAGAAAAGAATTCATGATTTTGTACATTCGACATTTCGATCGACACCACGATCGGCCAAATCTAGCATTTTGAAGCAACTCAAAGCAAAATTACAGCTTGGCATTCCACGCGGCACGATCAGCAGATTCCAAAGGCCGCTCGCGCCCGTCCCAGAAAATCGGACACAGTTGGAACCACTTTTCGCGACTGCAAATTGAGTGAACCGATCGCTTGTGTCCAAGATCGACATAACTTCCGATGGTGAGTCCTTGCGCATTTTCATAGGACAAGATGGTCGCGCCGGTGGCCTTGGGCTCGCCGACGGCATTGGCGGTCCGGGGATCATCCAAGAAGACGTAGTGAATGCAGCTGGAATACCAGGCATTCACGCGCTTAGCTCCGCGGAAATTGGACTCGCCCACGAGTGAGTGACGGCCGCGATCGTAGTCTCCAGCGTTGTAGTGGGCACCGTAGTGATCCTCCTATAGACAAAGGTGTTAGGGTCAATGCTCAGCTGCTGAAACGCGACCGAGGTGGGGGTATTTACCTTTGACCAGTACAACTCATAGTATGAGAAGCGGTTATCGTCGAAGCGTCCAAACAAGCACAGGACATGGGGATCAAAGTGAAGTTTGCGCAAATACTCGGTGTGTTGTTCGATAGTTCCAGTTTCATTCCAGCCAGCAGCAACGCGCGGGTCATTTTGCCACTTGTTGAATAGCTGGACATGCTCCGGGTTTTGCCAATCGACAACTTCGAGCGAGAAGTGCTCATTGATCTCTGGGATGTAACGGCTGTAGGCGATGGATCCTGGGTGAGGCTTGGGGCGGCGCGTCGGGTGCCGGGTATATACTGGTTCCTCTGGGAACTTGTTGGTGATTTGGTAGTTTTCTGGCATGATGGGGTATTGCGACAAAGGTTTCCGCACGGGGCCATCTGTGCCGTCTCCCACCACCCAGATGGGACGGGGACCCAATGGAGAAGCAGCGCCTTGCCAGAAAGCACTTCGGAGAATCAGCAAATCATCGAATTGCAGAGCCTTGTTATCTCTGTCGCGCAGGTTCCGCGGGTGCTTGATTGCCAACCCCGTGGTCAGAAGCTCATCGTGAATGACTTCCTGCGCTGCGCCGGACAGAGTAAGTCTGAAATATTCTATTGTTGGGTGTCCGAGGTAAATGGTGTGGACCACATTCCAAATTTGGCCCAGAGAAGGGGCGCTGTCCCCCGTCCATTGGAAGACTGTTTGGGGACTGCGACGCGCACGAGCCCAGGGAGTGTTATCTGAGATGGGCGGCTGCTCAGCTTTGGGAATGGAAGTCAAGTCATGCCATGAGAGCGATGCTGAGTGTAACGGCTCAGGCAAGGGCCGACCCTTTGCAGGTTGCTCATCAAGTGTCAAGTTGCGCTGGGTCGGTGTCGAACCAGCAACAGTGTCCACACGATAGGCAGTTAGATAAGGGTGTGGTAGCTTGACCAGAGGATATTGGTGCGGTTTTGAGGCCATTGTCGGGGGAATTGATTGTCAATTTGAGGCCAAAAGCTATGGGGCAACGAATTGACGCTTGGAACAGGTTAAATGGATCAAAAAGCCCTCCGCCGTGCGCAATGGGGGGATATATGTAGTGGAAGACCTTGAGAAAGAACGATGATCAGGCTAGGGTCTGACCGAGGCTGAGTTTCTCCTCACTTCTCCGTGAAGCAGTGACAGATCCCAGAGTGGAAACCTTTTCGTCTCGGAATAAGCGAAGCTGGAGCCGCTCGATCCATCGCTTTACGCTGTGTGGAGCTTGTCCGGTATTTTCAATCCCATATTTTCAGTATTGTCAATATTTCAAAACCTGTACCGAGGTCGCCTGCTTGTTTTGTATTTATAACTTCCGAGGTTCCGTTGAAAGCTGCATACAACCCTGGACTCCGTACAAACCCCCATATAATCCGTCACGTATCCCAGGGGAGAAAATACCTCGAAGGCTACATAACAAATTTGATCACCCCAGTCACAATATCATCATGTCTTTACGATCAGGACCTTTGAACCATGAAAACTTTTACATATCTTTTCCTCATGAGCGGGTTCTCCAGCTCACAATCAACAGACCGGACAAGCTAAATTGCATTGACAAAAAGACCAGTCGAGAAATCGCCAAGATCTGGGAGTTATTCGATGAAGATGAAAGCCTATGGGTTGCCATAATCACTGGTGTCGGCCGAGCCTTTTGTACGGGCGCTGATCTTGGAGGTAAGTTTGTTTGCCTAGTTCTCAGCCTTAGAAGCCACCATTGACTGGCGTGTACAGAATGGAACGCAATGAATAAGAGCGGTGTTGTCAATGACATGTCTGCCCCCGGCTTGGCCGGTCTACCTCGCCGAACCGGGAAGAAACCCATTATCGCCGCCGTGAACGGCATCTGCATGGGCGGAGGTTTCGAGATGGTGGCCAATTGCGATCTTGTCTTGGCTTCATCTTCAGCTATTTTCTCCCTCCCGGAGGTGAAACGGGGAATTGTGCCAGTCGCCGGATGCTTGCCGCGGCTAACGCGTACTATTGGATTTCAACGTACGATGGATCTCGTGCTCACCGGTAGGAACGTGAGCGCCACAACGCTGCATGATTGGGGCCTAGTCAGTCGAGTGGTAGACTCACAGGACGATGTTGTTCGCGCCGCAGTCGAGGTCGCCGAAGTCATGTGCCAAAATAGCCCGGACTCGCTCATCGTTGGTCGTCTAGGTGTTCGGATGAGCTGGGAAGCCGGCAGTGTGGAGGACACCGTATCGGACCTAGCGAATGAGTGGTATCCTCGATTGGTGGGCGGTCCCAACTTTGCCGAAGGCATCCAGGCTTTTGTGGAGAAACGGTCACCGAGATGGAAGAATTCAAAGCTGTGAGAAAAATCTAATCAGATTGCGTGGCGCAATTGGTCCATGGTTGGTTGTGGGGCTTGTACATAATTGAGTTTACTTATCTGATGAACTGTAACGCAACGTAATTAATCCGATGTGGCCACATGTGATCAATTTCCCTACTGAATTTCTTGGGAACTCCTAGTTTTAGAGCAGATGCATGCTGTAAGCACTTTAAACCAAGAGTGAGCTTTGCAGAGACTGTAGATAAAGTACTAAAAACCTTTTCCATTGTTGCAAAGACCTGCGTGCAAGATCTCTTGGCAGGTACCTGGTAGCACGTGGATTTTACGTTATGACACTGCCAACTCCCTCGAAGTTTCAGATCTGATAATACACAAATACGTATATAACATACCGCTAGTATCTCCGCGTGGACTCTGTCATACGATGTAAACATCGCGGTAGAGCGGGTTATACTAACTTATCCGTGTTAGCTTCAAGGCCCAGACATCTCAACCCAATCTGATTTGGCTTTTTCCTCTATTATTTTCCCTTTTCAGCTCTTGTCGGCGGATTTGATTTAGCATGTCACCCTATGCCAAGCCAGCTCCTATGCCAAGCCAGCTCCTACGCCAAGCTCGCTCCACACATTAATTCCCTCAACAGGAAGCTTCAACGAGCTTGCTGTGGCTTGAAGAGGTCCCATACCCGGCCGAGTTTGCCTTGGCTGCATCTGGCAGAGATGAGGACTGCTGCGATCTGATTAGATCCAGCCTCTGGCTGTCCGACTCTCGCCGATACATCTAAGTGGGCGGTCCACACATGACCGAGACAAGGGAAGCCTCATAGAGGAGGGGGGGAAACTCGTCTATTGGATAACCCAGGCGAACGAACCGGCTTGAGACAATGCCAAGACATAACCTACTCGTCTATTCTCCTGGCGTGGCGTGGACTGATCTTTCAAAATTCCAAGCTGCCGACTTCGGGGATTTCTCAAGCCTGGATCTAAAGCGCTCGCAAATAGAGGCAATCTCTATAAGAGCAAGGGTCCCACCTGTACTCTGCGGCTTTGTCTGACTATCCCCTATCTGTTCCTTATTTCATTTCACAATATGGGCATTGCTAGGTTCCGATCCGCCTTTGGGCGGTCGTTAATGACCGCGGAGCCTGTTACTCCAGTCACCGTGAGCTCTGATGACGAATTCAAGGGCGACCGCAAGGGTGAGCCCACCGAGACTGTTGCGACAGTCAACGTGGACAACCCAGAAGTTCCAACGGAAGGCCTTCAGCAAGGTGTCAAAGATGTCGAGGCTGTGACGTTGAGCTGGACGAAGGGCATGCTAATTGCGGTCTTTGTGAAGTAAGCTTTCGATTCTCTGCTTTCATAGACTGTTGAGACCGGTGCGATTGAATATGGTTACTAATGAAGATCTTTGATAGCATCTGGTTCTTGTACTTCGTCAATGCCATGCAGGCCACGATCAATTACAGCTTGATTGGCTATGTCACCAGTGACTTCGATAGCCATTCTCTACTGAACGTCATCTATATTGTCGCAAACGCCATGTCAGCCGCAACGTACATTCCTACCGCCAAAGTTCTGGATGTTTGGGGTCGTGCCGAAGGTTTCCTGATCATGGCTACGTTCGCGACTCTCGGACTGGTTCTCATGGCTGTGTGCCACAACCTTTCGACTTTCTGTGCTGCCTACGTCTTCTACAGCGTCGGGTTCGGAGGTATGATATATTGTATTGATGTCATCACCTCCGATATCTCTAGGCTCAAGAACCGAGCTCTGGCGTACGCTTTCACCTCCTCGCCGTATATGATTACAGCTTTCGCTGGTCCTAAGGCTGCCGAGGGCTTCTACGAGAAGATCAGCTGGCGCTGGGCCTTCGGCGCGTTCTCCATTATCTTCCCCGTGGTTGCCTCCCCTCTCTACTTCATCCTGAAGAGCCAGCTCAAGAAGGCCCAAAAGACTGGAGTCCTCGTCAAAGAGCCGAGTGGCCGGACTATCTTGCAAAGCATTTGGTTCTATTCCAAGGAGTTTGATTGTGAGTGAAAACATTTTGGGTCTTACTATTTTGAACGCCGCTAATAATGTGCAGTGCTCGGTGTCATTCTGTTCTCCGTTGGCCTTACGGTGTTTTTGCTTCCGTTCAGCATCGCCTCTTTTGCTCCCAAGGGCTGGGGATCCGGCTACATCATCGCCATGATCGTGATCGGATTTGTGATGCTGGCAGTGTTCCTCGCTTGGGAGCTCCTCCTGGCGCCCACACCAATGTTCAACTTTAGTCTGCTGACTGACCGAACCGTCGTCGGTGCATTGTGTCTGAGCGCGACTTATCAGCTTTCCTACTATTGCTGGAACAACTACTACACATCCTTTTTGCAGGTTGTGAACGATCTCTCGATTGCTGAGGCCGGATACGTCAGCAACACCTTCGATGTGGTCTCAGGCTTCCTTTTGCTCGGAACTGGTTTCATTATTCGCAAGACAGGACGCTTCAAGTGGCTTCTCTACATTGCGGTTCCGCTCTACATCTTCGCCCAAGGATTGATGATCTATTTCCGTCGTCCTAATCAATCCGTCGGTTATCTTGTCATGTGCCAGATTTTCATCTCTATTGGTGGATCCGTCTTCATCCTCATTCAGCAACTCGCTGTCTTGGCTGCCGCCGACCATCAGCATGTAGCTAGTGCGCTTGCTCTCGTGTACGTTGTGGGCACTGTCGGCCATGCCGCCGGCTCTACCATTTGTGCTGCAATTTGGACCAATACATTCTACAAAGCCCTTCTAACCAGGCTTCCGGAATCTGCTATCGGAAACATCGATGCAATTTACTCGGACCTGGGTACTCAGATGTCGTATCCCGTCGGTTCTCCTGCGAGACTGGCAATCCAGGGAGCCTATGCTTATTCCCAGACACGAATGCTTGCTGTTGGTGTTGGATTTATGGGTCTTTGCTTCTTCTGGACTCTCCTGATCCGCAACATCGATCTGAAGAAGGTTCCTCAGGTCAAGGGTACCGTGTTCTAAGGAGTCTACCCTCACCTTTGAAAATGAACTCTGACAATTACCATGTCGGCATGTCGGCGATATATGTCCCCTATTATGCCCAAAACCAGATAGACTTCTGGAAGTTTTGCTTTTGTGCCTTAGTAATTAATCTCTATCATATAACGACCTGAAATGGATGCAGAATGTTATGACTATCCAAAACTCAATTCCTCAATTCCAAGATCTATATAAGAGCCTTGACATCATACATAGCAAGTAGCCAATTTCTGACAGAATTGGATGTTATTGCCGCAGTGTTCCATGTACTCTAAGAGTGTCTGGAGCCCATGCCGAGTTTCTAGCGGTATGGGACACTGAGCTTAGGTGGGGCAGGCGTATGTATGGGCGTATGTCCCGTCTGCGGGACAGTACTAGCTGTAAGGTTTGAAGTATTTTTGTAAGTTACAAATATAACGATGTGCATTACAGGTAATATTACAAAACACATACCAGATACACTTGCCCTGAATCGGATACATCATGCCGTCTCCACATGGCCCTTACACAGTAGTAGGTACGTAGAGGATCTGAGCAAATACATACGCAGTACGCAATACCAGTGACCGCCGTACCTAAACCGGTATGTATCTACGCGTATTCGTATGCGTTTACAGAAATACAAACTCCGTTATCCTCCGACGGGTCCACGCCTAACATTCCGAAGCTCCTCCACTCCGATTCCGAGGGTGTAACCAGGGACCAAAAGGATCTGATAACTTTTTCCCTTCGCTACAGTACTTCGGCCTTTGCCCGGCCGTCTATCTTGGCTCGAACCGTTATAGCACCACGTGGCTGATAGCCTCGGCCAGCAGAGCAGTCCAACTACTACTTACCGTCTTCGTAGCAAAGCAATAACTAGTTAGCCAAGCAGCCAGTCTCAGATCGACGTCCCAATGGCCTTCCTATTGTGGAAACCGACCGAGCCACCAATGCCGTGGAAGTGGATGAAGTGGATATGGCCGCGTGCTCAGGGATGGCCAGATGTTGATCTCTGGAATCTTCCGAATCGCTTCGAATCTGATAACTCCCCTGATGATCTGATTAGATCAGACTGTTATTGCCTTGGCCCTTGGAGTGTTTTAGCGTTCCGTGGCGTTTTTATCTGATCCGAAAGCTTTCGGTGGAGAATCAACGCCGTGGACAGGATCGGCTGCATGGCAGCATATGGCCCCCGGTGAAATTTTGGGTCTGCCTGATTTCCTCTCGTGTGTCATACGAGGCTTTGAACGAAGTAGTCATTACGTACGATTATAGGCAGCGATTTCGCAGAGTCTGCATACAGTTCTGAGTTCTGAACAAGAATGATAGAAATTAGAACCTCTCTGGTGCTCCGTTGATAAGTCAGAAGTCTGATTCCTTACTCTGAGGTTTCTGGTGGTACTGTAGGACTCGATATCATTTTGTTGCCTGGATACCTGGATGCCTGGATGCCTGGATGCCTGGATGCCTGGATGCCTGGATACCTTGATGCCTGGATACCTTGATGCCTTGATGTCTTGATGCCTGGATGCCTGGATGCCTGGATGCCTGGATACCTTGATGCCTGGATACCTTGATGCCTTGATGTCTTGATGCCTTGATGTCTTGATGCCTTGATGTCTTGATGCCTTGATGTCTTGATGCCTTGATGTCTTGATGCCTTGATGTCTTGATGCCTTGATGTCTTGATGCCTTGATGTCTTGATGCCTTGATGTCTTGATGCCTTGATGTCTTGATGCCTTTATGCCTTGATGCCTTTATGCCTTAATGCCTGGGTGCCTGGGTGCCTGGATGCCTGGTATCTGAGTGTCTGGGTGCCTGAGGCATTATACGTATGATAGATCCCAGATAGTTTGTCTGCTCTCTCTCTCTCTCTCTTTCTCCTCGTGGGCGATCCGAATACATACAGTGTTTTCTCTATTGATTCTCCATCGGTGATGCATTTCCATGACGTTTCTGGTGTATCTGTCGAGGTCGCAATGATGCGAAAACAATACGAACCTTGGAAAGGAAAGAATTTCACAGCTTAATATGCTGAGATCCAAGGGTCCTTTCATGGGGTCTTTCATCACAGTTGAGGTTCTCAATATTTCTTGTCTCATGTCTTCGGTACACATGCCCTCCGAGCGGATCGTCCCAACAGTTCACAGAACTCCTACTCCCTGGCACCTCTCGAGCTTTGTCTCATGCGAGAGAAAAAAGAAGCCAAAAAATCTCTGAAGTGTCCATTTTCCAGTGCCTTTTCCACTTCCTTTGACAAAGACTAACAAACGCGGGTTACAACAAGGAGTGTGATAATCACTCATGAAATCATAATATTTCCACTTGGTATCAATGCTATCAAATGCAAATAATCCACCTCAATATTTACCAACTCTATCATTCCCACATTGCGGTGTATAAGCTTACTGCTTATCAGGGAAACCAAAGTTGACACCGAAGGGAGGGTAAACAAAGCGCTGGAGCTTGCCCTCAGCCTGGAGGCCATCGCTATACTTCCGCAGCGCATCCATATCCTCAGCATCCAGCTTGATCAGGTCGGCACGGTTGGACTCGATACGGGCAGGGGTCACAGACTTGGCCAGAACGGAGGAGCCACGGGCAACTGGGACAGCAATGTCAGTATTAAGCACTGCAGTTCGGATGCAGATGTGTGGGAATACTCACTGTGCCAGCTGAGCAGAACACTGGCGGGGGTAACACCACGCTTGTTAGCGACAGCCACGATGGGCTCCGCAGTGAACAGAGGGCTGCCGGTACTACCCAGAGGACTGTAGGCTGTGATATGGATGCCGTTCTTGTTGCAGAAATCCACAATTTCCTGCTGGGGCAGCGAAGGGTGATTCTCGATCTGGTTGACGGCGGGGACAATAGTGGCCTGGGGCATCAGCTCCTCGAGATACTTGAGACTGTAATTCGAAACGCCGATGGCCTTGACCTTGCCGGTACCGACGAGCTTCTCCATACTCTTCCACGTGGTGATGTGGGAGTGGTTGCGGAGGATGTCGCGCGAGCCATCCGCGAGCTTGGGGAAGAGGTTGTGGTTTCCTGCGGAGTCAATTGGTCAGTCTATCGATACTGCATGTAAAAAGGAAGTTGCAGTTACCCTTGTCGTTCATAGCCAGAGGCCAGTGCATCAGATACAGGTCGACATAGTCGAGACCGAGGTCCTTGAGACTCTGCTCGAGACCCTCCTCGACACGGGTGTGGTAGGAGCACCACAGCTTGGTGGTCACGAAAAGGTCCTCGCGCTTGACGATTCCGGAATCAATGGCTTCCTTGATGCCCTGGCCGACCTCGTTCTCATTCGCGTAGCACAGGGCGGCGTCGATGTGACGGTAGCCGACTTTGATGGCATGGGAGACGGCGCGGGCGACCTCACCGGGCTGGGATTGCCATGTTCCCAGACCGAGCGCGGGGATCTCAGCGCCGGTGTTGAGCTTGAAACGGGTATCGCAGGCAGCCATTGTGTATTAGAAGATTTATTAGAAGATTAGAATGTACAATTGATGTTATTTACAGCAGATCACAGCGATCAAATATTAAGAAGACAAAAGGTGGGGGAAGTTGTTCGGTCTAAACAATTCCCCGTTCACCCCCACGCTGGGGTAGTTTTTCCATCAATCACGATGCTACGTGGTTAGGACAAGTTAGGAGATTCTCTAGAACGTTCTTTAGAATGTTCTCTTCCCATGGGTTTGGACTTTGGAGAGACATTTGAAGAGTACTTGAACTTGAACACCAGTAACCAGACTCGGAAACCGACTTCCATGTGTTCATTTCTTCTTCTCCACCTGACATCAGAAGAACCCACAAAGTACCACAAAAGATGGGCGTGATCGTGGGGGCTGCATGCAACTGCCAATCAATTGTCTTCCTATGGAGTCACTCAGATCTTCATCGCTGCGGAAGCCAGAATCCGTGATGTTTCACTGGAAGAGAATCGTCGCACAATGGCTGACGTCGGAAATCGAGATGCGATCGCATCGTATATATTCAGATCTAACATCCTAGGGCTGATCTCAGGTTAAAACCACTTTTCTCATAGGTTGCAGTGTACAGAATTTGAAGTACAACGAGTATACAAAATGGCACCAGTCGCCATCTCCCCACAGGCCTCCCCCGTCTTCAACAAGCGGGATGGCCAGGCACTCGAAGACCTCTCCGATGCCATCGATGAAGTCAACGTTCTCAAGGACATGAAGAGACGCGAGGCTCAAAAATTAGCAGAAGAAAAGGGCCTATACGAAGAGTCCGAGTTCGACAAAGAGAAAGACAAGACCAATTTCCGCCAATACGAAAACGCCTGCGACCGAGTCAAGAACTTCTACCACGAGCAACACACCAAGCAAACAGTCGCCTACAACCTCAAAGCCCGCCACGACTTCCACAGCAAGACACGCGCCGAAATGACCGTCTGGGAAGCCATGGAGAAGCTCAATACCCTGATTGACGAGTCCGACCCAGACACCAGTCTCTCTCAAATCGAGCACCTCCTCCAATCTGCCGAGGCCATCCGACGAGACGGCAAGCCGCGCTGGATGCAGCTGACCGGACTGATCCACGACCTTGGCAAGCTTCTCTTCTTCTTCGATGCTGAAGGTCAATGGGACGTTGTCGGCGACACGTTCCCTGTCGGCTGTGCCTATGACGAGAGGATCGTCTATGGTCGTGACTCGTTCCGTGATAATGAGGACTTCGGACATAGCATTTATGATACTAAGTTCGGTATCTATAGCCCTGGCTGTGGTCTGGATAAGGTCATGCTCTCTTGGGGTCATGATGAGTATCTTTATCATCTGGCGAAGGAGCAGTCGACGCTTCCTGATGAGGCTCTGGCTATGATTCGGTATCATTCTTTCTATCCTTGGCATAGCGCTGGCGCTTACCATGAGTTGATGAATGATCATGATCGTGAGATGTTGCGTGCTGTGAAGGCTTTCAATCCTTATGACTTGTACAGCAAGAGTGATGGTATTCCCAGTATTGAGGAGCTGAAGGTATGTTTTGTTACTGCTGATATGATTCGAGTCTGTACTAACTCTCTGTCTAGCCTTACTACTTGGAGCTCATTGACGAGTACTTCCCCACCAAGGTTCTCAAGTGGTAGATGTCTACAATTCTCTGTTTCTACGTGCTTTATCTATGATTCCCCTCTTCTTTGTTTGTGTCCATGGAAAGATTTACGATCTATCATGAAATTAGCGTATAGAAATGTCATTTCCCCGATTTATCAGACAATACACTCATGATCAATATTCTGACAGTAAGGAGCCTTTCATACCTACTTGGAAATTAGACATAAGCATCGGGTTCCAGAGCTTATGACTTATAAGGATGGAGGCCATTCTGCAGTTGCTGTTGGTGGCTGTCTGAGACTGGTCAGAGATCAAGAGACTGGGCAGCAAGATTCATTCATGAATGGAGAGAAGCCAAGTGAATTATCCTCACGAAACACATCATTCCGATTTATAGGTATAAATCTCACTGCAGTAGACAGGGACAGCTCACTACAACCTCGCAACCTCCACCCTCTCCCCCTCCTCATCAAAGAAGATCTTCCTCTCTGTAACCAAAGCCTCTTGCAACGCCGCCCCAATCCTCACAGCCCTAACGGCATCCCCCAACACAACCGGCAACTCCCCTCCATCCAAACAAGCCCCCGTAAACTCCCTCGCCTCAGTAACAAAAGCCTCCTCAAACCGATCATAATAATCCCCGGGCAGCTCCCTACTAACCCCACTGCCCCCAAACACCTGCACCAGATTCATCGCGGGCCTAGCATTAACCGCCAACTTGCCCTTAGTCCCAATAATCTCAGTAACATCCTCCTGGCCGGCAGCCATCATACGCGACGCATAAAAGTACGCAATGCGACCGTCGTAGAACTCAACCAATCCAACGGCGTTATCGCGGTCGTTGTGCTGACGCAGACCCGGCTCGACGGCTGTGATGCCGGCCGCCGAGACGGATTTGACTTTGCAGTTGCCGAAGAACCAGAAGGTGAGGTCGATGTCGTGGATGGAGCAGTCGACGAAGATGCCGCCGGAGTATTGGGCGTAGGCGACGAAGAAGCCGGTTGGATCGAGCTTGTCGCAGGTTTGGCTGCGGAGGACGGAGGGAGTGCCGATTGCGCCGGATTGCATTTTCTTATGGGCGGCGCGGTAGGATTTGTCGAAGCGTCGGGAGAAGCCGCACATTACCTTGAGGTTGGGTTTCAGGGTTGCTGCGTTGACGACGGATTGGGACTGTTGGGGTTGTTAGGATGGTGTGTTTTGGTGGAACTGGAGAGAGTGAGGGTTGGAGTGCAACTTACTACTTCAACGCTGGTGGAAATGGGTTTCTCGCAAAGGACATGCTTGTCTGCTTCGATAGCCTTGATGGCCTGCTCGGCATGGACGGCGGTTGCGGATGCGATTACCACGGCAACTAGACCTTCATGTTTGAGCATGTCGTCGTAGTTCTGGTATAGGCGTACGCCGAAGGGCTCGAGGTGGATCTTAGCCCATTCGAGCTCGACGGGGTCCGGGGAGCTGGCAGCTACGAGCTCAGCCCTGGGGGTACGCTCCAGGAAATTTAGGGCATGGCGCTTGCCCATGCGGCCTAGACCGGCACAACCTATCTTCAATCTTTGAGCAGTCATTGTGTGAGAGATACAAAGGCGGAAAGATTTGCTATTGAATATTGATAACGGACTGGACAGTTCGGAGACTGTTATAAGGTCAGATCGGAAATACGTCGTACATGCGGAGGCCAGTCTCCGTTGGTATCACCGGTGATCTCTCCGCAGACAGGTAGGCACATAGATCGGAAAGTGAATTCCACAACTCCATTGATATTACCTATGAGATACTTGAACGGGCTAATTAGTTGGTTCATTTGTGTCGGATTTCTTTTCACGACGCATTTTGCGCTTCGAGACCTCGATCGGATCCGCAAATCCGTCGCCTCTCAGCCAGGCCAGACCCTTGCGCAGACCACCGCCCTGGACAGCCGAAGGGTTCGCCTCAAGGATCGATCCCATGAGTGCCCAAGCTGCTACAAACAGTACCAGCTCACCGCTCTTTCCGCCCTTCCAGAGTCCGCGCTTGACTCCCGTCTTGTACGCCGAGTCAACAGCCGCCCGGAAAATCCAGAGGAAAGTGCTGCGGCTGTTGCCCAGGAACAAAAATGGCAGACCACCCAGTGCTCCACTGAGGAAGAAACGCTTGGTGGGGAGTGTTGAGCGGGGCAGGTTGTTGTTCAAGAGACAGACGCTACCCCAGGCTGTGCCAATTGCGGCAGAGAGGACTGCTGTCATGGTGATGATGCGCTTGGAGATAGTGCTCACAGAATCAAGAGGCTCAAGTAGTATACTCTTGAATTTGGGGATCGAGAGCGCTAGGGTGACGGTCGTTAGGAACCGTGCAAGCGGCGGCACGGAGAGGAGAAGGTGGTGCAGGAACGCCGTGCTACAATTCGGCAGATTCGGATGCAAGAGAGCGCACGATAGGTTCGTAATCGCAGGGTGAGCAGGTCCAGTGATTGGGGAGATGGAGTGCACTGCTGATGGCAAGGTGTTGGCATCACCGGGGTGTAGAATTGGAGAAACGAATGCGCTGTGTCTTATTAGAAACCAAACCAATATTCAAGAGAACCAAAACCAAACTTACGGCCAGCGAAGGTCAGCAATAGATGCAAGAGAGTTCACGATCTCTTCCTTCTCAGGCCAGTAGACGTTGGCCGGAAGCGACTCCGGTCGGCCTTGGATATAACTCGGCGAGAGCTTGAGAATGACGTTTCCAAACCACTAGAAGAAGTCAGCGATCATATTCAACCATCCAAGATCAGTACACGAACACTTGGTGTAGTCTCGCGATCAAACACAAAGGCATGGAAGAGCTGCGCAAACGAGATGGGCATCAACAGCCAGCTGCCGAACCACCACGGTCGCTTATCCAACCAGCCTTTAGAGTCCAGGACATTGAATAAAAATTCCATACTCCTGGTGCCTGCGTAGATGGCCGCAGTCAATCGAAGCTGGTCCTGAGGGCAGATGCCTAGGGCAAAGCCCGCCAAACTTGCGCCGATCGCTGGCGCAAGGCGGGAGGTCAACGCCTTCGAGATGCGCGGATTGCGCTCTCTGAAGGGCTGTGCATCATCGGTGCGGAGGTTGGCTCGCAGTCGGACGAGAAAGCGGTAGAGGAGGCGATGGATGAGAAGGAGGAGGGACAGGGAGATCGAGAGACGGAATTTGGGAGACCGTAGGAGGGGAGTTCGGGCTTTCTTCCTGTAATTGGAGATACAGTTAGCGTATGTTCTTATGAAACACTCTGAATCCCTGGATAGATAATATAGGTCTTACTGTGGAGGGCCGCTTTGGAATCGAGCAATCAGCAGATCCGCCAACTTCAAGGCGATTCCGGTGCCGGCAAAGACACGCAGCGAAGCGCGAACGGCAGCCTCGCTGTGCCGGTTCTTCGGACGAGCGATCACATCAAAGCGTGCTGGAGATGGAAGCTTGCTTTGGACGGCTGGGACGCGTGTAAGTGTGGATTCGTGGAGGTGACGATACTCTTTGGCGCTGATGAGCACACGGAGGACATCGCGTACGGCGGGAGGCGGCAGGTCCAGCGCGTCCCTTGGGACTGGAGCGCTGTCCGCAGTAGACATGTTGGGCTATGTTGATGTACCAAGTTGTCCAAGTTAGAGAGCTTGAAATCCGGGGATGAGAAGGGGGTCGAGGGGCTCCGCTTCGTGGAGAAGGACCTCGGTAAACCTTGCCAAGGCATCTGGGCATGGGCTTGTGCCGTATTGGATATTTCACTTGCTTTGGATATAATAGTAGCCTTTTAAACATGATTAAAGAGCCTCGAAAAATGAAAATACTTTGACATTTGTTCAGATTTCGCCTATCTACGTAGAACAGCAAGATCATATCTACAAATATTGAGCGCCTGAGGCAGAAACGGGCCAATTCGAATACCCTCGAGCTTGCAGTCCAGACCATAGGTATCTTGATTTCATTGAAACAGTCTGGTCTATGAAGCCTGCAAGTCATTTCCCGTACATGATGCTCCTTGGCTTAAGCCACTACGCCTGGTCGAAATTTCCCGTGGTAGTCCAGTATACGTTATAGTTGTATCCCTGAGCATCATAGAAAGCACTCAATGTAACGTCTTTTCCGTCGGCAGTGGAGGTGAAGTCGAGGCCAGAATCACTGGAGCGTTTGATAGAGTCAAGGGCGAGAGTAGGAGTGCCACTCAGTGTTTGGTCGCCGTAATTCCCACATAGCACGGTCGGTCCATACGCAATTGCCACCATACTCGGGTCATCATTTGCAGCGATTGTACGCAGGCTCATGGGGAAGCGGAACTCAACGACATCTCCATCGGCCCATGTGCGCGAGATTTCAGCGTATGTTCCGGGTGTGGCTTTAACATCAGACAAAGGTTCCCCATTGAGCGTCAGCTCTGCCCCTGATGCCCATGTAGGGATGCGGATTTTCATGGTCCAGTCACCCTGACCAGAGACTTTCAGTTGCGAAGTATCGCCGATTGGGTAAGTCGTGGATTGTGTCAGAGTAACACCCATCTCCGGCCATTTGAGGACAGAAGACATGAATAAGTTGATAAACAGCGTCGAGTCATCGTGGAAGTAGATCGAGTCCATCAACTTGGTGTTGGTTTCGAGTGCCGTTCCTTGGCAGCACCAGAAGGAGTCGTAGTCCGTACTCCAGGTACCGCCACCCCAGGCGGGTCCAATACCGCGGCGGCCTCCAGCGTTGAGCGGGGTGAAGTAAGTAATGTGCCCATGAGAATCATCAGGGTTCTGTTGGCCCAGCAGGTGGTTGAGTAATGAGGTTTCGTAGAAATCAAAATACGTTGTGTTATCGGAATCGAGAAGCCACAGCTCACGGGTCAGCTTGAGCATGTTGTAGGAATTGCATGCTTCACAAGTGTCGTTGGTCAGATAAGCGGCGATAGCATTTGGAGCATGGAAGTGTTCAGCTTGGCTGTTACCACCAATGGCGTAGGTGTGTGACTTGACAACAAATTCCCAGGCGTTGCGGGCAATATCAAGGTAGCGAGAGTCTCCAGTGGCTCGGTATTCACGAGCGGCTCCGATCCACTTTGGTACTTGAGTGTTTGCATGTAGACCGTCGAACTCATCTTTTCCGGCTGCAAGAGGGTCGAATACAGCGGCATGATCAAAGCGTTGGGCAACGGTAAGCCATTTCTCGTCACCAGTTTGGTGGTAGATCTCAGCCAGCACATCGTTCATACCGCCGAATTCCGTTTGTAGAATCTTCTGCATTGCATCATAACTCAATGATTTGGTGCGATTGTCAACCCAACTCGCGAAGGATAGTAAGACGTCTCGGGCGGTGTTGTCGCCTGTCAAGCGCCAGACATCGAGGATGCCTGCAAGAGTCTTGTGTACCGCGTAATACGGCACATTGCCGTTTGTCAGGGTGCCATTCCCGAGTTTTGCGAACTCTGATTCTGGGAAGCCAGAAACGTATCCGCCCGTAAATCCAACAGCCTCGTTGTTGGCCTGGCATTTTGCCAGTTCCGCAACAAAGTAGGTTGCTCGATCATAACATGTTTGGTCTTGGAGGACAGCATAGCATTGAGCCCAGGCAGTGAGGAAATGACCCTGGACATGGGATCGGAACGGGAAATCCGGAGAATCCCAGCCACCGTTAGGCGTTGCCTGCTGTGTAGACAGTCCGTGGGTAGTCCGGAAGACATAAAGCAATCTTTCGACGTCTATATCTTTCAGATATGCAAGGGTACGGCCCTGGTTGTCCAGAAAGCGGTCTTGGGACAATTCAACACCGCCAAGGTCGAATTCGAATGCCTGGGCTTTAGCATCGTAGGTGGTTCCGGCATCGGACTGTCCATTGACGAAAGATGAAAGAGAAAGACAAGCGTAAACAAATATAGCAAGGGGCTTCCGCCAGCCCTTGGTGTGTATCATTTTGAACTGCTCCCCGCTGGAGGATTGTAAGAGCTAGCCTAGCTACTCTGCAGGGCTTGTCTAGGACATGATCGCAGTGCGTCTGACAATAGGTCTCTTTTAATCTTGAAATTTTCCGGTGGGATAGAACATAGTTGAATCTTCAATACCATGTCAAGGACCTCCACACTCGTGAGTGCTACCCTGTATGCACCCCGCATTTTGATCATTTATCCGCAATCTTCATGGGTAATAAGGCTTGTTGCGAAGTGCCGGACTCATTTGGCCCCAAACTTGTTCCTCTGAGATGGGAAACATGCCGGAGGGGTTGTAGATCATTCACCTCAGTCCACGTATCATATCGCTTGTGCCCTACGGGCGACGGATCAGTGCCCTATCCGGGTAATTCACCTTTCCTTGTCGCGGAGAACAATGGATTAGAGCCCTCAGGTGGCCTCAAGGCGGTCACTCACTCTAGCTGTCCTCGTCCGAGTCATTCAGCTAGCCCTGAGCGATGGAGCCTGGAGGTAGGTATGCTGTGCAGCTGTACTCCGTACTGCGTAATAACATCGCCCTCTAGGCATCACGTGATGCTTAGTGAGCATGTGACAATAGGTTACGTAATGATTAGGGTGGCTCAATTAGGACTAGCGGGAGTGTCTTAACCGTTAGGGAGTGTCCCCAGTCATTCCCTTCCCTCCCAGGCCAGGACGGAGCTATTTTCGATTCGAGCTTCGAGGGCCCCAGTTGCTATTACTATCTGCTGTGCGTGAAAGGCTGAACTTCCAAGATCAGATCCTTGGATTCATCAGCATTCAGGGTAGATCTACCCTGTTCATAATCGTTTCAGATTGAATATTCCGGGGATCAGCTAGGCCGAGTCACCGAGCCGAGCCCTAAATTAGGTCTTTCAATATGAGACGCAAGTTGCAACAAGGCTGAGGGTGCTCCACATAGCCCTGGCACGGAAGTCTATACTTCTGCAGTTTGTAATTTCTTGCTGCAGATAATTATCGGCTTAGACCAAAAGCAGCTGGTCCCGCTCAATTTGCCCGACGATATTCCGGGAATCATAGTACATCATGGCCTCATCAGCGGGGCCTTTGACTCCGTGAAGCCAAATGTTTCGGAGTATTTCCGGTTCTGAGCTATATGCATGAATCCAAGGAGCACGCAGAAGGTATCAGGCACCTCTAGGCCTCGTGGTGAACTCCTGAATTAAATCTTCCGACCAAGGCAGAGCTCTGCACGGTGATAGCTCCGTTTCATTGCGATGCTAGTGCAAGGCGCTAGGCGCAGAATACCTTGAAGACCGAGGCTCAGAAGTTAAGAATACTAAGAATAAGTACCAAGGCCAAGGAAGCTTGAAATAGCTTGTTCAAACCAATCCATTCCTTTTCTGCTTTGATACTGCATTCAACCGGGCAACCCCCAACTGATCAGACAGCCTCTTCAAAATGCGTACTTCCATTATTCCTATGCTGGCACTTGCCGCCGCGGTATCTGCTGCTCCTGGTCCTTCTCGAGTCTCCGAGATAGTCGGGCGTGCTTCGACTTGCACCTTCACCTCGGCCGCAAGTGCCAGTGCCAGCAAGAAGTCCTGCTCCACCATTGTGCTGGATAACATTGAGGTCCCCGCCGGCGAGACCCTCGACCTTTCCAGCCTGCAGGATGGCACCAAGGTAACATACCCGATTTCCGATCGCCGAGAACCAGGTTGCCAACACTCACTATATAGGTCATCTTCAGGGGTGAGACGACATTCGGATATGAGGAGTGGAAGGGCCCTCTGATCCGCTTCTCGGGCTCAAACATCGAGATCACTGGCGAAGAGGGCCATGTCATCAATGGTGGCGGAGCCAGCTGGTGGGACGGCAAGGGAACCAACGGCGGCAAGGACAAGCCCAAGTTCTTCTATGCCCATTCTATGACCGACTCATCTATTACCGGCCTGAACGTCAAGAACACCCCTGTTCAGGCTTTCAGCGTGCAGGCCGACAACCTGGTTCTCGACAGCATCACCATCGACAACTCTGATGGCGATGACAACGGCGGCCACAATACTGATGCTTTCGATGTTGGTGAGAGTACCTACATTACCATCAGCAATGCCAACGTGAAGAATCAAGATGACTGTCTTGCTGTGAACTCTGGCGAGGTAAGCGCATTTGCATTGCCTCCTTTACCATGAGCCGTTTCCAAATTAACCATATCCAGAACATCGTCTTCACTGGAGGCTACTGCTCCGGCGGCCACGGTCTCTCCATCGGCTCCGTCGGTGGCCGGGATGATAACACCGTGAAGAACGTAACCATTTCCGATTCAACCGTGACCAACTCTGCCAACGGCGTGCGCATCAAGACCGTCTACGAGGCCACTGGTGAAGTCTCTGACGTGACTTTCTCCAACATAGAGCTGTCCAACATCTCTGATTACGGTATTGTCATTGAGCAGGACTATGAGAATGGCAGCCCTACCGGTACTCCCACCACTGGTGTGCCCATCACCGGGCTGACTGTCGAGGGGATTACTGGCTCTGTTGAGAGCGACGCTACCAATGTCTACATCTTGTGTGGTAGTGGGAGCTGCTCCGACTGGACCTGGTCTGGAATTGATCTCACTGGTGGTAAGACTAGCAGCAAGTGCTCGAATGTGCCTTCCGGTGTCTCTTGCTAGGCCAGGATCAAGATATCGAGGGACAAACACACTGTACACACAGTCCATGTCTTCTGGGGTATATCCATGCATCGGGGATTGGCCATGTTACCTGTATGGATATAGGGAGTAGTTCTCTGACCATTTCAGTTTATAAATGAATAACATCGGCCTAAGGTGTTAAACTTGTACTGTGTACTTGTCAACTCAGCTGCTCAATCAACGCCAAGCATGAGGAGTATGCATAGTTCGATGACGCAATGGAGACCACCTTTCCTTTGCACAGAATCACACATCTTACGATTCCTACCTTCTCCTTGTTCCATACAAGACTAGTTACCAAAATGCAAGTTCTTTTACTCGGCGGTCACGGCAAAATTGCCCTCCACCTAACGCCGCTCCTCCTCAAGCGGGCCTGGAACGTAACCAGCGTCATTCGCAACCCCGACCATGAAAGCGAGATCTTAGCCTTGGGCAAGGGTCTGAAGGGCAATATCAAAGTACTAGTTTCAAGTCTAGATGACGTGAAGAGTGCCTCAGACGCTCAGAAGATTATCGACACCGTCACGCCGGACTATGTCGTCTGGTCAGCTGGTATGGATACATCCTCACCGTGACCCCTCACCTCACCCCGCACCCACCCAAGCGCCCCTACAAAGAACTCCTCTACATAGCATCAAAGCAAAACATAACTATATAGCCCATCTCTATCCCAACCCCCTCCCAATAAAAATTAACGAAAGACCCAGGCGCCGGCGGCAAAGGCGGACCTTCCCGAACAATCGCAATCGACCAAGAAGCCGCCAAACACTTCCTAACAGCCTCCTTCGCCACTCCAAGCGTAAGCAAATTCCTCATGATCTCCTACCTAGGCAGTCGGCGCAACCAGCCGTCCTGGATGCCCGACGACGAATGGGCGGGCATCGTGAAAACGAACACAGAAGTGCTGCCGACATACGCGAAAGCCAAACAAGAAGCCGACGAGTACATGACTGCGTTGGCTGCGGTTCGCAAGCGTGACCCGACCCGGCCGTTTCAGGCTATTAATCTGCGGCCGGGGCTTTTGACGGACCAGCCTGCGACGAGGAAGGTGGAGCTGGGGATTACGGGGAAGGGGAGGGGGAGTGTTACGAGGGAGGATGTGGCTATTGTTGCGGATGGGTTGTTGGCGAGGGCTGATGTGGAGGGGTGGATTGATCTTGTTAATGGGGAGGAGGGGGTGGAGGAGGCTGTTGAGCGGGTTGCGAGGGAGAGGGTTGATGCTGTTGTTGGGGAGGATGTTGAGGCCATGGTGAAGAGGTTCTTCCCTTGAGGCTTAGGGGTTTGGGGTTTAGTCTACTAGATCCAGGATATTCGTCGGTTTAGGTGGTTAGTATGTTCATACACATGGGAGTGAAAGTAAAAATCTCGAGGCTCTAAGTTTTGTAATGCTTCAATGCTTCTATATCCAAAATGAGTAAACTATAGCCTGGCCTTGGGCTTCTCGGCCACCCCCTTGAACTGCTGCTTCAGCACCCGACGGAGGATCTTCCCACTGGGGTTCTTGGGAATTGCATCGACGAACCGTACACCACCCCGCAGACGCTTATGGCTGGCGACCTTACTATCCAGCCATTTGATGATGTTGGCTGCCTCTTCCTCCTCGCTCCTTCCGGAAGACTTGCTCTTCGCGCTGCGAACGACACAAGCCATGGGAACTTCCGAACCGTGAGCCTCGCTCTCAATGCCAATGACGGCAACATCATCGATAGCATCGTTGTCAACCAGATATCCCTCCAACTCGGCAGGGGGCACTTGGAAGCCCTTGTACTTGATGAGCTCCTTGACACGATCGGTGATGTAGAAGTTTCCTTTGGCATCCTGATACCCAACGTCACCAGTCTGGAACCAACCATCCTCCGACAAGCACCCCTTAGTAGCCTCGGGGTTATTGTGGTAGCCCATGAAGACATTGGGTCCCTTGAGATACAGTTCACCGACCTCGCCGACAGCAACTTCCTTAGGTGCGGATCCATCCTCCGGCATGGTCATATACTTGGCTTCCATATTAGGCATCAAGCGACCGACAGAGCCAACGGACTCGCGCCACTCCTCCCAACGCTGGGTGTGGGTGGTGGGGCTGGTCTCGCTGAGTCCGTAACCCTGCTTGATGCCGACCTTGATGCGTGCGTAGACTGACTCGACCAGCTCTTGTGTGAGTGGCGCGGCGCCGGAGTTCATCATGCGTAGACTTGACAGGTCATACTTGTCAACCACGGGGTGTTTGCCCAACAGCAGCACCACGGGAGGGACGATGTAACTGAATGTGCAGCGGTAATTCTGCACGTGCTGACACCACTTTTCGATGTCGAACTTGGACATGACAATCAAGTGATAGCCCTTGTATAGAGCCTGGGTAATCAAACAGGTCAATCCTAAGATGGTAGTTAGTTCACTTGTGCATCCACAGCCTCTAGACGGGAAACCCATACCATAGATGTGATAAAAGGGCAAGAATGCCAGAACGCGGTCACCCTTCCCATCAGGCCCACCGTTCCAGGTCAACATGCCGCCTTCACCAGTTACCTGCTGCATGATGTTGGCCACGATATTCCGGTGCGAGAGCATAACGCCCTTCGGCACACCTGTCGTTCCAGACGAATAAACCAAGAATGCCACATCCTTCTCGGGAGTGACCTTCTGCTTGCGGAAGCGCGTAGCGCGGGAGATATTGCGGATGGATCCAAAATGCTTGAAGCGTGCCTCGGGATCCCGTTGGTCCCCAACCAAGATAATACGGTCCTCGGGGATGCCGACCCTCTTGGCAGCTTCTCTTGCAACCGACAACGCCGAGATCTGAGTCGCAATTGCCTTGGCGCCAGAGTTCTTGAGCTGGAAGGCCAACTCCTCAACCGTGTAACCTGGGTTCGCGGGAGACACAACTCCGCCCGCCCAGAGAGTACCCCACATCATCACAGGCGTGTCGATGCTGTTCGGAGTGAAGAGGGCCAATACATCTCCCTTCTGCCAGTCCCAAACGGCTCGCAAGCCCTTTCCGAACTCTAGTGAGGCATCCTTGAGGGTCTTGTATGTGTAGTGGCGTTGGGTATCGGCATCTTGGTAGAGGACTGGCGTTGTGGGTCAGCTTTGAGTGACTCCAGCAGTCTAGGGGGATGAGGCGGGACGACCGCAGTTTAGGGATCTCTTCGCATTTGAACGTACTCTTGTCATCTGGAAAAGGCCTATCCTTGCGCTCAAACAGGAATGTCCAGAGGTCCACTGGTGGGATGTCCGCCAAGGGGTAGCTGGAGGCGACGGGCATAATTGCGGGGAAGGAAAGCTTAACGGCCGATCCGGGGGATAGGATGGAGGCTCCAAGGAGAGAGTATGGGTAGTGGGAATACCGAGAGGTTAAGTCAGGTTAAATCAGGTTGGCTCGCTGTCAGATGAAGGAAAAATGACTTGAAGGAGCTTAGGAGCGAGTACTCGTACTTAAAGAGATCGTACTCCGCAGTCTCGGTTCATGGCTAGCCTCGGCTGCTTAAACTGCCAGCCCGACGTTTTACCCGGAGGCCCACCTCCCGATGAGGCGGGTTTCTTATTGCTACGTCTGGGGGAAGGTGGATTAGAAATCTTCTTCCATTGTCACTTTGTTACTTAGTGTCCGTGCAGGAGATAGAGGACTGATCAGCGCTCGCTGATCTCGGCAGTTCTGCAACCGAGGCGGATATATATGTCCGCGAGAACCTAGGACGATGAGTGCACTGGCTTTTAACAAACATCCAGGACGATCTGGAATTGCTACTCCGGTAGCGAGATATCTTGCGCGATGCCACGATCTAATGTATCGCTGCGGAAATGCAAGGCCTGGTATAATGGAGCCTACAAGTCGACGGGTTTATTTGTTAAGCGTAGAGGCTCCATAAACATGGGAACCGTCTGATGATGGATCGATCTTGTCAAAGCCGCCCGTGTTCTGTGCTCAGGATATAGAATCTGTGAACTACCTAGATTGCACTACCTAATAGGGTCGAAATGACATGGCCCTAACACTACATGAGCGGGCATAAGACAAACGGTGGGATACTTAACCGACTCAGATTGGAGCATAGGTATATCGTGGGCCCAATCGATCAAGTAGATAGCACGTAGAGGTACCTCTGCTAGGTTGTAACGACATGATTTGTGCACATTATCGTGCTGCCAAGTAATAACCTTATTAGCGTGACCAACAAGATCCCGCTTCCCCAGGGCATAAGGAGCGGAGTCTAGTGTGTGGAGCGGTTTGGGGAATGACGCCGTAGTCCCGTCTGGACCGACGAGATATAGTTACTAGATGCAAAGTTACTGGCTACAGGACGAGCGATGATATTGTAGTGTCGTTAGATTAGACCCCGTCCCTGGTAACCCTCAACGAGGCCAGAGGAGTATCTTTTTACCTCGCCAGATTCGACGAGGGACTAAATTCAGATCCTAAGAGATTTCATGCCGACAAGATCTTAAATTGAGTTGGAAACAGCTGACCCGCACTGGAAATACATGCTGAAAAAAAGAGCCCAGTTGAAAAGGTTGCCGAATTCCATTTTTGTATTCCCAGCACCATTTCCTCCACACGCCACTCTCCGAGGGGAATCGTTTGAAATCGTTTACTTGAGGGGAATGAAACGGGAAGAGTGGGTGGCACCGATACCGGGACGACCGTGCTTGACGGGCTTGCTGGAAGGTTGTTAGTCCTGTCATGTTGATGATCCTAGGCATGGGGAGCACGTACTAAGAGATAGAGAACTCAGCCAGGTAGTGGCCAACCATCTCGGGCTTGATCTCAACCTGGTTGAACTCCTTACCGGAGTAGATACCGACGACGGAACCGATCATCTCGGGGACGACAATCATGTCACGGAGGTGGGTCTTGACGAGATCGGGCTTCTCGTTGGGCTTGGCCTCCTGCTTGGCCTTGCGGAGCTTCTTGATGAGGCCCATAGGCTTGCGCTTCAGACCGCGGTTGAAACGTCTGCGGGCACGAGCGTGAACGACATCACGGAGCTGCTCGGAAGAAAGGTCGAGGAGCCTGTAAAGAGATTTCAGTCAGACCAACGTCCTTCCAAAATTTGTCCGTTGATTTCCATCCGCATTGCAGGATCACCCAGACGAGAATCGGGATGCCACAGACCACATGTCAGGTGTGTGGTTGGTATGTCGAATAGCCCCCTTCGATTCCGTCTGGCGATGCGCTGGTTGCGAATAGATTTTCAAACATGTGATGACTGGCAGTGGGAACGTACTGGTCGAGGTCAATACCGCGGTAAGAAAACTTGCGGAACTGTCTTCTTTTCTTGATCTCTGTTTGTCGAAGGTTCAGTCAGCGTCTGCGATCTTGTTGTAGTGCGTGTCTCCCTGCATCCATGTCTGTGTCGTTCCCCTCCAACATGTATTCTTTCTATCTTTATCACCGCGTAGTCGATCGAAATCCCCGTCTCTTTCTCTTGTGCGATTCTTCTGTCATGGGCGATGGGTGGGAATGCATTTGATTCAAAACGTACCGGCAGCCTCCTCGGCGTTCTAAATAGAAACTCATGTCAGTGTATCGCACGGGCTAGAAGGGCGAGGAAAAAAACTCACGTATTCGATGTCAGCCATTTTTGCAGAAGTTCCTGTAAGCCGCCTTTCGAACGTGTCTCGAAAAGCGAGGGAATAGGTTGTCGGAAATTGTCGTGTCGCTGAGCGGTCGGGCTACTAGCACACAGGCTTTGGAGGTGGGCGGCACTCGTTAAGCGACGGGTAGGTTCCAAGCCCTATGCACTATACCGTTTTGGGAAACCAGTAATTTATTTGGGAACATTGGTTTTATCGGCGTAATCAGTCGACTCGTAATTTTGCTCTACTTGTAGTTCGCTGAAGACTTTTTGGAGATGCTTGAACCGCTACGGTAATTATTTCGTACCATGATTACCCACCTGTTTACCTGGCATACAACGTACTTGCATCAGAATCAGAGGTTGTTGATTGCCCTTATCAGGGTAGATCTGGTGGCCCAAAAAGCGAATGATTAGATCTACTAATTGAATGGCTGGGTTGGCGAACGTTATTGCTTCCATGCTGAGCGGGTCCTGGCGATCACTGAATACGCTACATACTACTGCGATGTTTGAATTGAACATGTAGAGATCAGAAGGTCAGATGTATTGTATTGGCTATGAGCTTTTTCCAGCTCAAATGCAAGTCGCAACTGTACTAAAACAGTCTTAACCAAACACACTTGTGAAGCCAACCGGCGCGATTCCTGCCCGGACTGACGAACCAACCAAGCATCTTTTCCCCAGAACCGTGATTTTGACACCTCGAGTTAAGGCGCTTAATCGAAGAGACCGAAGCCCATATCCTCATCGGACTCCTCCTCCTTCTCAGCCTCCTTCTCCTCAGCGGGAGCGGCGGCGGCACCACCGGCGGCAGCAGCAGCGGGGGCAGCGGCACCAGCACCACCGGAGGGAACGGAAGCGAGCTTGGTAGAGCCCTCAGCGATCAACTGTATCAAGAGTCAGCATTTGTGTCAAATCGAACATGGGCGGGCGCGGGTATCACTAACCTGCTGGAGGTCCTTGCCCTGGAGCTCGGCGATGACCTTCTCGACGCGGTCAGACTCAGCGTCGATGCCGACGGAAGAGAGAACGGCCTGGATATCGGCGGAGGAGGGGGCCTCGTTGCCAGCAAGGGCGAGGAGGAGGTAAGCAGCGAGATACTTCATTTTGAAAGGACTAAACAAAATTTCTTCGTTAGAATCCTGAATTGAAGATTGCTTGCGATCGTGCTTTTTACAAGCGTAGAGTCGCCCAACAGACACGAAAACAAGGTGTACATACCGTTGATGATTATTATCTGAACAAGAGAAACAATCGATTTAACCGCGAATTGGGCGGAGACTGCAACGTCGAGTTCTGGTGGAAGAGGTTGGTTGACGAAGGATTAACCGAGTGATCAAAATCTTAAGAAAAAAGGTGGTGCGAGTGGGTGTGGCTAGTGTCGGCGGGGCTTCTAAGCGAGTTGCCGTGGCGCAACATGTCTGGTACACGTGACCCAGGCTGGCCATCTCCAACTTGAAGATAAATGCTGGCCGAGCATCCCGTGTCATACCTATTCATCACTCCACAATTTGCAGAAACTTAGGTCAAGGCAGCAGTGTGCTTCATTTGTGCCAGGCCTATTGTTCTTGAATAGCACGGCACCCGGAGCAAATCAAGCCAGAGATCTATTCTCATGGTGTCTGCCTCGGAGTCATGAAGCTACTTAGTCGTACCAAATATCGACGGTGAGCGACTTCTTCTCTGTACCCCTCTTCGACTTCACACCTCTCCGCACATTTCTACACCAAATTCAATATGAGTGTATGTCCACCTATCTATCGCCTTACCCCCAGCTAGTCTCTTATCTGATGTCAAATAGTTCCTCGACTCCGTTCTCTCATCCATCCAGACGGGCAAGCCCTCCCAGCTCCCGCTCTCTCAGGTGCCTGCCTCACCTGCGCCGGCCGTCACTCCGAAAAAAGAGGTCCGAAAACCGGTCGTTGCGCGTCAAGCAGCTCCAACCAGTGGTGATGTTGGTAAAGGCATCAAGCGCAAGGCTGAGGACCAGCTGCCTCGGCCCGCAAAACCAGAAACTAGTTCCACAGCGATGAAGTCTGCGCCGGCCACAAGACCAGCGGTTCCGTCTCCAGCACCCAAGGTTGGGCCGAAGCCAGCCACAACCACCAGCTCCAAGCCAGCACCGACCAAGCCCACCCCCAAACCCAGCTTATCTGCGACCACTAAAGTGGCGCCTGGACAGAAAGCGCCCGCTAAGCCCGCCGCAGCAGCCTCAGCGACACCATCTAAGCCACCGCCCCCAGGCTCGTTTGCAGCGATCATGGCGCAGGCAAAGGCCAAACAAGAACAGGCGCCTGCGTATGTCGGTTTGCTCCGCCACAAGCCTCTCCCCAAAGAACGACTCACCAAAGTCGAGCGCAAACGACGCATGATGGAAATGCAGGCCAAAGAACGAGAAGCGCGATTAGGAAGAAAGGCCGGGTCGGATATTACCACCGCGAACAAGCCAGTTGTGGGCCGGCGCGATTCTGAGGGCCCCTCCTACAAAGGCACAGCCAAAATGCGGACTCCCGAGGCGCCTTCCTACCGTGGCACTCTCGGCCTACCATCCAAGCGTGGTGCAAATGATCGCCGACAGCAATCTCGCAACTCCCGCCAGAATGAATACCTTGCAACCGATGAGGAAGATGAAGGCGACTACGGTGGCTATGATGATGGCTACTCCGATGAATCGTCTGACATGGAGGCTGGAATAGACGATGTGGACCGTGAGGAGGAGGAAGCACTCCGATATGCAAAGCGCGAGGATGAGGAAGAACTGAGGCAAGAAATGTTGGCGAAGAAGGAGAAGTTGGAACGCCAGCGGAAACTGGCTGCTCTTGCTTCCAGGAGGCGTTAAACCCTCTTTTATCTTTTCTCCCTGAGGTTATGTATGTTATTTTTTCCAGTCACCTCTCATCTCTTTTTATTGTTATCCATGGGTAGGATTTTTCGCATAATGAGCGTTTCGGGGTGTCCATAGAGGGAGGTGCCTTCATTTTGAAGCACCATCAATAGCGGGCGCCATATCAATACCAACTTTGCTTATCTTTTTCTTAATCTCTTCATAACTAAATAACTTCAAGTAATCTTCCTATCGAGCTCAGCGTATTACGCAGTACATCTTGAAGTCATTGGTGACATTGCAAGTTCAAACAAGCTTGTGCTGGCCCCCCCACTTGGCAGGTGACATCACCCGTGTTCATCTCCAACTTCTAAATACTCCTCCAGGCTTCAGGCTTCAGGTATCTTGGGAAGTTTTCAATCACCTCTTCTACACATTCATCATGGAGTCTGTTCACCATGTCTCGGTCTCCTCGAAGATCCTCTTCAGCAAGGTGCGCAAGATTGTGCCGCCAATGCTTGAGAGGTTCCACAAAGGTTCGTAGATCAGGTCAATTCGGATCATTGTATGTCTTCTACGCGAGCATGCACTAACTCTCGGTCTAGGACAACTCGGTCGCGTAGCTGTTATCGGAGGATGTGTTGAGTGAGTTCTCGATTCGAGTCACATCGATATCCCACACTAACTGTTGTAAGCTACACCGGAGCTCCATACTTCTCCGCCATGGCATCTGCAAGGCTAGGTACGTGATCTGAAAGTTTTGATGTTTTCTTTCAACCACTGACTCTTGGATCGCAGGTTGTGATATGGTGAGTAAGAAAGTTGACCTGTCATAGGCAAATGGCTAACAATCCCCAGAGCCATGTCGTCTGCGAACGATCCGCGGCACCGGTAAGTTCACATAGGAATAGGACCTGTATGATCCTTTAGTTTAACAATGACACCCCAGGTCATTAAAGCATACTCTCCCAACCTGATGGTACACCCGATCCTTCCAAGCAGTGACAGTGTCAAGGATCCCAACTCAATTGATGCATCGTCACTTGCGGGCCCAATCAAAGATATGATTCCTCGCGTACATGTACTTGTCATTGGACCCGGTCTTGGCCGTGATGCTGTGACTCTCAAGGTGGTTACAGAAGTTATCAAAGAGGCCAGGGCGAAATCTGTTCCATTCGTGCTGGATGCGGATGGACTGCTGATCGTGACCGAAGACCCAAGCCTGATCAAAGGCTACAAAGAGTGCATCCTCACGCCAAACGTGGTCGAGTTCGGCCGCCTTGCCAAAGCGTTGGGTGTCAAAGTCGCCAACCAGGCGGAAATCGCAAAAGATGAAGGCGGCGACTCGACCAGCAAAGAATCAGAGGCCTGTGAGCAGCTATCTCGAGCCCTTGGCGGCGTGACGATTCTCCAAAAGGGTCCTCACGATGTGATCTCCAACGGGGTCACCAGTATTATAGCCGATACTAAGGGCGGCCTTAAACGCAGCGGTGGTCAAGGAGACACTCTGACCGGATCATTGGGCACGCTGCTTGCTTGGCGCGCGGCTTACCACGACAAGCTGTGGGATTCAGCCGAGAAGGACAGTGAGAAGGAGGCTCAGAGCAAGGACGAGGTTCAGGCAGAACTCGAGTCCGAGAATAGGCGTATGTCACCAACGACGACTCTGTTGCTGGCCGCTTGGGCAGGAAGTTGCATTACACGGGAGTGCTCCCGACGAGCTTTCACGGCCAAGGGGCGGAGCATGCAGGCCAGTGATCTGACTGATGAAGTCCACGAGTCCTTTTTGAAGCTGATTGGGGAGCCAGAGGGGTCTAAGACTCACCTTTAAGCCCTCAGCTTATATGCTACTGGATGGGCATCTACACAGTACATGCGTGCTGTAAAACAATGCAGCTGCTGGAATATCGGAGCATGTCTACTGTCCGAGCCTGTAAATAATTCTACATCAATGAAACATTGTCTCGTCCATCTTCATCCCCACAGGCGGTGTCCACAGCCACCAAAAAGAAGAGTCTCCAACGATGGAAATACTACTTTGAGGAATCCTAGTCAAATATTTCGAACCCAGCTGCGTTGACTTTGGATGTGATTCTATACACTGCACAGAGCACCCTTTGTTGTATCTCAGCTTAGAGGAATACCTAGGCTGTGATAAGTAAATCTTTGTGCCAACAGTCCCCAGGTGGGCCCGCAGCTTTGTCCGACTTAGTCCTTCCGGTGCTGACGCCTGGAACTCGAAGAGCACATCGGATCTGGTTGCTATGTTATGATTATACGAGTGCAGAGGACCAATCAAATATTTGAACGGCAAGAGATCATGACGCAGACACAGACTCGGAGTTTCGTTGAATCGGGGTGACAGTTGGACAAGGTATGCCCTAATTGGGGACTTCAATGCCATACCCTTGGTGGCACGCATAGCGTATACAAAAAGAACGGACAAAGATGACACACCGTCTGCCACAATATCGAGTAATCCGTAATCAGGCCTCCCTTTCATTTTCCCGTCTAACCTTGCCTGTCTTTCGCCAGGTTTCAAAACTCGCAGATGGAAAGGTCATAGGTTCGCATCAACCTCACCAGGTTAAAGAACAAATAGCTCATAGCCATAAGATTCAAGCGGTGTGAGACATTCACCTTGGCAAGTCAAGTTCTCCATCATATCTAAACATGGGGGTGGTTAGCGTCGAGATCTGGATGCGGCTAGAGCAACGGTCCAGCTAAGACATACAGGGTTCTGTATGCATAACCAGCCCTATGCATTCCCCGGGTTTGTCTCAAAAAGGCTGTTTTGAGCTCTTAAGTCATCGAAATCACCCAGACGAATCGGTATTGGTGGTGTTTCGAGGCCGTGTTCCAGATCTCGTATTCACGACTTCGCCCGATCCTCACCGGGTTTGGTTCATCCTATACGGCATCAGGCCGGACATCAGAGAGTTTTAATCAACATGACAGAAGAGGGGGCATCATCTCAAAGTGCCCAATAGCACATATCTATTATCCTATGATGTATCGACTATGCTCTGACGTGTAGACCGTGTTTCTATACTTGGAATCCGAAGCTGAAGATGGACCTCGTGATGCAACCTTTGGCTGATGCGCTTCACAGGGAAAACTAGGCAGGTAGCATAGACCGCATGAAAGGAATATCGAGCATGATGATGCACACTAGCATCCATAGCCTTGGGAACCGGGTATATAAGATGGCGAAATTCCCAGGGAACAACACCATCACAAACCAATCTCCAAACACAAGCCACACAAGCCACAAGATCTAATTCCAAGTCCACACTCCGATCTCAACTCCATATTTCCAAGATGCGTTACTCCATCCTCGCTGTCGTTGTTGCCACCGCTTCCCTGGTGGCCGCCAAACCGACACCCGCGCCCAAGTGCGGCACCTGCAACCCTATCTCAGGGCAGAACAGCTGCGACATCACGACCTCGTGTATCAACACGGGCTCGACCTTCCACTGCGCCTGCCGTGCTGGCTACAAGGCGTCGCAGCATAACGGCGACCTGAACAGCCAGTTCCGTCTGCCAATGCCGAACTATGAGTTCCTTGTCTTCGTGCCTGAGAACACTGCTTGCGACACCCTGTGTGACAATCCTTTCTCTGCTCCCTCTGAGCTGTGCAAGGAGGTCAAGCTTCAGAATAAGTGCGTGGTCTAGGCCACTTGGTGTAAGTTGGAGATAGCCTTTTTGAGTCTGACGGGGAGGGAGAGGGTGAGGGAGAAGAGGCACCTTGGTCAAGAGATAGCAGATCGGAGCATTGTAGTGATAGGCGGGAGAGAATCTGGCAAGTTAGGAGTTGTGTCACTTCTTAATGAAATCAACTTGTTGCTTCAGAATTGATCGGAAATTGAAGATTAAAAAGATATAGATTGGGAAGACCTTTTGATTGACCCTACGAAATCATAAGAACCGGCTCCATATACCCGACAATACTCCAAACACCCCGTCGCCTGAAACCCAGCCTGTTCAATATGCATCATCGACACGAACAAAGAGACCGGTCGACTTCAAGACGGATAAAAGGATAAAGCCACAATTTGCTCAATTAAATGTCCATATCGCCGTCAACTTCATTGAAGAGCAGACGTGTGCCGTTACCAGTGACTTGCCAGAGCTGTATCGATTGTTGTCAGTAAAAGCGCAATAAGATGCTAGGAATGTCAAACTTACGTTAAGGTTGGCATATTCATCAATGGTCATGGTGAGGTTGTCCTCGGTGAAACCACGGGCCAGCACACGCTCACGAATACGTCTCATGCTCATCTCGCCCTCCTCGCCATCTCCGACTGCAGCAGCACCACTCTCCTTCATGCTGCGAATCAAGTTGTAGATCTTACTGGATGGGGTGTTGTCGGAACCTTGTTCGCCGTCAGTGTACAGCGAAGCCTTACTGATCTCAATGAGACGCAGAGCCTCATCGACATCCTCGCGAACGACCTCCTCGCTGAATCGAAGGCGAGCAAGAGCCTGCGAAAGACGAATGATACCGAGCAGAGTACGGGGGGTGACGTGGGAGAACTGTCTCTTCTTGGACTCGTCGATCTTCTGTCTCTTGCGCATGGCCACATAAGCACCAACCATGTAGTCGGAAACGTTGGCAGGGACAGTAGGACGGTACGTTCGTGCCTTGGCAACGTACTGACGGACCTCGTGAGGAGTGAACATGACACCCGCATGCTCACTCTCTGGGTGCTTGTTGTGCATGTGGACGTAGGTGACGTGGGAAGCCAATTCCTCGTCACCTTCACGGGATGGGGTATCCAGGAGCAGGAACATGACATCGAAACGAGAGAGCAAAGCAGCCGGCAGGTTGATGTTCTCCACGGGTGATACCCGGGGGTTGTACCGACCATACAGAGGGTTGGCGGCGGCCAGAATGGAGGTACGGGCATTGAGGGTAGTGTTAATACCAGCCTTGGAGATGGAGATGGTCTGCTGTTCCATCACTTCGTGAATGGCCGTTCGGTCTGAATCCTCCATCTTGTCAAACTCATCAATACAGCAGATACCGTTGTCTGCAAGGACAAGGGCACCTCCCTCCAGGACCATCTCATCGGTGACTGGATCTCTCATAACTGCAGCAGTGAGACCAACACCACTGCTTCCTCGTCCGGTGGTGTACACGCCACGGGGAGCAACCTTGGTGATGTATCGAAGGAGCTGGGATTTGGCCACACCAGGGTCACCCATCAAGCAGATGTTGATATCACCACGGATGTGCATGCCGTCACCCATCTCTTTCGTAACACCACCGATCAACAGCAACAGCAATGCCTTCTTGACATCAAGATGTCCGTAGATTTCGGGGGCAATGGACTTTGAAAGGTACTCGTACATATTGCCGGAACGCATGTGCTGCTCGATCTTGCGAAGGGTGCGGGCATCCATGCCCATATCACTGTAGGACTTCTTGTGCTGAGTGATATGCTGAGCCTCCAAGTAAGTGTCGGTCAGCAGACCAGCGCGAATGGCTCGGAAGCCAGTGTAGGGGGTGGGCAAAAAGATGCCAGCCACATCGACAACATCGCCGGGGTTCAGCTGGCGGGTGAGGGCACCGTGACAGTGGATAGTCAGAGTGCGAGGGATGTGGCCCACAGGGACCTGCTCGGCCATCTCTTGGATCTTCACCTCCTGGAAGGGAACAAACTTTGATGCGCGAGTTGACAAGAATAGCTGGCCCTTCGAGTTGTTCCGCTTGCATTCCTCTGATAAACACTCGCTCAAGGGAAGGAACTGCTTGGTGGTAATGGGCTGGAATACTTCGCAACCACAGCGGTCACAAGTGTAGGCATTGATCTGAACCGCGGGCTTGACATCGGAAACACGGGTTGTGATACCGCGGACGGTAATCAAACTACCCAGGTGCTCACCTCGCACGTTTCGGACGGCGAGGGCTTTACCAGCGCGCTCAGTGCTTGACCCCGAAGGTGTGAGGGGCTTGAAGTTGAGGGTATATCTGCGAGTGAGTTCCGGAGGGAACATGGATGCAGTAGTAGCGGCCTCCATATCGGCCTCCATTGCAGTTTCCATGGTTTCATTGCGCTTCTCACGCTGGGACATGATCACATCGAGCACATCGTCTTTGAAACTGCGTACGAATTAGTTTAGCAGGTTGCGCATTCACAGGGAATCAGCTTTGACATACGTGACATCCTTCGTCTCCTTAGGCATAACTTCGTCAACCGCTTGAGAGACGACATCGATGTAGCGTTTTGTGTTCTTCTCGATCGACTCAACGAGCTTCAGGTCCTCGCCTTCGGTCATAGACTTCTCGAACTGTGACCACCATTGTGAGCTTGTGTTCGGCGAGGAGCTTCGGTTGGGGTAATTACAATTGAAAGGTCATCCAACTCAATCAGGATATTGGACTTATCACGGTTTGCGACATCCTGCAGAATCTGCATGTACTTGAGCTTCGGCTCCCGCTGCCTCCTCGCTGATCGGGTGGTTGCCCCTCCCACTTCATCAGCATCATCCATGAAATCATATTCATCACTTGTCCGGCTGTCGTCGATGTTGAGATCTTCCAACGCCTCGGTTGCAGCTGCTTCAGAGGTCGATTGGAGAGTCTTGAACCCCTTTAGAAAATCCTTGAAGCCATTGAGTTGCGCAGAATAATCCACGGGTGGGGGGTATTGAAGCAGAGACATTGTGAATGAAGGCACGCTCAATCAAAGCAAGCGCATGCAAGTGATAGTGGGATCGGGGGGAGAAATAAGAAGAGGGTCCAGCTATCCGAGCCCCTACCAAAATCGCAGGTAAAACGCGAACGCGACTCCAAGACGCGGTCAGAATGCCACTAACCTAAATAGGAAAGGTATCAATTATGCTGGATGAACAATTAATCCGCGGAAAACTTGGGTCACATGACTCGTCATCGGGCCGAGGCCAAAGTGAGGTAGTGTGGAGTCCGGGGTCGTGTCTCCCCGAGTTCACATTTCCCCCTCCTCCTTGTCCTTTCGGTGTTCACGACAGACCAGAAGCTTGAAAATGGCACCCAAGAAGCCTGCTGCGACGGCCGAAGTTGCCCTTGTGCCTCTCAAGAACTGTCTCGTCAACCTCCCGCCGTCGCTGGTCGCTTTGCTGGTCAATGCAAACACGGTTAGTATTCTACGTACTGTTCGTTCATGGGCGGTTTATGGCTAACACATAGCTATTTCAGACTGCGCAAAATGTTATTATTGAATTGCAGTATAAATCGGTCTCCGGGAAGGCCAATGGGGCTCCCCCGCAACAATCATGCTTCCTCGGTTGGACTGGTATGCCGAGCAAGCGCAGGCTTGCGCCTGTTGTTGGAAGAGACGGTATCAACAGTGGATACTCTAGAGAACAGGAGATCTCGACCGTCGAGCTTGATACAACTTTTGGGCGGCTGCTTGGGCTCGCTGAAGGCCAGAAGGTATATGAAAACTACCCCCGCGCCATTATTCACATGCGGTGCTGACACTTATAGGTCGGACTGTTCATACATCTCGATCCACCCGTTGCGAACACGATAAACATTGAGCCATTGACTCCTGAAGATTGGGAGAGTATGTTTCAAGCTAGCACGATTATGGTTAACTGGGGCTAACACAATACTACCATAGTTATCGAACTACACGCCACATTCCTCGAACTCAATCTGCTGTCACAAATCCGCGCTCTCCCCAACCCCACATACACTGCGGCGCAATCGGCGCACATGCACCCACTTGCGTTGCATCTCTCTCCCACCTCGACCGCCAATATCGTCGTCACCTCTCTTAGCCCCGCTCCCTCAGACACATCTCCCTTCGCCAAGATCGCGCCGGATGCCGAAGTTATTGTGGCCCCCAAAGTTCGATCAAAGACGAGCAAGAGCCCTCGGTCTGAGAGCCGCAATGGGGCTGGTAGCAGCAGAAAGAGCGCCGGAGGCAGGAGCAGTTCAAGCACCGTACGCGCCAAGAATGGCAAGTCCGACTCTACCCGTGGCGCCCTCTATTTGAGAGGCGTAGACCGCTCAGCCACCGCTCAGTATTTTGATGGGGAATTTGAAGATGACGCAAATGAGGGTCTTCGTATTTGGGTTGATCCAGAGATGCTAGCAACCCCTGAGCTGCGCGGAGCGAGTTGGGCATGCGTATCGGTTGTCCAGCCATCCGGTCTCAAGCCGCCACCAGATCCCCAACAACAACTTGCTCAAGCTGAACAGCAAAAGTCCAATGATGCGGGTACTCCCACAACCAAGATAGTAGCTAAGTTGCTTCCGTGGGAGGAGGCTCCGGACAACCGCCATGCGGCAATGTCCACCTTGTTGGGTACAGCACTTGGCGCGGAGAACATGGTCGGCGGCATCCTTCGAGTCGAAGCAGCACCTCCACAGCTGCATCGCTCGGCAGTCAAGACCCTTAAAGTCTATCCATTCATGGGTGATGGTTCGAAGAAGAAGGACGGGCTGAAATTTGGTGCTGACACTGCTGCTGCACGGGATGCGCTAGCCGAGCGGCTCAAGGTCATCTATGGCAGCACTGGGTCTGACGTTGGGCTCTTTTCGGGGCCATTGACTGACGGGATGGTCATTCCCAAATCCGAACATCATCCTTCAGTCTCTTCATTCGATGGGGCTATCCTTCGATTTGATCCTCCATTGAAAGGAGGCACTGATGAAACGATGTTTGGCTGGCTGCTCGGCTCAGAAGCAAAGTTGAATCTTGAAATCCAAGCTGAGATTCCCAAACCAATCGACACCAGTCTATCGGTGCTGCCTCTAGAGGACCCTCTCCCAGAGACCGCTCCTCACTTGGTCGGAATTGATTCCATCATTGAACAATCATTGAACAACCTGACAAAGTCATCGTCTATCTTACTCACTGGAGGTCTCGGCGCTGGTAAAACAGCTCTCGCCCAACTATTGGGTCATCGCCTGAGGCGAGATCATCTTTTCAACGTCAAGTACTTCTCTTGCCGCAAGCTCGTCACAGATGAGACACGAATCTCCAACATTAAAGAGACACTGAATCGGCTGTTTATGTCCGCAGCATGGTGCGCCCGCCTTGGTGGCCAGTCACTTGTGATTCTCGATGATCTAGACAAGCTTTGCCCAATGGAAACCGAACTACAAGTTGGTGGAGACAACGGCCGCAGTCGCCAGAACAGCGAGGTAATCTGTGCTATGGTCCGAGAATACTGCGCCCTGAACTCCTCTGTTGTACTTCTGGCTACTGCGCAGGCTAAGGAGTCCCTTAACAATGTTATCATCGGCGGCCATGTCGTCCGTGAGATCATCAACATGAGAGCTCCCGACAAGGAAGGACGCCGAAGGGTTTTAGAAAAGCTTACTAGCCAAGACAAACCTACCGCATCTTCAAACGGACATATGAGGGCTGCAAGCACCTCCACACAGGACTCATGGCTAGACCCCTCAAATCCTGGAAGCCGACCAAGCTCCTCTGGCGAAGACGGCTTTGTCATCGGACGCGATGTCGAGTATCTCGAGCTAGCCGGCAAGACCGATGGGTATATGCCCGGTGATCTTGTGCTACTCGTTGCTCGTGCGCGCAATGAGGCCCTCATTCGCTCTGTCTCGGATCTATCGGCAACTTCAAAGATGATCACGCTGGGGCGCGAGGACTTTGAAAGTGCCTTGAAGGACTTTACCCCGGCCTCTCTTCGCAATGTCACCCTCACCTCCTCAACGACCACATTCGCCTCTGTCGGTGGTTTATTCGAAACTCGCAAGATGCTCTTGGAAACCCTACAATATCCCACAAAGTACGCCCCGATCTTCGCACAGTGCCCACTGCGACTCCGTTCCGGCTTGCTCCTCTATGGATTCCCCGGTTGTGGCAAGACAATGTTAGCCAGTGCAGTGGCTGGCGAGTGCGGATTGAATTTCATCAGTGTCAAGGGCCCCGAGATCCTCAACAAGTACATCGGAGCCAGTGAAAAGAGTGTCCGCGATTTATTCGAACGAGCCCAGGCCGCCCGTCCCTGCGTCCTCTTCTTCGATGAATTCGACAGTATCGCTCCCAAGCGTGGCCACGACTCCACCGGCGTCACCGACCGCGTCGTCAACCAGCTGTTGACCCAAATGGACGGCGCAGAAGGTCTCTCGGGCGTCTACGTGCTAGCAGCAACATCCCGACCCGACCTTATCGATCCCGCCCTTCTCCGTCCAGGCCGTTTGGACAAGTCCCTCCTCTGCGACATGCCCTCGCACGCAGACCGCGTTGACATCATCCGTTCCGTAAGCGAGAAACTAAAGATGGACGACGAGGTTGCATCGCGCCTAGACGACATCGCCGCCAAGACAGAAGGTTTCTCCGGCGCAGACCTGCAGGCCGTCGTCTACAACGCCCATCTCGAGGCAGTCCACGACGCCCTCGGCGACCGCTCATCCGACCCAGCCAAATCAGGCGCCAAATCCACCGCCAAGAACGCCGCTTCTTCTAAGTCTTTCATCCAGTTCCTCTATTCCTCGTCGGAGGAGGCATCCGGGTCCGTCTCCATGCCACCCCCGGCAGTCATCGCCGCCAAACTGGAAGCAATCAAGAACTCGCGTCGTCGCCAGCGCCAGCTCGAGCAGGGACCCTCTGCGAGTGCTGCGGCCCCGGTGGCTAATGGTACTGAGCCGGCTGTGGATGAGCTCCGTGAGGATATCATTGTCCGCTGGGAACATGTTGAACGCTCGTTGAATACCACGCGTGGTTCCCTGCCTCCTGCGGAGCGTAGACGTCTCCAGGGCATCTATCGGGAGTTTATCGCCGGCCGGAATGGTGAAATGCCTAATGGTGAGGCTGCCAATGAGATTGGAGGTCGGACAAGTCTGATGTGATGTGCACTTGTGGACTTGAGCTTTGTACTACTGTATATATGGACATGCTTGTATGCTCGTTTGATTATTTGCCTTTCTTTTTTGTACTTATCAACATTGATATACCTATGAACATGATACCTCCATGTACCTACTTTTTCACATTGGTCTACCCTGCGTATGGCTAACAATGTGCAATGTGTTATGACCCGATGTTGTAGGCAGAAGAGCAATTATAGAAGAGCACCTAGTAGATGTCAGAGAATCGCAGGTGTCTATCTTAAAGAGAAAAGGGATTTAACGCCATTCTCATGGAGCGTAACTGGATCAGCACCAGGGAAAGTTACCAAGAAGCTAATCCCCAAACCCGACAACCAGGAACTGGAATTATATAGGTCTCCCCCGAAACATTAAACATCGGTGCTATCCAGTAGGTTACGCTTCATGCGAATAGCGTTAAATCATTTTCTCTTCAAAAATCGACGCCTGCGATTCTGCTCAGTGTCACTGTGAGGAGGGGTCTCAAACACCGAGACAAGTTCTCTTGCAATTCCCAGCGTACACCAGCGCTGGGAGACCTCAAACGCATTTACGATCACATACGAGCCCTCCGGCAAGCAAACTGAGCATGATCCCCCCTGTAATATGCTCTGGTGACCGACGGAACGGCGTCTTCAAACCAGGTCCGTTGTATCATTCGTCATGCGCGGCGAATAGTAGAGCGATCTCGACTTTTGATTGGTTGGCTTCGCTCGGGGTGTCGGCCTCAGCGTGCCACACCGTTGTCATTAACAGTCTGGTGCCTAGACGCCTCCGGGTCAGAGAAGCAACTTTGGTCGCTCCTTCCACAATGGTAAGTCATCGAAGGATCAGTCTGTTCAATTCGAGACATCGTAAGGCACAAAGACGATACTAGTATATTACCCAGTTACTCTTTCTCCAGAGCCTTGTCGACAAGACGTTCCAGCTTGTTCCACTCAGCAGAGAGAAGCGCTTTATTCTTGCTGGGATCAAGACCATTGGCCTTGAACTCATTATGAACCTGCACGAACTGGTTTCCAACAAGCTTCTTGAAACTTGGAACAGTACAACTCTCCAACTGAGTGCTAGTAAGTTCGGCCAGTATATACCAGATAAGGTAATGGAAGTTGAGCTGGAAGTCTTGGATCTGGACAGGGTCTTTAGGATCCGATTGGAAGCCCTCTTGAGAAAGGAAAACTGTTAGTCTGACCAAGCTCCATGCATGTACGTGCCGGATGGGATGAGCCTTGTCGTAGAGGAGAGGATCGATCCGCAAGAACCGGATAGCAGCGTGGATGAATGCCCGGGTGAATTTGCCAGCTGTCAGTAAAGAGATGATAAGCTTGTCACGGAGAGAGGCATATGGCTGCCGGATGAGAGGCCATGCACCGGTCTCGTGGAGTTTGTGCATAGCGGCCTCTAGCTTTTCGATTGAGTCTGCTGGCTCTGTGTCGGATGCAATGGCAGTCTGCAAGAGTTGTAGGGCTTCGCGCTCTGCTGTCTCGAGGGGTGTCTTGTCTTTTTGTGTGGACAAGAATCGATCCTCGAGAGTCTCAGTACCCTTGGCGCACTTTGTGCACTGACAGTCGAAGAAGTAGCGTTCCTTCAGTTCGTTGCGCCGGATGTCGTAGGGCGTTGTGGTGTCGATGTAGGAGATGAAGATCTGCTCGCCCTTTTTGATGGGCTGCATGGCTTTCACGTACAGTTCTTCGCCGTCAAACCCGACTGTGGAGTTGTAGTCGCAGCTGTGGTTGATTAAACCTGCGTATGGATGCAGGTAGAGACCGATGCGATCGTACATGGAAGTGGTCAGATTGAAGGAGTTGAGATCGAGCTATATTCGCAAATCAGATGAATGTCGAGTGAAGGTAGAGTGGAAAAAGAGTCTTACCTTGGCAGCATAATTAGAAACGGTTCCTTCTTCCACGTCAGTCCCCGAGTAATTCTTGACGGCTCTTGATGTCAGGATAATCCGGTCAAGCTGGCCCTGACTCGCTGCGATCTCATTGATATGGGTCTCCAAGCCCTCAAAGATCTTGAATTCCTCAGGGTCGTACTTGTTGCGCGCAGTGCGCAGCACTATACGCAGTAGAGCTCGGGCATTGTTGGGAAGCACCCTCGGCTTGATTTCCTTGAAGATGGGGCATTCGAGGGAATGCGCAAACTTCCAATCTTTCGATTGACACGTCTGACAATCGTATTATTAGATTTTGAAATGAAAAATAGATAGTTTAGATGAGAGAGAAGACAACGACAAATGATCTATCCCACGACAACTTACCCTATCGCAATACTTCACGACACGACATCCTGTACAAGCTTTTAACTCATTCCCAGTTTCCATCTGCCTTTTTCCAAAGCAGCCAGCACATGTGTCTTCCAAACGCGGCGAGTCTAGGACAGCCACAAATGGTGTTTTGATGTGCAGGACATCTTCGCCGGGATTGATATCAGTCGTTGCAAACAGGCCATTGCCCATGCCATTGGGAGCGGGCTGTGAGTCCGTCTTGGTCGTCACTGAAGGAAGTGGTGTTCTTGATGTCATCCTGGTGGCTGCAGGGTTCCTTTTATCTAGAATGAAAGATGTGGTGATTCGAGATTTCGAGGTTATGTAGCTGTCTAATCTTAGGTGGAGCCCTGGGCGGTGAATGGCAATCAGCGTGTGGATCCACGGATTGAGGTCTTGGCATTTCAAGATAAACAAATGCATAAATGCATAAAATTATACAAATAGCACAGCTCATGCAAATGATATAGATGCATCAATCAACCTATCCAAGTACCAACCAAACAAACATATGTCATAAGATAATCAAACATCAGAACAACCTCAACTCCCAACCTAAAGCATAGCCGCCAAAGCCGCAACCGCAGCCCCAATTGGCGCAGCAGTAATCAACGGCCTAGCCACACCAGCACCACCCTCAGAAGAAGCAGGCGTCATGGTCGGCGTAATGGTAACAGGCGCAGTGGAAGCCGTAGCATCAGCCGTGAAGGCATAAACACCATCGGTAACAGCAAGCGGCAGATAAGTCACCTCGCTCTCGCGGAACGAAGTGGTGCCAGAAGAATGCGTAGTCTCGGTGGTACCATCATAGGAACCGGTATAAGCCATCGTCCACGAGCACGAAGCAGACTCAGAAAAGTGCTTGAAAGAGCAGGACTCCATGGCCGTGACGCGGGCGACAGCACCGCCACTGGTGACGGCAACTGCCAGGGAGACGCTGAAGGTGTTCTCGCCCTGGATGATGGTTGCGGGGGCTGGCAGGGCACATTTCTCTGCGTCTGTTTGGCAGGTGATCTCGTAGGTTGTGGCGTACTTGTCGATGCCGACGACGCGCGCGGCCGTGCTGGTGTAGGCGGCGATGTTGGCGCCGCCTTCCTGGCCGATGCCGAAGTAGCTGATTGTTGTTGTGGCTGGGTCGGCGGCGGCGGCTAGGGCCGTTAGGGTTGAGGCGAAGATCAATGATGCGCGCATGGTTGCGAGAGGTCTGTACTTAGGGTTATGGGGAATGATGTTTGTGCTGAGAGAGAAATTGGGAAAAGAGAGTCTGGGACTTGGGCACTGGGCGTGTTTTGACTCTTTCTACTACCGTCCCCTCTCAGTTGCCTCCGTAAGAAAGAGCAACGGAGTTTCGGCACCGTAGCATCGGTTGTATTAGCGCTACCTTCATGAATCCTGCGTCCAGCTAGTCTTGGCATTTCTCACGCGGATTAGTCGTGCCAAGCAAACATTATGGCGGAGAGGTGGAGGGAGTACTCCGTACATTTGGAGTAATAGAACGGTTGCATTCACTTGAAGATGTCAAGGTATTCTTGTAATTCCGTAATTCAAGAGGATGAAGATGTATCAGGCTCTTAGCATGGAAGAAATACATGAAGAAAACCCATGGAACACAAACGGACAAGAGTCCAGGCCAAGAGGAGAGTCAACGACAAGCCCACATTACCCACATTATGACTCGAGGTATTCCCATTGGCCACAATGGTCGGCAAATTTTGCTGGTCATGGGGCAAAATGCTCTTGAGTCTTGGCCCCAAGGAGAGAGGAAGAGAAGGAAAAAAAGAAGAGAAACTGAAAACTGAAAAGAAAGAAGAAGGATTATTGGCCGAAATCTTGGGGTTGGGGAATGAAGTGGCGGCCTCATCCGAATGAGGCTCTTAACTCCGCTAGCGGCCAGCCCTAACTACTTTTTCATTACGGAGTACTAGTAGTTAGACTGTATGTAGAAGGTGATTGCCCCTGAAATGTGCATAACTATTGCAGATTCAACTATGCATCTTACTGTGTGAATCAGATCAGGTACTGCTACGTCCGACGACTTGATTTCGCCATAGGTAAAAATAGAGAAACAGTTCAATGATTCAATAATTCGACAGGAAAACCACATTCCAATCCAAGAGTATAACAATTATAAAAAGGCCGAAAAGAAAATGCACGCCATCTATCAACAAGACTGTGTCCTACCCAATACACGATACACAAAATTCAGCTCCGGTCTTGTGTGGAAAAGCCATGACGGGAGGACCAGCCCAGGCCGTGGGGGATATTGGGAAAGAGAGAAATCCGGGGTATTCTCTGTCTCTCTTGATTCGGACCCCGACATGGTGGGGCTACTTTTTTTTGCTTCGTCTGTTACTTTGTGCAAGAAATAGAACATTTTACAGAGCCTTGCCACCGACAAAGTTGGACCAGGTGCGAACCTCAGGGGGGATCTCTCCAGTACGGGGCAGCTTCTCGCTCATACACTGAGCGAAGAGTGTGGCAGTCTATCGTAGAGGAATGAGTTAGCAATTAGAAAATCAGATGCATAGGAGACGTCAGTTCAAACATACCTTAGGCTCCATAAAGAGAGGAACGCTGAAGTCGACAGCGTTGCGGCGCATAACGTAGTCCTCATCAAGTTGGGTCTTGCCGCGGGTCTTGGCAAGGTTGAAGCAGCCACGGATGTCGTACTTCTGGAACACCTCACGGAGAGCACGCTTGTCCTTCTTGGGGAACTCAATCAGCTGCACAGAAACGGTGTCATTGACAGCGGACTCGAGAGCGGCCTTGACCTCGGGGTTGACGGCAAAGAACTTGTAGCCAAGAGGGTTCAAGTACTCCACAATCTTGGCCAGGTAGGGCTGGCTGATATCACCGCCGAGCAAGATACCCTCACCGGGCTCAGGCATGCGGAAGTTCATGGTGGACTGGAGGGAAGCCCAGTAGGCCTCGACCAGATCCTTACCGAAGCAAGCAATCTCACCAGTGGAGGACATCTCGACGCCCAAGAAGGGATCGGCACCAGCCAGACGGGTCCAGGAGAACTGGGGAACCTTGGTGGCAAGGTAATCACGCTTCACCTTCATGAGATCAACGGGCTCGGGGACGTCACGGCCAACGAGCGCCTTGGTGGCGACATCGATGAAGTTGGTACCCAGGACCTTGCTGACGAAGGGGAAGGAGCGGGAGGCGCGCAGGTTGCATTCAATGACCTTGAGAGCAGGCTCGGCACCCTCCTGATCGGCCTTGATGATCTGCATGTTGAAGGGACCGGTGATGTTCCAGGCCTTGGCGACCTTCTCGGCAATCTCCTTGACACGGGCCATGATGGGCTCCTCGAGGTTGACGGGGGGCAGGACGAGGGTAGCATCACCAGAGTGGACACCGGCCGGCTCGACGTGCTCGGAGACGGCGTGAACGAGCAGCTTACCGTTGGAGGCAACGGCATCCACATCGATTTCCTCAGCACCCTCGATGAACTTGGTGATAACGACGGGGTGGTCGGGGGAAACGGCGGCAGCGTTGAGGAGCTTCTCCTTGAGCTCGTCGACACTGTAGATGACGTTCATGGCGGCACCGGACAGAACGTAACTGGGACGAACCAGAACGGGGTATCCGACAGTCTCGGCGAAGTTCTCGGCCTCAGAGACGGAGGTCAACTCCTTCCAGGCGGGCTGATCGACACCAATGCTGTCGAGAATAGAGGAGAACTTGTGGCGATCCTCGGCCTTATCGATGTCCAGAGGATTAGTACCCAGGATGGTAGCACCACCAGACTCCTGCAGACGGAGAGCAATGTTCTGAGGCAGCTGGCCACCGACAGAGACAACGACACCGCTAGCGGCCTCGAGCTCGTAGATGTCCATGACACGCTCGTAGCTGAGCTCCTCGAAGTACAGCTTGTCGGCGGTATCGAAGTCAGTGGAGTAGGTCTCGGGGTTGTAGTTGATCATGACAGTCTTCTTGCCCATGTTGCGAAGGGAAAGAGTCGCGTTGACAGCGCACCAATCGAACTCGACGGAGCTACCAATACGGTACACACCGCTGCCCAGAATGATAGTTCCGTGGTCATCGAAGGTAACGTCGTGCGAGGTGGCGTTGTAGGTGGTGTAGAGGTAGTTGGTGTCGGCGGGGAACTCGGCAGCCAGGGTATCGATCTTCTTGACCCACGGGGTGATGCCGAAGGACTTGCGGCGGGCACGGACATCATCCTCGCTAGCTCCAACAAGCAGAGAAATCTGCTTATCGGAGAAGCCGAGCTTCTTAGCCTTCATCAGGATATCCTGCTTGAGGCCGAAGAGGCTGCCGATCTCCTTGAGCTCGTTGTGGCAGTCCACGATGTTCTGGATCTTGTACAAGAACCACTTATCGATCTTAGTCAGGTCGTGAACCTTCTCGACGGAGTAGTTCTCGTGGAGCATGGCCTGACCAACAGCCAACCAGCGGCGGTCAGTAGGGTTGCGGAGAGTCTCATCGAGGTCTTCGAAGTGATCACCCTGGAGACCAATGTACTTAGGGTCGACCTGGCGGATAGCCTTCTGCAGAGACTCCTCCCAGGTACGACCAATAGCCATAACCTCGCCGACCGACTTCATGGCGGAGCCAATGTCGCGGTTGACGTGCTGGAACTTGCTCAAATCCCAGCGGGGAATCTTAGTGACAACGTAGTCGAGACTGGGCTCGAAGTTGGCAGTGGTGGTCTTAGTAACGGCGTTAGGAAGCTCAGGAAGAGTGTGTCCCAAGCCGATCTTAGCGGCGGTGTAAGCCAGGGGGTAACCAGTGGCCTTGGAAGCCAGAGCGGACGAACGCGACAAACGAGCGTTAACCTCGATGACACGGTAGTCAAGTCCATCGGGCTGCAGAGCGTACTGGACATTGCACTCGCCAACGACGCCCAAGTGGCGGACAATCTTAATGGCAGCAGTGCGGAGCATGTGGTACTCCTCATCAGACAGAGTCTGACTAGGGGCAACGACAATACTGTCACCGGTGTGAATTCCGAGGGGGTCAAAGTTCTCCATGTTGCAAACAGTGATGCAGTTGTTGTCAGCATCACGGACAACTTCGTACTCAACCTCCTTCCAGCCCTTGAGAGACTTCTCGACCAGAATCTGAGGAGAAAGAGACAGGGAGCGAGAGGACAAGTCACGCAGCTCCTCTGGGTTGGCAGCGAAGCCGGAGCCCAGACCACCGAGAGCGTAGGCAGAACGGACGATAATGGGGTAGCCAACCTGCTCGGCAGCCTTAAGGGCATCCTCGACCGTCTCGACAGCAGTCGATTCGGCAATGGGGATGTTGATCTCGTTAAGGGCCTGGGCGAAGAGGTCACGGTCCTCACTGGTCTCCAGAGTCTTGATGCTGGTACCGAGAACCTTGACACCGTAGCGTTCGAAGATACCCATGCGGTTCATCTGCACACCCAGGTTCAGACCAGTCTGACCACCGAAGGTAAGGAGAATGCCATCGGGGCGCTCGCGCTCAATGACGTGGGTGACGTATTCAGGTGTGACGGGAAGGTAGTAGACTTCATCGGCAAGCTTGTGGTCGGTCTGGATGGTAGCGATATTGGGGTTGATCAGGACGGAGAAGACACCGGCTTCCTTGAGAGCCTTGAGTGCCTGGGAGCCTAATCGAGTCCAAAGCCATAGATTAGTTTCTGTTCTTATTCGGATTGTTTCTTGGGCGAATTTTCTGCGCTCTTTGTATTCCCCGCAGAAAGGCTTCCCGTGCACAACGTCATGGGGAGACTGAATACACGGGGGGCGACGGAAATTGCGGCAGGAAAACTCTGCCTCGAGAATGATTCAGAACATACCGGAGTAATCGAATTCTCCAGCCTGTCCAATGCTGAGACCACCACTGCCAATGACGAGGACCTTCTTGACATCGACAAGGTTGCTACCGGTCTTCACAGCACCGCTGGCGAGGTAGGACTCGGCAGCAGGGGGCTTCTGGGCATTCAGGCGGTTCAGAGTGCTGGAGAAGGAACGGAGCTGCTGGGAGCGAGCCGTGGGGATCTTCTGCAGGCGCAGGGTCGAGGCCGTTGAGCGGACGGACTGAGAGGAGAATGTGCGCAGGGAGAGAGGACGAGTTTCAGCGAGACAGCGCTGGCGCAGCAAGGCCGCCGCCTGGCCACATCGAGCAGCAAGAACCATTGCGCACTGCACCGAGCGAAAGAGATGGTCAATTGCTTGGTATGAGACGTGTAGAAGATGAGTCTACGCTCGCCCGGTGATCTTTTTTTTCCACCACGGGATTGCTGATTGGCCGCTCCCTTCACCGTATACAGGCTCCACTTTGGGGCAAACAGTCGGGAGGAGAGGAAGATATAGGAGTGATTGGATTAAAAAAAGAGATATGGTAGATCTCGAGGATCAGGAGTATACCATCAATGAGATGAGAGAAGATGGCCGGGAGAGGTATTTATTTTCTTTTTTCTTTGCTTTTTTCTGCCCTTTTTTTTCCCTGCTCTGAAGATGAGTCAAAATGTGGAGAGTGGAGACGGGTTTCTCTCGGGGGAACACTTTTGATAGACACAGATCTTGACGATGAGACTTAATTAGATACAAAGAGGGCTATGATATTTAGCATATTAGCAATGGCAACTAGTTATAAGAAGAAATGGGCAAAATCAACACATAGCATCTTCTATACATCTTAGTAAAATGCACTCTGTGCTGGGAGCTACATGCCGATGCCGGACCCTACCCATGTCTTTTATCGACTTTCCAAGGTTCCAGCTTCAGGGCTCCAATGCGCAGTGGTGAATACCGAATTCTCATAGAATGGCTATGGAATGTCTACGTGAGCTTAGAGATATAGTTTATCTCGCTTAGTCGTATTAAGGTTAGGAAAGAGTAAAACCCACCTGGGCAGGTACATAGCTCTGAAGATATATAAGGGAATACTGCGTCACTGACCTGCCCGGACAGCCATGGCCCATACATACCTACAGCCAACTCCATAGGTTGGAACTATATGTGACAAATCAAAGAATGGTATGGCTTTACACCATCATTGGAATCTGCAAATATCAAATGGATGAGCAACTATATGCACACGATGCTCCTGCAAAGACGAGAATATCTGCCCGTGCTCCGGTGACCGGACTAAGCGGATCTATGTAGATCCTTAACAAAACGATCAGAATACAAGGCCAAAATGAATTGAAAGCGTAGGTATATTCCAGTACGAAAGGATCTATCATTTACATTCAATATACTGCGTAGACATCTATTCACCAACTCCCACGCTCCCACTTAACTTCGACCAAGGGCCAGTCGGCTTCTTCTCAATCTGAGACCCACCCGGCATTCCTTGAGTGGAGCGAGGCCCCGAAGCTCGGACGCACGCATCCCGCTTCTGCTGACTCTGCGGCATGACCTCATCAAGCTCTTGATTGAGGGTCCCGTATACATCGGCCAAGGTCTGTCGCGCGTCCTGCGCAACTTCAGTACCCAATGCGATCTTTTGCTGCACAAAGTCTCTCTCCTTGGTGGCTGCAGCCTGGGAAGCAAATGCCCATGCTTCGGCAAGAGCGACAACTTCATCAGGTTTTGTCTCCGGGGCTGAGGTGTGGTTTCGTGCCCCGACGCGCGACTGACGGGCGACGACGGGGTATTCGGGAAGGAGATGTGATTCGTCGCTCAGACGATTGAGGGCGCGCAAAGTGGTGGACTTTTCTTTCGACAGCAGCCCCAAGAGATAGGAGGTTTGGAGAGCCAACGACTTTTGGCTTTTCGATAATGGGATTAGATTTTCGTCTGTGTACGACAGAACGTCGATGGGGTTTGGCGGTGGTACTTCCGCTGGGATAAACTCTTTTTTGGCTGATCGCGATGAAGGCTTGGGGGCCACGGTGACTGGTTGGCAAGCTCTGGAAGCAGCGTCGAGGAGGTCCCGCCTGGCCTGTAGATATGTAGCATATTGCCCCATAATCTGCTTCTTGCGATCCTCTAGCTCCTGCTGGGCTTCCTCGATTTCCTCTGGTGGAAGCTCTTGGAGCAGACTCTCATCTGGATCTCCTTGGCCGACCAGGCGCTCCTCCACCCATTGCACCAGTTCATCCCTTGTCCTTTGTAGTGCTTCGGCTTTGACATCTGGCGAGACCTCAGACTCCCCACGGGACTCATGTCGGGCCTTAGCTTGTTCGAACAATTCCTTCTGATGATCCAATTGGGTTCTCGCGCGAATAACTGCCCTCTCGAGGCTATGCACCAGATCATCCAAACCTGTCTCGGTGCCATTGCGCTCCGCCTTCGTATTGACTTCGGGTAAAGGCATGTGTTCTTCTTCCAGGCCAATGTTTTCCAATCCACCCGCATCTCGTGTCTTGATCTCCTCGAGGTAATTTTGGAATACCTGCAGCTTGGCATGGCGGCGTCGATCGCGCAGAAGGGCAAGGTATTCACGAAGTTCGGCGCCGGGCTCTTGCAGATCCGCATCGGCAGAAGGACGCGTCGTCCTCTGGCGTCTTAACGAAGCCACATCCTCAGATGCCGAGACGAGATCTTTGCGAGCCGCAACATTGGCCGCCAATGCTTGCAAATATTCCTTCCTTAGCCCAGTGACCTCTGTCGGGATACGTTTGACCTCGGCGACAGCATCGGTGGGCGTGCAGAGGGAAAGGTGGGATTGGGTAAGGTCGTTCGATTGGGTTTCGTCGAACTCGATAAATGAGCGCAGATAATGCGTCAAAGCCTGGCGGATCTGGAGGGTTTCCTGACGAGATTTGACGTAAGGAGCGAGCGCATTGAAAGCGACTGGAATGTGGGTAGCGTCAGGGGAGCTCGGTCGGGCCATGTTTTCATTGGGCGGGGGTGGATGATAAGCTTAGGTAGCTGGGGAGACAAGCTGAGACTCCGACAAGGGAGACTTCACTGTCACAATTCCCCTTTAGATATCTGGGTTGGCTGTTGTTTTGTTCCTGATCTTCTAGTTAAGTTTCCCTAGGGAAGCGATTATGTAACATGCCGATCACCCCGGGCCCAGCCCCGAGCTCAACGGCCCCAGGGGAGCTTATTGTCTTCCAAGGTCAAGTCGACTTTTATTCTACTGAGTACACATGATATATGAGATATGATGCATAGAACTTACAGGACGAGCTCGAATGTCAATGCGGATCATTGATAGTGCTATTGCTCAATTTACCGAATACCTCCAATTGAGACATCTCATATGCTTTAGAGGGGGCCTGAGCACTATGTCTACAAGTTACAACCTCCGTCATTCATAGATCTACTTGGCAATAGATCGACATGGATGTTCAGGAACTGTCTCAGAAGCTAACTAGGCAACGTATTGATACTCAGAACTTGGATTGATATGCTATCTAACAATTAAGCTGTTTTCCCACGGACTTGCCTGGAATGTCAGGTACACTTTCCTCCGATGTACTACAACGTATGATTCACCTACAAGTACCTGTAAGATGTAGATACGAATCTAGCTGATTATGTGCACGGCCCAATCATATTGACAAATAACCTCGTCAAGCCCAACTTCGCAGTCCAAATAAATCTTCCTTTCTCTTTCATGCTCTTGTCCACAGCGTTCCTTTTCACGACACCGAAAGAAACACAACGCTGCGTCATACTAGTCGGAGCCCCTCCATAACTGGTATGTTCCAAGGTTCTCGCTGGAATCTCCATCAAGGGGTATTTTGATGCATCATCCCCGGATTCAAGCTGACGGTCAATTTCCTGACATTGTTTATTTTCAAGGCTGAAACACTTATAGTACAGCTTCCGCGATTCGCATACTCGCGCTGGCACAGTAAACATACCTACCATTTACAGAATAATTGGACTCCTATATACGTGATGGCTACCACCGCCGATTTGACCCCCGTGTCCGACTCCACCATGCCCCGACCTCGTGCGGCAACGATGGGCTCATCCGCCATAGCATCGCAGTCGCCGACACCCCGACAACCAGTACATGGTCCTTATACTTCCGCGGGACTCCAATCACCAGGAAGCCCGCCACTCGATGCGAGAGAATATGGCATCCCAAGTACTGCTCAAGGTACGTCCATAGTGGCGGGAAGTCACTTGATGATAGGCTCCCAACTAACAGGACAAGGGCCATTACGACATCCTCAACCGCTGACGCCTTCGGATATCCATCTAGTACTTGAGCGGGAACAAGAGGCCATGGTAAGTAGGACTACAGAATCCCTGAACCCCCGAAGTATACTCGATAGAAGCTCATGCATGTTGATTTGGCGCAGGTGAACCGATTGACCAGAGAGTTGTCCCTTCTGCGCCAACAGACAGCATCTGTGGCATCCACAGGGTCATCAACCTCCACGTTCAACGACACAGATGGCACCTGGGGATCCCCCACACTCAGCACCTCAACCCGGTCCAACTCCACTCGGCGGAATCGGTCCAATTCAAGTCTCAGCTCACATGCTTCAATGAACCAAGGAGCACAGACTTCCAGTGTCACAGGAATAGCCCCTTCACGAGAGACAAGCATCCCATCTCGCCAAACAGACCACTCGCGAACCGTTCGCAGTCGGGAGCCATCCCTCACATCTCGCCGGCCTTCTATTGGCTCACTATCTTCATTCGCCCATAGCAATAGCAGTGTCTATCCTCACCGGGCTTCGGTGTCACAAACTCAATTGGGACACTCACCTGGCAACTCAATGTCGCGCCTTGAAGAAGTAACACATCACAGATTGGAGTTGGAGTACGTTAAGAGGGAGAATGACCAGCTTAGGAGACGGGTACGGGATCTGGAGCAGACTCTGAAGAGACAGAAAGATTCAGGAAATTCAGGATCGGCTAGTAGAACGTCTGCCACACCGTCTGACGGAATCAGTGATGCCTGATTCAACGCTTCTATATCATTCTGTCGCATCGGGCGCCACAGTGGCAGTGCCCAGTATTTTCAATTTCGGCCAGGAGGTTTGCAGGCAAACATATTCCATGAAACGAAGTCCTATTTTTTGACATCTGCATGCTTCTTCTCCTAGGCAACTCAACTGGCAATTGTGTAGTTCATAAGCCAAGAAAACAAGACCAAATTAGAAGAAGCCCGCCAAAATATTGAGCTCCGTGAGGTGGCGCAGAGCCCCGCCATACGTCACTACCTGTGGCGCATGTGATGCGTTGGGCCTTTAGCTTTTAGATAAATAGTCGCATGTAACCTGCTTAATGGTGTGACCTTTAGATTTTCTTGCTTCAGAATTATTCTTCCTTCTTCTAAAATCCTACTTCACACCATTATGTCTCACGCTACCGTCCACGTCTCTGGCATCTCGCCATCAACCTCCGAGAAGGAGGTTCGCGACTTCTTCAGCTTCTGGTAAATCCGCCAACTTCATTAAAGCTATTAAACATATGCTAACTTGAGAAACAGTGGAAAGATCGTCACCCTCTCCATCACACCAGTCTCCGGAGAGCCTGATGCCCCCAAGTCCGCCACAGTGACTTTCGAAAAGCAAGCGTAAGCTACCCCGCACCCTACTCCAACCACCCTCATTTAGACATCACGAACAACAAACTAACCAAATCCCCAAACAGCGCCGCAAAGACTGCTCTTCTCCTCGACCAAACCCAACTCGGCACCTCCACAGTCCATGTCGAAGCGGCCCATGACATCGACGACATCGCCGGAGCCGAAGGAACAACCTCCGAGGCCAAAGAAGATGAGCACGACATCGCCCAAGAAGATAAACCCCGCTCCCGCATCCTCGCAGAGTACCTGGCCCACGGATACGTAGTCAGTGACCAGGCGCTCCAACAAGCCATCACCCTGGACAAGAAGCACGGCGTCTCAAACCGCTTCACTACCGCCCTCGCAAACTTCGACAAGAAGTTCAATGCCAGCGAGCGTGCCAAGGGTCTTGACGAGAACTACCAGATCTCTAACAAGGCCATCTCCGGCTGGCGAGGACTGAGCTCCTACTTCGAGAAGGCTCTCGAGCATCCCTCCGGTCAGAAGCTGCGGGACTTCTACGTTCAGACTGATAAGCAGGTGCGCGATATTCATGCCGAGGCGCGTCGTCTTGCGGATCTGAAGCAGGGGAAGAGTGGTGAGGAGGCTGCCACCTCTGCTGAGCCGGCTGCCGCCGCTTCTGAGCCTAAGGCGTAGGGAGCTTAGCTCCCCCTTTTAATGTGGTGATGAACACTTGCGCTGGACGTTTCTATTGCTTTTACTCTGATATCTCTTTTCCCTCGCTTTATGATGCCAAGCGAGGTCCATAGTTGAAACTACTTTTCGTGTTTTGAGAGGCTGTTCCGAGGACTTGTTCATAACTACATACGACATTGTAATACGCAAAGTGAAAGGACAAATGTTATCACTCTTGAGAATTGATGCACCATTTCAATAGATGCAAGTACAATAACCCTAAGCCGAACCTTGGAATGTATTCAAGCTGAATCCTTATTCTTCATGATATCGTTAACTATCCCGAATTACAAAACAGACACAAGAGGACCCTCCAATTGCCCAAGTCCATGCAAAAATCCCCCCTCTCAATGTTTCTTCGAAAACTTCTCCGCCTCAATCTTCTCTAGCGGGTGTTCAGGGTTACTCTGCAGCCCATGCTCCTTGAATTGCTCTGCCGATTTCTGCGCTTCCCCAGATTCAGGGTGGCTACCAAGACGGGTCTTGCCAGTACCGGGGGTATCCTGCTGCTGGGCACCAGATTGGCGCTCGGGGTCGGGAGATTGACGGCCAGGGTTGGGGGCAGACATTGTGGTGTGTGTGTGATTGTAGGGGGTTTTGGGATGGTAGTGCTGGGGAAGAGAAGAAGGGTAAGTTTTCCTGTCTATTGGGAATTGGGGATATGAGATCCATTAATGCTACTCACATTTGATTGTTGGAGTCTCCTTTTATTTTCTTTGGTTTCAGTAGATGATGGGTGTAGAGTATGTAGGTTGTAGGGAAGAAATTATTTACTCTATTTAACTATTTGGAGCTTGCAAAGCTAACTGACGTGATCGACACTTGGTCTGAACCGGTCAGTATTGCTTCATCATGATGACGTTGTGGATGTGGCGCTCTCCAGTCAACTGCCAGAATTATGGTCGATTCTCCATGTACTACGTTAATTAGGCTATTGCTACACATAAAGAAATGGCTAAATACCTCAAAGCTTTGTTTCATCTTATCCCAAGTGCTTGCATCGAAGAGATAGGCTCGGACGTTGACATATGACGTCATTAGATCCAATGTTTGACTGCACGTTCTCTTCGCGTACTTCAACTTCAGACTCATGTTTATTGAGACCTTTTTCTAAGAAGCTAGGAAACAATGCCGGAGATGGTAGATCATGGTACTTGTCCACTTCAGATTGTATATGTAGTTATGTTCCACCTTGTAGAGGGAGGAGGGGGTCACGGGAAAAACGTCCATTAGGACTTTTAGAGTCAGCTAGTTAGAGCATGACAGGAAAAGGAAATGGCAAAAGACATGAGGGGCATACGGTGAGGAAAAAGCAGAAGGGGAAAAATAAGAAACAACAGAAGGGCAGAGTTTGAGACACTCGGCTAGTAGACGGTCCAACCGGGGACATGCCCAGGTAGTCTCCGAAGGCGATCCGCATCACGCATCGCGAAGACGCCGGGGTGCAGAGGGTTATCAACTTCAAGCAATCAGGTGGTGAACTATAAAAAAAAAGCCAGCGCCTGGAAACGAGAAGTCGATGCAGATGCATTCGAAGGGCAGAGACGGCGGATCTATCGGCTGCAGATCCCCCCATGGCTTGTGTCTCCTCGTTTGATGGGTGAGACACTTCGGGCACAACGCAATGTAATGCCTGAGCTCCTTTGCCAGCCCTCTGATGTAGAACTGCGATCGGATTCTATGATAAGCTCTGTGGAACCCGAGGTGCTCAACGGCATCATGATTGTCGTGATAGATGTCCCGTTCCTTTACCACCGGAATGCACAGTCTTTCTGCGCCATCGACGTCTCGGAAGTACAGCAGATTGTCACGCTTGAAAAAATGGAATGCGATGTGCCTGTTCGCTATGTCTTCCCAGATGCGTCGCAAGACTGGATCAACCGCATAGCCTCTTCGCAATTGCTCGGCGTAGATGGGGTCGATTTGCAGTACTGTCGCGTGAAACATGACCTGATCGTGATCAATGACCCTTTCTAACTCGTCTCCTGACGGCTCGTCTGTATCCATAGGGAGACGAGTTAGAAAGGGTCATTGATCACGATCAGGTCATGTTTCACGCGACAGTACTGCAAATCGACCCCATCCAAGATGGAAGAAGATGATATTTCTGTCTGATGATCTATGGGCCTATGAGGGGCAGTCGGTCACCTGACGGTGACTGACGTCCTGTCCCCCCAACACCTTGGCACCTGAGGGCTGATGGAAGCCTGAGGCATACAAAATGGAGTGGGTCTAACAAAGCTTAATTCACAGCTTGAAGCCTTGATCTAACTAACTACAGTAGTACCACCAATCTCCGGATCCTCATCCCACCCTTGCCCCACCTCTATCACTTCGTGAAGTCGCTAAGCAAGTCGCCACTCGCCATCATGAAATTCTACCCTCACGTATTCTCGCGGAATACGCGGAATACGCAGGATACGCAGGATACGCAGGATGAGAGGATCTCTCCACGCGGGGCTGCAGCTAAATGCTTCGAGCTCGTCTGGGGCGCTCGCCTGAGCGATTCTCCCGAGCTAATCGAACCCGCAGACCATTCAAAGCTTCACATCCAGTGCTCTGACCTTGATGAAGATACGCTAGCCACGGAATCCCAGTTCTTTAGACCGGCCGGTGATGGTGAAATTCCCTTGCCCTATTCTGGTGACGACAAAACCAAAGCCAGGCTCGAACAGTACAAGAGATGGCGCAAATTGTTTAGGGAAAACCGCACGGCCGACCTTGCAGGGCAGGCGGGGCAACTGGCATATATCATCAGTACGATGTTTGACTACATCTCCCGCAATACCAAGAAGACTGTCTACGGGAGTCATCCATCGTTACGGTTTACCACCAACTAGCAGCCGAGGTAAGTGTGGCTAACATCCTACGAGGCATAAGTTTCCGATTCATTGGTGAACCGAGAACTAATTCTCGGCCACATCAGAGACCCCTTCCCAGAGGCAATCCGCACGGAGTTCGCCGATTTTTTCCCGGATCCCTATGCCCTCGAACGCGCCTACGCCTACAACGAAGGAAGTCTCGGTGGCAAGGTCAAACGTTCGCACACTCTCATTGTGCTCGCGGTATCCCAGCCGCCAGATGACAGGCTGTCTACCTTGGAAGTTCTTGCTATCATCCTAGTTACTATAACCCGCCTGAATAGCGACGAACTGCCGTCAGTTACCAAGACGGTACCTGTCATGGTTATCAGCTCGTTTCAAAACATGAAGGCTCGAGTTCTGATTGCATATTTGGCTTCCGAACAACTAATCATCCAAAAGACGCCGTTGCTTGACTTTGCAGATGAAACAGCGGCGGACGTCAACACGACTCTTCTTATGAGATACATGGCTTCTGAAGCTACTGGGGATACTAAGGGCATTGGGATCTCCACTAACCCCCCCCCCCCCCCCCCCACGGTTCGCCACGTTAGACACCAAAAACTGAGAGAGCTCGCTAACAGTTTACAGTCGACGGAACCTACACCCCGGGCCGCCGGTACCTGGAAGAATCTCACCTTGAGACTTCGCCGATGACCGCGGCAGGTAAACAGAGGTATGGAAAGCCAGAAATTTGAGATTAGCCTGAAACGTTGAAAGAAGACCGATCTCAGGGTGCGGGCTCAAATACAGAAATAATAGGAAGTGACGATTAGGAAGCTGCAGTCAGGCTATGTACAGCATGGCAGATGTGCGGATTGGCACCGTCGCAACTGACGAGGAAAGAACTACGCAGGTGCGGATGTATTGGCGAATTCAGCCCACCGGCTGGCTCAGTCTTCGCCACAGAGTAAAGCTGGCGACTCTTTCCATCTCTTGAACAATGATTGTTGATGCTACAGGTGTAGGAGTCAGGATATATGTGTCATTGGATGGATCAGAAGACTAGAAGTACCTAGTCCCCTCCTATCTCCATTGTTGCCTCGCTAACGGTCAGCAATTGCCATATGCAATCCAATCACCAATGCAAAGTCAAATTTGTATGGGAAGTTATGTGATAGGCCATATGGTTAGCTACTTGTAGATTTATTTGCTTGAGTCAATATGGGCCAGGTGGCCGTGTAGGTACTTTCTTATATATGGGGTTGGGCCAGACTTGTCTACCTACTAGTGTAGTTATGTTCCACCTTGGTAGGATACAGGCTTACCCACTCTTATTGTGGAATGTGGCAGGTGTCTACACTACTACATTGTCCAGAGCTAAGTCCAAGATTTGTGGCATGGCTGATGTACTATCACGGAGGAAACAAGATGTCTTCTGGGGAATCTGTGCATCGAAGAGGATTAATCGGAGAAGGGGAGGGTTTACCCTCGGGAAAGAATGTCCACGGTTAGGACTTTTAAGCGTACATCAGCTAGAGCATGACAGGGAAAGGAAATGACAACAAGGACTGGCAAAGCAGACAGGGCATGATCTACAGACGCAGGAAAGACATGAAATGGGGCATATGGTCTCGTGAAGAAAATGCAGAAGGGGGAAAATAAACGGAAACTAGACGACCGAGGCGCTGGAAGTTCGAAGCTTTTTATGTGTTTCTCTCTCACTCCATCTCGGTTACGATCTCTCAGTGGCCGTTGGCCTGCATGGCCGCTGCGGCGGCGGCCTCTGCGTTGGCAGCGGCAGCCATAGCTTTGGCGTCGGCTTCGTGGAAGACACCTTGGATGACCTGCTGCTCTTCGGGACCGAGAACCTTGGTCAAGCTCTCGTAGAGTTGAGGCTGTTCTTGTTGGAGGCCTGTGGTGAAGGTTAGCGAATGATACCACCACGGTTCCAAGTCCAGAGACCACTTACTTAGCAAGACATGCTTGAACATGCCATATGGCTCCACCTTGTCCAGAGGGGTCTCCAGGAGGCTCTCCTCGTCCATGTCATCGTCATCATCATCGGCGAATGAGCCGAACTTTTGAGCTTCCTGGTTGAGGAAGTCGAGGTAAGCAGCACTCTCGTCAGGGACGTCGTCATCAAGAGCAGCCTCGGCGGCCTCATTCTCGTCCCACTCGACCTCTCCGTCCCAGTCATTGTCCTCGTCATCCTCATCATCCTCATCATCGAGAGTGAAATCGGACTCCCTGGTAGCCTCCTCACGTACTGAACGAAGCATTAGCATTGGACAAGCGCAACTGACAATCTAGGAAAACTTACGCTTGAGAGCAGCAGGCAGGGTTTGGAACAACCTTGTCACACCCTGCAACAACCTCGGCCATCCCTGCTGGACGCTGACCGGAACGTCGGCAGCCTTCAGAGTAAGCAGCGAGCTGATTGCAGCAATTGACAATTTCTTGTCATGCACACGTCTGAAGTTGTCGATGTTAGCGAACCAAGTGCTGAAGAACTTGTTGGTCCAGCCCTTGGCCTCCATAACCTGAAGACTGAGAGTCGGGTTATAGTAAATAGCGTTGATGACCATCTCCATTAGGTGGATACGGTACGACTTGGTGCGTGCCTCGCCGGCATCGATGACCTGCATAGCCATCTCAATGAACATGGGGATATACTGGTCAATGTGACCGCGAAGGTTGAGCATCAAGGTCTCGGCGAGCTTGCATCCGCAGATGCGGTCAACACCGCCGACCTTCTCGTCGGCGAAGATGTCCTGCACCATGCCGACCATAGCATCGAGGTATACCGGGTTCTGGACTAGCATCTCAGAACCGTAGGCGACATAGTTGTCAAGAGCGGGAAGCATGTCTGGACGAATTGGAGGTTAACAAAATTCAAACACAGGATCGAGTAACCTGGGTTTCGTACCTTCGAGGTAGAGCTCAGCTCCAGCCTTGAATGTCTTGTGAATCAGCTCGAAAGCTTGCCACATGGAGGGAGAAATGGTCTTGGAGGCGAATGTGCAGCTGTCAATGATCTCGAAGATCTCGTTATACAAATCTGAAACATCCAGTTAGAGCCATATACATAATTTCCAGGGCGACAACAGACTTACCATAGAGCTTGTTCTCTAGGGTGATACTGATAACGGGCATCAGAATGGTCTCGAGGTGCAGAAGCACATCAGGAGTGCTTTCGAGAGTAAGAATAAGAGTGCCGATGGTTTGCAACACACCCAGCGCGGTGATACTCTTGTCATCCAAGAAATCGCCGTACCCATCGTCATCACCTCCCTTGGTGGCGTTCCGTTCCAGCAGCTCACCAACGATACGCATGTAAGTATCGCGAAGCTGCTCGCTCAGCGCCACAGCGAAGGGAGTAAGCTCGGCAGAGAACACCTCAACGAAGTCTTCCATGACATTGGCCAAAGCATCCACATCAACCTCATTAGCCAACTTCAGAAGCTGCTGCATGATCTGGGGGATGTTCTGTTGCATAGAGGTACGGATGATATCGTGGCGGATAAGGGGCTGCAGAGCAAGAGCAGCTTCAACTCGGACAGGAAGTTCGGAGTCGGTCATGGACTCGAGAATGTTTCGGTAGATAACCATGAGATTGTTCGGGTCCTTGAAGTCGAGCTGCTCAAACTTCTCCAGGGTGTCGCAAGCACGAGCACGGAGGAAGCCGTGAGGGCTGCGGAATTCGGGGAAGACGTGACGAACGAAGAAGTATTCGACCTGATCAGCGATCGGGCTCTTCTTTCCGAGGATGACCGAAGCAAGCGAACCAATCATTCGCAAAGCACCCTCCTTCTCCCTGGGCTGCTTCTGATCTTCCGGTGCCGACTCGTACTTGCTGACAACGCTGTTGACGAACGTGAGGATGGAGAATGTCTGCTTCTTGCGGTTCTTGGTGAGGGCAACCAAGAAGTTTGTGGCAGCAACATCGGGTGCCGATACTTCCTCATAGAAGTTCAGTTTGCGGTGCAGATACTCGGATGGGTCTTCCTCGAAAAGCTCAATGTCCTCGTCGGACTGGCACAAGACGGGGAACACGAAGTGGGCGATCAAGTTGTCCATGTGGGGCTTCAGGTGCTCCCACATGGCCTTCGGCTTGACACACTCCTCCATGAAGACCAAGGTAGCGGAAAGTGCGGAGTTGCTAAGCCATTGGGTCTTGGACACCCACTTGTCAATTTCCGTCAGGTATCCCTTGAGAATCTCGGGAGCGAATGTGCTGATAAAGGTCTTCGCGTACGGTGTGTAGTCGGGGGTAGAGGATTTCGTGATCGTCGTGGGATTCCCGTATCTGATGAAGAGGCGGTTGAGGTTGGCATATGCCCACTTCTTGCACTTCCACCAGTGGTTCATCTCCCTCTCCTCCTTCGAGTCACCCATAGCACTTGCCGGGGGCGTTTTCGCGATGATGCGCAAGAATAGTGTACACCAGTCCACGGTTGCTTGGTGGGTCTGTAGACACGGAGAAAGCTCAAACTAAATTTGCAGCAAGTCAGTATGAACGGCTAGGTCGCCCGCATTCCGGAATCAGGATCACCAACGTAAATTGCGTGCTTGTAGGCCTTCACGACAATTCGGAGCATCTCCGCAGCCTCCAAGCTTTCCTCATCGACGAGCTTGGATCCGATGCTGAGCAGCTGAGAGAACGAATGGTCCACAATCTTATCGAACTCAGCCCTCTTCTCATTAGCCTTAAACCTGTACACTTTGCAAATAGCCAAAAGACACTGCAGACCCGCATAGACTGTACTTGCGTCATTGGTGTTTAGGAGTTGCAGAGTAAGGTCAATGAATCCGGGCCACTTCTCAGGGAAGTCGTTGTGGAGAATCTTCTGGAGAAGCGGAACCAGTTGATTGCGGACATTGGGAGGGGTCGAGGCCAGGGCAGGAATGAGTCTCTCTCTAAAGGCTGGCTTCTCGGCTTCGGGAATTGGCGCACGCTGCGGGTTATCTTCGACGGGGGCCCATCCACGGGTAATGCGGTTCTTCAGGTAGACACCAGCTGTAAGGGGAGAGAGCGGGGTTAGCGAGGGGACAGAGAATCGCTTTCGCGAATATGTAGATATCGCCAAGCACTCACCTGAAAGCTGAACTGCATTGTTCTGTTCGCCTTGCAAGATATCCAAGAGTCCATTGATAAACCCGGGCTGCGTCTCGGCCTAGATATAGGAACCACGTGTGAGCCCAACAGTGTACAGTACCCCACCAGTCGATCCAACACGTACATGTTTCAAATCAAGCTCCGCTTGCCGGCGAATATCCGCATTCGCGTCTAGAGTAGACTGAATGCGGTCTCGAAGGGCTATGACATCCATCGCGTAGCAATCCCCCAGCACCTAAGAGACAAAAAAAAAATCACCAAAAAAGGCAAACCCCGGAGGAGACGCGGACCGGGGGCGATGAGGGAAGATAAGATATAGGGCAAATGTAACAATCGAAAAGGACGTGAAAGTCCTAGAGAGATCGAGTTTGACCTTGTAGAGAGAAGGAAAGAAGAGGGTGACTTCTTCAAGAGGGGGATTTTTTTCGATTTTCCCAAGTTTCGGGAGGGCGGTCGCCCCGCAGCTAATCAGAGGGCCGCACACATGGATTTTGTCTGGTACTATGAACTATGGGCCTTTGTTTACTATGTGTTTACATGTACTTAGGGCTTTAGCGGTATATAAAAACATACCTAATGGAGCGGGATTGAACGGCCTTGAATCCGGATTGAACTGGATTGAAGTTAAAGTATGCTAATTCGTATCTGGTAATCCTCAATGTGTGGATGCTATCCAATGAGATTGAGGCCCTAAAGAAGAGAACAGATCTTCTCACATGTAGAGAGAAGCTGCGAAGATGACATCGCGTTTGATCAAATCCTGGGCTTGCTCCATCTTCTGATAGAGGCTCGGATCGCCAACTAATTTGGCCGCATTTTTCACTTCGCGACAAGTCTCGTCCAGTCGGGTGATCACCCGAACGATAGTACCCTCCATCACATCGGTAAGGTCCGTGATGCGGTTGAAAGACATGCCCCGTGCCCATTCATAGACAACTTCAGTAAGACCAAAGCGTGGCGTGCTGGCAAAGTCATTGGCATCATCACTGGACTGGATGACCTGATGCTGGATCTGGCAATCATTAACCTTCTCAGCGATGCGGATAATTTCATCCCTACCCTTCTCCAAGCTAGGAGTAAGGGTAGGATTGGTCTCTGTTTTCTCTTGGAAGACAAAACAAGAGAGGAGGGCAACAATCTCCTCGGGTTCATATTCCGCAAGGACGTTTTCGAGAATCAATTCTGTCAGCACCAGCGCGTCGGCGGAGTGGATCTCGCATGCCACCTTGCCCTTCAATTCCGCACGAGATTGGTCGTCAACGAAACGGAGCTCTTTCAGTACTTGAATGCGCTGCTCATAGTCCGGAAGTAGCTGTAGGTTTCGGTCGGACATCAGTTTCTTCAACTCCGAGATATTCTCCTTGACTTGCCACTCGTCATGTTGCATCTCGAACTATAAGATATGAGCATAGGATTCAACTGAATGGGGGAAAAATCTGAGCACTGACATGTTTGATGAACTCCGGGCATCCTATACAGCTGCATGACTGAGCAATCTCTGCTTGAGCATGTCGCTTATCGAGGATCTCACGAATTTCCATCTCTTTGATGCGCTGCCAGTCAATTTCGTCCCAGGTAGTATCGGTCCAAGGACGGGTGTAGTTGTGTGACTCTGTTTGTGCCCAGTTCACAGCGTCTGTTGTCGGAGTTAGCTTCCTTCGATGCTCAAAATCAGTGGAGAATCCAATGTGCTCTTACCAGCCTTGATGTGCATGTACCAGCTTGGCTTTTGCCAATGAATCTGGGAGACCGTCAAGCACTCGATATCAGGTAATGGAACCCTGACTACACGAAGCTTCATATCATCGGCGCGAGTGGGGAGAGGTTCAAAGTAGGGTCGGAAAGTAGGCAAAAATGGAAGAATGTCCGTGGGATTCCGCGTCTGGCTCAAATTTCCGATTTCGAGGATATGAACGGCTGGCTCCACTGCGGCTCCGGCTGAAAGGCCGTCGCGAACAAGAACACCAGCGTTGCGAAGCCCATCCTGTCTCCCGTGTTAGCATGTTACAAAACTGATACCATCATAACGAAGTCTGCGAAACTCACCCTCCGGTACACGACCAGCCTTTTCGCTGAGAAAAGACGTTTACCAACGGGCGACGAGAGCAAAGCGGTGTGGAGCTGGGCTGTGAGCTTCTGATATTCCATCGCAGCATCATGGCAAGCCTTCAGATCCATGTCACAGACGTCGCAAGGTTCGCGTTTGATTTTCGCAAGACTGGCCTCAGATAGCTGAACTTGTTGCTCGTGTTCCGGTAAGAGAGCCTGTGTGGCATTCTCACTGAAACTTCGTTTGATCATTTCTTCGATCTTCAGTGCTTCCACGCGAAGTAGGTTGAGGATCATGTTGTAAGTGAGTCTGAATTGAGACCTTAGCTTGGTGGGATTGCCCAGGATCATGTTCTTTAACGTGGCAGCAGACGGAGCATCGTCTCTACCACTATTTGTCACAATAACATAGCCCACCTTGTCAAGACCTCTACGACCAGCACGCCCAGCCATTTGCGTATATTCACCGGGCAAGAGATCACGGAAAGCCTTGCCATCGTGCTTGCGGAAACCAGAAAAAACCACAGTTCGTGTGGGAAGATTCAACCCCATCGCGAAAGTTTCCGTGGCAAATAGTACCTTGACTAGAGACTTGGCGAAAAGAATTTCGACGACTTCCTTCATGATGGGCAGGAGGCCGCCATGGTGCACAGCAATACCTCTGCTTAGCAATTCACGAAGATGAAGGATTTGTGGAAGTGCCCGGTCTTCAGGTTTGAGGCGAGTAAGCGAGTTTTCGATGAACATGTGGGTCATACTCTTCTCGCTGGCATTGTTGAAGTCTTGATTTGACAGCGAATTGGCGTTCTCCACGCATCGCTTCTTCGAAAAAACGAAAATACATGCTGGTAGCAACTCTTTCTGGCGAAGATGCGAAACAAGATTCACCCATGTGCCTCTGTCCTGAGCCGCGCTCGTACGACCACCTCCACGGCCAGTGCGAGCGATGTTGCCCACTCCCCGGTTGGAGGACTGTCCGCCGCGTTGTCCTCCACCCCGGGGGCCTCCTCCGCGCTGTGGACCGCCGCGACCAGCGCCTCGGCCACTGCCTCTAGCGTTCGCAACCTGACCGCCTGCCCGGCCTACAGTTACCGCTACCTCTTTCTGGGCTTTGACCTTGTCTCTGCCGGACAGGATGTCATCCGCTTCCTTCCATCCGGACTCGAGGAACCTCTTGTTAGAGTCGACGATCTTGTACTTGTCCTTTCCAGCCCAGAGATAGTGTTCCAGCGGCACAGGTCGCTTCTGTGTCGAAATCACATATATGTCCTTCTTCTTCGTTCGGCCCACCCAGGATGCAAATTCTCGAGTATTGGGCACAGTTGCGGAGAGGAGAATCAACGTCACATGCTCTGGAAGCATGATAATGACTTCTTCCCATACCACTCCTCGTTCCGTGTCATTGACGTAATGCACCTCGTCGAAAATGACGAACTCAACGTCCCGAATAAGATCAGCGCCTCGGTACAGCATACTCCGTAGAATCTCAGTGGTCATGATGAGACAGCTCGCCTCCGCATTAATTTGAACATCACCGGTCAAAATCCCGACGTCGTCAAATTCAACTCTGAAATCGCGGTATTTCTGGTTGCTCAGGGCTTTGATGGGAGACGTGTAAATCGCTTTTGTCATGTGTTTTGCAGCTAATGCGATGGCATATTCGGCCACAACTGTCTTGCCTGCCGAGGTATGAGCCGCAACGAACACTGAATCACCATTCTCAAGGTGATAGACGGCCTCTTTCTGGAAAGTGTCCAGCTCGAACGGCCACTCTTTAGCCATGTCCGGAACCAACTCAGAGAAGTTCGGAATTTCCTTATTGACATCGACAACGTGTGCCCATTCTCTGCCCTTCTGTTTCTGAGTGCCTGCGAGCAACTGGTTACGTGGTTCAAATGCCGGGAACTCGACCGGCAACAAAGCGTCAATATCTTCCTCGTCGCTAACATCATCGGCCTCCGACTCTGTTTCTGCCTGAGACTCGGTGGTTTCCTCGGGCTTATCCGCTTTCAGGTCGCTTTCCTCCTGGAGAAGGGCAGACTCGACTTCCCGGGCACCCTCCTGGGCGTCTTTGGACTTCGGCTCATCGAAGTCGATACTGAAATCAAAGCCAGGAGGTTTTGTCAGAAGGCTGCCTTCGGTACCAAAATCAATGACGCGATCGAGTCCGGATTGCTTTCCAATATGTTTCGATTGCTCCAACTCATGAGCCTCGGCCTCCATCGCTGCCAATGCCTCAATACCCTCCAAGCCGCCTGGGGCGAATGGAACGAAGCCTGCAGATCCTCTGATAAAGTTGGCATGGCTACCAGGTCGGCGGAGAAACGAGGTAGAATTCTTGGCAGTCGCGATCGTACTTGGGACTGTGACTTCACGATACCCAGCGATACGTCCTTCCAATCCTTCTCGCGTGAATCGAATCACCGTTCGTGTCTGGGTTGGAGCCAATTCGAAAAGGTCGGCATAGTCTGTCTGAGTATCCCATCGTCTTCGAAGCCGTTAAAAGTTGCCCCGCAGTCTCTCGAACTCTAACTACTTACTTTTGAAACTTGTCCAGCCATTCGTCGCTGAATTGGTTTGGTGGAGTCAGGAACTCGTCTTCAATCCCCATCAGCACCTCTTCAGTAGGTCGTCGAGCTGGCGCCTGGTGTGGAATTTTCTCCAATTTGCCATTGTTTTCACCTACTAGGCGGGCATCGAAGGTTGTGAGGTTTGATCCTGGGGGACCTCGGCCTGAATCCTCCATTGGAGGATTCAGCGCATCTGTCATTGTATCGACTAATGTGTAAGAGCCAGGGAGTGGCTGTGGTTGTGTCAATGATCAACCTGGCAATAGCCAAGCTTCACGCCGATATGTATGTGACTCGATGGCTTTCCTTGTCGAAAGCGGGCAGCAATACTTTTTTTGACGTGAAGACTGATGGATCAAGAGAGATATGAATGTGAAAGAGTTAGGTCAAGGACACAGTCGAGAGGTAATTCGTTGAGAAAGTTCCAGTCTAGAACCTCACTCAAAGAAAACACTCGAGGCGGTATTCTTTGGCACTACATGACGTCGATCATGTGGGTGGTGAATTGCAGCAAACCTATGCGGAACGGATCATTATAATCCCGAAGATGGACGGGATCTGTGTGGTCCGTGCGGAAAGGATCAACATGCTTCCGAAAAGTGTCACGTACGAAGTCTCGTAGTTTTAAGAAGTAACGATCCTCACCTGAACGGAGGATGAACCTGCACCCACACCATCTGCTGTCTTTGTGTTTGCCCTCTGAGAGGTTGTGACAGGTTCTCTTTGTTTATTCAGGCTTAATTACAGCCTGCTTTCCATAGTTTCATGGATCAGTTTCTCCTTCCTATTTTCCCAATGCCACTACCTCCTAGTCCTACCTAGTTTCGTAGCCTCGACATGATCTATGGAATCATGTATATTCTCCGGGCCCTATAGCAAGCAACTCATATATGACACCTGTGATGGGGTGAATCTCAGTTGACTTCCCGGTCTGTGAAGTGTACTCCGTATGGTATGCAGAATGTGAAAACCGGTGTTTCCAATCGGCTGAAGTCTTTGGCCCGTATTTCGCGAGCCTCCAGCGCTCGTTGCTCTGGAGGCTCGTGCTTTTAGGGTAAATATCACCCTCGTCCTCGTGGGCTCTATGGCCGTTCACGGGGTGAGAGGATTCTATCATCCCGCAGAAGGTGGATCCTAACCTAGGTATTCAGCCTAAGGCTCAGCAACTTGGCTGGGATAACTAGACCTATGAGGTACCTACAACCACCAGGGACTTCCAAGATTGAAAGTTTCTCGCCGATAGACTTACCCTCCAACTCGAGTCTCGGAGTGATCTTTGGTGTGTTTATCGATCTTGATATCGAAATGAAACTCTTGAGACCGCCAAGGAACCTGAGACCTCGGGAACAGTTGTGACATACAACCAATATATCTTCCGGTTTCCAAGATTGACCTGACAGGGGGTTCATCATCACCAACTCTCAGGTATTTGCTTGGTAGACGATCCGATTCCCTAGAGGCAACTACATTACACTCCAATCGAGGCAGCTGCGATGATTGTACAGCTAAGTTATTTTTCCTTTTCTTTATCCATTTCCTAGAAGGACTTAGCAGCAGAGATAAAGGTATGTAACTACACTTTTTGTACTTCGTCAGTCATACAAAGAATTGTGGACACAGCATGGACGATACAAATGTGATGTAGATGGGCATCTGTGCAAAGCATAAAAGGTATGCATAGCGCAGGATAAGTTCATGTTCGAGAAAATTGATAATGTTAGCTTGTCAAAAATGGTTCGAACAAGTGAGGGCTAAAGACCTGATTCTTGTGAAACAGGTCCATGAGCAGGCTTGTCCAGATAAACCTGGGATATTTGTCAACTCTGCATGATCAGAATAACAGAAAAGAAAAATGCGGAAGAATATAAATCACAGTGGAGGAATCCGCCCAATCCTCCACGTGATATCGAAGCCAGAGAGACACTTGTAACACCAGGGCCGGAAATTCAACGACAACGAAAGATGGGGAAGGTTTTCCGATCATGAGTATTGAGTTGAAACTCGAAAATCCCTTCCAATGTGGCAATGTACCTGTCAAGTTAGTCAAGTTCCGCGATACTGACACATGTGATACTCACAATGTGCGCCCATCGGCGCCCCAGCCGACCCCGGCGGTCGAATCTGGCTCCTCGGCACCTGGGCCATGCATTGAAGTTCGGTCCGGGAGGTCGTTTATTATGTTTCTGATCCAGCGGGGAGAGTGTGTCTGCTCAAAACCGAGAAGCTGTTGGCGATGCCTTTGTTCCCTTTCAAAAGAGCGATTATGTACCTCATTGGCAATTTGCCGTTGCCGTCGAAGCCGCTCCGCGGCGACATTGGCACGAATCTCATATGTTGTGAGGCGCGAAGTGTCGTGCCTTCTTTCTGTCCCATGTTGCGTTCGTTCAAAGCGTCGTGAAATAGAGCTTGATGGCTGGGACACGTGGGTCAGGCCATGAAGATCTAGACCAGGATTGAAAAGTCCGGTCGGTTCGGTTGGGGGCTAACCTCGCTGTTCCCTGCGTCAGGATCGGCACCAGCCCGAGAGATGATCTCGGACGCAAGTGATGGGAGTTCTGAAGGTGAGGTGGAATAGCTGAGGGTGATGCTCGATTGGCGATCGGGGCGAGAGGACGCCGCTTCGGAGGACCGACTTCCTTGAGACAGAACTACAGAGCTCTGGCGTCTTGGATGGGACGCAGTGCGGCTCAAGTGACTATCCCGGGAGACATCAGAGGAATCGTAGTGATGCAAAGGCGAAGTAGGACGATTGGTGCGACTGGCACCACCTGTGGAAACATGACTTCGTGGACGAGTCCCTGGCTCAGGGTGAAGGCTTGCCCTGGCTGGGCGCTCGGGTCGCTCAGTAAGTCCTTCTTCCAGCCGGGACGTCCAGCGCGCCGTGTTCAAGAACTCCATGATCAGCCGTTCTCTCTCGGTGAGGTCTTGAATCAAAGACTCCCGCAGAGAAGAACGCTCCGTTTCCTCTCCATCCCGCTCCGTCAGAAAATCTTCGCTATCATGTCTTCCTCGTGATGTAGCTTCTAGGAGTTCTTCGTCCAGGGCTTGTCGTTCGAGGTTCTCGGACGAAAATTCGGTGTACACCTCTTGAAGCTTCGGGTCATCGGAGTCTAAATGAAGTATTTGCCTGCGCATGAACTGTTGGCGAACATCTGCAACGCCGGCTCTGCCGTGACCCTCGAGCCACACAAGAAGGTCCCATGGCTCGGGTGAAAAGGCCATACAACGGACAGCACCGCCCTCGGCACATGATCTTGAGGCCGGAAATTGACAAAGTACCGGAGTGTCGTCCTCCGAGTTGCTAAGATCTTTGTAGATGGACGGGACATCGATAACCGTAATGATTCCAGATTGGGATCCTATGGCACACAGGCGACTGGATGGCGAGAAAGCAACGGTGAAGCAGCACGCATCATCCGCCCGCAGGCCAATCTGCAGCTCCAATCGATTGATAAGCTCCCAGTCCCACCCTGTGAGCCTCTCCCCTGATTCAGTTGTCGCAGTGGATTCCAGATCTCGAGTGATTTCATAAAAATAGGCGTGATTTTCATCCCCTACCGCGGTGAGCAGCTTCGAGTCTGGGGAGATAGTCGCATAGTTCATGCAAGTCGGATGATGAAGAATCTTGAGGACCTTTGCACGAGACAGTGAATACACTGTGACGGTCCGATCATTGTTGCTGTGCATCATAGTCAGCATGGTCAGCAGATGCACAAGTTTACGACCAGCACCAACCTCAAAACTGCGATGTCTTCATCCGCCAGGTCCTCGCTGCCACCATAGAAACGATGAATTACCACCGAATTAACTATGCTGCCACCAAACCTGTGGAGTTCTACTTCGGGGGATGTTCGGCTGCTCCGATAGCGGGTTGACATGGACTCGCTGTTGAAATCGGTCGGCGACGTCATTAGCGACGGTGGGTCGAGATCGAGCGGGAGCGCACTATCCACCTCGGCCTGGAATGAAGGCGCATTCCCATGGCCTCGCGACTCGTGGTCACCGATCCGAATAAAAGCGCATTCACCATTCTCAGGACCTCCGACTGCGATCCAACCATGTCCGGCGGCAAGACAGCGCGGCTCAAATGGAATCACCGCTACACTCTCACGCTTTTGCGCCGATACGTGTATTGCGTACACGATCCTCTCGACCACGACATAGATGCGATCGGCATCAGCCGTACTGATATAGTTGCGAAGCTGTGTGTGGCTAAAATATAGAACTAGGTTTTAGTTCGTTGCCTGCGATATGAAGCTAAATGGGTGGATTCAACACACAAGTTGGGGATCTTGAACGGGAAGAAGCGTCGCTTGGTCGGGAGGATAAGAGCCTCGGTCGGGCGATGCCTAAGTCAACGATCAACGTTAAGAAACAGAAGTGCATTGACGGTGGAAAAGGATCAGGCTCACAGCAGAGTTGAATCCGAGGTCATGGTGGAGATAGCTAGGCTGGTGACATTGTTCGAGCGGGGAAGTTCGAAGTCAAGAGGAATGGCTCCCCCCGTTTCAGTTTCACCGTCAACCGTTATTATTCAGGTAGCGATGGGCTCAGGTATTCTTGAATTCTTGAATAATTTCTTTCAAAGAACAGTCTGCAGTTGAAAGTCAAATGGCTGTTCAAGGATGACGTAAGACTTTACTGGGACAAAAAGCCGGGGAACAGCAAATTCCAACGAATGCGGTTTATCTGTGACCCCGGAACCGGCCAAGCTTAATATTCATGACGATGCACTACATCTATATGGCGTTAAGGCGTTTCTTTTCATGTTGACATCTTATAGATTACTGAACTGAAATAATTGGGAAAGATAATGTTGACTAGTCAGTGACAATACCTATACTCCGTATGCCTAGCACATGTAAAAACCACCTTGCCAGTCTCTCAGTACCACTACCTAAGAATCGATCTAGACTAGGCGCCGTTCCTCCCTAGAGCGCATTAGTTGCCATGATTATCTAGACCCAGGCGGTAAATCCAGCTCTCTTCCCAATCTTGTCTCAGGTTCACCAAATCAATGGCAACAAGGTGTTTGCCAGTGAAGTCACACGACACGTTGAGAGTCTGGCTGGTTCACCCTCTGGAGATAACACACCATTGTCATGCAAACACCTCTTAGGAATACTTATTGCGACGGCTTCCGGGCTTTTCAATTTTGTGTCCTCGGATAGTAATTGACACGTTGTTTTGGAGTGGAGCACACTATTGAAGTATGCACTCGGGAAGCTGATACATAGCTTGGAGCTCCCAACCTCCAGGGCTGGCCCAGCGGAATCATATGCCATCGAGCTCCCAAGTCCGTGGCAAGTCAAAATAGTAGATAAGCAAAAGCCCAGAGAAACGAGCATACGGCATAGAATCCGAAGATTGATTCTCAGATAGCACTCATATGGAGCATCATCGGTCTCTCAGTGATCCTCTCACGATGTCATTCGCATGGACGGCACCGAGAAGGCGGTGAGCTCGGCTACCAAGGAGGCGTTGACACTAAATCGCACGCTGATTGGACAAAACCCGTGATTCTACCAAGTTCGACGGGCCGAAGGTCTCCGTAAATTTCTATTTCCCTTTCCCCTTCTTTTCGATTCCATCTCTCCATCTCCATCTCTTCATCCCTTCTTCTACCCTTTATTAACTCTGCGATTGAGTCGTCGAGTGTTACGTTTTCTCTTTCTTCTTTAGTTAATTAATTCTCCTTTCACAATGCTTCCTCGCACACTCTCTCGCGGAGTAAGTTCACCCTTCCAAGGAGAAAGAAGAAATCGCTACGCGTCGCACGACACTAACACAATATCTCACAGCTTCCGCGTGCTGCTTTCACTCGCACTCCTGCTTCCAGACTCCCCGCCTCATTCCGGAGATGGAACTCCACAGAGGAGAAGGTGAAGGGCCAGGTCATCGGTATTGATCTTGGTAAGTTCTGGCGCAAGATGAACCACTGTTCAACATCGACAAGATTCTAATCTATCAATTACAGGTACCACCAACTCTGCCGTGGCTGTTATGGAGGGCAAGACCCCTAAGATCATTGAGAACGCTGAAGGTACGTGGCAATGAAAATTTTTTGCCCCTGCGGACAACTGGTCAGAGCTTTGAAGCTCGGATCAAGGCCACTTTTTACATGACCACATAGGCTTGATAGAATGAAAAACTGACAGTCATGCAATAGGTGCTCGCACTACTCCTTCCGTTGTCGGTTTCGCCCAGGATGGTGAGCGCTTGGTCGGTATTGCCGCCAAGCGTCAGGCCGTCGTCAACCCCGAGAACACTTTGTTCGCTACTAAGCGTCTGATTGGCCGCAAGTACACCGACGCTGAGGTTCAGCGTGACATTAAGGAGGTTCCCTACAAGATCGTCCAGCACACCAACGGCGACGCCTGGGTTGAGGCCCGTGGCCAGAAGTACTCTCCTTCCCAGGTTGGTGGTTTCATCCTCAACAAGATGAAGGAGACCGCCGAGTCCTACCTCAGCAAGCCCGTTAAGAACGCCGTCGTTACTGTTCCCGCGTACTTCAACGACTCCCAGCGTCAGGCTACCAAGGATGCTGGTCAGATTGCCGGCCTGAACGTCCTCCGTGTCGTCAACGAGCCTACCGCTGCTGCTCTTGCCTACGGTATGGAGAAGGAGGCCGACCGTGTCGTCGCTGTCTACGATCTTGGCGGTGGTACTTTCGATATCTCCGTCCTCGAGATCCAGAAGGGTGTCTTCGAGGTCAAGTCCACCAACGGTGACACTCACCTTGGTGGTGAGGACTTCGATATCCACCTCGTCCGCAACATTGTCGCCGAGTTCAAGAAGGAGACTGGTGTTGACCTCACCGGTGACCGCATGGCCATCCAGCGTATCCGTGAGGCTGCCGAGAAGGCTAAGATCGAGCTGTCCTCTTCTCTCCAGACTGAGATTTCTCTTCCCTTCATCACTGCTGGAGCCAGCGGTGCTCTGCACATCACCCAGAAGATGACCCGTTCCCAGCTCGAGGCTCTCGTTGAGCCCCTGATCAACCGCACCGTTGAGCCCGTCCGCAAGGCCCTCAAGGACGCCAACCTCCAGTCTGGTGATATCCAGGATATCATTCTGGTCGGTGGTATGACCCGTATGCCCAAGGTTACCGAGTCGGTCAAGTCCATCTTCGGCCGTGAGCCCTCCAAGTCCGTCAACCCCGATGAGGCTGTCGCCATCGGTGCCGCCATTCAGGGTGCCGTCCTCGCTGGTGAGGTCACCGACGTTCTCCTGCTCGATGTCACCCCTCTCTCCCTCGGTATCGAGACCCTCGGCGGTGTCTTCACTCGTCTGATCAACCGCAACACCACCATCCCCACGAAGAAGTCACAGACCTTCTCCACCGCTGCTGATATGCAGACCGCTGTCGAGATCAAGGTCTACCAGGGTGAGCGTGAGCTCGTCCGTGACAACAAGATGCTGGGTAACTTCCAGCTTGTTGGCATTCCCCCGCTTCCCGTGGTGTTCCCCAGATCGAGGTCACCTTCGACATTGACGCTGACTCTATTGTCCACGTCAACGCCAAGGACAAGTCCACCAACAAGGATCAGTCCATCACCATTGCTTCCGGCTCCGGTCTTTCCGATGCTGAGATCCAGTCCATGGTCGAGGAGTCCGAGAAGTACGCCGAGACCGATAAGGAGCGCAAGGCCGCTATTGAGGCCGCCAACCGTGCCGACAGCGTCTTGAACGATACCGAGAAGGCTCTCAAGGAGTTCGAGGACAAGCTCGACAAGACCGAGGCTGAGGGCATCAAGGAGAAGATCGCTACTCTCCGCGAGTACGTCGTCAAGAGCCAGTCTGGCGAGGGCGCCACCACTGCCGAGGAGCTCAAGGAGAAGGTTGATGAGCTCCAGACTGCCAGCTTGACCCTCTTCGACAAGATGCACAAGGCCAACAACGAGCAGCAGCAACAGCAGCAGCAGGGTGGTGAGCAGCAGGGTGAGACCAAGCAGTAAATGCTTTCCTCTGTAACTGCCGCACCTGAACCCTCCGTGGTTCCTGTATTTTTCTACCCATTTCCTTTTTCTATTTCCCTGTGTTAAGAGACTCCCTGGTTTTTCGCATCTTTGTTTTTCGCATTTACCTGTACACATACTTTCAAGGCCCTTTTACCCTTTTTTGCGTTTTCTGGTGTACCGGTGTTCGACTACCACCCATTCATGATCCTTCATTTTCTTCTCTTCTGCCCTCGTGCTACTGTTCAGGTTTATTGCCTGTCGGTGGTCGTGTCGGGATTGTCTACAATTGTATCTAATGACACTACGACAAAGTGGGGGCCACAAAAAAGGATGTGGTAGGCTTTGGCTTGGGACTGTGACTATAGAAATCGGACAATTCTCCTCTCGCTTCACATTATGTTTCTTTCTAATTTGTAAGTTTAGATCCCAGCTGTAGGAGCATTATCCAGCAACGTGCATGTCCATTTGCTTGGATTGCGAGCACTTCGATTGTTATTCACTGGCTCGCGGATGCAGAGGTTACTTGTCCCGGCCTATCAGCTTCCACCTCTGCTGGGTACAGGCCAGTCCAGACCGTTGGGCACACGGCAGACAACACATTGCTCGAGTCTCAATTGCAATCTGATATGATGTGGTACTCTGCAGCATGTAGCCGTTTCCACTCTGTCCACACATAGCATGACAAGCAGACATCCCAAGTATCATCGTAGCGGCAAGTATCAAGGATTCCCTCGAATGAGGGTCCTCATTGGGCATACACATGGTAGGTATCAGTGATAGGCATGAACCTTTCCGCATACGCAACATGTATTAGCTGGATCATGCGGCGTACAGTGAGCCGAGATGATATCCATCAATCAAATGGCCAATAACGCTCATATTCAGCCCTTTCCTCGTCAGTTTCAGCCAATTGCTTCAATATCAGACCCTTTACTTCATCAAGGGCAGTTTTGCAATCATGATAACGCTCGTGCTCGATAAAGCCCTTGTCAGGCCACAAATCGCCCAGTCTCTCCTTGGCCTCTGCGACGAGCTCAGTTCCTGCCACTGCGTCATCACTATCCTCTTTGATACGCTCGTAGTCTGCTTCCGAAAAGTTAAACGGGAATGGCACATCGCTCGTGACGGCAGGTAAGTCCGCCCAGGTGTCCCTCAGGTCGACCAAAAGCGATAGGAAGTGTGCCTCGCCGTATTCAAACATTCAATGAGCAAGAAATATCAGACCGTACGCTGTTGTCTTTCGAAACTCGATTGTTCGATATAAATCTGGGTTTTTGGCTTGCATGAGTTTTCTCCATGCAATGAGGACGTTTTGGATCGTATATTCCTGTACGGCCGCGGAGCGTTCTTCTGGTGTAAGCCCGGAGAGAGCGGGTCGTGGTGCAGGGTCGAGGGTCTCTGGTTCGAGGCCATCCCAGTCGAGGAAAGCAGGATCGATATTGTGGTTAAAGAGGGGTGAGATATGAGTTGACTGCCAGTCGATGATACCCGTAATTGTTCCGGGATTATCCGGGTCTACGAAGACGTTGTCATTATGCAAGTCATTGTGCCAGAGGTAGGGTTTGGTGATGGCTGTATCCTTGGGAATAAGGGCATCGAGGACTTGTTGGTAGTAAGCTAAAGCAGTCCTTTTATTTCCCGTGTCTGGTCGGTAGAGGTTAGGGCCACAGAACAAGGCCAGCTGTTTAGGGGCTTTTAGACACTGAATAGCCTTCATCTCTCGCATGCCGACTGCCTGGAGAAACTGCATTAAAGAAGCCCCTACAAACTTATTAGTGATTGCACGGGAATGATACGAATCACAACGTACATGGCCCCTTATCAACGTCCAGAATCGATCGGCCTGCATCACACCAGTCCCGGCCTGTAGACAGACCAATAACGAACTCTGAATCACCGACGGCCTTGCCATCCTTGATATAGTGGCTACCTTCTGGTGGCTGGACATCTCCCTTATAATACAAGCTCCCGTAATGAGAGAAAGAAACGCTCAGCCATCGCTTCTGGAGGCGTGCCATAGCAAGAAGGACTTGGAGCTTCTGAGTTAATTTCATCGTGCCCCATACTTGGGACAGCGGAACACCTTCGACCTTATCCATGATGATAAATTCAGCCCCCACGGGATGCGTTTCTGCTTGCGAGTTCCACGCGTATACGCGAGGCGCTGGTGTGTCAAGAATCCTTCTGGCCTCATGGTCCAAGCATGTTAGCAGACTTGGTGTTGATGGGGTTCAGGATAAACCCACAAAATCCATCGTGGCCACTTCACTGGCAGTGGTATAGTGCGGAACGCCGGCATTCGGGTTTGGCACCTTGGCTATTATTTCTCGTCCATCATCCATAGACATAAGGAAGGCTTTGTTGAACATGCCGTCGGGATACTTCTTGATATCGACGCATCGAGCGGCTCCGATTGAATCTGCTGCGACTCTTGCGAGCCTGTTAAGGTCGAATCTAATCTCTCGCTTTCGGAGGTTCTCTGCCTCATCGACAATAAAGCGGCCACGCGTGAATTTGAAGAATTCACTGTTGGAATTCCAATCTGATACATGTTAGGCTTATGCTAATGGTGCTCAAAATGTATTTGCTTACCGGTCTCGGAAGAGCCTGAGTCCATGCTAGCGACATTATAATCATGTGTCAAGTTTGAAGCTCTAGGGATTGAGCAGAAGTGTCGTTTTGAGCCTGTGTTTATACTGCGAATAGAGCACCCAAGACGCGTGGGTCGGCGCATATTTAATGGATCCTCTTTGATCTTGCTTATCAGAAAGTCAGGTGGCTCTTGAATCTTGATCCCGGCTTTAAATTGCTAGACGCTGCTTTTTGCACGCGTCAAGACTGACAGTGCAGGTGTTGTGGAGGGAGAGTAGGCAGTTGCAGAACAATTGGGATGCCAAATTGCTTGGACCCAATTGACTTTGGTTCTCGGCCCGTATCCGAGAATACGCTAATCCGTTTTAGGTTACGCAAACATAGGACTGTTGCTTCACCATCTCATATTGTTAATTCGAGTTCTCCGCAATGGGCAAATTTGCGCTCTATAGGGCTTTGGAAGGTTGCAAAAATTGGAGTGGCCCAAGTCCAGGGCAAATTCTTGATATGATAAGCTGCCTTGAACGTGCTGTGAGAAAAAATGGTTTGGCAGGATAATGCCATCCGAGTTCCAACTAAACTGAGCTGGAGAATGATTCTTCCGTTGCCTTAGGTATTCAAGCTCCACTCTTTGAATCTGAGGTCTTCTTTGATCACTGATTCCGGGTTCCCACGGGGAAACACCCTCGTAGAAGCAGGAATAGGTCATGATGCTCGATTTTTGGAACCATGTAATCAGCAGATGACCCAGACCTGGGAAAATAGAAATCATGTATAGAGCCAGCTGGGGATGGAGAACTATGGAAGGTAGCCGTGGAGAAAGAATAATAGAGAGCTCCGTGTTATCACGATGAAGAAGCGAGCAATGGATTTTGCTGCAGCTTCTAATTTTCTACCATTTGTCTGCTCAAGTCGACCTGACTCTAAGGGGGTTCTGTTGGAGAATGAGATAGTTAAAGGGACCCGGTGACTCATATATGGTACAACCTATGAACAATCTTGTGTTTGGGCGAAAGCAAAGTCGTATGGAAAAGGCCAATAAGGTTAGAAAACGATGGGAATATGCAAGCGATGAGCAGACAGCGCACCTGGTTGTCGGATTCTCTCCACTTTATACGAGCAATCCATTACCCGCAGGGAAACATGATTTAGCCTCACAATGTGAATTGGAAGGATATCTCTACCAGGCCATTCTGGACCTCGAGTCGCTGGTGAAGAGCGAATCAATCTTGCAGGCTTCCCTGCAGCAGTGCCAGCAAATCATCGTTTCAAGCTCGTATATTTGTTGTACACGCCAGTTGGGCTGCCACAGTGGGTCATGTTTTGCAGTGACAATGGTCAATCAATATGTTTCTTTCTTATTTGAGGAGTGTTTGGGGGAATTGATGCAGAACATTTGAACTAGCTAAACAGGGTAATATTGTAACTAGTCGTTACTCCATTATGGATCCAAATGTAATATGTAGTTAGTTAGGGCACGATGTATTACCCATGCCGGTGCTGTCCAACCAGGGATCTCCATAAAGTAGACCCAACTACGGAATAACACTGGCTTGCCAGCAGTATACAAGAACTCTATGTGCAAGCTGAATGAATTGAATCCTGGTTCCAAGCCGAAAATTTTCCAACATCCACATAACATCCCCTTCGCCCATTCGTCGATCACTTCTTGTGTGAGACCATCGTTAGCGTGCCCCTAGTCCAGTTGATTATTTTCCATTTCCCCACTCTGTTGACATGAACTTTTTCTTTTTTGATTTTCCCTCTTGCTCCAGGCCTTTTGCCCTAACTATTGTCTCGCTCGTTCCCATCAGCTAAGCCCTGGCGCTTACTAGGGACCCATGTATTGACAGCGGAGATAGGCTGGAGTCACTGGAACAGGAAATCCGGATTGGACCCAGTCTAGCTACAGTTTGAGTGCACTAAATCTTATTGGACTGTGGTTTCCTTGATTTCTGTACATCCAGATGTGTGGTTAATTACAACATACCTATTGCATCCCGATGATCTAGAATGGATTGCTTTAGGATGGAAGTAGGACTCTCTGAGTTGGTTGGGATAACCCTAACAGGGCTCAATAGCAGAAAATGAGATACATGAGAAACTAAATATATTGATGCCACAGAATACGAAGACAATATTTTTCTTCCTGTTGATATTGTATCCACAATGTATACGGAGTAAAAGAAGACAACACAACAATCTTCTTCCCGCTTCCATGGCTACCATGGAACTTCTCAGGAACAAGTTCTTCCCCCTGTGTTACATAATGATCCCCAGGATGAGCAAACCAGGGCTTGGCAGTGATGAGAGGGTAGATCTGTTGCTTGTCATTGGTCCGTTCATACCGGATTAAGGAGCTTGGACTGGAAATTGCATTGGGGAGGCTCTGATTTGAGGGTTGACTATGGTTTAGCGTCTACTCCGTACATAAGTACACAATAACTTATTCCATGCTAGCTATTTTGTAGGTCGGTGTCTAAGTTGGATATTTGACCTTGTCATGCAAGGCAGATTCTTGATTCTAGCCGGGTCCTATGTACATAATTGCTACAACATACATTGTCAAATGAGCAAACAATTCTTCAAACAAAATGGTTAGGGCATTTTAGATTAGAACGGACCAATGAGAGGCTTGAAAGACTGCAGTCAGAATTTTTAGACTCGTCACCTTCCCCCTGAAGGATGTCAAGTGACTTTTTCCTCAATTTACTTAGTTGACGATCATTGGTTAGATGAGGCTCCATTCTGAAGATACTACAAACGGAAAAAGAGCTCTACGGCTGTTGTGATTTGATTACGCGCTAGCGTCGAGCCAGATCCATGGATGCGTTGTTGTCTTTCCACTGGTTTAGGAAGTTTGAGAGCCACTCCGGGAAATTAACAACATTCAACTTTTCTATTGTTGTAGTATGTGTACTGTGTATTGTTTGCTGTTGGATATAGATTGTTATTTTCAAGCTCCTAAACCCTGATCCAATACCGATCTATCTTCTGTACACACGCGATCAATCACATCGAGATCCCCTGAGACGATCCCTTACACCGTTACGGGAAATTTCAAGATAACGGGGGTGCAGAAGGGCCGCACTAGTGGATGTCCTTTCTTATTTTCTTCTATTTCTATTTTCTATTATTACATTTTATTCCAGTCTCCTACAGTGTAATTAATGTTTTTTTTTCATAGAATAGTTAGCTCAAGGCCTAAACGTCAATCATTTCCAGACTGTCGACCCATAGATCGGAGATGGGTCTTCCCTTTCGATCCTTGTCTCATCCTGTTTTTTCTACTTTTTTTGTGTTTTCCTTTTTCCTTCGACTTCTGTAACTCTTGTCTCGCTGAGAGCATTCGAATCATAATCTCTGCCACCATCATGACAGCTGCACCACCAGTGCATCACCCTGGCCCAGAGACTGGGATGCCCGGCCATCTGGTCAACCATATGCCTCGCTATCATCCCATTGCCATGAATCCCAATCCGCCTCCACACCAAATGCCTCCTCCAGAACAGATGATGCAGAGCCACCATTTCCGTCATTTCGCGCCACCCATGCATGAACAGCATCCTCCGCAGGGAGTCCCTCCTGTACCCACTCCAGCTTCTCTGGAACATATCGAAGCTCGACTACGGCATTTAGAGCATGAGGAAATGGCCCGGAATGCTACTCGTAGTCGTGTTCTGGCAATGCGCAAACAAGAGGACGAGGAATTCCGGGCAATGACGGAACGGGCTGAGGCCGAGGAAGAGGTAAGGCTGAATTGATGTCCATCTGTGGGAATGGAACGAAAGCTCAAATCATCGTAACAGGATCTTCGAAGACAACGCAAGAAGTTAAAGAGAGAATCTATGGGTCTGGGCCTCAACGCCGTGACCGATTCGCCGCCTCTACGGCCTACACCACCTCGCCGGTTATCAGAGACCAGTGCAGCAACTACATTGGCTTTCTTCAAACAGCAGAGTCCCCCCGAACCGCGCCAAACACCTCTACCACCTTCATCACAGCCACCACCCTCAATGCCACCACCACCACACATGCACGCGCAACCCCATCATCAAGCTCCCCCACAACCCCCACCATCCCAGCATCAGCACCCAATGCTTCCCCACGACTCAATACACAGTGCAGGCTCCATCCGCCGCAAACAAAAGTACACCATCAAAAACGTAGAAGCATGGGGCGAGCGTCACGGTCGACCAGCAGCCCACGACCCCTCCGGACGGGCATTATGGAAGCGTCCATCTGACGGAAGCCTAGTATATCTCACCTGCCCGATTCAAGGCTGCGGGAAATCCGACTTCGTCACCCTCCACGGCTTCATGTGCCACCTCACCAAGAAACACAAAGACCGCACTCTGGGCAGCCAATCCCGCGCCCTCGAAGTCTGCGGCGTAGTGTACGACCCGAACGCCCCCCTCCCACCAGTCATGAACCACCGCGCCTCGACAGAAGGAAGCCCGCTGGGCTCAACCATGGACCCCGAGGGCGAGCCACACGACGAGGAGATGGACTCCGACTCCGAGGGCGAGATGGAGCGCGAAGCCTCCTACCGCGTCAAAGCAGAAGTGCTAGATCGGTTCATGCCCGACGCCGAGGGCACACCCATTGATTCGGCGGCAACACCCCCCAAACCGGCGCAATCCGCATCAACCAAGCAATCCATCTCGTCTATTATCGACCGCACCCCGGACACCGAACCCAGAGAGGCGCTGGCTACCCTGCCGCCCTCGGAATCTGTTCAGGGCCCCTCACCTACACCCACTGAGTCGTCTGTGCCAGCCAAGCGCAAGTACGAGTTCTCGCCGCCGACAGCGGAAAAAGAGAACGCGGAGCCTTAGGGTGGGCTTGCAGAATAATGTTAATTATTTAGCTGTCGATTTCCGCCGGCAATGCATATTACACCTACATAATTCTTTCTTGGGCAGCTTGGATGTTAGCGCCCTCGATATGATAATCAATCACATCACGTTACTCGAATTTCTTGGTTGTGTCTGGCTTTAGCATTCTGTCTTGGCTGCCTCTTCAACCTGGGTGGTTTCGTCTTGCATTTTCTTTGAATATAGCGACTTTGACGCGGCGCGTTATTGGGACATTTACATAGACTGCCTTGTCCATAGCTCATTGCATAGCATGAATTCATCTCACATATTCATCCATCTTACATTCCGAATCAATTTTTATTCTTTCGATATTAAGATCTGACTTGTCTATGTCTAGTACCTACCCCAATGGATTGTGTCGTAGCTACCGCAACAGCTTCACTATTACTCCTTCGCCAACAACAAATGCACCAAATACCCAGAACCACCCCCCAACCCCTTCCCCAGAACCTCATCACTCACCCTCCAAACCCGAAACTCTCTCATCGCCTCCCTCAACCAAGCCTCAAACACATCCGGCGATCTTTGCTGCTGCGCAATAATACAAACCGTCGGCCTCCGCCCTTCCTGAGCACCATCTACATAAACCGGCCTCAGCCGACAAATCTCCGCGCAAGTCCGTACAAACGGCGCAACAAGCGCTTCGTTATAGACACAATCGCACGAGAGAAGCAGATCAAAGCCTCTATCTTCCTCGTCTTCGGCACCGTCCGCATCGATGCATTCTTTCAGCGAGGCGGCCTGGTCCGTTTCCCAGTCCAGAGTCGTGAAGGAGACATTATTGATTGCGCTTGGAGTCGCCGACGCCGACACCTTTGACTTTGGTTTGGAACCCTTGCTTTTGCTCTTTGATTTGCTGGTAGTCGTCGAGACGTTGGCGTCAAGATTGGTGCGGAATAGTTTGCGCACGTATTCTTGGTCTGTGGCGATGTAGTGCTGTACGCTGGGCGCTAGTGATAGGGCGACTAGGGCTGATATACCGGTGCCTAGCTCTGCTACGGTTGAGGTGTGGGTGAGGAGGGTATGGGTCCAGAGGGGGTTGGAGGGGCTTGAGATCCATTCTGCGAAGATGGGGGTGATTTTCCATAGGACTGCTTTGGTTAGTTTTGTGTGAATTGTGAGAGGAATTGTAGATGGGTGTAAATGGGTGTGATCAAAAGAACGGATTATGGGTCTTAGGGCATGTAGTCTGGGGAGTAGAGAGAGAAAGCCAAGCTATGTATCCGAGGTTTATGGGGGAAAATGCCAAGGGATAATTGAGCAGGTGATACCGTAGAGCTCGTGTTGGAGACGAAGAGCTCTTGTGTGCATGGCCAAGCAAGACACGAACGAAAACAAAACGCTAAATGTAACGATTCGAGTGCAAATGAGAGACATTTCCCCCGATAGCCGAGGCAGGTGGATTTCAACCGTCCCTCGGACCTGGTCTGGGCTCGGATAAAAGACATGGGGTAGAAAAAACGTGTCTGTGCTTTGGATATGTTTTTCGGGGGCAAATCAAAACGGAACTGGGGTAGGAGAATGCAGATCACATAGTGGTACCTGTCGTGCAGTAGACTTACCGGCGCCTGTCGTTCCTCCGGCTCGATGGGAGGAGAGTAATGATGGGGACTGGTGGATGGTGTAGTCGTTGCCGTTGATCGTGACCTCTACTGATGGCGCGCGGGCATCGAGCATGCCCAGATTGTTGGTTGGGATGTCTTGCGCGAATAGGAGGAAGGATTCTATAAGAGTTCAGTGGCTATACTTCGTAAAGCGTGGGGTGGCGTACCCTCATCCACGTCAATGACTTCTTCGCCAATGGTGGCGAGGAAATCGGTGATCTGGTTCATGGTGCTTTCTGGAGATATTGAAAGGATCTTTTGCTCATTTCGAGTTTTTATTTTTATTTTTTATTTGGTCTGGATCTACGGGGTCACGGGACCAGATGTCTGTAGATGAACAGCTCTCCATAGACTACCAATTAGATATTGAAAGATAGTGTAAACAATAAGATGCCTACTTACATATTTTGTCGATATCTTCAACCTACCTAGCTCTTAGCTCTAAATGTTGGGCCCCAACGGAAAGAAAAAGAGGCAACTGATCTGCGGGTAAACAAGGTCAAGATGATAGGCCCGAGCTATTCCCATGTTACATAGTTACATGTTCGAATTTTCTCTTTGTCGAAAGAGTTTAGTGTGAAAGAGAAATAAATTAAATACAAAAGTACATAAAACATAAAAATCCCAAGACTCGACTAGTAGTCTAGTTAGTCAAGAGAAAGAGAGAAAGCAAAAACCGCCGAAAGCCCCTAGCTGCGTCATCTGCCCCCAAGTCCACATCTCCGAACTCTCCACCTCCTCTTCTTCTCTCTGTTATACTTCTTCCTCATTTCATCACTGTAATTGACTGGTAAGCTCCTAATCTCCACGACTTTTGTTTTCGCCTCCCCCTTCAGCTAGCCCGGACTAGCTAACCTTCACCCCCTCGAAGGAAGTTTTCTCCATCCGAAAAGAGACGACACATTTAGCTGGCCTTCTGAGCAAGCTAGACCACCAAGATGCCGATCAATCTACAACCGCGCATGGTCAAAAAGGGCCCCTTTACCGTAGAGGCGCCCGGATATGAACCTGTCCCCGGCGAGACCATTCCCCGTCGGCACCCTAAGGCTAAGAACGGTCTCATTACGCGCATTTCCGACGATGTCACCACCACTTACGAAAACTTTCGCCGATCCGCTCGCGTCTTTGGCAACGGCAAAGCTGTCGGCACTCGCAAGTTGATCAAGACCCATGTGGAGACCAAGAAGGTTAAGAAGATCGTGGATGGCGTCGAGAAGGAGGTGGACAAGGAGTGGACTTACTTTGAGATGAGCGGATATACCTACAAGACCTTCCTCGAGTATGAGAAGCAATGCCTTGAGCTTGGTAGCGGTTTCCGCAAGCTGGGACTCGACAGCAGCCACAGACTCCACCTCTACGGTGCGACGAGGTAAGACGCGGTGCGCTTCTCAACAGATTCGGATAAGGGGACTGACTTGTTGTTTTCTGAATAGCGCAAACTGGCTGGCCATGTCACACGGTTCGTTGACTTTTCTTTCTCGGGATGAAGGCAATTCTAACATATTACTCCAGCCGCTGCCTCTCAATCCATCACCATCGTGACCGCATACGATACCCTCGGCGAGGAGGGCCTGAAGCACTCTATGGTGCAGACTGGCAGCAACGCCATCTTCCTTGACCCCGGCCTGATGAAGTCGCTCCTCAACATCCTCCGAAGCGTACCATCCCTCAAGTATATTATCTATAACACCGACACCGAAATGGACCAGAAGCTCCTCGATCAGCTCCACAGCGAGTTCATCCACATCCAAGTACTGAGCATTGAGGACCTGCGCCGGCAGGGTGAGGAGAACCCCGTGGAGCCAGTTCCCCCCAAGCCCGAGGACCTGTGCTGCATCATGTACACCTCTGGCTCAACCGGCCCACCAAAGGGTGTGCCTTTGACTCACGCTAACGTGATTGCTGCCAGTAAGTGAAAAAAATGACTCGAAACTCGGAGTGATTTGAGCTAATTTCGCGCGTAGCCGCTGGTGTCAACGCCGTCATCGGTCCCTGCATCACCCACACCGACTCCCTCCTGACCTACCTTCCTCAATCCCACATCCTGGAGTTCATGTTTGAGAACATCTGCTTGTTCTGGGGTGGTACCATGGGTTACGGTAACCCCCGCACATTGTCCGATGCCTCCATGCGCAACTGCTTGGGCGATATCAAGGAATTCAAGCCTACCGTTCTGGTCGGTGTACCGGCCGTGTGGGAGTCCGTCAAGAAGGGTGTATTGAACAACCTGAACAAGACCAGCTTCGTGGTCAAGGGTATGTTCTGGGGTGCCTTGGCTGCCAAGAGCTTCCTGCTGAGCACTGGCATTCCCGGTTCCAACTTCGGCGCCTGGGCTTTGGACAGCATTGTCTTCAAAAAGCTGAAAGAGGCAACTGGAGGCCGACTCCGTGTTGTCATGAACGGTGGTGGCCCCATCTCCAAGGAAACCCAGAAGTTCCTGTCCATGGCTGTGGCCCCGATGATCAGCGGCTACGGTTTGACCGAGACCTCTGCCATGGGCGCTCTGAACGACCCCTTGGCTTGGAACCCCAACGCCCTGGGTGATATTCCGGCCTCAATTGAGATCAAGCTTGTTGACTTCGCCGAGGCTGGATACTTGACCACGAACAACCCCCCTCAGGGTGAGATCTTCATTCGTGGTGGCAGTGTCACATCAGGCTACTACGAAAACGAGGAGGAGACCAAGGCTGCGATCACCGAGGATGGCTGGTTCATGACCGGTGACATTGGCGAGTTCGACCGCAACGGCCACCTCAGCGTCATTGATCGCAAGAAGAATTTGGTTAAGACCCTGAACGGTGAATACATCGCTCTGGAGAAGCTCGAGTCTGTCTACCGCTCGTCTCCCGTGGTTGGCAACATCTGTGTGCATGCTGCCGAAGATCAAGACAAGCCTGTCGCCGTCATTGTCCCCGTCGAGGTGGCACTTAAGAAGATCGCCAGCGAGCACGGTATCGAGGGCGATACTCTGGGAACACTTGTTCACAACGATAAGCTCAACAAGATCGTTCTCCAGCAGCTGCAGGCCGCCGGCCGCGCAGGTGGCCTGAGGGGCATTGAGATCCTCAACGGAGTGGTTCTGTCCGATGAGGAGTGGACTCCGCAAAACGTAAGTACTCCTCGAGCTGTCTGGACCGTGAATGTTGCTAACAATACATTAATAGGGCTATATGACCGCTGCGCAGAAGCTCCAGCGCAAGAAGATCATCACTCACTTCGAGAAGGAGATTGCCAAGGCCTACGGCAAGAAATAAAAGAAGCACGTCGACTTGTTCCACTAGCATGAATTGTTCCCGTCCTCTATGTTTTTCTCTGATGTACTTGCCTGCGCTCTGAGACCCTCTATGTTTTCCATTCTTTTAGCTTCAATTACGTTTGCATTTCTTGCTCGTGGTTACGATATTGTTTGATTGAACGGCATGTCTGCTACATCTTGTCACCTGCCATGATGTAGACGAGATGGTAATGAATGTGGGCATGAGTGACTGTATCGCGATGAATTTTGTAATATATTCAATCCAATTGTCTATTCTTTCTCCGGCCAAGGCTTCTCAAATTACGTAGAATGGTCTTTTTGGGAGGTTGTATGCACAAGGGTATACTTACCTAGTGCCTCTCATCAAAGTACCCCGGTACCTCCCTGATCAGCCACAGTTACACTACCTCCTAGTATACCACAGGTACCCGAGTTGTACATGTACCTGGCAGAACATCAACGGCATACAAAGAGACTCGAACCCGTTGGACCAGTACAAGTCGAAGCACAATAACTCGATAGAGTTTGTTAGCCTCAGGTACCTAAAATCCCGTGACCTCATGTAGATATCTTCACGTGACAAATCCCTGACCGTCATTGCACATTCCTCAAGCCATATCACCTTCAAAACCAACCGCAATGTCTCTCTGGAGGTACGTCACACGGAAACAATTTACCAAAGAAATACGAAAATCCTCAGATCACGCGAACCAAAGAAAAAAAACAAGTCCAAAATCCAGACTAACAAGTCTCGATAGCTCCTACCGCGGCCTCACCCCCAAAACCCGGGCCCTGTTCGGCATCGGCGTCATGGCCTGGGCAGGTATCGGACTCTGGGCCACGCCGCAAGTAGAAAGCGCATTGGGCATGCAGCCTACGAAAGAGGAACAGGAAGCGCTGGATCGGAAGTTGGCGGTGCGCGTGTCGCGTGTTGGTGGGGAGGAAGAGACATCTGGTCGGGCATGAGAGCACGGATAATTCAGAATTCAGGAGTCAACGGTCATGGCGTCGGGATTGCCTTGTTGCTTGTTGCTTGTGTACTGTGTACTGTGTACTGTGATCTGGGCTGACTGCGATTCTTTCCCACGGGAATGCTGGGCTGGATGCTACTGGTCAGGGAGCGTCAGGGAGACAAGATGTGATAAGGAGTTTTCAGTACTGCAGGTTGTCGGGCTGTTATGGAAGGATTGTCATCATGGATCTGTTGATTCTACCCACACGATATTGCAGCAATTGGGATCAGGTAGTGGCTGCAAATTGTCTGCGGCTTGTCTGTCTAAACCCATTCTACCTACAACACCTACGCAACCATATCGTCCCCTCCCATCTACCCCAGCAGCGGGACTCCGGGATTCAGAAAGGGACCCGGTTTGTCGGAGAAGGACCGCTGGACTATGTACCTACATTGACAAGAGCGGTCATAGCGAACGCGCAGCAAAGTCGATTGTCTCGTCACCTAAACACCTCCTCAACAATCCACAAACAAGCAGTGGTCATGGCCCTCGAGTGGCTGACATCCGATCTAAATCTGCGAATCTTGTCCGTCGCACGTCCTTCATCGGAAAGAAGACAGGGAAGTGGCCTGAACAAACCGTCTTCCTCGCCATCTTGCAACCACGCCCCACGCCTGTCCGTGCGGCTGCAACAACCCCGGCTCCAACTGCCCTGTTCGCAGCGCAGGAAGTACGCTGCAGCAGTCAGCGGGCTTCTCTGGCTTTTTGTTTTTTTTTACCAATGGCTCGTTCGTGCTCTTGGTCTTGGTCTTTCCTGTGGGCTCGGAAGAATAGCTGCGGCTGAGAGGATGGATCGTTGCTTAGCCTGGTCTGGATTGTGACGAAGCTGGTTCTTGTATTGAGAGGCCAATGAGATGATGAGTTTAATTTCCGGCCTTTGTCTTTTCTCCGATTGGGGAAAGTGATGCGAGGGGCAGATTGTATAGTATTTTTTTTCCCTTCTATTTGAGATTTCAGATCTTGGGATATCCTGCTTTGCGGTTTGATCTTGGGATCGGACGTTTTGGGGATATCTGCAATTGAGGTGTCTACCTATGGTACATGTAGTAACTATAGCTTTCACTTTTTAGTCAAAATGGCTACATAACTATTCCACTTTCCTCGTCACATTGACTTTAGCAAATCCGGCGGCTCTGACACTGTCGTCTTGAAGTCCATTCATTATCCGACCCGGAGTCTAGTGGACCTCTTGTCCAATCTACCATGCTGTCCGGGGTCTCTTCGTTATGCCAGTCTCGATGGGAGTGGTGGCCCTCGTTGTACTAGCAACTTCCATAGGGTTCATTGGGTATTAGGTCACTGTAGCGTTTGAATGAGGCTACGCTACACCACGTAGACTGGTTCATCTATGCTCGAGTCTTGGTGTCTAAGGGATGGATTGCCACGTGTGTTTGTGAGCTGGTTGTTCAGGTGCTGACTTCCAAGGCTGTGCTTAGTTTCCAAGTATCTCTGCTTGTGTGGCATTGAGGGTCTTGGAATCAGGAGATAGATATAGGCTCGGGTGCATATTGTAGATCATGGAGACATGGGGTGACTACTTCTTGGATCGGTGTTTCTTTAGTTTGGTTATACCTGTGAGAGTTGGTTAGCCCTAAGTCAGGGCGAGGCGAACATACATCGAAACTAGACAACTCGAGGCAACGAGGATAATCATATCTATTCTAGGAGGCTCTACTATACTCGTTCATATATTTAAGATCTGATTTTCTTCTCATAATGAGGAACCTAATGTAGACTATCCGACTCAACAGATACCTGCCAATAGGTCATGGGAAAAGAGAGTATACTGTAAAGCCAAAACAGCTCATTGCGTGAACGATGCCAAACAGCCCAAAAGGAAGCCAGCAATAGAAAACCCCGTGTAGATTGTTCTTCTGCCCGACTTCCCTTTGTACAACGTGCAAAAGTACTGAGCGGCTCATGGAAACAAAACAACCAATGGCGATAGATTTTGACAATATTTGGAATTATTCCACTATACTTCGCATCAATTGAGATGTTCTTCCAATATTTCTTGCCCGATGTACTTCCCAGCATTACCTAGAATCAGGTAGCAGTACATGTAATAGGCACTTCACCTACTCCAACATGGACAGAAGGAAACGATGTTTCAATAGCTTGTCTTCCATGTAAACATATGCTTAACCTCTTGCCAGATGCAGACGGTCACCACCCCGGTCCCTAACAGGGATGTTAACCAACTGCCGAGATGCAGGAAGACCTAAAAAGAAGGATACGAGCATAAATTCCTTAACTTGCACATGATCGATTTCGCAAGTGGAAAAGAACTGGAGATTGGACTGCTACTTTATACCACCTTAAATTCCTCCACATGTAGATCGAATCAAGGTCACACCACTGTTTCATACTCCACAGATAATTTCTTTCTTTCGTACAGGGCTGAGCTGACATGCAAAGCATCACCTGCACATGTACCGTCGATCAGCATCTGCAGGGAACGAATAACGTACAAGCATTATGGGTCATGGTCCTATTACTCACTTGAAAGATATGATAATACACGATTACTGCTGCCTAGAACCATTTTGAAAAAAATCAGCAAATCCAGACCTAAGACTCTCGACAAACAGACTGATGCTCGACTCGCTGATTGGCTACTCTTCAATCTGCATCTTGCCGGATTCCCCGTGCAGTAGACCTTGCTTCGTTTGGTTTCAAGACATCGCGGAGCCTCCAGAGTGAAAAGTAATGAGCCAATACAATGTAGAGAAGGTCAGATGCTACAAGGTATTGTATGAAGGCAAAAATTGCGCCACACAATCCTAAGTTCTTAAACCAATCATCCCTTCTCTTTCTTTAACATAGTAGAGTCAATCATAATTCATCAGATCAAAAACAGAAGCAATCGTAATCCTTGCATTCCTCCAGATCTAATTGGATACATCTAAGGAGCATGTGGTTTCGTGGCGGCGAAAACAAGCAGACAAACAGATTGGCAGATACACCCCAGTAGGAAAAAGGTAAGGCGAAACTAAAACATAAACAAAAAGAATATGAATATGAAAAAAGCAAAGAGGCAAAAGCAAAGACAGGCATATCCACATTATGAACGGGACTGATGGGCCTGCAATCTATGGTGACTAGGACCAGGACTACAGCAAATAACGGTTCCTGGTGAGTAGAGCAAATCGGGGATTTTGAAGGGGAGGCGATGGACATGGGTGGATCGGAGAGGATTTGAATCTTGACAATATGGAGGGGAATGGTTTACCTTTGGTGTAGAGGTCAATAGGTAGTCTTTTATACTGTGTTAGGTGGGATTCAAGTGAAGTGGTGAGGTCTGAGATGAGCCCTAACTCCTGCCATAGAGAACAGAATACCTACTATAATCCAACAACCACTGAGACTACTCCGATCTACCGTAGTCAAGTCCAGATCTTAATTCTCCGATCGATCCCATTCGAGAGAAGAGATTTTGATCATTTGTCACAGTCTTTAACATTCTGTATGCTTTCTTTTTTTCCCACAGAGGTAGATATAGAAAATGGGAAGAGAGGCTCTCAAGTAATTGATCAATAGAATCACAATGAAATAAATCAAGGCCATATCCAACTAACAACCAAATCAAAACAATGAAGAAGAAGGGATAAAAAGACAAAACAGCGAAGATAAAATGGGCTCATCGTTTGTCCTCCCCCTCACGCCGTGCTGCACCAGTGCGTAAATCCGTTTCATAGGGTCGTTTCGAGCGATATCTTAAATAAGAGAAGAAATCATAAACCAGGGGGCAAAAGGAAAAGGAAATAGCTCAAGTGCATAGACTATGCGAACTTTGGATGGGATCGTAACGGCTATAGGTCGTCGAGTAAACGGGGTCATATCCACCATTACTAGCCTGCCGGTGTTGGTGGCTGGGAAGCCCTGCGTAGCTCGTATCTTGATAAGGGTCTGATTTGAGATAAGTGTCGTTCTTGATCGTATCCATGGGATCCATGGTATCGATCATGGAGTACTCGAATCCAGATGAAGATGAGGAGGAGATGAGAGGACTATCGCTTAGTGGCGAATGGTCCGTCACGGTCATTTTTCGGTGATCGACTCGCCCGTAGGAAAGAGTGCTTCGATGAGGCGCATCGTACATGAGCATGTTTTCACGGCTGGTTGGGCCGAGGCCGTGGGGGATAACGCCGCAGTTGCTGTCGCCGCCGGCGCCATCAGGGCCCATGCTGCCTGTGCTGCCGCGCCGTCCGTCCTTGTAGTGGCCGGGTGAACGACCGCGGACCACTAAGGGGTGAGAGTGCCGACGGGCGATCTGGACCCACTGCGTTTCACCTGGAACCGAGCTAGCGATTTCAGCGTGAAGCTCGACGACCAGATTGTAATATTGTTGTTGGGCGCGGCGCTTGCCGTTGTTGGCGGTCGCTTTTTGGAACTGGATGCGCTCGAAGACGTGTGAGGTTGGGGGCTGGCAGGGTTGAGGGGTCCCTGCGAAAGAAGGATTGTAGTCCATAGATTGGGAGCCGAGGGGGAAGCCGGAGATATTTCCGTTGACGGTGGAGGTGGTTGTGAAGGAAGGTGGAGGGCAGGGCTGGAGAATGACACGACCGGGCTTGCGTTCAGACTGTTTGTCTCTCTTGGGGGTGTGTTGAACGAGTTCCCGGGTTTCGTTGTACTGGCCATTTACAATAGCTGAAATCGCCATTGAAAATGCACGGATCGGCTCGATGGTTTGGTCAGGGTAACGAATGTATAGAGGAGCACTGGGTGGCCAAGGGTGAAGATTAAATCCACAGGTCACGGCGAAGTAATTTCGTCGATAGCAAGTCCATTTTCCTTCGGCTGGGAAAGGACCTCGACCCATCTTTGCCTGGATTTCGGGTTTCACCGTCTGATACTGGCCACCAAACTCCGCAACCACCGTTTGAAGAACAGTCGTGTCGTCGAAAGGCGGAGCCTCTACCGGTGGCTGTGAGCGTTGTGAGGAGTCCGCTATTGGTTGCTGATACATGTTGTTCTGGGATCGATCCATCCCGCTATCTAAAGCGCGAGGGGTGCTCGAATACCCATGGCTGCGGGAGATATCGTTCATGCTCCCCAATGGCAGGCCCATGTTGGGCAATCCGCGTTGTAAAGCATATGAACCATATGCATTATTGCGGCCCATGAGTGCTGGAATGGAGTTCAAGGCATGGGCTGAACCTTGCATGTTGCTGGGCATGCCAGTTGGCGGTTGACTAGACGGTTTGAATGGATCAGTATGTCCACCTTGAACCCAATGCATGATAAAAACGAAGCTTACAGCGCTGGCATCCGTTGATAGTCTGTCATTCTTTCGAAAGGATGCTGAAGCCGAGTCAAATGAGGGTAGAGAGGACCAGATGTGGGCGAAAAGGAGTCTTCACAAGACCACATTGATCAGTGACAGTCTCTCAAGGACGTAGAAGTATAAAGAGGAGAGCTTACCAGGACAAGAGTCTGGTGGAGTCATGGCAAGAGCACTCGGACCGGAATATCTAAAGGAATGAAACACTCAGTAATGGCGCACAACCACGAAAGATCCACGTGCGATCGCCTGGAATTAAAACAACGCAGAAGATATCAGATGAGTCCGGGCGCAGCACGGAAACCATGATGCGTAGGATGACAATCGAAACGGGCGCAAAAGAGGCAAGGACCTCAAGGCCCGGCACGGGCTCAGATAAAAAGGACAAAACATCGGAAGAAAGACATGCAGGCAGCAGATCGGTATGGAAGGTACCGAAACAGGCTGGACTGAAGTTCAAGCTGCCCGGACCCGGAGGAAGCGCAGCGACAAGGGGTCAAGAGAGGCTGACCTGGAGAGCAAGGGCAAGTCCGGATTGAAAGAGTAGAAACGACTTACTGTAAGTCCTGCATCACAGGCTGCGGTGCGTGGTACCTCACGCCGTTGGTGTCAGGCATGGAGGCGAGACCTCCGACTCGCTGGCTGTTGTCGTCTTCGTCTGCAAACCCTGTCACATGAGATATGTATTCTCCCTCCGAAGTAACGGGATCAGTCAATGAGAATGCTTCTGAGAGGAGTGCTGGAGGATTCATGATTAGCAGAGAGGGAGTATATATGGAAAGATAAAAAATAAATGGTAGACAGATAAAAAAATAAATAAAAAAAGGACAAAAGAAGAATAAAGTGGAAGCAACCGCATGATGAAGAAGACAGGGAAGAGAAAAGAGAAAAGCTTACAGGGATTCATCCTGAGTGTGCTGATGCCAGGTGCCTCGAGGACCCTGAAGTTTGGTTAATTGAGGTAACACCGGCGCGACGCCAAAGTCGTCAACTGGTTGAGAGCGCTGGGTGGCAAGAAGGATGTCTAGAACAGCAGAGTTAGGTAACCAGGCCAGACAGGTGCATGGTTTTCCCTCACAGTACCCAATTGATACCTCTCTAGCGCCTGGATCACCTAGAGGTGATGTGCCGGAGGCTATGACACAGGTTGAACTTGGGATGCAACAGGAGAGTATCTTGACAAGAGGGCCAACGGAGACAGTAGACAACAATATTCCGACGAGAACAGGTTTAGAGAGGGATGCACGTGGTTTGGAGTGAATGGTGAAGTAGACGAACTGTGGATGATAGAAAAGGAGTGGGGAATAACAGGAGGTTTGAAGGTTATAAAGAGGGTGAAGGGGAATGAACCCTTAACAAGATGGGTATCTTCTGTGGGTAAGGCGTTGACAGTAGACGTCCGGTAGTCAAAGCCAGTGCGTCACCGATAGACATGACTTCCTAATTAGGAACCCTCGTTGACTTCATACAAATTAGGAAAAGAACTGAAATAGATCGGGCTAGAATGTAAGTATTCATGTCTAGCAGAACAAGAGATCTAAGAGAGAGAGTAGATAGAGGAAGAAGAGTAGAAGAATAAAATAACACAGCTAAAGCAAAAGAAAAAAGGAATAAACAAGAATATCAAATATCTATAAATATGAACCAGAAGGGGAAAGGAAAAACCCAGACTGATGTAATCTGGTGTGACGGAGTGAACAAATAAAACCTTCAAGCTTGCCCCGGCATTAAGTTAAGTAAGTTAAGTACACATGTAACCCTAAGGCAGGGAGAAGTACCGAAGCCATAGATCTTTATTCTTTTCTGACAGGATATAGAGGACTTCTACTATGTGCAATTGACGGAATATGGACCATACTCTGTTCCTTATTTAGTCGACATCTATCTATATAATTCTGAATCAAATCCCCCGGTACCAAGGTTAGCTTGAATCTATTCTCTGGATCGTTGCCTACTCTGGTACATCGTTATATCTACGGACACAACCCTAGTGAAGTTTCCAGAAGATCCACTAGTCATAAGAAAGACAAGTGGCGGCCATGGCCACGAGCAACTGCCAGGGACACCGAAGTATGTATTCGGCAAGGCTATGATACTGGGAGGACTTTGCATAGGGGTCCAACCATGACCGGAGAAGAGATTCCCGCATACTCATTTCCGCGCATGAAGCGTTGGGAAAAGAAAACAGTAGGGAATTTCCATTTGAAATATGTATTTGGAGTGATTTCTTGGCCCCCCTGTCCCAGTCTCGAAAAAGTTTAGGTGCGTGGCTCCATAGTAAAGTAGCATCAAATCACCGGCTCCGACGCCAGACGGTTTGGTTGATTAAGGAGCATGGCATTGGCCGGAACACCCCGTGGTGCACGCTGGGAGCACCCGACGTCGGCTGCACGGACCGTGATGCTACAGTTCTCAGGATGAAAGTGAGGTATGAAGTGAGGTATACGGTCTACTTCCTCCATACATGACTGTGTTTTCCATTACAGAGATTTCGGGTAAAATCAGATGTTCCAGCGCGAATACCCGGACAGACGGGTTGCTGCAGTAGAGCAAAATATGTAAGACGAAAGTAGAATGGAGGGAGAAGATGATCGACCCCTATACCCGTGCAGACCCGTGCAGACCCTAGCCCCATGACAGAGGTGGACCGTGGTGATGTATCAGGCTCTGGGGATCCGCAGGCCAATGACAAAATTAATAAAATCAAAAGAAACGCGCCAATCATGGGAAATGAACGGGCAGGGAAAAGATACCCTAGACCAGATTTCGTAATGCCTCATCGTCAGGCCTGTCGGAGTTGTCCCATATTCAGTTTGCCAGTGAATACCTCCAGGAGGCTCGAGGCACGACCAGTGAAATGCTTGCACAAAGCAAAGCAGAAGTATCATGCGACCAAAGTATCTATATTCAGACATGTTGCGGTGTCCATGTTGGCCGTTTTCTCACCGACAAACACAGGGAGCAATCAAAGCAGCGCAGTGAAGATGGTGCATTCCCCCAGTCCACCCCCACCGCAAAAGGAAACCGGAGCAACTAGGCTAACTCGGCACTTGGAAAATGTAATGCTGTTCTGACAGTAGAAGGCCCCCACCAGAAAGGTTAGAAGCTAAAATATAGCACGGCCAAGGAAAAGGTTATGCGATGATGTTGCGGTCCGTACCCGGGAGCCTTTTCCAGAAATTAGCGGGACTGGATCCACTTTTCCGCTAGTTACAGAGGAAATATCAAGGGGATAGTCCCAGAGATTCCAAGATCCTGGCCCCCAATGGATCCGTCCTGATTGTGTCGACAGAACTGCATGAGGGGCTGGGAGATCGGCCATCCTGCAGAAGGCTAGTCGGGCGGAATGTCAAGGCGTAGTGGAAAAGCACCCGCAAGCTCATGATTGGCTGGATATACCATTGAGTCGATTTCCTCAGTGCCCAGGTGGTAATAATGGAGGCTATGTTGTGCAGCTAGTTGTCCCCACCAGGCCACACACGGTGACCGTGCTTGTACCAGAACCGGTATTAGGTGCAGGGTTGCTTAGCCATATTAGGTTAGGAGGTTCGTGATCGACGAGACTAACTTCGAATCACACAGTTCATACATGAAGTAGTCGAAGGGTCGAGGGTAGAGGGATGACATTAGCTCATTGGCTTTTGACTCTCGGGGGGAACCCCTTCCCGGGGGATCACGGGGTTGGCACGTGCAGGCGGTGAAAACCGGGGGTTGAGCGTTGATGTATTCAGTGAGAAGTAGAAGGAAATGTAAGTGAGTAACTATTTGAGTATATCTTCGAGGTTTAACTTATTAGAACATATAACTAGCTAAGACTAGAAAGTAATAGTCGAATCCCTTCTCAATTCAAATCATTTCAAATCATGTCCACGGGTCCCATACTGGACTAATGCACGCTAAAGACACTACGGTCGATCCACTCAGTTACCCGCAAACTCAGACGGGAGGTCCACAGGTCACTTCCGATATATCATCCACCCTGGTAATACTACAACGGTGTATACAGAAGAAACGACTGCTCAGAAAATGTCCGAGTACACCAAGCACTGCAGGTACCTGGAAGCCAATGCCAATAATGATTAGACTTTCTTAAAATGCATGAACCCACCATATTAACCAAGGCGTTGTATCGACATGGATGAGCCCCAAAACCCTAGAAGCCGGGAAACTTTACTCTCGAGGTTGCAACTGTCTCAGCCAATCTGTTGGGGGCGTTTTTGAAGGACCCTGGCTCAGCTGTCTCAGGCACGTGCCATCACCCAAATCTGTTCTAGTGATGGTTGATATCTTGACCCTAAAATACATCTCGCTCGTGCATCAATTATTTGCGGCAGATCAATGGGATAAAAAAGGGTGTGGCCAATGACACACCTTTCTTCCAAGGTTTACTGGTTACATTCGGGTGTTCGGCCATTGGACAGGGGACGGAAAGCTACGCACTCGGCCTTCGAGCGCTAGGCAACGGTGAAGCTTGAGCACAAAATCCCGGAGTCGGAACTGTTGACTTCCCCGTGTTCTATGCCAATTCAGAAATATTGAGGAAAACAACACAAAGCCTAAAGGGCAAATCAGATAGCTCATTGGCCAGTGGCAACCCAACCCAGGCGCAGATCCAGAGCAGCAACCTTGGAAGGCCGGGGGTGTTATTCTAGACTGTTGTCCCCTGGTCTCTCTCGCCACAGCCCTATATGCTTGTTGATCCAGGATCACGAATGCGACATGCCCAATAGACCCATATGCCAGATCCAATGCCCCAAATCCTGGCCAATTGGGTCTAGAGTCCAATGCTTCGCATTTCGGGGAGACATTCCGGGACAATGGCTCCCCAGTGGGGAAAAGATAGCTCGGACCTTGTCCACATATCCTGACCGAGCACAATACTACGAGACTTCCACGGTTGTCTGCTTTGTTGACTAAGACCGGCATATTAAAGTTTGACTTTTCAACGGGCGAGACCTTCCATCCCGGTACATCCACCGGCCTTGACCGGGCAGAAGAATTGATCTACCTCATCGACCCCAAGTATCGGATACGCCATTGAGACTCATGCCAATTGAGCTCCCATAGACCCATACTGTATACATGGCTATTCACAGCAATGGTATGTTTCGAGACGGATTCTCCCCGAAGTGTCACTGTCAGCCCTTTGGTCCGTAGATCGTTGGAGATCTAGTACTAACTCAATATCTATGGCTCCACATTGCCTAGGATGTTAACAGGTTGCCTAGACACAAGGTTCTGTGATGGGTTACCTGTGTATCACTTCTTCCGAGATTGATGGTTGCTTTCTGTCACAGCAGACCTGAGTACTGGTAGCCCGCTGTGATGGCTACACCACCAACTGAGAAAATAGCATGGGAATCAGTTGGTCGCCGCCCCACTGGCCTTCCCGATCCTTTGTGAAGGCAACATTCTGCCCGAGACTGGAATATTGATTGGAAGTTTCCCCAGCCCGTCATCCCAAACTTTGATCACCCTGGATCTACAGCCCGCCAGCACCGATCGTATCACAACCACGAAGCTCCCGGCAAAGAAATCTTCCATTACCGTCTGAAGTATCCGAACCTGTCGGCACGGATGGAAAGACAAGACATCACATCAGGTAGACAAGGGTGCTGATGTCAAGAGAGAATGTCTCATTGGCTCGCCGCCCTCCGAATTCTGGATATGAAGCTTGTCAGGCGGAAATATGCTTTCGATGGCGTTGAAGGCAGACCAGTTCAAGACTCCACTCATTACCGAGCGACGCATC